ATTAGTATATTTACTATATTAGGGCAGAAATGGGTATAATATTATTATTTGGGGGGGCAGTCCTAGAGGTAAATCCGTAATCTGTCATCCGTCATCGGTAATAAAAAACAAATAAAGGAGTAAAGAAAAAATAATAATAAAAAGAAACTAGAATTTTTAGGGTTCCATTGTTACGGAGAGACAAGCCAAAAAAAAAAAAAAAGGGCGCCGTTGCGTTGAAAGATCCACTCTTAGTCTACTAAGGACTAAGGTCCCGGGGTTGTTCGTTCCAAAATTTTTCCATTCTTCCATTCTTTTCCACTTTCAGTATGATTAACTAGAAGAGTCAGATCTTGGCCTCCGTATGACTATGTACAGACTATGTATAGTGTATAGTGGTTTTTTGATTTCGTTATTGGGTCACTACATCACCATTCTTTTTTTTCGAGGTTGATTGCTTTTAATCTGTCTGCCACTGGCTTTAATAGAATTACAGAGCATACATACAGTACTCCCTACTAACCGAACCGCCTATAACTTCAATCTTTCTACTGCCCGATCCATCTAAGTTTTCCCTTTGTTTAATCTTGTACCCCTATATCCGAGAGCTGCTCCATTCCCTTGTTTTGGCAGTTGACGGGTAAGGAATCAAGTGCCGACCCGAAGCCTCCTAGGATCTGGACCTTCGATGCTATCCATGGTTTAGTGTGTTATACGGACTGAGCTGTCTCTCTGGTACAGTAATCTACTACATAGACTGTCACCCCACTACTGTACAGCTGGCAGCTCCAGTTCACGCGTGAGTAGATCGGTCGATCCTCCTTCCCCCTTTGCCCGCGATTCGGCCATGCGGGTTTCGGATCTACTGAGAATGCTGGTCATCGATGCATGGTGGAATGGAACGGGCCAATTAGGGATGCGAACTGGGTATGGAGAATGCGCGCGGTGTTCAGTGCAGATGGAAGGTTAGTAGGGAGGACTTTTGTATATTGAGATACAGTCCTTCGTACATAGCTGTCATGTTATGGCGCTGTAGTAAGATCGTGCTGGTGGTCGGAGTGGCAGTGGCAGTCTCAGCTTGCCTTATTGCAGGGCCGGGTGGAGCGGTGGAGGGCGGGTTGCGGGTGGGATGGAAGCTCGCGGAGTTTTTCGAAACAGCGCCTAACGGGGTCGCTAGAGACTCAGATTGAGTGCCTGGCCGAGCATGTGGGCCCTAGTTCGTTTGTTTTTGCACACGTCCTTCCGAGGAGGTTCTGGAGAGTTGCGACTGTAAGTCTTGGTGTTAATGTATAGAGTACAGAGTATACGGATAGAATGTTGATCTAGATCAAATCAGTTTGATGTCAATTTCTATCCTAACCCTGGATTCAAAACGCTTTGGCTCTGGCATACGTAGCGATCGCATTGTAAATATCTCCCGGTCCTGAGTTTGGGTCGTGGGCGTTTGCCATCACTTGGGCTCTGGTCTGGTCGCTTGGCGGATTGATTGAATGTGGATTCGAAGAGGCCTAAGTCTTTACATGATGAGTCTATGATTATTCAACGACAATAAGCTCTCTTTTCTTTGTTGAATCCCTTTTCTTAATCTCAATCTCAATTTCAATATACTTCTCCCACTCTCTCAGACCCCTTCCCTTACTTTCATCGACTCCATTCCCTTTACTAAGAACTATATACTGATTAATTTTTAATTTCCAACCCCCTTTTTCTCCCTTCGTCATCACCAATCATTCTTCCCCCGTTTCAACTTGATGTCTGCCCAATCCGCTCAACAGACTTTCAACTATGTAGCATGTACAGTACCCAACTGATCCCTTTTTATTTTTCTTCATCCTCGATGCTCTGCCCGGGTGGGTTTTTGCCGCCCGTATTCCGTAACGTGCGGCGTCTAGCCAGGATCCGAGGCTTCCCAGGTTCCAGACTCTACTCCAAGCCCCAAGCCCCAAGCCCCCCCCCAATTCTAAGGGACATGATCTTGTTTTGGTTATATTCGAAAATTTTAATTATTTATTTTATGCATTGCTGCACTGCTTTGTATCGGGCAGTGTTCTGGAAGGTCTCCACTGCCCATTTTGCCCTTCCACGGCTCGCTGCTCGATGGGTCTTCTGGATTTACCTGTTCGGGTCCGTTTGCCTACAGCCTACAGTGCTGTAGCTACTGACAAGACCTGACGGTGGTTAGCTCGGGGGATTGACTGGTTCCGATCTTGGGTTGGAGGCTAGAAGCTCATTCCATGCTCTCCCGTCGCCAATAATAGCCTGCGCATTTCCGATGGCAGCTCAATGTGACAGGCTGCTCACAGGCAAGCTTCTGTCAGTGCTTTTCATAGATGAATTTGATTTTGCCTGACCCTGTCTAGTGTCTATCTACCCTGTCACTTTTCCCGAGGCCCAGCACCCGAGCATTCGGGTAAGGGGTTAGGCAGCTAGCTCCTAGTTGGTTTATTCCCTTGAAAATGATCGTGGGCCGCTCGCTAAATTCCAGTATAAATGATATCGAAAACAAAACAAACGAGCAATACTGTAAAAATGACCTGTCCTTTACAGTGTTGGATCTGAAAGCTTCTATTGGCGCGCTTTTCACATCGGCCGACGCGGCACCTCGCGCTTTTTCTTCATGCCTGGTCGGGTGGAGCCCGATCGTTGGCGCCTGTCGGTCAAGGGAAGAAAAAATTCTACTGTACTGACAATTTGACATGGATAGTGCATTGGTTCTGCAGGGTTGACTTTGAATTATCCTGGCTTTTAAATAACCATGCAATGATAGTATCTTTCACTGTAGCTTTGTCGAGGAGCCTCTAAACGAGAAACGTCTACTTTACACTTCGACTACATCGAATTCGGCACTCGGTACTTAATTTCCTCACTAGCAAATCAATCTATAAAGCTTGACATCTAGAAGAATGCAGCATGGCGTAAACCTCGACAGGTCTTCTCCCAAGACTTAACCACACAACGTTAAATCACCCATCCTCGTAATAGTCAATGAGCTGACAGCTCTGGGCATTCCACCTTTCCCACTCCGCCTAGAATGCCCAGCCCATCGCAAATTACGGTTTCGTCAGCACCGCGTGTCGCACCGCGAACCAGCAATAAGCACTCGGAGGAAAGACACCTTGACCGGTCAGTTGACTAGTTCAGGTGGTCTGCTGCATTGCTGAAACCTTTGCTCTGCTCGGTAGTTTGGAGGGCTCTGCGCGGGCTTGGGTTTACGAGGTGGAGAGTTGACACGAGGGAAATAACCTTTGCATCACTGCTCTAGAAAGCTAAAAAGGAAGGAGGGATATCTTTCGTCTTCAGGATGCAATGCGCGATAATGACAAAAACAGACGGGATGAGGTTGAATCTCAAGGACAACCGCAGCTCGTATGCCGCGATCCGTCTCTAGCACGTACAAGTTGGGGTCGGGCTGTGGTAAAGCAAGACATTATTGGGGCATTAACCAGCAATTGCCGTACTTCTAGTCTCATACTGCACGGAGTAGTGTATATCAGACGAAAGAATAGAAAGATCTATGACAAAGGTAATTGGACACCGGTACCCCTTTCAAGGACCTTGAGAAGGCATCGACATGATAGCTGACTAATGATAAGATAGTGTATCTAATAAACGACCCTGACCCGGGTGCAATCGACAAAATCCAAATTTCCAATTTACCCAAAAGTCTAGAAGACGGTAGAAGCCCTGGAAGCGCTAGAAGGCACCTAAAGCCACGGGAACGCGGGAACCAACACGAGAGGCTCGGGATCTAGACCGGGACTATAGGGGCTGGGCATGGGTTCTCTGTACAGTACGGATGTATTGTGGTATGGATGGGGCACTTTGATTATATGCGATTATAAGGCCATGGAGTATTTGTATGGAGTTTATTGTATGATGAAATTATTTTATTACTGTACCTCGTACTCCGTAGATTCTGAGGAAAACCCGGGTCTCCACCATCCATCGTCACACAATCCTTTTTCCTTCCGCGTGACCGAATGAGTGGGGAAAAGAAACTAGAATTAGGACTGTTCCCTCGTAAACCTTACTATGACAGCAAGATCCGGCGATGCAATGCGATGACTGGGACACGGCACGACATGACATGGCTGAGTCTGGTAGTAGTGCACTGTGCAAGGCAAGGCAGACGAGATAATTGAATCTCCCTAAGCCACCCCTCGACACTGACACTGCCCTCGCAAGGATGATCCGGGAGGAAGTTAGAAACAAAGGGCCCTGCAGCCGAACGAAACGAGGTACTCAAAAAGGTTATCTGTTTCGGCGGCGGGTCCCGCCAGTAGTGACTTTATTAGTGATTAGGGGGATGGAGATGGAAGACGCTAAGAAGACAGCGCTCGTCAACTACGCCGCACGACCTGCGGCCAGACCGTTTGGGAGTGGCTCAGGTGACCAAATTGGATACGGGAGTTGAACTGGACTGGACATTTGGTTACCGGAGGACTAGACCTCTGGACAGTGGGCTTTGATCCGGAGTCGGCGGATACATTATTGATTATTGAGTATAGTATCCATTGCACCGATTCGACCTAGCCGATCCCTGCTCGATAGCGGCCCGCTCGGACGAATTGGCACTGTCAGCCGCAGTTTGTATTCTTCCTGTTTTATCTGATGGGGAATTTCGTCATGATACAGGTGTTCTGTGCAGGACCTACAGGCACCCGAATAAGCCGAGGAGGGGGCTAGTGGCTGACGTACATTCCCTAGTCGAACCGATAGGATACAGCGAGGGCGCAGTCGAGATCGCTTGCTGAAGATAAAGGGACTTTATGTATCGATCCGGGGATACAGACGAGACAAGACAGAATGCACAGCCGTGGATGGGCCTGGGGGTTAGCCGAGACAGGAAGAGGGTTAGGCGGGTTGTCGTATAACCCAATATCATTCATTGCATGATTCGTTTCCCAAAGAAATATCGCGAAACACCTATACTTGTCCATCCCTGCTGCTCATCTTACTGGAATTGAATCAGGCCACCCTCAGTCTTCACTCCCCCCAACCCCATCGCACTGCCTTCCCCTTTACACACCCCATATCGACCGCAGGACCGCCCATGCACCTAACAGTCCCACCACAGACGCAAGCACCATCCCATTCCCCTCCCAAGTCAACCCTAAGTAGGCCAACACACCGACGACTATTTCCTTGCGCCGCGCCGCATCCCGCCGAGACCGCCAGGTAGGATCGATTGCAAACGGAGCCACAGTTCCAGTCTTGCCCCCGCCGTTCGCATCGCCAGCCATGTGATCCGCATCTTCAGGTGCGGCAGTAGGTCTCAGAGGCACGCTCACAGCCAGCGCGACAGGGCGATGATCCGAGTGAGGAAACAGTGGGAGCGCGTCGTACACGACCGGTTTGACTGTCCGGTGAGCTGCACCGTCGCTAGTATCCCGTGACGCCGCGTCGTCCAGGTACAGGATGCGGTCGCACCAGCTGGGCCACCGGTGTGAGGACCATTTCCACTCTGTGTCCGAGTCGCCGGTCTCCAGGGCGCGCCGGGCATCTTGCTGCGCTGCGTCAGAGAATTTGTATGTCGGGGGGAAGTTGATGGGGGCTTCGAAGAGACCATGGAAGGTCCTGCCTGCACGCATCTCGCGTATGAGCTGGTCTTCTGGGAGGAGGTGGGAGTAGTGAGAAGGACTGCTGGGGTCGGCATAACGCTTGGGGAAGCGTATGAGATCTTCCTTGAGCGGACTGACGTCGGATGTGCGGTAATTGAGGTCTCCGGCTAGGAATAGGTATGAATTAGGAGCGAAGAGGTTATGCGACGAGCTATTGGCACGCTCATTCAGGAGCGAGGTGCTCTCGTCCGTGTGCTGGCCGTCGCCTTCCACCGTCCGAGGTGAGCCCTGTCCATGCGGAAAGACCAATCGCTCAACGATACTCTGCCAATCCAGGTTCCTCTTTACCAACCCATCCTCCATGGGTGCCAGATGCGCCGCAACGAACGTCAAATCCGCAGTTTGAGACGATCGTCCCTCCACCACATATTTAAGCCGAGCACCGACCGCACCCTTGTTCCCCATATCCTGTAGCCCAAATCCGACATGGGCGGTATCGATCCACGATATCCTGCCCGCAATATCAGCGCGCGCAAAGACCATTAACCCCGTCATGCCGGTGTGGTCCTTGACAAGCTCGACATAAGATTTGTTCCATTGTTTTGCGGTCGCTTGCTTGACTGCCTTGATAAATGCATTAAAGTATGGGAGTAGATAGGAGCCGCCCAGGAAGGAGTATGCGATCGGAGCGAGCTCCTGTAATGAAAGCACGATCAGCTCTGGCGCTGGCGTCGAGGTGGGGAGGACATCGAAGAAGTGGGCTGCAAAGAGGTCGACGTCGATCAGGTTCCGGGCGCAGTTTGAGGTTAGAATGTATAGGTTTAGCTCCTCCATGTTGAGGGGGATGTTGTGCTGTGCTGAAGTTGCAGCTTGGAAGCTGAAGAGCGGTGACGTCGTGCGGGATGAACCACGTGCCCACGTTAATCAGTGGAGCTCGGCGATAAGCGATACACAAACGGAGACGCTCAAAAAATTACTTTCTAGGATACACCCCACCACTCCACACCTAAAAAGAGTGGAGATTCAATGGTAAAAAGACCAAAAAAGATATGCATCATCCGTGAATCGAACACGGGCCTCGTCGATGGCAACGACGAATTCTACCACTAGACCAATGATGCTGGTTCATGTAGAGAGCAGCCAATTGTAGCATTTTGAAGAAGTCTTGATTACAACCCATGTTCTATGGGTTTGTGACATTGGCTGGTTATTCGCCTACTGTATTCCATACAATTGCTGGTATATCTATACTCTACAACTTTCCCTTTATTTGCTCCCCCCTCCTTTCCTCATCCAATTCCACCAACAACATCCCCTCTGCAACATCCTCTTCTTCATCCTCCATCTCATACACCCATCGTACAGTCCCCGCACGAGGACTACGTACCTCCAGCTCCATCTTCATTTGCTTCACAAAAGCCAAAACCTGATTCTCCGCCACGACATCCCCACTCGCCACCAGGATCTCGATTAACTTGCCTGACAGCGGGAGCACGATATGACGCGGGTTATTCGGGTCGCCCCGCCGGTGTGACGAGGAGACCAATGCCGACGCCGCCGTCGTAGTCGTATCCAGTTGCATACGATACGGAACAGCCGTCTTGGAAGTTGGAGTCGTGTACTCGATCTCGGCAGCCAAAGATGTGGGGAACTCATTTCGCAGGACCCGCGATAGCTTCAGGTGATGCGCTATCTTGGCCGATGCTTGTGGGTTCCCGTTCTCGAGTGGCTGTAGCGTAATGGACCACGCGTCCCCTTTGCGGAACAGCAAGTTGGATGCCGGCAGTCCACTCTGCGACATTGACTGCGGAGAGGAACCTCTGGAGACATGCTGGCTTTGCAGATTCTTGGCAATGCTTTCACCCAACTGGTAGGCTTCGTCGAGATTGAGGCTAAGCCATTGCGTGTCAGTGTGACCCGTCATGAAATGGGCATGCGCTACGATGCCCCGCAGAAGGTTGAGATTTGTTTTGACGCCGGAGATCCTCGAGTCGGCCAGGACTCGCTGGGCCTTGCGGACGGTGGCCTCCCAGGTGGATGCCGTGACGATTATCTTGGCGAGAAGATTGTCAAAGTTCGAGCCGACAACCAATGGAGAAGCCCCGGAGGCGTTGATATTGGTATCGACACGAATGCCGTGGCCGCTAGGGACGGTAAACTCGGTCACTTTGCCGATACTCAGAGCGAAATTGTTGCTGGGGTCTTCTGCACAGAGACGCAGCTGAATGGAGTGGGAATTCGGCGGTGGAGCACTGGCATTCACATCAGATCCCAGGCTCAACTGCTGGAAGGTCCATCCTTGTGCCAGAAGAAGCTGTGTCTGGACCAAGTCTATCCCGCTGATAGACTCTGTAATAGTGTGCTCAACCTGCAGCCGGGGGTTGACTTCCAAGAAGTAGAATTCCCCTTTGCTTTGACTGACCAGGAACTCGAATGTCCCCAACGAGCGATACCGAATTTCACTCGCCATCTTCAATGCCGAGTCAATCACTCTAGCAATCAAGCCACGGTCAGACATTAGAGCTGGAGCATACTCCACCACCTTTTGGAATCGTCGTTGCACGCTACAATCTCGCTCCCAGAGATGGCGCACCTGGCCAGTGCCATCACCGATGACCTGAATCTCAACATGGTGAAATCCATCCACGGCAGCCTTTTCGACAAAGACTGTTCGCGAAGGCGATTCACCAATAGCACGCTGGATACTATTATCTAGCTCTGATTCTTCGCGGACAAGACGAATGCCTCTCCCACCTCCTCCATCCACGGCTTTGATCATAACGGGAAATCCGACACGTCTTGCAAACTCCCGCGCTTCATCTGGATTAGCAGTCGGTCGACTCATAGCCTCCAGCACAGGGACACCGCATTGCCGCGCTAGTTGCTTTGCCTGAAGCTTGTCACCCGTGCGGGCGAGATTCTCTGGGCCAGGTCCTATCACGACAGCGCCAGCCTCGGTCCACATGCGATCCGCGAACTCGGCGCTCTCACTGAGAAAGCCATAGCCTGGGTGCACGGCATCTATGGAGTGCTTGCGAGCTAGGTCGACAAGCAGAGAGATGTCTAGATAGGAAGATGCGGAGGGGATCTGGATAGCGTGCTGTGGATACCCCAAGTCGCAATGCGACCGATCATTTGAGGTGTAGAGAGCGAATGTCTCCACTGGGCTAGGCAATTCTCGTGCAGCATGGAGAATTCGCACGGCTATTTCGCCTCTATAAACTGTAAATCAATACACATTCTGCTCAAATTAGGGTTGAAGAAAGTCGTACCTGTTGGCGACCAGCAGTCGCTTGAATGTCGGTGAATGCGGGGATGACGACATGGGGTACAGCAAATCCGGGGTAACAAACTAAACAAGTCAAGTCGAGAGGCTCCCAAAGTACAAAGTAGACAGGGATAAATGTCAGACGAATATCAAGATGCAGCTTTGGGTAGTTGGAATTGCCATACTCTCGAGGATTGCTCACTGACTTGTAGCATCTCTGAAAAGCGCCTCGGCCCTCGGATGGTCACTCGACTGTCCTTGACCCCTCACCCCAGAGTAAACAAAGCCGAGCAGCTTTGCTCACCAGCGATTGAAATTCACCCAATTACCGTGAGTTAACAGGGACTTTATCTGCATATTACAACAATCCAAAATCAATATGGGAAAGGAAAATGACGCGCAGCCCGCGTCCAAAGGCCAGGACACCGCAGCTCAACGCCTGAACCAGGTCTCCTCGCACATCTCCGCACAACCAACCCCAGATACACCGGCGACCAAACCGAAGTCCAACAACGCAACCTCTCGTCTACCAGCAGACCACTCAGACGTTCTCTCCCAAATTGCCTCTCTCCGCAAAATCGCAGCAACCCCAGACCCCAACCACCGCGGCTACATACGCCAAAAGCAAGCTGGGAAGCTCTGGGTCCGCGAGCGCATCGACGCCCTCCTCGACCCAGGGACCTTTGCCGAAATAGGGTCCGTCTCTGGCACGGTGACATGGAAGAAGACAGCGCCCATGCGCGAGACACCCGTCTCCTTCGTGCCGAGCAATAACGTCCAGGGAGCGGGTTTACTGCGCGGGCGGAAAGTCTTCCTTACCGCGGACGATTTTAGTATTCGCTCCGGCCATGCGGATGGTGCGAGCTCGGAGAAGACCGTTTATGTGGAGAAGCTGGCAGTTGCGCTGCGAGTGCCGGTTATCAAGCTTGTGGATGGGAGTTCTGGGGGTGGAAGTGTGACTACGATTAAGAAGGAGGGGTGGAGTTATTTACCGCTTGTGAGGCCGTTTAGGCCTGTGATCCAGCAGTTGAATATGGGGATTCCGAATTTGGGGGCTGTGGTGGGACCTGCTGTAAGTGTTTTGCGTGATTGCCTCAATCGTGTAAGGAGAAGAGAGGCTATAATACGGTGCTAACATATTTCTAGATTGGATTGGGCGCTGCGAGAGTTGTATCTTGCCATTTCTCCGTCATGGCAGCTGATATTGGCTCACTATTCAATGCCGGTCCGAAGGTCGTCGAGGGTGCAACCTTTGAAGAAGGGCTGAACTTTCAGGACTTGGGTGGCCCTATGGTTCACTGCACGAATGGTACTATCGACAACTTGGCTGCCAATGAAGCAGAGTGCTTTGAGCAGCTTCGTACAGTGTTGAGCTATCTGCCGAATTCTGGTAGTGAGGCTCCGCCGGTCATTCCCTGCGATGATCCTCAGGACCGTGAAGATTTGGCTTTGCGGAGTATTATTCCACGTCGACAGGCACGCATGTATAACCCCCGAACCATCATCACCTCTGTAGTGGATCAAGGTTCATGGTTTGAGATTGGGGCACTTTGGGGCCGAACTGCTATCGGTGGTCTGGCTCGCCTTGGTGGTCATCCCGTGGGTATCATTTCGCTGAACTGTGAGGTGAATGGTGGTGCACTTGATGCTGCCGGTAGCCAAAAGCTCACCCGGCTATTGAAAATGTGTGACGTGATGAACCTACCAATCCTGCAGTTCCTTGACGTTCGTAAGTATTTCAGCTGCATTTCCCACCTATCTCTGTCAACGTCCCCTAACCATATTTCTAGCCGGCTACGCCATTGGCACCGTCGCCGAACGCACCGCAACAATGCGGTGGGGTGTTGAACTAGCCAAAACATACTACACAACCACCATTCCGATTTTCAACGTCGTGACTCGTCGCGTATTCGGTGTGGCTGGTGGCATCATGCTCGGCAGTCGTGACCCAGTCATGCAAGTAGCATGGCCATCTGGACAATGGGGCTCTCTTCCACTCGACGGTGGAATTGAAGTCGGACATCGCCATGAGCTGCGCGAGGCGGAGAAAGTTGGTAAGAAAGAGGAGCGCTATAAGGAGTTGGAGGAAGAGTATTTACGGTTGATGAATCCTGTGCGAACGGCGAATGCTTTTGGTGTGGAGGAAATTATTGATCCAAAGGATACTAGACAGGTTTGTTGTTCGTGGGCGTCACATGTGTATGATGTGCTTATGAAGGAGAGATTGGCGGAGAGGGCCTGTGGGAAGATCCATCCTATTTTCGCTTGATTGATTAGATCCGGGAAACTAGATATTGGGCAGGAAATAGAATAAGCTTGATGGGTACCTATTATTGCGGAGTGTAACGAAGCTTATATTACGTGCTCTCGCGTAGCTTGAACTTAAAGACCCTAAGCTAGCGTTCTAACCCGCGGTCATTTTAAGACTATGCTGACGCTTATAGGAGTTCTCATAAGGCCAGTGGTATTCGAAAGCTGTTTAAATTCGGCCATTCGCATTCGCTCCAGGAATGACTTCGACGATTACGCTTCTTTATTTCCCTGGTATCTTTGCTGTGTATGGTTATTTCGATTTCTACATCTTAAAATATTAATTGAATATTACTTAAAATGATACCAGATGCTAGGAGATCCTAGGCCTAGAAATGAGAGAAGCGAGACAACACGACACTCGCATTGCACCTATCTATAAAAGAAGCTACATTCAGCCTGTGCATATGGATTTATTGATTGATCTATGTTGCTTAGGTAGAGGGCTTCTTATTTTCGTGAGAAACCCCATCCTGGTATTTACCCAAAAGCTAGATTAATTTTATATAGCCACTATCTACTTTATCTATAGAGTCGTCCGAACGTATGAAGCTATCAATTATTATAAGCCTAGAGAGAGTTATCGGAGTTATAGGAAAAGATATTAAAAGCGAGAGTATTAAGAGGAGTTAAGGTTCAGTAAGGACGATCGGGACGGTTCTCATGCCTCCAGACGGGATGGATGGACCTGCCCGATGCGGGCAGTGGTATTACGTAACACGAACGAATCGGCGGGATGGACTGAGGGCAGTTAAAGGTGCTGGGAATATCACATTTAAAACACCCCACTCCACAAGCAACAACCAGAGCTCCAAAGTCACAATGGCAACGGTGCAAATTCTAGACGGTGGTCTTGGAACCTCTCTCCAAGATCAATACGGAGTGAGCTTTGATAGCACCACCACACCTCTCTGGTCAACCCACTTGCTCGTCTCCGATCCCACAACGCTGCATGCTTGCCAGAAGGACTTTGGCACGGCAGGGGTAGACGTGCTTCTCACAGCTACATACCAAGTTTCCCCCGAGGGGTTCGCCCGCACAAAGACTACAGAGTACCCCAATGGCATTCCCAAGAATGCTATCGGACCATATCTGCAGACAGCGGTGGACGTCGCAGAGCGAGCCAAGGTTCGCGATAGTACCAAAATCGCGCTCAGTCTGGGCCCGTATGGTGCGTGCATGATTCCAGGACAAGAGTACAGCGGTGCGTATGACGCCGAGCATGATAGTGAGGAGGCGCTGTATCGCTGGCACTTGGACCGATTGCGACTTTTCTTGGAGGCGGAGGGGGATTTGCTCTCGCGTATGCAATATGTTGCGTTCGAGACTTTGCCCCGCCTCGATGAGATTCGTGCGGTTAGGAGGGCTATCCATGATGCAGGAATCACGGTGCCTTTTTGGATTGCTTGTGTCTTCCCTCGCGAGGACGATCTTTTGCCGGATGGAAGCTCGATTGAACAGATCGTGCGTGCTGCTGTTGCCCCTATCGATGGGGGACGCGTGCCCTGGGGAATCGGAATCAACTGCACCAAGCTGCATAAGCTCTCAGGATTGATTGAGAAATTCGGAGACTGTGTTTCTGCAGCGATTACTGCTGGTGATATCTCTGCTACGCCGAGCTTCGTTTTGTATCCTGATGGGACGAATGGAGAGGTTTACAATACAACAACGCAAATCTGGGAGAAGCCAGCTGGCTACAATGCAAATGGAGATCGAGACACGGTAAGTCTATCCTTATTACAAGCTCGTTTACCGCCGACCGATGCTAACTGGATGATAGCGCTCTTGGGAAGTCCAACTAGCCCAAGTCGTGAATAATGCCAGCATCCATGGCCCCTTCAAGGATTTCCTTGTGGGCGGTTGCTGCAAAGCTTCCCACCAGGACATTAAGAAGCTTCGCGAGCAGTTCCAAAACTGAATGACCTCTACGATCTGATAAAGGTGGATCGGCTACGGAACCGATTGAATTAGAATCTGTACATTCAAAATGTCGCTTTATAGAAGATATGCAAGATGCAAGATACTATTATATACATGTTTTTATGTGATTTACACAAGCCAGTCGATGAACCGCCCCCACAGGGTGTTGCGTGGGTTCCGATGGGGCATGATCTCTCCATCTTGGAGACGGCCTGACCAAAGATCAATGGTGGCAGCGCGTTGATACTACAGAAGACCGAGTTAGTAAATGTTTCAAAAATGAGAATATCGATGCAAAAAACGAACCTTAGTGCGATGCCACAGCTTCCAGCCGATGATTGGCACAATGAAGATAGGAATGCCAATGTACGACGCAACAAAGTTAGACGTGTTCCAGTTGCCCTTCAAGAAGACGGGGAAGCCAGCAACCAGGGTGATGATGGTAGAACCGATGAAGCCAACCCAAGCGGCATATGGCTGAAGAGGACCCTTCCAAGGGAGCGAGTCCCGAGAAAGACCCTGTGCCTTCATAGCGGCATGGAACCGAATGTAGCAGAACGAGAGAGTAGCCCAGGCGATCAAACCGGCAACGGTGCTAAGGTTAAGGAGCCAAGTAAAGGCCTGCGCGGGGCCACCACTTCCAAGACCTAGAAACTGGTTAGTCTTGAAACTTCAAGATATCCGATTGATCCGTAACAAGTGTACTTACTCAGATAAGCCAGAGGGCCAAACAGCCAGGCTGCGATGACAGCAACATAAGGGACGCCGTTCTTGGTCACACGACCGAAGACCTGAGGCAGCTGGTGGTCGGTCGTCATAGCCAGGATCATGCGCGATCCAACCCAGCAGTATGAGTTACCAGCAGACCAGGCGGCAACGAGAACACAAGCGTTCACAATGGAAGGCAGGGCGCTGATACCAGCCTCCTTGATGGCAATAACGAAAGGCGAGCTGTTCGCGTTGCCAGATCCGGAGACAAGAGCCTCGTTGCGCGGGTCCACGATAATACCGATGAGAAGGGCACCGAGGACGTAGAAGAAGGCAATCCGATAAGTGACGCGGCGGGCAGCCTTGGGAATAGCGCGGTGGGGGTCAACAGACTCAGCAGCAGTAATGACGACAGTCTCGACACCGATGAAGCTGAAAGAGGCATTGACGAAAGATGACAGGAAGCCTAGGAAATGGCCGGTTGGACCAGTAATGCCGTTGTAGTTGGTCCACGCGCCTGGGTCGTGCCAGAAGCGGAAGCCGATAGTCTCGTGGTTAGGGCCACCACCGGCGGTAATGACGATAGACACGATGACCAAGCCGAGGAAGCAAAGGACCTTGATGGCACCTCCAATAACTTCAGTTTCGCCATAGAATCGCACACTCATCAGGTTGATGATCAAAATCAGAATTAGGCCAACAGTAATGACAACCGCAGGCGTTATATCTGTCCAATATGACACGATAACTGCTGCTGCTGAAACTTCCGAGGCAATGGCGATGGTATAACAATATCCGTAAGAGATGGCGAGAGAGAAACCGACAGATGGATCAATGAAGCGCGTAGCCCAGTGAGGGAACGAACCAGCAGTGGGCAGTAGAGTAGCCAACTCGGCGATACTCTGCATCACACACCAGAGAACAGCACCAACGATGATATACGCGAGCAGCAGACCCGCAGGACCGGCCTTCGCGTAAGCAGCTCCCGTACCGATGAACAGACCAGTGCCAATGCCACTGCAGAAACCGATCATGGTGACCTGATAGTTCCGTAGGCGACGCTGGGTCGCACCACGACCGCCGACATTGAGCTGAAGCTCCTCCTTAGGACTCGCATCATATTCATCGACCTTGACAGGATCCGGACGGATAGCGTCCGAGGCCAAAGTGGACTTCTCCATCTTTAGGCTGGCGAGGAGTGAACTAGCGTGGTGGTTGATATCCGAAGAAATATAGAAGAAAAAAAAACCAGAACTAAACCACTAGTTGACGTTCCCCCAGACGATGATCCCCCAGGATTAAAAAATAAAGAATGTCTAGAATGACAAGCTTATGTGGGAACGAGCTTGCTTTTCTTTGCCCCCGAAATCTCAGCGCGCCGTAGAATCACGACATCGGGGCTCCGTCCTTTGCACTGCGGAACTTTCTCCACTGGATGAAGGCTTATTGGATTAACCGCCGTGAAACCTCCACTTTTTCGGGAGGCGATCGGTGAATTTTTCATTCCCGGCGCACTCGGGGAGGCAAGAGGCGAAAAAAAGTTTGTTGATATCGTTCCCATTTGTCATAGGACGGGATAAAAAATCATGGCCACGCGATCGATGAGTGGTCCGGGGATATGACACCCGCTTTGGAAGTTAAAGAGACTGGAGATCTCCGAGATAGACCATGCGGGGGGTTCTAACGGGCGAGAGAGGTGTTGCAGGAGTGGATCTGATCTTTAAGTACGCGCTTAATTCATCCTTCTGCATATTGAGATGCAGCTCGAAGGGTTAAAGAATTTTTCTTCTGCTTGATTGGTGCAAGCAATCGCTCATTCTCGAGCAGAAGAGTCACTAATGATCCTGGGTAAAACTTAGCGCGGTCGGTAGGCTGTGAAACAAAGTTTGTGCGAAGCTCGAAGGAAGTTCGGAAGAAGTTCTAGACCGATCGCTTCTGATTGGTCAATCTGCGAAGGGTAAAATGTTTAATTTTGGTGCCTGAGGCTCACATAGTTTGCCTCAGGCACAATTGTCTCCCCGTGAGATCACATTAATCGAACTTAAGGGGCTGGAGAAAGCAGCTACTGGAGTCCTCCATCCTGTGACTGTTCCTTCTATGATGCAACTATACTTAGGATTGTATATCTCGATCTCCTATCAACTGTAAGCTCATCAGTCCAAGAACATTTCCAGCTTGAAGCATTTCGTACTTCCTACTTAGCGCCTGCCGTACTGTGTACACCCCAAACCCTTCGAAAGTTGAATCCACTTCCCTAAGAGACAATGGGCGTAATCATAACCCTTCACTAGTGCTTATGAATACTGTATAAGTCCCTAGTCGGACTATGATGGAGATTCTTACTAGGCACTATCTGGATCTTGACGCCCTACAGAAAAAAACCTTGTCGAGCACACGTTCTGCGGCCAGCATAATTCCCAACTGCGTGCATAACTCACCACTGGGAAGGTCGCCAAGAGCCCATAACAGCAAGACGGACGTCGATCCCCAAATAAGCCTGCGTTTTGCCCAAGAAGTTGACTCAAATCCTAGTCTGGGCGACGAGAATAATCAAATAATTACATCAATAGTGCCGATCCACCCTTTCGATCGGACCCAGAGCTCCAAAACTTAACTCGTGTTTCCCCCTCTTAACATTGACCCTCCCCTGCTTTCAGCGTGAGGAATGCTAGATACACCTCGTTTCCCAACCTGACACTCGTTTGAAGACACCATCCCTCGCGCAGGCTCTTGGAATTGGGTTTGATCTAGCTTCCTCACTCCGAGGAGAGAGGAGATACGCAAGGCCCAATGTCGACCCCCGCCCGACCAGAGGCGCCTACCGACGCCTCACCAGCAACAAGCGCAGAAGACTCCGCCATGCCACCAAAGGATGTGCCCGCGTCTCGAACACGCGGAAAGCTGCCTGGATGGTTGGATCACTTCAATGCGCGCGATCTGAAAATTCTCTTTCGCTGCACGACGGCAGCATGGGTTGCTTCTTTGTTGATCTTTATCGGCCCTTCTTTGCGCACAATCGGGACGGCCACTTTCTTCGCGACGTGAGTGGCTTTTGAGCATTTCGTGGAATTGAATTTTATCGTTAACTGAATGATTAGATTGGTTCTTTTTATGGTGCCTCCAAATGGTATCGTCTTCATTTTCATCCTTGGAACTCTGACCCTCATCTTTGGCATGGCCCTCGGATGGGGTTGGGGTGTTATCGCGATGAAGGCGGCTCTGGCCGCGCGACCGGCTGCTGATACTCAGGCGAAACTACAAGCCCTGGGACAACATGCTTATAGCGTGGCTAACTCGACTGGTCAGTCCGTTACAACGGTCCAGCAACAGCTTGTCTACGAAGGCTGGATGCTAGACGCTCGTGTATCGGCTGTCTACTTTTGCTTCATTTGTTTCCTCATTTACGTCTTGGTAAGTTTGGCCCGCGATGAAGGGCGCGGCTGCAATCGAACTCCAATTAACAATTTATTAGGCGCGCATTCGAGCCAAGAATCCTAAGTTCACCCTCATTCAAATTTTTGGAACCATTATTATGGATCTCTTCATCACCATTGGGCCACTGCTTCCCTCTTTCAATGGGACTATGCCCAAGGTTCTCATTGAGCCGGCGGCGATTGGAATTGGGATTGGATTGGCTTGCAACATACTGTTCTTCCCAACATCAACTTCCCATACCGTTCTCGAGGGGATGGAAGGAATTGTACGGCTCCTCAGAGGCCCCTTGGATGTGACCGTTGCCAGTTTGATCGACGGTGAACATCTGGAATTGAAAGATCTGCATAAGTTGAAGATGAAATCTCTTGGGGCATACAAGAAAATCGAGCCAGCGCTCGCCTTCCTGCAACTGGACTTTTCAGTGAGCCGGTGGAACTCGGACGATGTCCTGAGTTTGAAAGAACCCATTCGGCGAGCTGCGCTGAGTACTTTGTCCCTGCTGGAGTTTCACATATCTCGCGTTGGGGGACAAGAGAAATTAGAGAAACTCCGTGCAATTACGGCAGAGTACAATCAGTATTCTAAGCTCGAGACAGCGGAGGAAAAGAAAGGAAAGACGCAACCGCGCGAAGCAGGCATGCGCCAATTACTTGAGAGCCTTAGTCTTGCGAAGGCTTTCACCACACCTGAGCATGAGGCTCTTCGACAGGAAATGCTTGAAGCTATTCGACAGCCTTGCACGAAAATTCTACCAGCCTGCCAGGACGCCAGTACTCTGGTTGCTGACTGCATTCATGCGGTAAACTCCTCGCGATGGTTTGGGAAACTACCCAAGACTCGAATGGATGAGCTCCTCCAACGCAGTGAATCTTCCTTGGAGAACCTCAAAGCTCTGCGTGTCTCATTTGCATCCGAAACAACAGAACGCCTGATCCAGACAAATGCAGACATCTTTGATGAGACTGGTAAGTTGAAGAACATGGACGATCCCACGATGCATAAAGTGCGAGGAATCGCAGTGGGCATGGTCTTTGAAGAACAGATTCTTGGAGTCTCAGACGCCTGGGAAAAAGCTTTGGAACAAGTTGTCGCGCTGATGAAGGAACGCCAACGCGTTCGCCTCTGGCTCCCTCGGGGACTGGGGTATGCCTTTAATTGGGCGTTCCACAAAGCTGCCGTTGCCCCAGTCCTTGCTGCACAGTCTCCAGCCGTTGATCCCGATGTGGTCGAAGAGCAGTCGAAAGCGGCCCAGCAAAGTCTCAATATGAGCCGAGGATACAAAATCAAACGACGCAGCGGGCTGGGACGTGTTATACTTGGCACATATCACTGGCTTATCAACCCTGATGGGATGTACGCGATGCGCATGGTAGTTGTTACTATCGCGCTCGCAATTCCGGCAGTGATCCCTTCCAGTGCAGGCTTCTACTATCGCGAGAAAGGTTTATGGGCCCTGATCATGGGCCAGACTACGGTTGTTGTATACATGTCGGACTTTAGTTTGTCAATCGCCTCTCGTTTCGTGGGAACTGTGGTCGGTGGTGTCGCAGGTTTGGTGGCTTGGTACATTGGTTCGGGTCATGGCTCTGGAAACCCCTACGGGCTTGCTGCGATCATGGCTGTGGTACTCATGCTTCTCATGTGGGGACGTCTGTTCGCGCCTCCTGCGGTCTTGCAAGCGACAATTATGGGTGGTGCAACCTGTATCTTGGTGATTGGATACAGCTACGATGATACGTGAGTCGTGAAACCATCAAATGACCAGTTCTGTTGAGCTGAAAACTGACTAACAACTTCACCAGACATATTCCATCATACGGCAATCCCGGCTGGGGATACAATGTCTTCTGGCGAAGACTCTTACTTGTTCTGATCGGATCTGGAGCGGCCTTGATCGTGCAGGTGTTCCCCAGGCCTCCCTCTGCCGCACGACACATCTGCAAGTCAATGTCAAACTCCATCCGAGCACTCTCTGATCATTATGCACTTCTCCTGTCATGTTGGGGTCAGCCAGACCGTGAAGAAGGTCTCATGGCGGAACAGCTTGCACTCGACCTCGCAGAAGCCCTCTCTGCCCTTGATGGTCCTGTCGCGCTGCTCCGTCTCGAGTTTTCTAGCTCCCCATTCGACAGTGATACTCTTGCCCAAGTCAAGTCCATTTGCCACGAATTGAACCAGCACCTTGGACGCCTGCTGTATCTATCAGCTTCTCTGCCAGAGCACTTCCAAGGACTCCTGGCCCGCCGTGCTGGCCTGCTAGACCACCGCAATATCGGTGATATCATGGCGGTCCTGGGAATTGTGGAGCAAGCTCTTAAGACTGGCGATCCTCTTCCCGAGGTGCTTCCCACTCCACTCCTCAAGCGCTGCTACGAGTTCTGGCAAGTTCACCAAGTTGAGATCGAGCTCAGCACGGATCTGATTAGGGACGAGAACTACCGTCGCTTCTGTGTTGCTGTGACTGCCTACCTCAAATTCTTGGGCGCAATTGATGATTTGGTGCTCGTGATGAAGGGCACGTTGGGCGAGTCGCATATCGTGAGACGGGACCTGATGCCCGATGTGACTGTATAATATCGATGCTTAATTTTAGTTTTAAATTAGTTATTCTTGCCATAGAGCTCGTGCAGCTGTCTTCACAACATATATTATTAATTCGACAAAGATACAGGTAGAGTCCAAATTACGACGTGTCTTCAGCATAGGTGATTTTCGAAACATGTCCCTGGTCCACACCTAGCACTCCTGAAAACCCTCAAATCAAAAACTCTCCTAATTTGCTTTCCATAGGCTCTTCAGTTGCTTCTTGACTGGCTTCAATAGGCTCTTGGTCTCTGCCTTGAGCAGTTTTCTATCTTCTTTAGACCATTGTCCATTCTGCTTCGCCTCCCTCAGGTTCCGGATGTGCTCTGTAAGTAGAGTTGAAAGATTCTCCACTGTGCACTTGGTGCATTTCTTGTCGTCGACGAGTTCGTTCAACGCCGATGATATAGCGTGGATAACTTCCCGTGTCTGTGACCTCTGCAGCTCACGATCGAGAAGTGGGGTCTTGCTAAGACCATGGCTCATGCAGGGCACTTTCGGGCTTGTACTAGCCAGTCATCGATAATCAGCTTGATCGGTCGGGAATACTAGTTTTGTAAAGAGTTTCGAAAACCTACCTCTGGTGATCCTTTTCATCACTCTCCATGCAGTCAACAGAGATCAAGGTTTCAGGCTTGATGTCCATAGTGTTGAGTTGGGTCTTTTGTAAGCTTTGGCGATTGAGAAGTATAGCTGTGTGCGTATGGCTGTCCAGATTTTGTCTCTGTATGTGATGAAACTTCTGACTTACCAGAATCGAAGTGCCTTTTATATTTCTGTTCCAGGATTATGTTGTATACTTCGTTCGTATTGCTTGAAGGCAGTAAAGTCCGGTATATCCGAGCTATACCCCATTGGGTCGGCCGACCGAGGAAAATGTCCGATAAACTTCGGGGTTGCCTTTACTGTCCATAGCCATGGAGTGTTTGAAGATGAGGGTTAGAGAGTGTGGTAGCTTCTTCCTGCCAACGATGCCAGACAAGCTGTGAATTGATAGACGTAGTTGTTGGTCACTAGGCAGCCGTCACCGTATGAGCCGCACTTTTAACAGCCGCCAATTTTGCGGGTATTCTGATAGTCGTGGTAAGTTACTGACGGAGGTATCTTGAATATAATCCATCGCAAATCTAGCGTACACAGCTCATTCATTTACCGTAATTTGTCGAGACTGAAGAAGAGTAATGATTTCCTCTTTATTCTTGGGAATTCGAATAAACTCTGCAGCATCTAAAGGTGGCTCGCCATGGTATTGTTTGCCTGTGGATCGCGCCGTAGGGTCTGCGCCCGCGTCCAGGAGTATTCTGACAAGATTTGGGGATTCACTGGAGACGGTATAGTGTAAAGGAGTACGGATTGCTCCTTCGCTAGCAGAAAAGAAGTCTTCAAAGACATTGTAATTCCCAAATAAGTTCCAACTTTTAATTCCGTGCCTCCTCGCTGAACGGCCATAGTGATAATGTATACGTTGGCCTGAAGTTTAGACTAGCTAGGTTTCGGTGGATATCCAGAGCAATTCATCACTTATTATATCCCTTCTGACTTCCGTCTCCGAGTCTCGCGACACTTTGCTGAATCTCCGTCGTGACAGAAATTTGAATATCTTGCTCCTCGTTCAAATTCCCTTCTCGTTGTGTACCCGATTGCAAAATTTCCTCTTGGCTGTGGCTGTCTTGTTGACGTAGTTGGCGCTTTGTATATCTGAGCTCGAGGGGAACGTAGCTGAGCCTTTCCGAGTCCTTTCGAGTAGATCCTCTAAAGAGCCATGGAAACACGAAGCTTAGTGGCCGGCGCATTATAGGAAGACAGGCACATATTATTCCCATGTTACATTCCACAAGAGTCCAGACTGAGCGTGGGATGAAGTCCCCTTTGAGGGAAACCTGATTAGTAATTCGTCTTTCAAGCTTGAGGAATTTCAAGGGTTCAGGGTACTCACAGCTCTGGTCTAGTCCAGTCGAGGTTTGAGATACTGCCACCGTGCGGAGGATACTAGTCACACAGACACTGTCGCAAATTAGGCTTCTGTTCAACACAAAAGCCAGATGATGCCAGATAAAACTTACAAAGCCCCAACACTGAAGACACAGAACAATCCAATCCGATCGCGTCTTGAAAGCTTTAGGTAGCAGAGTGGAGGAATTGGAAGAATGGCGATTAAAAAGTCCGTAACCGTGTTAATCGCCGCAAATGCGTACCACCAACTATTTTTATCCACGCATCTCTTTTTTGTGATGTTTTTGTTCCACGAGGCTTCAATTGGAATGCACTGAAATATCGTGACCAAGACTGATGCGATTGTCCAAGTGGTGATGAAGATTATATATATTTTTCCGACTCGTTGGAAGATTTCCGTGATGAAGATTCGGAGATATAAAAGGACGATTGAAGCTTTCGTAAAGCCAAGTGCGATTTTGTAGGGTACCTGGGCAATAAAGAACCACTGCTAAATTGTAAGAATCTTGATTGAGGGTGTCTTCGATATCAACCACGTACCATAAGAGCTGCATGCATACTGTCTCCCATATCCGCTTTGTGCCTACCATAGCCATGAACCACAGCTGGAAGAAAGGGATCAGCTGGCACTCCAGTATGTAGGCTTCATGCAATTCACCCCTTTGTGTCAAATCGAGATATATATCGACTTACCCATATTGATAGTAGTTGTTGTCATGACCGATGCCACCAGGGCGATGACAAGAAAAAGGTCATCCCAACCGAGCTGTCTCAAATGAACCCTCGTCGCTAGACGAATGGCAACAAAAATCGCCGCAATTAGTACCATGACCACTGCGGTGATATATAGTTTGTAGCCCCGATCGGGGATACCATCCACTGTTTGACCATAGAACACCATATCTTGAGCACCATTGTTGTGAGGCCAGGCCAAGTGGAGTTGTAGGTACTAGCAAGTATGCGGGGTGAGAGATCCCCTTTTCCTTTATGGGGTTCTCGAGTCATTGAAGGATTTGCGCGTGCTAGTATGTTGGTTGGTTATTTGATGCGACCTCGAACGGACCCCGTCGGGGGCCAATTCCAGGGATTGTTATGAACTTGAAACGGCATTAACAACCCTTGATCTTGTCACCACAAACCGTCTATGGCTTGCGCGGCTTGGTTGCCCCACTTGGCGTTCATGTACCCTGTCGGCACTATTTTAGATTCATTGATGGATTTCTCATGCCTGACTCCTCTCTCGCGCTCTGTTCCCCTATTCTTCTTTAACATCGTGTTCAATTGCGTCTCTTGTAGAACGGAGAATCATGAAGGTAGCCTGGCTGGCCCTCGCAGCAGTTGCTGCCGCACAACAGGCCTACGTCGGATCAGGTGCAGTCATTCAGGGACATAACGCATCGCAGAACCCCAGTGTTACAGAATGGCTAGGGGTTCCCTATGCGCAGCCACCGATCGGCCAATTGCGATTTGCACCGCCCCAGACTTACACGCCCAGGGGCTTACAAGTTGCCTCGAAATATGTATGATCACACTGTCTTCTCCTGGTTATTCCTATAAACCTAGTTTTCACCATACGATTCTCGAAATTTTCGTGAATGAGTTTCTAACATTGGTACTTTATAGGGAAAGTGAGTGCTCTTATTGAGTGATGGGTTTGGCTCATAATTAATGAAAAAGTACAGCCAGTGCATGTTTTCGGTGTCAAAGCTGGTCGACTATCCTGATAAAACACCGCAATTTGACAGCATCTTTGAGGCCTTTGCGGCCATCAACAATCACACCCAGAGTGAAGATTGCTTGACTCTGAATATTTGGTCAAAGCTCAACTCGAGTAAACTCAAACCGGTCTATGTTCATTTCTATGGTGGTCGTATGTTTTACCTCCGTTTTATTCCCTGGATTGGTCTTGATCGAGTCTGTGTTTTTAAACTCGGTGCATATTTCTGACATCTGAGACAGGATGGACAAGCGGCACGACGAATACTCCATTCTATTATGGAGGTGGATTTGCCGAAGCCGAGGATGTGATTGTTGTGACGGTCAATAATCGCATGAACATCTTCGGGTTCCCCGGTCTGCCTGGACACCCCCTAACCTGGGTCTGCTTGACCAACGGTTGGCAGTTGAATGGGTTAAGCAAAACATTCGTGGATTTGGCGGTGACCCAGAGCGCATCGTCATATCTGGGCAGTCTTGTGGAAGTGCTTCTGTTGACTACTGGGCATATGCCTATCAATCTGAACCTCTGGTTGCTGGTCTGATCTCGCATTCCGGCACAGCCCTCAGCTTCCCAACCAACAATAAGACAACTGCTGCACAGCATTGGTATACAGTTTCTGCTCAACTAGGCTGCGGATCTTCGGGCGATGTTCTTTCTTGCATGAGACAACAGAATGCGACTGCAATTCTCACTGCTGCCAGCGCGGTGAAAGTTCCAACTACGAACCCTGCTAGGAAAGCTCCGGCTTTCCAACCCACTGTGGACGGCATCACTGTTTTCGAAAACTATACACTACTTTCGCAGCAAGGAAAATTTGCCCGCATCGTAAGTTGGCTCCTAAAAATTCCAAACACGAATTCATGAGGTTTGTTGATGCTAAGACGCCCCATTCCCTGCGCAGCCTTACTTGGTCGGACACAATGCAAACGAGGCGGGATTCTACAAGGTCTCAGCCTACGCACAGGGCTCTATACTGACAGACCAGCAATGGGACGACTTCAATATGCAAACTTTCTTCTGTCCATCTAACCTCGAAGCCTCAGACCGAAGTCGCCGACACATACCGACCTGGAGATTTCAATACAACGCGGACTGGGACAACACCCGCCTCTACCCCACGAGTGGAGCATATCACGGTGTAGAGTTTAACATGATATTTGGCGAGTCCGCTGAAATCACTGGCATTGCTGAGTCTGATGCGCAGTACCAGCTGCAGGACAAGATGCGGTCGGCTTGGGGAGCATTTATTGCTGACCCGCAACACGGTTTAACAGCCCTGGGATGGCCAACTTATAATCCACAGGGTAAGTTATAAGAAATTGGACTGGGACTTTTTACTAATAATATTTTTCTAGCCTCGACCCTTGCCGAGATAGGTCTCAACAATGACCCCAGTGTGTCTTTTGCAGGAACCAAGGACTCCGCGCAGCGATGTGCGACACTACTCGCGCAACTATAACTCGATCCTGTACTGCCGATATCACTTCCTCAATGTGTGTAAGCATCAGGTAGGACTTCATGTCATTGTATATAATCTTTCCACGTGAAACTTGTCCAGACGTACAAAGAATCAGATTTGTGAAGCGCCGACTGCATGCATGAAGCTTTGACGAAAATTTCTTGATTTCCAATGATGACCATTCAAGGCTCATATGGAAGCAGTTCGTACGAAGAAGATGTTTGGTCTTTGGCGAGATTCAGAACGCTCGATCAGATATCTGTAGCCTTCAACATATGAAGGCCCTTAGGGAAAGCTTTGAGAGCCTTTCTTGGTCTGGGTGGCTGGAATTGAATCCGATCAAATTAAGCAGGCATTACATATCGAATATCAGTTTATCTAGATTCCAGTAATCAATGGCTGGGCCTCAGACTGCGTATTCCTCCAACTGCGTCCGATTTTGGTTGCGAGATACGGTACATGAATCGGGATCGTGGATTCCAAATTCCGTTGCTCATCGGCACGGCTATAAAAAGCATTTGCCGACCCACCAAATTCCCGGTCATGCGTGAACGTACCACTTCCCACAATGAACACCTCTGAAAAGCCTGCTGAGATGAGCACCTGGCATCTAGTTGGGCTTGTATCTTCATTTACAGATATCAGTCTAGATGACAATGGCTGCAAAGTTTTGCCAGGGTGCAAGACTATGAGCATCCCCAAGTCACAGAATGCCGACCAAGCGAGAATGAACCGAATTTCAGATCTAGATGATCAAGTGCTGGTGTTTAAATTTAAAGGGTTCATCCATGCAATCGATAATGTGTGTTAAATATAGGTCTTATGAGCTTCCTAAGGTTTGAATGCTGATCGTCTCTAGCAATGTCCACACTCATCCTTCCCACTGAAGCAAGGCAACGTCTTCGACATCGAAGACCTTGGAAACCCCAATGGCGCCGGCATCAGATGTTTTAGGCATGGATGGAGGTTCGATCTATTTACTGGAAAGGCAGACCGCGGCAATCATGAGCTCAATCTATGGGATATTAAGCTACGGGATCCTCTAACCAGTGAGAATGGAGACGTCACTACGATTTCAGATAAGGAAGTCTGGGTGAGGCGAGCAGTGCAATCCTAATTTGAAAATACGCTTTAAATATCTGCTTCTCATAATGTGTAATCTCCAATTTGCGAATGATCTCGCCCCCTGCCATCAACAACCGCACAACTTTATTCCCTCGGGGAAGGGAAATTGTGGCTGGAGCCCCTTTGTGTTCAAGCTCTATGGAGGCATAACTTGCCATTCGGAGCCTGCAAAGATTGGAATTTCGCGTGCAAAAACACATTCCTTAAGCGACAGACCTAGTAAGTTTGATTGATGGGTCAGGTGTCTTGGCCGTGAGACCAACATTGCCATCCAAAGAACTGTCGCAGTTCGTTATGCACGTCTATCGAAGAAGGATATGTATAATTAATTCAGATCCGTCTTGAAGAGACTAGTCACTAATTCGCGGTACTTTTCGATTTTCCAACATAAACCGAGTCTTACAACCTCAAATGTAGGATCGAACGGAGTATGCTGATAGACCCATCTGCCTAACCGAATGTTCTTGTCGTCAGTCTCGGAGTCGAACATATGGATGATTTGCTAGAAGATCTTTTATACGGATTCAAAGAGTTAGTCAAGTGATCGTACAGTGACAGCAAGGGTCTCTATACTCTTTTGTGATTATGCTTGGGTTTCACATGATCTAGCGTGCTCTATGATCAGCAAAGCCTGGATCTAGTTGATTTGAGGAATAAAAAATCATGATCCTGAAACTGGAGATTTACATTATTGGTCGCTCCTTCTGTGATAGTACTAAGGATATGGAGATATCCGAGAGTAACGCGATTCCCAAGGAACGCGTCTGGCTGTTGACAAGCCGAGCTATACTCATACGCGCCTCTCAACGCCTCTTCCTCCACCTCAAGTTTTCCAAGCTCTCTATCTCTTACGTGCATCATCCATATTTTCGTTGCTTTGTTTCTCCCAACGATAAATCTCACAATACCAATACTAAGAACGTCTCATTCCTATCAAAATGCCGGCCCCCAATCCATCTACCAAGCCTACCGACGAGGAAGATCCCGAGATCGACTATCTTCCTTTGAAAGGGATCGAAAAACTTGAACGCTACCGAAATGGTGGATATCATCCTGTGATAATCGGTGACATATTAGGAAAACACTATCGTGTCGTTCACAAGCTCGGATTCGGAACATACTCTACAACCTGGCTAGCCATCGACACAACCACCAACCGCTACGTTGCAGTCAAAGTCGGCGCTGGCTACTCAAGCCCGATCGAAATGGAGGTGATAAGATGTCTGCAAACCTCATCTTCCATCGAAGCCGGTACAATCAAATCTGTGATTCCACCTGTCTTCGACGCATTCGAAGTCGATGGGCCTAATGGCAAGCATCCTTGCTATGTGACTGTCGCAGCGGCAGCAAACCTGGAGCGCGCAAAAGCAAATTCGCGTAAGGCATTGTTCCGGCTTGATGTTGCTCGAGCAATGGCAGCGCAACTCGTTATTGCTGTTACACATGTTCATGAGAAGGGGTATGTTCACGGGGACGTGAACTTGTCGAATGTGGTCCTTCGGTTGCCATTTAATATGGACGAACTTTCTGTCGAGGCTGTATACGAGAAATTTGGAGAGCCGGTGCACAGGACCGTTGAACGCATGGACGAGAAGGCATTGACTGCCGTGACTCCAAAGGAGTGCGTCGAACCAATCTGGCTGGGGAAGACTAGCGACGAGATTACACTCCCCGAGGCCAGGATCATGCTCATTGACTTTGGAGAATCGTACATCCCTTCACTGCAAGCACGCCACGAGTCAAATGCCCCTTCGGCTTACGAGCCCCCGGAAGCCCTATGGAACAAACGGACACCATTGACGTTCTCTTCAGATATATGGACACTGGCATGTTCATTGTGGGATCTAGTGGCATGGTTCCCATTGTTTAAGAGCTACTTCTCGGCACAAGACAATATCACAGCTGAGCAGGTTTCCATCCTGGGAAGATTGCCTCCTGGATGGTGGGCTACATGGGGAAGAAAGTTCGATGCTCGCCGTCGACGATTCGATCTGGAAGGAAAACCAATGGAGGCAGTCCGGTACCCGGACATGGAAACACGATTTGAACATGCGGTACAGCAGCCACGACGGGACAGGGGTATGGAGGCAATGGGCGATGAAGAGAAAGAGGCTTTCTTCTCAATGCTTCGATCAATGCTTGTGTTCCGCCCCGAGGAGCGTGTCACTGCTCAACAAGTTCTGGAGTCCGAGTGGATGGCGCGGTGGGCTCTTCCTGAGTTTGAGAAGGTCCGGAATCACCAAGTTGAGGAGGACTGTGAAGTTTAGTCAACCAGAGAGAGCTTCCTGGTTGTCGCGCGGACGTGTAAACTTATTATGTACGGCGTGACATTTACCTGACAGATTAATGAATGATTCTACATGATCTTGAATTCTATTGTGGTATATAGTAGCTATACATGGTACCAACCCCGTGGGTCGAGGACTTGCATCTCATTGATAACGCAGAATTCACCAGGTTCTTTGTTATCAGGAGCTAATTCAGTCCAAAGTGCGATTTGATTGTAAATTTTTCTCTCCTTGAATTGCGGAAAAGTCGTCCAGCGACGTATCCGGTTCAACCACAATCCCTGCAGGATTACCCTAGGGGTCAACCAATTCAAAGTGGGATTCACAGCCACATATGCAGCAGTGTTGTAGCCAACGCGTACACGAGGATTGAGATAGACTCCATGTTGTTCTGAGAGCGGATTATCTGCGTGAATGAGGCAGCATTCAGAGCCCTCGAGGTGAGAAGTGGCCAGTGAGTCTGGGATACCCCGGAATCGAAGGGGTGGGCTTGCCAGGAAAGGCGCAGCAGGCATTGCAACTGTATTAATGTTAGCCAGTGCTTAGATAGGTAGTTAAATTGAGAAGTACATACCCATTCCGTTCCAGCAACTTTTCACTGGTACAGGTAGCAAGTTCTTCATAGCATAACGCGAGGAGGCCTCGCGAAAGAAAGGCCAAGTAGGTATTACAGCCTCATGGCCATGGGAATCTCGGAGAGCAAATGTGTCATAATAGTAGGGCGGCTTCGAGAAATCCAATGAGCATGCAGCAGCATAATCTCCATCATTAGTATCAAGGAGCTCAAAAACATCGTTTGACTAAACCATTTCAGTTAGCTCATCAATGCTACTTTTAAGATCTCGAAGTCCTGTCATGAAGCCTACGAACCGTGAAAACGACATCATTAAGAAACAATATCTTATCAAAATGGATCCCCTGTTTTGCTAGCTCATGCAACGGTTCCAGACTGTAATTCCGCACTCGCGACAGATAGGGAATCCGCCTGAGCTCCTTCTTCCCTCGTGGCGTCACAACCCACCCCTCGCCTTCAGGTGGTGCGGCTATTTCATCCTCGTGTGTGATATGTGACAGAGTGATATTCCGTGGTACATTGAGCCGATCAAGTTCCGCATCAAGCTCGACCAACGCACCCTTGGTATTATCATAGCTGCCACTTTCGTAGATGCTGATATATACGTTCTCCGGCCCCAATTTCCAGGAAAGCTCAGTGATGGCTTTGCTTAGGTGACTTCGTAGAATGTATTCATTATTCCAGTTGACCATCGCAATGTATATTCTTTCATGGCGGCGGGGTTGTTCGCGGTAGACGATGTCCGTTTCGGAGATGCGGCGCAGAATGAGGTGGAGCTCGACGAGATTCCATGCTATGAAGAGGATGAGTAGAGAGCGAACGATGCGATTTCGGACCAGCGTCCGGCGAAGGGTGCGTGGATAGGAGGTCAAAGGATTCTTCATAAGGAGGGGACGTCGCAAAGTGCGACAGGGTGGTTAGCTAGACTGGGAATGATTCAAGATGTGGAGTGGTATTGCATATTGGAGTGGATGTTTGGTCGGATACGGCCGGATAGAAGAATAAGGAGAAGAAAGAGGAGAATGCTTTGTGCCTAGAAAATGCCCAGACATCCAAGACTTGGAGTGTGCGTGTCAAAGGCGTAGCAATTCAAGGGGTAGTCCCAAGGTTTAACGAAGCCCTTCATACTTCTGACGCCCAATCAAGGGCGATGGATGAGATCAGATCTACAGTATAGAGCTGACGATCCTGTCACTTCATATCCTGTTGACCTGATGAGAATAGAGCTTTTGATTAAACCATCCTGTATATAACTAGGCAGACATGCAAAGAAAATAAAAAGGGTGTCTCCAAATAATAATAATAGAAAACGGGGTCAACAAAATCAAGGGGTAAATAGACTCGCCGCGTCATCACAGCGCGTGGAGAAACGCGCCGAAAACCATCCCCACGGTCGCGAGAAGCATCACCGACTTCTTCTTCTCACTTGTCACAGCCACTCCTGCACTGGTCTTGGTTGACGACGCGCTCGATGCAGAGCTGGTCTCAGTGCTCGCACCATCCTGAACCCAGGGTTGTCCTGGCAGCGTGTCGGAGCTCTTCTCAACTTCTGCTTCGCTGAGGACTTTGTTCTCCAACGAGGCACAGTCCACCCGGTCGGAGCTCTCCGAGATGCTATTCGTCACCGAGATAGGCAAGTCAAACACCGTATAATAATCCGTGCCATTCCAGCGAAAAGACTGGTGTATGGAAATGTTGTACGCGCCGCGGGCCGATCCATCGCTGCTCGTGCCGTCGCCAACGAGGCACTTGGGCCATACCCAGTTGACATGCTTCACCGTGGACGATGGTTCCAAATCCAACACGGGTCCAACATAGCCAGTGCCATTATTCTTTGGCTCGGTGCCATTGGAGATGGTGAAATTGTGCGACAGAGTTTCGGAGGTCAAGAAGAGAGTGATGTTGTGGAAGAGCGTCGGCGAGTCTGCGGATTGGGTGGAAGGTGGCCAGGGAAGCTTGCCATTTCCCGAGACATCGATCGCGACCTGAAGGTTGTCTGGGCATTCGCGTCAGTTCTTATTCTATCCGAGCACATTCGACAGGTCGGCTTGCCTCCTCCCAGCGGCGTGTTTGGTTGTGGGGCGTCGATGATGGCCAAGCCTGGAGTGTACACTTGGCCGTTGACGATGGTGAAGTTGCCCATGACAGTGGGAATTGTCAAGACTGGCAAGAGAATGCTGCTCAAAAATGACTTTCAGCCTTCCAAGGGTATCGAGCTCTCATAAAAGAACCATCATCTGCCCCCAAGCGGGCCTCTTTTTCGGCTTCATCAAAAGCTGTTGCGACGGCGCGCCAAGGGTCTCATTTCCGGCCCTCCGCGTTCTCCTTAGCGCTTTTGGTTTAATTTATTCGGTCATTTCGGCTACCATTAGCGCAGGGTTCCTAGACCCTGCATGGAAATTCACAATCAAAGGTGTTCAAAAGGGTAACAAATAATCAAACAGCTAGGGAGAATAAATGTGCTGCCTAGTGGACTCTCCCACGCAGAGACATCCACCCTGTGAGAATCTGTTCAGCTGCGAATCATACTGACTAGGCCGACAGATCGAACAAGATCTCCTGACCTCGATTTTGTGACACTTCCCTTCTATCACACCATCAAAGCTCGAAGACACAGAGTGCAAAGTTCGGGTTTCCGACCGTGACGAACATATCTCGCAAGTCTATATGACGGATCTCAAAAGCAACACCGTGCAACTGGCCACACTTGCATCGATAGAATCCCTTGAACAAATCCAATATTCCCAAGTCTTGGTACATGCAGTAACTATATCTTTGCAATCGTATCGGAGAGAGACTCCATATTTTCTAAGTAGTAATCAAACTCGGTTTTGACTTTCTCCATGTCCTCATCAATGTCGTCTGTCCATCGATGGATATATATTATCCTCAGTCCAACATTTTGAGCACCTCGCAGGTCGTAGGCATGGGCCGCAACTAACACCACCTCCTCTGGTTGAAGCTTCACCAGTTGCAATGCCTTCTGGTATGCCTCGGGAGCTGGCTTGTAAACACCCAGGAGCTGGCTGGAAAACAACATGTTGAAATTCAACCCCGAAGAGCGAGTGAGATCAAGTTGGAGACGAGTCGTGCCATTGGCATGAACGAAAACTTCCAATCCAAGATCCTCTTGAATGCTTCTAATTGCCTGTTGTACTTCAGGCCAAGCTGGTTGTGAATGCCACGCTTCGACAAGTCTCTCTTTGGCGTCTGTGTCGAGTTGAGATTTAACATCTTGGAATTGTTCAAGAACTGAGTCGAGCACTCGAGCGAGTGTTATGTCGATGTCTTCAGGAGCAAGGCCCTGGATGTAACGCTGGTTATTTGCGATGAAATACTGCTTCCGCCATTCGAGAGCTAGATCGGATGCAGTTTTGTTGTTTATTGCCGGAGGGAAAGCTTGTACCACACTGCTATGCCAGTCTAGACATGTGCCCATGAAATCGAAAAAGACTGCTTTGATTTTGCTGTTATGTGTAGTCATGATTGTGTTTATCCGTATTCTAGATTGGTGATTTTGTCTGTAACAGGTGTTCTTTGGCACAAGAATTCGCACGCAAGATGTGCCTATCCGGCAGAGTATTCTTTTATCTAGCAGAGGAGAACCACATTGCATGGGCGGAACGATATTTATAAGCGACTGCTGATAAATCCAGAAGGATGATCTCATTGCGCAATAGATCAACTCACAGCCTTGCTATGGATAGGAGTAAGCACAGGAGAAGTGTCGTATCCATAAAGCGTAGCTGATACCTGATTGGTTCTTATATCTCACTCCAGATACGGGGCAAATTCTGGCTGTCTTGGAAGAATTACCTCAAGAATCCCAATATTGGGCCTATAAATAACAGTGAGCCTATATTCCACCATTCTTTACACTGGTTAAGTGTAACAATGCAGACAAACAGCTCGACTTGAGCAAGCTCATGCTGCCATTTCGCGCCGACGATGTACCTTGTACCCCATCGGTACAGCGCTTCGGCTCCACTTCCCCGCATGGAATCCCTCTTCCACATCATTTTCTCCAACCCGAACCGAACTTGATGATCGCCGCTCTTCCTCGCAATCATAATACCCCTTAGTGCCAGATTTACGAGGTAGATGGCTTCGGAATGGCACTGTACTACATGTCTCGCGACATTCAGTCGGCCCGAGCATCTGAAACGGCACACGGCTGCACGTAAGTGTCTTCTTCGGAGATAAACGTCTAACTTATTGACCTGTAAAACCTTGGCAGACTCTAATAGCCGGCCGCACACTTGCATGTTCTGCAGTAATGCATTCAACAGAAAGTATTGTCCTCTCAGAATTTGAATGTGAAAAAAAATCGGTTTACAAGATCGATCCCTGACGATCGTTACTAGAGACGTACTTCGCCGCCACGAGCGGACTTGCAAATCTCGGGGGCAACATCCTGAGACGAGCATTGAAACCGTACCAGATCAAAGAGACGTCAAACGCAAGCGACTTTCTCAGAGTTCTGGATCTACTTCATGTGCCCTCGGACAGGCCGAACCTCCGGTGGAGGATCTCCCTTCGGAAAGGCACGTCGAGGACTATAGCTATGCTCTTTTTGATGACATGCTAGGTCTGCCTGACGGCGCCTCAGTCAACATGCCTTCGCCTCTAGACTTTTCAGCCCTGGACTTTCTCTTGTTCCCCCGCATCTCTTCAGATACATTTGCGGCAGAGAAACTTGAATATATGGCATACTTTACAAGTGCTAGGGGAATGTCAACATTCACTGATCGCCCGTCCTTCCTTCGGCGCCAGAAAATGGCAGCCGAAGCCTACGATAAAAAACTCCTACATGAGGAAAACTCACAGCCAACCCAATCACTTCTTGGCAAGGACGATTCCGGAGCACTTACTGAAACCGATAGTGATCGACTTGCATCAAAATCGCGCGAGATTGTTGACAGCATTCGATCGATCTCCTCCAGCAAAAGGAAAGAAGATTCGATCACCGTGGAATGGTCGCCAATAGCATTAGAAAGATGTTTGAAATTTTTCTCCCCTCCAAACATCCGTCGCTTTCTAGCATACTTCTGGTCGCTGTGGTATCCGCACTGCCCGATCGTTCATAAACCGCTCTTCGATGCTTCTTCAGCTTCACCATCACTATTGTGTGTTATGCTCATTATCGGAGCCTGTTTGTCTCCACGGGAACGGGATATGGAAGATGCACGGGAATGGATGGATACTGCCGAAGAGCTTGTTTTCAGTCACGAGTGTTTTCGAGGCGAGGCGATAGCAGGTCAAGTGACGAAGCTATGCATGAAAGAGAAAGTACAGTGCCTACAGGCTTCTTATATGGTGTGCTCACTTCAGAAGCGGGAGGGGTCAGCTGAAGCCCAGGCCAGAAGCAGGCGTCATCGACATGCATCGATGGTGGCGGTACGATATTAGTTCCCCGAGACTCTGGTTGCGCCGAGGCCAAGCTGATAGACTTACAGTTAACAAGAAGTATTGGCCCCAAGACAGCATCTCACCGTCACTTGAGCTATGAGGAGATGTCAGATGGCTGGTGGAGGGATTTTGTGGAAAAGGAAGAACTCATCAGGTGAATTTCTGGCTACCGCTAGCTACCGGTTCTGAGAAAGACATGTCTCTAACATTTCTAGGACAATGACATTCATATTTCTGATGGATGCGGCGCTCACAATTTTACACAACTCGCCTCCACGAATGGTCGTTTCAGAACTAAAAATGGATGTCGCATGTCCCGAATCATGCTTCCAAGCCGAATCCGCTCAGGAGTGTAACAAGAACCTTCGCACTTGGGCCGTGACTCGTTTCTGGAAGAAGCGGATTTCCGTGGTTTCAGTTGTGAGGAGAGTCTGTCAAAGCATAATCGATGATGACCTTGTCCAAGAATACTCCTTTATTGGGACCTTTAATCTATTCACGATGGTCCAAGGTGGGTGATATCACTTTGCTTGTGAAGAAACCTACTGACGATTCCTCAGCAATCCACTCGCTGATGTTCCATCTTCACAACTCGCTTGTCTTCGAGTCGACACTTGCGCCTGTGCAAACAGGTCTTGAGAACTGGCGACGTATCTGGTGCGAGAGAGTTCCGGAAGATCTCGGGTTGCCAGACACGCCAGAGAATCTATGGAAGCAGGTTGGGTTTCTCCGCCAAGCCTCTGAGTTCTGGCAGTTGGCTAGGATCATGGCAGACGAGATTATGTCAACTACGAACGGGTGTGAGGATGAAAATGACGAGGAGGAAGAGAGAAGCAAAGCTCTTTCTCGATATGACCATACAGATATGGGTGATGTGAATGGGCTGATCATGCAGTATCGAAGATTGAATCTTGGTGTGAGCTAATGATTCTGCTATACAATAAATGCTAGATTTTTTCATGCCACTACCCCTTTTGTCCGTCTCTGAACCTTGACCTCGAAATCGGTGGGTTTCACAAACCAGGCGTTCCGGGTGGTCCAGTTCTTTCTCAAGGGGGTAAATTCGAAATCCCGAAGAAGACGCGGGATCAACTTTGACATCTCCAGAATGGAGATATGCTTTCCTATGCACGTTCTAGAGCCCAATCCAAACTAATATAGTGAATTTAGTCACTGGGGCGGCTTCACGGTTAGGGTAGATTGTTACTTACCGGCATATACATCTGGTTCATTTCTTTCAACTTATCAGGCTCGCTTTCTGCTTCCAGCCACCTCTCGGGTCGGAATTCCTTTGCGTTAGGGAAGACCCGCTCGTCATAGTGTGCAACCCAGGTATTGACCCCGACAATGGTGCCCGCGGAGAAGAATTTATCACCAATCTGAGCTCCGCCAGCTGGAACTACTCTCCACATTGGCAAGCCAGTCGCACTATGCATTCGCAGTGCTTCCTTCATGACAGCTTGGAAATAAGGCATATCCTGGCTTTCCTTGAAGCTTATCTTTCCATTACCCTTTGCCGTGAAGTCGTCAATCTCCGTAACCAGCTTGCGCAGGGTATCCGGATTCTGCAACAGATACCACATAATGCCTGACAAACTAATAGCAGTCGTGTCCGATCCGGCCGTCACGTTCGACTGACCCATGATGAAAATATGATACTTGGTGACCTTCTCGGGGTTGGTTTCGTGCGCTATCATCAATTTCTCCAAAAAGTCTTGCGTTCGAAGATTCTCCGGTGCTTCAGGATCAGGTCGCTTTGCTTCACGCTTTCGAATCTTTTCTTCGACGAATTCGCGAATGTAGGTTCTTCCGCCAGCACCGGACGATTTGATCTTGCTGAGTAGGCCAAAAAGACGAGGGTGCCATTCGGGATAGATTCCCACGAGGCTACTATACATCATTACCTTGTGCACGGCTTCGATGGCTCCATCTATGTCGTCGCCTCGGTCCAAGAACCCTAGAAGGATTAGCGAGTAGGCTTTGACTGGGGAAGGTGGAATAAAACATACCGAACCGCTCGCCAAACGTGATATTTCCAATCACATCGAATGCGTAACATTGAAACCAGTGTCCAAGATTAAAAGTCTTCTTGTTGTCGGCAAATTCGTTGAGGCGATCGGTGAACAAGTCTGCACAATGATCCACAAAAGATTCGTAGTGAACAAGCGAGCTCATAGAATACAAGTTGGTGAATCGCTTTCGAGTGTCGCCTTCAACCATGGTCAGCGAACATATTGCAACATGCTAGAAGGCTGAGATTTGGCTCACCATGTCGCTTGATATCACGATCCGCAAATAAGTTCCATAGCTGTGGATGCTTCCAGCCATCATACCAGGCTGACTTGGCGAACTGAGAACCGGTTCCATAGACAGTCTTAATGGCAGAAATGTCGCTGATACTATACTGATTTGGTGCGATACGGACAATGGGACCGTACTGCTGATGCAGTTTGATATTTTCATGCTCAAACTGCCCCTGACGCACACGGCTAAAATACCATAACGAGGTGAACCTAGTCCAGAATGGACCCGGGATATCTTTTAGAGGAGAAAAGAGAGCCCCACCGAGCCGTAGGAGAAGCTGGAGGACCAGGAAGAGAACAGGAAGTATGAAAACGAGATATGCATGCATCTTGACAGGAATAGCATACAAAATTTCAGGTTAGAGTGTGTCCATACTATTTTCAAGACTCAAATCAGTTCTTATACTCCCATTTTTGGGGATACTTCAGCATGGGAAACCGCCACCCCCAGAGATCCACCCCCACCCCCACCACCACTTGCTCGGAGTCAGGCGTGCCCTGCGTCAGTGCTTTACTGGAGATACTATTGGTCTCTCGGGCCATCCGGAGCCTGATAGTTATCAGTCGGAGGAGTTGATATGCTAAGCTTGTGCTTGGGGATGCTGTAAGACTTTAGCCTCTCCACACCTGCGTCATTCGCAATGGCTATGATTGGGAATCAGCGAGGAATAGAAACCGATGGGGCCAATGGATTCCACAGATAATATCAGTATTCAGTGATATTCCTAAGCTATCTAGGCTGTGACCCAAGCGAGTGGCCTGAAAGTTCCTCGGCAGCTATAGGGAGAATAGCCCTTGGCATCAATGATAGAACGTCGTCCCAGGTTTAAAGAGGAAAGAATAGCTCGCGATTTATTCATTTTGTACAGCATAGTAATTAAATCATTCAGAAATGAAGATGATCCCACAAGCAACCACTGTTCACCATAGCGCCAAAGCAGAGAAATGGGAAAGGACCAGGAAAACAAAGGAGATCCGTTGATCATGGCTGGCTGGAAACCAGTCCACCAGACACCTCTACCCAAAGAGTAGACATCTACGTCGCATCGCCAAATTTACTTCTTATCTCCCCACAGACCGACGACTCCCACCGACAAAGCAACTCCCGCCAACCAGGCCCTCGCCCGTTGTAGCCGACGTTCCTTGTCCATCTCGCGCCGGACGCTCTCGCCATTTACATCATCCTCGGCCTCGACAACCACGAGATCTTCATCCTTCTTGGCTGAGGACGTCTTGCACAAAGAGACGCAGGTGGTATCGTAGATGACGCTGGAGAACCAGTTCTTCAGGCCCATATGACGGTTGAACCAGAGGTCCAGACCATAGGAGCTAACGGTCGACGCGACACACATCCAAACGAGGAAAGGATGTTGACGGCGCGGGGGGAGAGACGCAGTACGCGAATAGAAGGCAGGTATTGGCAAGACTGGAGAGTCGCAGCGCATGCTTGCGGTTGAGGCGCTTCACTTCATTGAGGCAGCGGGAGGCAGTGGAAGAGGTCGGTAGGAGCTGGAGGGAGGGGATGGTGATGGTGGCAGTGGAGTATGATAGGCCCTAAAGGATTTGATCGAGGATAATCAGTATGCGACCGCATTAAACATGGAGCTTTTGCAGTGGTTCTTTGCTTACCGTCAGCAAGCCGAGCGAGACCGTGCCGACGAACTTGGAGATGGTGATGGGGCAGGCCATGACGTCGTTGATAGAAATGGGCGACCGGCCAGAATTGAGTCGAGAAGAACGCGCAGTTGGTTTGGGAATTGGATAGCGGGCGGCTCAATGGATACGTCGAGATGGTTGAAGATGGAGAGAAGATCTTGAAGTCTAGAAAGTCTCCGGGGTGGAAGTGACGTGCACGCGCCATCCAATCAGCGACCGCACGTTCTTCATCAAGGCAATGCGCTGGCTAGACAACTCTAGCTAATGGCATATTACGAACAGGTCTTGACAATCAAGGTCCTTATTCCAAATTATAGTATAGTAATCCCAAAAGAATAGCATTTCACTGTTCACTGTCCAGAGTTTTGCTTAGGCGTTGGTAGTCGCACATGTCTACTACCCATTTGATACATATAGCACCTTGCTACCCCAGAAAGTAGGAAAGAGGAGTGTGGGCATCGTTCCCATTGGCTTTACGAGTATCCATTTCTTATTATTAACTTTTCGATGGTAGATGTGCAGTGAATTTGGTGGATTAGCTCTATCATAATATTCGGCACATCCAGCTTTAGTTCCGACCGAGCCGAGGCCCAACGTTGGCGTGTGGGGAGAAGGCGACGGAGCTACGCTGGCCTCCGCAAATTCCAATATATCATCTCTCGATTCAGCAGCCTCTTTCTGCATGATATTTCACTGACTCTGCTTGAAAATTCGCCTAATAACGCACTTCATCATGCCTCTACCCAAAACTGAGTACATTAGCGACATCTGGAAGGATGGCATCTTCGGTAGACCTCCCCCCTTCGGCCATGTCCGAACTCGCAATGACTGACTCTTTTTGCCAGCCAACAAGGTCGTCTTCTGCACTGGTGGTGCAGGCACTATCTGCAGTGCCCAGGTTCGCGCTCTGGTTCACCTTGGAGCCAATGCGTGCATCATCGGTCGCAATGTAGAGAAGACAGAGCGCGTGGCTCAGGATATCGCCACGGCACGCCCAGGGGCCAAGGTTATTGGCATCGGCGCCGTTGATGTGCGAAAGTTTGAGGACTTGAAGAATGCCGTCGAGCGCTGTGTCAAGGAGCTTGGTTCCATCGACTATGTCATGTACGTTTGTTCGCGAGGTATCGACACGTCCGGATTCGTGCTGTTTGTGCTAATTCTCCCAACAGTGCTGGTGCTGCAGGCAATTTCCTCGCCTCCATTGAGCAGCTCTCTGTTAACGCGTTCAAAACTGTCATGGACATTGACGTGATTGGATCTTACAACACTCTCAAGGCCACTCTGCCATACTTGGTTGAGTCTGGCGGTAAGCACAGAATGGACTCAGAAACCCGTAAGTCGAAGCCAGGCCTTCTTCTAGTTACAGCATAAATCTAACCCCAGGCACAGTCCAGCCGCTTGCTAGTGGTACCGGCGGGAGGATTGTTTTCGTCAGCGCGACTCTTCACTACCGCGGCATGCCTTTCCAAGCCCACGTCTCTGTGGCCAAGGCCGGCATCGACTCCTTGTCCAACTCGACCGCCATTGAGTATGGACCTCGGGGCGTGACTTCCAATATCATTTCCCCCGGACCCATTGCTCAAACGGAGGTGAGATTGTTTAAACAACCGTTGCCTTAGAATTGAACTGAAATCTGACGGTCATTATAGGGCTTGGAACGTCTGCTCCCATCCGACGCCAAGGCTGCCTATACCAAGTCCCAGCCTCTGGGCCGCTTCGGACACGTCCGCGATATTGCTGATGCGACAGTCTACCTCTTCTCCGATGCTGGCAGCTATGTCACCGGCCAGACTCTCGTTGGTAAGTCAACCACCGCCCCGGCGATGCATTTCAACATAGTTCAATGTGATCTAACGTGCTTACAGTCGACGGTGCGAACTGGCGGATGTCTGGCGGCTTTGCTACCAACGGAAACCTGCAATATCCTGACTTCCTTTTGTCAGGACAGGAGGTCGCCAACGTGACGGGCAAGAAGAAGTCGAAGCTTTGAGCGAGTGGAAAGTACGTGCAGCTATTTTGAATGGATAGATGCTGCGATCGTATTATCCTTGGTGGTTATCGTGCGATTTGATAGAGGCTGCATTACAGAATTACCATCAATCATTATCTGAACCGTATTAATTCACCCACCTCGTGCCTGAGCTACTTGAATGCTCACTGCTTTACTCCAAACCCGACTTGATCGCCGACCAAGGGATCCCATTTAAATAGGACATTGAGAGGAATGACTGAAAACTTAGATTCATCGCTACAGCAATATTCTCAAGCCGCCGAGCTAACCTGCCATGCCCGCTTATTCAAAAACCACTGACGTCGTCCTCGAACAACCTCAAACCCAACCTTCCGTTCTTCTGCAAGCTTCCACAACGACTCCGTCAAGAACGGCTCAAACGCATTCTTAAAAAGCTCCTCGGGGATATCTCCATGCAACGCATGAACCAGCTCTCGAGCCGTCAAGCTCTTCTTAGCATTATGATCCGTACGAGTAACCTTGGTCAAAGCATGATAAATTTGACGTTCTCGCTGCTCCTTGTGACGAATATATAGCTGAATGGTGCGTGGTAAATTGAGAATCTTGATTCCGTGCGCCGGATAGCCAAATTGACAATTTTGGCCGCGCATAATCTCTAGGCTTTTCATATATTCGCCGAGGTCTTCGGCAACACTGTACCCATGGCCGAGGACGTTGTCCCCCGTGAACATGGCGTTTTCTTCTTCGAGAATGAAACACATGTGATCTACTGCGTGGCCGGGCGTGAATACTGCACGGATAACTGCGCCTTCGGTTTCGAAGATTTGGCCGTCGTGGATGGGTTGTTGACCGGGGCTCGGCTGGTTTTTGTAGATTCGGGAGGCGAGACGGGGATCGTAGGCAATTAGGTCTGGAACTCCCTCTGTGTGATCTCCGTGCCAGTGCGTTAACAGGACGTGTGAGATTTCGAGGTCTCGTTCTTTAAGGAGTTTGGTGATGTTGGTTGCCCATACGGGCATTCCCTATCACAACATGGATCAGCATGGCTCAAATGCGGTAAACAATTTTCAGTTGCAAGACTATTCAAGCCCATCCTGCTCTCGGTATAAGTCTGCTTTTAGACTTACCTGACCAGTGTCGATGAGTATGCGGGACTTGCCCGTGCCCACAAGGTACGTGTTAGTCCCTTGGAGTTGCATTTCCCCCGGGTTGCCGCCCATGATCCGGATGACCCTGTCTGTGACATCTTCAACGTCCGCAAGATGTGGAAGGCTTTCCTCTTGCGCCGAAAGATAATCGCCCCAGACGCACTGATTGAGGGGAATGGGGTTGAGCGCCATAGTGTTCAGTAGAGAAGAAAGGCACCAGTGCACTTGGGGGTTTCTTGTTTCTTTCCATACTACCATATAAACCGGCTATGGGATTAAATTACCGTGACTTTCCATAGTAACCTTGACTCTCCGTTGTAACATCACATCGGAGTTGCTGGTGGAGGTGGCGTGGCTGAATCTCGGATTCCGATCATGGCAAAGTTCTACAGCTAAGACGGCACAACGACACAACTGAAGGATCGATGGACGGCCCAGGCCTGACTTTGATAGGGCATTGAAACATGTGCAGTAAATCTCGCTTACGGTCAGCTTATAGAGAGTATCGTGCTGCATGTGGGGGGCTCTTAAAGACAGTTGACTCAGCCAAGTAGTCGTTCAAGACGCCCTTATAATCGGACGAATGTCTCTGTTCGGTATTATTTACATTCAGACTGCACCCTTGCAGGAAGAACAACGCCTTATTTTCAGCTCATTACGTGAAAGACCCTGCTGACTTGACTCGGCCGATATATGCAAAATTTTTCATATCAAATATTGATATCTTTTCAATGTGTCTTCTCGTTGCACGCTAACCAGCAGCTTTTGAGGGGCTGATATGCTACTTCCGCGCAACCGAATCCTCGGAAAACTTTCTACTGAATATCCGACAGTTTGGATTCGCTGACAGTTACTGGTGTGACTGAAACGTCTGTGTAGGCCTAGACGCTTCTTCGGCAAAGACCAGTGACTCAGAGATATACCTGACAGGATGGAAAAGGATCGATCAGGGATAATGGGTAAAGTGGCTGTAAACCTAAATCACGAGAACTTGAATTTTTGATGACTTGAGGACAAAATTAACTTCAGCGGGTATTTCTTCTACGTTTACACAGTAATCCGGCAAGACCCTGCAGACCCTGCACCCATGACCTTGTACATTTTAGTATACGAGATATGCATTGATTGAACTTTAACTGATAACTTTGGCTAGTCTTCGGTGTAAGTTTACGAGCTTGGTATCGAAAACGAAATATATATCGTGAGTCGGTATCCGAGGATCAACCGATTCACCGGCCAAACTCGACTCAAGTGTTGTTTTGATTCAGGACCTCGAAAAGTTATCGGCATTTCCATAGTGTTAAAGCCCCAGTTGTCCTAGTGTCTAAAATATTTACCTGAAAGTCAAGGTTGCTCACTGTCCTAATCAAGCCTTCACATCTTGAGGGGCTTCATTCCCAATGAAAGTCGCGTTGCCACAAAAAAGATTGTCCCCATCGCACAACAAACCCCGCCAAAAACTATGGTATATTTGAAGGTGCCTTCTTCGTCTGTCACAATTTTGCCACCGATTGGCGATCCAGTCAAAGCCGCGAAAGCGGCGATCGAGTACGCTGCACCGGTGCGAGTGCCTATCTGCGACAAAGGGGATATCTTTGCACACAGGGCAGGCGTGAGACTGATCCCAGCTCCTGAACCCACTCCAAACAGTGCAGCAAATGTAATGATAGCAGCATTGCCGGTAGAAGGAAGCCATAGACCTAAGATCAATGCCGTAGTGAAAGCGCTCATGACGATCATCACATTGAAATGGCCCACTTTGTCTGCAACGGCATTGGGGATGGTCCGGCCGAAGATACTATATCTGTTAATTGTGACCCATGTATTGCAGGATAAGTGTGTCTACTCACCTTGCACCATTAAGAATGGGAACAAGATAGTTGGCAAGATGAGAAGACATTCCATGCGTACGAGCATGTTCGATAATAAAGGTGACTGGAACAAACATCCCCCCTACTATCACATCAGCTTAGCCCGTATAGAAAAACTCAATGTTAGCGCGAGAGACATACAAAAGAAAAAGAATATCGAAATAGTCAACAGCACAAAGGTAAGTTCCTTGAAAGGTCGCACCAAGGCCATGATCTCGAATGCGCGCTTTGTTGGTGGCGTTCTTGACCGTACAGCCAAGTTAGCGAATATCAGTAGACCCAGGATTAAAAATGCGCAGATGCGCATGGCCCACGCAAATCCAACGTCCGGAATGAGATGAATCAGTATGATCGGGAATATAACACCACCAAGTGAAGATCCGGCAACCGCCAGTCCTATGGCTGCTCCTCTTTTCGCGAGGAACCATGTTGAGACCTGGAATATGTTTAGTCTACAAAGCAAGATTGCAATATCAAGAAAATTCAAGATATCCTTACCGCTGTAAATGCAGGATAAAAAACCATTGAAGCTCCGATTGCAGAACAGACAGCCTGACTGAGCAGAATCTGGTAGTATGTTTTTGCTAGACTAGTCATCATCAGGCCGAATACGTGGAAAAAGCTCCCTGCTAGTAAGAGGGGAGCATGTCCATAGTCGTCGTATATTTTCCCAACAAATAGACCGCCAAATATCATGAAGAATACTAGCTGAATAGAAGTTTTGGAGCACGATTCAAGGGACGGGTTTGTACCGCTACTTACCTTGCAAAGAGGGAATCCAAGCAATTTCTGAAGGGCTATAATCCCTAAGTTGATGCGATTGGTAGTAGTCTTGGAATATCCCAACACAGTTCACCCAACCAAATGACACGAAGAGACATGCAGAGGCGCCGGCGACCGTTAGCCAAGCGTGAAGCCCTCCCTCGGGAAATGTGTCTTGCAATGATGGTTGCTCAACCTGAACATCGGAGGCCGCAGGAGAGATGGATCCGCTCGAGTAGCCTTTCTCGAGGACACCGTTTGATGAGGCCATACTGCACACTGTAGTGTGAAAAGACGTGTCGTTTCCCTTCTTCATAGTTGGAAGAAGCTGTGGTTGATGGAAGAAAATTATCAGGTCGTCCAGCAGGAGGCAATGGTATACTCTGCACTACCTTCGTAGAATAGCCTCACTCTCCGCAAAAGAAATTACGGGTTCAACAAAACGTAGGTGATCCCTCGGAATCCGGCTTCTCTTAAGCTATCGGTCTCAGGACCGGCCGTTCGTGTCTCCCCGAGGTCCGCAACTTCAGGCAGGCTGCTGAAACAAAGATTTAGTGGCAAAATACACGCATAACAGAGGTCGGTCTCCGAGTGGATGCTAGCATATTGACATACTGCCTTATCTAGACGATGGACGGTAGATACATAAGTGGTAAGCTTGACACTCAATATAAGATTCCATCATCTGAAACTGGAATTGAAGCAGACCACAACACACACGAAAAAAAATCTTGTTACAGTCTTTGAATATAGTTATTACTTTTGAAATAGGTGCAATGTCGAACATTCCAGATCAGTGCGATGTGCTTATCATCGGTGGGGGTCCAGGCGGTGCATACTCGGCGTGTTGCTTGGCGCGCGAGGGAATCGATACTGTTCTCCTGGAAGCTGATGTGTTTCCTCGGTAAGTCGGTTCTTCATTCTTTCCACACAATCTGAAATTGGCCAATGGGAGAAGATAAGTGGATGGTTTGCCTGATACGTTGTTTAAAGATACCATATCGGGGAAAGTATGCTCCCTTCAATGCGTCACTTTCTGCGCTTCATCGATCTCGACTCCACCTTTGACAACTATGGGTTTAAGATCAAGGTATGCTATTCTTAAAAGAAGATTGCGTACCATGGCTAATTCATAGTTTACGGAAAGGAGGCATGTTCAAAATGAACTCCAAGCCTCGAGTCTGTAAGTTGATCGAAGATCCGGACTACGCAATTTTTGCCTAACACAATAAATGACTAGTCACCGATTTTGTGGCTGCAGGTGGCCCAGAAGGCTACACCTGGAACATCGTTCGCTCCGAAGCCGATGAATTGATGTTCAAACATGCCGCTCAAAGCGGTGCAAAGACTTTCGATGGGGTTCGTGTCGGCGATCTTGAATTCCGGCCATGGGACCAGAACGACCCTGTAGAGCAGGAGCTGGCTGAATTCCCCGCACCCAACCCAGGTCGCCCTACTTCAGCTCGCTGGTCACGCAAAGATGGCACCAGCGGTGTTATTAGCTTCAACTATCTCATCGATGCCAGTGGTCGAGCGGGCTTGGTTAGCACCAAGCACTACAAAAACCGGCGATACAACCAGGGCCTGAAGAACATTGCCAGTTGGGGATACTGGAAAAATATGGAACCTTATGACCTTGGTGGCGTCCATGAGGATCAGCCTTACTTTGAGGCCCTGGCTGACGCTAGTGGCTGGGTGTGGACTATTCCCCTGCATGGTGATGTGGTCTCGGTTGGTGTCGTCCGAAACCAAGCAATTGCCACGGAGGAGAAGAAGAAAATGAGCTCTCCTTCTACCAAGGATTTTTATCTTCAGAATTTGAACCTTGTTCCTGGTATCCAGAGTTTGATGACGAAAGCAGAGCTGGTATCCGAGGTCAAGTCTGCATCCGACTGGTCATACAGTGCTTCCAGTTATGCCAGTCCCTTTGTCCGCGTCGTTGGTGACGCAGGCTGCTTTATTGACCCCTTCTTCTCGTCTGGGGTCCACTTGGCTATGGCCAGTGGCCTATCAGCGGCTGCAACTATTTGTGCCAGTAAGCACGGTGATTGCAGCGAGAATACGGCGGCAGACTGGCATTCCAAAAAGGTCGCTGAAGGATACACCCGCTTCCTTCTGGTGGTCTTGAGTGCTCTCAAGCAAATCAAAGACCAAGATGACCCCGTCCTCACCGATTGGGACGAGGAGACCTTCGATCGCGCATTCTCATTCTTCCGACCAAGTAAGTATCATAGATCCACTTCTTTGATCGCTTACTGATTATACAACTTTGTTTTCTAGTCATTCAGGGTACGGTGGATGTCAAAGCCCGATTGACCGAGTCGGAAATCTCCGATACGATCAATTTCTGCTGTCGGGCATTCATCCCCGTTCCTTTGGAAGAAAAAGAAGCCGTTCTTCGGAAAATGGAAAACCTCGGACTTGATAATGAGGACCTGGACCCGAAGGTGAAGGCTGCGCTCGAGTCATCCATGTCTCCACAGGAGCTGCACATCATGAACACAGTTCGTGCTCGTGAGATGTTGCGATCGGAGGATACTATCAACATTGACACCTTCAGTTGTGATACAATTGGAGGCCTAACTGTTAATCTGCAGCAGGGTCAGTTAACTCTCGTCAAATCGACCGGGCAGAAGGCCGAGAAGATTGACGTTCTTGGCCTATTTCACGGGGAGCACCGCGACGGAGATGCAGCGGGTGTCTCTGATAACCAGCATAACTCGGATACCAAAGTCGCCGTTGCCATGCAAGCTTAAATCGTGTCCAAATCTATTGGGTTATGTCGTTCGACGTAATACTGACAGGTTTTATTGTTTATGAAGACCAGAGTTCTGATGGAGCCTATCGTTGTTTGCAAATTATCATATTAGTCAGTTTAGTGCTAGTCTTACTTCAATTATCCCACTAAACTGCGAAATTGCCCAATGAGTAAACTAAATTTCCTCGTATGGTCTTCGCATCTAATTACTTCGCTAAACATGTAAAGCTTTCATAGGGTACATGGTAGGGGGGTGTTTAATCTACATGCTGTTTTGCCGAGTGGTAGCCTGCAGATTGTTACTTACAAGACTAAGCACGACGTAATCCAAAGTCCTGCTATTATGAGGCCGTGTCTATTGTGATACTGTCTGGCCCAACAATAGAATTTTTCTTCTCGCTAATCTGTCTCACCAAGCCCCTGAAAGAGAACCTAGCACAAGGACTTCGTAAAGCAATTAGGTCTGACACAATGGTTTCAAAACCGATCAGAGATTTTCCCCGGGGGTTGACAAATTAAGAGATAGTCTCACCCATTAACGAATCGTCTTTGGAAGCTCGATGGGTAGATGTCTCCTTTTCTGTACAGAAGCTAGCAAATCCAATTACCGCCGATGAATTTATGTTGGTTGACGTGGGTGGTAATATGGGTTCCTTTTATGTCAGTATCCAGACTTGCCCAGTCACAAAATGCTTCAAGATCTCCCCGAGGGGCACTAGGAGAGGGCCCTGCAGTCGACGGACCGGGGTTTATAGCTCGAGGGCTCTTGGGCCCTCAGAACCACTGGCGCTAAGGCGTGCTATCTCCGTAGGGCATTTCATGACTGAAATTATGAGAACACTGATTATCCTTCGGAAATTGACTCCGGAAATGAATTTGGCCTGCATGGTTCTCTGGCTTGGTGGACTCGGATACCGGCCAGTGGTGGCTGGGCCGTCTGGACCACTTGCTGGCGGACTTAGGCGCTCATGGTGCATATGGGTGGTGGAAAGTCCTCACACAGGCAGGTACGATAGATGCTCATCAATCCCATCTAATGATATCGCACGCGATCATCCTTGTTTACTGGCAAGTGTGATTGGACAGAAACTCTTAACTTTACTACCAAGCAGTAGCTGAAGCAGCCGAAGCAAGTCATGAACCATAGATGATTAATTTTGCTGATGTCTCTGGTAGATTCATAATAAATTAAATATTTAGCTTGATTCGACTCTTTCCATTGTTTACTTGTACATGACAGGTAGTTAACTTTTTCTAGGAATTGACTAATTGCGATGCAGTACATCGTGTATCCTTTCGTTTTGTTAGCAGCGGATCATTATTGGATAGTTGCTAACATAATAAAACTGCCTGTGCAGCTCCATTGGGAATATTAGATGTAGGCAGGGATATGGATAGGCAATCAAGGCAATTCGGGGGATGGAGTATCTGAACTATAATAATGTGGACCAAAATGAAAGCTAAAAGCCGCAGAGACCGGCGCCCTGCCCGGAGATCTCCCGCTTAATCTCCACCTTCACACTTTGACACCTTTTGATTTGGCAGCACGGCCATTCGCCAAACACCGATCCCGACTTAGTTGGGGTCCCCGTATCAGCCCCTGTCTTTTAAGGTCACCCTCAAATTGACCCATCTCTGGACATGAACAAGGAACCCTCAGATCTGAAATATAATTGGGTGTATGGAGCATAAGCTGTAGATGCCAGACATCGACGACCCACTACGGTGTCGCACTCTGCGGCTTCAGTGATCGGCGTGCTGTTTGCCCAGATGCCGAGGACATCTGCAGGTCGTACAAGAGCGTTCTTTGTCTTTTTTTTCTTCGTACTTCTATGTGCACGCCTCATTTCCTCTCTACAACATCCTCGCTTCGTTCCACTCTCACACTATAGAACACGCATCAAGGTACATCGTAATTCTACCACTTACAGCGCCGTTCTCCTCGCATCCAGCATGACATCTCCCAAGTTGCCACTCAGCCTCACAGTGTTCCGAGGGTTCCCAGACAAATGCTGTTTCGTGTGGTCGCCATTTGTCACTAAGCTAGAAGCTCGCCTTCGATTCGGTAGTATATCTTATCGTACAGAATCTGGATCCGTCACCAAGGCCCCTCGTGGAAAAGTCCCCTATGTCTCAATTGATCACGGGGATGGGAACTGTGAGACTGTTGCGGATTCAACCCTGATTACTCAGGCTTTGATTGAATCTGAAGATCTCGAGGACCTCAACGACAACCTTACTGCTGCGCTCAAATTGCAAGACCTGTCCATCAGAGCTTTGCTAGAGGATAAACTCTATTTCTATCAGGTAAGCATAATTGATTCAGTTGGGGTTTGAAACGCTATGAAGATGTACAAAGTGCTTACAGTCTGGTTTTCATAGTGTCATGAGCGATGGGTGGTGAACTACTATTCCATGAGATCCAAGATTCTTGGCGCCTTACCTTGGCCCCTGCAATTCATTATAGGAAACATTGTCTACAAGAAGACCATGCGGTCTCTGGAAGGCCAAGGTGCCTTAAAGTACAGCACAGAGGAGATTACTAGCTTCCGTTACGAAATTTGGGACACACTCAACAGCTATTTGAGCGCAGTTAGCCGTCCAGATGACCAAGAAGCTCCCTTCTGGATCCTCGGCGGTGACGCTCCGACCGAGGCAGACGCCACTCTATTTGGGTTCATTGCATCTAGCCTCATATGTGACGCGTCAGTTGCCCTTTATTCCTCGACTTGGTGGACCGAAGCTAATTTCCCCTCAGTGCACCAGAAACAAAGGTCAAGGTGAAGAGCTGCCCAGCTCTTGTTGATTACGCTCAACGGGTCTATAGGAAATACTTCCCAGACTACGAATTATGGGAGTGAGCGCATTTATTCACGTAATACGAAGATAATGACACGCTATGAGCTCATGTCTTATACCTGTACAAAGTCGAAAATCATTTACTTCAATAAGATTGAATTTTCCTCAATGTTTGAATTTTCTCGCCGTTGGTTATGACAAAGAAGGCCAATGATTGCCCTGATACCGGGACAAGTCCGCTCCTTTCTCCAACCCTGCCTCAGAACTGGTCGGTTGTCTCGCAAGCCCCTTGTAAAATCCCTGGAAACTTCTATCAGTTCCATTGGTTCTCTGAAACTCTATTCACCACGAAGTCGTGTCCACGGAGCTCTCATACAGTGGTTCGCTCGTTTATTATATTCGCCTGGGCGTGCAGCTGGTCTCTGAGCATGGAGTTAAGGACCTCGTATATCTGTTGACGATGAGATGGAGAGTCCTGGCACTGCGCTTCCTGCACACGAGCAGCAAATTGGTGAACTACGCGCTCCACCCTTCTCATCTCATCGATCACCACATGATTTCTGATATGTACTTGCATAGCTGTGTCAACAGCAAATCCACCCATGGTAATAGGTGTTGCAAGTACTAGCTCGCAATGGTCATGCTCGGTGTTTGATGAACTTGCAAAAGGCACCTTCTCGTACATCATCACGTTTTCATCGTCACGTAGCATAGCTCGGTACCAGGCTGCCACCCGGTCACATGCGATGACAAGAAGTAACTGGACAGATGGAATGGTAGAACAGGAACATTGCAAGACTCGTGAAATAGTCTCTAAGACTCCCCGATTTATTCTCAGGGCATCATCCATTCTGCGGGCTTGAGCATCGGAAGTGTCGGTGCCATGACGAGCTGAAAAGCCGTCATCGCTGACTGATAAACAAACAGAAGGTGGAATGCAAAGTGTTTGGAGAGCATTGAGAATAGATAGATTGCATATTTGGTTTTCATCAGAGCAAGTCCCAGGGATTTCTTGTGTGGTTCTAACTTGATGGCCCACAAGGTTGGAAGTCGAGGTAAAACCCACGTCCGTTGCCATGACGCGATTTGTGTCTCCCTCTCCCACGTCGGCAATAGTTAGGACCTTGAGCCGTGAGGCCAATTAAAAGCGACTGAAATCGGTGCTCGGGAGTCTGGTATACGTGAGAATCAAGGTTATTGAGAGCCCAAAGGTTTCATCACGGGTATTTACTTGGCTGACCAATTCCGACATCGATTTCTTGGCTAGTCAAGCTTGGTAGCCATAGATGGGAGGGCTTACAGGATTCCAATAATCAGTGATGCGGCCTTTTTATTCACGGTGCGGGTGATTGGCACGCCCCGAAGTCGCTTTTGGTCGGTTATAGATCGTCGTTGACAGGGACAATCAAATATGGAATCCATTTACACGCTGCTTTGCGCACCTGTCATAGACGGTGCCAGACGTATTTGTTTATTTTGATTTTGTATCTCCGGCCATGATCTTGGTCTATTGGTTTTTGCTTTTTTTCCTTAGCTCGGTGATCGAACTTCCGAGTGGCAAGTCTCGGTCCATATACTTGGAATCGGCCAAGAAAGTTTATAGTAGTTTCGTTGCTAACCTTCAACAGGTTTGGAACAATACAGTTAGTGACAAAGAATTCCTGCTTGACATTTCTCGGTGATCGTTCCCAAAGGAGTTGTGGATATCATAATATAATCTATTAACTTACAAGGGCAGTGATCCGGTAATGTCCGGCTCCGAGTCGTACTCCATCCATTCCCCCCTCGGCCCGTAAGAACATAACACCACTGCATGGTATCGCTAGTCCGAGGGGCCTTTTCAAGGATCATGAACAGCCGAAATGACTGCCACTACACAGGTAACTGCTCGTAAATTGGGCAACGATTGCCTTTTGAAACGGGCCAAACACACGTCGATCCCGATATCTGGTAAGTTCGTCGGGCTTCCCGCTGTAAATCTGTTCTTATCAGACACACATGACAAGAAATAACGCATCTGGGCCTGATTGTTAATATTTTGAAGGATCCGTTGTAGAATCTCCATGCCTCTTGATTGGACTATTAGCCCGCATACATCTTGCCAGCTGTCAGTTTAATCACCTTAGATAGTGTGTTCAAACATCGAGCAGGCCTGTTAAGTCTGATTGGGGTCTGCTAAGCTGTAAAAAAGGCTTAGTGTTTTTATTTGAATTAAATACCCCTGTACGACAAGAGAGACGCACAAGATAAGGGGATGCAGGAGGGAGTCGCGAAGAGAACGAACGGGTCCATATACGTATCACACTTTATTGAGGATGACTTACTGTGGCTTGTAGAGAGCCTCTATGGAAATAATACGATTGTTTCATTTTGATCTATTTCTTTCTATGTCTTAATGTGCCCGGTGAAGCAAGATCTTTCTAAGATATCACGCTTTCCTCGAGTTGTCAAATTTGAAAGCATCCGATTTGTTAACTATTCTTGCTAGAAAAAACTTAAATAGGATGCCAAAAGTAGGGGTTACTATCATCATTGATACCTCTCTTAACTTTCAATCCAGGGGCAATCATGTAACCCCAAACTTGTGTCCTGGACTTGATTTTTTCTTGTGGCTTTCTTCATTCGGCCTAATTAGCACATCCTTGGGCCCGTATTAGAACATTAGTTGATTCCTCCTTTGACGTATTTTTTTAATTTCTGCTGTAGGGTTCAGAGAAAGTCTTGAAGGCAGGGTTACTTGGATTTTCTTTTTAATGTACGAGATTGGAGTGATATGCAATCCACGACGATGGTACTAAGATGCACCTCTATCACGGTGTCCAATGAAGAAGCTAGCATCAACAATTACGAGCTATGACAGCATGTTCTGCTTCAGCCTCGTACTACATTGATTATCTGTTCGATAATTATTGGAGAAAAATTGTGTCAGCTTAGACCTTCAACGCATGATTGAAAGCCGGCAGAAATACGTACTTGCCTTTACAGGGCGAAATGCTTACTACCGTATGCACACTCGAATGCCCATCTGGCTAGACGTACCAAATACTAGAACCATTTATGCTTGCAAAGTCCGGTCTTAAACGTTCTGCTCTCCGTGGGTGATTTCTAAACAGACTCAGTCTAGAATATTTGCTCCAAATGAGCTCTCACAACTCGACCACAATGACAGGGTCCGAAGGTAGATCTGGGCCACCCTCGCAGAAACTGAAGGATAGCTGCGATATGTGTTCATCATCGAAGGTTAAATGCAACAAGGAAAAGCCTGTGTGTAGTCGCTGTCGCAAGCTGGGCTATCCGTGCTTCTACAGTCCCGCACGGCGCATAGGGCGTCCGCATCCAAACCGTCGAACCATCAGTCGCAAATCACCGGAAGCGCGTCCTACACTTTCAAGAAAACAATCTGCAATCTATACAAGCGCGCCAAATACACCTGAAGACTCCCAGTTGCTTTGTCAAGATTCTCGTGTGAGCCTAGACATACAGCCTTCGATCTTTGACGAGAATGAATGCTCATCGGCCGTGACATATGGGCCGAATCCCATACATTGGCTGGACGACATGTACATGCCAGCGGGCGGTCTAGGCGAGACTGAAACAATCACAGCATCTGCTATGAATTGGGGCTCATATGTCTTCAATGATGGTTTCGATCAAAAGCAGACCTTAAATGTTCCACAATCCCCACCACCAGACTTTGACCTCTTCAACTTCTCCGACGCCTTAAACAGGGACCCACAGTGGCTCAATTCATTACAACCTCAAGTGGATTCCTCCTTCATACCTCTCGAGATTTCCCTACCACAAAGTATTAGCCAAGGTTCCAGTGCTGTCGCACCCGAGGCAGTGGAAAATCATACCAGGGATCAAACACCAATCTCAGATTCATCTGAGCCGGATTGTGTGATAGGCGCAATCGATATCCTGCGCCGTCTCCAGACCTCCAAGAAACCTTCGATTGAGACACTGAACGGTACATCAGAACAAGAGGTGCCAGGTCGTGTACAGACCGCTGCTTGGGCGATTCACCGACTATCGACTATCTTGGTATGTCCTTGCTCACGGAAGACATACGTCGGTATTTTGGTGGCGACAGTCTGTATGGTCATTATGGATGTATACGACTCGCTGTTTCACCGGTCCCATCACAGGAAGGCCGGAGACCACACTATGGGTCATGCTCAAATTATGGACCCCAATTACTCGCTAGATCTCCATGCGGATCAGAATGAGTGCATAATAACGGAATTTGGTGCGCCTACCGATTTTGAATCTGACGACGGAGAAGCCCACATGTCATCGGTGCATATCCTGGAGGAACTCTCCAAGCTCGCCAACGTGGTGATGCAATTTGCCCGCAGATACAGAGGGGATGCATGCGTGCAGCCTACTGGTACAATTTCTGTGCTAGCAGATTCGCTGAAATTACGGTTGAGATCAATCACCAACGAAGCATTTCAGAAGTGCCAGAGATAAAACTAAGGGGCAACCCGTGGTTATTTTAGATTTTTTGACGATTTCGGTAGATTTCAGGCTAGCTACTTTTAAATAGCAATTCAATTTTAGTATCATTCAATCACTAAATCCGAGATGAAGATTCATTTTCAAGCTCCAAATGATTCCATGGAATGTTAGGAAGGAAGAGCAAAATTGTGTGGTTGGTTGGGTTATTCATGACGGATGGTCACTCGCACGCAAAACTAGGTCTAGTTAGGAAGGATAACTCCTGCTCTACTCTCTTTAATACCCCTCAACTGGATTTCAAAAGAATTCGTTGATCATGACCCAAAAGATAGCCCGAGAGATAATTTCAAAACTGCCTAGGGAGACAGTTCAAAAGCGCTTCACGATCTTCAAAAGACGTATAGTTAGAATTTATCTAGCTATACTTCTTTTTTAGTCGCTAGATTGAGACTTTAGACACAGAGGAAACCAACCGAGCTAGGTTTAGTTTGTTGTGCCGCTTGATATTTTTGGCGTGCCAGTAACAATATCCTATCCACCCTTCAAATAAACCCGAAAGATTCCGGAGTCCGTTGTAAGGATCTGAAACCACCTCTTGTTTTATATACACATCAACCAGATCCAGGCCAATGTAAGTGCAGGAAGAATGGTTCTGACATAATTGAGGGAGACCCATTTTTCCATCACACGGCGACTCTCAATAGCCTTCGCAGTTGGCGCTGAATCATTGTGGATCTTTCCTTTGGACACTGCATGAATACCTTCCCGAGACAGTCTTCCATGGCGCTCCAGCAACGCTTCTTCAATGGGAACAATCATGACCAGAGTGAACGGTACGAGGCTTATGGCAAGTATTCCTGCCATCAACATCGTGTAAACGCAGTTGTGGCTGGAACTTTCCGGTTGGCCATACATGAAAGTCAAAAGCGCATTGAGGAGGAATATGCAACTCGAGAACATTGCCTGCGTAGGGCAGAGGTAGAAGCCTCGATCGAATGTGACTTTCCACATTGACAGTACGGTGTATTCGGGGACATTAGAAATGCCAAGGATGGCCGCCATAGAAACGTATGAAAGGCTTATCTGACAGCCTGGGAGTTTTTGTCAACGTTGATCAATTTAAACAGAAGGGTTGAGTGTGTGTTTATTCAATTCAGAGCTATATGTAGCTTTCTGTCTGTAAAAATGAAATGGAGGATACTCACCGAGCAAGATAGACATACTAGTGGCACCCACCACCAGTAGCGGATAATACAAGGCATAAACCATAGCGATAGCTGATTCGTTCAACACTAGGCCTTGACAAAACAAGGAAAAAGGTCAACAGAAATATTATTATATAAAGAAATTTTGTAGGCCAGAAAGGAAATTTGAGCGAGAGTCAGGAAGTCCTAAATCAGAAAATTCGCCGGAGTCCGTCTACTGCCGCTTCGGCATCCGAAGATAACAAATCTTCAACCTTCCACATACCTGAGTGTAAGATTCCGATACAGTGGCAGGTGAATATATCTGACACGAGTGAGACATTTGTTAACGCTTTGCAGCAGACGCTTTAATGAAAATACTTTCTCCCTTTGCAAGACTTGAAAACGGCCAACTTCAAGAAGATGATCAAGCAGACTGCCTCCTAACTCACTGCATAGAAATTCGCACAGTCATGGAGACCCCTTCGTCCCTGTCCACTGAAACCATGAATCGCCTCAGCAGCAGACTGGCATTCTTCGGCAATGACTTCCCTAGTGGAAATATCCCGGACCTCTTTCGTCGTCTGCACCGGTGGTCCATGGACAAGAAATTCCATATTCTAGCTTTGTTCATGGAAGAATGCGTGGCTACCATCCATCAGGAAATCAGCCAGCTTTCGCAAGAAATTCCACCCCAGCTTGCCAGTGTTCAAAATATCGTGAGCCTCGTCGATGGCTGGGAGACCAGCCGTCTCACTCCTGTTGGAGGGGCCGTTGAGACTGCTCTTCTCTGCATACTCCAAGTCGGCATGCTTATCGGGTGAGTTGCCAGCAGGTGAGATTTACTTGTTGCCTCAAATTTGTCTAATCCAAGATTACAGACACTATCAAGCAACCGACCAGGATTACGATCTTGGGGATACCGGAACAACCCTGAGTGGCTTGAGCGTTGGCCTTCTTTCTGCTGCAGCGGTGGCAATCTCTACCTCGATCTCCGACTTAGCCCATTATGGGGTAGACAGCGTGCGAATTGCATTTCGGATGGGAATTCATGTCGACAGAGTATCTCAGTCCCTGGAGGCTCAAGAGCCTGACAGTAACCCGAAAACCTGGGCTTATGTTGTGACGGGAGTCTCCGCAGAGACTGTTCAACAGGAGCTTGATCGGTTCAACAAGGAAACGGTAACTATTCTACTTTTAGAAAACGCCAAAATATGAAAATTTCACAAAATGACTGACCACCAGCTTTGGTATTCAGGTGTGCCCGGAGCTTATGAAGGTGTTTATCAGCGCGGCGGATGCCAACTCAATCAGTGTGACTGGACCTCCGTCTCGCTTGATAAATGCTTTCCACCATTCTCCTGTCCTACGATACTCAAAGCACATGGCTCTCCCTGTCTACAATGGTCTTTGCCATGCTTCTCATCTCTATACTGCTCGAGATGTCCAAGAAATCGTCACGATCCCTGCTGAGATGGCTTCGGCCTCAGTTCATATTCCAGTTCTATCAGCAGAAACCGGGAAAGCCTTACAAGCGACTCGATCGAAGCAACTATGGGATGGGGTTGTAACAGAAATCCTTACTGGGGGAATCTACCTTGATAATTTGACAGCGGGGCTAATTCGGGAATTTTCGATGCTTGAATCCTTGGAGATTGAGATTGTCACATTACGGACCTCTTTGATCGCACAAGGGCTATTATCCTCAATTCAGTCCAATCTGCCTGATGTTGCTATCCGAAAACGGGACATCGTTGACTGGAGCCTCATGGAAGAGCCTGAACTTTTCCCGAGCGAACCCCGTTCGTCGCGTCAGTCCAAACTAGCTATTGTTGGTATATCCTGTAGGCTACCTGGGGGGGCAAATGACTTGGAACTCTTTTGGAAGTTGATTGAAGAAGGTCGAGATGTTCACACTCGAATTCCTGCGGATCGCTTCGATGTCGATACTCATTATGACCCAACTGGCGAGATTCCTAATACAACACAAACGCCATTTGGAAACTTCATCGATAAGCCCGGAATGTTTGATGCCAACTTCTTCAATATGTCACCACGCGAGGTATGTCTGCCTATGCTACCTGCAGGTCATTGCACCCACACATTAGAATGGTGATTTAACCCATGTGAACAAATTTAGGCTGAACAAACCGATCCAATGCACCGACTGGCCTTGGTGACTGCTTACGAAGCTCTTGAAATGGCCGGCTATTCACCTAATCGAACCCCGTCTACCTCTCTGCGCAGAGTCGGTACATACTTCGGCCAGGCTAGCGACGATTGGCGAGAACTAAATGCCGGCATGAATATTGGCACTTATGCTGTTCCAGGAGGTGAACGAGCCTTTGCAAATGGGCGTATCCAATATTTCTTCAAATTCTCTGGGCCATGTTTCAATATGGATACAGCCTGTTCGAGTGGTCTAGCAGCTGTCAACGCCGCATGTAGCGCATTGTGGGCCGGCGAGGCTGATACAGTCATTGCAGGAGGTTTAAATGTGATAACCAACCCCGATAACTTTGCGATGCTCTGCAAAGGACATTTTCTGTCAAAGACTGGTCAATGCAAGGTCTGGGATAAGGACGCAGATGGTTACTGTCGTGCAGATGGCATTGGGGCCGTCGTTATTAAACGTCTCGAAGATGCTGTCGCCGACAACGATAATGTCATCGCAACAATCGATGCCGCCTTCACCAATCAATCTGCAGATGCAATCTCTATCACCCACCCCCATGCTGGTGCTCAAAAGGAGAACTACCAGCAGGTCATGCAGGCCGCAGGCATCAGTCCAGTAGCTGTTAGCTACGTCGAACTTCACGGAACTGGTACGCAGGCGGGTGATTCAGTTGAGTCAGAATCTGTGGTTGATGTCTTCGCAAATGCAAAGTTGCGTCGACAGGTTCCTCTTTTGATGGCGTCTGTTAAATCAAATATCGGTCACGGTGAAGCTGCTGCTGGAATTGCCTCCTTGATCAAGGTGCTTCTAATGTACCAGAAGAATATGATCCCACCGCACGTGGGTATCAAGACCGAAATCAACCCTGTTGTTGCCAAGAACCTTGAACGAGGCAATGCTGCACTGGCTTTGGAAATGACACCTTGGCCACGAGTGAGTGACATAAAGCGCTTTGCGCTGGTCAACAGCTTCGGCGCTCATGGTGGTAACACGACCATGCTTCTTGAAGATGCACCAAGACATGTTCGTACTGGGTCTGACCCTCGACCTACCCATGTCATAACGCTGTCTGCCAAAAGCAAAATTTCTCTAAGGGGGAACATTGAGGCTATGATTTCTTATCTGAATGAGAATCCCGAGACTGATCTTGGCGATCTGGCGTACACTACTTGTGCCCGTCGGATCCATCATCATACGCGGGTCACATTCGCTGCATCTTCAATTGGACAAGTCAAAAGGTTATTAGAGGACATCGTTGCAGCGAATACTGTGAACACACTTCGCCCTGTTACCACCTCCTCAGCATCTGTTCCCTTCACTTTCACTGGCCAAGGGGCCTTCTACTCGGGAGTGGGCAGCAATCTGTACGAAACCTTCCCAGCCTACCGTTCAGTCGTCGACGAGCTCGACCATCTGGTGCAGTGTTTGGGCTTTTCATCTGTTGTCCCTGCGATTGCCGGCACACTAGAGGACGAAAAGTCTGGTTCGCCAGTCCTGACCCAGCTTGCGATTCTAATCAGCCAAATTGCCCTTGTCCGATTCTGGGGCCATCTTGGCGTTCACCCCAGCGTGGTCATTGGTCATAGTCTCGGTGAATACGCAGCACTCGTGGCAGCCGATGTTCTATCTGCTGCAGATGCAATCTTCTTAGTTGGAAAGAGGGCCCAGCTTCTTCAAGATTCGTGCCAGCTGGGTAGTCATTCCATGCTTGCCGTGCGGGCCTCTGTGGAGCATATCAAGAAAGCTATGCCCACGGATATGGTATACGAGATCAGTTGTATGAACGCGAGAGAAAGTTCTGTTCTCGGAAGCTCTGAAAGCAACATCCAGCAGATCCAGGCTCTCTTGGAGAAAGCCGATGTCAAATGTACTCACCTTGACGTCCCATTCGCCTTCCATACAGCCCAAATGGAAGCAATCCTAGAAGTCTTCGAGCAAGTTGCTCAGCAGGTAACCTTCCGTACTCCGAGTGTTCCAATCCTTTCTCCTCTTTTGGCCGACGGCATCTTTGACGGCAAGACCGTGAACGCGAAGTATCTGTGCCGTGCAACACGGGAACCAGTTCGTTTCTTCGAAGCCCTAGACGCTGGTCGTGAGCTGGGAGTTGTTCCGGAGAATGCCACTTTTATTGAGATCGGGCCTCATCCTGTCAATGGATCTTTCATCAAATCACTCCTCCCACAAGCTCGAATCCTGCCTTCTCTCCGTAAGAACGAAAACAACTTCACGACTTTGGCTAGCTCTTTGGCCGCATTGCACAACGATGGCTTACCCATTGAGTGGAACTCCTACTTCCGGCCGTTCGAGAAATGTCATTTCCTCCTATCCCTTCCAAAATATTGCTGGAATGAAAAGAATTACTGGATTCAATACACAGGCACCTGGACATTGGACAAAGCCTATCCTCAAGGCACTCGGCCGGCGGCTGTCTCTTCGTCATTGGGCTCTGCCCTGCGCACATCCTCTGTTCACCGTATCACCTCTGAGAGTGTCAATGACACTACCGCAACTCTAACTGTTGTCTCTGATATTATGGATCCCGAATTCCGGGCTGCGGTGAATGGTCACCAGATGAATGGTTACGGAGTAGCCACGTCGGTAAGTCTTCCTACAGTATGATCCCGAGGTCAAGTGTGTTACTAAATTTTCTTAGTCACTCTGGGGTGACATCTCTATGACAATAGGTGAATACCTGTATAAAAAGCTTGCGCCTCAAACCCGTGAGGTTCATATGGATGTCTCCAATCTCGAGGTTCTTCACGCACAGGTGGCACATACCGACAAGAGCCGCGCTCAGCTACTGCAAATAGAAGCCACTCTTGACCTGGAATCAAATGAGATGCCAATCCAATGGTTCAATGTTTCCAGTGATGGCGAGCGTGCGGCTGAAGCCTACGCTTCTGCGACTGTCAAGTTCACTGACGCTGCTGAATGGCGTTGGGAGTGGGATCGCTTAACCCATCTGGTGAACGCCCGGATCGAGTCTTTATTAGCAATGGCTCTTGATGGGACTGCTAATCGCCTGTCCAGGAACATGGTCTACAATCTTTTCAAGTATGTAGTGGATTACAGCGACCATTACCGTGGCATGCAGTCTGTAGTGCTGCACGAAATGGAAGCATGCTCCGAGATTGTTCTCAATCCCGACCGACACGGAACCTGGCACACACCTCCACACTGGATCGACAGCATCTTCCATATTGGAGGATTCGTGCTCAATGGTAGTGACGCATCAAACACCAAGGACTACTTCTACGTCACTCCAGGCTGGGGTAGCTGTCGCATCATTCGGCCCCTGGAAGCTGGGGGTCGATATCGCAGCTATGTCCGCATGGCACCCATTGAGGAGAAGAATATGTATGCCGGTGACGTATACGTGCTTCAAGACGGGGTCATAATCGCCATGATGAGCGAGATGAAGTTCCGTCGGGTGCCTCGCGTTTTGATGAATCAGTTCTTTTCGCCTAGCGACACTACTTCGTCCAAGACAGCTGTGCCTGCCACCGTCCCAACTGTGCAGCCAAAAGTAGTTTCGGCTTCTCCGTCTGTTCCTACTTCTACTGTCGATCAAGTCATTTTGTCTCCTTCAAGCGAAGGGGCAGCTGCTCCGCAAAAGACTAATGAGTCGAGCGCGCCAGTATCTGCGAAATCCACCCCGCCAGCTTCATCGGATAGCCCCATAGTTACCGATTGTCTTAAAATCATTGCCCGTGAGACCGGACTCAATCCCAATGAACTTACAGACACTGCGTCTTTCGTCGAACTCGGTGTTGATTCTCTCATGTCCCTTGTTCTTTCGGAGAAGTTCAAGGTGGAGCTCAACCTAGACGTGAAGAGTTCTGTTTTCATTGAATGCCCAAACATCGGAGAGTTGAAGGGTTGGCTGGATCAGTGATATTTCTGGGAGGTGTCTTGTTCTATTCATGGCTTTACCATTGACTCTTGCTTTGTGGTGTTCTTCTCGACGCTGAGCTTTCTACTTTGCTTTATTCTTGCTATCGCTAGGTTAAATTGATTTTGATTTCTCGGCTTAATCCCAGGTTCTCAACACTGACTATCATATCTAACCTATTTCAGTAACGTAGCAATGATGATTTAAATCGTATTTTAAACAATATTCTGATTTTATTGACAAAATAGAAACTCGCATTTCCCCGGTGTTCCAAGTCCGCCAATACTTTCAACATCAGTGGGGCCGTTGGTGAAGGGGCATCTAGGAATGCTCCTACATCCAATATTTCAGGCCCCTTGAGCACAATTGATTTACTAAATACCATGAAGTGACAATTTTTTTTATCGATAGAATTTTATCTAGCAATCCCATTGGGAAATACCTGGGGTTGCAAATTCTAGGGAGAGTGCTCGCGCTGTGTTAGTGTTCGAAATATATCTTCCATGCGGGGACAACCTTACAGGCAAAGGCTCTTGTCAGAACAGCACTACCTCCTATGTACCTAACACTAGAGCCGCTCGGGAAGACCAGTTTACTTTAAAGGCTAGAATATGCCAGTCCGCTCAATAATTGGCACCATCCTCCAAAGACTCGCCTCTTATGCCTTTTGAAAACGATCTAATTATAGGCACATATTGAAAATAGCACCACCTGCATATGCATCGTAGTGGTCACGAAGCGAGCCGCAAATAGCTTTAGCTCAATGGCCTAAACAATGCCCATTGTTTTTTGCAAGACAAAATTGTTCCAAAGAAATCATAGATAAAGACGTATTGTAATAGAATCCTCTCCTCGCTATTTTCTTTGTAAATGATAGACCATGGCACCGAGTCGGGCGGACTAAAACCCAAGCCGCACATATAAGAATCACTATATGAGCCGGAAAGTCCCAAACGCCCGTGACTCCATCATCGGAAATCTACAATCAAGCGAACCATCTATCGCCTATATACCGTCAAAATCGGATTATACTCGTGGTTCTAAGTACGAAAAGACCATCTCTATCAAACTCAACACGGCGCCATGGCGCCTTCCCAACGTGCCACGGGCTCCAAGCCCAGCCCCGAGCAAGGGAAGGCAAAGACCCGGCGCAGCAAACGAACAGTCACTCTAGAAAAGCAGCAAAAAGAGGAATTATTGAAAAGAATCTCTCGACTCGAATTCCAACAGGCATTCGGCGACGAAAAAGCCGAACACGACGCCACCAAGGCCATTGCTAGCAGATTGAGGCTAGAGCACAATGATCTAGTCACACGATTGGACGAGGCCGAGACTGCCGTCGCCAATGCAGAGTCTCGCGCCTGGAAAAGCGAAAGAGAAATCATCAAGCTACAAGAGTCCCTTTCCGAGTCGAAAATGGGTGCCCAGAACAATGAAGCATGGATGGAGCTTATGGCGGAGGAAAATCAGCAACTGGAAGTGACCAATACGAGGATAGTGGCCAGGAATATCAGACGAGAGGGTGAGCTCATCCAGGAAATTGAACTGATGGAGGAGCGAGCACAGAGCCTGGAACAGTCGCTCACTATAGCCTACAAGGATGTGGAAGAGTATGGTGTCCTGTTTCAGAAAAATACAGAAGACTGGGCAGAGTTGGTGAATTTCTTGAATAAGCACAAGTCTGAGGATGGTGAGAGGATTCAGAAGCTGCGGCGTTCGGTCATGGAATACTCCAATGCCATGGAGGGCGTTCACGACGAGGTCAACAAACTCATTCAAGCCGCAGAAGTTAGAATCGCACGCAACAGGCTTCGCCGGGATAAAGCCGTAAGTAAAGCTGATCCAAGAAGTGTTCAATGGGATAGTCAGATCTCGCGATCTGGTTATCATGCGTCATCTGAAGAGAACATCCGTGGCTCTTTACCTCTCCTCGGGAGTCCTGACTCAGACAGCGACTCGTTGCCTGGCACAGGGGAGTTCGTGGATGAGGCCATGCCATGCGATGCACGATATGAATACAACGGGCCTTATATTAGCCTCCACCGGATTGAAAGTGACACTACCGGGCTGATGTCTTCCAGTGGTACGTATATAGAGCCCGCCAAACATGGGCTACAGTCACTGGATGCACTAGCGCCATTAGTGGACGACGGCCAATGCGGCTTCGCAGTGTTCGATGTCAACGGAACTTGTCGTGGCTGCGAATCAACCCTCAGCGACAGCTTCGATTCCGACTCGGACACCAAATACGACCGGGATCAAGAACGCATGTTTGGGTCTTTCTTGCAACATTGGACAGGGGACAGTTCTATCAGCCAGGCCTGGGAACGGCATCCATACAACGGCCAGGGTCGCCTGAAATCCTGGGATCAGATCACCAATGATAGTTCTTCACCCGAAGGTACCGATATCGACAGTTACATGGGTGTCAGATGGTCGATTCCAAGCGTACCAGAGCCAACAAGTCTTTCGAATTCACATTTATCGAACCTGAGCTTCGAGTCTTGGAAATTTCTAAAAGAGCCCAGTGGGCTTGTCCAAGAGCGAACAGAGATCGATAGGCCAAGGGTTAAGTCGTTGCCTGTCTACTTTGAGCATTTGCCAAACGGCTATACGCCACCTTTGAAGACGTCCCGAAAGCGCGTTCGATTTTCTCCGCCGTCATCTAACCCGAATTGCGATGTCGATGACGAATCTAGTGTGAATTCGGAACAAGACGAATCCATTCCGAACCAAGATCTGTCCACAGACAGCTCTTACCTTAACGTGGTGCCTAGTAGTGGACCGACGGATTGTGAAGTTCCGCAGAGTGCACTCAACACTTGGATCGTGGATGATGGACATGATCAGGCTTCCACCCTCAGCGTGGATCATCGGCAGGGCAATCCGATCATCAACGAATCCGACTCAAGAGGGATTCAAACTGAGGATACTCCGCTGCTGGAGCGTCCGGATAACCTGGCTGCCTCGTTGAAGGCGTTAATGATGGCGCCAATGGGACCGCTTGACCCTGGAGGGAAGCTGCGATCATTGTCCGTGGGTGATCTGCCACGGGTACCAGCAACAGGAGGAACTTCGGCCTTTGAGCGCATGCCAGGGTCGTGGCCGCGCGAGGCTATTTCCTATGCAGACATAAGCCCCGAGATTGCCTCGGAGATAGCCAATGCAGCCTTGCGAGGGTTTAGGGCGTCGATGGAGAATGTTCTCCCGGTCGGTATGAAGTTATTGAACTTTTTGAACCCCTCTCATCCCCGTTGCATCGTCTATCCGGGCCTAATGGCGCTATGGGTGTGGCAGACGTATGAACAATACGTGGAGTGGCAGCGATGGGAGAGGGCCCACGAGCGGTACATGGTGCAGCGGTTGCGCAACCAGTACGCGTTGCAAGTAGGCTGGGTGGACTCGATGGGATTTAGCTTGGCCCAGTGGTTAGCGTTCGACCGGTCGTCTTTCGGGTAAAATAATAATAAAAAGGAGTTGTCTGACAGACTGTGGTTTGTTCTGATCTCGTTGGTGGCGCGAATTTGACGAAGAGAGATGCCGTTGCAGGTGGATGGTATGTAATGTAAATACGATGATGATGGAAGTAATCAGAGTGTTAAATGTAGAGTGGCAGGTATGAGTATTGTCATATCTTGGAATCTCCTGGGCCAATCACACTCAGCGCCACGCAGCAAGCTGGCGTCACCCTCCTCCACTTGGTCGCCCCATGCGGAACCTAACAAGTCCATGACTGGGCCCTCCGATCCCCCATCTCCACTCCCTTTCTTCCCCTCGACGACGACGACGACTTCTTTGCCATCCTGAGATTTCTTCAAATGACTGCTTTCCCCCTCTTCTGAATCCCGTCTCATTGTCGCTGACGTCCGCTCTTTACCTATCTACAACTTATTACCCCCCCAACTATGTTCGTGCGTTCCATCCTTTTGGGTGGCGCCGCCGCCCTGGGCGCCAGTGCGATGCTGGTTGTCCCCGAAATGGAGCCCCAAGTGGAGGCGGTTGAGGATGGCTTCATGAATGTCCACCCCATGCTGTTGGAGGATATCCGCCATGCAGTGGTCGACGTTCCCTGTAGGGGATGTCCTTTCCGTGAAGTCGACCAGGAGGGTGCCGTCAGCTGGACTGAGGGCAAGTCATCGTCTTTGGTATGTCAATCCTGGAAATTGTGATAAGCGCATGTGTTATCCGCGAATCATCGACTAATAAGATGTCTTTCCAATAGATGCTGGACTTCTCCATCGAAGACAACCGCCTGCTCGCTAACGGCCAGCAAATCTTCCCTCCCGTCCCTCCCAGCCCTATCCGCGCCATTCAACAACTGGAAGATGGCGAGGCCTCGGAGCCTATGCCCGTCGGCTATGCCCTGGAGGTGATGCCTCTGGGATCCCCCGACGACACCCCCGGAACCGATCTCCTCGATGTCCGATTCACCATTCTCGATCTCGAGACTCACCCCGTCCCGGTCGACACCGTCGCCATCACCCTGATCCAGGACCCCGCCGGCGAGCTCTACATCGCCAAGACCGAGATTGAGAAGACCGCCCCTCCCCCCGAGCGTCTGTCCTGGAAGAAGTGCAATGGCAAGCCCAAGTGCCTCCAGGAGCTTCTGGTCTCTCGCGTGCGTGATCTTTTTGCCGCTGCTAGGGACCGCGTCGTGGGCATGGCTGGCAAGGTTGGCCCCAAGAAGGGCTGCCATGGCAAGCACAAGGGCCCCATGGGTATGGGTGGCCACCACGGTCCTCCCAAGCACCACAGCGATTTCCCCGAGGGCATGCCACCATTCCCCGAATTTGAAGACTTCGCCAACGAGCACCACCGTGGTGGTCACCACCACCACCATGACGATGGTGACTTTGATGCTGAGATGGGCGACTTCCCGCCCCCTCCTCCCCACGGCGACTTCCCACCCCCTCCTCCCCACGGCCATGAGGGTCACCACCACCCACCTCCCCCTCACGGTGCTTTCGCCCACACTTTCTCCCGTGTTCTGCGCTTCATTGTTGTCCCTGCCATTCTGGGTGTCCTTGCTGGCCTGACCGCCAGTGCCGTCGGTATGCTCGTTGGCCAGGCTATTATCTTCCTCTGGCAGCGCTACCGTGGCACCAAGCCCCAGGAGCACAAGGCTGCTTGGGAGCAGGGTGACGCCTGCGAGAAGCAGGGCCTGATGACTGAGCCCTCGGAGACATCTGACGAGATCCTTCCTGAGTACCATGAGCCCACCTCCCGACGGGGATCTTTGGATAAGAACTAAATATTCTATATTGGAAGCACCTGTCCGTTTCCAACCTATCAACCCCCCCCCCCCCCCCAACCCAATACCCTTATCATACCCGGATTCAAGACCCAAGGAGATGCTATTTCTTTAACCGCAAACGCAAGATTGCTATACTGCTAGCTGAGCTTTGATTCACTTCCATGACCCATGTCTCTTACCTATATCCTTTCTTTTCACTACTCTCTTGATGTCCAGCTTGTACAGCGCATTTCCTACAATACATTTTTACCCACTGTATCAATATCCACTGCTGCCCTTAAGAACTTTAAAATAACCTTAATTGTAGAATATTTGCTATTTCAGCACCCCATACCCCATCCAAAGTAATAAACTGGCGGCTAAATCGGTGTATCAATTAGTGTCTTGCATGTTTCATGTCAACGCTGTAAGGCTGATCATCACGTGATACGCTGTGCTTCACTAGCAACCCCCCTCTTATCGATCCGACAACAACACCCATCCCCACGTTCCCCAGCTACAGCTACCGATGCGCAGATGCTTGACTAGGCATAATCAAGGCCATGCGATGACCTTTGGACTGTTATCTGAACAAAGTACGGGCTGCCCTGCACACATCCGGTGCTGATTCGCTCGCCGTACCACGTCGCAGCTCTAGCTCCGCCGCCCCGACATCATCGGATAACCGCACCTCTCCGTAGCTACGGCAAACTCGCTACGGATTGACCATTGCCCACCATGATCTCGCTATCCTCTTTTGTTCAAAAGGCCTCGTCGCTGATTGACCCGGCCAACTTCAACATTCCTTCCCTTTCCTCCAACGACAACAATCCTTCCAAGGCTTCACTATTCCGCCAACAGTTCCGCCTACCCGACTCCCAAAACCCTTTGCAGGAAATTACAGCTGAACTTATCCTCCCTCTACCGACTTCTTCCTCTGATTCTGCAGATGGTGCCCGCCGGGTAGACCGGCCTGGTAATCGATATACCGGTCGGTTGCACCTTAGTGAGCGATTCATCTGCTTCTCGACACAACCGACCAGTTTCATACCCTCGTCGACATTGAGCGCTTCAACAAGTTGGACCGGACAAACGCATGGCACAGGGCCGTCTGGTAATGGCTTCACTTTGCCGCTCTCCTCCATCCGCCGTGTTGAACGACTCCACAGTGCCCGAGACGTGTTCTCCTTGGCATTGACAACATGGAATGGATTGCTGAACAAGCAGCAAGAGCCCAACTTCGCCCCACAGCGACTCATTCTCCAGCTAGTCGGTAGCAGGCAGGCCTGCGAAAGATTCTGCGATTGCCTGAAGAAGGGTCTTCGGGAAGGTATGAAGGAGGTTGATAATCTTAGAAGCGTTGTTACAGACTGCTACTCCGAATACTTGCTTTCCGGTGCAAAGGCGAAAGACGCAAATGATGGCGAAGGGCGGCAGCCTCCAGATGCCGGGCTGGGTATGCTCTTCCGCTATCCTGGCGATGCTCGGAAACTTCGAGATCGCAGCAAGATGAGACTCTGGGGTGAATACTTCCGAGGTAAGCTGACCTTCCACGACATGAACATTATTCCCTTTTGATACTTATGATCCACGCCACAGAAAATGGCCGTAACTCCACCCTTGTTCGGCAACCAACTTTCCACAAGCTTATCCGAGTTGGTTTGCCAAATCGGTTACGAGGAGAGATTTGGGAGCTCACGGCGGGTTCAATGTTTCTTCGTATCCGGTCACCCAAGCTCTACGAAGAGACACTCACCAAGTTTGACGGTCAGGAATCTCTGGCTATCGACGAAATCGAGAAGGATTTGAACCGCAGTCTACCCGAGTATCCGGGCTTCCAGAGTGAAGAGGGAATTGGGCGACTGCGGCGAGTCCTGACTGCTTATAGCTGGACCAATGCCGAAGTTGGCTATTGTCAAGCCATGAACATTGTTGTTGCTGCATTACTGATGTTGGTCTATCCCACATTAACTCAAAGCGTGCCATTGCTAACTTGAACAGATATATGTCCGAAGCCCAAGCCTTTTTCCTCCTCTCCGTCCTGTGTGATCGCCTCCTACCAGGCTACTACTCCACTACAATGTACGGAACTCTGCTCGATCAAAAGGTCTTCGAGTCCCTCGTAGAGAAGACCATGCCCGTTCTTTGGGAACACCTCGCCAAATTCGATGTACAGCTTTCCGTTGTGTCTCTTCCCTGGTTCCTCTCTTTGTACATCAACTCGATGCCTCTCGTCTTTGCTTTCCGTGTGTTGGACGTTTTCTTCCTTGAAGGCCCCAAGGTCTTGTTCCAAGTTGGCCTCGCCATTCTTCGCATCAACGGCGAGGAGCTTCTCGACATTCAAGATGACGGATCGTTCATCTCCGTGCTCAAGTCATACTTCTCTCGCCTTGACGAGTCAGCTCATCCCAGATCGGAGAACCCTAAGCTTCGCGCTATCACCAGATTCCAGGAACTGATGGTGGTTGCTTTCAAGGAGTTCTCCGGCATCACGCATAGCACGATCACTGAGCAGCGTGAGAAACACAAAGACGCCGTTTTGAACAACATTGAAAGCTTTGCTAAGCGTACTTCGATTCGTAATCTCGGCCCTGAGAGCAAGCGCCTGAGTGTGGATGATCTCGGCACGATCTACGACCGCTTCTACGAGACCTTGTACCAGTGGCAACAACATCAACAAGTCGCCGAGGAAGAGCGAATCCGCCAGGAGAAGAAGAAATCAGAACGGCAATCCGTTCTCGGACCGCCTGTAGATAGGCAGGTCGGCCGAGTGGGTCTTGGACCTAGCCCTACTCACATGGACTATGATGCTTTCCGAGAGTTCTTGGCTGCGACCTCCAAGTGGGCTGTTTCTGACTCTCCTGCTCCCGCTAGAAAGGAATCGTCATCTTCAGGATACGGCAGTCTCCGAGGCAATGGCAAGTCCTTGTTGTGGGCCAACCGACGCCAACCTGCCGACCATGAGTTCATGCAACGGCTGTATCGCAAGTGGGCTACTGACCCCGAAGAGGGACTGAGTCTACAGAACGTGGTAAATGGCTTGGCACGTCTCAAGGGAGCGCCGGATATCATGAACAACATCAATTACTTCTTCACTCTCTACGATGATAGTGGCAACGGCCAAGTTGACCGAGAGGGTATCCTCAAAATGTCCGAGGCACTACTTTTCCTTTCTCGCCGTGGGTTTGAGGGAACCATCACTGCTACCCAGTCCCTGGAGGATCTGAACAGCCCCCGAGGCAGTGAGCAGGCTGAACAAAACAGGCTGACCACCGATGAGAAATTCCTGGGTAGTGTCAGCGCGTTCATTCGTCGCTGCTTCGAATATGCTGATCCCAGTCATCCCGATAATCAGAAGGCTGCCTTCTCAGACAGCACCACCGAAGTAACCGAGAAACTCGATTCTTTTGCAATTGGTGATGACGAGGAGGACCTCATTGATGTGAACGATGACGAAGAACCGAAAGCATCATCGGCTGCAGTATCCTCGCCCCACCCAACGGAGTCGAGTCAGCAGGGCCGACCAAGATCCGAGTCTGCCAACCCAGCTCTAGACCCGAACAACCCACTTCACATCACTCTCCCTACCTTCCGAATGGTTGTCCTGGCTGACGAGCTCCTGGAACAATTCTTCGAGTCTTATTTCCCACAATCCTTCCATCTCTCCGATCATCCCCACCCCGCCTCCCTCGCCGCCTCTTCCTCGCTCTCCTCCAACCTGACCACTTTCTCAAATATCGGTCACGCCCGTTCCTCCGCATCAGTCGTCGCAGGTGCACCCGTCGCCGGTGCCTCCGGAGGTATCGTTCCACCCGGTAAGGGTCTTCGTGGCGTCCTCGACAACATCGTCACGGACGGTATCCGCATGGCCGCTGAAGTCAAGAAACGCATGGACGACGCCCAGCGCGAGCTGGAGCGCAACGCCCTGGGTGGCCGCGACGAAGAAGATGACGAGGACGAGGATGACGACTATCCCTCTCGTCAAGGCGCATCTGCTGCCGCCATGGCAGGTGGTATCTCTAGCTGGGGCGCCGGCGCGTACGGTGCAGACCCCGAGCGTCGCAGTGTGCGTGAAGCCGATCGTGACCTCCTGGAAGGTGCCGAGGCCGAAGTCATTAGCATTCGTGCCCCTAAGGAGGAAGCAGCAAGCCAGAGCAAGCATAGGGCGAAATCGCCTGCATCAGCACATGATCCGGAGATCGTTAGTGAGGTTGTCGAGTTTGAGTCCTGATGATATCCCGTCCGTTCTTCATTGTTTTCATTGTTGGCAGGTGGCATCTTGTGTACGGTCTATGGTGGGCTTGTGTTTGTTATGTTTATTAGCTTTTGCCTTGCCGATGTACAATTGTACATGTGCACCTAGTGCATTCATGATATCGCGAAGACACTAACTCGGCGATAAAGCCTAGATAGGCAATGAAATACTTTCAAGAGGAGTTCCCATTCCATAATCACCTATTCTACATCCCTGTCTATAAAGCCCGACAGAATAATACCTTGCTTGATCCCAGGCACACTTCACAGGCCGAAATTGATTCTCGGCATTCCCGTCTCTACCTATTTCAATTCAAATACAGAGCGATACATAAGCTATTCTGATGCCGGGTCATAGGCTGACCGAATAGATGAAAGCAGCTTTCTCCAGCTTTTATGGCTTTCCTCACTACAATATCCCCCGGTTTTCACCTTCTGTCTATCCTTGATATACTCATATCTCACTATTCTCCATACCACGGTCGACTTCTGCATCATCTCCCTCTCAGCACTAATCTCACAAAGACAATTTCCTCTATAAAAGACTGTCTTTTGAGATTCATGGTCAGTGCTTAGAGGGCGAGGCTGAAGAGCTCAGATGCACAACAAAAAGCATGCTCGCTGAGCTTAAGACTCAAAAATTGTTGAGCAAGCTGATCTGTACAGTAGGAAGGAATCTTATAGATAAAGAGAGAGTGAATGAGAGAGTGAGTGAAAAGATTGGTTGGATTCAACTCTCCTATAAGGGTAGAAGAGATGGGCGGTGCTTTATCTACAGGCGAGAGACCGACAGTCTGAACCCAGATCCTTCCCAAAGCCGTCACCGAGACTGTCTGGCCGCACGGCAAAACGGCCATACTGCGGAAGACTGCATGGCTGTCTCAGGCGGGTAGATGAAGAGGTTTCAGTTCATTTGCCAAGCACAGTCTACCGCGAAAGGTCTTCGGTGGTCTCGCTCAACACAAAATCCCTCACCCTCCGCGATGACGTTGTGATAGCCAGCGGGCTCCTAATAATGTTGACGTTTAAACAAGTCCGCACGCGCTGCCATCTTGGATCCAAGTCCGCCTACACGAAATCCGGCAACGAACCCTCTGACCCCGATATAGGTACCATAGCCAGGATGGTAGCAGAAGAAAGGTATCGGGGTCAGACGGTTCATTGCCGGATTTCGCGTAAGAAGACGCTTCGAGCATCGGTCTTTAATCAGACATTCACCCGCGATCCACGTCAATTTCGCTCTTCTGCTTTCAGTGTGGTTGCGATATATGCCTCAAAAAGGACCAAGAGCTCTTGCGGGACAGTATAGTACCCATCCACAAGCTTCCTGCTTCCAGAGAAGAAGTGGTGTAATGTCGGGCCTCATTCGCACAAACCACCATGTGGGGTTGGCAAGTCTCTGCTTCCCAAGAGGTACTATACATCTACGCCATGATTTGACCAACACGGCCGACAAAGGTGAGGTCCACGACGGCATTCTTCGTCTTGGGATTATGTTTGGAGAGAACTTTTGCTGATCATTTACTACCACCAATGAATACCGGTCATCATGTTCTCTCTCCCCTCCTCCACTTCACCAGCGATCCAACCAAGGCCCAGTACCCGACCATGAATGACTCCGGTCTTCAGTAGGATTTGGGATCCGAAACACCCAGCCTCCACAATGTCAATGCCCATTCTTCACCTAAGGATTGTCTACGACTCTTCTCAGATCCAGTGGTACTAGTGTATAGACTTGGTGCTAACAACTGAGTTGGTGGGATTCGTAGTCTATGTATACTCTCTCAGAGTGTAGTATAAGCAAAATGGATCATAGGGTAGTCCTATTCATTGTATATCTTAATGGAGAACATCTACTTTTACTGCGGCGGAGCAAGATTGGTGGAGGTTGCATCGTATCATCCACAGAAACTCCAGCCTGATATACTAGTCAGAATGGCTTCCTAGACAACACAGCACGTATTGACCACCTACTTTGTGGAGGGAACACACAGCCCATCATCAACGTTCTTTCTGCGAGGGACATTGCGTGTGCTAGATGATCCTGCAAGGCCAAGGAACGAGTCAATGCGCTGACCACGTCGGCCGCACCTTCGGTCACGCGTTGGCATAGGTCCACCAGGGCGGCGTAATCGAGACGCACGACGGCGCAAGCAACAGTATCTCCAAGCACTCTGTCAAACCTTCGACTGCCAGCAAGAGAAACACCACGGGGACAACAAGCTCTGGTGCATCGGTACGAAAGAGACCGGTGATCACAGCAAAGGACGGTTGCGACTGAGGGTGGTGCATCAATCTCCACTTGCCCCCAAGAGGAGACACTGGTAGAGGTTGCACTCCCCTTTTCGTTGTCTTTCCTCTTTCTGATAAGCTGTGATCATGGTTCGTTCTCACTCTTGCCATATTAATGATATAGTGAAGAATAAATTGAGCTCTTCATTTTCCCACAATAGCATCATTACCAAAATGGCTTGATGAGATATAGGAATATGTCGAAGACCGCCTTCGTAAGTCAGGTTCCAGTGGTAGAAAACGCACATTATAAATGATGCAACTATAAAAATATACACATCATGGGGCAGAGGAGGTATTAAGCCCAATTTATTCTTGTGGACTAAGTTTATAGAGAGAAATGAGGAAGAAAAGATGTGGCTAGGCGAGAGAGAGAATAAATGGAAGATGGGAAATAAAGAAAGAGACAAAGAAGGTAATTATGGCAGATCCCTCCATGCTTAAACCCCTGACTGCGCTCTTGATTGCAGCTAAGTAGCGGAAAGTAAAAAGCCATAGGAAGAAACTAACCAAAATGGCAGCAATCTATATAGATGAATGACACGGCAAGGAGATACCAAAACAAAAATGGCAGTCTAGATAGAGCACAATCCACTCCCTAATCTCTCATACCCGAGCATTAAAAGCATACCGAAGCCCAATAGTCACCTTACTCGGGTCATTCCAGAATGCCAGGAAGTCAGGATTCTGCAAAGACTCCCCGTACCTGAACGCAGCCAGCTCTGATACCTGCTCAAACCAGACACGCGCTTCCCGCACCACAAATCCATTATCGTCAAACCAGATAAACCGGAATTTCCCCGACAAGGCAGCCTCCTTGTCAAATAGGGCAATTGTACCAACGACGAGAGCCCCATGAAAGGAATCTGTCCATTTCATCCAAAACGCATGCGGCATTCCGAATTCGCCGAGTTGAACACTTTCGCTCTCGCCCTCGGATTTGGCTCCAAAGACATTTAAATTAGTATCGTTCAAGAGCCGCTGTATCTCCTTCCTGAAAGTGGAAACTTCCTCTCTGGCAGCCTCTGCAGTGAGAGAATAGTTGATCGCATCCCACTGCGGTAATTCAAGAAGCTCTGGTAAAACAGTGAAGAGCGTCTCCCATTCAAGCTCTTTAGTGTTGTCTTCAGAATCTGTAGTTGCCGGAGGAAGGCTCGTGCAAGCGAGAGCGGCCGCGATATGCGCATAGCTGACGTCGGAGTCTGGGTGATACCAAGTGCGATATAATATCAGCCCGGTAAGAGGAAGAAGATGTTGTATATCGATTCGGTATTTGCGAGTTTGGCTCAAGATTTCCCAAGATTTCAGCTCCTGCTCTCGATCACCTGGGAATTTGTCCTCGAGATATTCTCTCTTCCGTGCCATATAACTCTTTGTTGTAGACGTCCGGTTAGAATGTCCAAATGTTTCAGGAAATGCATTTACATACCAAGCGTTTCTCCATCTCCTCGTCGGCGTATTCCGAGAAAATTCCCTCTCGTTGCCTATCAGGGGTGGTTTTAAAATTAGAATCCCAATTATCCTAGAGAGATAGTAAGTTTCGCTTCCAATGGGATGAATGACTGGGTAAATTAACAACCAGAAGGTATGCGTCAGCTGCAGTGAGTGTGTACTGAGATTTTGGCTCCATGCCTCCGTGTTCGAACTGCTGTAGAGGGATTGGAATGAACAACAAATGTAGTCATAAAGATCAAGCTGATGATGATGGAGCTGAGGGTAAGGATAGAGCGTGGTATAAATGCAATAAAAAAGTTCGCGGTTTGATGATGCCCGACAATGTAGTGGTAAATCGATCCTTTGACTCTCCAACCCAGATTGCCAGGCGTTTTGGGTCGTGCTCACAGCATCATTGAGAGGATGTCCAGAATAGCAACGAGAAGGGAATGTCAAAGGGAACAAGTCGAACCATCAGACGCTAGACTTGTTTTAGAGTACCATTATGGGTGTTCTGACGGGTAAATTCTCGGCATACAAACCTAAGCCTTTGTCAACAGCTACAACTCCTGAGACAATCCACCTTGAGACAAACTACATCAAGGTCACAGCTTAGATGAGACATTTTATAGTAAGAACCATGATACATGAACAAGGGTTTCAAGTTCAACAAAGACTATGCAAGATTATGATCAAATCATTAGAGTCGTAAGATGGCACACTGACATATCTATGTACATGGCATCGAAACAGCGCTTCGCAAAAGCGTCATGGAAGGATGTGGGAAAAAGGGACCAAGTGCCCGTGCACGCCAGAAACGTTCCGTATATGCCTTGCGCCTTGAAAGAAATTGTTTCAAAAACATAGGTGAAGATAAGAAGGGTATGAAGGTGGAAGGTAGGTTAGGTAGTCAAAAACTTGGAGGCAAGTAGATGAGGCATAGGAAATTAGGTGGAAAGGAAAAGAGGGGGAAGAAGGACAAGGAAGGTTGTAGCATCGACAAAGCGTTCAAGGGGTCAAATATCAAGCTGGTGCGGTTGGGAAAGTCGCACGGCAAAAGGAGCCATTTACTCCTTCTGACCCTCGTTCTCAACCAACTCGAGCACAAGCTGACTGCGCTCATACGCGGGATGCTGCATGCAGATCTTCACAGTATGCCCGGCCGCAGCTGGCGAGGCGCCATTCGCCGAACCAGAAAAGCCGCTCATATTGCCAGCAGCAGCCTGGCCAAATGAGCCAGGCAACTTGCTGCCATCATCCAGGCAGACCACGTTATGGCCGGGGATGACCTGTCTCAACCGGCCGTTCATGGCATTGCGAACCTCGACAAAGTCATCGTTGAACAGGATGAGGAATTTGCCATGTAAACAAGCAGTGTGCGCACTACCCACAAACTCCATGACCACACTTCGAGAAACGTCACCGTGCTTGTTGACATACACCGCGCATTCCTGATAGGCAACCAAAAACTCACTCTCGCTGAGTCGGAACATACCCAGCGGACGAAGGTCCTTGATGCGCTGGGCGATGCTGTGGAGCGTGTCGGTGGCTTCTTGGTTTGCGGAGCGGAAGTCGGGTACAGACCAGGACTGCTTCTTGTCGAGGGTGAGGACCTCGATGCCGCGCTGGGTGGAGATGGCAAGAGAGGAGTGGAACATGTTGATACCATAGGACTCGGCGGGGATGTAGAATTCGTCGAACTCGCGGAAGAACTCAGTTTGGGAGCGACGGGATTGGAAGAAGCGACTCTTGTTGGAGGATGATTTTTGGAGGATGGGTTCGAGCACCTTGAAGGTCGAGGAGAGACCGTCACGCTTCTTGTACAGAACCAAGTAGCGGTCTTTCATGCGGCCTGCGGCAAAGAAGCCAACTTCGCGGTTTCCAGAGAGCTTCTGCGGAGCTCGACGAGCAGAGTCTTGCGACTGTGATGGGACGCCACTGGCGGGACACACCACATCAAGATGGTAAGCGATCAGAGACCGATCAGCAATCAACAAGAAGAGGTTAAAGTCCTCGAAGACAGCCACCTGGGTGACCCGCATGATGGGAATGGCCTGGAAAGCATGATTAGCAGGTAGACCAAATATGACAGAGAAATGAGACTTACCCGATACCACCCACGCGGGTCACTAAGATCAGACATATAGACTCCAAAATCGGTACCAACGGCACACATCATTCTACCAGGAGGCTGCTGGAAGACAGTCGCGCAATTCACACCAGTCCTGCACACAGGCGGAGGTCTAGACCCAGCCTCATACTTCTTCTCAACCTCCTTAATAGCACGGTGCAATGGCGTGCCCTTGATCATAACACTCTTCGATCCATGCGTATGATCCGAGTATGCAAACGCGGTATCTGCAAGAACCCGCAGTCTGAAAGGCTCCGCATTTTGTGAGAACAAGGCGGCGGCATGTTTGGTCTTCGCTTCGATAATCTTCTGACACCATTCAATGCGGCTATTCGCTGAGAATGCGTAGAGCGTGTAGGTGCCATTCTTGCCGAGATGCTTGATCTTGAACGGATACAAGATCTTATCGTCCTTTGAGTCCAAGGTGACCCCGGCGCCATTGGCAGAGGGACCACCGGTATGGGCCAGAGGGCTCACGGCCCCCTGGGCAGGGGTGACGGTTGCAACACCGCGCACGGATGACTTGACAACGGGGTCGTCATTGGTGCTCTCCAGCGCTAGAAGATCCATTGGGATGGGTAACTTTGAGACATCATACCGTTCATACTTGCCGATTCGTGCATCTCGAGCAGTGAATGACTTGGCCAGAACAAAGTAGTGGTCAAAAAGAATAGCATGCGTGTCGACAAGGAAGCGAGTTCGCGTACCGGGACGCTGCAGGTCACCTCGGAAGACGACTTCGCGTCCCATGTGGTCTAGATTGAGCTCGACTTCTTTCTTCATCTCCGGCCGAAGCTGGAGCTTGCTTGCAAGATCCATCAAATCGGTCTTCTTGCTCTGCTCGCCGACCTTGTTATCACACTCCAATGCAACAATCTTGATTTCCTCAATGGCTTGCGCCAGATTTGTCTTCTCCTCAGAGTCCTTGACCATGTTCTTGTGTACGGTAGCAAGTAGAAGTGTGTACCGCTGAATCCGAGTGATTGGAGCCTTGAGGAAGGTATCCCAGCTCAACCGGTTGGACAACTTATGCTCACGCACTTGATTCAAGAATGCCTTGAACTGCGGATTGCGATCAGATTCACGTCGGACATAGTGATTGGCGTGGGGGAATGTCGCAGCATAATCAATGTAAACGTTCTTTGCTTTGCGAATCCATTCGCGGAAAATGTCACTGAACCCAACAATGAAGGGACCTTGTTCCTTTTGACGATACTTGAGCTGTGCCAGAAGAAAATCCTCGTTCACCTTCTTCACTGCATCGACCTTGCCAAAGACATCTGTTAAGAACTTGTTCAGTCGCTTGGCCGAGATGATCGGGGGGTTCATGCTGGCCAGCTGGTCACGGTAGAGCTCTCGCAGGACGTCTAGCTGCCCAATGTAGGCGTCTTCGGTGGTCACGATCTCATGCAGGTTATTTTGTCGGTCGATGTCCTTCTTCGGATGTGACTCCCAGACTTCTTTGGGAACCTTGTAGAAAGTCACCCAATCCTCAATCTTCTTCTGCGGGGCCATCATCTGTGCCTTTAGGTTGACCTTCTTCAAGGTTCGCATGCAGTGATGAGAATAGCAGCGCCCATATGAGTCCGTATCCTGGATGTTCATCTCCTGCTCATGGAGTCTAGGGGAATAACATCCAGTTCCCGTAATCTGGAACAAAACACCAGAAATGCGTCCGCTGCTGAATTTGACCCATTCTTCTTCCTTGACCAGAGCCTCCTCCTTGAGCATGTTACTCACTACTCGAGCTGCAAGAGTTTCGGCATCTGCGATGTTCATCGTCGGCACCTTGTGAGTGAACAGGGCCACGATTGCATCAACAATAGCTTGCTCGCGAAGATCAGTCTCATCCTGACTCAGGTCCTTGATCCAGGCCAAAATGGAGCTCAGGGCCCACGGCTCTGTGCACTTCTTGAATTGCTCTGATGAAAGCTTGGTAGGATTGAACTTCTTGCGCCGCGCAGCAGGAATGGCCGGCAGATCCAAAGCCACAGAAGCGGCCGCCTCGGCCGAGTCAATCTTTGGCAGCTCCTTTTGCTGTAGCTGCCAAAGGTATTCCTGTTGTTGTTTATACTTCACGCGGTCCGCATCGGTCTTCGACCTGATAGGTGCATCAGTACGAGGTCCAATGGGGGTCGAAAGAGATGACGACCGCGGGACTTGAGATGGACTGAGCATTTGCTCTCCATACTGGTCCACGGACGTCGTGATGGAAGAGGGGTGTCTATACTGTTGATGACCCTGCATCTCGTCCTGCTCCGGCGGTCGATACGTGCCTGCGGGCATCAAATGGCTGTAAAGATCCGCACCGCCAGCGGGCTCGACTGGTGCGGGCGGTAGTGGGCGCATGCCGGGATGGAAGAAAAGATCCTCAGGTACACCGCCGTGGGGGCTCTCCTCGCCCGATTGATATCCATCCTCTTGCTGCTGCTGTTCGTACGGACTTTCGGCGTCTTCGCCATAATCGAAGCTCATCCGTCGGCCGTAGTGTCCAGGCGCAGAGAGGCCACCCGTACCTCCAGCGTCCACGCGGGCGTCGGACGGGAGATGATGCAAGCGATTCGCATACTCATATGCAATCGGAGGATGTTCGTAGTCGTCATAGTACTCTCCACGCTCATCGGGGGATATGTCGGAGCTTCTGAAAGAATCATGAGTGCGTTGGAATCCCCCACCCGTCGCAGCCTCCGAATGCTCCTCAGAGCTGTACACGGGCTCTTCTCCGTAATGAAGATTTCCCTGGTAGCCTCCCTCATAGAGCGCGAGATCATGACCAATAAAATCACCGTCTTCCTGGGCCATAGAGTGGGGTGAAGGCCCTCGTGAAGACGGCTGTCGCGGGGATGCATATTGCGGCGACGGTCCTCTAGCCGATGTTTGAGAGCCATGTGAACGAGAGCTCATCACTGAAGCATTCGTGGACCGTCTGCGGTTTTGCATACGCTCGCGCTCCTGTCGGGCTTGTTCCTCCTCTTCTGCCATACGCAACATCGCAAGTCCTGCTTCAGCCTCGGCCTCGCTGTCATCACTATAAGCGCCGTAATTGATCTGGAACTCGGAGACGTTGCCGTTGGTGTGGGTATGCTGCTCGTCTGGTGATAGGCGCACATGCGAACCCGAGCCATTGTACGACGTCCTCGAGCTGTGGCGCCGGGAAAACGTCGCCTGTGTGTCCATCACTGCTGTTTCGAGTTCCTTCATCAATTCGTCATTGTGTGCGTTGCCCGGTCGCGGTTGTCCGTGGGATCCATTAAAGTCGGGCTCCGCGTCTACTGGTGGACCGGGCAGAGGTCGGGCTTGCGGGTGTCTGTTCAAGGTTTCTGTTCGCCGGGGAGGCAGGATAGGAAGGTCCTGCTGCACAGGAGGTGTGGGGAGAGTTCTCGCAGAAGCCGAATGGGGGATACCGGTCCGTTTACCGTAGAGCCCATTTCCTTGAGGTTGATGGGCGGGTGGCTCCGGCGGTTGCTCTTCATAGCTGCTGTTCACCGGGGGAATCGTAGGAGCCGGGTATGGCGAGTCGGAGCCGAACCCGGCCGTAACGGGGAAGTAGGGACGGGACGTAGACAGAGGGTTATATGTGCCTGATGGGGAGTTGGACGTCGCAAAAGTGTTCGCAGTCGGCGATGAAAGTGGCTGATAGGAGGTGGAAGAAGTGATCATAGTCGGCTGGCCTGAAGTCACCGGCGATGACCCGTACGGAGAGGGTCGACTTCCGTATGGATGGTCCGCTCCACGAGGAGGGGGTAGTGGTGGCTGCTGCTGGGAGGAGAACCCATATGCCTGCGGGGTAGGAGGAGTCGGTCCATAATGCGAGGCTTCGCTTGGTCGTCGCGCAAGAACGGGTGAGCTCAAGCCCGCAACCGCGGACGGCTGGTACGCCGCGGGGTTATAAGGCTGATGGCTCGAAACGGTATTCGTGTAGGGCGCATTGTTGCTGGGGGCAGTATAAGTTGAGGGGTTATAGCTGAGGTTCGGCTGTGTCTGCGACTGCGGTAGGCCATATTGCTGAGGGTTGTACGCAGGCTGACTCGAGGATGCAGGGTATCGGTAGCCATAGCTAGAGGCACTCGTGTGCGACGAGGCGCGAGTAGGCGACATTCGAGACTGGTCGGATGGAGTGCGTGAAAACACCGACGATTCACGATCATCCTCGTACCCTCCCGGGGCGATGTTGTAACCTCCCTGTCCTACGCCGTATCCACTGCTCTGCACCGAGTATCTTGCGTTTGCGTCGGTCGGTCGCGCATTGTGGACTCGGGAGGTGTTAAGCTGCGAGTCATCCCCGGCATTGTAGCTTGGCATACGTCTCGGCAACTGCTGGTTCTGGGCGGGATTTTGCTGAGGGACGTATGTTTCGTAGCGACCGGTCGCGGCTTGAGAGGTGGTCGGGGGGTTGCCAGGCTGACCGTAGTATGCCTGGTAACCATTGGGATCCGCCATCGCTGAGATGGGCCAAAGAGATCACGCCCAGGAGCTGATCGGTGTGGCGATCTGCGCAATGCGGCCCTGTCAAAATTCCAGTGCCGTCCTCGAGCAAGGCCGGCAACGCGAGGGTAATCGACAAGCACCAAACGCTGAGGTCGCAATTTCAGGCTCGCCGAAATGAGGGGGACGCGGGCGAATGACGAACTGCCGGAGAGCAGCAGCGTACGATGAGCATGCCCTGAGAAACGAACGACGGAAAAGAGGAAAGGATGGGGGAGGTCGAAATCCGTGATGAAGGGTGAACACAGAGCCGAGGGTAGGAGGTGGAATGCGGAGGAGAAGATTAATGTTGGGGGGGGAACAAGTCGAGTAGTGGTTCAAGTCCGTCTGGCTCGGGCGCTGGGCTTAGGAGGTTTACTGTGGATTTGGGACTTGGGGGGGTCTCAGTTGGGTGATTACTTAGTTAAGGGTCTACCTAACGTATTCAAACTTCAGTAAAAATAAATTCTCCGCTATAGCTATTTACATCTCAAACATCTTCATCTTCATCTTCCTTTTTTTCTTTCCTTTCCCAGGGTGGACTCGTAGACCAGCCAGCTATGGACAATCCTGATTGTACTACGGGCCGGTGACGTGTAAAAAGCATGCTGTTCAGCTCTTATAGGAAGGCACTTTTGGGGTCTATTTCCACGTGTCTCTCTTTTTATTGAGCCTCCAACATTCGGTGACTAAAAACCAAAGTAGGGTCCCTGGTAAATTTCCGGGGCAATCTGGAAAACGCAATCCCATAAAGAGACCCTAGTCTCGACATGGCGATAGCTCCGCACGCGATACTTTAGTACAGTACTATTCCTTCCAACATAAGCCCCCTGACCAGACAGAACGAAGACTGGAATTTAGTCATCTTGAATCAACCTTTGGTGAATTCATGCTCTATATTGGATTATTTTCCATACGTGTAGCCTATAACTCCATCAATTTACATTTTTCCCACCTGACAATTAGCCCCACCATTTAATTAGTTCGGTTTGCCGTTGCAAGGCTGAGAGACTGGAGAGGCTAAGCCACTCTTGCGACCCACCAGTCATGGTAGCTGCACGGAAATGTCCATGGATGGGGCAAGCCACTGACTTCAGCCGGGACCTTCTCCTGTAATCTTAGAATCTGGATGTACAATTATAGATAAGGTTGGGAATGGCGAATGTTAGGCAGGGTGGGGGATTCATGGGGATAATGTGCATCTTGCAGAAGCTCCAGTGCCAGTCCTTCTCCGAACATTATCAACCTTACGAAGCCATGACCTACTGCTGAAAGCCTACCTAAGATTTAGTGTACCGCCAAGAGCTATAGTATTGCCAAGATTGAGAGTAAAATATATTCCGTCGGGGGACATTGTAGGAGGTGGTCGGCAATAGTGTACTCCCACCCTACCAGAATTCGGTGCATCGTCGTTACTAAAAGGAGTCATATTCTATTCAGAATCAATCATTTAAACCATCAGATCCAAGGTCATGTCAATTACTATTGCTATCACTCTAGAGGGGGTGATCAAAATTCCTTGCTGTTGCCCATTAATGTAAGCTACATAAAGGCCTAGGTCAAGAGAATGTCTTTATCCAGGCCAATTCTTTCCAAGTATATGCGGTTTGATAGAAGGAACGAAACTATAACCCAATGGTACACGTCTCAGATTATATTCATTATCGCTTTAATCTTGATTGAGATCAAGTTCATGGCCTAGCTTCGTCTCTCCGAGTCTAGTATATTGTTTGGAGTATTGTATTTGTATTACGATGTAATCGGACGGCTTCCTTCTTTCTGCCGCTAGATCCACCGAATTACTAAGGAGGACTATGTGGTGTAGGCGGTGTATAAAGCGGTAAGGGGTTATGATATTTTGATCAGTACTCAGAGGAGAGAGTAAGTGAATCAAGATAAGAGATCGTATTTAACATAATAAAGCAAGAATTATAGCAGTAATTGGAGGGAACGGCCACATTAACATTGAATTTTTCAAGTATACTACTAAACCCCGAGGCCAATGCCCGTAGATCGTTAAAGCGACAGTCACGTGAGGCCGACCCGCGCATCGACGTGCCCCCGAGAGCCACATTCCTTCAACGCTACTGGTTCCACCATCTCTCCCCCCCCCACTTATCTTAACCCCAATTTCAATCCCGACTGGTCTCCGAATCGTTTCAGGTATTACATACAGTGCTATTACTGCCAAACGGCAAGTAGTAGTTTACTCACTTCCTTCACCTTATATCATGGGTTTGAGGGCTAACCATCTCTCTGGCGGGGTAGATCAGTCCCAAAATGGAGCTCACGGTCGTGGGCGATTTCCCTCTGTCTGAGGGATCGAAGCGGTTGGCGTCTGAAACGGGTATGGTTCATCTCGTACTTTGTGATACTGATTAACCGCGCTGACCAGTCCCCGTATAGTGCCAACTGCAGATCACCCAAGCAAGAGACTACGGCAGTCATCCGAGACGCCGCAGTTGATGACTGAAGCCACTTTGAGCCAGGGTGTTGATGAAGTCGAACACCGCCAAGCAGGACCACCCGCGTGGAGCAATGTTCGTATATATCCCATCATCTTGTTCAACTCATCTTCTATATTGGGTAATTTTACTAATTCTTTACATAGAGTCGCCAACAGATCGGTGACACCATCGAGTGGTTCCACTGCATGCAAGGCGGAGCTGCTCATAATGGTCTGAAGTGCACTGGTGTCCTCCTGGATGCTGACAATGGTGAACGCTCGCTTATGAGCGACGAAGTCATCATTACTCGCACGTGAGTTGAAGATCTGTGTTATACCAGTCTTGTCTGACTTTATCCAGGGGCGGTGATTGTACAGGAGCCGGACAAACCCTTAGTCTCAAACAGAACCAGTCCCCAAAGGGCATCATCATCAGATCAATCATGGCTAGTCTTCGAGCTAAGAAGCCTGTGGGAGTTATCGTTGGTAAGTTACTCGAAACTTCTTACACGACGAGGCTTTCAAATTGACCCAATTGCATATAGGTGTGAGGAATGAACTCCTAAAGGTCAAAATCCCACACCGATACTGTGTCATGGACTGGTTTCTTATCACCAATGTATGGATGGAGAAAATGGGCAAGTATGCGGGTTTCCGATTTCGTTTGGAGAAGCTGGATCTATCCACCAAAGGATGGTGGGCAGAGCAGGGACCAAATGAAGAGCTTCCTCTCGCTCCTCGCAACTTGAACCGTCCCCCACCAACCCGGGAGTGCAGTGTGTGTGGCAAGCCAAGCATACAAGTCTACATCCGACCTGGGTGGATGTGTCTTGAGCCATCATGCCGGAAATTCTGGAAAATTGGGAATAAGGAGCCGAAGGAGTTTGAATACCACCCTGATTTCCTTAACTACCGCCACCCCAGAGGTCCCGACATCCCAAACTCTGGTCCTTTGGTCAACGTGGTAGACCGAAACCTTGAGCCACCAGAGGGAGTTGCCGATCGTGAGGAATGGAGAGGCATTGTTTGCCCAGAATGCCGAAAGTGCATCCAGCGGGTGACCTGGGATGCCTGGGACTGCACGGATGATGCCCTACGTGAGCCTGAAGAGACCTGTTGCTACAGGGTTGTGAGAAGAATCCGCGAGATTCCTCTGCAATCTATCCTCAAAGGCGTCAGGCCCTACACTCGGCGCCAGCTGCAAGCTAGCATTCAACCCGTCATCGACAAGCGCTCACTCGAGCCATACGAACTACGCACTTACGAAATCCCCAACGGTGGTTCGATCACGCACTTTGTTTCAAACCCCACCATCAACGAGCGTGCAGATGGCCCAAATCATCTGTTCAGCGAACTTCAAAGGCTCGACCTAGGCCTTAAACGCTACCCACTTGGGTCTGCTCAAGGTGAGAACGAAAAGGAGGGCGGAGGAGCCGAATCGCATCCACGCCATTTACCTGTGTCATCTAAACGCAAGTCATCTAAACGCAAATCATGTAAAAAGTCTACTTGTCGCGGTATTATTTGATTTTACCTTTCCTTCAGGCACTCCAGCCAGAATCATGCTAACAATATCTATAGTGAAAGGGACACTTACATGTCACTTTGCTGTGAACTATGTAAGCTACTAACCTCTAACGCGGAAAATCGAAATATTAACTGGTGCATAGGGTGTCCCCTACAAGTATGTTGTCTCTGTGGAATCCAGGGCTTTTAGTGATGCCCCTGTCCCAATCCTCACAGCTTTGGGTCGCCTGTCTTGGGCAACTGAAAAGGCTGTCACTGGCGCCGGGGGTCAGTATCAGGCACCCAATGAACTGCTTGCGCTTGGGTATTTCGAACAGATGAGCATCGGAGTGAGTCAAACTTCTTCCAAGGTACACTACTTTGATGTGTTCTGATTCGGTGCTTCTTAGTTTCATGACGATGGCGAGAAAGGCCTGGGCCCAACCATTGCGACACTCTCCTTGGGAACCCGGTCACGGATGCACATCCGAATGAAGGACAAATACTACTTTGGGATCAGCAAAAGTCATGTTGCTACCTCAGATGACCCTGTCCTGCCAGGTTGCATCAACGAAAAGGAGCGGCGATCTCTCAAGAAAAGTTTTGACAAGGGTCAAATCACCGCGGAGGATTTTGCAGCCCAGAGGGTAGCTATGCTACGCAGACCCGGGTCACGACACAGCCCGAAATTGCTGTCGCTCGAGTTGAAACATGGTGATCTCGTCGTGATGCATGGGGCAGCTCTGCAGAAGTACTATGAGGTTCGTCATATCCAAGCCTTATGAAGGCGGCGAGTCATTCGACTAACATGAGCAGCATGCGGTGGAACCCGACAACGGCCTACGGTTTGCGCTTACTGCACGGTACATCGAGACCAACAGCGACATGGATCGCATCAAGGGCTCATTCAAGCTTCAGGACAATCAGATTTACGACGGGCAGTGATGGCAATCGAACACGACAGCATTTTACGGAGTTTTCCGGCACTCCTTGCAGCGTTTACCTGGAGTTGAGAGCATGCTTTGCCTGTATTATAGTCCTGAGCCGGACTTTTGGATTTTGTTTGCTTTCGTTTGCAGTTTTCAGTGGACGGTGGACGGCAAAAAGGTCAACAATTCGTTGTTGACCAACTTTTGATTTTTAGTGAATAGTTCTTATGATCTTGTGAGCTCAGGCTCTTAATGAAGACATGTTTATGATTCTCTTCAAGGAAATAGAGCTCAAGCCACCATAATTAATGAGTATGAATACCGATGTCAGCTATGGACCAAAGAGGAAAGCCGAATGTACTAAGAGTTCCGGCAGTGTTCTAGTATGTTAACAAAAGTTGGGTTAATGATAAAACTATTCAACATAGATTTACTCAAGGCAAGTGATCTACAGACACTATCATTGTCATCGTGGGAAATCCTCCAGATCCAGCGCTATGATAATTGTCGGCACCGCCATACTCGAGTTCCCAAGCTTTGAACACCCTCGGCCACGGCACATCCGAGGCAAAACCGCCCGTGCTCCACTCAAGAATCATTAAAATTGGACCATATTAGCGTCATGACCCACCCTACACTGACTGCAGAGACGTCCAAGCTGTACGAGAACCACCAGCAGGATACAATCAGGCCTATCAAAGACCCGGGCTCCGCCTCACAAAGATTCCATTATCGGGTCCCTCGGCTACCCCTTTTCGGCTTTAGAGAACCAGTGAACTCCGTCCAGAACGAGAGGCGCTCAAGGTCATTTAGACATTTACCCAAGGGTCGCTGCTTTACCGACTTCCCCGCACGGAGAATTCCCCGGATTCCTTCCTCGGGCTTAATTTCTCCAACCCTCCCCCCTTCACTGGACCTTTCTCTTTCGACTCTTCATTCTGTGCATCATTCCCTCCCCGACAGATTGTCAGTGTCTGGACCAAGCGGTTTCTAATTACAGGTCGCCATTATCGTCGCAGTCGCGCATTTTCGCCCTCGAGTTATAGATCAGTCCTCAATTGAGTGACACCATCGCCGAGGTCCAAGCATAACCGAGTCACGATGGTCTTCCTGCCTGACCAGCGATTTGGTTCGCTGGGACACGTCCCAGATGACGTTCCCATCAACGAGTTCATGCTGAATGAGAAGTATGGACGAGTGCCACATGCCCAATCGAGGGACCCCTACACCTGCGGCTTGACGGGGGAGACGAGCTCGTCGCGCGAGGTCGTGGACCGAGTTGATCACATTGCGCGAGGGCTCGCGAAGGAGTTTGGATGGTCTCCCAACCAGGGAACGGAATTCGATAAGACGCTGGCTGTCTTCAGCGTGAACACGGTACGTTGGAAAGCACCGGCTTGAGTAAGGGAAGAAGTAGCTAAACTTTGGCTTTGTAGATTGACTCGTTGCCTTTCTTCTGGGGTGTACACCGACTGGGCGGTGTTATTTCGCCCGCTAATGCAGCCTACTCGGCCGCCGAGCTGAAGCACCAGATTTTAGATTCTGGCGCAAAGGCTCTTTTCACCTGTGTTCCTCTCCTGTCGGTCGCTTTGGATGGTGCGGCCCAGGCTGGGTTGCCCAAGAACAAGATCTATTTGATTGATGTGCCAGCCCCTATTCTGGGAGGTGTGAAGGCCCCGACCGAATTCAAATCCGTCTCCCAGCTGGCGGAAGCTGGCAAGTCGCTCCCTGCGCTGGAGCCGTTGAAGTGGGGACCTGGAGAGGGAGCGCGACGCACTGCATTCCTATGCTACTCCAGTGGAACTTCTGGTTTGCCGGTACGTTTGTAGGATCGGATTCGCACGAGAGCGACCGCCAGGAATCATGCTAATACTCCGTCTAGAAAGGTGTGATGATCTCCCACCGCAACGTTATCGCCAACACGCTGCAGATCCAGGCGTTCGAACGGAGCCATCGTGATGCAAAGCAACCCAAGGATGGAAAATCTGTGTACTCAGACGTCAGCCTCGGTTTGCTCCCGCAAAGTCACATTTACGCATTGGTCGTCATCTGCCATGCTGGTGCCTACCGTGGGGACCAGATCATCGTCCTGCCCAAGTTTGAGCTCAAGTCATACCTCGCATCGATTCAGAAGTTCAAGATCACTAGTCTCTTCCTGGTTTGTCTTCTCCATCTCTAGTTTTGGACGATCGCTAATTATGCCAAAGGTTCCTCCAATTATTATCAACATGCTCCGCAGCCAGGACGTTTGTTCCAAGTATGATCTGAGCACTGTGAAGACTCTTTTCACGGGAGCTGCGCCATTGGGTATGGAGACTGCGGCCGACTTTTTGAAGATCTACCCCAATGTTCTTATTCGCCAAGGATACGGTAAGACCCAATGACCACCGAAGCGAAAGTCAGCATCTCACACTTAACTGCACAGGTCTCACCGAAACGTGTACCGTTGTCAGCTCTACACACCCTGATGATATCATGCTTGGCTCCTCCGGTTGTTTGGTCCCTGGCTTCGAGGCCCGCATCGTGTCTCCCGAGGGCCAGGAGATTACCGCCTACGATACCCCCGGTGAACTGGTTGTGCGCTCCCCCAGTGTGGTGCTGGGATACTTGAACAACGACAAGGCCACCAAGGAGACATTCGAGGATGGATGGATGCGCACCGGTGACGAGGCTGTCGTTCGCAAGGGACCCAATGGGACAGAGCATGTCTTCATCGTGGACCGCATCAAGGAGTTAATCAAGGTCAAGGTTTGTAGCGCCATCCGTATACACACTTTGTTACCCCGGCTAATCCCACCCAAACAGGGTCTGCAAGTAGCGCCCGCCGAGCTCGAAGCACACCTCCTCACCCACCCCGCCGTGGCAGACTGTGCCGTCATCGCCATCCCTGACGATGCAGCCGGCGAACTCCCCAAGGCAATCGTCGTCAAGTCAGCCTCCGCCGGCTCCGATGAAGCCGCCGCCGAAGCGATCAAGAAGCATGTTCAGGATCACAAGGCTCGGCACAAGTGGTTGAAGGGCGGTGTTCGCTTTGTGGATGCTGTTCCCAAGAGTCCCAGTGGAAAGATCTTGCGCCGTCTGCTGCGTGATCAGGAGAAGGAGGCCAGGAGAAAGGCTGGTGCGAAGATCTAGAATTCCTTTTTGGTTTTTGTGGCGATGCACATATCTTGATTTGTGTCGCGGGTTTGAGCGAGAGTATATGTTGGTCATGTCTGTCGTATAGCGAATAGAAATATATACTGAACCATCTGGACCGGGCATTTTCATAAAAACATCGAGACTATATTTTAAAGACCTCGAACAACCTTAATGAGGTGACATCCCGGGCTTCATCGATGGAAGAAACCCATGGTGGTCCTGTGTATGTTGGAAGAGAGATGTTGGGAAGTAAATATACCTTATTCAGACGGGAACTTTTCCAGCTAAGCTCGGAAGTAAAATATGCAAGGATATCCTGTCAAAGACAGAGATACAACCTCCGAAATATCTTCAACGCAGTTATGCAGTACCTTGCATGCTTCTGCACTAAGCCGAGCTCGGCACGGCACAAACCCCGCTGTCCCCTCATAGCTTATGACCAGTGAACTAACTACCTGGATCCCCGCCCTTTACCGAATCGCAAGACATATTCATTAGTATCTTGGCGATACACAGTGTTCGAATTATCTGCGTGACATCCAAGCGTCAGATCGGCGCTTCTACCTACCAATCCATCGCGCAAGCCCAACACTATCAGGATGCCAATAAATCCACCAAGCGATCCCACTCTCTTCAAAGACTTCGAGGTCAATGACTTTGTCTACAAAACTGTTGGCGATCATGATATTGGATTGTCAATTCTAGTCCCGAAGAATCTGTTGTCCGAGGCGAACAGCTCGCATGGAAAGAGACCTGTCATCACTCGATTCCATGGAGGCTTCTTGGTTGGAGGCACCCGCACGTACACCGACTGGTTTCCCAAGTGGTCTGTTCAGTTCATTCATTACCGATGATCTTCTCACTTAGAGCTCTCACTGACATTGAAAACAGGCTCCTGGAATTAGCCATCTCTCGGCAAGCAATCCTAGTCACACCAGACTACCGGCTATTGCCCGAGTCTAGTGGCCTAGACATTCTCTCTGACCTAGACTCCTTTTGGTCCTGGATGCAAAATGATTTCGAACCGAGCCTTTCGAGCGCTTATCCTTCTTCCACCATAAAACCTGACCTGGGCAAGATCCTTGTAGCAGGTGAAAGTGCTGGCGGCTATCTCGCCGCACAAAGCATGCTACTTCATCCGGAGGTCAACATGGCAGCTGTCATTTTAGTCTATCCGATGGTCCATCTTCGTGATCGATTCTGGGATGAGAGCTATGAAAAGCCAATGTATGGTTCATTACACGTACGTCAGCACGCAATGTCCTACAAAAGCATAGCTAATCTTGTACCACCAGCTACCGTTCGACAAAGTCGAGCAGCATCTCCGCGAACTAACGGACGGGCCAATCGTTACTGCCGACGAAAGACTCGAGAGAGGAGCAGAGACAAACCGGAGCGATATAGCAGTCCGAATCGTCCAGAATGGGAAATTCTTGGACTTCCTTGGTAGGCAGTCAGAGGTGTTTCCCGTGGAGAATATCTCTAGAGCGACCAAGTTGCCGTCGCTTATTTGGATTTTCCATGGGAAGCAGGATACGGCAGTACCGTTCTATGGAAGCGAACGGTTTGTTGAAGAGCTTCGCACCGAGAAGCCAGGAGTGAATGTCAGATTTGAGGGGTATGATGGTGATCATGGGTTCGATGATGATGCAGTCATTTCGGAAGGATGGATGAAAGACGGAATGAGTGAGGTGGGTAAGTATTGGTAAGAACTGACGTAGATATAGATCGACTTGAGGATATCCTGTCCATGTTGTCCCTAAGATGTGATGCCATCCTGTTGATAGAATCCCCGATAAGAGATAAGATGTTTGCACTGTTTGCCGATCGCGGGGATGCGGATTTCTAAGCGGGGAGGTGGACAGAAAAAAAAAGAATCAGCTACAGCTCACTCATTCCGCCACCCATTACGATAAAATTCGAGATACCCGGCCCTTGAACCTTTCATTTCCTTTGAATAAAAAGAATCTGCCGCTTTTCGGCTTGCAGATCGACTCCATAGGTCCCTAGTCTGGACCTCCCAGATATCATCCTATCAACCACTCCGAGCATATACACAACTTCAACTCCATTCTTCAATCATGTCGTCCCAAGATCCCCGCCGCGAGGGTGAAGAGGACGCATATGTTGGCGCAGATGAGGCCGAGGAGGTTTTCAACGTTGATGAGGACCATCCTATGGACTCTGAAGGCGAAGACGAGGACCAGCCTATGACCTACGAGGAGGAGCTCACTTTCCAAAACGACTCCGCAGCACACTTCGACGCTCACAACGATTCCATCTTCTGTGTCGCGCAGCACCCAGTCCACAACAACATCGTTCTCACCGGTGCCGGTGACGATACTGCCTTCATTTTCGACTCTACGCCGCCCGAGAAGCCCGTTCTCCCCCGGAGCTACGAATCAAACCCCCAGCCGCGCGAGCGCGAGTCTCAAGTTACCCTGGCCAAATTGGATGGTCACACCGATACCGTCAACGCGGTAGCTTTCACCGAGCCTGCCGGTGAATATGCCGTGACAGCGGGTCTGGATGGCAAGCTTCGCGTGTGGCGGGATACCTCGGCCAGGAACCGTGGAGAAGCCTGGGAGTTTGTGGCTGAGGCCCAGGAGGTGGAGGAGATCAACTGGGTTGCAGTTTGCCCCTACCAGCAGGGCAACGAGGAGAAGCGCAACGTCATTGCCATTGGTGCCAACGACGGTAGCGCCTGGGTGTTCCGCATCGATGCTACGGATTCGCAGCCCATCTCCATGGTTCAGACTTTCTTCCAGCACACCGCGTCCTGCACTGCAGGTGCTTGGACGGCCGATGGTAACTTGCTTGCTACCGTGTCCGAGGATGGAAGTTTCTACGTTTACGACGTGTTCGGAGCTGCTGCCGCTGCTGGTATCTCCGGGTCCCCTGGTACCAACGTCGTTGTCGGCTTGACCGCCGAGGACCAGCGTTTCGCCGTGGAGGGAGGCCTGTACTCGATCGCCATTTCGCCTGGCGGCGGTATTGCGGCCGTTGGTGGTGCTGAGGGTCACATCAAGGTCGTTGGTCTTCCCCGACTTTCTGGTGGCCCTCAGGCTGCCAAAGGTAAGGGTGCTCAGTCGGCCACTACTTCTGCTGCCGGTACTATCCTTGCCGATCTCCAGGCTCAATCGGATGGCATTGAGACTCTTTCCTTCTCTCAACCCCCGCTTACTCTTCTCGCTGCCGGCTCTGTCGATGGCTCTATTGCGCTGTATGATGCCGCTCATCGCTTCGCTGTTCGCCGTCACATCCGGGAAGCCCACGAAGGCGCTGCCGTTGTCAAGGTCGAGTTTTTGTCGAGCCGGGCACCGACTTCGGCTCCCCGACCCGGTGCCGCCGCGTCTGCTACTGCAGCACGCTCCTATCTGCTTACCTCCGTCGGACTCGATGGTGTTGTCCGGCGGTGGGATGCCCGCGGCGGTACTACCGCTGCTGCCCAGGGTCTGTTGAAGGAGTGGAGGGGACACATGGGTGCTTCCGAGAACGAAGAGGGTGAGCAGGCCGGTGGTATCATGGGTTTTGTCCAAGGACTGGATGGCAAGCGCATTGTCACTGCTGGTGATGATGGCATTTCCTTGGTCTTTGAGGAGGAGTAGAGGAGATGTGGTTTTATAGAGGAGTTATGTTGCCCACGTATAGTTTGGGAAGTTTATGATATCATGTTACACCAGCCATAGAGGGGTCATCTGGGGTCAACATGTGGCCGCCTTTGAACCCATCTGAAATGAAAAGTCAATCATTTGATCTGTTCAAGTACAATATCAATTGTTAGTCGGGGAGAACAGGAGTGGTTGTTAGAACAAAAAAAAGGACTTGTTGTAGTAATTGAACATAGACTATTTACACTCGACAAATGCACCCATAGCGCCGTCTGCAAGCCACCTCATATAAAAGAGCTGGCAGGTTCCACCTCAGACCACGAACACTGTTCCGGGTGACGACGCCGTCACTGCCACCATGGCAATGACCTGATTTCTATGACTCTTGCTGGAATAACACGGCTCGGTCTCGTCGGTTGGGGGTATTCATTTTTCCACTCGATTTGTTTGGTCGGTCGGCGGATTTCTCATCTACTCCTCCTCAGGCAGAACCACATCTAGTGGTGGGCCTCGCCGTGGTGGTGCTCCTCCTTGAGGAACAGGTGCTCATATGCGCAGTAGGCAGTGAAAGCAACGGTCGCGATGCCCAGACCGGGGAAGAGACCCTTGAAACGGTTCCACCGGGTGAATGGGCCAGTGTAGCGCCAGGTCTCACTAAGGAAGACGTTAGAACGAGTCTCCAATTCCAGCTTAGATGACCGGGTAATCGAGAGCATACTTGCGAGCCCAGGGATCCCGCTTAGCGTAGACCGAGGACGGGGAGGCCGCAGCCTTGAATTGGGCAATGTCGAAGCCGGTGGGGTTTCGGGCGGGCATGATTGCGAATGTGAGAAGGAATCGAGAAGAGAAAGAGAGACGAGGGAGGGGAGCGCAGGCAATCTCGAGGTGAAGCCACAGAAGAAGGACGTGAAGCCCGGAGCGGTGCGCTTGGCAGAATGCAGGCACGCTATACCCGATACGGAGGGGGGATAGCTCTCCCGCCTTTCGAGGGACGAAACTGACCCTCACATCCATGCGCACTCTTCAGCTCACACCACAATGCCCCCTCCTCCAGGCAGATTCGGGCCCCAGGCCTTAGGCGCTCCTTATACGCTTCAACAAGCTCATCTTCAGTCCCAACATCCTGCCCACGCCCAGTCCGCCAACACCGCTCTACCTCCCCCTTCGCTCGGTGGCCATCCTGGTTTCGCCGGAAATCCGAATACCAATATGAACCCCTTCACCTTGTCCAGTGCCGGCGTGGCGAATGGCATGTCAGTCGCTGGGTTTGGAGGCGCCGGTGCTGATGGTGGTGGCACCGGACTTGCCAGCCATGCGGCTCAGATGGGGTTCGCGCGTGGAGCACAGATGCAACAACAGCAACTAAGTCAAGGTCATGATGGGCGATTATCACTCGATGCAAAGGCTGGCGCTGTCAAGACTCGGATTCGCGATGTATGGAAACACAATTTGGCCCATGAAATGGCCGTTTTGAGACAGCTAGTGGACAAATACCCATATATCAGCATGGTAAGGCGCCAAACACCGATTCCTCGAGGGTTCTACGGGGTAGAGGATCTCTTGTGGGGATGAGATGGATACCTCTCTCCTTTTTCTCTATAAACGCCTGGACTGATCGAATTATTTATCAATTAAGGATACCGAGTTCCCAGGAATTGTTGCGCGCCCGATTGGATCGTTCACGAACAAAGCCGACTACCATTACCAAACCCTCCGATGCAATGTCGATTTGTTGAAGATGATCCAGCTTGGGATCACTTTGTTCAATGAAGATGGGGAGGTTCCTCCAGCTACAGCCACGGATGCGAATGGTCAACCATACGGCAATGCGATGATGCCCGCACCATGCACATGGCAGTTCAACTTCCGATTCTCATTGGAGGGTGACATGTATGCACAGGAGTCAACGCAGATGCTGGCCAAGTCCGGAATTGATTTCAGCCTGCATGAGAAAAACGGCATTGATCCCTTTGAATTTGGTTCATTGTTGATCAGCTCCGGGCTTGTGCTGCTTGACGATGTGCACTGGGTCTCTTTCCACTCTGGTTACGACTTTGGTTACCTGATGAAGATCATGCTTTGCTCTGCCTTGCCCGAAAACGAAGAGGAGTTCCATAAGCTTCTCACCATTTTCTTCCCATCTCTCTACGACATCAAATACCTCATGAAGCACGCCGGTCGCAACCAAGCAGTGAATGACTCCCCTCTCACACAAGCTGCCGCCCAGATCCTTACCAACCTCGGCCAAAAATCGGGTCTCCAAGACATTGCGGATGAGCTGGGTGTCAAGCGTATCGGTATTGCCCACCAGGCCGGATCCGATTCCCTGGTCACCGGCGAGATCTATTGGAAGATGCGCCAGTTGGTCTTCAATGGCAAGATTGACGAGAGCAAGTATTCAGGACAGATCTGGGGTTTGAATGGACAAATGCCCGCAATGAACTACCACATGGCCCAGCAGACACCGAATCTCAATGGAGCCACCATCTATTCCGCCGCCGGAACGCCCAGCACTCCCAATAACTCCCACACACCTCAGCATCACTCTGGCTACCCAACGCCCGGCCGATAGAATATGCGATACGAACAACGTGGAAGGAATTGGGAGGACTGATTTCATACGATTTGATGCATGTACATAAGCACAAGGACCCTGTGCTGGTTTTCTTTCAATCTCTTCGGCATCGTCTTCTCTCGCCTGTCGCTTTTGCATAGGTCCCATCATTCTTTTTAGTAGGGATCTTTCTGTGCGTCTGGGGGAGGTGTTCTTTTCGGGGGTATCGGGAGGGTGTACGGTGTTTTTCTTTTTCTTTCCTTTTCTGCCATACATTTTTATTATTCATCCACCGTTGTTACCTCTTCTTTCTCTGCTTGGTGAATCTGGCTGGTACCTGAATCCATGTGCGAGGCGTTTGGGTCTTTCCGGCCTTCTTTTGCCTGTTTGCTATGGTGTCAATTGCTTTCTATTCTTATAGGTAGAGTGGACTGGGGACTCTCTCATGTACAGCGGGAACTTGAAATGCTTCTTCAATGCCAAATTGGCGTCAAATATTCTCCTCGAATACTCCGTAAGAGTTGGAAGGTTCGGTTTCCGAGAGCTGTTACTAATATCCCTTAGTACTAGAATTATATCGCTAAGAATACCGTTTCCGCATTGAGGGACAGGATGCGATCTTGCGAGCCCCGCGTTACAAATAGCATGAGTAACGTTCGCGAGCCAGCGGAGTCTTATCTGCTCGCAAGCATCGGGTTGCCTCTTTGGAGTGCTCGATGCATAGACTATATACGCTAAACTAAATCAGGCAAAGGGATCCGGCCTCCGCAAATGGCGGTTTCTTATCTAATCGATACAGCTGGGGAGCTTGACGGATGTTGGGGGGGTTTGATACATTTATAACCATGTGCTATCCCATGGAGAATACTTGAATCAAGTTCATTCCAAGGATACCGTGGTCATTGCCTATCGACACATTGGTGGCATTTCTCCCACCCGAGCTCCCTCCCTATCCTATCCGCTATATACTTCCTTACCGATCTACATCCGACCTTTAGCTCGACACACATCACTCGCACAACAATATGGTTCTTGATCGACTCCAGCAGTTGACCCATCAGGTCACTGCGACAGCTGCACCCCCTCATCCTCTTGATCCTCTCTCTTCAGCAGAGATTGATGCTGTGGTCGCCATTATCCGAAAGGAATATGGCTCGCTCAACTTCAACGCGGTCACTCTTTATGAGCCCCGAAAGGCCGAGATGATGGCCTGGGTGGCAAACCCAGAGACTGCCCCTCGCCCAGTACGAAAGGCCGATATAGTTGCCATTGCGCCTGGCGGCAAGGTTTACGATGGTGTGGTTGATCTCGAGAACAACAAGATCGAGGAGTGGAAGCATACTCCTGATGTGCAGCCTTTGATTACTATGGAGGACCTGCAGGAGGTGGAGCATGTTGTGCGCAAGGACCCCAAGGTTATTGAACAGTGTGGCATCATTGGTATCCCCCCAGAGGATATGCACAAAGTGTACTGCGATCGTGAGTATAATCCATAGGTTTATTTGACAGCAGAGTGGTATTCAGCTAATCATTTGTTTAGCATGGACGATTGGCTACGATGAGCGCTTTGGCAGTGGTGTCCGTCTGCAGCAGGCCCTCATGTACTACCGACCCCACCCCGATGACTCGCAATATACCTATCCTCTCGACTTCTGCCCTATTTACAACGCGGAGACCAAGGAGATTATTCACATTGATGTGCCTCCCGTGCGCCGACCCATCAACAAGGCGCCCCCGAACAACTACCACCCAGCCTCCATCGAGCAGGAGGGCGGCTTCCGGAAAGATATCAAGCCTATTCACATCACTCAGCCCGAGGGTGTGTCATTCGAGGTCAAGGGACGGACTATCGAATGGCAGAATTGGAACATCCACGTCGGCTTCAACTACCGTGAAGGTATTGTCCTGAACAACATTACATTCAACGACAAGGGCAATGTTCGACCTGTTTTCTGGCGTCTCTCGTTGGCAGAGATGGTTGTTCCTTACGGAAACCCCGAGCACCCTCACCAGCGGAAGCATGCCTTTGATCTTGGTGAATACGGCGGTGGTTACATGACCAACAGTCTGGCTCTTGGCTGCGATTGCAAGGGTGCTATTCATTACATGGATGCCTCGTTCGTCAACCGAGCCGGTGCTTCCACCGTCATCAAGAACGCCATCTGCATTCACGAGGAGGATGCCGGTATCCTCTTCAAGCACACTGATTTCCGTGACGAGTCCATCGTGGTGACTCGCGGTCGCAAGCTGATCATCTCGCACATCTTCACTGCTGCCAACTACGAATACTGCGTGTACTGGATCTTCCACCAGGATGGCACCGTCCAGTTAGAGATCAAGCTGACTGGTATCCTCAACACCTACGCCATGAACCCTGGTGAGGACACCAAGGGTTGGGGCACTGAGGTTTACCCTGGTGTCAACGCACACAACCACCAGCATCTCTTCTGCCTGCGCGTGGATCCTAACATCGACGGTCCCAACAACACAGCCTTCCAGGTAGACGCTGTCCGTGGTCCGGGTGAAGTTGGCAGTGCCGAGAACAAGTACGGCAACGCCTTCTACGCAAAGAAGACCAAATTCAGCACCCCTCGCGAAGCCATGTCCGACTACGACGGTTCCACCAGCCGTACCTGGGATATGGCGAACACCAACAAGCTCAACCCATACAGCAAAAAGCCCGTCTCCTACAAGCTTGTTAGCCGAGACGTGCCTCCCCTCCTCCCCAAGGAAGGCGGCCTCGTCTGGAAGCGCGCCGGCTTCGCGCGTCACGCGGTCCACGTCACTAGATGTATGCATTTTTCCCAAACCCCCCCTTGCTCCACGTTTGACAAAATTGATCTAACCACATTCCAGACTCCGACGACGAAATTCACCCCGCGGGCCGCCACGTTCCACAAACTTCCGGCGAACCTTCGCAGGGTCTGCCCGCGTGGATTGAGTCTGCAGGCTCCGACTGCTCAATTGACAACACGGATATTGTCCTCTGGCATACATTCGGTCTTACTCACTTCCCCTCGCCTGAGGACTATCCCATCATGCCGGCTGAGCCTATGACATTGCTCCTCCGTCCTCGCAACTTCTTCGACCGTAACCCTGTCCTTGATGTCCCTCCTAGCTATTCGCGGACACCGACACAGATCGCCTCTGGTGCGGGTGCTTGTGGGTGCAAGAAGAGCGATGGGTCTAGTGTTTTGGTTTAAGGTTATGGGGAACATGTTGATAATTAGTTGTATGTGTATATGATTATTGATTGAGCGGATATTCCAATTTCATCTTATTTTATTCATTGTTTCCAAATTCTGTCCCGGAATCTTTTAAGTAGTGTCGTCAAAACCCACACGACACCCGTCTCCCAAAGCAGATTAAAATGTATAACAGAATAGATAAAAATCCAGAAGAAAAGAATTTTGCCCGATATCACCCACCCCTATTGGTACCAAGTCATAGCTCTAAGACAGCCTTATCAATCGTCCCCTGAAACGCGCGAGTCTGGTAGAAAATTAGCATTTTCCCGATCTTCCGATGATAATGAGCTCGACAAAAGTACCTCCGTATAAAAGGAATCGATCATATTCAGCAATATGCAAGCAACAGAAGCAATTTTTGGGACAGTCTTCTGCTGGAAGGCAATTGCAACCAAATTCCGTTGTAGTGTTATAAGAATCGGAAGAATTTGGGGTCGACGACAGGTGCGTGATATCCACCGCAAGTGCATGAGCGAAGGGGAAAAGAGCAAGGAGAACGAAAACTAAATGCATGGTGGCTCGTGTTTAGGTCGTGCTTCGGAGCTTTTGACAAGCAACAGCCTCTTATAACCCTTGAAAGACTCAATGAGTATTGTTCATTGACACTGCTAGCAACGTCATGCATTTTCAGATCGTTGGTTATCTCGAAGCATATTGCATTCTGCGCTCGTTTTGTCTCGACTATTTGATCATCCCGGGATAGTAAAGGCTTGCATTCTTCTTTCGAGCTTGGAAGGCTCCACTTCCCGCTATCAATGTCAAATAAACATGTGCAAGCTGGATGCCTTAAATTCCTGTGAGCCTTAGAAGGGAAACGGGTCTGCTTGGCCAAACACGAGGTATGCCGAGAGAAGAAACCCGACATTCCTTCCGTGTCTTGTCTTAACTAAGTGGAAAGAACCCCTCAACTCCTCTGTCTCCTTACTGGCACTGCCACTATCCATAGTATAAGACTGTCATGTCTTCTACGACGGTGGATAAGCGTGAGAACACGGCTGGGATTCCGACTGCTATATGTGTAGTCTCTGAGAATCCTGCAAGACCATACCTAAAAGCACCCTGAGTGAGTTATCACAAAGCACGTACAAAATTATGACATAGCATGCTTATAGGTGCCTCAAGCTTGAAGTGGATCCATTCCGAGTCCTGTCCACGGTGACACCTCGAACTCGATTCAATGCCATCCAGCATGACCAAAGATAACGTTGAAACTCACGCAGTTTGCAAGTCACATCATGTCAAAGTGGACCCTGACTTAGGGACCCGTAACTTTTGCATAGCCGGGCTGGCATTTGGTTGGATCTTTGCTTCCCTGTTTCTCATTGCAGGAGCGATCATGCTGAGCTCCGACCATTTCACCGTCCCGTCATACTTGAGATTAAAAGTGATCATGGTCAATTTCTTCTTACATACTATGAGGCCCGGTAAAACCTATCCTCACAGCCATCGCATACAACAACTTCATCAGGGATCGTCGGTGTTTGTACAGCTACTCTTGAACTTCCTCGTGACAATTATCCTTGACACCACAAATTACATCCACGCGACCACCCTCAAGTGGGCTTTATTCAAAGAAGGCCGGCTGAAGTTCAACTCAAATGTGCGACTATTCACCAGCGCCCGTGCACATGGGCCCAATAGCTGGTACATGAACTCAATTTCTCTTCTTGGCTTGGCTATCTCATATGGGGCTATCTCGGCTGCCATCACAGATGTAGTTATTGTTGGACAGTGGAACGAAGACACGCACGAAGTAGAGTACGGACCGTCTGAGACATCAGATATCATTGATATCAACGGCTTGGCAATATTTGCTCTTGGCATTGGGGTTTTCTTACAGGTTGGTGTGTCAACCTACAGCTTATTATGCAGTAATGAAGTGAAGACCTGGAACAACAATCTTCTTTCCAATGCGAGGGCATGGCTTGATGGCAATGATGCGACCAATGACTTGTCCGAGGATACAGATCCGGAGTTCACCTTCTCATCCCGAGGTGTACAAGACTCAATGCTCAGTATAGCGCCACATGTTCAAATTGTTCGACGCCTAATCTGGGGATTCTGTGCCCTTTTTACCGTCTGGTCCATGTCACAAGGGATAGTTACTGCAACCACCGGCTATATGGCCGAGAACTTCGGCGATTTCTCCAGCGGCCTAGAGGGATACTGGAGGTTCTACGGAGCCATGTACTGGGACTATAAGAAGATCACCAAATCACCCCCTTATTGGCTTGGATTAATAATCCAAATCATAGCCCAGTCTTTTCTGACATTTGCATTGCATTGCGTGGAGCTACTGTTCAACCTCTCGCGTGACGAAGCAGCATGGCGTGAATTGGAAACCGTTGGCGTCGATGCCGACCCCTCGATGAGGTCGAATTTCAGCCGGCAGACGCTGATCATGTTGGTGATGAAGGCTATCATACAGTGGGTCTTTGGGTATGCGCTCACTGCGGATGTTTCGGTTAATATTGCGCTTTTGCCGATAATTGCTCTCATGGTTCTGTTCATTGTCTTGGCAATTGGTTCGGAGTACATGTTGAAGAAACGGCCCAGGGGCAGCCTTCCAGCGTCGTATGGCTATTTTGAACGAGTAGCGCGGCTTGTGGATGATTGGGATCATGCTCGCCTTTTCTGGGGTGACAAAGGGTGTTTCAAGGATAGGGTATGCCGTGCGGGCACAGCTGGACGACGTTTGCCGGACTTGAAGCCGGATACTCTTTATTGCTGCCATCAGAAGGAGGATTAATTTGTACTATAGGGGATTACCTGATTATGCGTTTGCCTTTGTTATTATTTTCCGTGTTCTAAAAGGCCTCACTTTCAATATCAAGGGGCTACACCATACCAAGAAGTGTGGCCGTAAGCAAAAAACGTTTATTGATGGACAAAAGTGTTTTTCTGTCTCATTGCCAATAAATGATCCTTTGAAAGCGTTGTTTACAAAAGGACCTTGATGCCTTCGGTATACTCGATTTGATAGAATGATGGATCAATTAGATGGGCCCCGATCGCGCTACCGATCGCCACTCTCTTGCAGATCAATTCTGAAAGTGATAATACATGGGCTCGTCCACGAGATAAGATGGCGATCGGCATCGTGCTTGAGGGATATGGTGATCCCACCATACAGAGTTGTAAGACACCAATTCCTCAATTTTTGGTGGGATGCCTCTTAAGCTCATGATGTCAAAATTCTGCAATCGATGGGAGAGCACGAGGTATATCCCTGATCACGACTGCTCGTGCCCTGAGTATCCCTTGGTCCCCGATCTAATACAAGGAAAAGACTGATATGAACTGGGCTTTTTGAAAGGAAACGAGATTTTGTGACATGCCTTACCAAATTCACTGCAGGGTTGCCTTTCTCTGCATAAAATGATGGTATCTCATCTCTTGGGAGTCTTTGTTTTTCTGACTGATTTATACCTCCTACCCCCTGGATACATGACCAAGTCCTGAAACCGTTAACAATTCACCTACTAGGCTTATCTTAGCCCTATATGCCGTTGTTCACTATACTTCCTTTAAAGCACAAGCGATTTTTGTTAGCAAGTAACACAATGTTTAATCTCACTAAACTAAGGAAAATATGTGTGCTCTGTGCTCTGGTCTCGGCGAGTGGGGGCCGAAGCGCATCCGCATAAGGGTTATTTGAGTTAGTATTTAAGAAGAGAAATGATCTGCCTGCCCAGCCCACCAGCTGGCCCGTTCCTGATTAACTCCTCGGGGTTCGTCGGCAGCTAAGTCCCTCAAGGTCCACAGTATCTTAAATTTAGGCCTACACGCCGGTCAATAGTCATAGCCCGACATCAAGATCCCCGTGCAAATTTTCAATTCTCCACCTAAATCTTCGTAGATCATAGTTCCACTGATGAGAAAGGCCTTGGCTCCACGAGAAAAACAATACCAAATCCCCTCGTTCGCAGGTCACTAGTTTGTTGAAACGTGCAGTAGTGTATCGCAACTTGAAGCCCGACCACTATCAAATTAGAAAACCCCTGAGTCCTTGCTATGCATTCAGATTTTAAACAGTACTTTTGGCATCAGACCGATCATGCAGTCAATATGAGATAATTTGTCATGATGAATTGGTCAAGATATAAGGACTTCAAATCCGATGATTCTTGCACGAGCTGTCAACCCTCGTTGCCATCATCTCTAGACTAGGTCTACGAAGTACATTCATTACAGCACCTTGTACAGTCTTTACCTCCGACAACATGCAGTTCAAGAATATCATCATGGCTGCGGCCCTGACCCTGGCTACTTCAGTCTTTGCCGCTACGAGTCCCTCTGACCTCGCGATTGGCTTGCAAAACAACATTGCCGGACTTGATATCGGTCAGAAGCAAACCACTCTGCTCTTGAACCACCTCAGCCACCATACCGGCGATGTCACTCCCGATGTAGGTGACGGCCCGGCCCGAAGCTTTGACAAGCTTTGGCACTTTTTCAAATCTCCATAGCAAGGAGCTAACCCTAATTAACGCAGGCTATCGTGTCCTCCTACAACGCCACTGCCACAACCGAGGCTGAGGATCTGGAAATGATGAACATGATGGAAATTGACGAGGCGCCTATTGAGAGCGTTCAGTTGGTTATTTGCCAGGCATTCCACGGGGTGAGACGAACAGCTTTTATTTCTGGGCACCTAGGGTACCTACCTTTATCTGCCGAACTTGAGATACTAATGACTTCTTTCCGAAAATATAGTTTGCTCTGAGCAGCATCGAGGCAAACAACGCATTCGTCGACTACGCCATGTCCTTCAACAAGGCCCAGCGCAAGACACTGCGCGAAGCCATCGCTAAGAACAAGGAAAACGTTTCTGTAAGTTAACTTTCTGTCCCACCTGCCCCATGATGTAACCTGACACTCGACTTCCATAAAGGGTTTCCTCGACCGTGTTGCGAGCAAAGCGCTGCCCTACTGCCTCTCCACCATCAAGATTGACAACGCTGCCATCTACGACTCCCTCGACAAGGCTTCCAAGGCCCTTGATCCTAAGGATTCTCTCCTGTAGAGCTTGATAATATCAAGCGTCTCAGGAGTCATTGTCCGACTACGATCGTCGCATATTTGGTGTGAGATGAAGTAATTTTCATCAAAGTTTCCATTGTCAAGAGCCCCATTCAATCGAGATGCGATCAGAGCTCGGCCAAAAGTTGATAGACTTGGTACCCCCTTCTCTCTGCTATGATATTTCTTTTCAACCGATGATATCATACTGTGGATAGAACTTTTTGACTAGCTACTATAATTGCCTAATACATACTATGCATGGCAGAGAAGCGAAACCCTGTAGGAAAAAGTATGTCATTCAATAGATAACACCCAAAGTTAGTGCCACGCGCGCAGAGATAAAGCAATCAAAAAAATATCACATTCCTGGTTTTGAGCATTCGATTAATATTTGTAACCAAGAATACAGATTAATTCGAGCAAAAAGAGCAACATTTCAGATTCTAGTGACTGTCAGTCAATCATAATGTCAAAATTCAAGCCTGAACAAATTTCAGAACATCTTCTAGCAACCGTTCGGCATGTGTGACATTCAGGGCTAAATTCAGGGTTAGCATTTTGCATGTTCGACAAGTCATCGAAGAACGGATAACAGAGAGATATTCTTACCATGAGCCGCCTGTTCATAGAGTTCCACCTGAACTCGCGGGATAATCTCCTTGACCAACTTCGTGCTCTTCTCATACGGCGCACCCTGATCAGAGTCGCCATGAACACAAAGAATCGGCACACTAGAATCTTCCTTGAGACGCACGAGCTTCTCATTGAAATCGGCTTCACGAACAATATGGGCGCAGCGCTGAATAGCCAGCCCATCGGCATCCTCAACAATCTGTTCATGTTGCCTTAATACCTCCGGAGATACAGTGAGCCCCGAAGTGCCCACTATGACTCCAGGGAGGGCAGCATGAACAAATTCGGCTCGGGCCTTCTGGAAACCAGCACAGATGCCATCCCAGACTGCTTTCGGTCCTGTTGTACGGTTGTCTTCTCCTGGCAATTTTCCTGGCAGTGCTGGGGCAACCCATATAATTCCCTGCGATTGGTTAGCAATGTTCTCAAATATATGATTAGACGGGGACAAGGTGATATAGTGTACATACCTTGCAATTCTTCCTGAGATATTCACTCGCTTCAAGCGCAAGGATACTCTCGCCAGCGCCCATACTAGAGGTGATAAACACAAAGGGCCCAACGTCAAGGAATTTCTCCAGCAAGTGCACAGTATCGTGGGCAAAGGTCTCGTATGTGATCTGGTTATCACTCTGCGGACCATCCCAGTCACTCTTCCCGAATCCGCGGCGATCGGGGGCGATGCATCGGAAGCCATGGTTCTCGCATAACTGCACCGTAAGAGTCTCCCATGCTAGTGAAGAATATGGCCATCCATGAAGAAAGACGAGGGCGGGTTTTGTGCCTGTGTTTGCTTGTCCGCCGGATATAGGTTTGTAGTCGCGATAGTACAGTTGTGCACCATCCACGGGCGAAGTGTAGCGAGGCATTGAGTTGAATTTGACGACGCAAGCACAATACGATTTAGATATAGCTTCAAAAGGACTACTCTCTGTTGATGATTCAAAGTGATGAGTTTCCAACCTGGTAGTGAGATGTGTAAGGGTGTAGAATGGTCACGATATATATATACACGTTTGACCCTTGGCAAATCCAGGTTGAAGGCACAAATGCGTTAAGCAGCCTAGAAATTTCATCAAGTCCATGGGAACTATTCAAGGTTCTTCGTCATCCATTGCTTCGTATTCACCAACTAGTGAGTGTTATGTTTACTAAATTATTGTGGCTGCGACCATAACGTTATGCTCGTGCGCAGAAGAAAGCTGGCGGTGGCCGTAACTCCCCCAACCCACCAATCCGAGGCCTCGCATAACGCGAGAACGCCTAAGCGACAGTAACTAAAGAGTTGCCATGTCGGATTATCCCGCTTAACGAGAGACGTTCTAAAAGCTGACCGGAAATTGTTCCCTCGGTAAAGCCACTATCTGTGTTTAGATCGAGATGAGTGCAAGTTGTGTAAATACGCAAAATGTTAACGTTATGCCCGTCAATTATAAATGAGCGAAGAAGTAACTATTCTATGAAACTCTCCCATCATACTTACCAAATATCCATTTCGGCATCTATTGAACCTTCAACTATCGCCTCTATTCAATTGATCTGTAGTATCTTCACTCAGCACCATGTCTAGCAACAACTATTCCATTCATTCCATCATCGCGGCGTACGGCCTCGGTATCGCCCCGCACGGATACTACATCGTAAAGATGATGGCCAACGCCAAAGGGCAGTCGAGCAATATTCTGTATGTCGCTCACATACCACTCGAATAATTCATTATGCTAATACATGTTTAGGCCTCGCGAAAATTTGACCAATCTGAAGGGTCGCATTCCCGGTCAAGTCTGGGACAGACTTGCTCGCGCTCGTGGCGCCCACCTCAATGCCATGGAGGGAATTCCCATGTTCGCTGCTGCGATGGTAGGTTGTTTGCTTTAAACTATGCCACAACCTGTGATACTAATGAATTTCCTATGATATAGCTGGCCGGCAATCTGGCAAAGCTTCCGGCGAAAGACTTGAATTGGTTGGCTTTTGACTATCTGAGCGCTCGCGTGCTATACACCATGGCCTATATGGGCGTCAAGTCAGAAGCTTCAAGCTACCTACGGACTGGTCTTTGGGCATGGAGCATCTCAGTTCCTATTTGGGTACTTCTCAAGTCTGCGAGCGCTATTCAGGGACAGGAGTAAATGTCTCATAGAAGTTGATCGATTTTGCGCGGTAATGTAAGATTGCGAGTATTGCTTTCAGATTATCAACATTAATAAATACCTTCTTTCTTCATGAGTCCTGGCCTTCCAATGATAATATCCTCTCTCCTCTACTCCCCCTCGCTCGATTACTTCTTTCCACTACACTTATCTCAAATGCCCACCACCATCTCTCGAATACAACTTGTCCTATCTCCCAGACAGATGGCTCGAAGGGGTCATCACCGCTGATTCTCACCCCTTCACCACCCCCATCTTCCATGTCATATACCAATCTAAGAAGACCCATCGGATCTTGAGCGGTCGGTGGCCGCAGATTGGCGGGGAGATGGAAGACTTGAATGAGTTTGTCTCGAGTACTTGGCCAAGGGAGAAGGTCAATAATTGGATGGTGAGGAATCAAACGCTGAGTACGTGTGGGAAGGAGATGCGATGGGAGCTCTGTCAGATCAACTGAGCTTGTTGGTGATGCCGCCGAGGTTGATAGACCTGATTGCAGCGAGGGAGGCGAAGAGATGGAGTTACTCGAGCTGGCAGGGCTATAGAATGGACTAACGGCGGTGAAGTCCCAAATCAAACCGTTCATATTCAATCGCTGTGCCACTTTCATAGCAGCGTTTAGCAACGTCAGGGAAGGAACTTCGAGTATTCGGTCATCGGGGAATGTGAAGAAAGAAGTATCATCAGCCTGCAACTCGGCGGATAAATCGTATGTACCGTCCATATTGAGTGGCAATGACTCTGCAAGGTGATTCTCGATATTAACAAGATCGTGGGACTCCAAGTTCCAATCTGAGCTTCCTGCCAGTTGACCCCAGAAAGTATCCCCGACATTTGCAGCGGGAAGCATAAACGATGTGTCTGATTGGAAGATCTCTGACGCTGGCAAACTCAGCGAAGTTAAGCCTCGGGATTTGGGCCATAGTGTAGTATCGAGAACGTCACTTGTTTCGTCGTTATTTAAGCCAAGGTTCATTGATGCATCCATATAGTTGAAGTCGAGGCCGGTCACATCGCCAAGATGGGTTTCATTAGAGGCAATGAGGGTGCTTTCTTCAGCCATAGGCCGGGACATCTCATGCATAACATTTCCGGCCTCTGAAGGGGTCCCACTAGATTGGCTTTCCTGCTGGTTAGACACGACGGCATCCCCAGGAAGTCCTGAGCTTTTAGCACGAGACTCTAGCGCCTGGAGCCTCTCCTTCTTTCTCTTCCCTAAAACTGGTTACTAAGAGCATTCCATGTGACAGTGGAATCAACCTACGATATCTTCTCTGCGCTAGGATATTCAAGACTCGCTTGCGCTCCGCCGCATCTTCTCCCAGCGTAGGAGGAACGGGCACCTTTGTCGCCGGCTTCCGGGCCATTTGGATGGCTTCCCCTGAGCTAGCACTGATAGAGAGCTGAGGGTACTTAGAAAACAAAGTAATCTTGTGAGACAGATGGATAGACAAGGAAAGTGGAAGAGAGGCTGGTTGGCGCTCTCGGCGCTCGTATTCGTGGTGACGCTGCGGTGTGTGGCATTTCCACGGCGCCAGTTCGTAATGCTATGAACAAGGGTTGACCCCCGCTTGCAGGGATTTTTGAAGCCTTAATCTGAATTAACTGTAAAGGATTAGGTCTGTAGGTACTGCATCGATCTAGAAGTCCCTGAGAAGGTGATGCCATATTGCGATAGCCAGAGTTGGGAATTAAGAACTATACTCCACGTCTTTCCTATTTAGCTTTGGGGGCAAGTATCAGGCCAGACGTGGATTAGATTGACAAAAATGCAGTTGTAGAATCTATCAACCCGAAAAATGACCATGGTAGTACATTGCATGAATGAAACCATTTATTCGCCAATAAAACGCCAAAAACAATAAGAGGGAATCGTCAATCCTGACCAACAACAGCAAGATACCGAAGCCAGCCAGCATGCAGAACCAAAGAAGACAATAGAAGACAAATCCAGGACTATAGCATCTAACCCATCCGCTGCAAAGCCGCCTCCACATCCTCCAACAACTGCACCAACTCCTTCCCACCATCACTAACCCTCCCCTCAATCTCAATCCCCTTCAACAAGAAAGTCTTCGCCTCTGCGTAACGACTCATCTCCGCCAAACACTTCGCAAGCCTCCACCAAGCCTTAACATTCCCCACGGGCTTCGAGTCCACACTAGCTTTCGCATCACATAGTCCCTCCGGCCACGCCTGCATACCGACATGCGCCTGAGCGCGGTTCCCATACAGACCGGCCAGCTCCTCACGCGCCAGCGTCACAGGCTCCCACCCGGGCCGAGAAAGCGCCATATCAATGGCGTAGGTGTATAGGCGAATTGCCTCGGCGTAGTTGGACTTGCGGTAGGCGGCGTTGCCGGAGTCGCGCAGCTTGGTGATTTGCGCGCTGCGTTTGGGGTTCACGGGGAGAGGGGGTGGAGGGATGTTGGGTGGGTCGAGGCTGATTAGGGAGCGGTGCAGGGCGTTTAGTTCTTGGAGTTCGGCGGCGATGGCTGCTGTTTGGGTGGCGGTTTGGGAGGATGATGGGAGGAGGGAGATGGCTTTTGAGCTTGGGTCCATGTGGAGGGGGTATTCATTGAAGAGGTCGATTTCGGAGGCCATTACGAGGGTTGGGAGGGACTGTGAGAGTCCGGGAATTTGGTTGTTTGGGAGGTATGAATTGAGGGTTCTGATGATAATTAGCTTGTGTCGGTGGACTTGGACATAGTTGGGGAGGGGAGATGGAGGGGAGTGTATTCGGAGGAATCCTCGAATGCATGACTGAGTGACTTACCAGTGATACAAATGGAATAGAGAGGAGAATATCTCTCAAAAGACCCTTGACCTCGAGTTCAAAGGTGTCGTGTTCAAAAATAACTCACGATCGCCGTCCGGGGAGATCGCAAGCTGTCCACATGCACGCCGAGAAGGCGGTGGCAGAATGTTATCAGGTCGGTGCTCAGTCAAGACACGAAACATTCAATAAGATGCGATTATGAACAATACAGCAGAAACTTTATGGAATCACAATTCAAATATGCAATCTATTTGCCTAGAATCCTCATTCATACAGGGAAAAAAACACAATCATCACTTGGGACAAGCCCCATATGAAACACGCAAAAACAACGGGCAACAAGAGGGTCCTCCTCCATAAAACAAAGAAACAAACTATGCGCCAGCCAACACCGCTTCGTAGTCATGTCCAGCACACAAAACAAACAGAGCAGGAGATGGAAAACCACTGAAATGATTTTGGGGTATTCATATGCCGGCATCAATGCCTCGACCTTCCAACTCTATATCATCCATCCTCAAATCCTGTACTCTCCTTCTCTACCGACCGTACCCGCTCATCGAGGAGCCATACTCCGATGGCGGGGCATAGTGTTGCCCATGGGCACCACCGTAGCCGGTGCTGTTATAGTCGTGGAGAACACTGCCGGGGGAAGGTCCAGTAGGGTCATAAGCACCTTGCATTGCGGTCCGGCCGTGTGCGTTGCTAATGTCGTCCATCTCGCTCTGCTGAAGCAGAGCATAGTCCTCGTCGCGCTCACTGCCAGAGGGTGCGCCCATACCGGCACGGCCAGAGCGGAAGTCATCCTCATCCTCCTCAAAGTCGTGGGCCGGGTTCGAAGAGAAGGCAGCCTTGCTTTGGGCGGCGAAGGTGGGGTCGGAAACTGCGTCGGGGAGGGTACCGGTGCGACGGAAGTGCATCACATTGCGGAAGGACATCCAAGCGGTAACGGCGAAGAGGATGCTAGAGAGAAGGGTTGTCCAGTTAGTTACTGGCGATGGCTCCAGTAGAGTCGAGGGGAGAAGAGAGATCCACATACAAGACAAAAACTCCAATGATAGTGGTCGCCGTGCTAATCTTGCACTTGCCGGCACTGCCATAAGCCCAGTTGTCACAGCCAGATTTCGTGCTGCTCGAATCGCGGCGAGACTTGGAGCTGGATGAAGATGAAGACGAGGACGAAGACGAACTCGAATCATCGCTGCTCGACTTTCCGATGCTCTTTCCCTGTGCAACGTAGGAAGCCAGGCAGACCCAGGCACTGAACCAGAAGATAGTAAAGATAATGTCGACCGTCGCAAAGGCATACACATTTCCAAACCGGCGGGCTCGGGGCCACATAGGCACAGCGGCGAGATAAATCAGAGCCGGGATACTGATCCAACACTGCATCCAGCGCGTGGTTAGCTGCAAGGTCCATCGAGGACAGACTCCAGGGGAGATAGAGTAGAACTCACCAAGATCCAATACCACACTGTCCGCCCATCGATACCATCACCCTTTGTCCAGATCGCGATCGTCATGGCCCACGCAATGAAAATCACAAACGCCTGCACGAAATGGATGATATTCTTAGTCCTCCCCAGGTTGCCACCCGTCGCTCGAGGCATTCGCAATTGCATGATAGCGGTGTGTGGGTATAAGAACCCCGAGAAAAAGATGCAGAACTGCAAGGGTGTTTCAGCCCTTGAGAGATTGACCCGACGAAGCCGCGGAGGTGCCGAGCGGAGAGATAAAGGCCCAAGACCACAGGGTCACGAGTGGAGTAGACGGATGATCAGACAAGGGGTTGTAGATCAAAAAACCCTTATTGCGATAGTAGTCGACAAAAAGGTGAAGAATGTAGAGAAAAGGTGACAGGCTCAGCGGAATGGACGGGGGAGAGGCTGAAGTTTGGAGGGACGCGCAGCGGGATTTTCTTGGCTTTTGGTTGTCGACGTCAGCTTCGTTGACGGGGTAAGCAACGGCACACGACTGAACATTGGGGTATAGATTTACCTCGTATATGAGTTCGTCGGGGGATAATTCGTGAGGGTCGTTAGCTAAATTCTCATGAAAATATGAAGCAGAGAGATCGCAAAGTGTCGTGCTGGCTGTTTTTGCCCACAGCCTGGCGATCATCGCCCAGGCGACAGCCCGTGTGGTTCTATTTTGGTCCATCTTCAGCCACACTTGGCCACGGTGGAGTCCGCGTATGCCCAGACACCATTGAATCGATCAAACTTTACTCCGTACGCTATGGAACAATAGCTAACCGCTGGTTCAGCTGCTGATGACGTTGGACAAGGCTCCACCTAATTTCTAGTCGAGATCCTCCAACATATGAAATACATAGCCTGGTCTAGTCCAAGTGCACAAGGAATTTATGCTTAAAGCTAACCTGGCATTTATCATATACGGACCCGTTAAAAACTAACTAAAAACCATAATTGACCCCGAAAAGAACAGTCACTAGTATTTTGTGGCTGATAAAAAAGCAGTTCTTCTCGTCAGTCATCGAACTCGTTAATAATCCATAAAACATCCCACTAGCGCCCCTTGGAAACAGTAGACATTCCAGCTTCACGGATCTGCTTCACCAACAGCCAGATCTCGCGCATCGGCTGATACACATGGACATGCCACCACCAAGGAAGAGGGTCATGGGGAGTAAATCGAGGGTCCTTCCAGAATAAGAAGGGGACCAATTCAGCTTCAAGGACAGTAATAGTACTTTTGATGAGATCCAAGGGAAAAAGCCGTGGAGAGAAACTGGTCAGAAGATTTTCCACAGCTTCCACCAAAGTTGATGACGGCCGAGGGGTTGGCGATAGTGTTGTGGCCACCTTCCATGCTTCCGGCTCAGTAGGCTTGGGCGCTAATACTTCGAGGTATCCCGCAACGGGAGAGCGCGCATCACGAAGCAAGTTCTCGATGGCGCTGGCTCCAGGAACGCAGTCGGCAATATGGATGGTGTGGCGAACCGATGTATGATCGAATTCCTCATCAATCAAGAGTCTGACTGACAAGTGCCCGGTCATCCGAATCCCACCCTTCTGAGCAAACTTCTGCATGAGTCGATGCACGGCTGTCGCTAATGCTTCGTCCATGCGCGAGGCACCCCAATGAGGTGCTCGAGTTTCCACCATCCGAACCTTGATGGCATGGACGTGGCCGTGCACTAGCAGCAGGTCTGCGTAGAATTCTCCGAGTCGGGTCTGTTGTTGCATGATCCATGGGGTGTCTTTAGAGATGGTGATCTCGCTGACTTCGGAATAAGTTCTGCTAAGGGTACGCTTCGGCAGGATGACAGCCACTTCGTTGGCACTTGACTTGACCCGTCGCATATGATACGATTTGGTCGGCGATCGATTCAAAATCTTATGAACCGAGTCGCGTGATTGCACCTGATGCTGTTCTAGCACTGGAAGGTCCCGCTCGGCAAGAAAATGTCTGAAAGAGTCGGGTCGAATTAAACGAGATGTTAACTCAGGATCAAAAGCAATGCATCTACAGGTAGTTCGACTTTCGACCACCTGTCTCGCAGTTGCATCTTCAATGGCAGTGGCCTTGGGCGAGCATGGGATCCAGATGTCGATCTTTTCACGTTGGATGATATCCAGGATTCGGGAGATATAGTGGTCCTTGGAGACTCGATAGAATGCCTGAAGGGTATGGGACATACCCCCGCCCGACCGAACTGGGAGGTTCAAATCGACGACATCCACACCAACCACGCGATGGCCTTCTGCATCCCAAGCACGAGCGAGGGCGAGGCCATGTCGTGTACCGACTCCGGTGATTAGAACTGTCTTAGGATAGAAATGAACATCGCGCTGTGCTGCCTGGCGCCGGTTGGCTGCAGTGCGAAACCGGGAGAGTACAGCGACCACCACGAGAATGGTATTGTCGATAAACAGAAGAGAGAAAGAGATGGCTATACGAAACAAGGGCCAAAAGGCGTGTGACAAGGCTTCCGCTGAAGAACTCGCTACTCGGGGAGTCTTCATGGAGAATATCGGGTGCTGTGGTCGCACCGTGGGGGCCGCCATGTGAAAGGCAGGCCGAGCATTGAGGTCGAGACTCATGCACTAGAGGCGCTTCTTTTCAAGGCCAGCGGAGCCACCGGTGTTGAAGAGATTGAAATTGACTAGATGGTCAGAGGGCAAGTCGTCAAGCCCTGCAAAGGCGGTTGGAATGTGTGAAGTGGTGTCGTGCAGTGAGGGGTGATGATCGGCCCCAGCCACCGCATGCAAAAGCGAGACGCCCAATGATTCATTACTGTGCGACAACCTTCAAGTAGTCTGTCGTGCACATACGCATGATATTAATCGACTGGCTGTTGAGCCGGGATACGTTGTAATTAACTTCTTTCCTTTCTTTGTCTACGTCTCTAATAATTTTAGGTTTGATCTCCCATACAGCGAACTAGCGTCCCGCCAGCTTTATCTGATCGAAGATCGGTATTTCAGCCCGAATGCGTACAGTAGTATTGACTATTGAGCAACCATGCCTGCCAGTCAATGTGCCAGCGCCTAACCTCTCCACGTAACCTTACACGAACGGAGGTTTTCGTTGGGGCTATAGGATTCACTCGAGAACCCCATAGTGCTCACTACGGTCCTATCATTCTAGGCTGTCACAATCAGGAATATTACGGCAGACTCGCAAAGACCCTCCTCAACAGTTATTAATTACTGCTTTGACAAAGTCATGAATATCGTCTTGAATATACATTCAAGCTGTAGCAATATAATAAAGGTGTCTATCACACTAATTATAGTGACTTCAAGCTGACGTCACTCTTCAGCTCAAGGCACAGATAACCCATCAATTGTGTAGAAGCGCACGAGTTCCACTAAGGTACTACTTCACTTGCCACTGCGTACGGGCCATGTCCTAAATCAACGGAGTAGCTGATAACATGACTGGAAAATTTATATACCACAGCGTACGACAGCACCCTGACAAACCACTCAATAATATGTCAGACACACTATGCAAGACGAAAGATGCTATCGATAGCGATGAGCGAGATGCTGGTGGTGAATCAAACTCCATAAAGCTGCGTCAGAACTCGGAGAAGGCAAGACAAAATGGCACCCATCCCGAGGTACATCAAGGTAAGTTTACATAACCCGGATATTTGGTATTCAGGCATCTGACGAAAATTACAGATAAGAATTACATCTAAAACGGAATACATGAATAAGAATGGCAAAGCTCTCGTAAATGGCAGTAGGTCATACCCTGAAGAGCTCAGAATGAGTGGTACTGCGGGAGACTACAAGGAATAAGGTGTTGAACTGCGGCGTACGGAGGATAATCGTTTTGGTTGACTTAACTTGGAATTGGATATTCATTTAAGTGTTTAGGATTTTCTCACTTTAAGCAAGTCCTATGATAAGCTTGTAATTTTTCCATTGCCATACAAGTGATGAGAACGTCTCTAGCGAATGAATCCAAGAAGTATTCTTCACGATAGAGATACCAGAGAACTACATTCTTGAGGTGAGAATAAGCGTGACTATATCGCTATGCACTCTCTATGAACTCTGAGGATCCACCAGAATCTTGTACTATGAACCCCTTATCCACTGCATCTTGCAACTTGATCTTGGTGCTAATCATCCCGTGTGGGCTGGGGTGCCTAGACGCTGTTAGTGGTATCTTAACCCAGAATACAGAGTTGTCACTTACCAGTATAATATCAGGTACATTAAAGATCTTCGTCGGCTGCCTTCGCTTAATGATCTTGGCTTATACAGTGACAAGTCTTGGTGGTCTCTTTTATAATGATTTTTGACTGTGATAGAGATGACCAGGAATATTGAATATTGGGGTAGGAGGTAATTTTGTGGCGCGTATTTTCGTAAATGTATTGGATTTATTTGGACGTGTAGGCATTTTATGAACTCGCAGACTTAAGGCCCACTCTTCAAAATGCCATTTCAAGTTCCCCAATTACGGAGCGTAACGAAGCATTTTACCTCTTACTATGTACATATTTTTGTGACCCCGAAGATTCCGGCATCAATTTACCACATAGATTTCCCGCATCCCGTAGGGCCTTAGATCTCTGGCTGACGGGCCATATCTTGCTAAGCCCGTGACGGAGTACAAGACTGCTATTAGTAGTATCTTTCGGGAGGTCTTTTGAGATATGTTTGTGGATAACCCACGTAATATCTCTCGATCTAAGTAGGGAGTTCACTATCTTTCAAGATAGGACTAGTAAGTTATTTTTGAAGGGTAGACATGTATCACCCCGTGGCTACAGATTTGCCGATAAAATCTAATAATAGTGCACTTTTAGATCATTGATATCTTAGTTACCAGATTGATTTTACCTCTCTATAACCCATAGTAAACGTATTATAAAATACCGTTAAATTTCCAAAATTTCAGTTCTAATGCATTGGTGGAGAATCGGCAAAACTGCGGCCGGAGGGTGCATATGTACATGGTACAAGAGTATACAATATAGCGATTCACTCTGCACTTATCGGCCCCCGTGGGGCGCCGTTGGAAACCTTGGTAGAATGTCCTGCGACACGTCCCTATCTTTGACACTTAATAGACATATAATACTTCTGTGTCGGGGCGCTATGATAACAAGCCGAAAATAGGAGGTTGCGTCGGTGATGCAGGTGACGCGGCCTCGTTGCTAGACTGCTCGCTTGGAAATAAGAATACCCACTTTAGGACGCTATCTGTGCCTTTCGACCCACCCCCGCCGTCCCGTTGCAACGGCACCTTCTCAAGATGAGGAGATCGTTGCAGTACCGTATCGCAAGGTTTGTTTTAGGTTCTTATCCAGCAAATGTTGAGAAAGCAACGCTGGACAAACTAGCAAGATGGTAGAGATATGTCGCCCTCGTTACCTTAAATGACATGTTGGTCGTACTAAAGGATGGCTTGCTACTTGAAGGCGACCATGAGAGGTATATAGCAGGATCCGGTGACATTTCCCTTTCCGAATATTGGAGGGAATTGCGCATAGCGATCTCGGTCTCGGATCGCGTATTTCTGCCATGCCAAGAGTTCTTAATTCTCAATTGTCGATGTGTGATAGGTGAGAATTAACGCGAAGATTAGCCGTACCCGCGATCATACAGTGTAGTAAGCCGTATTACGTATAGCTTCGCCGCTGTATAAAGAAATATGACACGGGCACCTTTTAAATCAGGAAGGTCTAATGAGATATTGTGCTATTTGATTAGCTAATTTCTGCCGAGATTCGGAGCTCCAGGGCATGATAGGTGGAAGTTGGTGTGTAGGTAGGAGTGTTTAGGACGGCCGGGGACGGCCGGGAATCCCGGTCATCTCGGGGGCTAAACAAGCTTAGTGGCATTAGCCTTAAAAGTGCCGAACACTTGGGCCTTGGCATTACGCCAATTAGCTTCTCTGAATGTCATATCTCAATCCACCCGTGTGATTTCAATACGCAGTGCTAAAAATTAAGCCCAATCGATCCGTGGAGAGCAGTTGAAGGCGCCATTTCCATTCAGCTTCATACCTCGAACCGCTCTTTCCCATAAGCTCTTGCAAGCATTCCTCCAAGTCTAAGTGATATAGTTACCGGTCATTAGTCTTTGGCTCGTCTCCACCTCTTCTGTTAAGGGAAAATATCCCGGAAGGGGGCGCAAAAGTTGTGTAACACCACTAAACGCTAAGTACAGCACTAACTATCCAGCCATTTCTGATTTGTCGGTGGGCGGTCCGAGACGCCGACTCTGATAAGGTAGGTAGCGCAAGCCTCAAGGGAATGACCACGCACAGACAATGGTACATGAGCCATAGGCATGCGAAGACAGACAGCTCCTTCCATCGTCCAGTAGGAAGAATTCCTGGTAGTTACAATTCCAAACTTTCTTGAGGACAACAGCTCACGAACGGAAACAAGCATTGCTTCCAGCCTTCCACATGGCCGGTCAACGTGCCGCCCCGCGTCTCGGGCCCTTGGTCAGTTGCGGGGGATCTTTCCATGGCCACGCGCGCGTTGATGATAAGCGATACCCCATGTGGCGACTCGTAGCGGGGACATGGGGAGATATCGTGCTTGATTACCGGGGGACGCGACGGAGCTCCGGCTCGAGTGTGTCCATGCGATTTGCACAGATGGTACCATCCGTCTATCTACTCCCATGGAGTCGTACTTAAGGGACAGGGGTACCGGGTCTTCTTGATCTGGGCTGTCGTTACTCTTCTGCTCCATTGAATCAAAAATTCTGATCATGGATGCCAAAACCACCGGCATATCCGTGGGCGAGTTGCCCCCCGAGGGCATCCCCTCTCTTCAAGAGCTCAAAGCCGAGCATGAGTTTGACCCCAATCTTCCCACTGAGGTTGAGGAAGAGCTAGATGCAGCCTTGCAGACGGGAGATATTGAGACCAAAGAACATGTCGTCGAGGACTTCCTTGAAAACTCTCCTTATCCCGAAGTGCGTGCTGCGGTGCTTCCCTACGACGAAGGAGGAACTGGTAACACCATCCGCGCCTGGACATTGGGCCTGATCTTTGCCACCATTGGCTCGGGGCTCAACGCTCTCTTCTCCCTGCACAGTCCTACTATCACCATCACTTCATATATTGCCGAGGTCATTGCGTACCCCTTCGGTGTCGCCTGGGCTCGCTTTCTCCCCAATATTACTTTCACCTTTTTCGGAAACAAGCTGGAGCTCAATCCTGGTCCTTTCACTAAGAAGGAGCATGCTCTAGTTACGATCATGGCGAACGCGACCTTCGCCGGTGGCTTTGCCTATACCCTGGATATCTTTACTGCCCAGCGAGGCTTCTACGGCCAACGCTATGGCTGGGCCTTTGAGATCTTCACCACCATCTCCACGCAAACGCTCGGCTTCGGTCTTGGTGGCGTGCTGCACCGCTTCCTAGTAGAGCCTGCGGCCATGATTTGGCCCTCAAACCTGGTCAACACGACTCTGTTTACGGCGATGCACGACCGCGGTCTCAACAAACCCGATCCAGCCCGGACCGCTGGCTGGCGCATCAACCGGTACCGCCTGTTCCTCTATGTTATGACCGGCGCTTTCTGTTGGTATTGGTTCCCGGGCCTGATTGCCCCGTTCCTGAGTGTTTTCGCCTTTATCACCTGGATCAAGCCTAACAACGTGATCATTAATCAACTATTCGGCGGCGCAACTGGAATCTCCCTGATTCCTATCTCGTTTGACTGGTCCATTATCTCAGGATATGTCTATTCTCCGATGATCTCCCCTTGGTTTGCCATCGCCAATACCCTTATTGGTATGGTGGCCTGGTTCTGGATCCTGACCCCAGCGCTGCACTACTCTAATATCTTCTACGGTCGCTTCCTGCCAATGTCGGACTCGGACAGCTACGATAACACCGGCGGCATCTACAACGTCTCTCGTATCTTGACCCCAGAGTATACCTTCGATCAGGCAAAGTATGAAAGCTACTCGCCGCTCTTCCTATCCACGACATTTGCGCTGTGCTATGGGCTTTCCTTCGCGGGTCTCGTTGCTGTTATCCTTCACGTGGGCCTGTTCCACGGCAAGGAGGTCTGGCGCCGGATGCGAGACTCCCGCCAGAAGGATGAAGATATTCACTCCCGCCTAATGGCCAAGTACCCCTCGGTGCCTATTTGGTGGTATGTCATCGTCTTGGTGATTATGACAGCTATTGGACTGGCGACGGTGTTGTCCTACCCAACCCATCTCTCCTGGTGGGCGTTCTTTGTGTCGGTAATCATTGCCCTAGTTTGGACCCTGCCTATTGGAATGGTGCAGGCTACCACGAATATCCAGCTGGGACTGAATGTCATCACTGAATTCATTGTCGGTTACATCCAACCGGGCAAGCCTATGGCGATGATGCTCTTCAAAACCTACGGATACATCTCGATGTCGCAGGCGTTATATTTCTGTCAAGACATGAAACTGGGTAAGCACAGCTTCCGTACCAACCTTTCTCCTGAGGACTTACTGACCATCGCAAAGGACATTATATGAAGATCCCCCCGCGCGTTTCCTTCTGGGCACAGATGGCCAGTTGCGTGTGGTCATCGGTCGTGCAAGTGGCCGTGCTCAACTGGGCCTTTGGCAGCATCAGTGATATCTGCTCCTCCACACAGGCGAACAAGTACACCTGCCCCAATGGGCGTGTCTTCTTCAATGCCTCGGTTATCTGGGGTGTTATCGGGCCGAAACGCATGTTCTCCATCGGCGAGATGTACGCTGGCCTCCAGTGGTTCTGGCTGGCCGGGTTGGCACTTCCGATCATTATCTGGTTGGTCGTTCGGAAATGGCCGAAGAGCATGTTCAGGTATCTCAATGCTCCATTGATCTTCAGCGGCTCCGGAATGATTCCACCAGCGACGCCGCTCACATATCTCATGTGGGGTATTGTTGGGTTCATCTTTAACAAGTGGATTCGAAACCGGTGGCGTGGCTGGTGGATGGAGTATAACTACGTCGTGTCGGCTGGTTTGGACGTGGGCACTGCCTTGTGCTTGATCGTCATGCTCTTCGCCATCAGTCTGACCAAGTCGTCTTTCCCGACCTGGTGGGGCAACGACCAGGCGCTCTCTACAATGGACTACAGCGATACCGCCATCCAGGTCGTCCTGCCGGCAGGCGAGATTTTCGGACCCAAGAAGTGGTAATGAAGCTCAGTCCAGTGGGCACGTCTGCTGTTGGTTGAACTTGGGATATCTGGGATCTGTATGTTAATTTTGTTGATAATTCACGTGGACTATTCCATGCATAAGTGATGTGTATAAGATTCCTCGTCGGACGCTTTAGGTCTAACTGGAATAACAACTAGATGAATAAATGATTAGTATGTAATCCACGGGTACAGAGGAAGTCCAGTAGACGAACTGATTTAGGTTCGTCTCGAAGCTCTAATGTAGAATAGATTACCCCACAATCCGACTATCTTAGGTGAAACTAAACTTTCTACTCTCTATGATATACCACAGCCCAGTCTCCGTCTTGTTCTTTAATCCGAGCCATTCGCCCTTCCTAGAAATAATCCAGTATATAGCAATAATTAACACCACAGCACGGATTTTACTCATGGTTTTTAAATTCCGGTCCCATCTCGGACTTTATCTCTCTCCGATTAGCAATTTCTGGTTCTACCGATGCATCGGCATATTCGGCGCTAACTTCCCAAACAATTACCTCCGAGCACCCAAAACACCGCGACGAATATCTCATAGCGCACCCGTTGACAACAACGTCGAGATATCGTACCAATCATGAATCTTTATCTGATCAATTAGGTCCTCTTTAGATCTTATCACCGAGCAAAAGACCCTACCTAGGCAGCACACCTCGGGACCACATACTCAAGCAAGTATACGGGCTCGGCTGCCCGCAACTCCAATCGGAGCAGGTCATGCGGGGAGGTATTGCGTATTGCAGCGCATCGCTGACTACTCGTTTTCACGGGGGGGTTTATTTTAAAAGCGATTGTTTCACGGGTAGTCTACCCGCTCGATACTTCTTTTGCGACAAGAGCTCGTTTCAACACTTTCCCTCCTCTACTGCAACCTCCATCTTCAGTACGACGATATACTTCCTGTCCGGTTCATTTACTCCCCGCTTCAAAAATGCCGTTGACCGATTCGCCGCCCCCGCATCCCCGTGTTGGAGAGCGTTCGGTAAGTCGATATTCCTGTTTAAGAATCTCCTATAGACATTCGTTAATGTGCAATCCCACTCCAGCGCGAGGAAGGCCGAGAGATGAAGCTCCTGCACTTTGTCTACGGCCAGCCAAACCTCGACGAGATCAGAGGCCACCCACAAAAGGTGCTGGACCTCATGGACGAATTCGAACAAGACTACCACATGATGACAGTCGGCGGGCCCAAAGGCAAAATCGTGACCGATCTAATCGACGAACTCAAGCCCAAGACCATGATCGAACTCGGCTGCTACGTGGGCTACTCAGCCATCCTCTTCGGCGAAGCAGTACGCCGCAACGGCGGCGAGCGCTATCTCAGCCTCGAGCTGAACCCCGAATGGGCCGCCATCGCCAACATGCTAATCGAACTAGCCGGTCTACGCGACTTTGTACGGGTGATCGTTGGTCGCAGCGATATTTCATTGGACAAGTTGTATCGCAGCGGCGACGTGACTAAGATCGAGCTCTTGTTTATTGACCATTATAAGCCGGCGTATACCACGGATCTGAAGCTGTGCGAGCACCATGGTATGATCGTTCCTGGCTCGGTGCTTGCGGCGGATAATGTGATTCATCCGGGTAACCCGCCGTACTTGGAGTACGTTCGGAGCAGTGTTGGGCAGAAGCGGGCGGCTGCGAAGGAAGGGCCTACTAAGGGGTATAACGTGGAGGGGATGCGCGAGCGCACTGTTAACTCGTTCATGCCCGAGGGTGATACGCCCGTCTTTGAGGTTGTTGGCAATCCTAATCTCGTGTACCAGAGTGTGTTGCGGCAACCTGAGGGAGAACGGGTGAGTCATTGGAGTTTCTTTGCTTGTTTTTTTTTTTTTGGAAGGGGACTGGATTGAAATTTTCTTGTCGAGAATAATTGCTAATCTGGTTGATAGGATGCCATTGAGGTGACACGCTGCGTGGGGGTGGAAGAGGCATAGAGCCATCGTCGTGGTGGCCAGAAATGACGGGCTGGACTGCTTAGTGGGGATTCTGCTGGGAAGTAGAGAACCACGGGATGACTGAATGATGGAATGAGACAATTCTAAATGCAATGCAAGCAATTACTTTGATTATCAAGCAGTGGATCGTGTGTGTTGGGAAAACAGTGCTCCGGAGATCCATTCCCGTCAAAATGTGCCTAGAGGACGGTAGAGAAGGGAGAAGCCGAGTCTTTGCCACTTCGGGAGGCCGAGGGTCTCGGACTGTACAGTCGACAGGGTAGAACTGTACAGTTGCACGTTACGCCATCCAGGCAAAGACCGTTGGTTGGTTGCTCATTCTGGATCGAGCGGGGCTCTCCCAAAGGTTGCCGTCGCCAGGACCTTCCACCTCCCCGCATCGGCGAGCAAAATCCGTGGAGGCCAAATATAAGTTGTCATGACTGCCCGCTTTTGCTTTTAGTTTTTTTTTTCTACTATTCTCCAATTACTTGTCTCTTGTGAGGTGTACATTCAAGTCCACTTCAATCCTCCCTTTCCCAATCCCCAACCCTTGCACTCTCCCGGTGACATCATGGCCACCAAGACCTACAACGTCGGCGTGATCGGCTATGGCTTTAGCGCCAAGATTTTCCACATCCCCTTCGTCGAGCAGATTCCCGAGCTGAAGCTCTACGCGGTCGTTCAGCGTACCCCTAAGCCCGAAGACGATGCTGAGAAGGACCACCCCGGTGTCAAGTCCTACCGGACCACCGACGAGCTGGTCAACGACCCCGCGGTCGACGTGGTGATTGTCACCACCGCCCCGGATTCCCACTTCACCCTGGTTAAGCAGGCTCTGGAGGCCGGCAAACACGGTATGTCTCACTTTGATAGCCAACAGCAATCGTTTACAGCTTGAACTGACTTGCTGCCCTATAGTTGTCTGCGAGAAGCCGTTCACCCCCACCTTCAAGGAAGCCGATGAGCTCGTCGCCATTGCCAACAAGCAGAACAAGTTGCTTGCCGTGTACCAGAGTACGTTTGACCAACCTCCAGTTCATACCATGTTTCTCAATCGAAATGCTAATCCCGCCGTGCCCCGATTTAGACCGCCGCTGGGACGCCGACTTTGTCACCCTCTCCAAGCTCGTCAAGAACGGCTCCCTCGGCCGCATCTCCGAGTTCGAAACCCACTTTGACCGCCACCGTCCTGAGGAACCCTCCGCCGATGCTCACAAGTGGAAGAACAAGGTTATCCCCGGTGGTTCTGCCGTGTATGATCTGGGTACCCATCTGCTTGACCAGGCCGTTCACCTGCTGGGTCTCCCCAAGCGAGTGACCGGCTTCATTGGCTCGGCACGGGAGCAGAACAGCTCTGGTTTCGAGGACTCCTTCACCGTTCTGCTGCAGTACGCCAACGGCACTCTGGTTACGGCCAAGGCGACCGTAGTCAGCCCCGAGGAGGAGCAGCTGCGCTTCTGGGTCCGTGGTGACAAGGGTAGCTTCAAGAAGGTGAGAATTACTTGCTGCCATCCTTGATCGACTGACGATGGCCATGCTAACTCATGCATCTAGTTCCACCTCGATATCCAAGAAGACCAGCTCAAGGCTGGTATCAAGCCCCAGGACAACGGCTACGGCCGTGAGCCCAGCGAGCGCTACGGCACTCTGACCACCATCCAGGATGGCAAGCCCGTCAAGGAGGTCGTTCCCACCGTCGAGCCCCCCACCTACACCGAGTATTACCGCAAGCTGGTCCGCGCTCTCGATGGTGAGGGCGATCTCCCCGCTAGTGGCGCCGAGGCCGCTCAGGTCATTCGTCTGATTGAGCTGGCTCGGGAGAGCTCTGCCACTGGCAAGACTTTCGATGTTTGAAATCGGAAGCAGTGGATTATGTATTTAAAAATCTGGAAACGACAGTGATGAATTAGCGGATATTTGATAGACATTGAAATTGGATATAGTTTCATTTTGGAATTTATCCCGGCATTCAGCAATAATGTTGATAAGATGAATGCTGACAGCTTGGCGCAAGCTCCCGGTCCCCCTCGAATTGGGGTCCAAAAGGGCATCCATGCACCGTTTCACCTCACCCCATTGAACAACCATTGACGAGTCACGCAGACCCTTTCCGATACAAATATGCACAACAAACCATTCTGGAACATTTACGAATTGGCGCTTGCATAATTCCTTTTCGAGGCGGCGCCCTATTGGTTCTTGAGTGGGACAACTTGCTGCCCAAGCCCATAGTCAACTCCACCACCCATTAGAGGCTCCTCTCATTATTGCCGCCACCTGCATAGCTCTGCCATCTCACCAGCGATGCTCCACGATGAAACTGCAATCGCACAGGTGTGGCCAAGCCACATTCTGACTAGCTTGCAGCCTTGAAATAGCGCTGTCACATGGGCGTCTCCGCGTCATGCAGGAGGGCTAATGGCCGGAGGGTCCGAGCCAGACTGCAGCCTGAGAATTCTTTCAAAAACGACCACTTCTCTTCCTTCAGGATCAGCTGCTCTGCGAAGAAACAATCTCCTCAAAACGGAGGAGATCATTGCGTCTTCATACCTGATCTTATCTTCACGCCGAGATCCCAAGGCCGAGCTTGAGAGCTACGATCAACTCCAATACCAATGGACGCAAGCTCGCTCCCAGACTTCAAGATCCTATCCCACCCAAAAAATGGGATGGGATTGACTTCGACCAACAATCCTCTCCATCAACAGATGAGGATATCACTCTAAACGCGACCTCGTCATGGACATACTGCGGGCCCCTCCTCCCCCTAAACGCAAAGAACCTACCCTCCTCATTCCACACCTGGGCCCAAGCCACCGTCAATGGCTCAATCGCAAGCCCATTATTCTCCTTCCTAGAATTCGTCCACGAATTCCTCACAGCAAACAACATATCAACCTACTGGCTCACGATACGCGCAAGCCAAGGCACCGACGAATTCGACACCCCGCGCTGGCACACGGATGATCTATTCTTCTCCCCAGGACCCCCCAACGGCCCCCAATCGCAATCGAAACACCAGCGCCGCCGCTCTCTCCTCCCCTCTTTCTCAAATGCGACCAAATTCCACAGGCGGACAGCATCATCACTCTCCCACTTCGGTAAACACAGCAAAGACAACCGATCATCTATGACGTTCAATTCCACAACGACGAAACAGCCCGTCCCCCCTTCCGTCCAAATAACCAGTTCCTCACCAAACCCTACAAACTGGAAACTCACCACCACCCTCCTAGGCCCGGGAACACTCTTCATCGCACCCCATCTCAACGCCCAAGCCCGCTCCCTCCAACGAACTACCAAAATGACCGTCCGCTCCGCAAACCCCGATCACATCTGCCTCTCCATCCGCTGCGTAGGTTGTGCCTCAGCCGCAGAGTCCGTACGCGCTACCCTCGCCGCGCAACTAGGCGGGTATCGCAACGGTGGGGGTAAATGCGATGGCGAGTTTAACGGTGAGAGGGAGGGTGTTGTTCAGGCGCGGCCGGGGGAGTGTGTATTCTTCCGTGTGGGCGAGGATGAAGGGGCGGTGCATTCGGAGCCGATGTCTCATGGGGATCGGATTTTTGTTAATGTTGTGCCGGGGTGTGAGGAGGATTTGAGGTGTTTGATGGCCAAGTGGGGGATGGAGTATCCGCGGGCTTGGTGTGTGGGGTTACCGTTTCAGGGGGCTGAGGGGGGTTGTTGGAGGAATGTTGGTGAGGTTTGATGGTTGAGGTGAGGGGGAGGGGAAGAGCACTGGAGAGAGGGTTTGGGGTTGAGGGTATACATTTTATATGATACTGTTCTCATGTTCTCAGGTGTCTGAAATAATATCTAAAATGGCAGGTTAAAAGTGAATATAAGGACTAGAGAGAGAATCGAACCATGTACTTTAAACCCCTCCTTTTTTTATAGATCTCTGTATGTATATCAAAGATCCTCGATGGCTCAGGCATCATCTTGTTTATCGTTTAGGTATGAGTTTAAAGTTTACCGGGATTTGAACCTCGCAGACTCCACCTCGTCATATTCTTAACAATCTATTGAATAACCCTCACCGTAAGAGTAAGATCATCTTCAAAACAAGGGTATCCATGTGGCCGAGTATACTCCGCGCGGATGCATGTACGTCAGCCCTACCATCCGAGATTCATCCGACACGTTGGAGTCGTTCGATCAAGCAATCCTTATCAAATCTACAATCAACCTCCCACGTGGACATATCAGTTAAATTGTTCAATCAATTCTCTCCAAATCTACTGGTTCACGCACCTATAACCTCCGCAATCCCTTACATCTTACCTACAGTACACAAAATTCTACGATGGTTTCGGCATCTGCAAAAGTGACATCATCAAATGCCAAGCCACTAACACCCAAACAGGAATTTCTGTTACCAAATGCAAACGCAATGACTGGTAGGCAAAGACTCCCACTAGCAGCGCAAAGTCCCACGGCCAACCGCTCGCAACATTGAAGGGAAGCTTTTCGAAACCCGATGTCCGCGGAGAAACCGAAGTAATCGTCGACACGGCTAGTCCGGCACACTGAGGAGAAATCGTGAGGGAAATAAGACACGGGTGTGAGGAAGGATGTCTTCATTCAACGTTGCTCTAGGGGAGTCGAACTTTCTCTGTCGAGTTTCTCTTTCTCTCTCTCGTGAGGGTTTGTGTTGAGTGGTACCGCGACGGATACCTGGGTTCATACATACTTCTCTCTATCTCGACCATCGCTTGGCGAACTTTTTGCCAGCTACGACACCCACACACGACACCCGGAGCAAAATCATGTCGCACACTTTGCATGGGCAGATGAGACTGTCCGATGTAAGGACGTGGCATGTGGATATTGATCGCTTTATCAACCCTTGGGTTCCTGCGCCTAGGTTGCACATACTGCCCCGGCCGATTTCTCATTTCCTGGGGTATCGGGATAAGCCAGCTCGACCGTTGGGTAATGTAGTACTCGCCTTTTGGTCACTGGTCGGTGCGTTCTGCGGCGTAGCCCTGATCGCTGAAGTATCGAAGCGCATCCCAGCATTCGAAGTTCGAGACGCACCCGCTGTCGTGGGAAGTTTTGTAAGTTGCAGTGCCCTGCCATGGACAACTTTGAGGGTTCCATCTTGACTAACGGTGAACCGTGTCGTAGGGTGCTGCTGCCGTTATCGAGTTCTGCGCGATCGAGTCGCCCTTTGCACAACCGCGTAATGCCTTCTTCAGTCAGATGTGGGCTTGTCTGATGGGCATTGGTATCTCGAAGCTTTTTGCTCTAAGTCCCCATGCCCAGCAGTACACTGAGCTTGGCGGGGCTCTAGCCTGTGGGCTCACCACTGCCGCCATGCTGTTGACTGGTACCATTCACCCGCCGGCGGGAGCGACGGCCCTTCTGGCTGTGACGAATGAGCAGATGGCGGGGCTGGGCTGGTTCTTGTTCCCGGTCATGATGCTGGGAGTCGTCCTGATGCAAGTGGTGGCATTGATTGTCAATAATATCCAACGGCAGTATCCATTGTACTGGTGGACGTCACACCCTCTGGCCCGAAGACAGATCCAAGATGAAGAGAAAGAGAATATCCACCGTAAGGCCGGGTCAGATGTTCCCAGTCATTACGAGGAGAGTCTGACAGACGTTCCTCGTCGGATTGTGCTTGAGCGAGGGGAGATTTTCGTGCCTGACGGGGTATTCCTGTCAGCGGAAGAAAGGGAGGTGCTCGAGAAGATCAGTGACAGAATCTAAAAGGAAGAGAGATTGGGGGAGGGATCTTGTACATAGTTTAATGATAACGACTAGGTCAACCGACCAACCACGATCTATTGTCCCCATCATCTCGCACATTTGCTTTTGGAGATATCGTGCTAAACTCGACTGGGTTAAGCCGGAGGAGTGCCTATCTCTAGCCAACCAGATCCGTCGCAATTCAGTGGCAAGAAAGTTGACACCTGGACACCTTAATCCCACCTTTTTCAGGCCTCAAGGCTCCGAGGCTCCCAGGCCACTCACTTCTGCCCGACCGTGCGGTGACGTCCCAAACAGCCCTCCGTCGGCCTACAGCAAATCAGCGCGCTTTGTGCTGGCCCTGACGGCCCACCAGGTTTGAATTTTTGTTCTTCTCGCATTTACGGTTCACCGTCGAAGATTTCAAAAAGAAGGATTATCCGATTTTTCCCTTCTTCTGATTTATCTCTCATCTTTTCAGGAACCTCATCCGTGACGGTCAGGATTCAGAATCCGACAGGCAACTTTTTTCCCCCTCTAATCGATAAGGGCTCACCCAAAACCCCCACTTCCTCTCGAGTTGTTTCGCCCCTCTACTCTCCGCCCCGCCAGGCGATCCACTTCAGTCTCTTTTTGCATTTCTTTGCCTTCAATCTCTTCGACCAAGTTTGTTACGGGTCGTCTTTCCATCACTCGATCCTCTCCTCTCTTTCACCCCCCATCCCCTCTCTCCCCCTCCTCGCCCCCGCCCTCTCGACCAATTTCCTTTTCACATCTACAACCGCCAATATGGTTTCTGCCTCCAAGGCCGCCCGTATGGCCAAGCGCGCCGAAACTGGCGACAAGAAGGCTAAGAAGTCCGCCTCCAAGAAGGAGGAGGAGCCCACCGTCGAGGCCGATGCCAACGGCGACGAGCAGCCCGCCACCACCGAAGCTAAGATGAAGGATGTCGAGAAGCTCACCGCACAGATGGACAAGCACGGTCTCTCCGATCGTGTCACTACCGGTGTGCTTTCGTCTCTGCCCGCCTCTCGCGACGTCAAGATCACCTCCGCCTCCCTGGTGTTCCACGGAAAGGTCCTCTTCACTGATTCTACCCTCGAGCTGAACTTCGGTCGTCGTTACGGTCTGCTCGGTGAGAACGGTTGCGGAAAGTCCACTCTCCTCAAGGCCATTGCCACCCGCGAGTTCCCCTTCCCCGAGCACATCGATCTGTACCTTTTGAACGAGGGTGCTCCCGTCACTGATAAGGGTGCCCTTGAGTGGGTTGTTGATGAGGCCCAGGCTCAGCTTGATGCTATGGAGAAGAAGGCCGAGGAGATTCTTGAGCAGGATGGCCCCGAGAGCCCTATTCTCGAGGATCTGTACGACGTGAGTATCCAACATCTGTTTTAGGTTCAGTCTTTTGAACTGTTTACTTACTTTACTATTCGTGGATGATTTGCTGACCAAACTTATGATAACAGCGCATGGACAAGATGGACCCCTCCACCTTCCACACTCGTGCCTCTCTGATCCTGACTGGTCTCGGTTTCAACAAGGTCACCATTCACAAGAAGACCAAGGATATGTCCGGTGGTTGGCGTATGCGTGTGGCCCTCGCCAAGGCCCTGTTCGTCAAGCCTTCGCTGCTGCTGCTCGATGACCCCACTGCTCACTTGGATCTCGAGGCCTGTGTGTGGCTGGAGGAGTACCTCAAGAAGTGGGACCGTACTTTCATCCTGGTCTCTCACTCCATGGATTTCCTCAACGGTGTCTGCACCAACATGATCGATATGCGCATGAAGCAGCTCCTCTACTACGGTGGTAACTACGACTCTTACCACAAGACTCGCTCCGAGCAGGAGACCAACCAGATGAAGGCCTACACCAAGCAGCAGGAAGAAATTTCCCATATTAAGAAGTTCATTGCCTCCGCCGGTACCTATGCCAACTTGGTCCGTCAGGCCAAGTCCCGCCAGAAGATTCTCGACAAGATGGAGGCCGATGGTTTCATCCAGCCCGTCATTCCCGACCGTGTCTTCACTTTCCGCTTCGCCGACGTTGAGAAGCTGCCCCCTCCCGTCATGTCCTTCGACGATGTCAGCTTCTCCTACTCTGGAAACTGGGATGACACCCTCTACGAGCACCTCGACCTCGGTGTCGACATGGACTCCCGTACTGCCCTGGTCGGTCCCAACGGTGTTGGCAAGTCCACTCTGCTGCGTCTGATGACCGGCAAGCTGAGCCCCATTGGCGGTACCGTCAGCCGTCACACTCACTTGAAGCTCGGTGTCTACTCCCAGCACTCTGCTGAGCAGCTCGACCTGACCAAGTCTTCTCTCGAGTTCGTCCGTGACAAGTTCCCCGAGAAGTCCCAGGACTACCAGTACTGGCGCCAGCAGCTCGGCCGCTACGGTCTGTCTGGTGAGTCTCAGACCGCCATCATGGGTACCCTCTCCGAGGGCCAGAAGAGTCGTATCGTCTTCGCCCTGCTCGCCATCGAGTCCCCCAACATGATCCTGCTTGACGAGCCTACCAACGGTCTCGATATTCCCACCATTGACTCTCTTGCTGATGCCATCAACGCCTACAACGGTGGTGTCGTCGTCGTCTCCCACGACTTCCGTCTGCTGGACAAGATTGCCAAGGACATCTTGGTCTGCGAGCACAAGACCGTCCGTCGCTGGGATGGTAGCATTGGCCAGTACAAGAAGTACCTGCGTGACAAGATGGTCTCTACCGGTGCCGTCTAAGCGCTTCGCTTCAATGTTCTGTTCCACCCCCCACCCCACCCCCTTTCCTATCTCTGATGACGACGAAATGCTAGACGTGAATTGAGGGAATTGCAATGCCCCGCGCTATAAAAAGTTGGATTGTTTTTTAGAACGGGCCGTTGCCCGATTTCCCGTTCCTTGCTCCTAGCCAACCCCCTACTCTCATGGGCAGGCGGAGACAGGATCATGGTTTCTTGTTCATCCTCCATTTTTTTTTCTTTTATTATATTCGTTTTGTTCCTGCTTGCTGTCATGAAACCTCATTCCCCCCCCGACATCATGGCGGATACCCCCCGCTGGATTTGTCGAAACTTTTCCTTGGATCTTTTTATGTTACTTCCGCCCGTTTTGCGGGTTGCATTGTGTTTGATAGAGGGTCTAGTCTAGTTGCAGTTGCTTCTGATTGAGGCTGAGGTCTTATAGATCTGCGAAATGACTAGTTCTTGTTCGCGCTTACATGACTTTGTTGCCTCGTCTTCTCTAGCTTGTAACATCAGTAAACCATATGACTAGTAAACCTTATCAACTACAAAGTCGATGGCCTGATATGATTTCCATCTTCTTTGAGGCAACAACTCGCCAAACTAATGCTCGTGTCATTATACTTCCATCTATAAAGCAGCCATCACACACCACCGATCAATGCTTCGTCCGACCCGCCACCAACTCGGGCCCAAACATATCCTGTGTCCCCCGCTGCTTCTGCTCCATCTCCAACTTCCTCTTCTTCGCCAACCTCTCCGTCTCACTCTCGGACGTAGCCGTCCCCGCATCCCCAGCAGGCGTCGACCTCGGCACCGCAGAATCACGCTTCAAATTAACCTTCTCCGGATTCTGGCAATGATACAATTTCTTCGCAATCCGTTTAAGACTCTTCATCTGATCCGGGTCCGACGAGAGGGGCGTGTACGATTGCAAAAGCGCGCCGCAGTCCGTGAGCACGTTGAGTAGTTTTGTGCGGAGCTCGTAGAGCGGGTTTTGCAGGGGAGATGGACTGTCGGTGGTGGTTTGTTCGAGGGGACCGCCGAGTTTGGTGTCCAGGTAGAATTCGGCGAGGGGTTTGTCGGCGAGGAGGAAGGCTGATAGCCAGATTTGGGAGGGTGTGTAGAGGAAGTATGCGTCCGTCATTTGCGCGGCGGATTTGAGGAGTTCGCGTGTAGCACCGTGGGCGCGGCCGATACGGTCTGTGATTGATGTACATGGAACAGGCGGCAGTGCGAGCGAGAGTATTCCCTGCTTGAGGCTTTCGGGTGTGTGGTGTGGTAGATGGGGCGCCGGTTTACCCTGGCCTTGGGCGATGGCTGAGAGTTCCATGACGCCGCCTTCGAGGCCGCGGAATGGGTGGCGGACGTCGAATGTGAAGCGGAGGCCTTGCATGAGCAGGAATTCCGGGGCGATGACATCGTCCGCTGTTGTGTCGCCGGGGATACCTTCGGCGAATTGCCGGAGGGACATGTAGTAGTTGTCTGTCTTTGTGGCGACGAAGAGGGCACAGGCCATGATGGATTTTGGGTGGTAGGTCATCGGGGAGTTCGTGAGGTAGAAGCGGCGGAGGTATTGGATTGCGGTGGCCTGGGAGGTGATATATGTGAGTATTTTGCTGACCTACCTAGCAGAAGGTTTGACGGCAGTAGATAACTTACGCGGACATTCGTGGGGAGTGGTGGCCTATATGTGTCGCCGAGTTCGACTGTCTTTTCACAGTAGTATCGAACCAGGACAAGCTCTTCTTCGGGTGTCAAGCATTCGATATCTCTGTCTTCGGCGTCACTTCCTGGCTGTGGTGTTCCTGTCGCAGAAGGTGTGGCAGAGAGGTGGCGTTCTCGAGCTCGACGCAGCGCGGCACGTACTCGCTCGCTTGCGATATGGTTGGTCGTGGTGCGTAGAGACTTCAGTGAGCTTTGTGTGTAAGACCATAGTCGGAACTGGGAGGATGTGCGGTAGATGTCGTCTTCGATCATGTTAGCGGTTCAAGAAAGCCCTGCTTTCCGCCGCGGAGTAGGTGATTGCACGAGTGCTTGGGGGGGAGAGTTCTTCCCGAGGGCCTTTGGTTTGGTGAAAATAATATAGGAGGAGGGTGGGCGCTCAGTGAGAAGTCGGTAAGTGTTGCTCTGCTTCGGAGAGAGCTCTGTTGGAGGTGATTTACAATGCGGAGGTTCAGCAGGGCGGGCTTTGAGTGGGCTTATCGATAAGAGCAGCACCCAAACAGAGTAAACGCCTCCAAGACTTATTGGACTGAAAAAGAAACACGCAGACAATAAAGGACTACAACTTTTATTGTTTTGTAGTTTTGAACTCTTCTATACCAATCCTAGACACCTCCAGCAATGCAATACATGTCACTTAAATCATAGCCCTGCAAGCAGGCGTGCACAAACATCATCGACTTGACCTTCATCTAGCTGGTGACTCCGAGGGCTAATTCCAAGCTCTCCGAATATTCTCACAATATCCGTTACTTGGAATCCCATTGCGCCGAAGTTGTCAACTAGTGCTCTATCATAACCATTATACCTGGTACTGGCGTTAGCATATACTTCGCTCAGCTGAGATAGATATTGCTTACTGGGCTAGAGACTCATCCTCAATCATAAAGGGCGCCTCTGCCGTTCCTGTTTGACCAGAATCATCCGAGGGTGCACCTGCATAAATGACGGCCCATTCTCGTGCCACACGCTGGAATTCCTGCGGCCTTTGAAGCATCATATTGGCAACCTCTGCATCTTGCGGATCCTTGGGCTCGGGGGTGCTCAACAAGGACTGCAATGAAATTAGGGCAGATTTGATTGTGAGAACCGGAGACCAAGCACTGGAGAGAGTGTCAAGGCAAATAGCACCCTGTGAGCATATAGATGAGTAGCTATTCTTATCTGTGTCAACCTTGCTATTCTAAAGGTACTCACTGTTTGACTGCTAACATTCGGATGCCAGACTTTGGTTTCAAACTTCATAACTGGAGGCCGGAAAGGATAGTCGGTCGGAATCTTGATATCAACCTTGTAAGTACCACCTTCATAGGGAGTATCTGGAGGCCCTGGAAAGATTCCTCTTAGGTGTGTCACATCATCCTGGCCGCCAACGGGCTCCGCCGTGATTTGCGAATGGGTATCGGCGTGGATATCGGCCAATTCCTTGGCAATACGTCGAGTCCGATTGCCAGCCATAGTGTATTGTAAGATTTGGTACAACCCTCACTTTCCACAATCAATGAAACAATATGCGGTTTCTAAGGATTCGGTGCGCTAATAACGGGAGGTGATCGTGTGTTCGCCCGCCGCGGGGAAAGACCTGGAAGGTCGGACTCGAAGACTCTGTGGAAGACGGCTTAGAATTTTAATCTGGTGACCATGAGGGTCAATTAGATGTGGAAGGCACTGCATACTAGATAGGGTAAAGGCAAACGATACGACAATAAGCCGAAGCTTTGCAATCTCACTAATGGAGGGGAAGTATGAGTCGCCGCTTAGCTCCAGAATTAGCTCCGGAGAACCGTAATAAGCTTCAGAATCGAAGTTAGAGAAGCATAAAGACTCGAGAAGCCTTAAATATCCAACCGATCCTATCAGACTTATTGGTTGTCGGTCTGGATTTGAATTGTCTTGCGTGTTGCCGAAGCTGCATGGAAAAGCTGAGGGACCGCGGACGCGGGATAAGGCACAAAGGCATCAATGACCGCATATCTCGGCCTGAGGCGGTAATAGTCACGTGGTGTGATGGCAACAGCTTCCAGCTTGCTCACCCCCGAACAGCAGCAACCTCTCCAACTGCATTGCCAGCCCATCCCTTCCATCTCTCGATTTCCATCTTCGCTCGGCCACATCAAGCTCAAATCTATCCAGGACTCGTCGTCGCATTCACATCTACCCACTTGTCGCTGACAGACCTCCTGTCGCTGGCTTACAAACATGGTGAGTCTCAACGCCTGTTCGGCCATCCGGAATCAGTTGACTGACATGCGTGATCAAATAGGGTAACCAACAGTCTAACATGGGCGGTGGCCCTGGGGGAGATGGACGCGATGACAGGGATAAGAAGGTATGATTCATCCCCCCTAGGTGTTCTCGGCGATTAGCAGCTGACACCGCGCCCTGCAGAAGGACAAGCCCAAGTACGAGCCACCACCACCTCCTACTACTCGCATTGGCCGCAAGAAGCGCAAGGCCGCCGGACCCAGTACCGCCTCCAAGCTCCCAGACATTTACCCTACGTCGAGATGTAAACTGCGCTACCTCCGAATGCAACGAGTGCACGACCACCTGCTGTTGGAGGAGGAATACGTCGAGAACATGGAGCGGCTTCGCAAGGCCAAGGCTCAGGCTGCCCAAGGACCCGCTCGAACTGAGGATCCAGAGGTGTCAGACCGGAATGCAGACGAGCGGAGTCGGGTTGATGATATGCGAGGCAGCCCGATGGGCGTTGGTAACCTGGAGGAGTTGATTGATGACGACCATGCCATCGTGTCCAGCGCGACTGGCCCCGAGTACTACGTATCAATCATGTCCTTTGTCGACAAGGATCTCCTTGAGCCCGGTGCCAGCATTCTGCTACATCACAAGTCCGTGTCGGTCGTTGGCGTGTTGACGGAAGAGTCTGATCCGCTTGTATCTGTGATGAAGCTGGATAAGGCTCCTACCGAGTCATACGCCGATATTGGTGGTTTGGAGTCTCAGATCCAAGAAGTCCGAGAAGCCGTCGAGTTACCACTTCTACACCCCGAGTTGTACGAGGAGATGGGTATCAAGCCTCCCAAGGGTGTCATCCTGTACGGTGCACCCGGAACAGGAAAGACGCTTTTGGCCAAGGCTGTTGCCAACCAAACGAGTGCTACTTTCCTGCGCATCGTCGGCTCCGAGTTGATTCAGAAGTATCTCGGAGATGGTCCGCGATTGGTCCGCCAGATCTTCACTGTTGCCGCTGAGCACGCCCCATCCATCGTTTTCATCGACGAAATCGATGCCATCGGTACCAAGCGTTACGATTCTACATCTGGTGGTGAGCGTGAGATTCAGCGTACCATGCTAGAACTGCTCAACCAGCTCGACGGTTTCGATGATCGTGGTGACGTGAAGGTCATTATGGCTACCAACAAGATTGAGACTCTAGATCCTGCTTTGATCCGTCCTGGTCGTATTGATCGGAAGATTCTCTTTGAGAACCCCGACCGTAAGTTAACGTACACCTCTACTGATTGTCAGTTCCAGCGACTAACATGACTTTTCCTTAGAAAACACCAAGAAGAAGATTTTCACCCTGCACACATCGAAGATGTCCCTCGGCGACGATGTCGACCTCGACGAGTTTATCAACCAGAAGGACGATCTCTCCGGTGCGGATATTCGGGCAATTTGTACCGAAGCTGGTCTCATGGCTCTTCGGGAGCGTCGCATGCGGGTACAGATGGATGACTTCCGTTCAGCTCGGGAGCGCATCATGAAGACGAAGCAGGATGGTGGCCCTGTTGAGGGCTTGTACTTGTAAGCGATAGATAGTGTTCGGCGAAAGACGGTATCGATCTACGTCGGAAACCTTTCTGGGCTTGATGTGTGTATTTTAATGGAACCCATGATCTATGGGGTGGGCATGCATTGATACTACTGAATACCTATCGCGAAGTCGTAGTTGTTTTGTAGCGTTAACCTTAGCTCGGAATATGCTTCATTTAATCAACATCCATAGAATCACTCTTGGATTCGTATGTTCACGCTCAGGCTACTAACTCCATGGTTGGCCAAGGTCTGGAACCACCGAGATGCAAACGATGCAAACAAGCTCGATAGCCCCAGCCCGCCTTATCTGCGATCTGCGGCGCAACTTCTTCTTCAGCGCAACAACTTACACCTTAAATATGGACGGATTCGACGAGGAAGCTTTCAAGAAGTTCTTTCCTTCTGGCTTTGGCAAGCAGGAGAAATCAATCGATGTCGAGTCTCAAATTAATCGGTCCAAACGGACAGAGATCTCAGCGTCCGAGCCGCTCGCCGAGTCCGCGTCCGCCACAGCTGGACCTACCGTAACGGAGAAAAGGCCACAAGAACCCAAAGACAGTGATGATGACTCTGACGACGATGATGATTCTGAAGATGAGGATGACGAGGATGAATTTCCCGTGTCGCACGAGCTGGTCTTGAAGACCCATGAGCGCGCTGTTACAACCATGACAGTAGACCCCTCGGGGGCGCGACTAATCACAGGTTCCACTGATTGTACACTGAAGCTCCACGACTTTGCTTCTATGACGCCCTCGACCATCCGCGCATTCAAGTCTGTCGATCCTTCCGTGAAGAAACAATCGGCAGCGCAAGACACCCACGCCGTCAACTATGTCGCATTCAACCCGCTTGCTGCCAGCCATGTCCTCGTCGTCCCTGCGACAGCGCAGCCGCGTATCCTGAGTCGAGATGGCGATACACTGACCGAGTTTGTGAAGGGTGATATGTACCTTCGAGATTCGCACCATACAAAGGGCCATACCTCGGAGGTATCTAGTGGCGTTTGGTGTCCCACGGACGAGAACCTCTGTGCTACGGCTGGATCGGACAGCACTGTGCGTATTTGGGATGTCAATGTTGGCCGCTCTCAGAAAGAGGTGATTGTTCACAAGTCGAGGGTTGCTGGGTCTGCTGGTCGGACCAAGATGACCGCGGTGGCTTGGGGCTCTCCGAAACAAGGAGGGTCTAATATCCTGGTTGCCGCGGCTCTCGATGGAAGCTTGGCGATGTGGAGTGGCAATGGGCCTTTCACCCGGCCTAGTGGCGAAGTTCGGGAGGCGCATACCCGAGATACTTGGACGAGTGGCCTGGATATCAGCGCCGACGGGCGCCTTATTATTAGCCGAGGTGGAGACGACACTATCAAGTTGTGGGATACACGGAAGTTCAAGTCACCAGTTACAACTGTAACGCACAAGTCAACATCCTTCCGGTATCCTACCTCGAACATCCAATTTTCGCCGAGCTCAGCGAATGTCATCGTCGGCTCGGAAACGGGTCACTTGCACATTCTCAACCCTGCTACGTTGAAGCCAGAACTAGTCACGCCCGTCACGCCAGGGTCGCCATTGATCACTGTCTTATGGCATGAGAAGCTTAACCAAATCTTGACTGGCTCTGCCAATGCGGAAACACATGTGCTCTATAACCCAACAATGTCTACCAAGGGTGCCGCGCTGGTTATGTCCAAGGCACCCAAGCGTCGCCATTTGGATGACAACGCAACCCTTACGACAGACCTGTCGTCCGGACTTGCTGGTGACTCGGTGGTCGTCGGCTCCAATGGTGTCCCTCATTACAGCTCTGCAACCTTTGCTGCGCGTCACCCGACGATCGGATTGACGGCGTCTGGTCGCTCCAGGGATCCACGTCGCCCACACATGCCGCAGGTGACGCCCTTTGCCAAGTCCCAGCCTGATGAGAAGCATATTCGTGATAATATTCCTCTAAGTTCCATGCGTGATGAGGACCCGCGAGAGGCATTGTTGAAATATGCCGAAAAGGCTGAGAAGGACCCTATCTTTACCCGCGCGTACAAAGAGACGCAGCCAAATGCCATCTATGCGGAATTGAGTGATGAAGAGGAGCCGGGCCCGGAGAAGAAAAAGGCACGTCGATGAAAAGGGATCTAAATCAGATCTATGTATTATAAGACCATGAATTGAAAAGTACGCTTGCCTATGGACTTATATGATGCGAATCAACTATGCGTTACAGTTGCCTGTAGCAAACTGTACTCTCAGTTTCAACCATAGCATTCTACCTGAAGACTCGGTTCCATCTGTCTTTTATAGGATGATGACTGGCTATCGGATACAACAAAAGAGGACCTGTATACTACGTCTTGACATTTAAGTAAACTTGGTAGTCGATTCCTCATAGGTTGGCTATGACGATTCTAGGTCGCGATATATCCCGGACACGGGAAAGCGCTAGTATGGCATCTCGACCTGGCTATTAGACTCACAGCCACGAAGTTAAAGACCTGCCTAGTGACGGTGATCTAGGCATCCAGAAACCAAGAAAAACCCATAAGCTTATAGGTGTTCTCATGATATCAATATCACAAGACGCGATATCTCCCAATTTGCAAAGCTAGTTCTGGTCTGACATTTAGGCTGCACTATAGCTATCCATATAGTTGAGTTTTACTATACTTAGGCCCCATTAATGGGAAAATGAGAATTCATCGCATAGACTTCATCGATGAAACAAGCTGCGCATGGCATCCCTCCTTGCGTAGGCTGCTGTGGAATGTTCCCCTCTTTTCTTGCGCTGGGCGAAATGACGTCCCCCAAGAGTCGATCTGCAACTGCACTTTGAGCGCGCACTACCAATTACAACCACCAACACCGACCGTACGGGCTTTGACCTCGCGCGTATTTTGGCTTGAGCGCGCATTTACTTGCGTAAGTCTGGCGACTAGCGGGGTCCTTGCAAACTGATTAGCTGGTGCATTTAGCGCAAGGAGTGGAAAAGACCTAACTCTTTAGTTAGTTACTGGCCGTTTGGTGCTGACACAGCATCTCTCCGCTCGCTGGGCTTCGCATCTCCGCGCGCTGCCGTCAACTCTCTCCAACTTTCTACACGCGGCTACGAGGCACTTTCGGAAACGACAGTTGACCGGATTCTTTCCTTCTGTCTGCTCCAAAATGCTGTCTATCGCGCTGTGAAAAGCTTCCCCCCTTGTACCTACCCTCAGCCTGATTCGAGACGAACTATCGGCGATTCAAGAGTTCGGCTTCGGGCGGCTTTCAGGAGGACCTCGGGCGGGACACCCGAGTTGACCACCGCGCTCGCATAGTTTCGGTGTTGTCTATATTCTATCGACGAGATGGATATATCACAGCATCCCCTGGTAGCGGGCTTGCTCACCTCACTCGCCTCTGCGACTATCGCGCCTTCCGCCGCAACCCCGTATTTAACCTCCTATCCACAGCACACTTATGCCGCGTTCTCGAACTCAACCTCGCAAGTCCCTTCTAATGGCGATGGCGACAACGATGGCAACATGGAAAGGTGGTCATCGCTTATCGGTATTGTGACTGCTCTGATCGGCAACGTGTTGATCTCTATGGCGCTCAATATCCAGCGTTATGCGCACATTCGGATCGCACGAGAATGGGAACAGAATAAGATCAAAAAGGAAGCTGGGCGAAGAAGGACACGGTCTGGAGCATCCAGTGCGAATCCGTATGGGACCGTCAGTCGGGGCCGATCGCAGGAACAGGATCGGCACAATGGACATGGGGAATTTGAGGCTTATCGCGATGACGAAGATGCGCCTCCCAGGGGAAGACATGGCACTCGGGACAGCGCGCGCGATTCTTTTGCATCCGATAGCACCGATCGCCCTGACGAGTCGGATGCCCGGAAATCTTACCTGCGGTCACCGTACTGGTGGGCTGGTATTATCCTCATGGTTCTGGGTGAGACTGGAAACTTCCTTGCCTATGGCTTTGCGCCAGCCTCGATTGTGTCTCCACTGGGCGTCGTTGCCTTGATTTCCAACTGCGTTATCGCACCCTGTCTACTCAAGGAAAAGTTCCGACAGCGGGATTTCTGGGGCGTGCTGGTAGCTATTGCTGGAGCTGTGGTGGTTGTGCTCAGTGCCAGATCTTCAGAGGAGAAAATCGGCCCCGGTGAAATCTGGACGATGATCACTCGTTGGGAGTTTGAGCTTTACCTGGGCTTGACGATAAGCTTGATTATTGGTCTTATGTGGGCCAGCTTCTCATACGGCTCGCGCTCGATTTTGATCGACGTGGGGCTTGTGGCATTATTTGGTGAGTAATTGCATGATAATACAATTTGAAGATTATACTGACTCTGTCTATCAGGTGGATATACAGCTCTGTCTACCAAGGGCGTCTCCTCATTATTGTCATTCACGTTGTGGCATGTCATTACATACCCAATTACCTATCTGCTCGTTTTCGTTCTTGTCTTCAGTGCCTTGATGCAAATCCGCTACATCAACCGAGCCCTACAGCGCTTCGACTCTACTCAAGTGATTCCAACCCAGTTCGTTCTGTTCACGCTCTCCGTGATTGTCGGTAGCGCCGTTCTCTACCGTGATTTCGAGTCCATGTCGGCTGGCCGAGCAGGGAAATTTGTGGGAGGATGCGCCTTGACCTTCCTGGGTGTCTACTTCATTACCAGCGGTCGTGTACGTTCTGACGACGAGTCCACCTTTTCTACAGACGATGAAGAGGAAGCTATCGGCTTGCTGGATGGAGAGCGATATCGCGACAGAATTGACTTGTCTCCACCCGCGCAACAATTCCGAGCACCAAAAACACTTGCCATCGATCGCGAGGAAGAGGATGCTGTTCTGTCCCCAACGGGTTCACTTACAAGCCGCGGTATTGATGGCATCGATGATGATCAGCTCACACCCCGAGGTGCCCTTTCCGGGGCCCCATCTTCTCCAGCGGGCTCATTGACCGCCGAGTTTCCTCCTTCGGGGCCATCTCTGGATCACCTATCACCTCTACGACCACCTTCCCGTATGTCTAACCCTTGGGCAGACTCTACCGATGCACCCCTTGAAACCCCCAAATCCGACCTCGAGACTTACTGTCAAACCACCCCACCTGGACCACAAGTTGATGGTGGTCAGGAGTCAACTGTGCTTTTGCGTTTCCCCCTGCACCCGGTATCGAAGAGGACCCGGCAAACAGGTCACCTGTTCCTCGACGGGCCTCCACTCCTACTGGGACAGACCACGTTCACAACACCGATAGAAGCCACACGGTTCTGGAGACTCCTTCGCGACGAGCAATGCGCAACTCTATTTCCAACCGCTTTTCCCCTGGACCTCTCCTTCCTACTCTTTCTGGCGGATTTAGCGCCGTCGTTGCGGAATCTCTGCGTCGTGGTGAGGGTAGCCCATTGAAAGATCGTGCCCGACGAAAAGCGGGACGCCGCCGCCAACTCGATGGTGCCTTTGACCAGGAGCCAGCTCGCTATCAAGATGGTGATCTTGGAGTTGATGGCCTCGATCATCCTCTGAACATTGCCACCGCGCGGCTGCAATCTGCCACCGGTCTGGCCGCACCGCCCGTGGAGGGTGGACGGTCAACTCCTGCTTTGGCTACGGAGATCTCTGCCCCTTCAACTCGGAAAACAAATGAGGAAGTCACTCGCCTACGCAGCTTCAGCGACTCGTGGAGTGGTGGGCTTGCATGGCTGGGCGGTGCTCTGAGATTGAATCACCAAAATCAACCCGTGGATAGTGGTGCGGTAACGCAAGGTACCCCGACTCCGGAAGGCGATCAGGCCATTGGCGAGAGTGGTCATAGCCACAATGACGCTGGAAACACCGAGGCTGACTCTCGGTGATAACTGCAGCCAGGAGCATAGGGAAGAAGCCCCCGTGTTCAAAGCCGTACATGAAGAGTGGCCGGGTCACTCTAACCATACATACACTCCATTTTTTTTCCTCTTGTTTTCTGTTTTACCCTTTCCTTCGGCGGCTGGTTTCCTTTTATTCTGTCCATATACTTTGGTTTGTAATTGGCATTGCATTCTGCGGGGTACATTCTCTTAGGCATTTAATATCCCTCTCATTGTGAATTGTTTTCTCGGCATGTCTATCGTTGGGGAAGGCTTATATTGCGAGTTTTCCTTCATATCCACTCTAGCAATGTTTCTATTTCACATCCTTGTACAATCTATTCTTCTCCGGCTATAGCCAATTCATGGTACCTGCTTCCAAGTCGTCTTAATCTCCCGATGAACTCTATTAGCGAAGTTCGGAAAATTGCAATGCAATTCTTGTGCATGAAATACCTGCCCACCGTCGAAAACCCACGATGCTCATAGGTGGAAAAAGGCTTAAGACTAGGGTGAAACAGAAGTACCCGTTGAAGAACAATCCCCATTCTCAGCATAAACCCCGGATAAAATGTCAGGCAATTCCTCGGCGATTCCCTAGATTTAGCCGCTTAGTCCATCTTCCCCGCCTCTCCAGTCGGACAAGTTTATGAGGAGAGGTGGAGCTCGCGTCCATCCCTGAAAAAGCGATCTCCACAAGGACCTCTGGAACAAACGGGATGGGCGCCCAGCCGAGAGTGGCGGGCTCCTCCTCCGTTTCTTTATAGTCCTAGTGCCCAAACACTAAACCGAGAACTACCAGATGAACAATTTCACTGCTGCAGCTACCATTCAATTCGTGATCGCTTCATCTCCGACCCATCCCTGGACAGCGAGCTAAGGATCTAATTATTTCTAATATCCGCTTTACTCCAATGGCGCGAGGGGGTATGGCCCGACGCGATAAACCCCGAATGCATTTTCCCCGCGGGGTCAAGCAATCGATTTCAAGCTGCAGCTCTTTATTATGACTGCATTAGCTCGCCTGATCGTCGGGGGAAAATTTTTTTTTCGTAGACTCCAGGTTTTCCAATTGTGCTGGGCAATTGACTAAAAGCTACATAGCTTTGTTTCTTGTTCTTTGAAGAGAAAAGCCCTCTCCGGATCATCCAAGATGATGGTCAAGGGTCTTGCTGGCAGCTTGCTGCTTGCGCCGCTCATTGCTTCTGTCGCGGGCAAGAGCACGCCAATCTACAAGGATGCCAGTGCATCGGTCGATAAGCGTGTTAAGGATTTGTTGGGCAGGATGACGATTGAGGATAAGATGGCTCAATTGATGCAAGGTAGACTTTTGGAACTTTTGTGGATTGTCCGGATCCAATTGCTTGCAAAGTGCTAACTTGTATTCGCTGTAGGCGATATCACCAACTGGCTGAACCAGACCTCGGGCGCGTTCAACTATACTGGGCTCGTGACGAACATGGAGATGAAAGCAGGTTCCTTCTATGGTATGAGTTCCCAAGAAAATAGACTCCATTGGGGATCAGAACTAAGAAATTACTAGTCGGATACCCGGTTGCCTGGGATTGGATTGCCGATAACATCAAGAGAGCTCAGGATTATCTGCTTCAGAACACCACCCTGGGAATTCCGGCTCTTGTTCAGACAGAGGGTATGTATAAAGCAAGTAGATGCCTATGGATTGAGGAACCCCAACTGATTATTCCGTCAAGGTATTCACGGATTCTTGGTCGGCAATGCAACCATCTTCAACTCCCCAATCGCATACGGATGCTCCTGGAATAAGGATGTGAGTAGACGAAGCTCTTTTGAAGCCAGTTGCCAATACTAACGATATCCCAGCTTGTTGAACAAATGGGACAGGTTATTGCGCAGGAAGCCCAAACCCTGGGTGTCAACCAGCTGTTCGCACCCGTTGTTGACTTGGCTCGTGAGCTTCGATATGGACGTGTAAGTACTGATCACAACCCTTCATGGCAATTTTAAGCATACTAATAATTGAGTCCGTAGGTCGAGGAAACATTTTCAGAAGATTCATACCTTGCTGGCGAAATCGGTTATAGCTACGTCAAGGGCCTGCAGAGCAAGAACGTCTCCGCCATGGTCAAGCACTTTGCCGGCTTCAGTAACCCTGAGCAAGGATTGAATACCGGTCCTGTTCATGGTGGTGAGAGAGAATTGCGTACTACGTGAGTGGTTCTATACAACGCCGGTCATGGCCTATTATACTAATTACGGATTAGCTGGCTGCCTTCCTTCAAGCGTGCCATTATCGATGCCGGTGCCTGGTCCATCATGGCAGCCTATCACTCGTAAGGGCACCATTCGCAAATAACTCAAGTCGATACTAATCTATTGATGCTAGATACGATGGTATCCCAGCGGTTTCAGACTACCACACCCTTACCGAGATCCTGCGAGAGGAATGGGGCTATGACTACTTTGTGATGACAGACGCTGGTGGCAGTGACCGACTTTGCAGTTACTTCAAGCTCTGCCAGAGCAACCCCCTCGATATGAATGCAGTCACCACGGAGCTCTTGACTGCCGGAATTGACGTCGAGATGGGAGGTGGTTCTTTGTAAGGCATCACATTCAGAAATATGATGATCACTGAGCGTACTAACCTTTCAACAGCAACTTCCAGAAGATCCCCGATCTGGTCAAGTCGGGCAAGCTCGATATTGCAACTGTCAACACTGCCGTGTCCAGACTGCTTCGCGTCAAGTTTGAGATGGGTCTCTTTGAGAACCCGTATCCTGCTGCTCCAGAAGGCAAGTGGAGCAGCCTGATTAACAATGCCGCCGCCAAGAAGGTTGCTAGAGACCTTGACAAGGAGTCCATTGTGCTTTTGGAGAACCATGATTCAACTCTTCCTCTGAAGAAGTCCGGCAGCATTGCTGTCATTGGCCCCATGGCCCACGGATTCATGAACGTAAGTCTAGACCTCATACTCGTCCTTTGGTAAATTATGTCTAACCTCGTGCCTTGATTTAGTATGGAGATTATGTCGTCTACCAAAGCCAATACCGGGGTGTTACTCCACTTGACGGCATCAAGGCGGCAGTCGGATCCAACGCTGAAATTAACTACGCTCAAGGATGTGAGCGATGGAGTAATGACGAGTCAGGATTCGCCGAGGCCGTTGAAGCAGCCAAGAAATCCGATGTTGCTGTCGTTGTCGTCGGAACTTGGTCGAGAGATCAAAATCAGCTGTGGGCAGGCTTGAATGCAACGTGAGTGAAACTGTATCTTTGGCTAGCCACAAGACCCCACCCCAAGAAAAACATTAATCAGACCCTGACTCCACAATAGAACCGGTGAACATGTCGACGAAGATGACCTTTCCCTGGTCGGTGCCCAGGGCCCGCTCATCAAGGCTATTGCTGATACTGGCGTGCCGACCGTAGTCGTTCTCTCCAGCGGCAAGCCTATCACCGATACATGGATCTCCAACTCGACAGCTGCTCTTGTTCAACAATTCTACCCATCTGAAGAAGGTGGTAACGCCCTTGCCGATGTCTTGTTCGGCGACTACAACCCCTCGGGCAAACTCTCTGTTAGTTTCCCCCGGTACGTCGGCGACCTTCCGATCTTCTACGATTACCTGAACTCGGGCCGCTCGATTGGCGATTCGGGCCATGAAGACAGCAATGGGACCCTGGTTTTCGGGCACCAGTACGTCCTCGGCAACCCACTTCCCTGGTATCCATTCGGCTACGGCAAGAGTTACTCCACTTTCGAGTATGGCTCGGTCAGCGTCGACCGAAAGACCGTTTCTGCCTCCGACAACAGCGTTACCGTGAGCGTTGATGTGACAAACACTGACAAGACTCGGGATGGCACGGAGGTTGTTCAAGTATATGTCTCCGACGATATTGCTTCCGTTGTGGTTCCCAACCGCGCACTGAAGGGCTTCGAGAAGGTTGTTATTCCAGCTGGCACGACCAAGACTGTCAAGATTCCTATTCTGATCAAGGATATCGGTCTGTGGAACACTCGTATGAAGTATGTTGTCGAGCCCGGTAACTTCACCGTTCTCGTTGGTAGCAGCTCGGAGGATATTCGAGGAAACGCTACTTTCACCGTGCGGTAGTTTCCGCAAGCACTCGCTATACGCGTGTTCTTCTTCACTGAATGCATTTAATTAAATGTTATATTTGAACTTCAGAATTTATTTTCAACGCTGTCTATATATGATCCCCCAAACGCCGTAATTATGCAATATATGTAAATAAAAATCATTAAACCCAAGACATGCGTTTATCCCACGAGTTGGGTGGGTGTGAAGTAGTCGTCTCATCAATCAATAGCCACCGAGGTTGTTGGTGGTCAGGCTCAACTCTCGTCAATGTCAGTCGCTTAGATGCGCGTGTCGATTCGACGCCCTGAGAGGCTAGAGGCAATGTAATTTCTTCAAAATCAGAGTCCGTGTCTTGCTCCAAGCTAAGAACAACCTCGATTGCTTGCTGGTCCTCGATAACCTTGGGATGGCGCTTGGCGAAGTAACGAGCGTATTTGTACAGAGACCAGTAGCAGCTGAACACGTTGATGAAAGTCAGAGCGATCTTGTAGAAGGTGTAGTAGAAGATCAGGACAATCCAATCGATGCGCTCTTTCTTCAGGCGAAGGTGGATCTCGTTGAAGAGGATGACGTTGATGATGTACATGCCAATAGTGACACCGAGAAGCATGCCGCAGAATCCGGGGCGGACAATAAAAGCGATGGGAAGCATGAATGGTGCAAGAAGATAGATAAGTGTTTCGTAGACCTGTTTGTAACCGTTAGCCCTTCACTCTTGGTGCGTTGCTTCGTTGGTAAGAATAAAGCTCACCTCTTGGAAAACACAAAGCTTGGCACCGATTTCCCACCATCCCAGCTTCCAGCTCGTTAGGATATACTTCATGTCATAATACATGCCGACGACGAAAAAGAAATTCCAACGTTTGAATCGCTGCGAGAAGATAGTCATCTCACCGAAACCTCCACGACTGCCACTGCCGCTGAAGAAAACCGAAGAAGGTGTTTCAGTCTCCACAAACACCGAAGAGCACATTGTGATACGTCCTCCAAGACGGCGGCAGCTATCTCCAAAGAACCAATCCTCAGAAACCGAGAAACCGGGATGCTCGTGGAAGGTCTGCTTCAAGAAATCCGTGTTCCAAATAGAGATAGCACCGTGGGGGAAAGTTGCACTTCCAAGTTTGCCGAAGAATGCTCGCTGAAGACCAGACATTTTGTACTCCAAATCCTGTGCTTGTTGACAATAGGTACCCTTCGAGGAGTTCGGGCCGACACTCTTAATGGTGTATCCAATGCACTTGACTTTGTCTTTGAGACGGTCGCTGACGATAGGGAAGTTAGGAGGCAAGGCACAGTCATCGTCGATAAGGAGGACATTTTCGAAACCCTTGGCAGCGTAACAACCGGCGAATTGAGCGACGATCTTCGATCCAATGGGTACCCAGAGATGATTGACGCCGTAAGGTTGGCAGACTTCCTCGGTGTTGTCCAATGGGGTTTCAGAATTGCCATTGGCGATGACGAAAATGTTCTCGGGTGGGAAAATCTCCAATGCTGCCTTGAGAGTTGGACCGATGATATTGGCGGATTTGTAGCATGGAATCAGGAGAGCGGTATTTTTCGCATTCTCAACGTTTTTCTCGAGATCGACTTCTGACATCTCATCTTTCTGCGGAGGATCCTTTTCAAACAAAATCAAGAGAGGAAGGAAAGCGTAACTATCTCGACGTTAGCTTTTCCGGCTGTGCATAGAGCATGATGTCGGTATACTCACAGAGCAGCAAGACCAATTGTAATGGCGTATCCTCCCTGAATGACAAACTTATTCGCAACGACCCAATATAACCACCAAACGGCACCTTTCCAAAGTGGCATGCCAATCAAGACAAAGTAGACGAAGAGAATGAGAAGGAGGTAAATGGTATATTCAAACAAGACGCGCACCCAATACTTGCGATGCAGCGCAACTCCTCTCGCTTTGGCTTTCTCGTATACATCTTGCATACTACTGTTGCGACTATGCTGGGTGCGAGAGCTAACCCTGCTGTTGATGTGTGTCGGGCTAAGAGCTGCATTTTTGATCGGTGTAATTGGTTCCTTTTCAGAGAGAGTGGGCGATTGAAAAGGCGTTAAAAGAGTAGGGGTCCTGATTTCCTCCCATACTGGAAACGCCAAGTTAGATTACTGTTTATAATATTCGAACGAGGATATGTACCTTGTAGTTCGGGGGGATTAGTTTGAGGCCGCGATGCAGGAGCAGGCCTTTGGACTCTCCGGGTTGAGAGACTGAAAGATCGACTCAGACCTCCCTGTTGCTTCTGGCTTGCCGCTGCGGCCAGATTATATGGAACTCGGTCGTTTCTAGGGAGAGATTTCTCCCATTTCGTCTGTTCCCAGGGCGAATCGAACTTGGCAGTGGCTAGGAGTGGCCTCGGGATAGGCACATCCTCCACAATGGAATGCCGGGCGTTCCTCTTGATCGACATTTAGAGAGTATAAGGTATAATAATGAATGGCTTGAGTGAATTGAAAGACAGGATGGGCGAGCCCAGTTAAAAAGAAAGGACGGTAATTGCTGTCACCAGAGAAAAAAGAGCGTGAAATTGGGGTCGGGGCCAGAAATGGGAATCCTAACTATTCTATAAAAACCTCTATCGTCGACACTACGGGCAAAATCTTAGCCTAGTAAGGTGGACCTCAACACGGTGTTTATGCCCCATTGTGTATTCTAATCCTGGACCTTGATCTGGATTTCTGGATGATCGCGGAGATGCCTTGAAAGGGTCTTCGGCCTCGGTGCCTTCATCTCCAATCCCAGGAATCGAATTACCTAAATTCGAGAAAAACGCGGTACCTGTCATGTTTTTCGGCCATTCCAGGATAGGACCATGGAGTTTCTATGCATGAACCAGATCCGGTTCATGTGGGTCACTCCGTAACGGTGAACCTCGTGGTTAGGGTTGATTGGTGATAGGACTTTTCTACCTTCCCAAACGGAGATTAGTGGGGACATTTTGTGAAGATGAAACACGCTTGATCGCTGACAGCCCAGTTCATGCTGTATTTATGGCGTAGCCATTAATAACTTTTTTTCTACTTTAATATATTAGCGGTGGTGGACTAACGGCGTTCCCTTTGCTCTAGTTCTCGGCCTCCAAGCTATTAGGCCGCCTAGGGCTGGGGGCCATTTAACAACCACAACCATATGCAATGGCAATATAATTTTGACAATGATAAAGTGTTGCAAGTAGTGAACCCCTATTGAGGTGGCAAATATGAGAATTTTTCTTCGGGTACAGGGTCTTCGGGTTGTCTTAGTTTATCCAATTTTCTTTTTCCATGAAGAATCAAGATCGGTCAATCGGTTAGCAGAGATTTTAGCGTAGAACACCAGCCTTACAAACCCCCACTCACTCATTCGACCAGTGAAAAACTATCGCGATGTCTTCCCCTGGAGATCGTCAATCTTGTTTCCTTGTTCTGTTGCTACTAGAACACTTTGACCGGCCTATGATGTGGGCTGAGTCTCCGGTAGTGTACCGCCGGATGGCGTCGTAATGGTAGTGGAGAGAGGTTGCGCCGAACTAGGAAGTATCCGAGATCCACATGGAAAACCCGAGAACGTAGACTTGGATTCGACCCGGAAACCGCTAGGGAAATATGATCTGGGAATCTAAGTTTTAACGTGGCGAAGTTTACCTCAATCAGTGATGTTTTTTGGATATCAAAATCAGCCCCTAAGCCGACACGAACCTTTGACCGCATTTAGTATCAGTCGCGAAAGATCTCAAGAATCTAAGCCACATGGCACTAAAATAAAGTTTCAGGCACCGAGCGGCTCATAGTGCCGTAAATTGTAAGCGGATCGGCTTTTTTTAGGCCGAGCTGAAGGGGGCGAAAAAAAGCCTAGGGTGTGTGCTTCCAGATCGACATAACTCAATCTAACATGCAAATACCCTTTGAATCAAGAATATAAACAGTTTAGTTTGTGTACTTTACTGCTAGTAACAGTAGTGTATAAAATAAACAGCTATGTCAGGATGTGGCTTGCCCATGACGTATCCTAGTTCGTAGACTCCGCATCGTGGGTCTCATCAGTGATCACGTAGGTGTGTGTACAGTATGTACAAGCTTCGATGACCCTAGAAAGTAGAAACTATTCTATATTAACTCAGCATGGAAGTCGGTGTCAAGCCCAACCGCGCATAAGCATAGTAAGCCACACACACACACACACACACACACACTGTTACTAGCCTTCATAATGCTCGCTGCGTTGAAATCAACAATACCGACTAGCACAAAATCAGCCACTGGCGGGTTGACGCGCAATCGACATAGTCGTGTTCACCGCAGTTTACGAGGGAGCTGCCGAGGTGCCCACAATCTATTGATCGCAAAACAAATGGGTAAACTGTGGCGATCATCACGACATTAGGCGCAAACTTAGCTTCAACTTTTAGTGGGGCCTTTCAGCCTTCCGGCAACCCCGGCAAGAATAATAATTCATTGCCTACCAAATTGTGCTCAATTTGTGTAATTCGAGCCCTACCTCGAGTTCTAGTTGATCTAGACCCTCCTACGTAGTATATACAATGGACTTTGCAAGGAAGGTTGTTCACGGGAAACTCTGATCTTCGCGCAAATTTTAGAAAACGATCTTAATTGACCTTCGAGTTGAACTTACAGCTACAATAACATAGGTTCTGTGGAACCCCACATAAGGAACGCGAAATATTTCCACTATGTATAGCTAACTCTCTAGGATCTCGAAACAGATTGCGCAAACAACTTAGCTTGGCAGGTCCGACGGCTCCAGCGATCAAAGGTTATCTCATCAATGCTAGAATCTTTAGGGCTGAGGCGATGAAGTGATATACTCAAAGATTTACCCGTGGTAGGTAAACTTAGAGCCCAGACTCTAGGAAAATGGCCGAAATATACTATACTCGATGTAAATATTACGAATAATGGCATCTTTTAATATTAGAACTTTTGGTTCGTTCTCTATGTGCCCCTCTAGCTTGACTAGGAATTTTCAGGGAGCTAGCTCCTCTTTTCCTTTCTTGGAGACGTGCTGGGGAGCTGACGTCTTCTCCCTCGTTTCCAGCGACATATGAAACTAAAGCTTCTGCCTACTGGCGCAAAGTCGTCAGTAGATGGGTGGAATACTTTGGATTGCGTGGCAAGAATCACGCGATGGTAAGGAAGTATATTCCTTGTGGAAACCCATTTGGGTGGGTAAGAACTTGAGTTTATTTGCTCAAGCATTCGGAGCTACCTATACGACTTTAGACTACTTTCGAACATCTACTTTCAAAGAATGGCTCTAACTTAGGATCATCCTCATAGCACTACAAAAAAACTCACGTACCACGACGCCAAACCTAATTAGGACCGAACCCAACGCGGGAGCAGTATATAGAACATTTGATATATCTGTGTTTCTGTATGTTAGTGAAAGTTCAGTTTGCGTAAATAGAGCTAGAAAGAAACCTAGGCATAGCTAGATAATTTAACCTCTCCTATTTCCAAGGATCTTTTAGAATCTCTTCCTAATTATCGTTTAGAGAGCCCTAGCAAGATCACTTATTTTATCCTTTAAAGCATAACTAATAAGAATATTTAGAATTTTAGTTAGGGATTGAAGCTTATAGGAATCCACTGTATACATAGCCGCTACTCGGGGGTAATCTTAGTATCATTGTACCGTTTCATACTCGTCAGGGAGGTACGTTTCTAATTAGACTTGTCGTTGCAGTGTCACGGAAAGTTCTTGTAGTGCCATGAGTATGAGCCTCAAAAGAATGGCATTAAGTTACTTGTGTACATGTACAATGGAAGCTACTACGCTGAGTCCTTGGCATAGTGTAACATGATGAATTTCCGAATCAACACCGATAAATAAAGACATGAGTGATCGTAACATTTTCGTATACTTCAAGTACCCGCATTTTCCAGGCCTTCAGGCTCCGACCCTGAGGCCCTCCTAACAGGCGCTTTGCCTGATAATCCATTCCCCGGTTGTGGCGAGGGGGGAAGCTCAGGCCTCTTGCTGCCCACAACAGGTGTGGTCGGATTACTCTGTCCGTCTGCCGTGCGACCTTCTGCACGTCTCGTCTTCGCGCCCTCTTTCAACTTCTCCCAGCGATCCCGATACCGCCCAAGGACCTTGTTGAGCTTGTCGTTTTCGCGACCAACTCGGTCCAGCTCCTGCTCACCGCGACGGAGTAGTTCCTCCAGCTCTTTGACTCGAACATCGGCATCCGCAGCAGCAGGCGCCGCGGTGAGAGTTGCTGTAGGGGATATGGCCGCTGGGGAGCCCTGTGCATAGAACTCTGAAGCTCCAGAGCTATGGTGATGCATCGCTCTCAGGGACTGCTGTAGTGCCATAGACGAGGACTGGGCATTGACTTCCCACATGTGTAGACGCTTGGAAAGAGTATCTGATAGTTGTTTTAGGGCCTGGTTCTCCATCTGCAGTTCTTCCAACGTCTTGGAATTTTGTAAAGTCGTCAGTTTGTCCGAGGCACCACGGCGTGATACCCGGGAAACACTGCTGATACTCTGTCGCAGCTCAGGAGATGACGGGGTTTCTCGCGCATCTACAAAGTCATCCTCGCCTTCCTCAAAACTGTTTCGACGCGCCTCTTTCTCAGCTCGAGATAGGATGCCCGCATATGACATCGTGCCTCCCGTGGTAGGGACAACATAGAAGGACTCTGCAGGGTTGCCCGGGCCAGAGCCGGGCATATCATGGATTGAGCGCAGAGCTGCTCTCGAAAACAGCCGGTTCACGTCTGGCTCCTTGAAAGTATACTTGCGGTCTGAAGTTGCATGATGACGGTCAAGCTTGGTCTCTGCGGGGGATTTGCGACTGGCTGATGCAGTCTTTGCAGAATCTTCAGTTCCCAGAGGGAGACCTGCAAAGGCTAAAGGTGCAGAAATTTTCGAGATCAAACCTTCAAAGGTAGAGTAAAACCGCTGGAATGAATCCTCCGTTGTTGATGGTTGATCTTTTGACGGCGTTGGGTCGACTCCGTCCGGAGGCACGACTTGCTGGGACGTGATATCTGTGGGACTGGGCAATGGCGGAGACCAGGGTTGTCTAGGAGTGCGACTATTCTGATTTTTCGTTGAGGCGTCTCGCGGTCTATCTCCTGTTCTAATTCTTGATGGGCCCTCGGTCATCTTTGCTCCAGCTTGTTGTGTGGAGAGAGTCGGTGATACCGGGGATCCACGACGAGGATGGGCTGGTATGCCTCTTGCAGATGCAAGATTACTGGCGATGGATGAAGATTCGCGACTCAATATACGAGGATTCCCTGGCAGCCTCGGAGGTTGATTTTGGACATCCTGGCTTGCGGTCTTGGCGGTTCGCGCATCTGTCGCGGAAGACTGCGCAGCTGCGTTAATCGGAGAAGCTGCGGACGTTGCTTCAGCAGCCGCACTGGCGGGATGCTCATGTTGGAATCTCAAGATCTCGGCTAGCTTCTTATGGTGGTGTTCGAGGAGCCGCAATGTACGAAGAGCCTTGGGCCGATAAGGTCAGTACTCGATCGGGTTGCAAGGGCAAGGGCGTCCTCGACGTACCTCTTGATCGGAAGTGCTCTGAGCTGCGGTCGCAAACTCACCGGCAGCCAGATCATGCTCCTCGCTAGCGGCGACGGGATTAGACTTGCGGGTTTCGAGGACGGCGTTGCGTGCGTGGGTGTGGGCCTAGATTTGGTTAGACCGATGCACACAGCCTACACGGAGGTGGGAGAGTGGGGGAAACCCGATCTTACCAAATTCAGCGGAGCAACCTCCATGGTTGGAGGAGAGTCAGAATGTGCATAGGCCAGGCATCAAGTATTTCCTTGAATTAGGACCGGGGAATGCAGTGGGGAGCAAAAGTAGGAAAGAGTGACGCCATGGGAGGAACTGGGGAGTAGCTGATGCGGAGAAAGTTGAATACGAAGTACGAAGAAAGTCCCGTGGCTGATTACGAGAGTAACGGTGTATTGAGATTACCAAGTAGATGTAATGTACATGTACACCTATACTTACAAGTACTAGTATATGGTAACACCCAGGTCAACTGGCACCTGTCATATTCCATTTTGGAGGTAACGTTGGATCAGATATAATTCTTAATCTAGATCCAAGGTAGTATCCATCTACCACAATGGCCTTTTGACTGCTGAACGCAGCATCGGCCGACCACAGGCGTCGCATCCGCATTCTGGGCAGTGGAGTCCATAAGCCGTCAAACACATGGGACAAGTTTGCTAATTAGCCATCTATGAAATAGTTGTGAATGAGTATAGGTCTGTCAGATATTACTGTAAATATCTCTCCATCTCAAGTTTCTTGTATTTCTCGTAGTTGAAACAGGCTGAAGCATGGTACGTACGGGCGTAACACCTCGGTATTTCTCCACCTGACTGACGACACCTGACTAAGTGGCTGACGGGAGAGTCCAGACAGTCCGCTGCTCCTCCCCTCCGCCAAGTGGAACCCTCACCAGGGGAATTATCTTGTCCTTTCCTGCTTCTTATGCTCCTTATGCTCTTCTCTCGTTACTAAACAATTATCCCCGGGGGATTCGCTGCCTGCTCACCTCACCCCCCCATGCGGTGGTCTGACTCGCGACTCCCCGTTCTCTCACAACTGCCCGCCCGGGGCTAATACTCCGCGCGTTGGACAACATGGCCGACTCCGAATCATCTAGCCTGAAAGGCAGCGGCAGCAGGACACGCCGAGCCTGGACGGTATCAACAGAGTCCGAAGCAATGGACAGCTCCGGTCGAAGCAATGGTCGCTCTTCGAATGATTCCAACGAACGACCAAAAACCCAAGGAGGTGAAGCTCCGGACTCCGCAAAGGCTGGCTCCAGCGGTTTCTCGAAGCTCATCAGCTCGCGTCGACGACGGAAGAAGAAGAATAACAACGGCGAGCTAGTGGCCGAGGTACCGCCAGTGCCTGGGCTTGTCACGGAACAGGACCTCCAGCAAAGCCGGTCCAATGAATCTCGCAATAGCAATTCCGCCGTCCCGTCATCCAATGCCAGCTCGGTCGCGCCGGAAGGCGAGGTCATCAATCTCTTGACTGACGATTCTGAACCGGAGCGGTATGCGAGTCAGGTCCTTATGCTTAGCTTCTTCTGACATTGAGACTAATCCCTTCTTCTCGGTATAGACCTCCACCGCTCACCTCTCACAACTCCCATACGGGTTTCTATACATCCTCCTCCCCGCTCATCAAAACGACCTCGGTCGATGCTGGGGACCTGGGAGCAACCGAAGCAGATCCTGAATCTACGGTCAGCGGTCCAAGTGCGACCGGGTCCGAGTTCGCCCCAAGTGAGCCTGTTGATAACCTCTCGAGGCCAGAGACCCGATCGAGCATGACGCTAGATGTCCCAGCAGATGCCGGCAGCAGACGCCGCAGTACCTCGCCCGGAAGACGGCTCAAGGATGCGTTTGGCTCGTCGGATAAGAAGAATGCGAATGGGAATGATGACGCTTCATCCAAATCGGCCGGCAGCCGAAGTGGTCGAAGCTTGTTCAGCAGCCGACGGAGCAGTTTATCTTCGAAACGGGCACAAGCAACACCGGAGGCGCCCCCGCCTTTGCCTCTGCCTATTCGCACCGATCTGACAGAGGATAAGCCTCCTAAAAGATCATTGGAGGCGAGTCCATTGCCAAACACCCCTCCGCATACCGCGATACCGGCTCCTGCAACCACGGTCACTCCTCCAACGCCTACAGAGCATCGTCCGCTCAATCCTCAAATCATGTCAGAAATTGTAACGGATTCGCCCGAGTCTATCCAGTCCCGCAATTCCATATCAGGGGCCGAGGCTGGCATCACAGTAAGCCCCTCGGGCAACATGATATCACATCGAAGGGTACGATCTGCTTCTGCGGCTCACGGCCCTAGCAAGCTATCGACGTCCGTCACTGCGCTGACCCCCTTGGAGGAAAGCAAGACGCCAAAGGGTGGATCAACTCAGCAAAGTGGCTTTTTCTCATCCGTATTTTCCGTGGCCCAGAATGCGGCAAACTCGCTGAGCAACACCCTCAATTCCCAGCAAAGGAGCCGTACAATCTCTCAGGCTCCGACCCCTGGCGTCGATACCGCACCGCCAGAGGAGACCGATCAAGCTTCGGACGCGGCCAAAAAAGGCGAAGAACAAAAACCATCGACTGTGGAAACTCTTGGCACTGGCGACTTGAACTTCAGCCATTTGGGTATTGATGCCGCTTCTGGAGAAGTGGTCTCCTCTGCCGACGGTGTGGTCGCCTCAAAACCAGCGACGCCGGTAGGGAAGCGTAAGAACACGGCTGTTTATCAGCGAGATGAAGAAGCCGCGAAGCTTGAAGACCAAAGGGCGGCCCGGGCTGTCAACATGGCCTATGAGAAGCTCGAATCCGCTGCGGTCAGCGCTCCTAGTGACGATATCTTGGATCTTCAATCAACAGTGTCTTTGCCCAAGGAGGGCATAATGACTGGTGACCAAACTCCTCCTAGTGGCAGTGTTCTTGACGGAGATATTGGCAGCGGCGGTATCAAGCGCAGTGGTAGTGTGCGTAGTCGACTTGCGCGCCGTCATCGAGGCTCTTCCGGGGCAACAGCTTCGACAATTGGTGCAATTGGTGCCAGCGCCCTAGCCCTCGGCGTGTCTGGTGTGAACTCCAGTGTTCCCCGGCTAACAGGCTTCGCTGTTGCCAGCAAGAAGCGTAACCGGGACTTCCATCAGTTGTTCCGGAGCGTTCCCGAGGACGACTATCTGATTGAGGACTACAGCTGTGCGTTGCAGCGCGAGATTATCCTTGCTGGTCGCATCTACATCTCTGAGGGTCATATCTGCTTCTCCAGTAACATCCTTGGGTGGGTCACAACTCTGGTTATCAGCTTCGACGAAGTTGTGGCTATTGAGAAAGAGAACACGGCTATGGTTTTCCCCAATGCAATTGCTATTCAGACTCTCCATGCTCGCCACACCTTCCGCAGTCTGCTTAGTCGAGAGTCGACCTATGATCTTATGGTCAACATCTGGAAGATCAACCATCCATCTCTCAAGAGCTCTGTCAATGGCACTCGGGTGACCAATGGCACTGGCGACAAGACTGAGAAAGTGGGAGAATGCGAATCGGAGAGCGAGGAGTCTGACGAGGATGAGATCTACGATGAGGACGAAGAAGGCGATCATGCTGATAGCTTCTTCGAAGCTGGACCCAGTGCCAATGCAAGCGAGAGGTCACTGCCAGGGCGGGCCGGTTTGAGCCGTCAAACCTCAGGTCTTTTGGCCAACGCGGCGGCGCCAGCCGCTGGAGCGAATGGCAATGGCGAGGCGAAGAACGGTGACAAGGCGGGTGCCTCTAAGGAAGCTGACTTCCCGGGTCCGGCAACGCACGCTCCCACCGAGTACACTGAGGGCGATGGGCAATACGAAAAGGTCATCAAGGACGAGATTATTCCAGCGCCGCTCGGAAAGGTTTACTCTCTTGTCTTTGGTCCAGCGTCTGGAGAGTTCATCACCAAATTCCTTGTGGAAAACCAAAAATCGGGCGAATTGCAGTTCGAAGGCACAGCAAAGGGCCTTACCAACGAAAGCAGGATCAGGAAGTACTCCTACATCAAGCCTCTCTCTGGCTCCATTGGTCCCAGGCAAACCAAGTGCATCAGTACTGAGAATCTGGATTTTTTGGATTTGGAGAAGGCTGTCCTCGTCACTCTGAGCACTCAAACGCCCGACGTGCCTAGTGGAAATGTTTTCGCCACGAAAACGAAGTATCTTTTTACCTGGGCTCCTGGTAACCAAACACGCTTCCTGATGACATGTAACATCGAGTGGACCGGCAAGAGTTGGCTGAAGGGGCCTATCGAAAAAGGTGCGATCGACGGTCAAACCACGTTCGGTACTGAGCTTGTGAAAGCTTTGAAGGTCGCCGTCGTCCCCCGCGGTCGCACCAACGGTGCCGGCAAGGGCAAGGGTCGCCGTAAGAAGGGCGATGCTGCATCCAACGATGAGGCCATGAGCGCCTCCTCGAAGGCAGCTGCAGATACCACATCCAGCCAGACTGAGTCTTGGGGCCTCTTTGAACCAGTTCGCCCTCTCCTCGAGCCGGTGACTAGCATGCTCAAGCCTCTGTGGAGCGGGAATATTGCAATCCTATTTGCAGGGATCTTGCTCTACATGGCATTCTTCCGATCCCCGTCCTCTTCATCCCGGCTCGGTCACGATGTCGGTTTCACTGGTCTCAGTCTTCCTCAAAGGCTCGCTGCGTATGAAGAAATGTGGCGACGTGAGGAAAGCGAACTTTGGAATTGGCTTGAGGATCGCGTGGGCATGGATGGAATGGCATTCCCAGTGCTTCATCATCACACAGCTGAGGCCCAGGCAAGCCGCCGAAGCTCCCGTATCAACCCAGCAGACGAGCGTGATCTCATCGCCCGGCTTCGCGAAGAGCAGGTCTCTGACCGGGAGATGGATCACGCTATCCGGACGACACGTCAGCGGCTTGACATTCTCGAGCAGATGATGAGCAACCGTAAGGCGGAGCGAATGCCTGCTGGAGAGCCCATTCGAAGCGAGCTATAAGCTCCTTGCCATCTAAATGCACCGTTTCTTCCGATATTGCCTCTCATGCGTACCCAGTCTGCATCCTGAAATCATCCCCACCGCAACCTCCAATCTTTACTCTACATCTCTCTCATTTTGTCCACCCCCTGGTTCCTTCCCTTCGAGGAGTCACGATACGGCCTAACATCCCGGTCGTCAATGACTCCCGTCACTCTCATTCACCTCCATACGTATCGACAGTCATTCTTTCATGCCCCGTACTTGATTTTCCAATCAAGGGGCAAGCAACCTTTCTTCATGTACATGAGCACCAACTACTTTGTCCATCCCGGCCGACACATGCCGAGGCTTTTCATTTTCTTGTGTTATTCTTAAGCGGTCTTCTTTGATTCTCTGCCTGCTGTGTGGGTTCTACTGTACAGTATCCTCTGAAAACAAGCTAGTGCGTGTTTCTCTGCTATTCCACTGGGCAGCATCTGAGCGTTTTGCGTGCAATCCGCCCTTCTTCTATCTTGTCGGCTCGATTCGGGTGTTTATATGTCAGGCGAGCGTCAAATAGCGTATATAGATACATTCATTGTCCACATATGTTTTTTGTTTCTCTACTATCTGTTGTAGATTTTCTCTAAATGAGAAGCGGTATGTACAGCAGAACTTCACCACTATAACACTGTTCGGTTCCTCGTTCCTCTCTTTTCGCCCTTCTCTACTCCGCCGTTAATTGTTGAGCCTTGGCCCGAGCCATGGCCTTGTTTGCTGCCATAGATGTCTTCCATGGTCGAATGCCCGAGTTGAAAACATCATCAATCTGCTCCAGAGTCAGACTAGCAGTCTCTGGCACCGAAAACCAGACTAACACTCCAATAACCACAGTCACGGCCGCGTAGAAATATCCCACATTGGGACCCATATTACCATGGTCCGCATCAAGCATATACGGGGTCCAAAACGTAGCGCCGAAAGAGAAGATGCCGTACAGGACTGTCGTGTGCGCCTGTCCATATGTCCGAAGCCTGACACTGTGCATCTCCACAGAGGCAAGACCCGCACTCGGCGCAATAGTTCCACCAAAAACAAAAGACCACAAGCATAACAACACGACGACGACAATCTTCGAGACACCATCTGCGCCGAGCGCGGTGCTGACCGAGGAAAGAATCAACATGCAAATAGCCATTGCGCTATACCCAGAGAGAATAGCAAATCGACGTCCTCCATATTCCACAATGAAGGGACCAAGGCCTGAGCCACCGAGAATGCAGAGTCCAATGATGACGTTGATGAGATAGGGATCGCTAATACCAACGCCCTTGAGAAACGTCGTCGCGTAGGGCTGGACAAATTGAATACCAGTAATCGAAAGCCCGATCATGATCAACGCCGAGGTCCACGTCCGCCGGAAATGGGGTTTCGTGTAAATCTCGTACCAAGAGGAAGCAGCAGCGTTAACACGGTCAGATTTGATATGCGCTTTGACATCTTCAATTTGAGCAGTGATCTCCAGGGAATCGACGGGAATGCGGTATAAGATACTGAATGCTCTGCGGGCTTCTTCTTCTCTGTTCTCGTCGTCGTTCAAGATCCAGCGCGGAGACTCGGGGAACATCAGGATACCCACGCCGAGGATAATTCCAAGTGGAATCTGCGCTAGGATAGGCGTCTTCCACTGCCAATTATTGTCTGGCTCGAGACGTGCAGATCCAGCACATACAGCCGCCGAGGCAAGATTACCCAGCGCCAAGCCGACGTTGTATAGCCCCAGCGCGAGACCGCGCTTGCTAGCAACGATGCACTCGGAGCCATAGGCCAAGGAAGCAGAAATAAGCTGCCCAATCCCAATAGCACTAATACACTTGCACACCATATAGTGCAAGAAAGTCTTCGCCGAACCATTGCCTGTACCCAGCATTCCAGCTGCTCCGATAATAGCAAGTCCGCATCCGATTTGGATCGCGCCCCGGCGGCCGGTATATCTACCCGTCAGTGCGGACAGGCCTCCTCCAATTCCGATGAACATGTAATTCAGACTGATGAGGGATTGTTGGAGTGGTGTTATTGAGCAGTGTTCGACTATTTGGCCCGTTGTGGGATCTAAGAGCTCGTGGCATGTCCCGAATGCTTTTCGGTAGGATGGCATTATCAAGATGGTGCCTGTGTAACCGTTGTCGAAGTTTGCTATCCAGGCTGCGAAAGAGACCCATAGGGAGAGGCGGAGCATAGCTGCTGTCGAATTCGATTTTGTTTCTGCTGTTGGGCAGACATCGTTTAGGATTGGGGAGTTGATGACGAGATTCTTCTCTGATCCGTCGTCAGTGGATCGCATTTTGAAGATGATTTTCGATGGCTGTTGTATAATTGCGGAATAGATTTGCTGCTTCTTTTCCTCATCCCCAAATAAATACTCCTAGTAGTATATATGCCCCTCTCCGAGTTTAAGCGTTGGTCTACATACCAGCTACGCGCCACACATATCGAGTTCACCATCAAGAATGCTAGCCCTTTCAAGCAGCCCAATCGGATTAGAGTTTCAATACATATGACTGATAACCTTGCGTTAAGTTTCTAAAAATTTCCTGTTTGCCCCGCTTCTTTATTCTTGACATCGGACAAATTCTTGCTTGGTTGGGGTCAGCAGAGAGGAGTAGGGGTTGAGCAACGATATAGGGCTGTCAGGACGCAGACGTGCAAGGTTTAGACTTTTCGAGGTTGGATTTGTAGGTAATGAAGTATGTCTATCCATTGCTATTTCTTAAGAGCCCCTCGGAATATAAACCTCAGTTTGTCCTTGGAGGTCAGCGGACATACCCCTAGATGGTTTGCCAATGGGCCGATATCCATGGTCTTCGAAATTTGTTTGTCGACAAAAGAGGGTTCTCCGACGATAAAGTTGTGTAATTATTGAGACTGTGTTGTAATAGTCCCAGGCCTGGCTGTATATGGTGCTCTCTTACATAGCAGTTGGGGTACCGATAATGTTTGGTTTCACGAGCCTAAACGCAGTCTGGCCAGCGACTTTGTCCTAGCAGTATTGCAGCTACCTATCTTGGTAGATAGGGGAATTACGTCCCTCGGGCGATATGCTCATCCAATTCATTTCTTTCCAGTCCCACGCTCTGTGCCGCTTTCAAACTTAGTGTCATTTTGCCTGTCCCCAATGATATCTCTTGACTAGGTTCCGGGGTTACGCCGGGTGTGCAAGACCTCTTTCCCCGTGGGACGGGTCCTATCCATATCTTTGGTTCCGCATAAGTAGGTCCCGCGTCCCGCTTGATGTGGGCCAAGTATATCAAGCTTCGAATGTCCGGGTGCGAGGGTCAATCACAAACTAATTAATACACTACATTATTGAACCGTCCTCAATACGACCAAATGGACAGCGCATTGGAACGACTTTTGGATGAGCAGCGAATCAAGTCGTTGCTCACCCGAGAGAGATACTACAGAGATACGGCTCAATGGCAAAATCTGCGCGATTCGTACCATCCAGACGCATCAAGAACGGCTATTAAGATTACCTGGTTTGTATATCAATCCAAAAAAAAGTCTGGAGATTTTCTCTAATTGTTGTGGAAATAGGTACGAAGGTGATGTGGATGGGTTCGTCTCTGGGTCCGAAAAGATGGCCCAACGTGGAGCAAGCTCATCGCACACGATCTGTCCCGTTGAGGTCCATTTCAATGACAATAATGACAAAGCCCTTGCGGAGTCCACTGGAAGTATCAATTCTCGGTTCCGCATTGATGAGAATGAATATGACTGCGCCTCGTATGCTCGATTCATTTCGCGACTGGAGAAGATCAATGGGGAGTGGAAAATGTTAACATTGGAGGCCATCTACGACAAAGATACAATTACACCCGTGCTTCCCATGGTTTCTACTCCTGCCAAGTTTGATATGGAAGGTCATCGGGATAGCTATCGATGTATTGGCTGGCTCCTGGCTGGTAAGGGGTTCCAAGTGAATCGGGATCTACCCGGGACAGACCGTCCAGAATCTGTTACAAGCTTCATGGACGAGTCCTTCGTTTGGCTCAAGGATAATTAGATTAACGAATCAATATATACCATGCATGCATATGCAAACGCCTTGAAAGTACAGTAAATCTGCAAATGTATACTTCGTGCATAGTCACGTGCATGGATACCAATCGGACTCCACTGGTGCCCGCACTTCTTCCACGGAGCAACCCACAATGGAGCTCTCGACTCTGCTGATCATCACTGCGCTTTTCATCGGTAAGCATCCCCGCGAGTATCCCACTTGAATCAGCGACATGATTTCCCCTCCTACAACGCAACACTAACCGAAGACCCGGCTGACGTGTCACCAGCTTTCCGCATCTACCAGTCCCGCACCGCCGCCTCAACGCCCATCATGTCTCACGGCAAGGTGTCCAACATTGACAAGTAAGTATCACACCCTAGAAGCCAATCCCACAACCTCCGGGGCCACCATTCGCTAACATAGCTATGCACAAACAGCGAGGTGATCTTCAAGGCCCTCACTTCCTCCGGCCCCGTCCTCGTCGACTTCTACGCAACCTGGTGCGGCCCCTGCAAGGCCGTTGCCCCCAAGGTCGGCGAATTCAGTGAGAAGTACGAGAACGTCCGGTTCCTCCAGGTCGATGTGGATAAGATGAGGGGGGTGGCTCAGCAGTTCCAGATTACTGCCATGCCTACCTTTGTGATGATGAAGGACGGCCAGGAAGTGCAGCGGGTCCGGGGTGCGGACCTCAAGTCCATCGATGACTGGCTGCAGAAACAGTAGACTCGTTGTTTGTGTGTTAAATATCACGGAATCGAGGGAATACGAGCGGTATGCGCGTTTTGAATGTAAGAGGGTCAATACGAATCCATGATTGCACTCAAGTCGTCACTAGATGGATAGAACTTGCAAAAACCATGATGGACGAAACAAGAGACATCAATCATAGGCTTTTTATCAGAAATTGGGCTCGGTACTAGTCTTTTGCTGATTGGTTTATCCAACTAGAATGGTCTGCAAAGCCAACTATTTGTATAAGCCAACCGAACTAGGGGTTTGCGGGCTGGTGATTTATGGGAAAGGACCATTCGGTTTAAGAAGAACAGATTATGTATTAAGCGGAGAAGTTATCATCTCAATGATTTCAAGTCATGAGAGTAAATCAGATCTCACAAAGATTGAGAAAAGAAGAAATGTCGGTTTATATCACAGGACGCCTCGAACTTCGAAACCCCAGAACCATACCCCCAACAGCGACAACGGTGTGAGTAACACGTTTACAGAATGGAGCCGAGGGCAATGCAAGGCAGAGCAGCGCCAATGAGGTCGTTGCTCTAGAAAGGGTGTTAGAACTGAATCATTCACTGCGTTGTACAGAAAACTTACGGCATCGGAAGGAGAGTTGGCACAGCAGGCAATGTTCTGCTTGCACTTCTGGTTGAGGAGGTCCTGGACGGACACACCGATGGCGATAGGGACTGTAGGATGATTAGCATATGCAACTGCAATATTGTGAAGAGAAGAGACATACCCGCAGCATCGAGCTTGGAGCACTGGTCGAAGATACCAGCACCCTCGGCGCCGGAGCCAGAGCCGATCAGGTTGGAGAGGAGGCCACTACCAAGGCTGGAGTTGACATCGGTGGTGTCACCAGCGTAGGTAGCCTTGTTGCAGCAAGAGAGCTGAGCCTGGTCACCGCACTTGGACTGGGCCTCCTGGACGGTCATACCGCTGGGAACGTGCCAGCGGATGCCATCGAGGTGCTCGTGTTGAGAGCGCAGGCCGTTGGCGCTGGTGGACTGGTCGGCGGGCAGAGCGACAGCCAGGGTGGCGAGGCCAAGGAAAACGGTGCTGATGGAGAACTGCATTTTGAATAGATGGAGTGATTAAAGATTAATCTTTAATAAAAGATGTGGTTTTTGGAGGGTTGGAAGATGAGGTAGATAGAGAAGAGGAGGGTGATGGGTGATGAAGAAGCATGAAGACGGATTGAAACTCTGCCTTTTATCTTCAAAGATCAGATTGTTTGGGATCCAATTCATCCTCAATTCTCCTTGATGCTATCCATCAACAAATCCTCATTTTTGGTGTGTCGGAATGCCCTACGCAAGGGTGTGTCGCTAAGCTCCCCTCACGCTGATCGCTCGTCGACATTCTATTGGCAGACGAGTCAGTATGGAATTTCGCGCAGCAATCAGAACGCCCCTTTTCTCCTTAAGGTGCACGAGCCCTGCATTCCAACGTGCTTGTGGTATCCAAAAAGGCTACCCTGCAATCCTAGTTTATTCTCTTGCTAGGATCTCAAATCACTGGAAGGGTCTTGCGTAGAGAGTTAAGCCTGCATAGAGATTCCGAGCCTGAATCATGCTTCCTCTGCGATGATTTACTCTGAGGATGCAAGATACTTGCAATCGCAGATATCCACGATTCGGTTCATTCCGTCTGAGTGAACTCCGTAAGCTAGCGACGACAATGACCAAAGGAATCCCTAGTCTTCCCGCCATAATAGCTCCTTCAACTATGAAAATATTGTACCCAAATAGCCATAAATGTTTCAATTCTAGTAAAAACACAATAAACAGGATCACTGGATCTGGAACTGGCTTACAACTAATCCATCTACTCACAGCATCGATATGTATATCTCCTCCACTAAACCCCCTACTCGAATTTCTCTAATGAACTACTGCTTAGCAGCTAGGTCCCCACCCTACGGATTCAGCAGACCCTAGTCATCGCAAAACCCGTCTCCTCCACTCGGATATCCTTCAATCGGATTTCTCCCTGTCGATCTGAACCCGATCTCAAGATACGAGGGTCAACTCACAAATATCTTCAGTAACACTGGGCGACAGGCACGATCTGCACAGGGCCAGCCCTGGGCGAAACCATCTAGTTCACTATGTAGGAACGGATCGCCCAAGTCCCTAAATTGGAAGCATATTCGGAGCTGACTATAGGCCTTGCTATGTCTCCACAGTACCTAGCGTGGGTAAAGGCGTAGAATCTGATTTCATGGATTCAGGGTCTGGCAAAGGGTTCGGATAATGTATGCTGAAAACATGTGAGGACTGGACGGGGAAAGGAAGGTTGTGGGTGGAGGGGATTGAGCCGGGCGGGTGCCCCTTGTTTGGAAAGTGCGCTTGTTTTTGGAATAATTGCTCGCCACGCCCGATGAAGGTTCGTGATGACCCAAAATGTACTCTCTCAAAAGTTGTACTTGGCTGTGTTTGGATGTAATGCAGGAATAGAATCGATCTAAGACTAAGCTTATTATCTAAGTCTAACCTAAGGCTGTCGAAATATTGTTAGTAATCGGGAAATAATTGCTCGAACAGGGGCTTGGTGCTGCGGCTGGTTTAATCAACTAGCACCGCGATGTTGGCTTTCTACAACATGTTCTACAGCGTGTAGGCGACTAGACAATTAAATTTTCTAATTTGCAAGCTGTAATTCAAAGACCAGTAGCTTTTATGGTATCCAATTAATCAATAAAGCTGCTGTAGGATACTAAAATTCTATCCCCTGGTGTTGTTAAAGGTATGTTGACTGGATATATATTTCGGGAGATCATGCACAAAGTTGTCGACACGACCAAGATAACCTAGTACCTATTTACCAGGTAACCAACAGAGTAACTTCTTCACCGGATATAGATCTTAAAATTAAGCTTATGCATGAGTTACACTGACAAAAAAAATCAAAAAAAACCCTGCAACGAATTCACCGCTATTCTTGTCCCCGAAATGTGTTGAAGCCCGAGTCCGAGTTCGATTTCCAGTTGCTCCGCACCGGCTGTCAATTCCCCCGACCCTAACCAGATTAGTGCTAAACAAGCTAGACGCGGCTGTCACAGCCACGAGCCGACACTCAATTGCATAGACGCGAGTTTGGGGGCCATGCAGGCGGCGCAGAATCTTCCCAAAGCGTACATCAGCCTTACCCAGCTGTGCACTCTAAGTGGGGCTCACTGCCGAATCTTAAGTTTCGATCATTCGGATTGGCTTCGGGGATGGATGAATTTCGATGGTGATAGGAGCTATTATTTGGCCGACACGGCTATGACGAGGGCTGTGTTGAGAGCAGTGGGAGATATAAAGAGTTCAATGTCTTCAGGATCATTTTTTATTCTTCATCACCGATATCTATTTCACTACTATCCTACAATTACCTCTTCGGGCAATCTACATCTACATCTACATCTACATACTTGACACCCGCTCTATACTTCGACTACCTATACACAGCACCACCCTCACCTCCACCAACCCACAAAAACAATGACTCCAACAATCGCCTTCTTCGGCGCAACAGGCGGCTGCGCAAACGCCTGTCTAGCCTACACCCTGCGCAGCGGCTACAACGCCATCGCACTCGCCCGCACCCCCGAAAAACTCACAACCCAACTCCTCACCCAACCAGGCATAACCCAAGAAACCCTGGACACACACCTACGCATCGTCCAAGGCGACGCGCGGGACATCGAAACAGTGATGAAAACGCTCATCGTCACCTCAACCCCGCAATCCACAACCCTCGTCTCCCTGATCGTCTCGGGCATTGGCGGCACCGGCGAACTAGTCCTGACCAAGCCGTCCCCCTGCGACCAGATCCCGATGCGCATGCCGACAATTCCGCACATCGGCATTCCAAACCCGCACATCACGGAGGAAAGCACGACGGCGTTACTGGGCGCGCTGCGACGCATTGCCGATGAGCGGTTCGGGTCTTTCGCGGAGTACGCGGCCGTTGCGCCGCGGGTGACTATTATTTCGGGGGCGGGCATTAAGAAGGGGATTAAAGATGTGCCGCTGCTTTTTAAGCCGTTGTATGCGGCGTTGGATGTGCCGCATAAGGATAAGATGAAGATGGAGAGGTTGTTGGGGGCGGAAGTTGAGAGGAGGGAGAGTTTGTTGTGTGGGGGGTTGGTTATTGTGAGGCCTAGTTTTCTTGGTGGGGATCATAAGATTGCTGAACCTGGGGCGGATTCAGGGTATAGGAAGTTGAGGGTTGGGACGGAGGCGAAGCCCGAGGTTGGGTATACTGTTGGACGGGCTTTGATTGGGGAGTGGATTTATCGCGAGGTTGTTAAGGGGGGTGGGGATAAGTGGGTGGGCGAAGGGGTGATCCTTACTGAGTAGAGATTCAGTTGAAGGACTTTTTGTTTTCGTGAAGGGATTATGGGTTGGATATCTCCTTTGGTCTTGTCAAGGAGTTCAGGTGTTTTTGTTCTACAGAGAGGGGGATATGATGAAGGATTTACGTTTGTATGAATCAATTCAATTCATTTCATGTTCAGTGATGCTCTATATTCGATGCAAGCAAATGCTAGACAGAAGCGATAAAGCAAGGCTATAAATCCAAATCTAAAGTAGCCACAGCAATGGATCTTCTGGTCCAGCAGAGACAACAGGTGAAGGAAGTGCTGGACCAGCAAGGGAAACCGTACGGTAGCAAGGCAGACAAGAGCAGCTATTAAAAAGAAATATCCATAAGAAACAGGGGCCGAGAAAAAGATGGTCTCTCCCTAAACCAAATTAAATCCTAAACAAACGCCATAGCTCAGTATATAAACGTAGCCGACCAAGGTGGTAAGTAGAGTAGGTCAGCAAGTAGGCTGTACAATCGGGTAGAAGACATGGATCTCGTGTATATTGAGAAACATCTTCATGATGTTCGTGACGGTCGTGAGCTGACAAAGTAGTATGTTAATATGTCGGCATCAATTAGGCGCTGTTGAACGGATCGGGGCGTTCGTGCTGCGGACTCTCGGGCCCGACCTCTTTGCGGTCGACCTGCATACTCGCACGTTCTTTCCGTTCCAGTTGCGTGCTCTTGCGTCCTTCATGGTCGACTTGCATGCTCTTACGCTCTTCGCGCTCGAGTTGCATACTCTTGCGTTCCTCCTTGACTTTGCGCTTCTCCATCTTCTTCATGGCTTCCTCGGTCAACTCTTGACGGAACAGGCGCTCCACGACATCCTTCTTGCGTGTACGACGATCACCAATCATAATCAAAACACCACCGGTGATGTTGCATGTGATAGAGAAGCACAGGATGACCGTAGTCAGGGCGAAGGGTCGCTGTCCCGGGGTTTCCATACTCCAGGTGCAAGCACCCAGCGCCATCTGGAGCAGCGAGTGGCAGTCGAGGAGAACGACAATGGCGATGAGAATGCGCAGAGGGAAAGCGTGGTGAGTGACCGTCTCATGCGGCTTGTAGAAAGTATGTGACTTGGCAAACTTGGCCTGATGGTGCATCAGACGCTCCTGCTGGCGGGCATCTAGTACAGAGTACTCATGCTCCTCTTCCTTGGGGGTATCGGCAAAGTCAACCTCCGCATCCTTTTCATGCTGGGCGGGAAGATCGTTCTTGTCTCTGAGATCAGGAAGCTTCCGCTTCTCACGGATCTTCCAAGTCAACATTGTATAACGCGCAATGAAAATCATGTGATAAGTGTCAACAGCTCGGAAGGGGGCCAGTCCATCACCCATGATGGCGAAAAGCGCCACAAGGACGTTGTCAATGACATTGATGACATATAACTGTTTCCCGCCGACATTGATCCAACCTAGGAAACAAAATTAGTATTCCACTTTGAAGTCTCAAGAAACCTGGGGGCATCATACCAATCAAGAAGAGTACCCAAGCAAGACCAAACAGGGTAATGAGAGTTGCGTAAAGGGTGACAAGGAATCCCAGTGCTGAAAGCAGCGTTAGTCTCGTAAATTCATTTTTCCAAACTCCCGAGTAGGGAACTTACGCCTTCGTACATATTGACCGAATCCCCTCATCGATCGCTTGAATTTGGACCGACGAGAGTGTAGCATATGCCGGACGTGATCATTCAATTCGGCAAAGTCCTCCTTGGTCCATCCCTCTAGCTCATGGCCCTCGGGCAGAACGGCATACCGCGGACCCTGAAGCACGGACGGCATGCTTGAGAAGGGACGCAAGTGTTCCAATGCCGGCCGCTCCTTGTTTTGTCTTTCCTCCAAGGATTCTGCCTCGTCCGTGGACGTTCCCTGCTCCTCATCAGAGGGAGGTGCTCTCGACAATTGATATGTGGGCATGCGATTGATGAAACCGCCCAGATTGGGAATGAACAGTGAGTTTTGCACATTGGTGAGGGTCGACAGAGCCGAGACCTCCGGGTCTGATGAACACAGTCACGCTGTTAGCTGCGATTGCGATATTCGCCACCCCCGTCTTCCCGTCCACCTAGTAAACTTACCGATCACGTCCAGCACGTCAACCACGTGAGATCCATATTCGGTGATGGGCTGCTCTTTATTCGTCTCGAGGGCTGGCTGCGCTCCGCTTACTGTCGATGCGCGATTGCGGGAGAATCGGTTCAAAGCGGCTTGACTGGTTCGGCGCAGCAGGCTTGCCGGGCGAGCGAGTGCCGGTGGTGGCGGTTGGAGGTGGTCCTCCGCCGTTCGCTGTGCAGAGAGTTCCTCCTCTGGAGATAGTGGCATTGGGCTTTGGTGAGATGATTCTTCAGTCAAGCATCCCATGGGTGTTGCCACTCGTGCGAGAACGTGCTGTGGGGGAGAAGACCATCGTCCTGGTCGCGGCTCAGAGTTGCTGCGTCGCCGACCAGACTGCCATGATTCATCCTCCTCCTGCACGGGCGATCTGACGGAAACCTGGCGGGTCAAGGAAGGACCGGGTTGGTTGTCTGAAAGCACCTGTTGTGGCTGCTGGGTGTTGACCGTATCCAATGACGAGAGAGAAGGTAGGCGCGACAGACGAATACTAGGCCGGCGCGTACGGTTTGAAGGGGCTCTTGGGCGTAGCGTTGGCCGCGAGGACGATGCTTCGGCGGACTGTGGCTGCTCCGGAACACCAGCCGGGGCTGTTGAGCCTTCCACGGGCTCGATGGGATCCATGGAGGGATGGTCGCAATGGCGAGATCCGAGGGAGGCTGGGGAAGGTGGGGATTGGAATTAGAACAAGGGTCGAAGTAGCAAACCCGTTATGAACAGTTCTAGGTAAGAGGTTGATAATGAGCCCTCTCCCCCCTTAGGCCATTGAGGAAAAATCGAGTGAGGTAACCCCGAGATTGAAAAAGAGAAAGTTCCTGGAGTTTTGAGTTTCGGGCTGGTCGTTTCGTAAATCTTAGGAATCTGACAGTAAGGTAATCACGCAGATGAGTCAGCTAGTACAATCTTGTTTTGCGCCGGCGATCCCCAAGAGGTGGAGATGACCGAAGCCCAGGAGGATCTCCATCTTATCAGTCCATCATCCCTGTGGTGCAGCTGGCTGGTAGATAAGTCCTATGTACTTCTATGCACCTCCTACGTATGTTCCATAAGACTATGGTCGACTACTACACCGCAATGGAAATCCTGTGGCAAGGACAGTGGCAAATCCGAGCCTAGGATTATGGAATCCAATAATCGGGGAAGATAACGCCGCTAGTGGCCTAGAAGCAATTCCAGTGGAGTTGGAGGAGCGTGCAACCAGACCATGACGCCCCCTGGCCCACTCATTCCGAGTGGAGGAGCTCGGATTCTGCCGTATAGATGAAGTTGATGAACAGTGTAAGATTTCCACTCTTACAGTCAGATAGATTATCTAAATGATAAATACAATGTCATTTTCATAGTTGGTATTCTAATCATTTTATCTCACCCCCGAACCTTCACCAGACGGCAGCATGTTGTTACGAACATCCTAAACTTGACTATACCCGACTTGCTACACGTAAGATATCAAAAATTATTGGATTACGGTACAGCTTCCTCCATCATGTATCTAATGTCTATTTCTATTAAAGATTTGAATTATACTCTGTTGTATTCCATAAATAAAAAAAACATTCCGAAGAAGGCGCCTCTATTTGCCCGTCAAAAGACAACCGCTCTCTATAATGGAAACCTCCACATTGTTTGTCAACCTTGCACCCCGAGAGGAAATAAATCCAGGACACACGTCTGGAGGACCTCTTTCATCTTCTTTCATCCTCAAAGCTTCATTCTCAACGTTCTATCCTCAACACCAATTCCCATTGATCTCCACACGGACTTGCGGCTGCTAGACAGGTATGTGCATACCCATACTCAAACACCCAAATGCAGACCAAGACTGACTTATTCCTTTGATATCTCTATAGCTTAAAGAAAAAAAAAGAAAATTCTTCGAAGAGTGAGTTACAAGCTTTTCTCCTTGAAACGGATTTCATATAAGCTCGTCGCTGGCTTTGGTCCCTGTCCGCATACCTCTCACTTGGAAGAAACTGGAAACGCTAACTCAATGAATCCAGTGACAACCCCTACTCCAGCGATCTCCTCTCTTGGGAGCAATAAGCGGCCCAGATCTATCGAACCTGCTTCTTCCGATGAGCCAAAGCTCAAGAAACAAAAGGCCGACTCTACCTCCAACCTCCCGGCCCCGGCAACTCCCGGTCTGGCCAAATGTCCATTCACGGACGCCTTCTTCGCCGACATGGCAGTGGTCATTCGGGATACGTTCCCCATCGGCAACTTTGCAGAGAAATACCACTGCAGCAACAAGGATGTGCTCGACGCTCTGAGTGCAGTGGTCTTGAAGCCCCTCTGCATACCATCAAATGGGCTCCCAGTCTCCGACCACGCCCAGATTCTCATCGCAGACTGGCGAGAAGATCTCGCAAGAGTCGCCAACGAGATCATCACGATCTCGGGCAACTCTCCAGAGCCACACCCAGCTTCTTCCTCACTGAACCCCGAATCTCCAGAATCTGCACCACTCTCTGATACCAACTCATCGTCAATCTTCACCTCTCCGGCAAAGCAGTCAACCTCACCCCCTAGCAGTCTAGGTATCTGCAATTCTTCTTCGGAGCCCGCTGGGAAGGGACTCTCAGATTCCAAACCCTCTTTTCCACTGGTCACTATCGAGCAGTCACGCCGCTCCCCAACCGAGCCCATTGCCAGAAGCAGCCCGACGTCTCCGAAGAAGAACAACAAGAAGAAGGGAAAGTACCTGGAAACCCCGACAAGAAAGCGGGTAGAAGTTCGTCGGGACCACACCGGGGTACTTATCCCCGTTGCAAACTGGATTGAGGGATATCATATCCCCAAGCCTGCGGGGTCTGTGGAAAAAGGCCAAGGCCAGGTTGATGCTATGACGGATGAGGAGTTTGAGAAGCGGATGCAGGAAGGGTGGTTTAGGGAGTTTTTGAAGGAAGAGGAGAGAGACCAGGTTGCTTGCGCGAAACCTGGGTTAAAGCGTGGGCGATGGAAGAAGTGATGCCGGATGTGCGAAGGAAATGAGTCTCTGTTAGGTCATTTGTCGAGTGGATGTGAGTGGGTTTTGAATTGTTTCTGAGTGTATGAAATTTGCAACTGGTGTGGTCTGCTGTGGGTGGTTTGGAGCCATGGGCTGGGAGTGGTGTTATTCTGTCGCTGCTGGATGGAAAGTGTCATAATGTTGGAGCTCTGTCGACCTTGATAACGAGAGGGATGTGGACGGATGACTGCGGGTACTCAACTCATCGTCATCATTTCGGAGTTGAGCATTCTTCCTGAAGTCAAAGGGAGCCATGAGGCGCTTCTTGTTCGTGTTCCGGGAACCCTAGCATCCTTCTAACTCGGTATCCAAGATCTTCAGTTGGGTCACTAGTCTTCCCGTGCTGGGGTTCAACATGCTCTCACCAACTCTAGCCTATCTTGCTGTGATACGGTAATATTAGGTGTAGCGGTAGGTAGGCGGACCCTGGCCTCCAGTGAAAGCTGCTATGAGCAGTCTGAAGGGTATCGTACTAGGAGTTCTGGAATATGGCACTTGGTAGAATATACACTCTCGTAAATCTACGGAACCTATCAAGGCCATATCAAGAGGCTTTTTGCACACATTTTGTACCTAGGATAGAGATATATAGCGCATTGAATATACAGATATTCAAAGAAATTTAAAGATGCAACCCAACAGTTAGATCCTCGAGACTGGGTTCCTTTTCATTATTTTCTCATTCATCAGTCAGGACTGCCACATTAATATATACATCTCGTGGCGTAAGCTCTGGCGATCTTCCAGAGATTCCGAGCTCCAGAGTCTGGAACGTGGAGAATTGAAAGTGGGAAAAGTGGAGCCGGCTGAGGTGGAAGATCAAAACCCGCGTTACTCTGGGCAACTCGGCGCGTGCAGATAAAGTGCCTTGGGAATATGCACGTCTATTTAGAAAGCTTATATGGAGGCATAGTGAGAAAATAATGTAGTACTAAAACTAGTAGATGTATGTTTTATATAAAATTTCAGCAATGTGTGGTGTTAACTGGGCAATTCAATCGAAGCTTATGGTAGCCGATCGAACTGGGTCCTGGTCTCCAGAATGACATCAAAAGTGGAAGCCTCATTCGACGGGAGGTTCCGTGGTTGTTGAACTGAGAGAGGGGTGACTCACCGCCAAACTGGGTGTCAAGCGAAGCCGAGCTCCTAGGGCCTGCTGGGGCCTACTGGGGGCCTAGCTCCCCAAGTCCACAGCCTAGACATCGCCTAAGAATACTGCCCAACTTCACCCGCAGGCACTCGCAGGCTCCCACGCAGGTCCCGAATCTCCCAAACTCCCCCAAACACGGCTTAGTGGCTCACCGCCTCCTCCTCCTTTCCTTTCCCCCATCTTCTCCTCCCTCACCTTCCTTCCTTCAAGAGTCAACTACTGCTTCCTGATTTCCTCTCTTCCCATCTCTTCCTTTTCTTTCAATCGGTATCTAGGGCACCAAGCTACCCTGCTCCTTCCCCCTCAATCCCTCCCCCTCGGCAATATCCTCCCACCGCCTAAGTCCCCTCAAAAGGCACCATCAACAAACACTCCCCTCTGTTTGTTTGACACATCATCGTTCGAGCTTCAAGCTATCCCACCCCGTCGAACCTTCCCCCCACCCGTGTCTCAACTCGCCTTCAAGATGTCTGCCGTTGAAGCTGTCACCAACACCATGGCTGCGACCACCATTAACGACACCCCCAGCGCCAACGGTACTCCCGCGGCCTCGCAGCCTACCGACGCTGCTGCCGCCAGTGCTGACGAGGGTCGTCGCCTGTACATCGGCAACCTTGCCTACGCAACCACCGAGGAGGAGCTCAAGGACTTCTTCAAGGGCTACACCATGTGAGTGATGACTCGACCCTGCACCCACTTGGAGCTGGTTGCAAGCTATCTCGTGAGAGGAGAGCACCAGCACAGGTCCGAATCAACCCCTCATTTGGGGGGGAGGGGGTCTTGCAATCCATCAACATCAAAACTAACGCAATTCTCTAGCGAGAGCACCTCGATCCCGGTGAACCCCCGCACCAACCGCCCCGTTGGCTACGCTTTCGTGGATCTCGCAACTGCTGCCGAGGCCACTGCGGCCATTGAGAGCCTCTCTGGCAAGGAGATTCTCGCGCGCAAGGTTTCGGTCCAGCTGGCCCGTAAGCCAGAGCCTGCGGAGGCTAAGGAGGGTGCTGCCAGTGGCGGTGAGGGCGCCAGCGGCAATGAGGGTCGCAAGCGCACCGGTGGCCGGGGTCGTGGCCGTGGTCGCGCTCGTGGCCGTGGTGGCCGTGCCGCTCGTGGACGTGTATGTAAACCCCAATTCCTCATTCCATCCTTCAGACGCCTAAGTCTGTCATCCGGGACATCATCACTGACTGGATGGCCCTTCCTGCAGGCCCAGGATGGACAGGAGCCCACCGAGGCCAATGCCGCCGAGGCCGCTCCCCTGACTGAGACCACCAACGACAACGAGCCCGCAGCTACCGAGGGTGCCAAGCAGGGCAAGCCCCGTGCTCCTCGTCCCCAGAAGCAGCGTGGTCCCCCCGAGGATGGTATTCCCTCCAAGACCAAGGTCATGGTCGCCAACCTTCCCTACGACCTGACCGAGGATAAGGTACGTTCATGATTTGAAGCCATGGCTGAGGCCTAGAGAAGCCCGCACTCGGGCCTTCTGAGCCATTGTACTAACCGCATCGTTTCTACTATAAAGCTCAAGGAGATCTTCGCCGACTACTCCCCCGTCTCCGCCAAGGTCGCTCTTCGTCCCATTCCCCGCTTCATGATCAAGAAGCTCCAGGCCCGCAACGAGCGCCGCAAGACCCGCGGTTTCGGATTCGTCAACCTCGCCTCGGAGGAACTCCAGGCCAAGGCCGTCAGCGAGATGAACGGCAAGGATATTGACGGTCGCACCATTGCTGTCAAGGTCGCCATCGACAGCCCCGGCAAGGAGGACGACGTCAACGCCGCCGCTGATCAGTACGAGGAGGCCAACGCTCCCGCTCAGGAGAACGCCGCCCCTGCTGCTGATGCTCCCACTGAGGCCGCTTAAACTTATTGCCAATTTCTATTCGACCACAGATCCCTTGCTAATGAACTTGGAGTTATTGAAAAGGAACCTTGATAGGGCCCGTCGTATGAAATATGAGATATAACCATAAATGATCTGCCGGTCAACTGGAAATATCTTAGCTACTCGACAGGTGGTCATCGAGGCCGATCTGTGGGCACGAAGGGTGTCATGACTTTTTTCCTTTATTTTTCTTATCATCGGATGTCATGGAACATACGTCCATGCTGGAGTTATACATCCTTGCTGATGTCTCCATCCCTAACGACCTTTGTCTTCTGTACTGTATCTTAGCACCCATTTAACTAAATGATGATGATCTGCTGAGGGGTCTATTTGTAGGAGATGTATGGAGCGTAGCGATCATAGAGATGTAGACTCGAAAGAGGCCCAGAGCGTAACAAATGTGGAGGAAATGAATGGAGACAGGGTTCACGCTTCGTAGCGGCATGACCCTGATGACGCTAAAGTTGGGGCGACCCTTGCCGATCAGCGGACAAAACATACAGTCCCTCCCACGCTCAACTCTCTCCATTTCTCCATTCTCCCCGTCAATTCACTTCCTTTTTGAAACCGACTACACTTAACCGAATACCTCTACCAGACACCGGTGGAGTCATTGAGATTGCGTGCCAAAAAGGGGTTAACCCACCAAATCAGACAGAACCCCCTCCTCGAATCCAGGTGCGGCGCCGACTCCGTCCACTCTGTCACAGCCACACACACATAACCCTCCAACCCGCGGCGAGCGCTCGAGACGTGGTTCTTTTCAATTCTTCCTCGCTTTCTTGTATAAACACTGCCCGCCATGTCATCTCGCATGTGGGAGGTCGACCCGGAGACGAAGACAAAGGTACGCTTCTCCAACATTGGTGGTTTGGCCAAGCCAGGATGGCACATGCGCCTGAACGGGTCTCTGAACTAACACCTCATCTTCCATTATTCTAGCTCCTCCAGATCTCCAAGACCAATGGAAATGATAGGTGCTGTGACTGCGGTGCGCCCTCACCTCAATGGGTATGTAGATATTCTTATCTCCTGAATCTACACCTACTGGAGCGCTACTCCAATGGACCCCTCACCGACAACACTCGAGGAACTAGCTAGCTAACCCCGGTTGCGTCTCTCTTACATAGGCCTCGCCCAAATTCGGAACCTTCATTTGCTTAAACTGCGCCGGCACACATCGCGGTCTCGGTGTACACATCTCCTTCGTGCGCTCAATCACCATGGATGCCTTCAAGCACGCCGAGATCCAGCGCATGGAGCTAGGCGGCAACGAGCCCTGGAAATCCTTCTACGACGCCCACGCCGTGACCATCTCCGAGGGCCGCACATTCGAAGACTCCACAATCAAAGAGCGCTACGAGGGCGACGCCGGCGAGGAATGGAAGGAGAGACTATCCTGCAAGGTCGAGGGCCGCGAGTACGTGCCCGGCCAGGAGAAGAAGAATAACGCGCCCGCCTCGCGGTCCAGTACGCCCATGAGTCTGAGCGGCGGTGCTGGTGCTGGTGTGACTGGCGGTGCGCGGACGGGATCGCCTGCGGCGTCGTCGATTCGCTCGCATGATAGCCAGCGCGGTGGGGCGCCGACGAAGAAGGAACAGAATGAGGCGTATTTTGCGAAATTGGGGAATGAGAATGCGACGAGGTCGGATGCGCTGCCGCCTTCGCAGGGTGGGAAGTTTACTGGGTTTGGTGGTGGGTTGCCCCCGTCTGCGGCTGCGGAACGACGGTCTTCGCCGTTTGGCGGGTTTGGCGGTTGGGGTGGTGGCGGCGGTGGTGGTGCTGGTGGTGGTCAGGCTTTGGATGACCTCCAGAAAGATCCATTGGGTACTTTGACTAAGGGTCTGGGGTGGTTTGCGTCGACGGTGGGTAAGAGTGCGAAGCAAGTGAATGAATCATACCTACAACCCACGGCCAAACAGGTAAGCAAGTCCAGTTATTCGTCATCTCGGCTTGATTCCAAGCCCAGGTTATTCCATGGACAAATAAGCTAACAAATCCAACAGCTGGCCGAATCAGACTTCGCAGCCCAAGCCCGCGTCCAAGCCGCAAACTGGGGCCAAAACCTGCAAACCGGCGTCCGCGGCGCCGCAGACCAATTCAACCGTTTCGTTGAGGGCCCCGAGGACGGCCGCTCTGGCGCAGCACGGTCACGCGTCGAACCCGAGCACCGAGACTTCTGGGACGACTTCTCGTCTCTGGGCTCGCAAGAACGAAATGGGCATCAGCGGAGTGGTTCGCGGTCTGACGTTATCGGGACTGCAGCTATGCGTAAGAGTCCTGCGGCGTCGTCGTTGGCGAATTCTACGACTCCGGCTTCTGGTGAGACGACTGTGTCTGCTGGGAAAGATCATGGGGATGGTGGAGGTGCGACGGCGACGACAAAGGGGAAGGATGAGTGGGATGATAATTGGTAGATTCACTTCGTATATATACATTTTGCATTGTTTCTATGAAATGTGTTTTGTTCATGATGGCGCGGTTGGTGCTGGTTTCAAATGTCATGCCATGACTTCCAATGCATACACGAGGTCAGTGGTTTGTTTACTCTCTTCTTGTATAGGAGTGACGTTTAACAAGTTTAGTACAATGTAGAGATTGCCCTAAACCTACTCCAAATGACGAAATATACATAATAGTGCCCGTACAATACAGTGATCAATCCACTTAAAACCCACCCCTCAACTCAGCAAGCACAGCCTTCTGTCTCTGCGCAGACATATTCTCAAACCGATCCACGCTCATAACAAACGTCCCCCGACCAGCCGTCAAACTGCGCAGATGTTTCAAATACCCAACCATCTCCTTCAAGGGCACCTTAGCAGTGATAGTGCGAGGACGAGACGCGGACACCGGTACTTCCGCACCGACGGATGGAGTCTCGAATGGATCGGGCGGTGCGTAGACGCGCTTGGGGTCGATGGGGGGTCGATTATCTTCTGCGGGGGACCCGGAGGCATCAGTTGCTGATGATGGGACTTCCTCGTCGAGGGAGAGGATATGGCCACCCCGTGAAGAGGAGATATCATGCACGACGGAACCGAGGGATGCTTCGTCGACGCTGATGATTACGTTCATGACTGGTTCCATCATGACGGTGCCGGGTCCGGTGAGGAGGTCCCGTAACGCGGCGGATGTAGCTTGACGGGCAGCAGATGAGAGGGCTGAGGTGGTTGTATCGTTGCCGAAGAGGTGCTCTTCGGCGTTGAGGGTGAGTGTGACACGGGTATTGTGCATTGGGAAGGTGAATTGAGGACCGCGGGCGAGCGCTGCCAGCGCACCGTTTTGAAGGGCGGCGCGGAGAGAAGATGGGTCCAGACCTGGTGGGAGGAGGGGGCTTGTTTCTTCGTCGTTTCTGGAAGAGCGGTCGACTTGGAGACCTGGGGCGCGAATGATGATTTGATTACCCTCGATTGTCTCGGCAAGGAGGGTGTCCTCGTCTGCGAGGTCGGAGACGTCTGTTTCGTCGATGGGTTCTACGATTGCGGTGCAGCCTGCCTTGCCGCGGCGGCCGGCGACTTCTTTGTCGAAGATCTTGGTGATGGCGTTTGAGGTGCCGAGACCTGATTCACGATATCCGATTTCGATGCGGCCCATGGAAGCTTTGGCTTTGTGGTCGTTGATCAGGCGGTCGCGGGCAATTTCGAGGTGCAGTTCGCCCATGCCGCTGAGAAGTGTCTGTCCGGATTCTTCGTCGACGCTGACGTGGAGACTGGGATCCTCTCGTAGGAGTAGTCCGAGGGACTCTTGCATACGCTTCTCCTCGCTAAGACTATGTGGCTCGACACTGGTGAAGAATACCGGGGGAGGTACGTCGATTGGGCGGAGCTGAAGGCTGGTCAACGGCTCTGGTGGCGTGGGCTTATTGCCGGCATATGACAGCAGGGTATCGCCAGTGCGGGCATGCTTGAGTCCGACAACAACGCCAATGTGGCCAGCCGGAATAGAGTCGACTTCAACGGCGTCGTTGGCGTACATCTTCAGCAATCGCGGTGCTCGCTCTGAGAGGTGTAGATTGGTGTTGAAAAGGAGACTGTTGCGATCCAGAGAGCCAGAGTATACTCGAACATAGACCAATACACCACGTTTGGGATCATTGACCACCTTGAAGGCAAGTGCACAGCTTTGGAGTTTGGAGATGGCGTCTTTAGGGTCCGCCTGCAACGCAGCCTTCTTCTTTTTCTTGCCTTTCACCGGGGCAGATGCCTTCTCATTCTGCTCCACGATCAGGTCACCCGAGAGTAATCGTCTCAGTCCTCCCTTTACACCACCAATGCTCACTTCCGGGTCGGGAGCTTCGGGTGGACTGGGAAGAAGGTTTACCACGGCATCCATCAACGGCTGAACGCCCATATTGCGGAAGCTGGCACCTGCAAAGACGGGCACAATCCTGCTTGATTGGTCGAGGACACATCGTCGAAGACTGTCGATAATATCCATGGGAGGAACGGCCAGATGGTCTTCGTCACACTCGAAGAATTTCTCCACAATGGCTTCGTCTTGTTCGCTCAGCAACTCAACCAATGCAATACGCGCACGGCGGAGTTCCTGTGCCAAGGAACTCTCTTCGGCATCCAGTTGCTCGAGGTCCATCATCTTGACGCTGCGACCGTCTTCACCCTCCTTCCATCGTAGTCCCTGGAGATTGATGGCATCTGCCACGCCAACGAAAGCGCCGTTGCCGCCTTCAAACCACGGGATTTGGCACACTGCTGGATAAACAGCGAGGCGAGAACTAACTTCTCGGACTGTTCGGCCAAAAGCGGCACCGTCACGGTCCAGCTTGTTCACGTAAATCACCCGTGGGATCTTATACGTGCTCGCTTGATTCCAGACCTGCTCCGTCTGCGCCTCGACACCAGCCACGCCGTCCAGGATACAGACAGCGCCGTCAAGAATGCGCAAGGACCGGAGGACCTCGAATGTAAAGTCAGCATGGCCCGGTGTGTCAATTAAATTGATCGTATGTGACACTGTCGACTTTGGCACCGAAGGATCTCGTTCAAGGGGTTGACTTTCTGCCCCGTCGCCAGGAGGCCAATGGAAAGTGATAGCAGCTGACTGAATAGTGATGCCACGCGCACGTTCGGCGGGTAAGAAATCAGTCACCGTAGAGCCTTCATCCACGTCTCCAATGCGCCGGGTGAAGCCGCTATAGAATAGCATGCGCTCCGTCGTGGTGGTCTTGCCAGCATCAATATGGGCGATGATTCCAATGTTGCGTGTTCGGTCCAAAGTTTCCGTCTGCCATCTGGAAACCGAAGTTGAAAAGCATGGAGCTGTTTGACCTCCGAGTCGACAAATTTGCGAGTAGATGCGGCTCTTCATGGGACTGGCCTGGCTCTTATAGAGCGTTGAACCCATACACCGTAGCCCCGGCTGGGGGAGGCGCAACAATGGAGCCACAACCATTGCGAGTAAGAGCTTCCATCCAATTTAGATCAATTACCAGAGATTTATATGCATGTGAACATGGGGATGGGGGTGTTCTTTCAAGGCCAAAATGTCGGACTTGGAGGTGGTCGTAGTGATCATGGAAAAAGCGAATCGCGGAGCTGGAGGTCTTGGCGCACGCATTCCCCATTTCCACTTGCTGGTCCATACGTAACTCTCCCTCCAACCCTCCTGCTTCAATCTCCGACTACTCTGCTCGTTTCCTTTTCTACACACCCTTGCTTGTCCATTTGATATGCGCCTCTGAGTGCGCTCTTCTTCTCCTACACAAGCTGCCCGAGGTAGGTTTCGCGCTGACTTGGAGCTACCTGGCCGTTACTGTGGGGGTGTTGATCCCCAGCCATTAATACTGACGCCTTCCGTCACTAGCAGCTCCTCCCCCTTGGACTCTCCTCGTGAAGGCGCTCCTTACTTCCAATCCCAACCAAGATGGACTATTCCGCCATCTCCAACGACCCAGAACACTCCACGGGTGCCTCACCTTGGGGCTCTCCGCGCGCTGACCGAACGACATTCCCCACCTCCGGCAACGGTGACATCCCGTCATCCCCGTTACCCGGCCAGGACCACTCATCGGAGGCCGCGGACAGAGACAATGATGCGGTGGCTCAGGCAGCCGATCTATCGGCACAGCTTCAGAGTGCCCAATTAGGCGACCCGGACTACGGCGAGGAGCAGTCTCCGTTTGCTGCGCATCAAGCTCCGACTGGCGACCAGCAACTCCCCGCACGTTTCCAGACTGGAATAAGACAGGCCTCTCGGCCACCGGCGCCTATCTATAAGATCCAAGCTAAGATCACTGGTCTCGAGAGGACCGGAAAGAAGGATCCTATCCTTCGCTTTGACGTTCACGTGAGTCTACTCCTCAACGATGCTGATGAGATGCGCTGCGCTGCGGTGGTGGCTAACCTTACACCAATCTTTAATGACAGACTAATATCCCCAAATTCCGTACTACCCAATATCGCGACGTTCGCCGTACTCACTCCGAGTTTGTTAAGCTTGCCGACCACTTGATCTCGGCCAACCCGGAAGCTTTCGTCCCCGCAGTTCCACCGCCAGTTACCCCCGCCGGGGCTGGAACCGATGAAGATGAAATTCGCGTCAAGGCTTCGATGCAACGCTGGCTTAATACTGTACTGAGCAACGAGGTCCTTATCCAGGATGATGAGGTCATGCTCTTTGTGGAAAGTGATTTCGGCTACAGCCCTGTGCTTCGCATGAAGCAACCTGCTACGGGAGTGCGACGCAAGATGTTGAAGCAGTTTGCGCCGCCTCCTGATGACACCCCGGAACTGCAGGCGGCTCGCCCGACTGTGAAGATGTTCTACTTGGGAGCAATGGACTCGAGCCACAAGGTTGATCGAGTTGTCAAGTCCCGGAGAGGTAAGAGACGAAGACAATCCTGCTCTGTCTACTATATTGGATCAAAAGCTGACAGTACTAGGTGTGGGGTTGGCCGAGTCTGATTTCGGTGTGAAGCTTGGTCAGATGGCCGTGCAAGAAACTCACCCTGGGTTGGGCATGGCTTATCGCAAGCTTGGCAAAGTTATTCAGACCGTGGGTGACTACCATGCGATTCAGGCTACCGCCGAGGCCACGACTCTGGGCGAACCATTGAGCTATCATTCGTCCGATGCATTCATCGTCAAGGAAACCCTAACCAACCGACATATCTTGCTGCGAGAACTTATCCAGGCTCAGCAGAGCGCTCGAAGCAAGGAGGCTGCAGCAGAGCGATTGAAAGTCAGCTCATCGGTCCGTCGGGACAAAGTAGATGAGGCGATCAATTCTCTGGCAGACGCCCAGAACCACGAGGATTACCTGACAAAGCGCACTCAGCGCGTGACGACGAATCTGCTCCAGGAGAAGCGCAAGTGGTTCGACCGAACTACTAACGAGCTGCTTTTTAGCCTGCGCGAGTATACCTTGCGTCAAATTGAAGCCGAGCGACGAACTTTGGCCACCCTGGAAAGTGTCCGACCCGACATCCGTAGCATCGACGCTTCTGGTGGTCTGAGCCGACTGGGTCGCGAAGCCCACCCTACGGTCCGACGGTCGAACATGGCCTCGAGCCAGGGTCCCAAGGGCGATGCCTGGAGTGGTATTCCTCGTCGTTCTGACAATTTGGGCCGCAGCATGAGCGGTAGCTTCACCGCACCTGGCCTCAACGAGGACGAGGGCGACGAGGAAAGCCAGGCAGAGTCCGGTCAGGGCCGCGCGCGTGCCACCAGCCAGGTTGGATCGATTGCCGAAGAAGATGATGATCGACTGGATGCACGCAATGCTGCCAGCCGACTGGCTGCCAGCACATTTTAACTTGACTAGTTCGGACGGTTTGCATTGATTCTGTATATGTAGCCTGGACACGACATCGCGATTCCCCTCTGTTGCCTTTATACTTCGTGTCTGCGAGTGTTATAACCTGAAGTCTTTTGAGCCAATTTACGTTTTGTTTGGAAATAGTTTATCAAAATAGCAAATATGGCAAATTACTATCGCAATTCAACTCCCTGTAAGACAACGACCTTCTCCAATTCAGTGTGTACAAACTTAATCCAGATTTCACTCATTCCACCCTTTAAATACCCTTGACCCATCATCCGGCGCATCATACCAAGCCGCCTTCTCCTTGTAGAAGATATGCTTTCCAGGCCTAGACACCAAATGCTCCGATTCAACATCCAGCGTCCCCCCAGCGACAGCTGTAGTGGACGGATCATTATCCAGCGTCATCGTCATAGTTGAACCACAGCGTGGGCAGAAGCTACGCGATGCGGTGTCACTAGATCTCCAGACAGTTGGCTCGGCACTCCATTTAATAGCGTCCCTTGGGAAGTCTAGCCATGTTTGGTAGGGAGCACCGGATTGTTTGCGGCACTCGACACAGTGGCAGTAGACAGGATCCGCTGGCGGGGTAGTTGTAGTGTATCGGATATAGCGGCATGCGCAGCTTCCAGAGGCCATTTCGAGGTGTTAAAATGTGTGATTAGGATATTTGGAGGATGTTTATTGAAGAGTTTGGGTTGTAATTGTCGTAGGTATTTCTGATGATGTCAATTCAGTCATAGTGGTTGGGCTTGCGTAACTACCGCTTTTATAGGCGCGCTTGGGCTCGTGTTCATTATAAATCAGCCATGACCGTACCATGAATCGATTCTATGTACTAGCTACGGTTACGGTAACCCAGACATCGTGGAAAATCAGGTAGATTTCATACGGAATGAGATATAGTGAACTAGAGACTTTACAGTAGGAGGCACGCTTGGGTGGACACCAGACATTTGATTTCGCCCCTAAGTAGTGCGTAATCCTCCATGTTGACACCTGCTTCCACTTCCCTTTTCCAACCCCGCTGTTCTCATGGCAGCTCTCATCATATAAAATTCAACAAAATGTCTCTATCAATTCTCCCCGCCGAATTTATAGGAATAATTTCCAGCTATCTAGAACCTAACAACTTACAATCGCTCAGGCTGTCTTGCACCGCATTGTCCCAAAAGTCTCAATTATTCTTTGGTGACAAATACTTCAAAACAATACGGACGATTGTTACAAGTGACGGTCTCCGCGAGTTGCAAGAGATTGCTGCGCATGATTCGTTTCGGATGTGCGTTCGGGAGCTCTCAATATTGCCAATACTCTTCGAAGATATTGGGCCTATGTCTTACGACCGGTTCAAAGGGTCATCGCTTGGGCGATATTCGTGGCCACGACACGAATGGGAGGACTCGGAGCTCCAAGTGCGATACAAAGCGTATCAATGTTTCGCAGAAGACCATCGGAATGCTCTGAATTGCCTACCAGAAGTTCTTGAAAGTTGCTTACCGCGACTGGGAAACTTGGACGTGTTCAAGTTGCAACCTGAATCTACAAATGCTCTCCTTGTTAAAAGTGAGGCTGTCTTTCCGGGATGTTTGGGTTTACGAAAGTTCAGGACTCAACTGAAGAGTCAATGCAACCACAATATGGGACACAATCTGGATGGTAATCCAGCAACCAGCAAATCCAGTGCTCTGGTCCTATCAGCACTTCTGAAAGCTATCCTTGCCAGCAATCGAATGATCCGAGGAATTTATAGTTGTGTAGGTGTACACTGTGGAGTATCATTATCAAATATGACGGTGACGCCGACTGAATACAAATCCTTGCTTCCGCTCATAAAGGAAGCTGAATGTTTACACCTTTGCCCTCGCATGCAAGGTCAAATATCATCTTCATGCGCGGCTTTCCGTGACTTTGCGATCGTATCCGCACCTAATATAAAAGTCCTCCATCTATCTTATTGGAGCAACTCGGGGGTTCGGGATATCAACATTTTCACAAACTCTCGGGGGGTGCCAAGTTTACGAGAATTCGAGAGCTTCACCTTTTCGCGATTGAATCGACCCTAGATGAGCTTAGAAATTTACTGCAGACCGCAGCACCCACCCTGCAACGCCTCAGTCTGCAGTTCGTAACTCTAAACGACATTTTCAAATCCGATATCACAGACAGGAAGATCGACGAGGCCCGGCAGCTCTGGCAACAGGCGTGGGAATTAATGCGAGATGATCTATCTCTGGAGTTTTTGTCCATGATAGGCCTTGCATGCCGAGATGTCGAATTTCGAATTACCGATCGTTTGAGTCGTCTGAGTGGACGTTCAAAATCAGGTCCCCTTCAGCCCCGTACCGTTGTCTACAACATGGAACATGCCTCGATATCGTTTGGACAATGGATTGACGCACTAAAACCACGACCGTTTATTAGGAGTGAGCGTGACCGTGGTGAGTAGATGCATTCTAATTTATTCTCAACATAAGAGTCTGGATGGTAACTCCTGCCTGTTATTGCCTGGCTTGACTTAGTTCAACGCCCAACGCGTCTGTTCATTGCCCAGAGGCCTCTACCTCCACCTCCAGGGGTTGGTGGGTTTCATACATAAACCGTATTCGACGGCATCGCATCGAGGACGGAAAGAACACAACAGACAGTATGGGTGGTCAAGCGTAATTTCAGTGAATGTAAGGCGTCAATTGGAATCAAAACCCCATGCAGCAGTTTTCATAGATACGGGTCAAGTATTTTGCTAACATAGACACTTCAAATGGCCCAAAGAGTAACGCTTTTCTGTGCCTAATCTACCGCCACCTGGCGTTGTTGATTTCGCAAGAATCATGACTCCAATTGTGTGCATCGTTTCTTCAAAACATAATTCGTAGAGTCCATAGTAGTGTACAGCTACCCCTTATCGTATACTCATCGCTAATGACACATGTTGGTAGTATTACAAATCTATAGTTGTGGCAAGTTTAGTAGCAAATCCCTCAGCTTCTTGAGCGGCGTGGGCTTCGTTAAGAACTTGTCGACCCCGCTCACTTGGGCCTCCTGTTGCATGTCTGCAGATAAGACAGCTGTCAGGATGATAATGGCGGTGCGAGGTAGGCCGGCGCTCTTTTCGAAATGCCGCATTTCTCGAGTAGCTGTTAGGCCGTCCATGACTGGCATTGAAATATCTGGCATGCATTAGCAACTAGAGTCGGGAAAGAGTTAGGTCCGTGGGAATGTACCCATTACGACAGCGTCGAAACGCTCGGCTTTGAATCTCTCAAGGGCTTGCAGGCCATTTGTGGCTGATTTATAAGTGAGGCCGGCATTTCTAACGCACGTTTCGATGATCTAAATCATAGCAAGTTAGAAATAGATATCGATGAAGGGCTCTTGGTTTTCGTACCTTTAGATTAACATTATTATCTTCAACCAATAGTACCTTGTTTGTTGACATTCCGCTTTCTTGGAAATCTTGGGCTTCGGGCGGTTCATCCTCAACCGCTTTACTCTCCCCAGCCACCGTTTGAGGATTATCTTCAAGAGAAGACCTGGAAGAGAGGTCATCCGCCCGGGATGTCGAGTTCTCTTGCGCGTCTTGCTGGTCAAGGCAATGCTCAAGCACCGTTGCCAGTGTTTTGGGGCTCACTCTGTAGAAATTTGTCAGCTAGTAGTCTGATGATATCAAAGTTGTGTGACTTACGGCTGGGATAAGAAAATGGCCCTATCTTGGTTGCTCTCCTTTACCACCTTCCAGCTGCTTGCTTGAGCGCTTAGAACAATCAGAGGGAACGATGTCTTGGATTTGACCAAGCTTCGTACGTCAGAATCCGTTGATCGGTGAGCCAGTGATCGATACTCATGTTCTGTCACAATCAAAAAGTCTGCTTGCTGCTCCTGTAGTTCATCTTGGCTCAGAACCCGCAGCCCGAACCATTCACTGACCATTCGGCTGAGAGTCGACCGAATTTCGTCAAATACCTCCGAACAAATTCCAAGATTGTCCCGGGTGAAGCTTTGAGTAAAGAAAGACACCGTCATTCCTTTCAGCCGTTCATGTAAATCAACGTACGGAGAGGGAAGAGGCGGGGCGGGCTTGGATTCCGGAATGGGCAGGATCATGTCCACATCTGTTCCTTTGCCAACTTCGCTCCTGAAATGGATCCTGCCATTGAGAGATTTCACAATTTGATGAACCAGGTGAAGGCCAACTCCCAGTCCTGGAGCCTGTGTATCCTCCTGGAGGAAGGGGATATACAGGTGATGGAGGAGAAAATCCTGGGACATACCACGACCGGAATCGCTGATCGTGATACAAACAGCAGGCACGGACTTATTGTCGCTCGTTTTCATCTTGTCCTTCTTCATAAAAAGCCTTATGTACCCTGATTGGGTGTATTTCAAGGCATTCCCGAACAGGTTCATGACCACACGACGCCAGGCGCCCGCATATACTGGGTACCGCCAGCTATCCTGCCATTCAACATCCACAATGGTCATGATGCGGCGCTCCTCGCTTCCCATTGGAGCAGAAGTAGAGGCCCTGCGAGTGTCCCTGCTTGTTCTCTCTGGCGCAGAATCAGTTTCCCGATTATAGAATTCAGCGCCTGCAAGCAATCCCTCCACGACCTCCTGTACCAATGCGCTCAGATCCTCGTCTTGGACAAGGCCAGGAACTGCCATGTTGGGTTCGGAGCCTGCAACTTGTTGGTCCTCCTGGCCAGGGGATCTTCCAGCCGTCAGCGTATTGATTTTTGCATAGTCTAGCAAATGATTGAGGGTGTCTAGCAATGTTTTACCGCAGCTATACACAGTTTCGACCAAGCCTCGCTGAGTGAAGGTGGTAGCGGTCTCTTGAAGCAGCTCCACGGTGCCCAGAACACCGTGAAGAGGAGAGCGAAGTTCGTGAGAGATTGAGGAGATAAAATCGCTCTTGGCTCTGTCGGCAGCCTCTAGATCCATTCGCGAGACTTCAGCCATGACACTGTTGCTGAATGCAGCCATGTACGTCAAGTCTTTTGGTTCGGACAATACGCGGCCTGGATCATTGGACCACACGAGATTCACCGTGAACCAACGACTGCGTTGGAAGTCCCATACTGGATAAATTGCGATGCAGCGTGCATCCGGCAAGATCTTGTGAAGTTGCTTGATCTCCAAGGTTTCTTGTCGGAGATACTTTTCCTTTGGTGACCCTTCCTTGACCGTCTTTGACCCGCCCACATACATCTGACTTACTTCATCTGCCAGACCCTCATAGCTCAAGGCAACCGAGCCGTCCTTTTCAATGTGGAAGATTTTGCCTCGCGGGTATCGGTCAATAAGATGCGTGACAAAAGATCCGGGAAGTGACACATAATGACTCGCTTGTTCATTATCGTCTCTACTCGACGCCAAAGAAGTTGAATATCCGAGGACCAAACTTTTAGGCCCATTGACATCGTCATTGTCATACTCCAGCCCTTCATGGTCGGGAGCGGACTCGGACGGCTCCTCCTGGCTATCGCCCTCTGATCCAATCATCTGGCGTCGAGCATACACAGTCGCATCGATGAACATCGCTCCTTCTACATCCAATGCCTGATCCATGAGGCATGATGCGCGGTTGAGAACTGACTGAACATTGGATGGGGCCAGCGACTTTTGCAGATGACTTGTAGTTGGAGATAGTGAAGGCCGCAGGTCATTTTCATTCTTTGCATCTTGTGGCTGATCTGGTACACTCTCGTCGCGCTTAAACTTGTGGACGGGTGAACGGCTCCGAGTTTGCTCGGCGTTTTCGACTTCGTTGTCGACTGGGACATCCTCTGATATTTCAGACGATCTGCCTCTTCCATTGCCTGTCTCTTGGCTCCCTCTTCCGCTCGATAACTTGAGCTGCTCCAAATTTTGATTCACTTGGTCCATTTTATTTTCTGCTCCGCGTCGACTATCAATCCCTTCAGACAGATCTGATTTGCCTTGGACAAATAGCCCTAGAGCACGAACCATTTTCTCTTCGCGGTACTCCTCGCGCATGGCTCGTTGGGAGAGCAAATGGTCCATGACAGTGAGACTGAGCTCCTTCAGAAAATGACGCTGCTCGTCTGTCAAGCATTCACGAGGCTTGTCATCTAAGACCGCAACACTTCCGATGACATATGAATCTGGAGACTCGAGGGGAACCGAGACGTAGAACCTGTGGTACGGAGGCCCGACTACAGATTCGTGTGATTTATACCGAGGATCGGCCGTCAAATCTGGCACCAAAAACATGTCTGCCTTCTCTCTTGTGAACATTTTCATTGCCTTGTCGCACATAGGGATGTGTTCTCGCGGTAGACGCTGCACCCCACGCCAAAGAGACTCTGATCGCTGGCCGCTCTTAGGGCTTCGCAGACCGAGATGAGGCGTTGCCTCTGCGACGACATGTTGTGTGGTTCGGTCAAAGAGCGATATGATAGCTCGACTTGCATCGAGTCGCAGACTTGAGAGCTGAGCGAAAACTGTCAAAACGTTGTCGCGGGAGACGTTTGGACTGTGGCCGACGGATTGCTGTGCAAACTTTTCGGAATCTGAAAACCCCCAGTATGGAAGGTATCTATATCCTGCGATTAGAAACATATTTGAAGCCCATAAAATTGACTATAATTCGCATACAAGTGCATCTCCCGCTCTCGGGCGGCGTCTATATTATAGGCAAATCTGCGTGGACCGCTATCGCGGTCTCCTCCTTTACTCCAAGCGTCATGAGGGTTGTGAATGATTTGTGAATATTTTCGTCAGTAGATCGGTATTATGAAAAGGAAAATAATAGTCGCGCTGTAATGGCGTGGAATTCATTTAGTATACAACAATTGACGTAGATCCTGTCGGGGTGGTTTTAAAAGGTACATGTGAAAAAAGGTAGTGGCGTCATAGGCACAGATGCCATCGATTCAAGATTGTACAACATTTCGATGGAGTTCGGGGGAGATTGACTCGATTCAGGGACAACGAATCCAATGCGAAGCCACTCTGGGTCTGGCCAACCGGTTTGCAAGCATATAGAGGATATCCTAACTCGGTCCCAGGGATCAACTACCCTGACGTCATTGCAAGATGACGATCCATCTTCAACTTTGACGCGGCTGCTGATGCACAACGCTGGCTGTGCACCACCCGTACCCCTTTTCCTAGCTATCTGGCCAGACCAGAATTGTTCTTTGGTTGAACTGATTCCCAATCTAGGTGTTATTCTACTGCAATAATGTGCTACCTTTTCATCAACCTAATTCACAAGCTATTATCGCATATAAAATCTAGCCAAGGAGGTTTGGCAGTATAGTTGGATATTGTGAAATAAGCTCGAATATCGTTCATATTAATATCGGAGAAAGGATTTGTCTATTTCTATAATTGAAGTCGTCGTCCACCACCCTATTGCACACATTGCTTAAGGGTAAACCCACTTTCACCAGTGAGATCGTCTTCCTCAAGAATAAAATTCGATGTTCCAGTATAGTATGCCTTGCCTTCGACACGAACTATGACCGCCTCTTTGCTGTCGCCCACACGAACACTGTCATCCACAATTGAGGCAACAAAGGCTCCAGTTCCGAAGTGGTTCGAGACAATAGAATTGTACGCCCACTTCTGCCCAATAGACCTCAGATTCTTCGCATGAGCGAGTGCCATACGCGCCGTCACGCAAGATCCAGTTGGGGATCGATCGATCTCATCATCTGCAAAGAAACAAAGACCCGTCTCCACACCATCGACTCCCTCCGGCCGTGATCCCACTTCCCGATCAACGACCATGACAGAATAAAGGAAGGACAATCGGCTATCCTCCGGGTGCTGCAAGGCTGAAGTGACTAGCGGGTGAGTCATCAGATAAGTCTTCAGCCTGCTAGCGGCATTTGAAATAGCACCCAGATCAATCTTCTTGAGGCCAGTAAATCCGAGTTCTCGGACATCTACGAGGGCATAGTATGCTCCACCGTAAGATATATCCAGCGTGATAGATTCACGAGGGCCCAATTCAGGCCACCGAACCTCCTTGGGAATTGGAATTTCGAGATTGATTCCTGCAGCGAATGCTGGCGTAGAGAGGAATGATACAGGGCGAGACGGATCAGATTTTTGACCATCCGAACTGGTTGGCACAGTCACGCGGACCAACCCACAAGGAGCATGGATATTGACGGCCACTTCGCACGTTTCCGGGTTGAATCGGAGTTCATTGCGTTTAGGGAACACTTTCAAGTCATGCGTGTCCACCAAGAACCTGCCCAAAGCAATCGTGGCATGACCACACATGGTAGAAAAGCCGCCATTGTGAGTGAACAGAGTTCCGATATGTGCCAGTCCTTGCCGAACCAACTCGGTCTCGGGGGTAAGGATGGCACCATACATGTCGTAGTGTCCCCGCGGCTCCAACATAATGCGTTTCCGAATGTGGTCATATTGATTCATTGCTTCGTCACGCTGTTCTAAAAGAGTGCCTTGGAGACAGGGGAACCCCGAGTAAATGATACGCGTCGGTTCACCCGTAGTATGCATTTCAATGCATTTTATAGCCTCTCCGAGGCTTCCATTCTCAAAGTTCTGAGCGAGATCCATGATGAAGGAGATCAGATGGGGCAAGTCAGGAGTGATGAGCACAGTTTTTTGGCTCTGAAGAAATCAATTGAGAGGGGCCAAAGACGAAGATCCGTGATGGGTTGCCGGATGTCAGAAATTAATATCGTTTGTGGTGGGGGTAAATTGGAGTTCGGGTGCAGCCTCGGAAGGTGGTGCGGAGACGAGGCAGAAGTGTGGGGGTCGGTTGAAGTAGGTACGGAAGGTCGTCCCGGAAGCCACAAATGGTTGGTCCTCGTACAATACTCCTCGACCGCGGGTTCTGAGGCTCTACCCCGTCACAGACCGTATGCCTAATCGATGCCAATACACTTTCTTGCACGATCAAGTGACGAAGATGTAACTGGGCGTGTAAATCCTCGGTGTTCGAGCGAAGAGGTTCCCCATCCATATGTTTGGTTCCTCGACTCGGGCCAAGGGGCATTTTGATCAAGCTCTGCTGGGTATGAGGTTGCAACACTTTGCACAAGGGTGCCCGGAAGAATGAATGTTTGAAGGGAGCAAAATACAGCTCGAAAAACGTGCAAGTACTGAGGGATAATTCAAATACCAGGTGTGCCAAAGGGTAGCTGCATTATGATTAAATTTACTCCTACATCTTCTCCGAGAACATGAGGGAAATTGCCTGGGGCTACCCTTGACGCAGCCCAACAGCGCTAAAAGGATCACCTCCAATTGGCTGGGTTGTGGACCCATTGCCCCTCCCCCAGTTGGGCCGGAATACATTTTAGGTTTGATGGCAGTGGGAAGGGGCGATGGCGAAGGGCGTTGGTATGCCGTATGTTGTGACTATACAGATTAGTGTTGTCTGATTGTTGACGGTTACATGAGCATGCATAGGGTGGATGGACACCGTGGACTACCGCGAGAAGCGCATCGGATGTCTCACCGCCGTTTCCCCTCTGAAGGTATAAATTTCCATAAGTTGAAAAGCAGCACCCTTCGTATTCCATCTCAACACCTTCTCTTCATCAGCCCCGCTCCGTTAATGATGCTGTCGCATCGTGCTGCGCGAAGTATGTCCTGGGCCTCAGACCATGCCCCTGGCCCATGCTATCCAAATGGCGTACTGGAAATGGACAAGGCTGAAAATTGGCTTGTCCGGTCTGACATGCTTCGTATCATCAAAGATGCAATTTCATCGAATCTGGAACCCCAGCATCTTTCCTATTCCCAAGAGCTAGGTGGACCTCCGGGGCTTTTGCACACTTCGGCATCATTTTTCAATTGCTTTTTCTCTCCTCGAGTTGCCGTTTTACCCGAGCACATCGTCACAGGTGCAGGGTGTGCATCTGTCCTTGAGAGCCTTATCTTTTCAATTTGTGACGTTGGAGATGGTGTACTTCTGGAGACACCTATGTGGGCTGGGTTTGGGGTCACGTCAACTCTAAGAAATAATGTGCGAATAATTCCTGTGAAATACCAAAGACGGCCAACAAGCGTGGAAGAGTTTATGCGGCCTTATAAAGATGCGATGGTACACACAATGTGCCCAATCCGAGGTGTCATTGTTTGCAATCCCCAAAATCCTCTTGGTCAGATCTATCCCTTTGGGTGGTTAGAAGCACTCCTTCAATTTTGCGAAAATCATGACATTCATTTCATATCGGATGAGATATACGCTCTTTCCAATTTTGGGGTGATTCAACGCAGTCAGGATGTTAGCAACCCTAACATCGTGCCTGGGCCAGAATCGACTTTCACATCGGCACTGGCAATGGACTCTAAGCGACTACAGATCAACCCTACTCGCGTTCATGTAGCTTACAGCATCAGCAAGGACCTTGGTAGCAGTGGGATTCGGCTGGTCTGTCGCTATTTTCAATGATTATATATGGACGGACTAAAACTTACACATATATAGGGTTTTCTCGTTACACAGTCAAATCCTAAGATTCGCCATGCAGTCGCGGTCCTTAACAAATACAAGGTGTCTAACTTAGCATCTATTTGTGTGACTTCTCTCTTTGCCAATCTTCAGAAACTCGAGGATATACTGAGTCGGAGTAAATCTTACCTGCGCATGGCTGCAGAGGTGGTATGTGATTTCTTGTCATTCCACCATCTCTCGTTTTATTCCCCAGTTGCTGGATGCTTCATATGGGCTCGTATTGGAGGGGAACGAGCAACAACGGAAACCGACGCAGAGCTGGTTGAAAAGTTAGTAGCAGCACGAGTAGCTGTGGCTGCGGGCTCCAGGTTTGACAGTGAAGCACTAGGCTGGTTCAGACTCACATTTGCTCTACCCCGAAAGAATTTACTAGAAGGGCTGCGTCGAATTGAAATTGCGATGGAAGCAAAAGAACACTGGAATCCTGAGAAAGATAAACTGGCAAGCAACTGGCCTGGCACATAGATTCGAGCGAGATTTTACACTTTGTTGACTCAACTCTACCAAGTCTACGCTTGACGTGGTGTAAATGAAGCTTGTGCGTTTTTCTATTTAAACCTTTCTTGCTTTCAAACCAGTTTTCCAAGGATTTTATTTGAAAACCGCAACACATTTTAACATAGAGGTTGGGCCTAGATAGCTATCTCACTGCAAGATGATACTCCTGTAGTGAAATTCTGGCCGGGACCATTTAGATGCCAAAGGCAACGATTGGATGAGGTTGTGGACGAAGTGAGTACATAGAGGTGCGTATTATTCATCTAAGTTGACTAGTTACAGGAATTCCTATCTGGGGCTGACAACCCGCAGAACAAGAGATGCTTTGTTTTGAGACATAGGACAAGAACTTTCGTCGAGTAATACAATATCAGAATGTTCAATCGGGAGGTGACACGTTTGACTTACTAGTTAGCTTATCTGGTTACAAACTGCAATATTCAATATTACTTTTTTATAAGCTGTGTAACACTACGGCAGTCTATTATGCTCATCATGGATAACCCTACCTCATGCCTTAGGTCTGGTTGAACTAGCGGTGAACGGGCCATGAAACCTGATAAAACTCCTGGCCACCAGACTCTAAATATCCAATGTTTACAATATATGTGGTATCGAAGTCTTTATAAGATATAATATGGGAGGGTAATTTTCCACAGATGCTACCTAGAAAATAAGGAGCAGGGGGTAGACCATTGATAATATTAACCAAGCCTCCAAAATCGAACATCTAAAATTTGATAGCTAGAGGGCATATAATCACTATCTCCACGAAAAAAAGTACGATAATGGAGGGCAGAAAATGGGAATTCTTAAAGCGATTGGATACTTTTTTATCCCTCAAGTAGAGCCGGCATCAACAGCTGGCGGATTGTCTCATGCCGTATTTCAAACTTTAATCCGCTTGTTTCCGAGTTTGACGAGGGAGTTCGAAAGATTCTTGTATTGATGTGAATAACTAATACCCAAGCCATGAACGCTTTCAATTCACTAAAGCAAAACTTAAACTTATTGAATATTCATCTATGAGACCGGAATTTGACGCGTTGATCTCTAGAAGTTGCAGAAAATTTTGGCGCTTTAAGCATCATGACATCCATGCAGACATATGTATTGCATAGAACAAATCACGTAGTTATAGACCGATCTTCTCTTGTTGGTAGGTGTGATAACTACCCCTAGCCTATGTACAGTAAACTCCCGTTTTCGGCACTCCCAGGTTAGGCACACATTTTTATTAGGCACCAAAATCTGTTGGATGGACCCACTTCTTAGAGTTTTCCCATATATAAGAGGCCAACCGGCACACCTTTTTGTCTGGCACACAAAATTCTCTTCAATTTTTGCTTAGTCATATAAACCGACCAATCAGAATGCAGGATTTTTCCCCTTCCAACCCTTCCACCCCTTCTTCGGTCGCTCTTTCAGCTAAACTGGCTATACCAAAACAACCCAACAAAGGCATATCCGATGCTCAGAAAAAAGTATTACGTATCTATGCATCGGAGACACGCCCTAAACCTACTCAGAGAGAATGCGCTGAGTGGTTTTCATCTCAATTTAATCGTTATATCAACCGTGCGACCGTCTCCAAGATTCTTTCATCCAAATACGAGTACCTTGATACTAGTTTAGCTGGTCAGAATAAACGCCCGTTAGCATCTCGGTGGCCTCTATTAGATGAGGCCCTATATATCTAGTAGTAGCGTCACGAGAATGCCGGTTTTCCTGTAACAGGCCCATTAATTCAGAGCAAAGCCGTCGAATATTGGAAGAAAATACCCCAGTATAAAGATCTCGACCCGCTACTTTTCTCTGAAGGGTGGCTATCACGGTTCAAACAGCGCCATTCGATCCGATATTATACCTCCTATAGCGAATCTGTATCGGTTCCGGCTTCGATGTATTCCGACATGGAAGCTATTCGGGCTATCTGCGACTAATATTAGCCAAACGATGTCTATAATATAGATGAAACAGGTCTATTCTGGCGTCGAATGCTAAATGGGGGTCTATCGAGTAAGGGTAGTCCTAGTTATAAAAAAGACAAGACCAGGATTACTCTCGTAGTAACGACTAATACTACTGGTTCAGATCGAATGCCTCTATGGTTAATAGGCACTGCGAAGATGCCTCGTGCTCTACGAAAACTCAATATCCCAGCACTTAGATATGTCTGGCGATGGAACAAGAACGTATGGATGCGCGGTAATGTTATGCAAGAATGGTTCCGCTCGTTTTATAGGCATATTAGCACACAAAGACGAGTCGTGCTATTGCTCGATAACTTTAGCGCGCATCTCTCTGCGCTTGAACATACGCCACCGCCGTCTAATATTAAAGTCGTTTTTTTGCCACCAAACGCGACCTCGGTTTACCAGCTATTAGACCAGGGTATTATTAGAAACCTTAAGCACCATTATCGGAAGAAATGGTTGACATAGATAGTTAATATGATAGACCGCGGCGTCGATCCTACGCAGAGAATGAGCCTCTATTACACACTACATTAGATCACCTAGGCTTGGAGACGTGACGTCCTAGATGAGACTATTCAGAAGTACTTTATCAAGAGCACGCTTATTAGTCCTAGCACTAATGAGATGAATACGTCTCCGTCTGAGGACCTTCAACTAGGTGATTTATACGTAGAGGTGACCGACCGGCTTCCTGGTACAGAGGTTATGGCATTAGATGAATTTCTAGACCCTCTAGGAGAAAACATCGACGTGGAAGAGCCTGATTTATCTGATATTATCGTTCATTTTTCAGAAGAAAATACAGGTGGGGATAATGGGGTTCAGGATAGCGAGGACGACCAGGACGAATATATATTCGGACCACCGCTGGATATCCTCTCGCGTGTTGAAGCTATTGAATATATGCATAAAGCTCTTCAATTTGCCCAGCACCAAGAGGGAATTACTGAGAGAGATCTACGTGATATAGAGAGGATCGCTCATCTTTTTTCTCGATTCGAGATCAATGGGAGGAAGCAGAGAAGGGTGGATGACTACTTTAGACCAAAAACAGACTAGTTCTTACTAGATGAGGTTTAGCGCGATATTAGTGGCACACTTTCATTAGGCACATCGGAATTCTGTTGCACGGAGGCCCGTGCCGAAAACGGGAGTTTACTGTATAGTGAATTTGGTCTTTCTAGTGAATTAGAAGTACTGGTAAGGTCTTTTAGATCCAAGATATATCTTGAGCACAGAGAATAACATCCAAGCATTGCCAATACCATGGGCTTATCGTATACAGTCGTCGCTCAACTAGACACCTTTAAAAAAGCCAAGAAATAGATATTATTTACCTAGATGACGAGAAATGCCAGGATCTGAAGATTACAGTGGAGAAATGGACGCCTACTCAACATTCGTAGAATGGCCCAGGCTAGCCACAATTGCCACATCTCCTTGCTTCTGTGACTGCATAAGCTGATATATGGTCTCATGACACCTTGAGCAATGTGACCAAATTGGGCGGATAACTGTTCGCTCAGCCGTGCTAATCCTTGACTTGGCTGTAGTACATATATTGGGAATGACAACTCTCACATCCGCATATCAAAATTGTGGAATTACTGTAGATTATTGGGGTCTTGTTCTGGCCTATCTACTGGATATCTCAAATTAGTCGCCAGCCTCAAATTCCTCAATTATACCCATTTGGAAAACTACGATCTGCTATATCCCGCCACCTATTTTACTCTTATTATGGGACAAATCATGTGGGATTACCTGGGCAAGCAGCAGACAGTGCCTGTACTAGTCCTTGGAATCAGCATGGTGCTAGTATTTCACCTCTTCTCTACATATCGGAAACTTCAGCACATCCCCGGTCCTCTCATCGCCAAATTCACAGACCTTCATCGCTTCGTCCTGGCACGCGGTCGCCTCATCCACCTTTATCAATACCTCGCACACCAAAGATATGGTCCAGCCGTACGGTTTGGTCCTAACCTAGTATCTATCTGTGATACGGAGGCCATCCAGACAATCTTCAACCTGTGGGGCGGGTTTCCTAAGGTATATCATCCTTCGGAAATCCATCTCTTTTCTTGATTAGGGGTGCTTACATCACCTAACCACCTACAGAGTAAGATGTACCGCGCTTTCCGACCGTGGACCCCTGAGGGCCTACTCCTCTCCGTCTTCACGGCTGAAGACGACATAACAAATCGACAAATGAAGAAACACATCTCCGTGTACTATTCACTCTCATGGGCTGTGTCCACGTTCGAGGACAGAATTGACAGTGCCATCCAAATGTTCTTTGATCAACTTGATTGCCATTTTATAGACACAGGATCACACATTGACCTGACTAGTTGGCTTAAATTCTTTTCCTACGATTCTATGGGTATGATGACATTCTCTCGTCCATATGGGTACCTGAAGCACGGGAATGACGTACACGGAATCATGGCCAGTGTCAAAAGAGCAAATCTGGTCATCGCACCGGTCAGTTGTGTACAATAAAGGACGTTTATATCTCGCAAGGCTCAACTATTAGCAGATGACGCAGCTGCCATGGCTCGACTGGCTTATGCACAAGAACGATCTCATCAACCTCATTATGCCTGAAGCCATTGCCCCTCTTATGTCGTACATTAAACGACGCATCTCAGAACGTCAGAACAAGAGTTGGAACGAACGTAAACTGCCACGAAATACAAACTCCGACGGACCCTGTGCTGATAATGACTTCCTGGGCTATTATCTACAAGCCCATGAGAAAAAGTCCGAAAATGTACCAATTAAGTTTGTGTTCACGTGGGCCTTCGCTAATATTTTGGGAGGAGCCGACTCCACGGCTGCCATGCTTCGATCCGTGGTCTGTTTCCTTGTGGAATACCCGGACGCACTAGAAACCGTACGGAACGAGCTACGGGAACAGCAACGCACTGCTATAGGCCTCTCTCTTCCCGTTCCTAAATGGAACGAGCTGCAGAACCTCCCATTCCTGGACGCTTGTGTTAAAGAGTCACTCCGGCTTGATCCTCCATTTTCCATGCCTCTGGAACGAGTGGTTCCAGCAGGAGGGGTGATGATTTGTGGTCAGTTTTACCCCGGGGGTACTATTGTGGGCATGAGTCCCTATATCACCAATCGCTATCGGCCGACATGGGGGGATGATGCGGACCTGTGGCGTCCGTCTCGTTGGTTGGAAGGCGAACAGTCACATATTCGAAAACTAGAGGCTGCTTTGTTGAGTGTAAGTCAGGTGCTGTACAGCTCCTTGGTCCATTCAATGTCTGACCTTGCCAGTTCGGGGCCGGGACACGAGGTTGCCTGGGCCAGCACGTCGCCCTGTTTGAAATCAAGAAGCTTGTAACAGCTCTCTTCATAAACTATGATGTAAGTACTGGAATATAGAATCTATGATGTATACTTACGTTTCAGATTGACCTTGTGGAGCCTCGACCAAAATTCAATCGGTACGCATGGGTTTCAATCCCTGACAGCGTGCATGCGACAGTCAGGAAAAATGACAAATTCAGCAAATAGGTGCTATTCTGGACATAACGGTGCGTCTTTGAGTTAAATACATTAGATACCAGACCGCGCAACTGAATAGATGCAGGGCCGCAAAAATTCCTCGAGTATCATCTCCAGTACTGCGAGCATAAAAGCATTGATTACGTGGGCTTGAGTTTACGGACTGACTAGATTGGAAATTTACAACATGATTTTTATTTCTGTGCAAATAGATACAATAAACCAGTATCTCGAATTGTAGCCAAGAAGTGTTGAATAGGTAAGCCAACCTTCACCTTACGCGGCTTGTGAGGTTCTCGGCATTTCTACATTCCCCAACCTTCCTCCCTTGAATCTCTTGCACCGACCCCCCTTCTTTATCCACCAATCTTGCCTCTAGAAACAAATAATACAACTATTCATGCTTTACATACATAAAAATTACTCAGTATCGTGAAATTTGTATTATTTATGATCTCTAAGCTAGCCCTCGGGTGTCATCTATAGGATATTAATACCTCACCCCCACAGTTGAAGAAAGCGGCAAATTTGTTAAGTTGTCAAAGAATAAATGGGTGAATAGACGATATAAACTTAATTACATTCCATGAGCAGCTCACATTCAATCAAGCTCTGGGCGCCTTTTCCACCGCTCCAGATCTTAATAATATTCAGGCCTGCCCTCGTTTCGATGAGGTTGTACCAGGCTGCACGGGTGCGTTCCTGGGCAGATAAGAGCGTCAACATAACCATATCCATCGCTGTGGCTTCCCAGTACGCCCCTGTCTCTGGTATGACATGCTCGTGAATCAATAACCTGCTATAACCGCGTTTCATGGCGGCTTTGACTCGTGCGAGGATGCTATTGCACACATCATCCGGCCAATCGTGCAAACAGGTGTGCATATAATATGCCCGGGCGCCTAAATATGTCAGTATGGTTTTCTACTTCGAGGATATGAGGGATAGGCATCTTAGCGGCCTTACCTTTAATAGGTTGTTCCATATGGAAGTCATACTCCATACGGATAATAGCCGGGTCTAGGTCCTCAATCTGACCTATAACCACAGGGAGATCCTGAAGGATCAGCTTCCCTGGGGCTTTAGGATAGAACTTATGAAAGCGGGCCAAATCATGGCCCACGTTACCGCCAATATCGACAAGAAATGGAGCTTCCGGGTCAGTATCGGCGCCATCAATTAGCCTTTGTTTCACTGGATAGAAACTAGGGGCCATCCAAGGCAAGCAACCAAGGTCGTAGCTACCCATATGGTCATTAAAATGTGTACCATAACCCAGAAACCGTTGCCAGGCGAACGCATCCATTTTTGTTCCATAGGCGTACATCATTGCGGTATCTTTGGCATCCGTGGGATTTACCCACCCTCGCTTTCGGGAGAACTCGTGGAATCTCATGGGGCCCGCACTCGTGCAAGATAGCCTACTTAAGTGAGCAGTGATTTCATACCTAGCTAGGTATTGAGGCTAAGATGGCGCTTACATAGCTAGGTAACTGTTCCCAATAACAGGAATACCCATCGCCTTCGTGTAATTCGTCAGTCTGTATTCGTTCGCCTCGGTCTCGACGAGATAACCCATGGCACTGAGGTGCCGCATTAGTCGACCTTATATTCTTTTTAGCTAGGCAGACTGATGATAGCACCGTGAGACGCACTTAGAAGCACATTGTCGATACCAAGGTTCGCGGCTAAGTCATCGACTTTTTGTGGGTTATCCCCATTCTGTGCCATTAATATCCACAAACCCGAGTCAACGCCAAAGTTAAGGCCAGCAATCGCACCGGTCCATTGTTTAGATTGTCAGACATGTCTGATTGAGATTATTGAAATGGGACTGGCTGAGTGGCACTTACCTGTGCCCAGCAATGATAGAGCATGGTCTCTCGGGGAGTCTCCAGAGCTTGAACCAAAGCACGGCATTTGATTACCAAGTCCTTCCGGCCTTGATTACTGGCATTGAAGACGTCAAAATCTTTTTTGATTTGTTCTAGCAGCGCGGGAACCGCTTCAGTGTTATTTGGCTCGATAATAAACACATCGGCGGTGGATGGACCTGACTCTGTTCTCTGAGCTGGCATATTACTGCCCATAAGTAAGCATTATGACCCTTTTGGACCGCAAAATAATGCAGCTCACAAACACGATTCTTTGATATGGATGAAGGGAATCTTTAAAGGCCTTCAATTGTGTGTAACAGGGTTGGCTATATGTGTTAGATACTAACATCAGATGATTTCGCTCTACCTAAAGGGCATGATCCATTCTAAGACGTGTATATAATACAAATTCATCTCCTTTTCTGCCTAGTTCCAAAGGTGCGTGTATCTTTCTGCATGCGGATGATCACAGGTCAACCATTTCATGCCCAACCACGTTATAGGTCAGAAGAAGCCTATGCGGTTACACAAATGAACGCATAAGGCCCACACTATTCAGCTTTTGATCACGATATGGGCTTTGAATAGGTATCCATCATCGTCCTTGAAGTCATAATTTTGAAAATTTAGCTTGTAGCTTTTTAAGTATGATATATTATGTGTTAGGTGTCGGATGACTGGTGGGATTAGGGGGTATACAGACTGCCACTAGAAATCATCAAAGACTGGTGGGTTATCGAGTATTAAGCATGAGACTTAGTCTGAGATGCCCAGTGTAAAGATCGGCGGAGCAGTTGAGGAAAAATTGCAAAAGTCGGTGAGGGACTTTGGAAATTAATTATGTCAAATAAAATCTGGTAAAGGAAATGTTTGTCATTGGTGCTTCTAGTTTGATTTATCTTCTTATGCAGGTGGAGACTTAAAGAGCTATGTTAAAGAAAATTAACTGTGGCGGTGATGAGAACAAGATCTACTTTTCCATGATCCTTCCGATTAGATCCCATGCGTGACTGAGACCTGAGGTATGTAACTAGCCCAAGGGGTGTAATCCGTTCAAGTAGATTAAGAGCGTCCGGCGAGTCCATGTCGTATTAATGAAAACCTCAGAGACAGAGATTTCTCTTACAGGAAAGTAGCGTAAGTCCGTGCACAAATGAAGTACGCCGGGAGACGTACGCAGATCTTCTGACTATTTTTCACAATTACTTTTTCTGACCGGGGATGCTTTCTGTTGCGGGTCGTGGTTCCCAACCTATCGATTTAAGCAATCCAATGTAGGTGTACTGTGTGCAACCACCGTACGACAGGTCATAGCGGTGTGACACTAGACAAGGGCCACCAATTTGTCGAACACTTCGCAAATAGTTCTTAGGGATTCAGTAATTCTCTCATAGATAGAATTAATTTAAAACTAAATGCAAGGAGAAAGAAAAAAAAGGGATGTGCTTGTGTAACCCACGAGAAGGACTTACACGCACTACACTCTGTCAGCTGAGCTACAGTCTAGCTTGGGGTTTGGCACCACGGTAATAGCCTGGTCATGAAATCGCGAGTTGGAGCGTTTGAGTCCAGTACAAAAAGAAAAAAAAAGTCCCCAGTTGAGAAGAAATGCCTTGTCAATCAAATCCCAGGTGAAATATTGCTGTTTCTATATTAACCCTCGGTCCTCTGCGGTTCACAACTGGAGAACTTCGAATATTCAGGAGTTTCTCTTATTAAGCAAATATGGGCGACGAATTGGTCAAAGAGGTAAGTAGCGACTTCGAATTCTCTGATATGCTGGAAATACCTGCCTGTCTCTTATTTTGAGTAACAATATTAGAGCCTGAGAACCCTCATCACCGCAAACCATATTCTTCACCACCATAAGCTGGTAGATGCCTACGGACATATCTCTATCCGCCATCCCCTTAAGCCCAATGTCTACGTCATGAGTCAAAAGATGGCCCCTGGAATCGTCGAGTCACCCGATGATTTGATAGAGTATAAGATTGTGGATAATCTGCCCGTGGATCCTCAGGCTAAACCAGGTCATATTGAGAGATTCATTCATGGACATATCTTCAAGAGGTTTCCACAAGTCAACTGCGTGGTTCATAGCCACTCGGAAGATGTGCTTCCATTTGTGGTGTCAGATATACCCCTGCGCGCCCCTTGTCATATGGCCGGATTTCTAGGTTTGTAATCCTCTAGTAATTGGTCAGGGCATCTTTGCTGACTTACTTGATAGGAGATCATGTGCCGGTTTTCGACATCGCAACTTTATATGAAGACGCAGACAGACGCACCTTGCTTGTGGAAAATGACCGATTTGGCGCAGGCCTCGCTAGTACCTTCTCTAAAGACCCAAAATCGCCCATTACAGTCGATGCATCTCTAGACTATGATCTTGTGCTGATGCGCCGCCATGGGTTCACTGCTGTTGGAGAATCTATTCCATCGGCCGTTTTTCGAGCCTACTATGCCTGCTACGGGGCCCGCATACTGTCATCTGCCATAAATCTACGGGCGGCAGTAGATAGTAGTGACCAAGCCCATGCAGCCTCGGGGATCACGTATCTATCACCGGTAATGCAACGTGACACAAAAATCGCGTGTGACTCCACGCTCTCGAAACCCTGGGATCTTTGGGTTCGAGAAGTGGAATCTTCCCCGTTGTATAGAAATAAGGCTTAGACTCAACATCGGACATATAGTTTGACTTAATAGCCTCATCGCGAATATCATAACACCTAGGCAGGAGACTACGTAACACTCCGAAATGCTCTTCATCTTTTATGTGAACTTCTATCATGTTTCTATGTTATAAATACTACCTATTTTCCTAGTTAAATCACACAAGTTTGACACTCTTAATATTCATGAAATAGCTCGCGGGCATATTTAACTATACTAGACCACTTCTTGGTCGCCGTAGTCTAATAGGCCGATATCTTACTATCTCATGTCTAGTCTTTCTTCACCCGATCTTCTTACTCTGTACACATACGTTTCTTGTGTGAAAAGGGACTATATACACTGCGCATAGATATCCGACAAGTTCTTACTATAACACTAATTAGCTATATCGTATTAATAATAGTATTAAGCTAAGTAGAGCCCCTCGACTAGGATAGTTTTACTAGAGATATCTACGTCTATAGTAGGGAGCTCACGTATATATCTCTCTATAATTTTATAACTAGAGACGGTAGAATAGTATCCGTACGCGAGATCCGCGGTTATCGAGCTAGACTGATGAATTAGGAGACGAACTTATATAGTGTGAGTATTAAAAAATTGTTTTACTCTAGGCAGCATATCACGAGAGTCTCGTTCGGGTCCAAAAGATTTATTAACAATGTAGCTAGGTTTACCACTAGGACAGGAAATTAGGCCTCGAAATTGTGGTACTAGAACTTAGGATGCCCGATGAACTAAGGCTCTTGTCGGCATCGCGTACTGCGATTCCCTTGGTAGCCTATCCGGAAGGGTAGTACAGGCCAGGTAAGAGATATACATAACGGTCAATCGTATATTATATGGTCGCAAGCCTGCCTTGTTATAGATGAATCTTGCTTGAGCTCTATCATGAGTGCCTTTGAGGATCCAGAGGAGAGTGTAAACTAGGGAGGGCCTCGGAGAGGGTATATGGTCGAGAAGGGTAGGTATATCATGTCGAAGTCATTTATGGTGATGGTGGACCTTACTTTCAGGCTAGAAGAGAGTTATCAAACGCCTAGCTACCAGGGTTACATGCGAGCTGATGGTATTAGGAAGCAGCGATCTAATTATATCTCTCCTACAGTGCAGGAGATGTGTGCTAGTGTGATACCCACCCCTACGATCCCAGTTTAGACTGGCAGAAGCGGATATTTGGTTGATGTCTGAAGGTGGTCCTTATATACTACCCCTTCAAAGCGATGATTGCTTGTTGTTTCTGTAGATTTGTCTCTTTAAAATTAACGATTACCGACACTCTTCCGTGTGTATTCTTTCCTTTAACCTCAATACTCACTCTCTATAGTGGTCTGTGGAGCTGTTGGGAAGATGCGTAGATCGGCCGGTTAGAATCAACTTCGCATTGAATTAAATAACTTAATAGCAACAAATTCGATAGCTTTTACTAAATAAGTAGTTCATCAGCTACAGAATTTTGACTTCGGGCCCTTAGGCATGAACTTGAGCATCCAAGGGACTGGAATTATGTGTTTCTATTGCGTGTGGGGGCTGTGACATCATCATGCGGGGTTTGCGTGTACGGCCATCAATATACACTCTCAAGAGATCACAAAATCCAACACTGTAGTCAGAGTCATCTCGATGGATTGTATATACCCGAGATACTGTAGAGAATTTAATGCCAATTTCATAACCTCGTCCGCTATAACTAGCAAGTTGGCTGTTCGGAGATTGACTCTCACGAACCCCCACTTTGAGGCCCCATCTCGGTCCAAGTTCCTTTATTGAGGTGATTTCAAAGCAAACTTACATCGTGCAGTTGCCCCCAGTCAACCTGCTTTTCTGCTTCCAATTCAATCTTCCCTTTTAAATCACCTCAAATACCCCCTTCAACTTCAACCGTCCTTTGGACCACACGTAATGGCTCCTCCTAAGGTCTTTCTGTAAGCAGCAGCCACACCTACGCAGGAGCTTTGATCTCACAACTTTGTACAGGACTGGCGCTACCGGCTACATTGGTGGTGACGGTTTATACACCATCGCCACTGCCCACCCAAACTGGCAACTGTCGGTTCTGGTCCGTAGCAAGGAGAAAGCTGCCCAGGTTATTAGCAAGTATCCAGAGATTCGCATTGTCCACGGAGACTTGGACTCTGGTGATATCATTGCAGAGGAAGTGAAAAACGCTGATATTGTCTTCAGTCAGTACCTGGAATAAAATATCATTGATTCCACAAATTTCCCCGTGCTGACCTCTCTGAAACAGACTTTGCCGATTGTGACCACGTCGCAGCTGCTCAGGCCATTGCTAAGGGTGCCCAGAAGCACACCCCAGAGCATCCCCTATGGATAATCCACACCTCGGGCACTGGTATCCTGACCGTGGAGGATGGGCGTGCCGGTACAATTGGTATCGAGCGTCCAAAGGAATACAATGACTGGGAAGGAGTATCCGAGCTTGTCAACCTTCCAGCAGATGCTCTTCATCGAAATGTTGATGAAATTATCATCAACGCTGGCAAGCAAAACCCATCTAGTGTCCACACGGCAATCGTGTGCCCACCTACCATCTACGGTCCCGGTCGAGGCCCTGGAAATACCAAGAGCGTCCAAGCTTACAAGTTGAGTGCCGCCGTTCTTTCCCGTGGCTCGGGAATCCTGATCGGCAAGGGTGAAAACGTCTGGCACGAGGTTCACGTCCAGGATCTAAGCAACGTCTATCTCGCCTTGGGCGATGCTGCTGCGGTTGGAGGTGGCAATGCCACATGGAATGATGAGGGATACTATTTGGCCGAGAACGGATCATTTATCTGGGGAGATATTCAACGTGAGGTTGCAAAGCAGGCTCATCTCCAGAAATTCATCGACTCGCCCAACGTGAACGAGCTGGATGTCGACGAGGCCAAGAAGGTTCATCCATTTGGACACTATCTCTGGGGTACCAATTCTCGTGGACATGCAATTCGTGCTCGCAAGCTTTTGGCATGGACCCCTCAGAAGCCGAGGTTGTTTGATTTGATTCCTGAAATTGTTGCGCTGGAGGCAAAGGATCTGGGCCTCCGCTAGGAGACACTCTATCATCTCTGTGGCACTGTTTAATATAAGCAAAAAGAGATAGTACCCCAAAAGATCAATGACTCACTTGATACTCTCCCATTTACTTAGGATTATACTCATGGCACGACGAAAACCTTTCGTGACATTACGACGCTAAGGCGAATTAGAAACGCACCTCCCTTACGAGTATGCAATGGTATAATGATACAAGAATTAAATGCGAACAGTATTATTCATGGGCATATACATGGACCTAGTGGCGTCCTATAAGCTTAAACCTATGATTAAACTTTTAAATCATCTTATTAGTTATGCTTCAATAGATAAATCGAGAGATCTTACTGGGCTCCGTGAAAAGATAATTAGAAAGACCTTTAGAAAAAGATGAGATTAGATCGTATCTGGCTAGTCCTTTCTTTCTAACTCTTTTCTCAAAGTTGAATTATCACGAAGTGATGCCTAGAATTGATTGAATTTCCGTTAGTGAGGCAGCCGCAACAAACATTTACCAAATCGGGCAATCGGCGAAGATAAGCCAAGATAACGCGGCCCTCGACACCTCAGGCAACAGGAGTCCCCATCTTCCGAACAAGCTTCCTGCCATTATCATCTTTCACCTTTCACCTCCATCTTCCTTCCCCACCCTTCGAGGCCCTCGACACTCTTCTCCTGGAAGCCTCTCTGTCGGTATGCTGCATTGGATCGTCTTTTACACTTGGCAAATCCTCCCTTCTATCGATCTCAATTGCTGACAGTCGCTCCACCATCTATTCAGACTCGAACCACCTCATGAGCAACGACTTCTCCACAACTGAAACAACCTCGTCTGCCCATCGCGTCTAAACAGTCTTTACTTTCCGCCATGGCCCCCGGGCAGGGTGGCAAGAGGAAGCGCGGTGAGCGCTCGTGGTCTGGCGACTCGGCCAGCAACGAAGCTCTGCGACCCTCTCCTCATCGCCCCGGTACGCTCAACATGGCGCAACATCCCTCCCAACCAGGGCATCACGCCAGCCCTCAACGAGACCAGAATGAGGCGCGCGACAGATCTCGTCGACAGTCCGGCCATCAAGGCGGCGGTCGCGGCAGTTCCCGCCGAGGCTCATTTGAAGGTCAAAATTTTTCGAGTTCACAACACAGAGAACCAAGCGCAATGTCTCCTCCTCCCCGCGCCCCGTCCAGAGATGGACTAGAAGCTCCTCAGAAAAGCGGCGAATACACCGCCCGTCAAGCGACACAATCACCTGCTCCCCGTACCCCCGCGTCACAGCCGCAGCTGCAATCTGTATCTCAGGCCGGCTCTGAGGCGAACGCCCCTCGCCCTTCGGCCCCTCCTCATCCCTACGACTACGAATTCGTCACGGAACGTGCTGTGGAAGAATGGGCCACGACCGGAAAGCCAAAGGTCGTAAACGAAGGAACTGCGGCCCGGTTGGATCAAGACCTCGCGCGTTTGGCCTCTATCTACCAAGAGCTCATTCGGTCTGCAATTTACGGTCGACTACCGCCTTCGGAGGCCGGAAATGCTGTAAAGGAGATTATCGCCGATGAAGCTACCTCTCGGGGCTCGGGAGCAGAAGGCGAAGCGCAAACTCATTCAACCTTGGACTTCGACTCGTCCTCGTTATTCCTCGACACCCTTTCAATCATCACCGATGCCGACACCTCCAACCCCGCTCTCAAACCACTCGTCTTCGCAACCGCTATTTCTGCAGAACTCATGCGTCTCCAGCTTGATACCCCCTTGTTGCAGTCATTGGGCCTAGTCCGCGAAACTTTCGCGCGCATGGGCATTCGGAAGCAAACCAATTTGCTGTACCGACAGTCGAACTACAACCTCCTCAGAGAAGAGTCTGAAGGATACTCTAAGCTTCTGACGGAGCTGTTCACCACGAGTAGCAACGAGCCTCCATCAAGTGAGGTAGTTGAAGATACTTTCGAGAGAGTCAAGGCCATGATTGGCGCATTTGACATGGATGTTGGGCGAGTCCTGGATGTGATGCTAGATGTGTTTGCTGCAGTTCTTGTCAAGCAGTATCGCTTCTTTGTGAAACTGCTACGAGCTAGCTCCTGGTGGCCCAAGGAGGAGCCCTTTCACAATTTGGAGGGGGTTTCACGGGCCTCTGGACTGCCAAAGTGGGCACTACCCGGGTCCACTGGTTGGAATACCACCGAGAATGAGCGAGCTAGCATCTTACAGTCAAATGAGCATCGCGACCGAGAATTCTGGAACCGAGTGCGACAAATTGGCGTCCGGGCTTTCTTCGAGATCGGCCGCAAGCCACTCTCGGAGGAGGAAAAGAAAAAGGCCCTACCAGAAACCAATCACCTATCCGAAGAACAGGAAGCTACCCGAACGTGGATCAAAGAGACTGGAACAATGCCACCGAAGGGCAACCGGGTTGCAGCTCAACTCCTTGGCTTCAAGCTACGATTCTACTCTTCTTCAGCTCGATCCAAATCGGACAACCTACCCGACAACCTCATCTACCTAGCTGCCTTGCTCATCAAGGTTGGCTTCATTTCCCTACGCGACCTCTATGCCCACCTCTGGAGACCCGACGATTCCATGGACGTTCTCAGGGAGGAAAAGATGGCCGAGAAGGCAGAACGAGAGAGAGCTGCACGGCCCGGTGGTGGTGTCAATGCCCTGATGCTAGCCGGTGCTTTGTCTGACGATACACTTCCACCACCTTCACGTCTTCGCGAGCCTGAGTCCCGGCTGGCTACTCCATCGCGAGACCAGGATGCCGACAAGCAACCCACTGCTAAAGCTGAGGATGCTCTGCCAGACCCCTCGGATCAGAAGGTGTTGCTTCTGAAGAGCCTCCTCGCCATTGGCGCGATCCCCGAATCATTGTTCGTTATGAGCAGATTCCCTTGGTTGATGGACGCCTACCCCGAACTCCCCGATTTCATCCACCGCATCCTCCACTACTCTTTGAGCAAGGTGTACACGCCCCTTCAGCCCTTGGCCTCCGTGGAGGATCTTCCTGGCCACCAGCAGATCTTGAGTCCCGATCAATCAGGAGTCCCCAAGGGTCAGCTTCGTCTAGCAGACGCCCCACCGAGACGGGTTCTCCGTTGGGCCCAGCTGGACACGGAAGACACGAACGAGGGCATCGCTTACCGCTTCTACTGGGATGACTGGGCAGATAATATCCCAGTCTGTCAGTCGGTGGATGATGTGTTCGCCCTATGCTCTTCTTTCTTCAACCTCTCGGGTCACAAGATCGGACAAGACGCCAGCCTTCTCGCAAAGCTTGCGCGCATCGGTGCAGATAGTCTTGCAAAGGACGCTTCGGAGACGAACAATACTCGCTGGCGAGACCTCTGCAAACGCCTTCTCTTGCCCGCAGTCAGTTTGACCAAGGAAAACCCCGGTGTGGTCAACGAGGTGTTTAACCTGATCAGCTTGTTCCCCCGTGATGTTCGTTACAATATGTATGCAGAGTGGTACACTGGACAGACATCCAGACTGCCTGACATCCAATCTGCTTTCAAACAGGCGACGGCAGAGACCAAGGACGTCCTCAAGCGTCTTAGCAAGACCAATATCCGACCCATGGCTCGTGCTTTGGCCAAGATTGCCTACGCGAACCCTGGCATCGTTATCAATGTCGCTATTGGTCAGATCGAATCATATGAGAACCTCATTGAAGTGGTCGTGGAATGTGCTCGCTATTTCACGAACCTAGGCTATGACATCCTCACCTGGTCACTCATCAATTCGCTTGGCCAGAAAGGAAGAAGCCGCGTGCAAGAAGGTGGTCTTCTCACCAGCCGGTGGTTGAATGCGCTGTCCACCTTTGCTGGCCGAACATTCAAACGTTACTCCGTCATGGATCCAGCACCTCTGTTGCAGTACGTAGTGGAGCAGCTGCGTCATAACAATTCGACCGACCTCATCGTGCTAGAGCAGATGATCAGCTCCATGGCCGGTATTATTACGGACACCAACTTTAATGATGCCCAAATCCAGGCTATGGCAGGTGGCGAGGTCCTCCAGTCGCAGACCATTCTTCAACTCTTGGACAAGCGCCACGAGTCTAAGACCACGTCAAAGCGACTGTTGAAATCATTGACCCATACTCGACTTGCGGGTCAGTTGCTGGTTGCGATTGCCCAAGAACGAATGACTTGCGTCTTCAACGAGTCATCTTCTGAGCTTAAACTTCTGGGCAACATCTTCGACGAGATTCACCGCATCCTGACTCAGTATCTCGACCTTCTCCGGAGCAACCTCTCGGTTGAAGAGTTCGACTCCTTCGTTCCCGACTTTGCTTCCTTGATCAAAGAATTTGGCATTCAGCCTGAGATCGCATTCTGGATCAGGCGTCCTAGCGTTTCACGGAAGATTGCTGACAGCGAGCTGTCTAAGCAAAAGCTTGAAGCTTCGTCTGCGAAGACGGGAACTGGTAACAGCGGCCCTGCAGCCCAGTCCAACGACGAAAACAAGATGGACGTTGACGAGGGTGAAGTGACAACTGAGACAGATGGCACCGCAGACGAGACTGCAATGGATGTCGACAAAACAGAGCAGTCCACTACTGCATCTCCTACCGCTACCACCCCTAGCCCCTTAGCCGCTAACCCCGTCATGCAAGATTTGATCGAAACCGTCAAGTCCTCGCTGCCTGCGGAGACCTGGGAAAATGTGGGTGCGCACTTCTATGCGACTTTCTGGCAACTGTCTCTCTATGATGTTCACGTTCCCGAGAAATACTACGATGAAGAGAGACGCAGACTGCAAAGACGTGTGACGACCCTGAACAATGACCGATCTGATCTCAGCATGATCGGTATGCAACGAAAGGACCAAACGAGAAGGAGTCTCAACCAAATTCAGGATCAGCTTCTATCGGAGTTGAAGGCTCACACCCAAGCATATGCCCAAACTCGAGGCAGACTGCAGAAGGAGAAGGAGCGGTGGTTTGCTCATATGCGATTGAAATACGACCCGTTAAACGTTGCTCTGTTAGAGCAATGTTTCATTCCTCGTCTCCTCCTCTCGCCACTCGACGCTTTCTTCTCCTTCAAGATGCTCAAGTTCCTCCACAACTCGGGAACTCCCAACTTCCGAACTATGGGCTTACTGGATCAGCTCTTCCGTGAACACCGACTCGTTTCCCTCATCTTCCTTTGCACCTCGAAGGAAGCTGACAATCTGGGACAGTTCCTGGGCAAGGTTATGGGTGATTTGAGTGAGTGGCATGCAGATCAAGCTGTCTATGAGAAGGAAGCATTTGGTACCAAACGAGACTTACCCGGATTCGCCAAGAAGCTTGACCCTGAAGGAGTTCCGATCGTCTTCCTCGATTACGAAGACTTCCGGCGCCTTCTTTACAAGTGGCACCGACTGGTTAACAATGCCCTTCAAACGTGTCTAAAGGGAGGCGAGTACATGCACATCCGAAATGCCATCAGTGTGCTCAAGGCGATCGTTCCATACTTCCCTGCTGTCAACTGGATGGGTACACAGCTGCTAGAGACTGTCAATCTCCTCAGTAAGAATGACGAGAGAGACGACGTCAAGATTCCAGCTGCCTCTCTCATTGGTGATTTCAACCGACGATCGAAGAAGTGGATGCTTCCACAGCAGTTCTATCTCAACAACAGCAATGTCCCCGATGCTGGACAGGAGAAGGCTGGCTCGCAGCCCCCGGGAGACCGAACCACCAGGGCCGATCTTTCACGACCTAAATCCTCGACGCCTACGCCTTTGAATGCTTCCGCGCCGGAATTCAAGCCCGGAATGCAAGAGTGAGTTGAAGCGCTATCAACTAAACATGATTCAAGAACTAACTTCTCTTATCTGTCAGTACTGCGGGTGTTTCGAGCAAGGCCGAAGTTGAGGACGGCGAGATTGAAGATGCCAAGATGACTGATGCTGGATCGGTCAGGGGAGTTGAGGATGCAAAGTCTGCAACGCCTGCGAGGAATGTGCTGACGCCGACCGATACCACCTCTGCCGCCATGGATACCAGTGCCGATGGTGATCGTCTGCAACCTCCTGGTGCAGACCAACGTGGACAGAGAGAATCATCGCGATCACGACTTGGCCCTCGGGGGCCTGATTCAGGTCGCCAACTTGATATCCCGAAGAGACCGGACGTGGAGCGTCCTCCTGCCATTAATCCTCGCCAACAGGCTCGTCTTCCCCGTCATACTGCGGCGGACAACAGACTGCCTCCTCGTCCCGACTTGATGGATGATCGGCGGGACAGGCATCAGGAGTTCAACCCGCGTACCCGCCACGCTGTTCCTGAACACATACGGTTCGACGGCCCTGGTGCCGACAGTCGAGGCCACGGGCGTATGGGTGACCGAGACCGTGACTTCCCGATGAGACCTCCTCTCGATGACCCAATGCGCGGTCCACCTTATCGTGAGGGTAGTCGCCTTCCACGAGATGCCGACTGGCCCAATGACCGCCCAGGACGCCCCCGGCACGACTCCTTCCATGGTCGCGAAGGTCCTCCTCGTGGCGATCTCATCCCTGATTTCCCTGAACGGGCACCCGACGGTCCCCCTCGGCGTGGAGAACCACCGCTTCGAGCTGAAAAGGATGACCGCCGACCATTCTCTCAACGTGGACCTACCCCTCCAAGAGCTGATCTGCCTAATCGCCCAGAGCGATTCCCTGACGACCGCCGATCTGCCAGCTTCCCCCAGCCGGGCCTACTCCCTGGAGAGATCCCAAGAGGACCTCGTGCTGGGCATGACCCAATGGGCCCGGATATGAGTCACGGTCGGTTGCGACAACCTGATCAGCCAGCAGACATTCCGTCTGGCCCGCGGCAAAGGAATCGCGGACGCAATGTGTCTTCACAGCAACCCGCTCCAGGTCCAAGCAATGGCAAGGCACCGACGCCTGAACGACAACTACCCACGGGCCCTGGCCGTCATGGCGGGCGTGGGGGACCCGACCAATCTCCCGCTACACCAGCCCCTCTGGAGAGCGTCTGGACGTCTCCGGCATTCATCCCGATCGGCTGAATAACATCGTCGATTCTACCCCACAAGCGCCTGCGCCAGTCTCGACCCCCCAGTCGGGTCCTCGTGGTGGACTAGGTCAGCAGCAAGGGCCTCGCGGTCCTGGTGGAGAGCGTGGACGCGGCGACAAAAGATTTGCTGGAATCAACAACATGCTTCAGCAGACTAACGGCCCTGCTGAACGCGGTAATGTTACTCCACCGGTTCGCGGACGGGGTGCAAATCGACAGTCGACTGCTTCGAATACTGGATCTCCTCGTCCACCCACTGGGCCTGCTGCCGCCGCTGGTGCTGCCGAAGATGAGGGCCAGCCTCGCAACCGACCTGACAGCCGTGCTGACCTGATCGACGACGCTACAACACCCGATAACCGCAGGTCCGGTCGAGGCAGCGATCGCGATAAGAATCGTGACCGCGGGCGTCGCGGTGGAGGCGGTGGCGGTGGCAGTGTTGAAGAGGACACTAGCAGTACTGGAAACCGACGTGAAGAACGCCGTGATCGCCCTCGAGACTCAGACCGTGAGCGCACTCGCCGAAGCGACGTTGGTGCTGGTGGTTCTGGCCGCGAGGAGAAGGACAGAGACCGTGAACGCCATTCCGAACGGCGAAACCCTGGTTCGCGAGAGGAGTTGCGCCGGCGGGATCGACGTGATCGCGATGACGGGCCTCCCGAGAGTGGTGCTGCTCCCAACAGCGGCAATGCCAACGAGAATGAAGGCCGACTCCGTCCACCAGCCTCGATGGGTGCACCTCCTCCACCCCCGCCTCCACCACCTCCTCCCCCCTTGCCCAGTGACGAGAACAACCCACGTCGCTGGGGCCAAGGTGGGGGAGACCGTGGCAACCGTCCTGAGAACAGGGACCGCGACCGTGAGCGCCGGGACCGCGGGCGCGATCGCGATGGACATCACCGTGAAAGCGGCGGTGGCTCCACGCATCGCAAACGTGGACGGCCCAATAACCCCGAGGACAGCACAGGAGGGGATGCTAGTGGCCGCGGGCAAAGAATGGGCGGCGATAATAAGCGTCCTCGTCGCGGGCAGTGATAGATAGACTGCAACTGATTCGGTTATGCCTCTGCAATCTCCTTTCTCTTCTCTTCTTATGAAGATTTCCTACTTCCCTTTTATCTCACTTTTCTCCCAAATTCCATGTCTTCTTCTTTTCTGCTTTCTTCTAATGTCTTACTGATTGCACGTTGCATCGTGGCCGGTGTTTTGGGTACATCTACTCCGTCTGTACTTAACTTTTCTTTTTTCCGTCTTGCTTAATGTGGATTGGATAACAATCACACTCGGGTTTTCCTCATATATATACTTTTTAGAGAGATATCCGATAGAACTCCGCCTGTGCTGGCATACGTAGGAAGGGTATTGTGAAGGAATAAGCTAATTTCTTTCTATGTTGATCTTCATCTTCCGGCCTACTAGAAGGATTATTCAAGGCTGAAGTGGGTCCTCAGCCTTCAGCCGTCCATGACGCTGGCGTTTCAGGTGGGTATCAAACACATCCAGTAGAGCCTCGTCAACTCAAAACTTTGTATAAAGAGAACCTTGAGCCGCACAAAGTAAAATACAAACAGAACTTTCAATACAAAGCTAAAAAAAAAAATTGTAACAGAAGAGGGTATATATACAAACAAAACCAAAAGATAATCTATCAAGACAAACATAGAAAAAACAGGCTAAGCGAGAGATATCATCAAAATCATAACAGACCGAGCGAGACGAGGTCAACTTGATGAGCGAGAAACTCCCCATGCCCATCTCCACTGCATCATCAAACAGCAATCGCAACACGACGACCCTCAAACCCGCCATCAACATCCTTCCTCCTCCCCAACCCAGCCAACTTCTTCAACAAATGCGACGCCTTCCTCCTCCTCGACTGTCCCCCAGACACAATCGCGTACACAGGATCAAGTCTCTGCTGATGACCCCCCTGAAGTCCCCCCGATGAAACAGACCGACGTAACTGATAAAAGTCGCGATGCGGAACCCCCTCTTCATCCTCGGCACTCGAGAAACTCCGCAGCGAGGCTGCATCGTCGACACTGGGCGTTCGACTGTGCGGTAGTTGCCACCCCGCGCTGGCGGTAGTATAACCGCATTCCTTCCCCCGGAGCTGGCGAGTGCTGTAAAAGCGGCGTGGAGCTGCGGTTGGCATTGCGGTGACGTTGACGTTTATACTTGCGGACTTTTTGAGGTGGGGGATGTCGAGACTGGCGCGGAGCCAGGTCATTCCTTCTACGCCGAGGGTGTTGGCTGTAGAATGCGCGTCGACGTGAATTTCCTTTTCTATTTCGGTTTCGGTTTCGGTTTCGGTTTCCGTCTCTGGGAATAATCCGTCGGATGATTCGAAGTAGATGTCTTTGACGTGTGGCCACAGCGTGTCGACCTGCGGCGGACTGTAAGGGAACATATCCGGGCTTAGAGAGCGAGAGCGTGATCGTGATTGTGATCGAGAAACTGGCGTGGCCTCCGTATTGAAACTTTGACCGCGAGACCGTGTGCGGCCGCGCTGGGTATCTTGATAATTCTCTTCGTGTCGCGATGTCGAGAGTTGCGAACCGTAGAAACGACCGGCTCCTGCAGACGCGGCGCTAGGTTGGAAAGCGACCCCGGAGTCATGCATTTTCTCGCTGGGTAATTTGATCTGATTATCCACGGCGGAGGGGGACATGCTCGCGCCCTGGTAATAGAATCGCGATGTAGTCGGACTGGATACTTTCGCAGTAGCGATGGTGGTAGTAGTATCTGGACGATGTTCAACTTGAAGAGAAGGCCATATCGGTAAACCGCGATCGACGCTTTGAACCAGCAAAGCGCAGGCCTGTTTGATATCATCTTCTAGATCCTCCGACACGGACTGTCGGTTAAGTAAAGGTGACGCAGGACGAAAGTAACCTGGCTCATCGTCAAACTGGAAATAGCGGGTCCGGTCTGTGCTGGAGCTGGAGGAAGTAGTGTGGGACGAGATGGGCGTTGTGGCGGAACGCGGGCGGCTGCTGGGAGTACTGGTGGCTCCGGATGGGGGCATAGTGGCTGCACGGTCTCGGCCCCGACTGAAAGTGAAGCGTTGGCGCATGCGAAGCGCTTTTTGGGAGAGCTTGCGCTCCATGGGTTTGCGCTGGGAATAGATTTCTTGGTATCAGAGCGAGCGTGGGAAGTATGATGTAGAATAGGTTGTATGTGGTGTTTAGTGACGGACAGTGTCAAGTCTGGCTTGGACGGAGTGCCAGGGAAATAAATTCAAGAAATTACCAGCAGCGCAGGAGCCTTCTTTTTCGCTTCGACGCAAACAATGGCAACGACCTGCCAACGCCGACTATGCGAAAGTCGTAATGCTGGTGGCGAACGGGGAGTTGGACTCCGGAGCCACAAGTATGGCAGGATCGGGGTCAATTATGTGAACTGTGGACTTTTCACTCTCCCTTTCTTATCGATTTTCGTTTATCAGAGTCAATCCAGTGCGGGGTTTAGTCGTTACCCTGCCAGATTCAATTCTAGGACGTAATAATGTTTCAAATGGCAAATTGTTGTGATCCAGGTGGGCTGGTTGATGTTGGCCGTACGACGGGCACTGGTATGCGGGGGGTAGAGAGAGGAAGTATAACCCGGCAAAACGAGGGATGATGGAAGTAATGGAACGCGGATCGAAGGAAGTAAAAGGAAGGGAGGAAGGGAAAACAGGGAGAAAAGAAATAGGGAAAGAAATTGAGGAAAAGACCAGGGTAGAAGTAGTCGAAAAACCCGGACGGGGATTCGATAAGTGTCAAGCTTTGTCCACCACGGAGTCGGAGGGGGTCCAAGGGTCTGCTTTGGGGTCTTTTCAGGTCTCCATCTATTAGCGGGCGCCAGTGGCTTCATGGTGGAGGAGGGCCTGACGATTCACAAAGCACAGACAAATCAAAGGACCGATTGTATCGTCGACTAGCTACTAAGGTGCGACGATGATCCGCGATAAAGACCAGCGCGAACGAGTCTGAGTTTACTATCATGGCTGCTTCTAGGCCGTCTAGGCCCTTTGATAACAGCTCAAATCGGCCCAGTAGAAACCTCGGAAAAACTAACAAAATCAACCAAAATAACTGGGGGAGGTACTGGCGCTAGCGTAGAGGCAAACGGGAGCAGGTCGGTTAGGGCTGCGATTGTTGATTTGCACGTCTCGAATTATCCCTCAAATCATTAGAGATGATAGGCGTATCAAGTGGTGTACACGACAGTATTAACCGCCAACAAAGGACCAACGGGTTCCACTATTCAGCAGGCCGTGCTCTATGGACTAGGACAAAGGGAAGATCACTACGACAAAAGTCTAGAACGGAGAAACTAAGACAACCAAAACACAAAAGCCCATAACGCTAGTTCGAGGGAGCATCTCAACTCGTTATCTGGCCCTTTAGTGCCCCCTTTTAGTTGGATTTACCCTTTGGCACTAACGACGAGTCACAAGATAAAGGACGGAAAAAGGACTAATTCCTTTGTGGCTATATGAGCCACCGTGTTACTTATCCCAGTCGATAACATAATACCCTGACTGACTATTGGTTCTCATTTATGATTCTTTACTTGGAAACTGGAAACTGCTCAGGCGACCACCAAAGACTGGCCCCGATCCCACGACCCACGCTCTCTCCCCAGCCATTGACATCGTTAAACATTCACCACCAAGTCTTGAAGCCCCCATTATTGCAGCCCGCCCACTGCTGGCGGCTCCTCTGACTCAAACCCGTTTCGATCCCTGGCCCAAGTGTGGATAGGTGGGTTCGATAAGGTGGATTTCGCGCCCTCCCTGCAATATAACAATTCTTCATGGCAATACTCTATACCCCGACCGTAGCGTAGCGAGGAGTACGAAAGCACAGACCTTTATTACTTTATAATATCCTGTAAGGCTGGTGCGACATTTCACCCTGGACCCGGTCGGGCGCCTGGAGGTGGAGTAGTCAAAACTGAAACATGTTTAGGTTGATTGACAATTAAGACCAGGAGGGTAAGACCCGGGCAGCGAATTAGATGTTGTTGCACGGTGACACGGGTTATATGATGATCGATGCAATTATTGATGGGACTGTTGGGTTGATGCAAGGGCGAGGACACGAGCAAAGATTTAAAGAGTACTAATTATCTTGTAGAACGTGGCACTATATACAGAGTCAAAATTGTAAATCGTCAACTTCTGCAACTGTCTTCTTCGATAGGATTACGACTAAACGAGTACTGCCATTCTCGCCTTGGCAAAGCGCCCAGTACAAAGTAGTCAAGCCAACCTCATTAGCAAAGCTACTGTACTCTGTTAGTTGCTTTCTGACTCCGGACTAGTCTCGCTATAGTAACAACTGCGCAACTACTCCTACCATTCACCACCGTAGCACTCGCTCCAAGACACCTGCTTCTCCAGAACGCCACAATCCTCGGCAAGTCATGCATGACCAGGACAACTAGATTGTTCGAGACCATATATTCCACCGAGCCTCAGCATACCAACACTACCCACGGAGTACTGCCTCTCAAACCTCCAGCTAAAAATTAGCCGCCCCCAAACTCAACTTCTTCAACAGTCCTGCACATGCATTCCCGGAACTTCTTCGGCCCCAAATACCCACCCGCGTCCTCGGCACGGTCCTGCCCATCACCTGCAAACTAATTAACTAGCTAGCCCCCATTTACTAACAAGTTATAACTGAATTCATCTAACTCGCTGATCGAAATGAGTTCAGTGCAACTCAGCCAGATTCTAAGCCTCAATCAGCAGCGGAACTGACGACGGGCCTTGCCCCGATTTAGACGATCGAGGCGACGAACTAAGTCGCCTTGTGACTTGCTAGTGCGGCGCACGGCGACTGGAATTGGATCTTGTTCCCGGGGCTGGGGGGAGATCTTCCGTGAGTGCGACCGTGCGCCGGGATGGCCGATATCTCAGAATCTCAATTGATGTATACACGGTTGAGGTGGCTGGAGGTGGATTTGGGAGTATTGAACTACGGGCTTGCCAGGAATATATACACCCCCGGGAGATGGGTACCTGTGGATAATCTTGGATGGTGTCGTAGATGAATCAGCGGTGGCATTGATTACCGTGAAAGGGTAGATACCTTATGGGCTACTATATATATAGCACGGAATACCAGAAGACACAGGTTTTGGAACAAGGGTAATGGAGGTTCGTGCAAAGCTCAACGAAGGATCACCTGAAGGCACTAGACCAACTTGTGCAATTCAGACGCTTAGGTATCTACTTTTGTGCCAACGGGCATTCAACTGTAAGGCTGCTACGAGTATATGTGAACGATAACTACGAAAGGAAGACGATTCCAAAATAGACCATCTGCGGGACAGTCCAAAAGGTCATTGATTGTATATTTGGTGAATAAAAAAAAGAGCGACGCGTTCGCCGCACGGATAACCAGTGCGAAAAAAACGGTCTGGTCATCGGATTGTTCAAAATAGACCCATCAACCCCCAGGCAAAATTGCGCTTGGAAAAGCGACCCAGAGGGTGGGTCAGATGGAGAGCAGTTGGATGCTTCTTTGGCAGTCTTCTCGACAAGGCCTTGCAAAACAAAGTTCACAATGGACCAGGTGAGATTCGAGAGAGGCAGTTGGATGCTCATCTCCCTGACTAGCGAAACGGATAAAAGATCGGCAACCTCTACTTCCCCGGATAACGCCATGGTACCTGGCACAGGCGCGAGACTTGAAACTCGGAAGCACGTCCCGTTCGTGGTGGAGACCACAAGAAGGGCGGCTCCCGGGCGGGAGTCCATCGTGTCTAGGACAGGAGCATGGGGGCGGCTGCAAGTGACTGCGCCAATGTTATCTTATTTCATTATGAGGATTTACCACGCGGTGATATCCTCCACCTCGGCTTCACCGAAGGTGCTGCTCTTCGTCAGCTTGTTGACACTGGCCACGGCCGCGGCACCGTCAACGTTGGACTGAGACATGATATCGGGCAGGACTTCATGGAAGAAGGCAACAATGTGGCGGTTGACCTGCTCAAACTGCAACAGGAAGGCATCGTGACCCTCAGGGCTATCGATACGCTCCAACCGGGAATCAGGGATGCCATCGGCGACCTCCTGCTGCTCGGCAAAGGTGAACAGGCCATCGGACTCGATACCCAGTACAAGAGCTGGCTGCTGAACCTTGGAAAGAGCCTCCAAGACAGGGTTCTCTGAATCCGGGCTGGCACGGTGCCGAGAAACGTCGTGGGTATCCAGCTTGCGGGTCATGGCAATGTAGCAGTTGGCATCAAAGCGCTTGACAAACTTGTCACCCTGGTAGCGGAGATAGGACTGGGCAGAGAAATAAGTTGGTGGACGCGGGCGGCCGTCGGGCTTGGTTGGAGTCGGCGCAGAGAGAATCTTGGTGCCAGAGAACTGGGGATCCATGTATTGAACTTCGGACTGAGGGACAGGGGAGTGTTGACGGCTCTCTGACCGCGAGGTCGTACCGCCGCGGTGTCCATCGTTGTGAATAGCCCAGTGCTCATTGGGAGGAGTGGGTAGCTTTTCAGTGCCATTGATGTTCTGACGCTTGGAAGGGTCCGGCACGTTGCGTCCGAACCGTGACTCGAACGAGTTGCGGCTGCGGTAGGTGAGCAACGCCGACATACGGGCCGCTCCAAGGCCGGTCGCTGGCGGATCATTGAAAGGATAGTATCCGTCATCGTATTTGGGATCACTGTAGATGCTCTGTCTCTGGGCCTCGCCCCAGCTGATGCACCAGGCGGAGTGGCGAGCAGATGTCGCAATGGGAACAATGGCACGGACATAGTCCTTGCCAAAGAATGAGTATTCCAGAGTGAGCATACCGCCCATGGAGCCACCGACGACAGCAGCAATCTGCTTGACACCTAGGTCGTCCAGGACGAGCTTGTGGATGTTCACGTCATCCCGCACGGTAGTGAGCGGGAATTCCGGTCCATAGTAGCCATTCTCAGGCTTACCATCCTTGTAGGTGACCGCGCTCGCACTACCGTACGGGCTACCGAGACTGTTCAAGCAGACAACGAAGAAGCGGGAGACATCAAAGGCCTGACCCGGTCCACCGAGGAGGGGGCCCCACCAATCGGCGACATCGGCACTCCCACTCAGGGCATGGCAGATCACCAAGACATTGTCGCCCTTGGGTGATAGAACACCACGGGTAGTATAGGCGACCGGCACATTGTATAGAGTCACACCGGATTCGAGGGTGAAGGAGGGAATGACCGCAATGGACTGTTCCTCAATCAGGGCCGCATATGGGTTCTCAGGCTGGGAATCGACTCTCTCTACGGGATTTAGTAGCCGTTCAGGTCGTAATATATAGGGAAAGGGGAAGTGGGAGACTGACGGAGTTTCGCAGTGGGGGAACTGCTAGTTTCGGCAACCATTGTGAATCGTGGTTGTCGAAGAATTGTCAAGGTAAAAGATGGAGAATGGAAAGGAGGGGGGGGGGGAGAAGGGCGAAAGAAATAAATCCTTCGGTCCCACCAAATGAGTCAGGAACCCCGCGGGGCCTTCCCAGCCAATCAGAACTCGCGGAGAATGATGGCAGAAAGGAAAGGGCATGCAGGGCGGTAGATCACGTGCTTCCGAATTTTCGAACCCACAAATCCATTTCCAACCGGCCAAAATTGAACTTCTTCTCTTCATTCTCGTACTATCGCCAACCTCACCCAACCCCTCCAAAAAAAACCCCCTCATCCATCACAATGGCCAAGACCAAGAAGTCCGGTGACACCCTCGCCTCCCGCCTGGCTCTCGTCATGAAGTCCGGCAAGGGTGAGTTATTCCTCCAACTCCTAGCATTAGCGCTGTGCGCAGAATGTTAACATTTCTCTCCAGTTACCATGGGTTCCAAGTCCACCATGAAGACCCTCCGCTCTGGCAAGGCCAAGCTGGTCCTCATTGCCGGTAACTGCCCTCCTCTGCGCAAGTCCGAGCTCGAGTACTACGCCATGCTCGCCAAGGTCCCCGTCCACCACTTCAACGGCAACAACGTACGTTTTCCCCCTTGCCAAGTCGACGCTCGTCAGAGCCGTCGCAGCTGCCAGCCAGCTCCACTACTCAGAGAAGAAGTCGGCATAGTCCACTTCGGAGAGTGAAGTTGCTCAGCGATGGGATTCCCCCAAACAGGGATCCCGGAGAGCCGAACCGTAGCACTAACTTTTTTTTCTTCCTTCGTATAGATTGAGCTCGGTACTGCTTGCGGTAAGCTCTTCCGCTGCTCTACCATGGCTGTCCTGGATGCCGGTGACTCCGACATCCTCAGCCGTGAGGCCTAAATGCAACACTCTTCTGTTGCTGAAAAAGTCACGACTTATGACGTCGGGCCGACTGGCCCTGTTCTTCAAGCCCGCGGACTCGATGTTCTAAAGGGTGAAAAATAAGGATGAGGGTCTAATGGCGACCCCTAGGAATAGTCTTGAATCAAAACAAAAAAATTTCTCCAAAAAGAGCAATCTTTTCCATCTTGATATCGGTCTATCTTTTATTGTTCCCGTGTAGTCACCGCAACTCTTGCAGATCTCCCTTGACCTGCTTTTGTCCACCCTTTCGCCGCTTAAGTGTTACGGATATTCTTCGGAATGCCCAGACGGGCCAAGTCCAACCCCCCACGCCATGCTTGCGGGGTCACCAGAGTATAGTATCCACCTCGTTGCACTTGCTTCTCCGCGATTCACTCGCAATTGATCTACAAACAGCCTAATGTTCTTGGGCCAAGCCAGAAGTTTTTAGCCTGAAGCTCTCATTTACGGAAAATGGGCTATAGAGGAGTCCGCCGATCTGTTACCGCTCCTGCAGGAGTCGGTATAAAGGGGCCCGATGTCCTGACCTTGGGGTATTCTCTTGGTTCTCAAGAACTCTCTTTTTTTTTGGGATGCCACTATGAGGAGTCTCTTTTTTCTCGCATCTTTAGGCCTTGTAGCCGCTGAAAACGGCTTAGATGGCTGGCTTCGTTACGCTTCGCTGCCATGCTCCCACGAATGTCAATCTAAGCTCCCTGCCAGCATCGTGGTGCTCAACGCGACGAAGACGAGCCCCATATATGTTGCAGGCTCGGAAATACAAGACGGATTGAAGAGTATCTATGGATCTCATGCCCAAATCAGCAAGAGCCAATGCAAGACATCTTCTTCTGTTGTCGTCGGTACAGTGGAACAATATCGCAAGGCTTGTGGATCATTGAGCGAAATTCCAGAGCTCGCAGAGGATGGGTTCTGGCTCAGCATCGACGGACGGAAGATTCGTATTCTCGGATCCACTGAGCGTGGTGCACTCTACGGTGCCTTTGAGTATCTGTCGATGCTGGCACAGGGCAACTTCTCCACGGTCTCCTACGCCACGAGCCCATCTGCGCCAATTCGCTGGGTGAACCAATGGGACAATATGGACGGTAGAATTGAGCGAGGGTACGGTGGGCCTTCGATATTTTTCAATAATGGGGCCATTGTCGACGACTTGACTCGAGTTAAGCAATATGCCCGCCTGCTGGCCTCGATTCGAATCAACGCTGTGGTGGTCAACAACGTTAATGCCAACGCTACTTTACTTACCCCGGACAACCTCAAGGGACTTGGCCGGATCGCAGATGTTTTCAGGCCGTACGGCATTCAAGTCGGCATCTCCCTCAATTTCGCATCCCCCGAAGACCTAGGTGGACTAGACACTTTCGATCCGCTCGATCCATCAGTCATTAGCTGGTGGAGCAACATCACCGAGCAGGTGTATCAGCATGTTCCAGATATGGCGGGATACCTGGTCAAAGCGGATTCGGAAGGACAGCCGGGCCCTCAAACATACAATCGTACATTATCTGAGGGCGCAAACCTCTTCGCCAAGGCAGTGCAGCCATACGGAGGCATTGTCATGTTCCGTGCCTTTGTCTACAACAAACTCAACGAGTCCAACTGGACGGCAGATCGTGCTAATGCTGCCGTGGACTTTTTCAAGGACCTCGATGGCGAATTTGATGAGAATGTTGTGGTGCAAATTAAATACGGACCCATCGATTTCCAGGTTCGCGAGCCGGCATCTCCATTGTTCGCTAATCTCTTCAACACGAGCACTGCCATTGAACTCCAGGTCACTCAGGAGTATCTGGGACAGCAATCTCATCTCGTCTATCTACCTCCTCTGTGGAAGACCATCTTGGATTTCGATTTACGGGTGGATGGCAAGTCTTCTCTCGTGCGTGATGTTTACACCGGTAAGCGGTTTAATCGGAAATTGGGTGGTTCAGCCGCTGTTGTCAATGTTGGTACCAACACAACCTGGCTGGGAAGTCACCTCGCTATGTCAAATCTCTACGCATACGGCCGACTTGCATGGAACCCGGCAGATGATGCCACGACTATGCTGCAAGACTGGATCCGGCTGACATTCGGCCTGGATCAAACAGTGCTTAGCACTATCACGAAAATGTCGATGGAGTCATGGCCCGCATATGAGGGCTACAGTGGAAACCTTGGAATTCAAACATTGACCGATATCCTGTACACTCACTACGGACCCAACCCAGCTTCTCAAGATAACAATGGATGGGGCCAATGGACCCGCGCAGACCACAATGGCATTGGGATGGATCGCACTGTGAGCAACGGCACAGGCTTCTCAGGGCAGTATCCCGACGAGCTTGCTACTATATACGAAAATATTGACAGTACACCGGATGATCTTCTGCTGTGGTTCCATCATGTCAATTACACATATCAACTTCACTCCGGCAAGACAGTCATTCAGCACTTCTACGATGCGCACTACACCGGTGCGGCGACGGCGCAAACATTCCGCACACAGTGGGCGTCACTGGAGGGGAAGATCGACGATGGGCGATACAATCACGTCCTTCGTCGACTTGACTATCAATCCGGGCACTCAATCATCTGGAGAGACGCGATCAACAATTTCTATCACAACCTCTCTGGTATCCCCGACACGGCTAAACGTGTTAACCATCACCCGTGGCGCATCGAAGCGGAGAGCATGAAGTTGGACGGATACAAGCCCTATACGGTGAGCCCTTTCGAGACCGCCTCTGGTCCCGTTGCTATTGTGACTGCCTCGAATACAACTGTCGGCACGGCTACTACCAAGATCAACTTCGCCTCTGGAACATACGATCTGGCAGTGAATTACTATGACATTTTTGGAGGGCAGTCTCAATGGCAGGTCTACTTGAATGACAAGCAGGTTGGTGAATGGGTGGGGAATAGTGAGGATGTTTATAGCCACACCCCGTCTATCTATTTGGATGGACACTCGGCTATTCGCATCAAGTTCCGTGGAGTCAAAGTCAAGAAGGGCGATACACTGAAGATTGTGGGCAGGCCTGACGGGGTTGAGCCAGCTCCTCTCGACTATGTGTCATTCTTGCCTGAGGGGGTGGTGGATTAAGGGGTTTGGGTACTTGAATTGATGTACATTGAATGATCGCAATTGACTGCTAGGTACTACTCTGTGAAGGTTACCGTAATAATACTCTAAAATGTTCTCGATGATTGTAATGTAGCTTAGCTAGTAATTGATACATGTTAACTACTACCGTAAACTACAAGGTTTCCGATGGCGCCCCACGGGAGGACAACAATAACTGCGGAGCGTAGCGGATTTTATTGAGTTCGCATACGATCTATACAGTTCGCATACAATCAATTACTACATATGGAGATTATATATTAAACAAGGGGGGAGAGAGAACCCCCTAGGACCCCCCACCTAGGTAGGTGAATAGCTAGAAACCATGGGGGGCTATAGGGATACAATATGAAGGACTTGCACGACATGCAACAGATATCAATAAATAGAAAACTCCCCGCTGACTGGCTGATCCACCAGTATATCGCTATACGAGATAAGTACTGCCAGCCGCCGAAATCTATGCTCCTGGGCAGATAATGAATGGCCACAAGAGGCATCAGAACCAAGCAGTAAGTACATATATTCCAATCCCAGTTGCTGAAGTCCTACAATTTTCCCCAGGGGCACCAAAGCCAGTTGCATCCTGGAATGGAAGGATCGCAAAATTACACACGTCATAATGCCGGATGGTCTACCTGACAGCATCTGCTTGGCCTTTATCGTGCCGTTACTGAGTTCAGATAATGCAAATGCATCGAACCCCGCAGAGACAGTCTGGTTCAGGAATCGCGCAGTGAGGTCGTCAAGGCCGGTATCTGAGATTATGAAAAGCTCCCTGACGATCAAACAGCCCGTGGGGCTAATTCTGTGGAAAGGTCGGCTAGGAGGGATATCACCCTGGCGAATGAGGCCTAACGAGACCGAACCCTCATCAGCAAGCCACGAGCGGTCCCTGGGGCATATGGGTCCAGTCCGGTAAAATGATTGTATCTCTGCTGGCAGGGTGTTATGAAGCTCAATGATAAATCGCTCCATTAATTTGGCGGGATCCATGGTATAATCAACCGGGATGTTTACGCCTATCGCACCCATGATACCGTACACTCTGTCGTGGGGCCGTTTGCAGGTACGATGAGTAGAAGTCAGTAAGAGTTCGCTGGCGTTCATGGTATTTAGGTTGTGGAGATTGATTGTAGTAACAGCGTCAATTGCCTCAAGCCATAAGTGAACATCAGCCTCTGTGACTGACAATTTTTCTGGGGGTTGAAGTATGCTCAGATGATCGTCTTCACTCATCCAAGCACCTCCTTCCCACTTCGGTCCTCGCATGTTCAAAAGGGCTTGATTGACATATCGCAGAGTTTTGGCCAGATGATCGACCGTGATGGCATTTCCACTGACACTGTGGCGGACAGTATCTCCATTTTTGTCGTAAAAGATGGCATCAAGGCGCAGAGCAGCCTCCTGAAGTGTCCATAGCGATGTTGTCCATGGAACAACCTTTGTTAGCGACGCAATCAAGTTTGCTCTACGACGGAATTCAACGAGACTTGCAGTGCCTCTTTCAAATTGATAGCGGCTTGGGAACGGTATAGTGACTGGGTCCATCATGGTTGGCTCTTCAGGAACCCACGAGCAGATCTCGGCTAAAACATCGTCACCTCCTGAGCATAGCCAAACTGCTGCACGAGCGGCAGAACGAAAGATTTCGCTTTGTTTGCCGATTTCCTGCCCATGGAGTGGATCAGAGTCGAGTTGGGGTATGCAAAAGACGTCTACCCAAGCGTGATCTCCATTCGCAATTTTTTGAATGGCCAAGTCCAAGTCTTGTCGACTAAAAAGTGAGTTTGCCGGGATTTGCCAATAACCTCCTTCCACTGGAGTATCAAAATCCCGGCTACGATGCTTCCACCGACCCCAGGTATAAGAGATGACGACATACTCCGGACATGGGCTCGGGGTTTCGACACTGATACCACCAGGTTGTATGAGGCGATATGGATATGTCATCTTTTTTTGCGCTTCTCTCGCGATCAAAGACGCGCTTGAAACATCTTGCACGTACTCATCACGGAATGGAATGCCAAAACTTTCATGCAGAACCCCCGATTGTACATATGTCCCAAATACGAATGTGGGAACAAGTAGCCTGTCCGTTGTCGCGGAGCGATCTGCGTCCCAATTCTCGGAATTGATCTGGTGTTTTTTGCTACGATGTTAGTCTCTAAAAACGCTTTGATCTTATCAATGGTTGGGAAAACTTACCACATAGGCAGGCATATTTTCGAATTTTGGGGCAATTTTTAACGATGGAAAGGTAAATGTTGAATGTCCGTTTGCTGAGTGGCCGAGGGCGGGGTTGCTTCATCACTTATCGTTAATGATTTCTTAGCCCCGCTATGTGTAGGTGTAATCACGTGTACCTTGGAGGGGTTAACACTAAACTGAAAAACCGTTTGCAAAGAGTAGCTTGAACTCCTTTAAACCCCTATTCCACCTATTATTTGGCGATATCATGACAAAAAGAGCTATTCTTATTGGAATTGAATACCTCCCAAAATGCTGTGATCGTCATCCGGCATTGGAGTCGAAGGGTTGTATCAACGATGTCGAGGCCATTAGCACCTATCTGTGTGCATCATTGGGGTTCACGGAAAAGAACATCTACAAGCTTATCTCTTATCCCCAAACACATAAACCACCCACGCAATCGACGCTGTTGGCTACTTACTCCAATGTAGTGCAGACTTTCAGTCTTCTTGGTCAGGCCAGTGACGAGGGTGATCTTGCCTATATCCATTTCTCTGGACCGGTTTCCAAAGATCGCGCAATGATCTTTCAACTTGGACGAATGAAGCATTTCCATGATGCGCTCCAACTGCCCAATGATGCCAATGGAGTGTCATATCTGTATGAATCGGAGCTTAAAACCCTTCTCCGTGGTCTTGCTGCGAAGGGGCTTAACGTGAATTTTACTCTTGACGGCCGCGAGGGCCACGCAAGCGGGTCCAGCGGGCATTCCCATCCCTCAAGATTCAATCCTGCGAAACTACCTGACATGCTCATCATTGAATGGGATATGTCGGTAGATAATGGAAGCACCTGGCTTAGATACCCTCATTCCCCAGACATCTATACCATGCTGTCCGTCGCTCCCAGATTTTACTCGCTACCGTCACCCATCATGGATGCCTTGTCAGACCGGCACTATGGTTTCCTCACCCACTTTCTTCTTTTAGCATTGAAAAGAAATGCCTCGCATTTGACATGGGATGATATTACCTTGGAGGTCGGCCTAGAGACTGAAGGCATGGAACAGGTCAACTTCATATGCTCAGGACCGACCAATAAACTATTCCTTCGAGAAGGGAATCAACACGAGATATATCCAGCATTGCGCTTTAGGTCAACATTGATACGGGATGGAGAGTCTGTAAGACTTATTGTAGAGGCTGGGAAACTACATGGCCTTTCTCACGGAGTCACTGGTTACTTCTTTCCTCTGGAAAAAGAACTCGTACAGAACGGGCTGCCCCGGGAAAATGCTAGATTTTTTTTCAAAATTACAACCGTCAATCAACTATTCAGCCAGGCTGAGCCATGTGATTCTGCCACTCTGTCAAAAGATCTCGGTAAGAAAATCTGGACACTGAGCTGCTCCATTTTGTGCATGCTGAGGTATTAATATTTAGAGTTAGGTCTTCTAACAGGCCATCAAAATTCACTTCAAGGGGTTTCAACTATCCAAAGAGAAGATGTCTGGGGTCAATGTTCATTGAAAGCCAAAGAGCAAGTCGCGTCCTACTTCTCAACTCTTGAAATTCATGGCGGTCCATCGGTATTCGCCGGTCATATCAATGTCGATGTCGTGGGTGGATACAACATCAGACCTGAAAATCCTGAATTCCCTACTGCCAGAGAAAACCCCACGTTTACATCAGACAGATGCCTTCACGTACTCTCACAGGACTGCGTGACAGTACTCTTGAGCAATGACGTGGAAGAGCCCCTATATATTCAACTGCTCCATTTTGACAGTGACTTTGGCATCACCGAGATATCCGCAAAACAAACCTATCGGAATTTGGATACTACCTCTAATATACGGCATAAGTTGGAGCGTCACCTTAGTTTCGAGATCAGCATTTCCTTACCGAGTGAGATCGACGGTGATAAGAGCATTCTTAAGGCCACCGAAGTGATCAAAGTTATGATAACGAATCGACCAACATCATTCTCTTCGCTCTGTCTGAGGCCTATCACGGACAAGGAATTCTTGCGAATGCATCGTGATCCTCTTGCACAGTACTCAGTGACTGGCGTTGAGATTGGCTCAACCATTGAAACCATCACTAACAATATGAGGCCGACAACACGTACTATATACAGTTCTGAAGCCCCAACGCTTCAAGACAAGTGGTGTTGCTTTAACTTGAAATTCGTCATTCACAAGACGGCAGAGTCCCTTGCAGCTGTCTGATATAGCAGATCCTTCTCTTCCGGTTTTTTCAACGCATGGGATGTTGTCGTTGATGATGCTGATAAAAGCTTCACTGCATGAGCTTTGGCAGAAGAATGGGAATCATGGGTAGTTTGTGTCAGTCTAGCCAGTAGACAAGATCCATTTGCAGATCTAAACAGAATATTTGGTTGACTTGGTATCTCTTCGGCTCGAATGAACTTGTCGGCCAGTTGCTCTTCTGTGGTCGCCCACCATTCTCCATGCACATATCGAGAAATGTACATAACCCCTGTCACATAAAGGACATAAATTGTCCACACACATTGAAGCTTGACTGGCATCCAGATTAAGGAGCATACCAGAAACACAGGGAAATTGAGACCCAGAGCAGCAATGAGAGCTATTCCAATGATCTCTTTCCATCGACGCCGTCGGGGGTGACCATAGTGTCGGAAAAACTGCAGGACAATCTCCTCTGGCCCGCAGATGACTTGGAAGCCTTGCTTAGTGCTCACGAGTAGTTTGCTCGCTGGGCATATCGTGGAACTGTCAACTTCTTCATTATTTCCCGAGGCAGTCGCTATAGATGCTGAGGCTTTTGGCTTGGGGATCAAGACGTCTTGCCGAGCCAGTGTCAGGAAAGCACCGAGTAATTTCAGTATCAAAGGAATCAGCCAGATTATCATAAATGCTGATTTCCATATAATCATAACGGCGATTGCAACGGCGATTGCTGTAATCTCTGATGTGGCAATGGCCATCAAGATTTTCGGAGTCACCGGGCCAACATCACTTTCCACGATCATGTCTTTGGCAATCGGCCTGGAGTTGTGCTCTTCTTCCACCGACAGCTGCAGATAGTGGACGGTAAAGATTTGACGCCGGTCTCTTGCTCCAGTATGACTGGATTCCATTTTCCTTTCAGTCTCTTGCAAGCCAGGAATGGCTTTCGTTGCTCTCGAGGACATTCGATTCAACACCTTAACCCATAAACCATTGCGAACGCTTGCTTCTCGCTTGAATAGCCCGTCTTGAAATAGCTGGTATGTCATATTCGTATCAGGGAAGAATGCAGTACCCAGCATTTGTCCACAAAGCTCCCCTTGAAACAGCCCATGGTTAAAAAATGTATCCATAGTTTCGAGAGCTGTCTTATGGAGTGGACCACCCAGTGGCATGAAAATTGCTACTTTCCACGCATTCCGTAACGAGAAATTAGAAAATCCACGGTGAGGCCATAGCAGGCGATAGAAAGCATCATCGGTCGCAACTTCGGTTCCTATATACCCGATCAAAGTACCCAGTGCGCTGAGAACGTTGGACAAAGGAATGTGATCTGTGGCCGAAGTGTTAGACATGATGAAGTGTTTCCTGTCTGAGATTTTATGAAGCTAAACAAATTTAGTACCTCGAAATGTCTGCTCTTATTTTCTAGCAATACAGTGTGTTTACCCCGCCAAATTGATGACGTGGCTGAGCATTAGGATTGGTTACATCGGGACCTGCTAGAGCCGCAAGGCTGAATTTTCTACTCGCAATTATTATGCATGAAGCCATGGCCAAAACCTAACTCAGCCAAACCCACCAGTGGGTTAGCCTTTGGGTCGAGTCCCTTTGGCCACGAATAGTACAAACAAGAGAATTGCTTATCCGACGATGTAAACCTACTTTCGGCTTCGCGTAGTATTACTATTACTATCGTTCAATACCTCGAGGTATCAACGAGTGATGGACTGCCGTGGATACCCTCACACCCTGGGTGATTCCGTAGCGTAGGTAGTGGAGCTTATTACACACCGGAATGTGGTGATTTACACAGGTCACCATAGAAATCCGCCTTAGGGCCCGGGTACCCGTGACTTCCAACCAATCCAAACCTACTACACGGGTAACCGGTCCTGGCCAGTGATTAGTCAGTTTTACAGAGTTCCAATCTACTGTGCCTTGGTGAGGCTGACGTTGATTACGAAAAGTTGAAGGCCACAATCTTAGCGGTATTTGGTCACCTAACCCTCCCCCCTCCCCTCCATACACTATCTAGTAAACAAGGGGATGCGCTGTGGCAGTCTGGTCGAAACAGACAGGTTGAGGCACGCAGAAGATAGGCAACTCAGAGAGAAAAGAGGATACACCAGAGACCACTAACAGGGACTATCAGGAAGCCATACAACACCCACCCAAGGGCGAGCGGAGCAAGCCCTGTCGATGTGTACTGGGCAGACCAATCAGGTATTTCACATGAGACCTTCAGAAGTTGTGACGAACGAATTGATTTGTAACCGAGATGATAATTGACAAGATAAGCATGCAAAACGAATATAAAACCAGTGGTCAAAAGAGAGAGAGAGAGAGAGAGAGTGTGTGTGTGTGTGCGTGTGTGTGTAATGCTCTCTCCCTCGCCTCATGAAGCCTTTCGCCAGAACTCACCCATTAAGTGAAGCAAACCAATCAATCAATACAAACAGGGCAAACAAGGACAGTAGTATAATAGACCAGACCAAAGAATCCCATAGGACCAAAGCACCAAACAAGAAACAGCAACCTGGCAAATCAGGCAACGTACTAAAACCCGTCAACAGTTCCCCCACTACATTATCTAATTTATCTAATTCGTTAAATTTAGACTTTAATATATCTATATCTAGTACTACTAAGCCTAATACTAATAATAAATCTTCGTTAGATAATAAGCTAGAGCTAGGGAGAGAGATAAACGCGGAGATAGATAAGCCTACTAAGAAGCGAAAGATACGGAAGTAATCTAGATGTATAGTATAGATAGATATATAGATTTAACTATAGTTATATACTATTATCGGCTAGCGACCTCGGGAGTTCCCCTTAGACTAGATAATTCCTATATCCCTATTAATTTTAAAAATATCGGCCTACTATCCACCAGCCACTTCCCGATATACGTAGCTAAAGATAGTAACTTAGGGTCGTTAAGGACTACTACTAGTGTTGAATTAATATAGCTACTTAGCTATAATAGGGATTTAGTATATAGCCCCTTTTAGTTATATTTTACATGTGTAATTATAAGAATTTTCCCAGATTGGTGACCTAGGCCGCGGAACAGCGGCCGCACTTCTTGTTTCTGACATAAGGACACATCCTTTCAATTAAATTTACAACAACTTCCACATAATAGTTTAGTACCTAGCCTGATCCTGCTTATCCATAGTCTTTTCGTTCATTGGCTTCGATATCTAGGGGTTTTAAATCGTGCGTAATAAATAATTGCATAGTTCTGTATCGAGCTCGTGTGTCAACGGGTAGAATGCTTTGACAAACAGTTCAAACATAATACGAACCATCTCCGCCCCTTTTCATTTTCTGTAGCCTTCGTGTACATTTGTCTTTGAGTTACCTGACAAGGATTGCCTGATAAGGTAATTCAGAATAGTCCTCAAGTTCATTATGCCGACCAGACAGGTACGGTCAAGTCCACTACTCGACCTTCCAATCGAGATCATCCTCATGATAGCGGACACTCTGGACACCCGAGATGTTAGCTCGTTTCTACGTACGGCGCGGAGATATGCCCGCATACTCGACCCCCATCTTTATCAACGTGCGCGCAGCCATATCTGCGCTGACGACAACTCCGTCCTCGGATGGGCTGCGAAAAGAAATCAAGCGCCTGTAATCCGCAAGCTTCTAAGGAAAACCATGGATGCACCAATTCCGCTTGAAGCGAAGAGCAAGGCATTATGTCTTGCCGCAGAGGCAGGAAGCCATGACATCATCAAGCCTCTGGTAGACGCAGGTGCGGATCTATCTTCTGCGTTAGATATGGGACGGAGTTCAACATGTAGCCCCTTGCAACTCGCCGCAGGGAATGGCCACGAAAAAGCCGCCCGTGCACTTCTAGCAATGGGGGCAGATATCGCTGCCACCAATTCAATCAAAGAGACCGCTCTGCACTATGCGGCCCGTGGTGGCCAGGAAAGTGTTACGAAACTGCTTTTGGAGAGGGGTGCTGATGTGGCAGCATTAACGATCAGCCGAGAAACAGCACTTCATTACGCAATTCCGTCTAAAAATGAAGCGGTTGTGAAGCTGCTCCTAGAGAAGGGAGTAGAAATGGAGGCACTTTCATACACTGGGCAAACAGCATTATTTTATGCAATTGGGTTCGAGAATTCTGGCAGCGAGTCCATTCTTAATCTACTTTTGGCGAAGGGTGCAAATGTGGCTGTATCAGAACCATTTCGGCACTTGACACCACTACACTTTGCTGCGGAGGATGGCAATGAATGGGCTGTTCGGTCACTCTTGGCGAATGGGGCGAACGTGATGGACCGTGATTTCTTGGGACATACGACGCTGCATATAGCGGCCGAGTCTGGGAATGAAGCAGTTGTAAGAATGCTCCTTGAAAAAGGGGCGGAAGTTTCCGCTGTTGCGGTTGAAGAGGATGATACACCACAGAATTTTGCAAAATGGAATGGCCATGAAGGAATTGCAAGACTTCTAGAGGAGGCAGCCACACAGCGTGTGAGAAATTTAGCTTGAAACACTAAATGTGGATGTTATACTGTGCCTTATACTGCAAAAATCCACTAGAAGTTTATAAATTCTAAAAGTTTGAGGGGCAACGAGACTTGTATAGCTATCTCCTGTGATTTAGATGGGCAAGCTACCATTTTAATGTTCGACATCGATAATCCAAAACGCATATATTAAATATAAACAACCGTATTTCAAAACAAAGTTCAAGAAAGAGTCAAAGAGAATGTAGTGGTGAATGTGGTTTCCTTTCACATAGAGTACCAAAACCATGTCGCACCTAACTAGTCAAGGTATAGTTTTCCGTCATAGAGCGTTCCTGATATCAGAGCAAGATCCCGTATCACACAAAATCTACTCCATAAGCTATCATTCCCATCCAATTTGCCGCACGAGTTCCACGTCGCTCTTCTTCCACTCGTCGATCATTTCAAGCATATCAACGTCAAACAGCGGACGGTTGGGCCGAACGCGATCCAATAACAAATGTGCCAACTTGACCCTGACGCAAGTAACAATCAGACCATCTTCCTCAGGTTGGGTGAAACGACCAAGACGCAATGAACATCTCTTCAGGGTGGCCAGAGGGATCTCTTGCATAACCGGTTTGAAAGCATCCAGCTTTAACAGTAATCTAGGGTCACAAGCGTACTTTCTGATCAAATCAACAAGTGCGGACGTGAACAAATCCAACGCTGGATTAGACTCGGTAGCAGTTGGGATATAGATCGGAGAAGGGAGTAGGAGAAGATCGAATTCGAATGTAGAGGGTAAAGTTGCAGGATAAGCGGTCAGCGTGGTTGACCATCCTTCTTTGCGGACAGTTTCAACAACATCAACCATCCGTCTCATCACATCTGTTATCTCGTTGTATATCGTTGCCTGGTTGGCGGCGGAATTCCTGGTTTGCACTCGGCTATTTCGGAGGGCTCGCAACGGTTCCACTACAGAGTTCGGACACACTGTATACTTTTTCAAAGTCTCGCTATATTTGACAGGGTTCCTGATGATGCTCTCCGCACGAATAGCGAATTCCTCAAGAACCAGTGTGGTATTCAACCCATTTGACACGTTCGTGCCAGTGCTGCCGATCGAATCGAGGAGACGATTAAGATTGTATAGAGCAGGTCGAGCCCGTCGGGACTTGAGAAGCCTATCCCAATGGTCACGAACGTTGATGTGCTTCAGCGCTTGGTCATCGGTCGCTGCAAGCGCCTTGTCAAGGCTACTGAAGGCACCGTCACCGAGGAAGCTCAGACTCCAGGGGCGGTGGCACTGCTCAAGATATGACCCGGGGAGATATCTGGTCCATCCCCAAAGGATTCTATCTGGTAGATCTGGTACAAAGGGCCCAATCTCTTGATCTGTGATATTCAGGTCGGTGATGGAGCATCCCAATCGAGCACTCATTGCCGCCATCCATCTCGTATGCTGCGCAGTGGAATCCTGCAGCAGAGGTAGCAATACATTCCGCACGTAGTCTGACCGTAGCCTTTCCGGGAGTTTGAAAGCGGCAGTAGAGACCATCAAATCCAGTAATGGTCGTTCAGAAACTGGGGCAACATAGGGCAGTGGACCCCGTTGGTTCTCGGCCAGATCCCATTCGGCTTCAGTTGTCTTGGCTCGCTCATTTGGACCTGCAACCGAGGCGGATATCGATGTGAAGACTTTGTACGGCTCATCATTGTCACTATTTTCGACGAGCCCCAAGAGTGAAGTAACAATTGCACTCCGAATATCGATGTGGCGGCTTGAGTTGAACATCTGTTGCAGAATATTCATCTGGTCAGACTGCGAAAGAAAGTCTGCCTCAGCTAAAGCCTGCGCAAGCATCTTTGCCGTGGTAACCTTGACAAATGGCTTGTCCTCCCCCTTCGCCATTTTCTCACCCTGTTGATCCTGGGCTTGCAATGCATCACAGACACGACTGGCGAGTCCCCGCATCATTTCACCTGCCTGGTCTGGGGTAAGAATACGTCCAAGCTTCACAAGGCTTAATTTTCGATGAAGAGATGATTCGTTTGCAAACTCCATCCACAATCGAATCAGCAAGTTAATTGCAAGCTGCGGTTTGTCGGTACGTAGCAGGATTTCAATCAGATCCAACGTGGCGAACAGAAGTTTTGAATACATTGGAGCATTCGGCTCAGCTTTCAAAGTATCCAAAAATGACCAGATCAGATCGTGTAAGATCTGCGAAGGAACTTTCTTTGCATAATCTTTCAGTACGCGTATTGGCAGCCCCAAAACTTCGTTGGGATTCCGCTTAGACTCGAAAGCGATGAATTCATCTGCCAGATATATGGGGGTGTAGCGCGGGAATTCGACATCGGGAAATCTTGTTCGCAGAAGTCGAGGGGTTTTCGTAAACGTATCTAGGAACAAGATGGCTGCTAAGACGACAGAGTCTTGTACAGAATATGAGGTATCCTGGCTGTCTGGCGACGGTGACCTTAATGCAGTTGACCAGATTGAGACAGGCCTGGGCAATGGCTGCGGTTTCCTGGCCCTCACAAACGGAGCCTCTGAGGGTATCCCTCCCATCATGCGGCAGTTGAGCACGGTGCAGCGTATGTTGCGAGGCTCCTCACTCTTGAACAATTCATCATCGTTGTGGACTCTGTCGGGAGGAGGGTAATTACCCTCGCGGGGATCCCATTCGATGATCTCCGACCCTGTAGGCACAGGCGATATTGTTAGCCTGACCGGCAAAGAAGGCGGCCGGATGATCTTGGTGGCTTCGAGCATATCTTCACGATTCTGGATCATATTGGCCAACCAGTCTTGGAACATTTCAAGATAAACTGGATGCGGCTTTAATAGCTGTGAATAGTACTCCCACACACGTAGAACATCACGAACTTTCTCTTCTCGTTCATCATTTTGAAGGAAAGCACGTATGATAAACTGAAGATTATCCACGTATCCATCAATAAGATCACCGTCCTTCGTGATGCGGTGCATTATGGTGGTGATCGGACTGTAAAGTATCTGATTGGCCCTCGACGACAAGAACGGAGCTTGATCCCCGTTTCTCATAGCATGGAATAGCCAGACCGAGCTGTGAACCAGATGTTGGATCGGGAGCCCTCGAGCCCAGCAGGCGCTTAGCTCCAGGACGTTTGGATCCTTTTGAATACGCTGTTGCTGCCAAAGCTCATCTCGCGCTTTTGCGAGTCGGTCCACGAATGACAGTTCCACAAGATTGGGATCACTGGGAAGACAGTGCGATGTGATCATACCGGATAAGCCGCTCCATGGAACACCTGTTTGACCCTCCTTGTTGGCCTCCCGCTCGTAATCAATGAGTATTGGGATCATGGAATCGAGGAGTATTTCAACCACTTCAGACTCGGGTACTGATTTGCTGCATGGCTGCTTTCTTGCTACGTTCATCCTGTGCCCAAGGATAGTAGAAAGCATATGAGGGACTCTTCCTATCATTCGTGCCATCAATGGTCGGATCCAGGGCTCACGCAGTAGAAGTACACAAGTTTTGAGTAAATCTTCCAGGAGCTTATTCCCAGTCTGCACCTCCTGCGACAGCCAAGAATTCGGGAGAGATGCCACCTCTTGAGAGTTAACACTGAATGAAAGTACGGAGGCACAGCTTCCGATTGTCTTGCTGATTAAATTTGGGAATACCAGCTTGTTATCAGTCAGCCAAAGTTCTACCACGACAAACATATGAAACTCACCGGATCCCGCATGAATCTTTTACTCCACTCAACTGTCTCGACAAAGATATCAACAGACTTTGTTTTCGTGGCTAATTCAATAGTTCGCTCTGCCCAACGCAGTCTTTCTGGGTGCTCCCGTCCTCGCATTGACTTTTGCTTCATTTCACCAAGTGCTGCCAGTTATTAGTAAAACAATCAAAGTTTGCGAGGGAATAAATTGCAGCATACCTTTGCGGGTGACAACGAAGCCATTCCCTGTCGAGTCGGCAGATTCCCAGGTAGCCCATAGCAGACATTGAGCTTCCCACGATGGAAACTTAGAGCTTGGACCTTCATTGCCGGAGCTTAGAAGGAATTCATCACAGTGATGAATGTGAAGGGACCGTCTGAATAGGAACTGAGAGTCGTCTGGCGGCAAGATGTTCAAAATACGGAGTTCCCAGCATGGCATATACTCTTCCTCTTCCTTAGATGGCGGCCAGGCTTTGAGGTCAAAGCCCAGGCTTGGAGAATGTCGGCAAAGCAACTGAAGGAACTCGAGCTTTCCCTTCCTAGACACCAGAGAGAGAAGGTTGAACATGGCTTGATGGACTTCTTGAGAATTTTCCTGAACTTTGAAGCTCTCATCGTTGTTTTGCAATACCCTGTGGATCAAACATTGTTCCAAGGATTCCTGGTGGGCCGCTAGTGCTTTTGTCCGGTACCTCTTCTTGCAGGTCGCTACTACGCCCTTCGGGAGGCTTCCCGTTTGTCCGAATCGTGAAATGGACCAAAGCTGAATGACACACTGCGAGAGAGACTGGGAGAGCCAGCCCGAGCTACCTTTGGGTCGTGCTGATGCACTAGCCTGGAGAAGAGCTAATCCTTGGTTTAGAATCAACAAGATTGAATCAAATGGCTGCTTTTCACGAATCCCTTGGTCCAGGATTGACTCCACCCAAGAGCAGAGGTCATGATGATTGTATTGTACCGCCTCTTTCTCCATCATCATGAGGAGGTCCATGCCGAATAATAATCCTGGAGACATTTCGAATTCATTTTCACGGTAGTAGACCGGGTCATATGTTGCCTTTGATTTCAGCAATGAATTGCGACACCGGTTGAGAATCCCATGCCGCACAATGTGCGGCATCTGCAACACTCCAACTCCTATCTGCCGCAGAAGAGGGGTGTGGAATCGGGAGATGTGGTCGAGGAATTCGGAATATGTTCGCCATTGGGACCGAAGTAGGTGTTCAACCCTTTCGGCGCCACAGTAGGCCGACAGGAAGGAGACGTGGGGCCCCAGTGATCTTGAAGCCCAACCATCTGTGTTATCGACCAAGGCCAGAAATTCTTCGACGCATGCTGATACTAGATCTCTGTCGGAAAAGACGTCGCAACGGCCGAAAATGGCCTTGACCAGGAGTCGCACTTGAACCATGGGCAACTGGTCAAGGATGTCTTTAATCCCTTTCGCCCCTCCAAGTACGTCCCACCCTCCCTCTTTCCATTGACTTGCACGGAAAAGCTTGCGTCGCACAACTTTGATGGCGGCGTTACGGACCCCGTAAGATGGATCTCGCAATGCGCTGGCGGTGATATGCGGAGAATCCTGACATATTAATGATATCCAGATTGCGAAGACAGAAGAATGAGCTGCCTCAGTATGGACTTGGTCTAAGATGTGTGAATTGATAGAGTTGAAATTCTCGATCGATGGATCAGTGGCTAAGAGTGTGCGAAATTGCAGGGCGAGAGCTTGCGGATGGGCCAGCAGCGCCTTAGGCTGCAGAGCCTCGGAAATCATTTTGTTGTCGATGTTGTAATCACGAGTGATTTCGCTTTGGCTTGGGGAACATTGGGACTTAAGAAGTCGAAGGTTAAATCCACCAAGCGGGGGAGTCAGATTTGCCCTGACTCAGAGCAGCAACGATGGCAGCGTTGCTAGCGTCGGGCTCCCGAGAAGGCTAGAGCGTGTAACGATGACTCCGCACTACAACCTTACCTACCCTGCCTCGCAACCTTCCAACGGATGGAAACAAATGTAATCACAATTCACTCTTTATTCTCAAAATCTTCGTATATGGCTAAACCTTAATACAAAAGCTTCAACCGAAACGTAGGTAGACCACTTTCACTCCTTCACGTCGCAAAGGCGCATGAGCAGGTATTGTAGTATATAGTTTGGAGTTTTGGATTGCTCCTCAAGTAAGGTGAGTGCCTCTCTTGTTTTTGTTTCAACGGAGCGAAGGGTTTCTCGGGTAAACTCCAGACTCCCCGCCTCGTTCATTTTCTCCAGGACGAGCATTTTCATTTCTGGAGCCATGCTGCCATCGCGGGATCGCTGTTGTAAGATGTGCTCAATCATCAAGCGATCGGGGGAGTTATTCAGAAGATGAACCATAGGCAACGAGAACTTCCCTTCATCTAGATCCTCCGCAAAGCCCTTTTCTTTCTCGTACTATAGAAGCTGTCAGAATACGGTTGGAGAGCGGAACCACAGTGCAGCTCGAACCTTTGCAGAAGTGAGGTTGATATAATCATCGCGAATTTGGAAGAATTGCCCAAGGAGAAGCAGGAAGTTTTTGAGGTCATCCACATTGATTATCCTGGTAAAAGATGTTAGTAATTTTTATCCAAGCAAGGCAATCAATACACACCTTCGTTGTTCCGCTTCTGAGTAAAGCAGCCCACCAATCAATGAGAATAAACCCCCAGTCTCTATTATGAATTAGTATGGCCGGAAGTTCGATGTGCATTAACACTTACTTGACTGGCAAACCTCCAGGTACTCCTCGAATGATGGACAAGAAGCGGTATGGGTCCAGTAGATATCGTAGCTCTGACCAATGGTAAGGGTTTTCAGCTCGTCTTGATATAATAATTAGCTTCTGTTTTCAATTCAAAAGGCTGATCCACAAACCGAAGACGACTTCCCGGGAGTTCTCATTAAGCTTAAAAGCCTCTTCTGATGTAATGACCCAGATATAGTTGGCCGAATTGATTGTCTGTGCCCGTCCGAACACGCGATAAGTCGCTGGTTTCCCTCGCCGAAGAGGTGAGCCGTCTTCAATGTCATCAATCAGCAATGACGCATTATGAATGTTAGATACAATCCTCTCAATACGATCAATAGTATCCTGCGGAATGGAGAACCATGAGCTCAACCCCTCAATCAGAATCCCTCTGACGTTCTTGGATGGAAGATGTTCGAGATATTTGATCGGTGCCAGGACAAGCTGGAGAATGTGGTTAGCTTGTCAGTTTCCTACTAAAATGCATGATAATTCTTAGTAGGAACCTTTGAATCCAAGTACTGCTTCTGGTGTTCCCGAAGGTTCCCGTTCCCGTTCCCGTTGCTTGTAATGATTGTTTGTTGGTTCATCGAAGTCTTGGCCTGTCGCTCATCCCATTTCGACGACTGGGTAGTATATGCAGCAGCCTTTATGTAGTCCTGGCATTTTGACGTTGCCTCATCCAATTCCCGGATGTTGAAAGACGAAATGGGTCTATCTCCGAACTGCGTGACGTTCTCTCTCCAGGAATGATAGCGATAGCACTGAGAGCTCCAGTACCAGTTTCCGGAGGCTGAGAACTCAACTAGATCAAGATAATGAATAAGATGCGGCGATTGCTTCCCATGAGCTCTTGAAAAGCTGCTTTTCTCTTCAAGGAACTGTTCCTCAAGTGGCCTAACCTTCTCTGTAAGTAAAATGCGTTTAGCCTCTTCGGCCGTGACGTTGCGATCCTTCATCAAGTGCCAGACACCATTGCTGATATTTCCGCTAGCTTGGATGTCAAGCATAGCTTCCACTTCGAAGCTGTACAGATCGTTGGTAAGAACCGTGATTGTCATTGCTTTCCAAGCGATATGATGGACGGTATCCAGATCACGCTGAGTCAGGTCGAGTTCGCATGCATAGACAATGAACGCAAGGAATAAGCTATTGAGGATCGTTATCATCGTCCACCTTTTTCCTAAGTGCCATAATTGAACTTACGCGCAGCCAGCACTCTCCCAGCGATAGGCGAGCCATTTTTCCCAGTCATGAATTTCATCGGCGCGCTTCCCCTCAGGCGATGAGCGATATTGGTTGACGGCCTGAATGACCACTTGCCCTCGAACCGGATCGATGGCGAGGAGCTCCAGCAGATATTTGGTAAAAAGTTGCATTTTGCGTGTTCCCCAATCATGTCGGCTCTTCACTAAATTAGGCAACTGGCGTTCGTATACAAAGTCTCGTGATTCCCGACTGCGCGTTGAAGCCGCCTATAGGAGATTAGTAAATTTGATGGTCTTCGTATGAGTCGTCCCCTACCTTTGTAGCCTCCGCTGAGTCAATAATGTCTACCAAGCTAGTCAATATTATTGTCGACAGCCCGAACAGATATCAAACTGACCATCAACCGCGCAGAGGAACTCCGTGGTTTTGGTCACAATGGCGATTCGCTCTGGCTTGGCTTCTGGTACACCAAGAGCAATAAGAGACCCGCAAGGGCCTGCCGAACTACAAAAGCCCTTTCCGTCGGCGCCATTCCACTCTTTGATGAACTCCCCTGTCGCGAGATCCGCAATAGGAGAATATTTACTCTTTCGCACAGCAAGTCGTGTCGAGCATGACCGTGCCACAATCTGCGGGTCAACTGGGTCTGAGTAAAGCAACTCCATTGTTCAAACGTAAGTGTTAAAATGAGAAGTCGAGGAGATCGGACTTATTTGGATTTTAGATTGGTATTAATATACTGGAGCTTTGCTCACTGCGACCCAGAGGCTATGCATGGGGGGGGCTAATGAAAACATTCGAATAGATAGAACAGGGATAAGTGTTGGATTCCCTAGCTGTTGATCCATCATTGACGAAGCAACTATTGAGCAGCTGAAAATTCGGACTATAGCCAATGGTAAACCCCCATATTGAAAGGCGCAGCGCCACGCAAAAAGGAAAAAGAAAGGAAAAAGAAAAATAGCCTATAGGCACGGGCATAAGTCATGTTACACGACAGCTTCGGGCAAATCAAACATTAAAGAAAAGACCATAGGATGTGGTCCAGGTTCAATAATTAGAAGTCTATCCGGCTCTAAAAGCGGGCGTGCCAAGGCTATGACCACTCTTCTTCCTTCAGCTACATAGATAGCCGCTATTTACCCCACAGCCCTGAATCGCATCCTATCTACCTTAGAGGCCGTGGCCACACCTGCGCTAGAGTATAGAATATGTACTTTTTGAAAAACGCCTAAGGCCTAAATAATGCGCGTATTATTGCTGGACTACACACTCTCCTGGAAATGATGGCTATCTAGATTGATATGGGAACTTATGCAGTTGTAGGGGGCTCAAACTTATTGTAAGAAAACGGATACGCAAAGTCTACTAAATATTCCAAGTAGTTTACTTTCCCTTGATATCCTTTTCAGATTGGTCATATCGCTATTTTTGCTACTGTGGCAAAATGGGATTCTCATGCATCACGTTCAGCTCCCAAAGCCTACCGCCATTAGATCTGTACAGTAGAAAGGTCTTCCATAAGGAGTATATACAAAGAGTAACCTCGTATCCCAGAAAAGCAAAATTCTACTCCTTAAATGTAGTACAACGTTTGATTATGAATGGTTTCTATATTTTCTTCCTCGGCTACCAGGAAAGAGGGATTCCACAAGAGAGATTACTTCTAAACCAGGAGAGAGAATCTCCATTAGCCCCCGCCCCCAATGAAATCGCGCGATTTCATTGAATTCGTATATAATCGATTAGTAGAGAGGTTATCTAATGAACCAGGGGGAGAATAATCCCTATGGGACCCCCTTTGCAATTGTAAATTGTATCAAAGCTGGAGGGGATATCTCACCATCTAGGTAGTTCTGTCACTAATTAACCAATCAGAATTGGCTATTTTTTAACTTAATAAGCTGCTCTCCGCCCTGCAATTTGGTGGGTTAGATACTCGGTCACATAAGGGCTTATCGTCTATCCATCTAGACTCGACCATATATTAGTATCATCTAGTGAATTCCGGTTCTTGTAGGGGCAGGATACAATTTCTAGTAGTTACCAACATCAGTCGCCTCGTCGCCGGGTGGGCTTTTATTTGGTAAGGCTAGGTGCTGCTGGTGGCAGCATTCTCGCTTTTTCTATTTCGGCGCAAACATATATATCTATCAACACCCTCGGTAAAAGACGTGCAATTGACTTACACCCCGAGGCTAGTCATAGTTTTTTCGTCTTAGGCATACAGACTTACTAATAATAACTTCCACCTTTTATAACGAGTTTCCGAGTTCAGTTTCCTCTCAACTAAACCCTGAAATGGACTAAAGTAGGACCGAGGTAAAGTAGAGTTGACCAGCTAAAATCAAGCAAACCACGCTAGAATACCACGCTAGACCGAATCCGGCTAACGCCCTACATCATCAGCGCGCATTCCAGCGCGTCCCCAGATTCAATCCTTGCTCAATTTCCATCCTTCACATTCGCTCTCTCTCCCTTCTCAGCAACCAATGCGCCAACACGATGGCGGACTACTCCTCATGGAAGGTCACTGATCTGAAGGCGGAGCTCAAGAAGCGGGGAATCACCCAAACTGGACTCCGTCTCAAGCAGCAGTTCATCGACAAGCTGGAGGAGGAAGACGCCAAAGCGCAACCTGAGGATTCAGCTGCGGCTACCGCTGAGCAAGTTTCAGAGACCGAAGTCCAAGAGGGAACTGCCCCTGAAACCACCGAACAACCCGAAGAACCAGAACCCGGGGAACAAAAGACAGAAGCGCCCGAAGCACCTCCAGCACCAGAGCAACAACCCCCGAGTCCCAAAACGGCGCAGCTGAAGCGCATAGTGAAGAAAAGCGTACAGAAAATGTGTCGCAAGATGCCCCAGAAGTTGTCACTACACAGCCGCCAGCCGAGGAGCAAGGTACCAAGGACGTCGCTCCTCCCGAGGTGACCGCACCGACACCAGAGCCCGAAGAGCCCGCAGAACCCTCAGAGCAAGCTCCCACAATTGCCGACGAGCCTCTGTCATTGGAACCCACCACGACCACCGAAGTAGCGCCCTCGGTCACTCAAACATCCGGAGTAAACACAGGGCTGTCCACTCCTCTTCCCATGGAAGAAGTCTTGGAAGATAAGCGCAAACGGAAGCGCCGCAGCCAGAGCCCTGTCCCAACCCCCGAAGCCATCGCACAAAAGAAAGCCCGAGCGCAGGAAGACAGTCCCCGTGTCATACTGAAAGATGACGTTCCCGCTGGAACGGACCCTAAAGACTTTGCGCGAGAGGAAGAGCCGGCAGACGAGACTTCAAAAGACGAGCCTGCCGCACCGGCTAAACAGGATGCACGATTCCGAGGTTTGTTTGCTGGGGAGCCTGCGCCTCCCCGTCCAACTTCTCCAGTGCGGGATGTTACCATGGAGGATGCTACTGTGGAGCCTGCTATCCACCCTGCAACCTGTTCTCTCTACATCGACGGGCTCATGCGCCCTCTACAACCCATGGGGCTTCGCAAGCACTTAATCGCCTTGGCATCTACACCCGATGCACCCGTTGCTGCCGACTTGGTGAAGGAATTCTGGCTTGACCCTATCAAGACACATTGCTTTGTCCGATTTGACGACATTGCGGCAGCTTCGCGGGTTCGCTCTGCAATTCACGGAACAGTATGGCCAAATGAACGCAACCGGAAGAGTCTATGGGCAGACTTTATTCCCGACGAGCAGATCAAAGAATGGATCCGTACAGAAGAAGCGGCACGCGATAGACCCGGGCCTCCTGCCCGCTGGGAAGTCCAGTACGAATCGAAGGGTGATGAGACCATTGCTACCCTAGCGGAAGCTGGATCAAAATCGCGCCCCGGCCCGTCCAAAGCACTCGAGCCTGGCTTCAACCGAACTCCGCCATCAGGTCCACGTGGCAGCATTGCTCAGCCCGATCGCCATGCTTCCAATGCCCCACCTGCACCTCCGTCGCGACCCGGCCAAGGGTTTAAACCTCTTGACGACCTCTTTGAATCCACTACCACGAAGCCCAAGCTCTACTACCTTCGTGTACCGAGAGAGGTGGCTGACAAGCGGCTGGACCAATTCGATGAGTTGATTCGCAAGGGCCAGTTCCCGCGCCGTGGCGGAGATGATATGCGCCGAATCACATTCGAAGACGAGGACCGCTTCGTGGATGGTGGTCCCGAGTATGGCCTAGGAGCTCGCCAGGGGCGCCGGGGAAGAGGCGGTGGACGAGGTGGAGGTAGTGGACGTGGCGGAGATGGTCGTCGACGTTGAATATGACGGATGATGCTCCTATCCCATGCACGCAATGACATGAAGTTTCAAGGGACAAAAATTAAGACAGCCTAGAGACACCAAAATCCCCTCGATTGAATTATGTCGAGTATGTATCATAGCCATGATGTACAATAAGAAAGAACACACAAAATACAAACATGATATCACTAGTATCACGACCTAGAGTACATAACTAACTAGTTAGTAGTTAGGTACTACTTCAGTATGACCAAAATGAACATTTAGGCAACCAACAAGACTAAAAGTTTGGATCGAACCAGAAAAGCCGCCAGGAACCGCGAGGGCCAAGCCAACAAAAATAGACAAGCCTTCGTCCAAGCCTTCGCCGATCTTTTTTTGAGCTGACTCTCACCTTTCATCGCCCAAAGGGAAAAAAAAGGATCGACGTGGCTTACAATCTTTTACATTCAACCGCTTTATGCAGCCACCACAGCCACGGACAATATTTTGTGCTTCTTCATATCTCTATCCTCCCCCGCCGGTCGCATTGTTGACGGAGGCTGCGCCAGGAGATCCGCGGATAAGATAATCAGGGCCAAAAGACCTCCGCCTCCACACTCTTCCCCTTTCAAACCCTCCACGTTCGACACGCTCTTCCACGCCAGCCAGAATGGGCTGGACTGTGTGTAATACTACCGAGGAGCATCAGAAGAGTATGCGCTTGCCTTCCTGTTGATTTGGTGTTTCTCGTGCCCGTACAGGTGGAACTAACTCGTGCGCTTCAAATAGTCGAGGAGGAAGATCTTTGGGATGGCGGTATTACATTTCACGAACTCAGCCTGATCGTGGCCGGAGTTTGCGCTTTACTGGCTTGCGCAGTCTCTGCTTTTTTGATTATGAGCCATGCCACACACTACAGCAAACCGATCGAACAGCGACAGTGAGTTCAACTTCCCCCATGGAGTCGGAGAGTGGACGGTGCCCCCCGGACGGAAGCAGCGGACAATGAGGCAGACATGGACTGACAACTATCGTTTTACTCGCACAGCATTATTCGCATCCTATTTATGGTCCCCGTATACTCCATCGTCGCCTGGCTCAGCATTCTTTTCTATAACGATTCCGTATACTTCGAAGTCATCGGCAACTGCTACGAAGCATTCTGTATTGCGGCTTTCTTCTCGCTGATGTGCCACTACATTGCGCCCGACCTACACAGCCAGAAGGATTACTTCCGTGGGATTCAGCCCAAGGGCTGGCTCTGGCCGCTGAGCTGGTTCCAGAAGTGGAAGTGCTGTTTTGGACATCGCGGGGCGTGGCGCAACCCGCGCAGCGGTCTGACTTGGTTCAATGTAAGAGAAATCACACGGAGTTGCACTTTTATTTTTAGGAGCTGGATACTGATGGTTCATATTCTCTAGGTGGTCTGGGCGGGTGTCTTTCAATACTGCGTCATTCGAGTGTTGATGACCATCGTCGCGGTTGTTACACAAGCCACTGGTACATATTGCGAAGAGTCGATGAGCCCGGCTTTTGCGCACGTTTGGGTATGTTCCCTCTCAGGCTCTTCATGACGGAGCACTCCAGTCGCTAACCGCTTTGTTCTGGGTGTCTAGATCATCATCATTGAGTCAATCAGTGTTTCAATAGCCATGTACTGCTTGATCCAGTTCTACTTCCAAATTCGCAAAGACATCGAAGAACACCAACCTTTCTTGAAGATTCTGTCTATCAAGTTGGTCATTTTCCTTTCTTTCTGGCAATCGACCTTTATCAGTCTGCTGGTCTCTCTAGGCGCTATCGACGAGACAAAGAAGATAGCCATGGCCGACCTAAAGTACGGTCTCCCGGAGCTGTTGATCAATATCGAAATGTTCATTTTCTCCGTCCTCCACCTCTGGGCCTTCTCCTGGAAACACTACGCCCTCAACAACGAGGGCGCTGAAGTGACCGACTTCTACGGTAACGGCAAAGCATCATACGAGGGTGGACGTTGGGGCTTCGGTGCCCTAGGCGATGCGATGAACCCGTTGGATCTCCTCAAGGCTATTGGTCGGAGTATCCGATGGCTGGCTGTGGGCCGCAAGACCCGCATGCAGGATCCCAGTTACCAGCCTCATGCCGAGACCATTGGCTTGGAGCCCCCAGAGTCTGGAATCACCAATAACAGCACAGCCTATGGTGGTGCAGGCGCCGCCATGTCCGGTGGTCGGACAGGCCGGTATGCTGGAGACGAAGAGGGTGCGGTCTTGCTTGCTCACGCGCAATCCAACCCGTCGACCTCACACGTCGATGCCTCGGCGTGGGAGGATGATAACGACGACTATCTACAAGGGCAAGGGCAGTCTGGTCGCTTCTACGGACATCAGAACTCTTCGCCCTACGATGACATTGAGCACCAAAATACCGCCTATCACCCCCACGACCAAGGGTCCCAGGATTACCCGGCCAATGGTCCTCTTAGGGAACAGGTACCAATGCCCATGCCCGATCAGTATCAACCTCCGCCACCTTACCCGGAGAGCTATCACCATCCATGATCTTACATCGATGGCTCATTTATGACATTGTTTCGTATGATGTTTGGTCGTTTTCCTTTCTGCATCCGCAGCAGCTTGTTATGATCGGGATAGCTGGTCTCCTCTTCCCTAATGAATGGTACCCATGAGCAGCAGCTGGTCGGGCATTCCGACCTTTTTTTGTTTCTTCCAATTTCCTACGTTTTTTTTGCTCCTTTCTTCTTTTCAGTCCCTTTTTATGGATGTGAATACCCATTTCTTTCTCATTGACATGTATTTTTTTTTCTCTTTCCATTCTGATATCATGTCATTTTTCTTCATTCTGATGCTTTGCATCTATTGGAGGCATACCCAAGCGATGCTTATTGTATACTACAAATTCTTTCTCGTGAATCTATTCCATATTGAAGATTACTCAAGTACACATCATGGACGCTGAAAAGCGGTTTAATCTTTCAGATAATTCCAGATAAAAGTTGGTAGATTCGTTATCTCGTCTAGAAGTGTCGCTGAAAGAAAAGCTGTAAAAAAGCAAACGGTTAAAAGGTCTAAGCCACGGCGTCTGGAGACGTATCATAATGCATTGATCTCATGACCTGCATAACGAGAAAGCCCTGAGACCGGTTAGGAATACATCCCTCCCGTTTCTCCACCATCGGGAAGGGTGTGAGCATAGAGCTCTTCCTCAAAGGTTCTTGCCGCAAGACCAGGCTTGCGGGGATTTGCGGCATGGCGCGCAGACTGCACAATAGCCGACTTGCGACCAAGTTCGCGCATGGCCTTGACACTTTCTCCCAGTTGACCGAGCAGGGAGACTAGCATGACATCGTTGCTTTGAGACAGTACTTCGGTCGAGAAGGAGCTTTGTTCGTGAGGGGAGAGGATAGAGAGGTGTGAGGTTAGGGAGTTGATGTTGCGGAGAATAGGGTGGGATAGCTTTGGGCTGCTTGGATCGTCTTTGGCCGCTTCTGATGATTCTAATGCGGAGACGCTGGAGACGTAGGATTTGATGAGGGAGATGCGGGATTCGAGAGTGCGAACGGCGTTGACGCGGGTGTTTAGGTTTGCGATCACTTGGATTTGGAGTTAGATAGAGTATCATCGGGGTGAGGATGGAGGTACATACGCTCTTCTTCCTCTTGTGTTAGCTCAGCCTGTGAGCTCTTTTGTTCCCTGTCCGCTGATTTCTGGCCCGTAGCCGCGCTGGCACTCTGACTTGGAATCTCGCTCCGCGAAGCAGTCCCGGCAGCTTGAGCAATGGTATCGATGCCGATCATTTCGGCCTCTTCGGTCTCCACGGAATATGGTAGCTCGCGGAACCGGATGTTGAGCGTTAGCTCCTCGCCATCGATTTGCATGTCCTTTGTCGCATCGCCGGCATTTTCGCCTTCAAGCACAGTCTCGTAGATTGTCAATGGTAGCTTGGCGCCGTGTGCCCTTGATTGGACCTGTGAGGGGTGGAATGCGAGGAAGACGGCTGACTCGTTGTGATCTTGGAGGATCTGTTTGTGAAGAGGGAGATGGGAGGTATCGGGGCCGGATGGAGGCGCAGTTGACCACCATCCAACAAGGTCGAGAGCGGGATCTTTGTGAACATCTTTGACTGTGTATTGTATCAGTATGTCAAGCTCCTTCGAATGATATCCTTGGCTTGAAGGCGATGTGGTACATACATTGCTTCAGTCGCTCTTCAAACCATGCTGAGGGTAGCAGGACTTCTCCATTCTCTCCCGCAGTCACGGGGCATTCAAATCCATGCTCCAAGGTTATCTCTCGGCCATTCTGTTGGCCAAGCAGAGCCCCAATGATTGGACCCTGCTGTTGTCGTGCTGCATGGCGGGTGATGTGGTCGGAGATGGTGAGAAGCACCAGTGGGTGAAGCTGGATGTGGAGGCCCGAGTCCGAAGACTTTGAGGAGACGAGAGACTGTACGGAATCCATTATTGCAGTCTCTCTCGTGAGTTGGTGAAGGTGTGCGGAGTTGAAGTTGGGAGGTTATGCGGTCATGTTTGGACTGTTTGGGCGGGGCTGCCTGAGGCGGCGCCGATAGCTTTAGCTTCGCCGCTTTCTCCCCGCCTGTTGACTTTCTTACGGCCTCTGTCTATTTGAAGTTACTAACAATACTCCCCGCCGAAATGGCTATCCCTTCTGCCTTCGATGCAGTGAAGACGCATCTTGCTGAGGTCCAAGAAGACCCTTCTACGCCCCTCGACACCTCCCTCATCGCCCGGTTGAAGCTCCAGCTCATCGATAAGACCGATCCCGTTGTCCCCGCCACGCTCTTATCACAGATCGCAGTCCTTCTACCAGTCCTCCAAGAGGACCCTACACCCCTCACTACACTTGCTACTGCCGCCTGTGCATCTTTCAGTTTCACGGATATTCGCTCCGTCGAACCGACAATCAATCTCATCGCTGGCTTCAAGGCTCCGTCAGAACCTATCAACCTTCTTGCTCTTTCACTACTGGCCAAAGCTGGACAAACGTCCAGTGATGCTGCGATAGTCGCCGGAGACTCGGATTTGGTCGCCGCTCTGGTCGAGCTGTGGCTTTCTACTTCATCAACAGCAGTTGCCCAGGCTGCACTCGATGCGCTGTGGGCTCTCTTAGAAGTGGACTCAGCCAGTCCTCTTGAACAAGGCGAATATGACCATACCATCGATGACGGACGGGCAGGCCAAGGCCTCATGTGGAGGAGGGTCTTCACGGATAAAGATGTTTATGGGCTGCTGTTTGGACTCTGCAGCCTGAGAAATGATGCGCCAGGAGATTTGTCCAAGCGTGAGAGGACTGTCGCACAAGGAAGGTTAATGGGGTTCCTGGTGAAGGCTGGTCGCTTACGCTGGGACATTATCTCCAAGTCTCAAGTTGCAGACGTGGAGGCCAAATATCGAAGCTCCAGTATCCTTCATTTTGCAGCTAGTCAGATGGTGGACCTGGGCGACGTGTTGATGCACATGACCCTCCTGGGCTTCTTCAGGGACTTGCTCGATATTGATGCTCCAGGTCTAGTGGCTCGCGGCTCCGTTCAGTCGGCATCGACCTTCTCTTCCCCTGCTCTTGACTTCCTCATCGCGTCGAACCTGCATTCCAAAGTGTTGGAGTACTATCTCGACGAATCAAGGCTTGATCCGGTTGATCTGATCTATCTCTCCGGTCCAGTTATGGCTTATCTGTCAAAGTATGCCGAGTCATATCCCAATCATCTTCTTACAAATCCTCCAACTCTTCTCGACGGTATCATCGCGCGCATTAACCGGGCTCTTGCGATTCCCTCCACGCAATGGGCACATGGCGAAGTTCCAACGGGCCATCTGGCCATCCTGGCCTCTTTACCTCGGGTCCTGCTCATCGAAGCTGGAAAGCATGGTTCAAACCCCCTGTTGAACATCCCCACCAGCCCACCTAATGGTGAGGCATTAGATGTTCTCGGAAAGATCTTCCATGGTCCCTCCCGGACGGAAATGCCTGATGCGATGGATCTAAACACATCGGGTCAGACTCCGACTGACTGGCACCATGAAGCTGCTGCTGCTCGCATGCTATACTTCATGTATCTCAACCATAATCCTGGATTCTGGACGGATGTTGTTGCCGTCGCCGACATCTTAGCAATGAAGGATGTTGCACTGTCTGCGATTGCTTTCATGAATGCCATCGTCCTGGCGAACTGGCAACCGCTACCGCCGGCCTCGCATGTGGCCAACGTATCGTCACGGTTTCAACTACCCTCCGAAGAAGGCTTGGGACAACTCTCACCAGCCTCAAGCGGTCTACTTCCTTTGTCCGGCCCGTGGGCAGTCCTCACTCCCCCTGCTTTGACAACACTGCTACCCTATCTCTTCAAACCACCACGGTCATACACTGAGTTTGTGGGAGGTGGTGCTGGTGACTCTCAACATGCCGTTTGGAAAGTAGCTACGGCGAAACATGAGGTTCTCGTTGCATTGTACAACCGCCTTCGAGAAAGTGGTGGCCAGATGGAAGGTTTCGAGGACATCTTGCGAACCCTACGACAACGAGTCAGTGAAGGCCCCGTGGGTCCCATCCAGTCGGCTGCTGCCCAGGTGGAGGCTGTTGGTCTGTGATGAATCTTATGAAATTGAACCATCATAATGAAAATTAAGCGTATCAATTTGTCTCATATTGTCTCGGCTGTATGTAAATAAATTATAGTACCCTGGGTCTTGCATGCTCCTGGAAATCATATCTAACAATTGGAAACGTCTTGTTATAGGCAGCTCTCAAGGCTAAAGCCGAGGTCAATTACCAGGCAGCATAGGGATTGCAAGAACCCGTTGATCTGCATATCTTATCTTAGCGCGGGGAAGGCAATCGTAGCCTAGGGATAATGCCCTAATTCCCCGATCGGGAGGGCAGGCGGTGAGCCCAAGAACGGTATTTTTCTGGTCCCGACTCATAGCTTGCATCTCTCCAGCATTCAACTTATCATGGCGCTGTGACACTCAGACTCACATACAATAACCACTTGATTTTGCGCACATATTCATTTGCCGGCCATGTCGCGCTTTGGAGCCAAAAAGGGCAATCGCGCGCCCGGCGCTGAATTCACTTGGGACACGGACCCTGGGGGTGTGCCGGACACTGCTCCTACTCCATTATATCCAGTACGTTCACGCCTTCCCCCATGAGTTTTTGGGTCGTTGATTTCCTTCTTAAGGCTCTTCAATCTCTGCTCTCTTTGTTGTCATGGCTTTTAACAGCAGATTCATTATCCAGGCATATGTTGTCCCATTTGCGCGCAAGCTCTCTGAAAAAGAGCAGAGCGAGGTGAACTATTACCGACACCTCCGCGAACGATTCCACGAGGGACCATACTACTCTGTTCTCGATACCTCTTCCTCCTCGGCCAAAAAGGGTAGTGCTGCGCGCGCCAACTTCGATGCCTTCCACGGCATGCCCTCTTATTCCGGTCGATACCAGAAGAAGAGAAGAACACTTCCTAAGGTCGCAAATATTGGTCGCGAATATGGTAAGTGCTTGGAGCTTGCCGCATTTTGTGTTTACTCATCAAGTTCAATGACTGATTGCCTCTCTCTTATAGAAACACGATACTTCCCTCGCGAGCTCTGGCAGACCATCATGCCCAACTTCCGCCCCAACGCATCCATCGATGGTTACCACATGCAAAATGCTGCTATCGGTATCAAGCGTGGCTTTGAAGATGACGAGGACGAGGAGGATGAGGCCGCAAAGCGTCGCGCCACTGGGGGGGATGAAGATGACGGAGAGGGAGATGTTGACGAGGGCGAATTGCTAGAAGGCGATGAAGAGGCCGAAGAAGAGATTGTGGATGATGACTTTGAAGATGATGAGGATGATATGGGTGGTGATTACAACGCAGAACAATACTTCGACGGCGGTGACGACGAATTCGGCGATGATGGCTTCGGTGATGGTGGAGGCGGCGGTGATGAGGATACCTACTGAGGGGCGGACTCGAGATACCCTTTCCCTAACCTTCTTTGTTTCATAATTTCTCGCGCCTCTTTCTTTTTGATGCCAAACTTCAGCGTTATGGTCTCGTGGGTTGACATGTCAATCTCATTTGATCTGCATTATGCAGCCTTTCTGGCTGTTCGGGCGTTTTCTGTTCATTCAATACGGTTCCAACTTTCAACCTAACTACCAATGATTATCAGATCACTTTTTTTTCAGATCTCAATATCTCTGCAGGATCAAAGCAAGGTAGCATATTAATCATTCATAGTCTTCAAGATGTCCCAATTTTGAAGCTTGGTTTGAAGATACCAGGAACAGTGGGGGCATGCTAATCCTAAGACGGATCCCATTCTAAAGAAGACAAAGAATAGTCTATCAGATGCAAGGTGTTGTCATGTGTGTACTATCCACCGTTGTGTAAAGTAGAATCTGTAAAACCGATATATACGACTACCCTAGGTTCGTTCTCAAGTGGGACCCGTGGACAATTAAACGGATGACGTCAGCCAGCGAGATCGGCCATCTGCACCCCGCGGCCCAATTGGGGGAATTTTAAGATGCGGGCAAGCAGATTGTCTATCAACACCTCACACCAGCATGAGTACGCAGGGGTCCGGCCCTGCACGGTCGGCACTCATCCTTTATGGCACAGAAACTGGCAACGCGCAGGAAGTGGCCGAGGAATTGGGCGCCTTGACAGAGCGGCTTCGATTCGCGACGCATGTTTCCGAGTTGAATCAGTCAAAACCTGTGAGTAGAATAGCCCGCGCTCAGCGGCCATTCGCACCTGACGAGAGACCAAATGGCTAACTTCATATTCTCACGGATTGCTAGGAAGCACTTCTCTCATATACACTGACTATCTTCGTGGTGTCGACGACCGGACAAGGTGACCTGCCGGTCAATGCACGGACGTTCTGGAAATCGCTACTACTCAAGAAACTTCCGCCGACATTCTTGAACGGTGTCAATTTTGCGACTTTTGGTTTGGGAGATAGTTCATACCCCAAGTATGTTCTACCGTGTAGATAAATTCCTTCGGTGTCAATGGAAATAGACGCTAATATTGCTCAGGTTCAATTGGGCAGCTCGGAAGCTCTACAAGCGACTACTTCAATTAGGAGCAAATGACATATATCCTACCGGCGAGGCAGATCAGCAACATCCTGAAGGGTCAGTACCCACACTCCTTTACCTCCATGTGCTCTCAAGGGTTGGTCTCACAGATTGTGGCATTCTAGGCTCGAAGGCACTTTTATACCATGGATGACGGACTTCCGAAAGCACCTCATGGACAGGCATCCGCTCCCCCTGGCCAACATCCTATTCCTGACGACGTCCAGCTACCGCCGAAATGGATCCTGCAACCGAAGGACGATGCCGGGCCTGTGCCAGCCCCCAGACCAGAAACGCTAGAGACAGATGCCGCCCAAATGGACGAGGACCCTGGCTTGACACACCTGGACTATGATCTTCGTCCTCTTCCCGACACGTTGACTGCAACTCTGACAGAAAATCGACGTGTGACCCCACAGAAGCATTGGCAGGATGTCCGCCGGATCTCCATCACTGTGCCGGAATCCGTTCCATATGTACCCGGTGATATGATCGCCATTACTCCCAAAACCTCACCGAAAGATGTCCAAACGTTTATCGATGTCATGGGATGGAATGAACAAGCAGATAAACCAATTGCCCTTGTTCCGACGGGGGATACTCTTGCACCATCACCCATCCCTGGACTGGAAGACTACCCCAACCTGACATTGCGATCCCTCCTTATTGACTATCTTGACGTGAAGGCGATTCCTCGTCGATCGTTCTTTTCCAATATCGCCCATTATACCCATGATACCATGCACAAAGAGCGACTGCTGGAGTTCACAAATCCTGAATACCTAGATGAGCTGTGGGACTATACGTCTCGGCCACGACGCAGTATTCTTGAAGTACTGCACGAGTTCGACTCTGTCAAAATTCCTTGGCAGCATGCTGCTTCTGTCCTTCCAGTTATTCGTGCAAGACAATTCAGCATTGCCAGTGGTGGAGAGCGCAAACGGACTGCGGATGGAAAGACACAGTTTGAGCTTCTCATCGCCATCGTCAAGTACCAAACCGTTATCAAAAGAATCCGGGAGGGCGTTTGCACCAAATACCTCTCCACACTTCGACCGGGAAGTACACTTCGGGTCCAGTTACAGCCAGGCGGACTTAATTCATCAGTCCAACAATTGACTGCATCGACCGTGCTCATCGGACCAGGCACTGGAATCGCACCTCTCCGCTCCATGCTATGGGAAAAGGCAGCCCTAGTCCAAGCATTCCGCGAACAAAATCCTGGTGTCGAGCCCCCCATCGGCCCCACCGTTCTACTCTATGGCGGTCGAAATCGCACCGCAGATTTCTTCTTCGAGGAAGAATGGGATCATCTCAGGAAGCTCATACCCTTACAGGTGCTCACCGCATTCTCCCGTGACCAGCAACAGAAGATCTATGTGCAGGATACGATTCGGCAAAACTTGACATTGTTCTTCCGTCTTCTACATGACATGAAGGGCTCGGTTTACATCTGTGGTTCATCCGGGCGAATGCCACAAGCTGTGCGGGAGGGGCTTATTGAGGCATTCGCTCAAGGAGGAGCGCCGATGACCGGCCAGCCATATACCCGAGCACAGGCAGAGGAATATTTGATTGGCATGGAGAAGAGCGGGCGGTATAAGCAAGAGACGTGGTAGACTTAAAATAAGTAGAGCTTTCAATTAAGACTATGTTTGTGTCTAAAGAAGTCCACTCTATGGAAAATAAGCTCGAAGTGGGTTGGCACATGGAAATGTTTGCATGTGCTTAGGTTCGTGCTCTCGGCGGTCAATAGTATATGGCTCTATTGAAGGGCCAAACAATGGGGTTTACCTCTAGAGATGCCCTCAAAATCGATAATCTCAACCATGGCGGTTAGTTGCCTAAAGTCCCAATTATCCGCTCAACCTTTCCTATCCCCCACTATTCCAAAAGACCGTAGGCTTTATGTGCTTAACCTCGGCTGGGGCGGTGGTACCAGGAGGGCTATACTCGGGCCGCGTCGGCGTTTTCAAGAGTCTTGGCACTCCGTCACCGCAGTCAACTCTTTCCTCCTCCGAACTTCTCCAACTTCAACCCCGGGCTCCCTCCTTCCAACATACCCTGGAATTGAACTCTCTTGTTCTGTTCGACGTTCCCGAGAAAGTTCATCATGGCTAGCGGCTTGCGGATTTTGGTCCCCGTTAAGCGGGTGATCGACTATGCGGTTAGTAGTATCTCCCCTCCAAGCTGCGGGCGACCGGCGATCAGAATCGTGCACGAGTGATCTTCAAATGGACATTCGGGTCTTCAATGATGGACCCGTTTACGCTGTTCAAGACTGACTTGAAATTTCTTGATTACCATAGATCAAGCCCCGCATCAACAAGGCGCAAACCGGCGTCGAGACCACTGGCGTCAAGCATTCCCTGAACCCATTCGACGAGCTCTCAATCGAGGAGGCCGTGCGGTTGCGCGAGCGCAAGGGTCCCCTCAAGGTCGAGAACATCCTGGCCCTGTCCGCCGGTGGCCCCAAGACCCCCGATGTCCTGCGCACCGCCATGGCCATGGGCGCCGACCGTGCTTTCCACATCGATGTCCCCGATTCAGCAGACGGTGGCCCCGAGCCGCTGACCATCGCCAAGATGCTGAAGGGTGTCGTTGAGAAGGAGAACATTAACCTTGTACTGTTGGGCAAGCAGGCTATCGACGGTGACCAGGGCCAGACCGGTCAGATGCTGGCTGGTCTGCTGGGCTGGCCCCAGGCCACCCAGGCCAGCAAGGTCGAGGTGAAGGACGAGGCTGGTACCGTCGAGATTACCCACGAGGTTGACGGTGGTGTTGAGACCCTCCGCGCCAAGCTCCCCTTGGTCATTACCACCGATCTGCGCTTGAACGAGCCCCGCTACGCCAGCTTGCCTAACATCATGAAGGCGAAGAAGAAGCCTCTGGAGAAGAAGACCCTGGCCGACTTTGGCGTTGAGGATACCCGGCGGTTGAAGACCCTGAAGGTTACTGGTAAGTTGAGCTCATGCATATCTAAGAGTTATCTTCGCTAACGAATCTTTTCTTTTCACAGAGCCCCCCGCTCGCACTGGTGGTGGCAAGGTCGAGGATGTGGATGGCCTCGTCTCCAAGCTGAAGGAGCTTGGTGCCTTGTAAGGGTGATGGATGTCGTGGTTGTCTTGTTATATTTTTGTCCCATGTCTTTCTATACCAACGAATGATCCAGCTAGATTTGGATATTGTTTTATTTCAACACTCTGATGCCTTCATGACCATATTGGCTGGTGTGACATATCTCTGCATTTGGGCTGTCCTATCAAACAAAATTAAAAGAGCTTTCAGAAACTACCATTGGAAACAAAATAGACCATCCTCTCTACATTCCATATGGAGGGGGAGCTCAGCAATAATTAATGGGTCGAGTAATGATAATCATTATGATTACATGTTTGCTAATTGGTACCTTTTCATCCCCATTTGTTTAATTGTTAGCTCTCGACATCCTCCATCCGCTAAACCGCCATTGATTCATATATACCAAGAAGACGTGCATATCAATGCAATGCAGCAAGGCGTAGAAGGTAGCTGGGGAATGTGTTACTTAAGTGGCCTCGAGTTGATCGAGGTTGGCCATCCCAAAGGTAAATGGACATCGATCTGTATTGTTCCTAGCCTCTAACATTCTATAGAGGATGGATGGCTATAGTTAAGCTCGAAGAATATTACAAAGGAATGTCTCTGCACGATTGCATGAGACAGCCCAGGAGAATAATTGTGAGCCCCTCGCTACATCTTCCGCTTTTTGTCGAATATGGATGTGGCGAATATTCAGTCTACTTCAGCCGCAATGCGGGGTTCGCATGAGGGCCCGTGGCGTGCTGAGGACTGAGTTATCGAGTGCGTAACATTTACATTTGACACTCTGGATGCTAGGAGGTGTGATGGTGTTTGAATGTGGTTAGCCATATGGTGAGTCTAGCCTGTATACCGGCGGACCTTTTCATCCAATATCCGGCCTGTTATCAAAGTTCAACTTAATAATCAGGGAAAACATCGAGATCCAGGCTAGTGGGTCTATTATTTCCGCGATTCCCTGCATGAATGTCGAATATTGAATGCCATGTTTCGCTTTAATGAGAAAAAGCAAGCCTTATGATGTAGACCTATCGGGACTTGGGATCAAAAAGGACCTTCTTCCCTTGATATTCCCCACCGAATCTAGATCTCCTTTCAATTTCCCTTGACCTGTATAGACCAATCGGACCAAACCGAGACACAGCCTGGACTATCGGATTTATGTGGATGGACATAGCGATGATTACCCAATGGAAGTGGGGGCATTGTGATCTATCGCCGACAAGCACAGAACAACGCCATTTATTGATCTTAGCTGAACCCCGTCCCGGTCGGAACTATTGAAGCCAGAGCCGGCAGATACACAGTTATGAAAAACCTAATACGTTAAGAACAACACAGATTTGGAATCGTCGGAAATATAATTATTGCCTCGAGTCGGAAGTCAGGTAATTTGGTCCATTGCAGTCACACAAGTGCCGATCAACCGACGAGTCGATGATGACGTCCCTCCGCGCGTTCCATGGACATCCAGGGTTCTGCGCTGGTCGCTCGTTAGCCACGGCGCCACTCGGCCTCTTATGCCACTCGAATTGACAGCCTTCCGTCTGACCCGATCTTGCTAAACCCTGTGTCATAGGTCATCCCTCGGTGGTCATGAAGTCCTCTTAAATTGGGGCCCTGGTACCTGGTCCTCTGTCCGGTTGACCACTTTTTTTTCTTCTTCTATTACTCCTCCCGCCAACTCCCCTCGAGAATATCCTGTACATAATCCTGCGATCCCGTAGATTCTCAGATCCCCAGATCTGCACCCGTCATCCACTTATTGCGGTAAGCCTTTCTCTTCCGGTGTTTTAGTCGCATTCCAGCTCTTCCGGTCGTTGGATCGCCACGGGCCACCACCACTCGTCTGGTAGTAAAGAAGACTTGCTATCCGGGTGACTTGGACATTAAAAGCCTTGATCGTATCCTCTAGGGCCATTTGATGGATATTGACAGGATTTTTAGTTCATTTCCACTCATAGCGCCGTGACGACTTCAAAGTGATCTGTCGCATTCCTCCCCGCACGCATTCTCTAGTGGCAATCCTGCAGATCCCGCCGGATTCTTCTTAAGCCAGAAACATCCCTCCCCAATCGTTGGCTGGGCATTCCAGATCGTTTTGAGGAACATTCTCCGGTTCCATGACTGCTGTTCGCAGCGCAACTTCCGCGTGTCTGATAGCGTGTCGCTTATAGATTGCGCCTAGCTCGTGAAGCGCTTTTTTTTTGTTTCTCTGGCGTGCGCCACCTGATCGAGATTCCACAGTTCCCCTTCAGCGCTAGCCATGTCTGCGTGGGAAAAGACAAAGCGCTATTCGAAGAAGGGCTTCGATAAGGCATGGGACACCGTCGACAAATTGGGTGGCCCCGTCAATCGGCTATCGAACAAACTTGGCGCCGAGGCCTTCTGGCCCATGTCAATCGATAAAGAAAGCGACAAAGCCGCCCGAATTTTGCGCAGTTTCTGCAAAGATGGTTTCTACGCCCCCGAATCCGAAGAGACGACCGACGAGAATGGCAAGATCAATCGGCCCAAGGGAAAGCAACGGGTCATCAAGAAGATTCCCTCGAAGGTCATTAAGAACGCCAAGGGCATTGCCATTTTCACTACAATGAGGACCGGTCTTTGGATCAGTGGCTCTGGAGGTAGTGGTGTGCTGGTGGCCCGTATCCCCGAGACTGGGGAATGGAGTCCGCCTTCTGGCATCATGCTTCACACTGCTGCAATTGGCTTCTTGGCTGGTGTCGACATTTACGACTGCGTCGTCGTTATCAACACGTACGAGGCACTCGACGCCTTCAAGAAAGTGCGCTGCACACTCGGTGGCGAGGTCAGCGCCGCCGCCGGCCCCGTTGGAATGGGTGGCGTTCTTGATTCCGAAGTTCACAAACGCCAGTCCCCGATCTGGACGTATATGAAGAGCAGGGGTTTATATGCCGGTGTGGCCGTGGACGGAACGATTATCATCGAACGAACCGACGAGAACGAGAAATTCTATGGGGAGCGTATCTCCGTAACCGACATTTTGGCAGGAAAAGCGCGCCACCCACCAGATTCGATCAAGACTCTACTTCAGACCATTAAAGCAGCCCAGGGCGACGTGGATGTTGACGAAAGCCTCGTTCCACCCCCGGCGAAACGCCCGGCGACCTGGATGTTTCAGGGAATAATGACCACGCCTTTGGCGTGCCCGATATAGATGATCCGGACCCTTATGGAGTGAAGGCGTTGGAGGCTGAGGGCATGTTCATCCGGGAGGCCGGCTCTAAGGTGAGGCCAAGTCATGAAGCTTTTGAATTCCGGCCACACCCTAGCAGCCCGGTCTATGCGACATTCTCCCGGCGCAGCCTTGACAGCTCACCGCGGAATAGCTGGCGGGCTAGCGTGCAGAGCTACACGAGTGTTGATCGTGGCACACAAACAGAGGACGCATCGCTAACTGCGCCAACGTCAGTAAGCCGAGCGTCCTCGCTAAGCGCGAAGGAATCCACCAATGGACCATCTGCGAACCTGTGGGAAGAGGAGGACAAAGCTGGTTGGGACACGGTTCCCATCCATGGTGGTATCGAGGAAGAGGAGGGTACCCCAGAAGAGAAGGTGGAAACGAAAGAGTTGAATGGAAATGCCGAAACCGATAAGAACCACGCTGTCGATGATGACGAAGATTTCGAGGTGCACGAGGTCTCCAGCGCGACTGTCACGAGACAGGAGAGCCCGAAGGAGGAGCAAGCCGATGCCGCCGAGTCGCGACGCATGTCACCCACATTCACAAGGGCCAAGCTGGTCACTATCAACAAGCGCCCAAATCCTCCAGCCCTGCCTCCTCGCCACCCTCGCCACACCTGGGGTTCTGGCTCTAGTCGTGAATCAACTTCTCCAACTGCACTTTCACACAGTAGCCGAAGTACCGAGCAGACTGAAACTGCGGCCGAAGCGACCGAAGAGTCCACCGAGCAAGCGAGTGAAACCCGCGGACTTCCCTCGAACGTCAAGACCCTTCAGACTAGCACTGCCGTCCCCGCTGTCGTGGACGAGGTTGATTTCGACGACTCAGACACTGAGCTGCCTGCCGACAAGGAAGAGTTCCTCTCCGCTGCTAGTGACAACGAGGATGATAACGAGCAACACACGCTGGCCGAAGGACTCGCCGCTCTCAAGACCGAGGAAACCAAGAAAGAGTCCAAGGAATCTGTCGCAGAGGCCGAATCTGTGAAGGCCGAGACCAAGCCAGAAAAGAAGGAGGTCGAGGGTGCTGAGGATGTGTTGAGCCAGCTTGAGGAGAAGTTCCCTTCGCCTGAGGTTGAGTCACAAACCGAGAAAGCGGACACCAGCAAGCCTGTCTCTGACAACAAATTCGGAGCGCTAGAAGTTGACGAGGAGTCGGACGATACGATCGAAACTCCCGCCGACCAGAAAGTCCACACGCCCGACATCAGCCCCAAGACACAAGCATAAAGGCAACGCCCTTCGAGCTTAGATCTTCTGGTCTGTGCCGTGTCGCATTTTCACATCCTCTTTCACCCTGTACTTAATCATCATGATACCTCGTCTATATGTTTTGGTTAGCTTCGGAGTTGGAGATACCATGGTTCTTGTTTTCGGTTGGTTCATTTGGGGTTGCACCGTGCACTGGGAAGTGTCCACCATGGGATGGGGAAGTTTTGAAGGATCTTTGGGTTGGTAGGGTTCATTGGTACATTTCTAGCGTTTCTGCATCCGAGGTCCCTTTTGGATACTCTTTGGGGTTCGAATACACCGTTTCTTTTGACGTATAAGTTTCAACTGTGGATACATTGCATTACAACGGTTTTCTTCACGGAATTTCGGTACATTTAATCCATGTAACAGGGGTTCGATGAAAATAAGGTTGAACCCGCAAACTTTCCCATGTGCTAACTTAATTTCCACCTTATTTGGAAGTGGGAAATAGTGAAACAACAGATAGAGTCCCCCTCAGGATCAACTGGTCCAACCGGGAAATGATGCTCTACACTCCGAACCAATGCCATTGGTTTATTCCATAGGTGTGCGATTAGGTGGCGTAAATGTGGTCCTCTTAATTCGCTTTCTAAATATCACCTTTTGGAGAACAACTTGTGTCTAGCAAAACGAGATCTTGGTATGCTACAAAATGATGATTACGGTCGTTGATTTCGGAGAATTCAAGTGACATCCTTGATACAAATGCCCGTCGGCCTACAGAGAAACTTCAGCTCACACACTAGTCTCGAGATAGCAGGTGCTTGCCCCTCATGCCTACTTGGAGATGCAGTAGTACTACCGAGGCACACTTGGCTTGGAAAGAGGGACATTTAAGCGAGTCTTTGATGGACACCGCCTGCCCTGCCTTTCTCGAAGAGCCAATCGCACACACGCTGACCAGCCCTTGGCGGCGGGACTAGCGTGATACTGGCTAGTCAAAGTGACAACTAAAACTTAGCCGCAGCCTTGCGTTTCGACTGTTACCCCATAGCTGCTGGTGCTTTGCATTCCGCCAATTAAAATGGCTGCCAAATTTAATCTGCATGCTAAAGGGTCCATGGCGTGAGAATGCGCTGTAGCTTGAGATGGCTATAAATAAAATAAAGCGTGCTCCCAGCTCTTATTTAGGACAGAAGCTAATTTGTGATTGCTTTTCTCTCTCCAGCTACCGAACGGCATCATGGCAAGCTTGCCAATTTTGGGAATCGGAGGGCTTCTGATTTACCTTATATCCAAAGCCGTCTACCGACTATACTTCCATCCTTTGCGAAACATTCCAGGGCCAAAATTGGCAGCAATCACCCGCTTTTACGAGTTTTATTTCAATGTGATTAAGCGGGGCACGTTTATCTGGCACTTGGAAGAATTGCATGAGACTTACGGTACGTGATCCGGCTGGTTTCGACTATGTTGTCCAGAGTTGATTCGAGACTAGGTCCCATTGTTCGAATCAGTCCACGGGAGGTCCACGTCAAGGACTCTGAGTACTATGATGAGATTTATGCATCTAGTGGCCGAAGACGGGACAAAGACCTAACTTCTGTCGCTCGATTTGACATTCCCGAGTCGTCTTTCTCCAGTATCACCCCAGAGATCCATCGCCAGCGCCGAGCACCGGTAGAAAAGTTCTTTTCCAAGGCAGCAATAACTAAAACCGAAAGCACGATTCAATTTTGTCTCGACAAGCTCGTGCAGCATCTTGAGCGTGCGTATGAATCACACAAGGTGATTACCCTTGATGCAGGCTTCTCGGCGATGACCTCGGATATCATCCACCAGTATGCATTTGGTATCAACAGTGGAAATCTTGACCAGGAGGACTTCAATGAAAACTTGAGAGACGGGATAAGTGGACTGTTCCAATTGGGGCATGTTGCATACTTTTTTCCATTCATCCAAACCATTCTGACCACGCTGCCTCCGTCACTGGTGAAGATGCTTCACCCGTACGCCCTCGCTTTGAACGATCAGAAACAAGATATCTGGAACCAAGTAACGAGGATCCTCTCCGGTCAGAATAGCGAATCTGGATCCGTCATTGAAAAGATTTCTGGGCCCGAGGTGCCGGAGCATTTGCGGAGTGCTGATCGCTTAACCGATGAAGGCTTTGCGCTGGTGATTGGAGGCACGGAAACAACCGCCCGATCCCTTTCACTCGGAATGTTTCACCTTCTCAGTGAGTCGCATCTCAAAAACAAACTGCGCGACGAGCTGCGATCGGTAATGCCCACGCCCGAGTCTAAGCCTACTTGGAATGAGCTGGAGCAGTTACCCTATTTGGTAGGTTTCTCTGTCTATATTTCACCCAGTTGCAGTATCTCTAAGACTTTAATTTAGATGGGGGTCGTGTTAGAGACATTACGTCTCTCAACAGGCATTGCCAGTCGATCTCCACGCATTGCACCCACGGAAACGTTGGTATACAAGGACTACACAATTGCACCAGGCGTAAGTTGACCATGTTGATGACCTCAACGAAGTGCTCACAAGCTTCAATTATAGACCGTGATCAGCCAAACGAACTACTTTGTGCTTATGGATCCAAACATCTTCCCTGACCCTCATGTCTTTGACCCGGAAAGATGGACCCGAGCTGCGGCCAAGGGCGAGCGACTAGATCGGTACCTGGTGAACTTCTCGAAAGGAAGTCGTATTTGCCTGGGAATGAAGTATGTTTACCTGCGATCTATGTTCGAATGATGGGGCTATACTGACATGTGAGCTTGGCAGCCTCGCTTATGCGGAACTATATCTTGCAATGGCAACTCTGATTCGTCGGTTCGATCTCGAGCTGTTCGAAACTACGAAGAAGAATATCGAGTTTGCGCGTGACTTTGGCACTCCCTTCCCCGACGAAGGAAATTATTGTATCCGAGTACTGGTGAAGGGGATTGTTAAAGAGTGATTGGAAATTGGGGATTAGTCAAGATTGCTTGGAGATATTCAACGTTAGTGCCGTAGCCCACTTATCGCGTGGGAAAATGCCGGCATGCCGAGTGTCCACTAGATAGTATCTCATTGGTGAGCTCGTTTAGGTAGCCAATGAAGCTTATTTTCGAGAAGCTCATCAATTCTTAAGGCGTCCACGGGTGGATCCTCCTTTTAGAGGTGCGTTACACAAACCCCGCTTATCTCCGGAAGCTTGTGGTTGCTTAAACGGGTAATCGTCCAAGGGAAGGAGCGACGGTGACGTTGGAATTATCCTCCAATTTCTTTTTGCTTCCCTGTTGACACTCTCATCTTCTTCCCCTCTCTCCCTCCCACCTTCAACCATCCCGCCCAAAATGCCCTCCGACGCGCACGTTAAGGCAGCTCTGGCTCTCATCAAGGGTGACGAGTCCAAGGTGCTGGGCTTGACTGTGGGCGACCACAAGAACATCCAGCCGGGCCAATATGTTCCTCGCGGAGGTAAGTAGGGCTATAAACAAACATTACGGACATCGTCTAATCACCACTTCACAGACGCCCAGTCGCCTCCCGAGCTCGCCTTCACTGGCCTTGACTCGAGCAAGACCTACCTTGTCGTGAGCCTCGACATTGACGCGCCTTTCCCGTCGTTCGATGTCCTCGGGCCCATCCTGCACTGGATCCAGCCCGGAGTGAAGGTCACCGAGTCTGGCACCCTCGACACCACTGCTCCCTTCGTCGCCAACTACATCGGCCCTGCGCCACCTCCCGGTAGCTCGCCTCACCGTTACATCTTCTTCCTGTACGAAGAGCCAGCTGGTTTCGAGGCCAAGGCCCATGCTCCTCCCAATGGCCAGAAGTTGGGTAACTGGAACCGCATGCGCTACGACTTGGACGCCTGGGCCAAGAAGATCAACCTCGGCTCCGTTGTGGCCTTCAACTACTTCAACAGCAACTAAGGATGTGCAAGTCCCATGATTCGGAGGACTCTTCGATGGCTTGTGGTTCATGACTTGTAGTCGCGTGCCTTACTGTTGTTTGCAAAGGGAATGATCGAATTCGATACTTGCTCAAACAAAGCTTTCTTTACTTAACTTTGAATCGTGTTTTTATGATTGGCGTAGGATACACTTACAGTAATCGGCTTTCGGCTTTGCTACCAGATGATGCCTCAGGTAGCAGTAGATGACTGCGCATATTTGCAATTGAGTTTGCCAATCGCCAAAGTGATTGCCATGTAATGTTCGAAACCACTCGACACTGCTGGAAGCTACGCCCACGGCCATGCAAGACTGAATCTCTATCCTTTCACACTGAAGTTGCTTGCTGATATCCCAGACAGACTTCAGCAACTGGCCGCAAACAAGGCAACTCCCCTCTTTCACCTTTGATTGATGACTCTGGTTTGTCCTCCTCCCTTGACCTCTCTCCTCTCCACCACCTCACGACGGTCGTACCTCGATCTTGAAATCCAGTCGCTGCCCCACTCACCTCTAATCCGGCGCCAGCTTGACGGCTGAAAATGACGCCCAACCCATTCGCTGGGGTCGTCGTTACGGCAAGTGGAACTATACCTGGTCAGACGCATGGTACGTTATCGTGAAGTGTTCGAGTGTGGCGTGGGGCTTGTTATAATGTTCTCAGGGAAACTGACCATTCTCAGCTGGCATCAAACGTCTGGTCGAGCAATGTGGTGCGAGGTTCGAAGGCCTCAATGTCAATGACTGCACACATATGATCACCACCCGGAAATATGTGCAAAATGCAACCAAGAAAGGTGAGTACAGGCCAATGGAGGGTACCGTGTAGCTGCTGACGTATAATGCCTTCTAGTCGATGCGGTCCAGAAGGGAAAGAAGTGCGAGCTCGTCGGTATAGGCTGGTTGGTCGATTCCCTTATTCGCAATCGCCCCGTTAGCACCGAAGGCTACCTGCTCAAACCAGAGGAGGAGAACGTCCCTGGGAGTTCGCAACTCACACCAAACTCCCCCACGAGTCCAGAGAACAACAAGCGCAAGTTCGAGGCAGGTACGGATCTAGTTGAGGAGCCCCCGAAAGTACGGAGAAACAACCTGGATGTCCATCGGAGAGGCTTGATCGCCCTTGTGGATGATCGATATGATACTCAAGGTGAGCACTGCTCATAAATGCAAGCTCATACGCCAATCGTGGAGCATCATTGGCTAATCATGTTGGCGCTGAGTAGGGGCAGAAGTAGCACTTTGGATGGATGAGCAGGATGTGCGCTGGGATGCCATACTTATCAACAAGCTATCGAAGAACCCGGCATCGAACACAGACCAAACCGTTCCAATGAACAAAGTGGAAGTGCGTCGCTTACAAATTCTATATCATTTCAACTCCGACAAGTACTACACATGGTTCCGACAGGTGGATGAGAAGACGGAAGAGGGCGAACTCTACGGTTACGGCGACCTGAAAACAGCATGCTCCGAGTTCAGGAGGCTATTCCAGTCACACGCCCTCCTTCCTTGGAATAAGCGCCACTTGCTTCCTCAGGGACACCCGGCTGATATCCAGAATGAAGAACGCTGCATCTTCATCCAGCCTCCGTCGGAGGAAGAGAAGCGGACACTTGCGCCATGGGTTGAGAAGCCAGAGGTTCCAATCAAGGTGTCTGATGGAGTGCCTGGTATTCTGAGGATCCTGTTCGGCAGTTCCAATAAGCTGTCGATCAACTACTTTTTCAACGATTTGGCTACCGGCCGGATCAGGGCCGCAGATGCGACTCGACTAGATGAACACACTCTACGAGTCGCCATCGTTATCCTCAACAAGCTCAACGTCACCTTAACAGAGCCACTAAAGAAGAGGAGAACGCGACACTCAGCCACTGCAACCAATGAAAATTATAGAATCCAACAGGCGTCCTATCTGAAACAGTGCTACTTCGGTCTGCTTGGTATTCTTTCCTACCGCTTAATAACAGGACCGGAATGTACAGACATCGACTGGGTGGAACAGGAACTCGAAGACATCAATCTTCTACTGAAGCTGCGAATCGCCATGAACAAAGCCCATCTCTATTACAACCATATCCCCAGTGAGGTGTCGCAACAGGCATTGCAAGCCCTAGGACTCGCTGAAATCAAACGAGGTTCGTATTGTTGCGTCTGTTTATAATTGAGCTCAAGTGGCGCTAATGGTGTTATCTATCTAGTTCGGAAGGAAACTCATGAATATGACGCTCTAGTCGACTATCTCAAATTGTCAGTCGGGTCGCTACACACAGTTGATTACAAGGTAAGCACCCTTTAAAGGATGTGTCTTTTTGCAAATGAACAGTCTTCTTATCAAGATACCAGGAAATTATCAACATCTTTCGGATCCAACGTCCCGGGGAGGCTGAGCGTTACCACAAGTGGAGAGAAGCGAACAGCGACAAGATTGGCCAACGATGCTTACTTTGGCATGGGTCTGGCTGTGAAAAGTTCATCGGAATCTTGAGTCAGGGATTACGAGCTGGTCTCTTCCACAAGAGCGCAAGCGGAATGTTTGGTGCCGGAATATATTTTGCCGACATGTCTGGCAAAGCCGCTCGGTACTGTGGTGGGCCCTTGGCTCAGGCATTCATGCTTCTTTGCGAGGTCGAGATTGGCAAGGATCCTCTGAACGTCCAGGATTGCGATCGTAACGCAGCGGCGACTCTCAAACTCCAGGGGAGAGTTGGGGTCGTTGCTCACGGTCGCTCAAACCACAATGGATGGATGAATGCGAAAAGCGTTCATCGCCGCCTAGATGGCGTTCGCATGCCTGATGTCTCTAAAGGAAGGGAGCATCGGCCAGCGAATACACTGGCGTACAATGAATACGTGGTCTACGACCCGGCCCAGATCCAGCAGCGATACCTTTTCCATCTGAGAACCGGCTAGACCTATTTTGACTCTATACGTGGGACAAAAGCTTCCATGTTCTGGGAAGCCTCGAAAATCCCTTTCAGAATCTATCGGCGAGCATTACATACATCAGTAGCAAAGGCTGAATTTATTTACTCACATCATTTCAACACCTCCTCTTTGCATGAAAATACGTTTTGAATAGCATCCTCTTGAGTAGGCATTATTGACAGCGTGTACATCGCCCTAGGTGCAGCCTGACTACATACCACTTTTCTACATATTGATAGAAACATTGTGCCTTCATGACAATACTTTATTGTCAACACATGCATGTCGGACTGTACTATGATGGTTTTGTCTGGACAAAAGGTATGTGATGTCCATTCTACCTCGCTTTTATGCATTAGCCTTAACCTCTCCGCAGTTCCATTGAAAATTAGCAGGACATTGCCTTTTCGGTAGGAGGCATGCTATCAATGGGTTTTTTATAAAGCCTGTCAATTACCCCTCTGGACATGTCGTTTCTAATTGTTCTGTCATATTTCAAGATACCTGATAGACTGTGCTCTTTGATCTTGTTAGGTAGCGCGTCGTCTTCTCCTCGAAAGAATGGCCCGTACAGACGTGAGCCCTGATGACACGGATATCCCTGATTCAGAGTCTGTGGAGCCTTATGATACTGAGGTCTCTGATTCAGATGCCGACTCTGATCTTGAGAGTGTGGAAAGTCCCTTCAAGAGGCTTGTAATCGCAGCAAGCGGAAGAATCCCTAAATACACTCACGGTATACCGCATACAGTTGCTGGAAATTTCTTCCACGGAGTGTACTAAGTTTTTACATCACTGTCAGACGAAATCCAAAGAATTGTTCAGGAATGCGGCGCCAAATTTAAAAAGTTGGATATGAGCGCATATACGCACCTCATTACCACCGCCGGATGGTACCACAGTCCAGCTGTTCCCGCCAAAAGTGAGTAAGAAGCCAACTGTAATAGCCGGCAGATACTGATATATGATCGCAATACCAAAGTCACGGAGGCTCAGCGAGTTAAAACCTGCGATATTGTCTCCATTCACTGGTTGCTGGCTTCTTCCGAGGCTAAAAGGCCTCTTGCTACGAACGACTTCCTGATCCGGATGCTGGGTTCAAAACGCCCAGTACCAACCACTAGCAACTCCGTTTCCAATCCAAGTCTCAAGCGCAAGCTGAGGTCCAGTTCAATTGAGAGTGAAGGCCGGCGTACCAAAGGTGGAGCGGATATGGTTATGGCCAATCTTGACAAGCCTTTGGCTTTGGGTGATAAGGAAATTCCTGCTAACGGCAGTAAGTGGCTATTGGCTAGCTGGGGACGTATCAAATTGCTATATATGCAGTATCTGAAACAACCTTGAACAGGAAAGGAGCCTGCAGTCTGGGTTGATGATGAGAATGTGATCTGGGATGCCACATTAGTCGAACTTTCGGCTCTGGATGGGATCACAGATCCAGCGAAACCTTCGGCCAAGATCATCCGAATTCAACTTATCATTGATTCCCACGAAGAAACGTATCACACCATCATTTGGGAGATCTCTTCAGTCGAGACACCCACAGATACCCGCAAAGGTGACGGCCGTCTGCTATGCGCCATTGCTGAATTCGAAGCTGCTTTCAAAAGGTTCACCGGTCTCACCTGGGGTGAGCGTCAACAACAGCCGAAGAAAGGGAAAGCCATTTTCATTCCGCTTGGCAGCAGCGCTAGTCAAGGAAAGCTGGACTGGGGAGCGCGCAGTGCTCTCACCAAGTTTGCGAATCTAGGAAATTTACCCGCTGGCAAAACTCTCCCATCGAAGCCGTCTGAAGTGGCCTGAAGGGGTAAGCGGCGCTGGGGAGGAGGCTTTCACTTTTTGTGACCGACCTCTCTATGTTTCCTTGGTATGAATGAATTGGTTTTCTAAAAATTGAAAGAGCCGAGAGTTTGCAGAATTAGATAGCCAGGTTTGACTCCAATAACAGATCAGTATCATTTAGTGACAGATAGGCTAGTTCATCTCCTCAAATACTCCGGGGCTGTCCATGAGGATCCTTCGGACCTCGTGTATATTGCATTGTATCCCTATAGGGCAGATTGATCCTCCATACTGAATGTTAGAATTGCTTATGCTAACGTTATGTGCGCTAAATATACCTGTCTGACTTACGACTTTTGAAATTTGAGGTCCTTTAACCTTTTAGTTTAGCGGGGGTACGGCAAGTCATACCACCGACACTCTTGTTTTAGAAAGAGCGGCCCGGTGGTGCTCTTTCTACTGGACCTGGCAATCCTATTCAATTCTAGATGGATGGCAAGAAACCGCAGGATTTCACTTCCTCTAAACCTCTCTGTCCAGTCGAACAACACCGACTTACTCCCAAACATCCGAAAGTGCTTTGCCTTCTTTGGCAATCCAAGCCACTACCACAGCAGCTCTCCGAATCGCAATATACGGCAAGCGCTCCTTAAGCAAATTTCTCCATTCAACACCCCGTGTTTCTAAATCCAAAGAGGCCGAGACGTAGTCACGCCGGCTAGGAAAGAAGGCAACGCATTCCCGGCGACAAACCTTCCGTCGGATGAATTTATTTAATCATACTATTGCAATTCCTGCTCTTTGTCTGTAGATATCTTTTGAATACAATTTTCTTCAGGAGGCACGATTGACGGCATACTCTGGCCTCAGGGTGCAATCTCTAAATACCACTTTACCATATATCGACAGAAGCATTGTGATTTTGAGACAATCTTCCATTGTCGGTACAGCATATAAGATCGTATAATGATGGTTCTAGCTGAACAAAGGGTATGTGATGTTTATTTATGTTGCCCCTTTATGCATTTTATCTGTAATCTGCCTGCAAATTTACCCTGAAGTAGAAGGACCTTTCCTTCTCACTAGAAAGCATGCCTCCGATATCCCTGTCTATAAAGGAGGGGAGATCCTCCTCCAAATCGTAAATGATTTATTTCTCCCATTATTCTTGGGGTCTACCAAATTGCGCTCTTCAACATTCGCAGCTGCTTCTCTGTCTTTCTCTTGAGAATATAGGGAAAATGGAGGCCCGTATGGTGGTGGGCCCCCCGCCCGCAGCTAGGAACCAAAGCCGAAAACAGGCTGCTCAGGGTAACAAAAACGCATTCGAGGGAATAGTCATTTCGACTAGTGGGAAGATTCCTGACTACAAGCACGGTATGCCTATTAGCCAATAGAAAGTCTTCATATGCTAACGTTGCCATCCTGTGTCGGTGGTAGATGATATCCAGGCAAAGATTGAAGCATGCGGTGCCAAATTCGAAAAGCTGAGAATCAGTGATTGCACGCACCTCATTACCACAGCCGAGTGCTACCATAGCAAGGACGTCCCTGCAAAAAGTCAGTACCAAACCGAATATGCACCTTGCCAATGCTAATATCTCATTTCAATCTTCTAGTTACTCAGGCCCAGCAAACCCCCAACTGCAAGATCGTCTCATTGGATTGGTTACTGGAGTCCATCAAGGAGAAAAGACCTCTGGATTCGAAAGGCTTTTTGATCAGGGCTCTTGGTGGGAAGCGCTTAGTATCAACGAGTACCACATCCACGTCTAAAGCGAATCTCAAACGCAAACGCAGTGCCGACTTGAGTCACAGCCAGCTAAAGTGCAAAATGAATGGCAAGCATAGGGTCCTGGCTAAAAGGGACATGCTTTCTGCCTTGGTTGACAGGGCAAGCCACCCAAAAGACAGTAAGTGCCAAGAGAGCTTCCTGATACTAAACTGAATTGCCAAATTTGAAGCTTCTGACATATGCTTGAATAGAGATCAAAGGTCTTGCAGTATGGATTAACGAGAATGATGAGATCCTTGATGCCACAATGCTAGAACCCAGTTCGATGCTGCAAACTCCCACAAGGCCACCTGCAGCCACGATCAAGATCATCCGTATTCAATTGATCGCTGATATTGAGGGAGACAAGTACCATACCTACATTCGCGAGACCACAATCTCTCGTCAAACGCCCAAGAGCCTCGGTTCTACCAGCATACGCAGCAAAGTTACTTCCAAGGGGTTTGGCGATATTTCAAGCGCGATTCGTCAGTTCGAAATTGCTTTTGAGCAGCGGACTGGTCTAACTTGGAGTGCCCGTTCCACGAAGCCAAAACACTCAAAAGCGGTGTTCATTCATTTGAAAACCCAGGACAACCAGAAAAAACTCGACTCGGCAGTTTCTAATGTTCTGAGTAAACTCGTGGCACCAGAAAATTTGCCCACGATCAAAGCTGAGTTGTTGAAGCCATATCCCAACCGGCTGTTGGGGAGAGAGGAAGGACTTGCCGAGCATTTTCTACCCACAGCAATTGGTCTGTTGGATAAGATTTCCGAGGCGCAGATTCAAGCACAAGGTGGCAGTGATGCTGATAAAACCCTGGAAAGTAGCCTAACCCAGTGCTTCCTTGAGCTATTTTGGCAAGATGACGTACCTTTGCCTCACAAGATCACATCGATCAGTGAGACACGCAGCCACATCGAAGACCTGAGGAACATCAGGGCAATTGAAGACGCGTCAAACAAGAAAGGAAAACTGAATGCTCCCGCGTTCCGTCATATCTTTGACTTGCTGCACCTTGCCGCAATGATTCCAGGTATTTCTTTTCTTCTTTCTCTGGAATGCTTTAGAAACGGCCCATGAGACTAATTGGCTTTTTTATAGTGAGGGAACACACCGATGAGTACAAGTTTCTTGCTGGGTATTTTAGGCAGAGCTTTTTTGCAGGACCGGTCACGGTAAGCTCGCCCCCTAAACTCTCTATGGACCAACCCCTATCTTACCCGAATGACCCTCACGTATGTTGACCAGATTTTGGATATCTTCCAAATTGAACGACAAGGGGAGGCCCAACAATTCTCTCGGAGTCGAAAGAGTTCGGAAATCTCTTCAAGTCATCGTCGTCTACTTTGGCATGGCTCTCCCGTCTCGAACTTCCCGAGTATCCTACGGCACGGCCTTCGCATAGGCCCTAGTGATGGAATATTCTTTGCGGACCTGGCCGGAAAGTCACTTAGCTACTGTTGCGCTTCGCCAGGACAACACGCCTTTATGCTTTTATCCGAGGTTGAGCTTGGTCAAACCAGCCCTTATACCATTGGTTATACCTCTGCTGGAAAAGTCAATTCTTATTTTATCGACGGCCAATCTCATGCAAAATGGTGTGACGCAGGATGCGTGCATCCTGACTTGAAAGGTGTGCAAATTCCTGATATGAACTCGAATCATGATTATCAGAGGCCCGGCAAAGAATACATCACAGTAAATCCGGCCCAGGTACGCCAGCGATACCTATTCCACATCAAGCCTAACTGATCCGGTCTGCTTTTTCCATTGCGCCTGGGATTTCATATGATCTTTGAATGAGGGCGGATATTTTTTTCTTTTTGTTGTTCTCGACCCGAGAATATCAACCGTTTCAAACATTTGTTTTGTAGGAAATGGGCAGAATGTATGTTAGACAGCGGGATTTGGCCTAGATCTTTGAAAAAGAAACATTTTCTCTAACACCAGCTTTTGGTTCTATCTGTCACATTTCAGCGCCTTCGCAATGTCAGATTCAAATAGAAGAACTAATCAATTAATTCAGCCCTATAGGAAGACTCACGTCTTTAGCCAAACTATATGTCACAAGTAGATAGTAAGAGCAGTTTGCTGACTGCTATACGTAATGTAGTCTTCTTTTACCATCTCAACCACTGAAACCTCGAAATTGCTCTTATTCGGACCCAAATTTAGACCTCGACTATTATAGAATGCCTAGCCGAGTAAAATTGCCAAAACATGCCTGTCCTACTCAAGAGCTCTCGCGGTTCTGGGCTCTCGAAAGAAGCCCATCTTTCGATCTTTGTGCCTCTACTGCAATTCAACACAGTGATGTTGGAGCAGCAGGTCTTCTCCCACTGTGCCGTCGCTGCTTCTCTTACCTAGATCACTCGCCGACCTAAAGCCACCAGAGCTATCCTCCACTAGAGCTATTCAGGCCACCGTAAAGGCAGAAGCAGCCGAGGCTATGACGTTAACCAGAGGAATCAACTCAACATCTTTTCTTAAGGGTACAAAAACCCAATAAGGATATAGCGAGAGAGATGCGGAGGGAAGATGGGTGGGGGAAGGCATCCCGGGATATTCGAATAAGTCGACACTAGGACAGAGTAGAAATCAAGCCATGTAAGCCGGTTTGTTGAGAAATCTATTCATCAAGCACCTATGTAGTTAGATATGAAAGTGAGCATCAGTAGACTTTGTCCCATAAGCTTTTGAACCACATAAAAAAATGGCACCCCATGTATCCTAAGATCACGAGTTCCAATCTTTCTCACTCATTCCCATATCACCTCGTATATCACATAGGCAATAGGGTAGCTCGTTGGGCTACCACTAAAGCGAGGGTTTCTGTGCCAAATTCCTCCATGATTCATCCCGCAGCATCTTGTCATAGCTCTCTTCGCATTTAAAGCACTATCCACTTATCCATAGCAGCAAGGATGGCCTTCGTCTCAGCCGTAGTATCACAGTTCGAGCTAGTGGTAGTTTCGTTGTAGTCGTAGCTCAGTCCTATTTCCAGAAGTAGTAGTTCCGTCAACAAGCGTGCAAGTGTTCTCCGAAGACTTTTCCTTGATGAGAGAGGCAATCGCAGAGTAAATAGTCGCAGCACTGGTGGCCGTAATTCTCGCTGCAGAAACGTTCACAGTAACTGCTGGACACTTATCCAGGCTATTCTCGTGTAGGTGACAGTACTTAGGGGTAACTGTGTCCATGTAGACCGTAATATTACCATCCTCCCCCCACTGGTGAACCTTAGGCGTGTAGGTTATAGAAGTTATTTTAACCTCGGCAGAACACAGACCCATAAGGCAAGATGCAAGCAGGCTAGGCAGTATCTTGCTGATGGAGACCATTCTCCTCTCTCAATACGGACGAAAATTGCCCGGATATCGACGATTGCGAGGATGAGAAGCAACCAGCTTTGCATCTTCTCAAAAGTATCCCTGAAAAGTTTCAGTGGTTTCTCGGAAATAAAAGGCTAAGCGCGTACGCGTGAGATAAAAGATTCTGTAGATCAGAAGGGCTGGACTTACTCGAGAGCTAGATATCGGTCTAGATGGGTGAATATCGCTTCAGACGACGGATTTACGCTCTATTTTATACGCCAGAGATAAAGCGAGATTAAAGACATTGTCCCTAGAATCTCGAGATTTCCAATCCCTACGACATTATTATTTCGGCCCCCACGTAGTACATAGATCGTGAGTTCAGCGGGCTCTATAGCCCTAGAGCATAAATGGTACCCTCACGATAACATAATTCCCGGCCGATCTGGCCACACCAAAGCACCAACCATACTACTGTAGAAGCTCTATTTTTATTCCTCTATTTTTCAACCCAAACTAGTTTGTTTCAATGAAAGTTTTCCACTATTCATTTCTCTACGCATATGAATAACATATACAGATTTCAGGCCCTTTGGAATACCTTTTCCAAGTAGGTGCTTTACTGTAAAATATAGCGTAATGTTGATGTTTGAGACTTGGTAATATATATCTCTTGCATTGCTTAAAGCTTTCTTGCTATACTTTCTCAGTAGGTTTTAAATACTTCTAAATTGAAATTTAAGTATATTATCTTGAAAAGATATGGCTCTTGAGATATGGAGTTGTAATATATGGCATTTAGGATGGTGTTCTGGGGTGGCCAGATCGAGAACTACAGTACCTATAGGTACCGGAGCGGCCCGCTTCGGCCTTGTTCTCGATAACGAATCAGTTTCCGGGGAAAGATCAGAGCGAACAGGGCAAGAAGAGCAATGATGATGATAATTACTCAAGTGAGATTTTCTGAGAACCCCGGAAAACAAACTAAAATCCGCCAAGTGGCGTAAGAAAAGGTCATGTTAATGCTCAATAATATCTTCATTCCATCGAAAGAATAAATTTCATAACTGCGATAAGAGTTGCTTCATTGGTGTTCCGTAGCTACATAGCACGCTGACGCGGCTTTTCAGGTACAATGACGTGGCTTTTGAATTACCTACAACTAAGCGAAGTCTTGGTCTTTCTAACAGGGCAAGATAATAAAGGGACACGGTACCAGAGTCTCGGCAATAATATATGCAGGTGGGCTTCAGAGCCATGACCTTAATGAGTCTAAGTTGCGTAAAATAATTATGACATTTTAAGTTTAAAGGGACGAGAAGTAAATTATCTTCAGCGAGATTCGAATACGTGTCATCCCCCTACGTACCCTGCCAAGCTTATACACTGAAACCTGAAAGGAAGGACCCCGGGAAAGACAGGAGATTCCATAGGCGCCGTACAAAAGTCTTTCAAGCGCCCATAACTCCACGGTTTTGAACTCTTAGGATCTTCTCCACGGCTTGTCGAGCCGCAGAGCCTATTATTGAAATCTAATCCTGAACTAAGCCCCAACTAAATTCAATCTGTAGTCGCGTGCTTGCTTCCCCTCTTAGCTCTTGAGGGCCTAAATCACTCCTGAAGTTACGGAAACAATCCGAAAAGGCAACATCAACCACCAAACCATTTTCGGTCCATTCATTGTTAGTGAATGTTTTCATCCAAGAAGAATAGGGCTTAGATTTGTAGAAATTATATAGAAATGCTCAACCTTTATGGTCCTTTTTCATGGAATCAATGCATGTTTGAACTCCGAGTCCGTAGCTGACTAGATTTGTGTGGCAATAAATGAAATTCAAATCAATGTTGCTTACTAGCCCATATTTCTTAAACATAGATATGGCCTGGCATTCCAAGTCTCAATTCTTAATGACGAACTTTTGGGGCTTTTTAATGGTCGGTACATTTGGACGATCTAGAGATATCCCTTCTGCAAGACATAAGTTTCGGACCCCAAAGTTAATGTTCGAAGGATTTTAGCTTATTGTAATCTAATATTCTCCACATCTTTGGCTCCATCAGATGTTACTCTAAAATGATGAAGCCCGGTTCGTAGTCAGTTAGAAAACCAGCAGCATCCCTTAGATTTAGTTCCCTCTCGTCAAAAGTTTTCTTGTACAATTTACTAACTTTCCTCCTTGATTCTATCGGCAATTCCTTGGTTTAGATGAACTTGCAGAATGAAACCGCTTGCTAGCAGAAAGGCTAGTGTTAATCGTGCAGCGTGGGCCTTGAAGTGTCCCGAAGCCTTTCCTGTGGGCTAGGATGAGGACATTGCGTACAATACATGCATGCTTGGCCGGTAAACCTGAGAGATAAGATTACGGACTAGACAGAGGGGCAAGATTTGGAAGCGTTGAGATTGAATGTAGGTCTAGACGACCCGGTGACGCTGTTCTATCAAAGAATAGTGATGCAGTATACTGAGCGCAGAACGCCAGCCTCGAATCTTAGTCATATTTATTGCAAGGCCCAACAGGACCCCAAAGGTGTGAACGAAGATAATGGTGATCAGTAACCCCCAGCAAAACCCCCAGCAAAACCCCCGGCAAGAAAATAGGTGGTATAAAAGTGCTTTGCGCGCGGGCTTACGGCCATGCTTTATCGCTCGACTCCAGGTTGAAAGCTGGTTCAGGAATTACTTTTCAGGATTCCGTACTCGATTATTCTGAGAACTGGCCTAGGGTAGATACTAGAGCTAGATCAACTGACGGACTAAACAGTCCAGCCGGAGAAAACGCGTCCTCGATAACACCCGACTAAGCCGGTAGACGAGCAACTCAGGAATTTAGGAATAGTGAGGCATGCCGCTGCTTAAAAAATTATGCTAGAGTTGCCCAGCCCTAGAAGTCTTTCTTGTCTCAATTTGAGGCGCAGCAACTTGGCACTGCCCATCCCGGTTGATACAAATAACATGGAACCCTCCCGTGTAGGTGCTCCACCTACACGCAAGCTGCGGGCCATAATAAGATACATCATCGAATACGACTTGTGTGCTGGGCGTTCTCAATGTCCAATACTTTACTCTGGAATGGATTTTGTCCAGATTCATGACTTTCCCATCTTCGGCCTCTTTAGCTCGACATAGCTAAGGGGAAGCTTGCCTCGCCCTCATCGCTATAATTCGGCTCTAAACCCAATCACAGCGATCATGACCACACTGGCTGGCCAGGTCCAGAACGTTCGCCGGCAGAAATACCAATTTCCATTCAGGGAAGCACTCTGGGCTACCCTCCTGATAATTTTCCTCTTGTTGGCCTATAACCCATTGGTTACCCAGCTGCGCCGGTTTCGTTTTCGCGGTGATCTTACCCCATACGACATTGGTTTCGATGGATTTGCACCCTCACAGGGATACCGCAGTTCTGAGCTCAAATCGCCCAAACTGGCATTCATTCATACCGATGCCCGTTGCAGTCAAGATTACATTTTCTTTGCGCCAAACGGCGCTTCTATTCCCAGGCCTGGACCGGTGATTCTTGATAGCAATGGAGAGTTAGTCTGGTATATATGGGAAGGATTGGAAGGTGTCACACAGGACTTCAGAGTGCAGCGGTACAAGGACGAAGACTTCTTGACATTTTGGGTCGGGAATGAGATAGATGGGAAGAAACAGGGTCAATGGTATATGGTACGCGGCCACATGATCTGCATCATTTCAAAGCTAACAGCCGTGAATGTTTGTTTAGCTTGACTCATCATATAAAGTCCGATATGCCCTCTCCCCCGCCGGGAGTTTCACTAAAGGGGATATGCACGAGTTTCAGCTCACACCGGAGGGAACGGCATTGATTGTGGTCTATGATTCTATTCCCGGTGACTTGAGTTCCATTGGAGGACCACTGGACGGCTGGATTCTAGACGGGATAATTCAGGAAATTGACATTGAGACTGGAGAGCTTCTATTTGAGTGGCGCGCATCAGAGCACTTCTCTGTTGATGATACATATCATGGGTTTACCGGCTGCCAAAAAGCAGATGCAGCTGCCTTTGCTGGATGTGGCAATTCTCCAACCTCCGCTTTTGACTTTTTCCATCTGAACAGTGTGGAGAAGAATCAGCTCGGGAACTACCTGGTCTCAAGCCGGTATACTCATACCATCAGTGGGGTGAGTGGGAAAGATGGGAGCCTTCTCTGGACGTTAGGAGGGAAATCCAACGACTTTCAGGATCTTTCTTCTCATGGATCAGCAACAGCATTTGCCTGGCAGCACCATGCTCGCTGGTATGGCAATAGCAGTATTACGCTATTTGACAACGCTGTCGAAGATAATTCTGACCCCTCTTTGGAGAGTCGGGGACTTATCATCGACCTGGATATCGAGAAGCGACAAGCTAGTCTACGCGCGGAGTTCCTCCACCCCCAGAAGATGGAAGCTGTTTCTTTGGGCAGCATGCAGATACTGGAAGGCAGCGGGAATATCTTTGTCGGATGGGGCCACAGTGCCGCTTTCACGGAATTTTCTCCCGATGGAAGTGTGCTCTGTGATATTCATTACGGCCCTTCCGCATTGAATACATTTGGCCGATTGAAGTCATACCGAGTCTTTCGCGGTACATGGATCGGAAACCCAACTGAGCCCATCAATGTTGCCGTCAAGGGAGAAGTGATTTACGCCAGCTGGAACGGGGCAACACAGGTAGCCCGCTGGCAGTTACAAGTTCAGAGAGACAATAAAGGGGAATTTGATAGCGTTTCTCAGGTTTTCAAAGATGGATTCGAGACAGAGATCAGACTCCCGCCGACACTTAGGCCGGGATCCTTGGTTCGAATTCAAGGGCTGAATTCCGAGGGTAATATCCTCGGGTCATCACATATCGTGGAGATCGCAGCACAAAAAGAAACGTCATTCATGGTTGGTATCTTGGTGATATTTTCTGGGATTATCATCCTGGCTTGCGTGATGTTTATGAAAAGACGACAACATGGCCGTCCACAGAATGGTGGCGAATATCAGATACTCCCGGTTGCGAATTAAATGGTCTTTGTTTGCTACATGTACAGGGTCGGATTAACCGCAGTATAAAGTCGCTCCTAACACTACACACTATTTCCTAATTAAGAACGCCACCGTCTTAGTATAAAATAATAATCAACAGCGCTGGCTGGGGGCTGGGCATCTTGTCTGCCTTGAGCCCGGCGCTACTTTTCCCTCCATCCCCTTGATAAAGTATCATTTGCCCGGTTGACACTGGAGCCATCAGATGATCTGTCTCCCTCGCGCCTTGGACAAAACATTGGCCCACCAAGCGTAATCAAAACGGCTAGTCATCTAGTCGAAGCGTACATTGATTCATTGACAATCTAAGTCGATGTGCCGATTAAATCTTCCATGTGATCTAAGCAGTGTTGTTGTACAGATCGATGTGGGAGAAACCAAAACCTCGTTCGATGTGCTTTTGGAGCTCTTGTGTACCTACTCGCCGTACTTTGACGACCTATTCTTTAAGCGATTTGAGGAGGCTATCGCCGAGCCGTGCATTTTCTTTCCAGACGATGATCCGCAAGTCTTTGCCCAAATTATTCTGCAGATGTATCGCGGCGAAAGTTCTCTTGAAGCACTTGGGTGCAAGAAAATGGAGTTCCTGGTTTGGTTGTGGATTATGGCTGTCAAGCTGGAAATGGCCGACTTAGAGAACTTGGTTATGGCTATTTGCAAGCAAAAAGCCGACCAAAAGCCAACGGCTATTCTGGCCCGAGATACGGTCAATCACATCTATTCCCATACCTTACCTCAATCCCCAATGCGAGGCTTAGCTGTGGATATATGGGCGCGAAGCGCCACGACAAAAAGCTTCGAGGAGAAAAAAGGGGGGGTCTCGCAGCCTTTCCTCGAAGACCTCTGCACTGAATTGATTACGCAAAGAGAGAGTATGGGATTGCCCACAAATTGGACGTCCTTTCCTGAGGACCGCCATCTCACTCTTGCCTCGCCTTTGACTGACAAGGACGGACATGCTTTGCCCCCACAAGAGGCGGCCGAAGTCAGGCATACAGCTACCGAGGGTCAAATGAAGTCAAGGAAAACTAAAACGCCCCACTCGCGGAGAACTGCCAAGTCAAGAATATCGGCTTCAGCCGCGCCCATTCCCGGGGAATTTCAGGAACAACATAATATGGACGAGGATTTCACTCAATTGAACATCCAAAACCAATGAGCTGAAGCTGGTATAACCCAAGAAATCTCTAGACGAGATATTCAATCTATTCCTTAGCAGCTCCATGATATTTGCAGTTTTTTCAAAAGACGCCGGGAGAAACCGAATTTTTTATGTTCGTAATCGGACAGTCCTGCAGGACTCACTCTCGCATGGAGTTTCTCGGGGTCGTCTCACATGTCTTGGACACCAAAGCAAAGACGTAGCTGGCCATGCGTAATTTTCGTATTCTGCGCTATATCACGTCCCGATAGAGAGTTTTTGTAGCAAGTTGAATAAGTTCGGCAGGTGTATCGGGGTCCTTATAATATGATGTAGGCGACGGTGGGAATCGAGGTGATGGGCATCGATTAACGGCTATTTCATCTCATTTACGTGAGAGACGAGTCCTCTATGAATATCACTATCAGTCCATAGTCAGGTCTGGAATTCTTTACTCGAAAAATTGGATAGTCTCGTTGATTTTCAGTATGTCTAGTGGGGATCAACGGCGACTATCGATAATTAAATCATTAGTCTGGAGATCGTCACGGATAGCCTCCAGTTGCACAGAATCACCACGGGTAACTGGAAACTAAGCATTTACACTCTCTGATTCCGCGAAAATCAAAAAATACTTCGGAATTGTGTGTGTGTGTGTGTGTGTGTGTGTGTGTGTGGATAGACCCTATCTACTTTTGATTCTTGAAGATTCAGCTTTGTGTGTCAATCTGATCTAGAAAATTAGCCCCACTCTCCCCACTATTGATCTCCCGGTCACAAATACGGTAGGAAGGTGGCTGTAACCACTACTATAACTATACACACGCAAAATATATGACTAAATCGCACCCAACTCTATGTACTGGGCTATTGCAACCTTGCCAATAATCATCGAGGATCAGGCTAGTGCGTGTTCATTCTATGTGTATCTGTGTGGTTATAAAGAATAGGGGTAAATCGAGAGAATTAGCCATTCTCGACCGAAATGGGATGCTTTTAGTACACATGCCTTACAATACCAATGATCCAGGGACTAGAGTAATTGGCGTAAAAGACCCGCTGAAAAAGTTACCTGATCAGGACTCAGGTACTGTAGATCCCTGAGACCCGGACACGCCACAGAGGCACAGACAGTATAATAGCAGAATAAGCAGTCAAACGATGTTCTATGGTTTAGTGTCTATAAATTGCTGCTTAAACCCCCGATGCAAGCAGCAATTTCTTCCAAAATTATCCATGAGATTGGGCTTGATTTTCCAAGACACCTCACCACCAAAATGGCATCTACCTTCAACTTTTTGTTGATGCTTATTAGTCTGGTCTTTTATTCTTCAAAAGTTCTAGCAGAATTGACCTCCGAACAGAAGGTATGACTGATTTAAGTTAGAGTTTAAAACAAACAGCTGACGCGTTATATGGATAGGTCATTGCTCTTGACCTCCATAATCAATGTAAGGTCCCTTTATCAAGTTGGATCTATGAAAACGACACGTTTCATTAACTCATTTAGATCGTCGTCCTGTGTATCCTCCGGCCGCCAACATGTTAAAGATAACCTGGGCTGATGAACTCGCCGATCAAGCCCAGGAATGGGCTGATAACTGCACAATTGCGAACAATCCTCAGCCCTATGTCTCAGGCTTTGGCCGTGTTGGACAAAACTTCTACGCCTCCTCTGAATCGGAAAACATCGTGAGGAGGGCAATAGAATCTTGGGGTGCCGAAAGGGAGCTTTACCACGAGAACGGCTCATGCGATACTGAGTATGCCTGCGGTCATTATACGCAAGTAAGTGATATAAATGATAATATTCCCTTTCTAAGTCTTGTTATTGGAGCTCGCTCACATTTATCTTTTATATTTTAGCTTGTCTGGGCCAAAAGTTATAAACTTGGCATGGGGGTATCTGCGCAAAAATGTTCTTCTGACAACTTTCCTTCTGGCATGTATCTAGTAGTTGCCTATTACAGTCAGGCTGGAAACTATCTAGGGGAATTTCCCTATGAAAAAGGCATACCAGCTTCCAAATGTTTTGCGGGATCGGCTCCGGGGGACGATGGCTTGTGCTGGGTGACTGATGAAGCCAAACTAAAGGATACCATCGGGGAATAAGATTATGTTAGCTCATGAAGTGGTAATTTACTACTTATTTAACCAGAGGTTGGTTACTCAGAAGCTCTCATCCGTTAATATTTTACATCATACATTGGCCTACTACCAATCTCGGTGTTGTAACCATCATGCAGCATATTTTTATGCGGGCTACTTCCAGGACTTCCGTTGGATTGTCTCTCCCATATCTATTGCCCACTTTCAAACGCTACCCAAATCAATATTTCTTTGTGTTCGATTAGAAAAAAGTCTTAATACGAGGTGTCCTGAGTTGCTCACCCTAAACTAATCCCCAGGTCTTTTACCCTTCGAGTAGTAGTGTATCATTTACATCCATTTAGCTGCTCTAGCAACAGAGGAAGAGTGCTAATGTTACGTTTAAGTTTTAATATAATACAATATCCTAAATAAGTACGAAAGAATTATTAAATAACAGTGAAGACTCGAGGGAAGAGGTTAGAGAAGGCAAAAATAACACCCGCAGAAATGCCAATCTCAAGATGCTCCGGCTCGTCATCTCCTATCCCATGCTAGCCAGAATTCTGGTTCCTGGTGGGGCCTACTCATTGCCATTATAGCTTCTGAGAAAGAGCAGTAAATCTCACCTCTAGGGTACCCAAATCAAAGGTCGAAAGGACGTTGTTCAAGAAACTAGCACCCAGTATATAATCACCCCCACTATCCTGAAATCCGACAATACATTGTTTCGTAGACGGATCAAATGAAGTCTGCAGGATGAGGTCGTCAGGACTAACAGAGAAGTTCACACCGTCAATAGTGAAGGCGAATTGGGCGCAGTGACGTTACATGGGACTTGATAAAGTTGGGTGGACGCGGCGATGGTGGCAGGTGGGTTGAAGGAGCGCGCAATGGAAGTGGCAATAGCTGTTAGAAGCAGAATAGATTAGATGTGAGCGGACTGGTATTTGAGTATTCGGACTTGTCGCTAGGGAGCATAGTGAGAGTGGTAGCGGTCTCCACGAAGCCGACAAAGGGGGCAAATGAGGAGGAGTTAGTTCGGTTAGTTCCTCCAACGATAGCACCATCGATGTTGATGTAGTAGTAGTCAGGGCGGTTGATGGAAGGCTTTGAGCGAGTATCCTTGCTCTGGAGTGAAAATAAATCTCGTGGTTAGCCGATGACACATTTCCTCTCTCTTTAAAGGAATGATAACTCACAGTGAGGATAGACACAGAGGCGGTTTTGCCTGTCGTATTGACAGGGGGGATACCACCAACGGAAAAGTACCCATTAGGCCCATCACGATCGGGCGCAAAGCTGAAGGTAGGCAAGTTCAAGTGCTGGTCAACCATCTTGTAGAAACCTGGCGCCACGAAATTCCACCATCAACAAGATGGGATCTCTTGATCCCGATGAGAGGAAAGTCTTTTCTTTCTCCATTCTCCTCTACTGGAATATCTTCGAGTAAGATGACTCGGTCATCATTTTTCCATTCGTCCAAGAAATGGATATGGTTTTCGCGTGTATACGTGGAGGTTGGAGCTCGGAAATCACTGGAACTTGATTCAAAGGAAGGGCCGACGTTTCTGGGAGGTTCTCAGCAACACCCTTTAAAGCCTGCAACATACGATAGCCATTTCTTGTTAGGGTAAGGCTGATGCCAACCCCTGGATTTCCCGCTCGAACCCCCCTGGGGCCTTCGATTTCTACCTAGCATACTAATACATAGTATTCCATCTGGTGGTCTTCTATATAGTGGAGGTTTATATTAAGCTCAAAATCTTTGACTTAACTTCAACTCATTTTTTTAGTCGCGACTAGAAAGCTAATCACCTGCTTATATCGAGAGATATCATTTGGGCCATCCGGAAAGATATTTGAAAAGACCTTCCAAAAGATACTTAGTGCCCTATACTCATGACGGACTTAGTAAGATTTAGTCCGTCAGGCAGACACCTAAGGCCCCTGGGGGTGCGCAGTAAATCTAATGGGTGGCAGCAGTCTCGCCCTATCGTTATGCCATGCTAAATTGGCCAGATCCCTGTTCAATTTTGACCTCTCCAGCGAGGCTGTTTTACGCTAAAGATAAGTAGGAAGGAGTGGCAAACATCACTCCTTCCACTCCTCTCTGCCTAGCCTGACAATATCAGCCTGCTCTAAAGCCCAGAACTTGGAGGGCGCTTTGCCTTCTTCAGCAATTCTCGCCGCTGCTACAGCAGCTCTCCCGATGATAGTTTGGTCTTGGCCTGTACATAATGAATCAGTATCCTAATCACAATGTAACATCTGCCCTGATTAGGTTCTCATACCTATTCGGTCCTGGATACCCTGTCCGAGCTTGTTGAGGTTCCCCACGATACTTTCGAAAAATGCAGCTTTGGGAACTTCTCTGCCGAGAATCATTCCCGGCCTCAGGATAATCGCATGGTCGAACCCCAGTTCCTTGATGGCATCCTCCACGCCAACTTTCATCTTCGAATAAGGAACTTGATTGGAGAGAAAGCCGCGGGTCCCGGCACTAGATATAAACACGTAGGTCTTCACTCCCGCTGCCTTGGCGGCCCGGGCGTTCTCGATACATAAATCATGGTCAATCTTCCACTGATTTTGGATGCCACCAGCTGCAGCTCGCGTGGTACCAATCGCGTTGAAGGCCACAGATGGCTTGGGTGTCAAGGAGCCAATCATGCCACCCCATTTTGAGGTATCACTTTCTTGCAGAGCCTCGAGCTTTGGAGACTCGATGTTCGGGGTTCGTCTCGACACGGTCTTGACGAAGGCGAATTTATCCGAGGCGAGAAGTGTTGCGAGGATCTGCGAGCCCACCGCTCCAGTAGAGCCAAATACAGCAGCTGTCGACATTTTTAGAGAGCTAGAGGTTCTAGATAACTGGAGTGACACAGCGAAGTCGTTCAAGCTTGACGTTCGTCATACCGAGGATGCACAACATGTGACTGGTCGATCCACATGAGCTTTGCATTGCGTGCCTCAGGCAACAATTAGTCGGCATTCATTCAGCTGGATCCCTTACCGAACAGACCGGACATTACTCGGCATTTCTTCCACTCCTTACACAAGGTAAAGGACCTCAAGATGCATATATTTTGTACATTCTCCATCCCACTACGGGCCATGAACCAGAGCACGCCGACAAAACTATTTCATAGTTATCAGATTCGATTACGCACAACCTCCCTACTCCATAGCTAAATACACTCTCAGTCCATCTCAATAACGAGAAGCCTCGGTTTCGGTGCTATGTAGCGGTACGCACTCGTCAAAAGCGCCACTTCACTCCAAAGATCCTCCGCATCCATTTGCCCCGGCCGGTCCGTGTAGAAGAACTCGCCGAGGAGGGGCCGCACCTGCGTCGCCCAGTCCTCCAGCGCGAGAGAACGCACGACATGCGCGAGATGGCTTACAAACCAAGCATGCGAGCTGTCTCCCTGTGAGGCCATGCCGCCGATGAATAGGAGCCAGAGGAGTAGGTCTGGTGCTGTAGCGTCAAGGGTTGATGATGATGATGATGATGATGATATCTCTGCTAGCCTTATCTCGAGGCTTTGTTTGAAGGTCTCAACCATGTACCGCAATATTGGTAGGTCTTGGAGCTTGGAGACACGTGTGTACAGGTAGATCATTAGAGAGAGACGAAGGGGTTCGTTCAGGTTGAAACAGTGACGACGCTGGTAGCGGCTTTCGAGTTCATCACCGGGTGTGTGGTTGTGGCTGTAATGTGTGGACAGCAGTTCATGCTGGATGATGACGAAGAGGTCATTGTCTGTGGGCGCAACGACTTGGGGGAATATGATTCCAATCTCGAAATGCCGAATAAGTCTTCGAAAGGCCTCGAGTAGGGATTTCAGCGTTGGATGGATCTGGGTATGCCAGGGGGATGTGGTGAAGCGAATGCCGAGAGATAATAAAGTGGTGGGGATCATGTAATCGTCATATCGAAGTTCTTCTCCCTCGAATATGTTTGATACGTGGAAAATTCCGTTTCGGAACCTTTGCAGCATCGGAAAGATGGGTTCCGTATTTTGCAGAGCCGCAAGCATAAGAGCGCCTCTAACACAGGTTAGTAGGGATAATCAGTACCAATATCAGCAAAGCTACTTACTGATATACTGTGGACAACATCATGTGCTCTAGGTCATCAAGGCCGCCCATTATGGACACAAGAGTTTTCAGTCCCTGTTTATGGGCCAAGAGGGCATCAAAATTCGCACCAATCGCCTAGTTGCACTTAAGCTTAAGTCTCTGTCAAGACTGTTAATTTAAGATCGAAGGAAAACACACCTCATTACCCACAAGTGCGCTTACAAGGAGGAGTGTAGGGTGCGTAGCTGATTTCGCCGGGTCCTGCAAAGATTCATTAAGCGCCTTTATCGCTTTCATGCGGAAGTATATGGAATCTCTCATCGACTTCTGGATAAGGTCAGCGGAAATGCCTTGGATAGTGCCCACGAGCGCCTTGTCTTCCGCGGCCCTAAACGCGCAAGTCTGAAGCATGGCAGGCGAGGTCATTGCCTTTTGCGCCCACCAGTTCTGCATATGCGACGCATCGAACGGATACGAGCAGTTGATGATTCGGACCCTATCTATTCGGAGCGGTTAGAATTCCTTTTAAGGCTTCGCGCCGCTTAGGTAGCCAACAGCATGCTGACCAGCCAGTGGGTGAGCGAATCACGTACAATGATGCAAGTACATCCACAGCTTCCCCGTCATCGGTATTGCGAACGTGTCAAAGGGGTCCCCGTAGCGCTGGTTTGGGGTCATTGTCAAGGATACCACTTTCTCCGTCTTCACTTGAACACGCGTTGGATTCTTTTTTATGTCATTTCCTTGGGCCTTTTCCTCGCTGCCCTTGGTCATAGTCTGTCGCAACACCACACGGTTTGTGGGGAGCCGCGATCTCAGCCTATCTATAGAAGCCTGCTTCTTCTGTTGGTGGAATCTTTTTTGAACAAATATCCTCTCCTGCCTGCCAACCGACGCACTTCCTTCGGCTCCATCGCTCTGCAAGTGAACGAACATGAAATTGCTCTGGCTTGTCGGATTTGCCCGTCCAAGTCTCAGAGGTAGGCCCCCTGGCGGGGGAGCTCCGGGGCGTTGCTCCCCGGATGAGGAGGATGGCGACTTTGACGGGGCGACCGCCATGGCAGAGAGGACGACGGCGAGATCCGCAATTGATCTTGGCACAAATAATAGTGGAGGGGAGAAACCATCGCAAGGATCCTGAAAGTACCGTATTTTTATTGGTTTCGACAGGCCCCCATTCTCTTCAGAACGGGGTCAATGTAGCCGAAACCAGCATAAGCGAACCGGGGGAAAGGCCCCATCGATATTCCCCACTTGCCTAGCTAGGGTTCGCACTTTTTCCTGCAGAGTTGTCCGTCTTAGTATTTGTGAGCGATGGGGACTAACGTTCCAAATCATAATATCATCGACCGCTCTTGAGTTTGTTATTTGATATCTCAGGCATAGAGTCAGGGAAAAGAAATACAAATATCCACAAAGCGCTGCTGACATATTGACCGAGTTAAAATCCTTCAATGTGGGGGCTGAACCAGATCATAGCTACTATTGGTAGATAGTCTGGTCCACTGGTCTATAGTAGCATACATATCCTGATTTCACAAATCAAAGATAAATCATTCGATTGGCATCCACTACCAGATCTACCATTTATCGTAGTCCGGTATATCCTCCTCATAGTATGTCTCCGTAACCTTAGAGAATCCCACTTCTGGGGCATGAGGCGGCCAGGGTTGACCCGTTCCAGTTGCGAAAAGAGCAAAACTGGCACCCTCAAAAACAAACCAATTCGTAGGTGCAAATGCTAACCAGGAAGACGGCAGTTCTTTCAGCCAATGCTTTGTACCGTTAATTCCGAAGCTATAGCCAAGGGTGTAGGACAGCGGTTCAGCTCGAATATGAAGCGTCATATCAGACGCAATGGACGTCGAATTCAATCGCACTTGATCGTACTAAATTATTATCAGCATTTAGTCCTCAGAACTTGAAACGGGGCTAATCCATTACCTCAGTCGTGGTGTTCATCATCAGCCGAGTAACTATGCACATCCCCGTGCTATTGACACATCCGGAGACAGCAATATCTTGATGTTGAAGTTCGCTCAAGTAGGCACTGATACCGACTGTCTCCCCGTATCCAAGGCCAGAGTTGGTTGGTAGGAGTTGCGCACTGAAAGTCATATTCAATGATGTTTGCTTCCGTAAAATGGCTGCCGGGGTATCTCTGTCGCTCAGACCAAACACGTTTGGCTTGAAAGTAATCCCATTGGCGCCATTTCCTTTCGTCATGAAGTTTGTCGTATATGGAATTCGTAGCTGATACCACGAGGGATCAAGATTTGCACGATCAAAATTGTCCGTGAATGGTTTTGGAGGTAAAACTTGGTCCGTTGCATTACCGAACGATTGAGTGAGTCGAATTGGCTGTCCTCCATTGACAATAGGCCATCCATTTTTCCACTGGACTGGAGCAAGGAAGGTTTCTCGTCCAAGTGGTGATGTGCCATTGATCTTTCTCCGAGCCAAGAATGCTACATAGCTCTCGCCTTCTGGTGTATCAAAAAGAGTGGCATGACCAGTCGACTGTACTGTGAGGTTATCATATCCGTACGCACCGTTGAACAGAATCGGATTGTTCGGTGCTGCCTCCCAGGGCCCCTCAGGTGAAGCGGAGCGCGCAATAGAAGCTCGATGGAGATCGTCCGTGCCCCCTAAACGAAATCAATCTCAGCGCGATGTCAAACGGATATGTCTATCTAGGATCGCACCGACCTTCAGCAATGAGAAGATAATACCAATGATCTCGTTTGAAAATTTTTGGACCTTCGGGTCTGGCAGATGAATTATGCGGCAGGGTCCCATTCCACAACGAGCGGTATTCGCCAATACACCGGCCACTATCCACATTGACTTCGCATTGATATATTCCCCAGATCCTATCAATATTGTTGTTGGGAGCCATGAGGTTCAAATAAACCTTTTGTGTCACCGGATCTTGGAACAACGAAGGATCAATCCCCCACGCGTCCCCCCCAAATGGGATCAGACCATGTCTTGAGGTCGTGGGACGACACCCACATGACACGAGGCCATACCCGCGCAACAGGATCATAGGTCCATCTTGTCATGGAAGCCATATAGTATTTACCATCCACAAGCGACAGTGTCGGCGCCCATGTACCTGTAATCCTGTTGAGCTTACATGACTCTCCAAAACACAAGATAGGAGCATACTTACCAGCACCTGTCGGGACGCCATATAATTGAGCTTGACTAGGCCTTGTAAATGCGTGCGAGTAGAGCTGCCAATTGGCAAGATCCTTCGATTTGTAAATTGGGGTACTGGGCCAGTACTCGAACGACGATGTCGCGAGGAAATATTCATCACCGACGCGAATGATAGAGGGATCAGGGTTCCATCCTGGAATGATGGGATTTTTGATAGCAAATGTTGCCAACACCCAAAACTGTATGAGAAACACTGGGTTGAAAAGTTGCCTCATTTTGCGCGAAATCGCAAGGGTAAGATGCCTAGACACTTAGCTCCGTGGGTGCTTTAGTTGAATTTGTACGAGTTCTATCAGTCCCTTCATTTTAGGCTCATTAACCTAGTCGACTCAGCCTAATGCTCCATGTGAGCTGTAAGATATTAGCGGTTAATCAATCAAGCTTCCGGGAAATTCAATCAATCTCCATCTGAACATACCTTGCAACTATGTTGCCGGCGGTTATCCGGCAGATGTCCCGAATCAAGGTTTCTGCGCCGGCGTCTGTCCGTTGATTACCCCGGCAGGTTACCCCACGGGGTTATTTCATAGTCAGAGACTAAATATCGATTACTATTAGTTAATTCGCAGAAATATGCGGGATTAATTTTTATCCTTGATGTTTATTGAATTATTTTGTGTGGTGGCACGGCGGTACATATATTTACAACCCTGTCATCTGGTTATGCGACAACAACAGCAGGGGTTCAACGCAAATCAAGTGCAAGATGCGATTTCTTAACTATCTCCTTGTAGCTGCCACTGCGGTGAATGGCTTGGTCAGTGATATCCCTTCATTGAATGGTAAATCTATCGCTTCTGGCAGCTATTTGAGATCAAAACTGATCACAATTCCAAAGGGCCGGTCCCGGTGGTGCCCACAACCGAAGGGTCGAAAAAGCGAACGAGCGAGTTCCAACATCCAGGTCTTTGGCATAGCCATGAAGATCTTGAAGCAATGCGAAAAAATTCCTTGGGTGGAGTAGAGCCGTGGGCATCGGCATATTCACGATTTTCGAACGATTCATACTCCCTCGCGACCTACAAGATGCAAGGTCCTCATTCTGTCGTCAGTCGTGGATCAATCAGCAACTATACCAGTTTTGCCAACGATGCTCGCGCTGCTTATCAGAATGCCATAATGTGTAAGGCTATCTTTAATTCTGCAAGAAAAGCTACTAGCTCTAACTATTAGTTCAATAGGGTACATCACCCAGGACCAAGCTCACTGGGATCGATCCACTACGATTCTCGACGCCTGGGGTACGAATCTGACCAATATTATTGGTACCGACCGCTCGCTGCTAGTCGGCATCAATGGTGTCGTTCTTGCTAATGCTGCAGAAATCATGCGCTGGGAGGGAGGATGGGTTGAGCAGGGTGCATCCTGGAAAGGCGGTTCTGGATTCAGCATCCAGCTGTACTGGCTGTTCGCCCGACAGAGCATAATCATCGGACAGGCCAACTACGGCGTCGCCAGCATTATGGGGCTGCTCAATTTTGCCGTTTACCTGGATGATGTCGCTCTGTACAACTACGCTCTGTATGCGTACAAGAATGATCTTTGTGCCGGGCTAACCGCAAACTTTGACCAGTCCACAGGACAGGGTGCAGAGGCCGGCAGGGATCAGACGCATGTACAAGACGGACTTCAGTGGCTATCCATGGCTTCCAGAGTGGTGAAGAATCAAGGATACGACCTCTTCTCATTGGACAAAAATCTCTTGTTCAAGGCATCAGAATATGCAGCAAAGTACAACTTGAACGGGACCGTGCCCTACGATGCATCGTTCTACAGATGTGAAGCGGTCTTGGTCAATGGGCCTTGGGCAAACATCTCCGCTGAGAATCGGTATATTGGGTATCAGAATGGAAAGACTAATCCAGCATGCTGGGGTATCACATACTACGAGGGTTTGTCTCGTGGCTTGGATGTTCCGTGGACTAAACGCGCAAAGGATCTTTACGATGCTTCCGTGGAGGCTCAGACTTCTCCAGTTGATTTCCTTAGTTGGGCCGACTTGTTGTTTGCTACCAAGGCGAAGTCCAATCAATAACTCTATAGCCTCGCACCGAGAAATAATTTCCATAACTTAGCACCCAATCTATCAGCTTCTTGTCTCACGTTATGAAACCCATTGTTTCCTCGTGCTATACTTCTCGGAGTTCATTCCGGTTCCCCAGAAATACATTCCGCGCTAATCCAGTTTGAGCCAAAAAGTGCGATAGAACCATGAACAAACCACGTTCGTAGAAATAGTCCGAAGTCATATTTCTCTATAGAATTGTCGAGGGATGTATTTATTCGACAAGATATATCCTAAAATAAGAACCTCATATTCATCAACCTTATACTTTTAACATACTCACCATAACCATGACCCGATCAAAAGAGGGCTTCCTCTGGACACCACAAAACACAACAGAGGGCCTCGAAACCGAAGCCGTCGTACAAAGCTCCAAAACCATACAATCTGCCTATGATGTTGTCGTCATCGGAAGCGGATTCGCAGGGCTCATAGCCGCCCGCAATCTAGCCCAAGACTCCACCCTCCGAGTGCTTCTCGTCGAAGCACGGGATCGCATCGGTGGTCGAACCTGGACTGCCAAGGCATTTGGGGAAGAATTTGAGATGGGTGGGACATGGGTGCATTGGAACCAGCCTCATCTTTATCATGAAATTCATCGATATGGGCTTCATCGGTATCTTAAGACTTCGGCGGGGACTATGGCGCCCGAGAAGTGTCACTTTAAGCCCGCTCAAATGCCGGTTCAGGATATTTCCCCCGAGCAGAGTGTAGCGGCCCTTGAAAGAGTCGCAGAGAAGTTCTTCTCAATCGATGGGATGGATAGTCGCACTCTTATGCCCTTCCCTCATGAGCCTTTCCGCGAGCCAGCTGTGTGGAGAATGTATGACCATTTAACCGTCAAACAGCGGCTTGGCCAGTTAGACGGTTTATCGCAGTTTGAAAAGGAAATTTTCGAATCAAATGTGGCAACTTTCGGAAGTGCCCCTGGAAAAGATATCGGTTTCACCGAGGCGCTTCGCTGGTTCGCTCTTGGTGGACATAGCATGGCCAGTGTATTTGAGCGAGCTGGTATCTATAAACTCGGAAACGGAGGTATGACAGCCTTTGCACGAGCTATCCTGCGAGACTTCAAGGGTGACGTGCTCTTCGACACCGTCGTCAAGAAGGTCGATCAAGGTCTCCAGGGCGTCTCATTACGAATGAAAGATGGCAGACAGGTCGATGCAAAGGCAGTGGTGTCAACTGTTCCTCTGTGAGTGCACCTGTGCAATTCGTAAGGTGGCTAGGACTAATGTCAAACAGCAACTGCCTCGGTGATATCACATTTAACCCACCACTGTGTGCTCTCAAAGCTGATGCCATCGCGTCCGGTCATATCAACAAGGGCGCAAAGATACACTTTAATCTTGCTGCCGCCGAGCCGGGATGGTTTGCAACCTGCAGTACCTCTAGCGAATCGCCTTATGTCTTTGCCTTTTCTGATCATAACGGACACGAGCCGTCCGGTCCACGGGGCACATGGTGCATTGGGTTTGGGTATAATGGGCAATTGTCGGAGAAGAAGAGTAGCAAAGAGATCATCGAGAAGTTCCGAGAGAACATTCGCCCTGGCGCTGATGTCCAGGCGTATCTCACGCACGATTGGATGAACGATCCGTATGCCAAGGGAACCTGGAGCTGCTGGGGACCTAATCAGTTCAGTCGGTATGTTCAAGAACTACAAAAGGCAGATGGCAGGGTGTTTTTCGCTAGTGCAGACTGGGCGGATGGTTGGAGAGGTTTTGTAGACGGAGCTATTGAAAGTGGACAGAAGTCTGCAAACGAGGTTAAGCTTTTCTTGCATAGTCACCACAGTGCAAAGTTGTGAGGCGGCACGCGGGACATTTATATATCTGGCCGCAATTGAATATACAGACGGGAGAATTGAATTGAATCTAGCAATATGATATAGACATATAATCATTAGCACCTAGTCTAACAATCAGACCATAACAGCGCCCATAGATGGTAACGAGATTGATGCAAAATCAGGGTATTGGCAAGAAATGAAATAACAATCATCGGAGGAGGGATTAAGCAGCGGCCTGTTCCTCAGTCTCCGAAGCGCTCTTTCCATCTTCAACAGCCTTGCCCCACGCCTGCTCAAATGCAGAGTCTGTAGCGGCCTCCGGGACCGGCTCCTCAGCGGGGGTAACAGACTCGAGCTCCTGCACATCGTTGTCAACGAGGATTGGGGCGCTCTGAGCCATGTCCTCGCCAAGCTGAGCCTCCGGCTCGTTCTCAACCATCACATTAGCAAATGACGAAGAAATGGGTTCAAACTCAGCCGAGTCTCCACCCTCAGCCGCAGCAGTCTTGCTAGCACCCAGGAGTTCAAGCTCAAAGTTGGAGCTGTAGATCACAGCGGAGAAGGCCTCCAGTTCACGAACATTCTGGTCCATGGCAACCATATACTCATTAGGAGCATGGGTGCCGTTTCCAATCACATGAGCCTGGCGAGCCAACACAGCCAAGAGGTTGGCAAGCTTGGTCTTGCGCTCGGTCGAGGCGGGAACAACAGTGGCCATGGAGTCGAATGACTGTGGAACTGTCGTAGCAGCCGAGTCGGATGCCTGGAAAGCCTCGTTGGCGCACTTGGTATCGACGAGAGTGGAGAATCCTTCGTTATTCAGAAGTGTGAGGACGAAGGAGAACGAAGGCGAGTCAATAAGATCGGCTGTCTCATCAAGAAGATGGCGCAATTTCACGGCAGTCTGCGAGGAAGACGGATCGGCAACTCCTTCGACGCCCGATTCACGAAGAACGTATTCCTCCTCGTCTGTCGGGGGGAGCAGGCAAGACAGCCACTTCTTGGCACTATTAGAAAAGAGTTGTCAGCTATCTCGTGTTTTGACGATATTCTGTTGCTCGGGGCATCATACCGTCGTTCTTCCTCGGTATTTCCCTCCACCTTTCTCCGGATCTGAAGGGTCAACTCCGACAACTTGGCTAGACTGATATCTTCACGGGGGTTAAGAGGACCAAAGACCTCCTCAACAGCAGGTTGAACGCGTGCTACCAACTCCTTCCAGCCTCGGTGTAATAGCCACCAGCTGAAAGCCAGATACCGCCTGTTTGTCTCAAAGTCATCGCCAAGGGTCTGAGTCAGCTCGTCATCGTGATCTTCGAGGCTGATAGTCGAGTCGGCAGGGGGAGTAGCCAACGAGATGACGCTAGAGAGGTAGTTGCGGCGGCCAAGGAGATTAAGTTGGATACGGGTAAAGATGTTGAGCAGCGAGAGGGTATAGATGAGGGTGAACGACCGTGTAATTGCTGGGAAATGTTAGCGGTTGGAATAAGCCACCGAGGCGAGCATACATGGGTTCGCATACAAGTGATCTTAACCTCGTTCCACAACTGCGTCTTGTTCCGTTTCGGCGGGGCCTGGACTTCCGGGTTCACCGACTCGCCCAGCTGGCTGGTGTGGAGATATCCTTCACTCTGGAAGCTCGATAGGCTCTTCCGATCCTCTTCGGCCATGCTGGGTGACACTGAAGTCATGTCCGAGCCCGCTGGATCCCCGGCATTCAACCGGGCCAGCCTCTCCGCCCGCTTCTTCTGAAGCTCCTTCGTCAGCTCCTCGACGGGGAGTGCTTCGATGATATTATCCGTGGCAGTGGGAAGTAACGCAAGGACGGTATAAGTACAATCGGTCTGGTTCTGTTCGAATCGTCGCCGCAAACTGGATGTCTTGTTGTTAGCTAATCGGACCTTGGGCAGTCATTGCATCGAGCCTGTCACAAGCTCGCGTGCCAGCCGAATCCGGACAGGGCAGCGAGGGGAAAACCACCAAGTGGTCGGAGGAAACATACTTCTCACGGGCAATTCGGTCACTGCTCATGCGCTCGCGCGCTTCGGAGATCTTGGACAGCACATATTGTCCAGCCAGGTAGCCAGCTCCCAGCACACCAGCCCCGATCGCAAGACCTTTGCGATTGCGCCGGAGCCAGCGCCTCGCGGCACCGATCATGATGAGGATATTTGGAGATACTCTGTTCGGGACGATCAAGGTGTCAAACTCCGGAAATCATGATATGTGGAACGGAGTTGGATGGGGGAGGCAAGTTGGAGATGGCAGAAGGCCTCGGGCGGGAACCCCAGACTCTCGGCCTCGGCTAGTTTGACTTGGCCAGGGTCACGACCAGGATATGACGATACCATTGTGATGCACTCACAAAGTATGATCGAGTCTAGGAATATGTTAATTATAAGTATACAGTTTATTCTATCTAGCACTATATGTATTCTTACATTATACTAATAATACCGCCATTTTGCCCTGTTCTTCTATGTTTTCCTTAACAATCCCCGGATTCGGCGCAACCGGCCATCCTGCAGAGTCACCCCCGGTCGCTCTGACACACCCAGTCGACCTTGTAATTTATTCTCGAACATAGTTCCCCGGGTCCTATTCACGATATCATAATTCGATCCTTCTTTCCCCTAACCTATTTCCTTTGACGATTCCCATTACCAAATTCCCAGGGATCTCCCGGCCAATGATAAGCCGATAAGCGTCATTCGGCCCAGTCCGATGGCCGATAGCAACCGCTCCGAGCATCGCAGCATCATCCCATCATCTCCTCCTTCCCAACTACCCTCCAACAAACCCCTTCCATGACCTCGTCAACACTGCCCAGCACCCTCGCACCAGGCGCTTTGCTCCTGTGAAATAATCCCCCTTCACCCCAAGGCTCTCTCCAGAAATAGAAACGGCCCGCCGCGCGCTGAGCCGTTCTTTCGCGGGCGGGGAATGGAGCCCCGCAAAACCCCTCCAGAGTACTTCCTGGAGATCTTCGCCGATACCACCACGGTGCGCGATGTATTGAAAGGTGCGCTCTTCAATTTGACCTCGTGCGGTTGCGACGCAACCAGGGCTTTGTTTTAATGACGAATCGACTAATATATTTCCGCTCACAGGCGTCCTGAATCTCATCTTCTTCCACCGCTATTTCCCCTCCATCCGGCCGGTCAGCTTTGACGTCCTTGACTTAACACTCCCCGCCATCAACGACGCAGACCTAGAAACCCTCATCGAGTCGCGCGTGAATGCGCTAGTCCGGCAGCACCTTTCCTCGGCGGCCGGTGGCCAAGATGGGGTCGTCGGTGGGGGTGGCGGGGGAGTCCGCGGACGGATCGCAGTCGAGTTCTACGAGAAGAAGCGACGTCGCTCGGGTCTATGGTTTGGCGGATTGGCCGGCAAAGGCGAAGAGGAGGTTTGCTGGGAGATGTGGACGTTGGACGTGACCATTGCCACACCCCGCACCGAGTCTGGTACGTACTTGGCATAGTATATCGCATACTGGGAGTGCCCTGAGGGGGCCACTGTGCCTGTCAAAGGACACATTTTTACACTGTTCATTACTGACTTCCCTTTCAAATAGAGCGAGCAAAGGTCCGCAAGGCTATGGGCAATATGCTTCAAAAAGCGGCATTGAAGATTCTCACCGTTGTCAACCGCGACAAAGATCATATCCCGCCAATTACGACCAGCGACTCGAACCCCTTTCCCTATCGGATTGTCGTCAATCCCCGTACCGATAACTGGGGCAATCGCATGGGACTGTATTAGAGCGGTAGTGACTCACTCGCTGGGTCTGTGGATTTGACTCATATGCGGCTCCGGTGCTTGGATCTACGAATTTCTTATGTGCTCTTTATGGTTTTAGAATCTGTGACGGGAGTTTTGGTGTTCTGCTTAATGTTCACGAGGATATCTGGGATGGCGTTATGTTACTTGTGTGCCAGGGCATTCTGCGGTCGAAATATTGATCTTGTCAAAGTGGAGGAAACAGCGGCTAGCAGGAACGAGACTCGGCTAGTACAGAAAATACAACAGTGTATGACCGTCTCTTATGGTGTAAAGAATCATTTCATAAGCCCAGCTACGTAGCAACATTGTCGTATAGGTATGAAACAATCGGAAAGCCGAACGCGAGTCCCGCCGTCCACACAGGGTAGACGATGAAACAAGACACGGAATCAAACCAACCAAAGCTCTACGATTCCAAATATGAGACAAGATACATCACAACTCAAGCAACCTTGCCCTGCCAAGTCTCTCCGTTCAACCCCGGACTCGACCCACTGTCCTCCTCGCAATCACCACCACTCTATCATCATCTTAAAGCCAAAAGGCAATCATGGGCAATCAAAACGTCAAAAAACGTCAAAACGCTCAAGCTCTTCTCTTCGTTAAACGGTACTCGCACGAGTACGGAGAATCGTTGCGACCGGTGTCCTGCCTCTCAAAGGGCTACGGCCACGATGGTCACGGCAAGTTATCGGGACGATTCTCTGGTACAACTCATTCCGCGGAAACCGTTCAGGTGGAGTGCGCCTTGTTGGCGGCGGCCTCGGCCTGAGCACGGAGGTTGGCGGAGGTACCGCTCTGGCTGAAGAAGCGGCCAACCAGAGGCTGGAGGAGAGAGTGGAAGACGACTTGGGCACCGCTGGTTTGGGTCAGTTGTTGGCTTCGCATTCGAGAGTTTGAAGGATTATCTTACCTGGTCTGGGGCAGAGCCATCCAGAGGATCAGGACGAACTTGAAGATGTAGTAGAAGGCTGGGATATCGAGTTAGTGGGTATTCTCAGGCAGAAGGGGAGCATCAGTAGCACATACGGAACCAGTAAGCGGCGCTAATGGCGCTCTCAATAACAGTCAGGAAGGCAAAGACAACCCAGTACTATCGAGAAATCAGTTAGTCAAATGGACTCTAGGCGCATGAGGCTATCACATGGCAGCTGATAAGCCCGCTTCCGCGCGGTGTCTTGTGCCGCAAGCCAGATGATGATAGCAGAGAATACAGGTCATGGGAACTTACAGTGAGCCACTATATTCATTCCAAAGTTAGCATCAAGTCTCCTGAAAAGCGTGGCCATGCGACCGAGGGCATTGAGACTTACCTGAGTGTCATCCGCGGTACCCGACGTGAAGAGGGCCTGAAGGGAGTAGTAACCGGGGAGGAGGAAACCGGCAAAGTTGACGAGGAACTCGCCAGCAATGTTGAAGAAGACCAGGAAGAAGTAGACTCCAACCAGGCCGAGGATCACGTAGACCTTGGGGACATTGGTCTGACGCTCAAGGTTGTTGAGGACAGGGTACTTGGAGAGCTATCGGAAGAAAAAATGACAGTCAGTAAATGAAAGCCTTATCGCAGAGGTTGGTAGCTGTGACGCCGGGATGAACGGTTGATGGCAGTTGCTGGTGCACTCGGTAGCTCATGCTGGGTGGGTTCGCACGCAATGCAGCGCACAAATGGGCCGAGGGCTCGAGCTAAGAGGCACCAGCGAAACTCGAACCACCGCACACACACAGGATCACAAGCAGGAATGAAACGCACCTCCTTGTCGAGCTGGGCAACAGCGTGCTGGGCACGATCCTGGAATGAGGCCATTTTGGTAGGCGATTGAAAATTTTCACGGTATCGTAGGCGTGAGAGTAGTGAAGATAGCAATCAGAAGGGATGATGAGAATGCAACCGGTCGAGCTGGCGGTTACTGGCCATGTCCGTGCGGCAGTCACGTGATGTCATGACGTACTCGGCCTAGGATCATCTGCGAGGGCCATGTGAATTTGTACTTCCCTTGGAAGCTTACAGAACATTGTGCCTAGGCTTAAATGGGCTAGAGCTAGGCTGTGAGAGGGTTATCGGTGCTGACCGTGCTGTGTACCTCAAAATGCATCATGCATTTCTTCAAGAAAATGCAGTGTGACACCAGCCTAAGAATAATGTTCCGATTTATGGTCACCCGAGTGGGACTCGCCTGCAACAAACAATAATCCTTCTATGCATATCTCCGGATACCCACTTTTTGCAAGATCGTCTATACCTGTGCGATTTATATATGACAAATCTTAAACGATATAACCAAGTCCTCATCCCCATGTTTTGGCCACGAAGAGATCTAAGCTTGCCCGGTACGTCCCGCACCACAGCCATACATGACGTACAGGGCTGTTCTAGGCCACGAGACGGAACCAGAGCAAACCGGCCGTTTTACTGCCAGTTCAGGTCATTTTTACCTTTCTTTATAGTTTGCCTGTGCCTTACATCCTCCCGTTGACTCACCCGGTCGCGTGAGTAGTTGACTGCACTATTTGCGCCGTCCAGCCCTTAAGAGCTGAGACCTTGAAGAGGATACTTTATCCGCCTCATATATACACACCACTGGACTATTGTATCCCATGTCTTTTGCCATTGGTTGCAAGGTTTTGACATAGCCAATCAATTAGCAAAACCTAATCCTGATTAACTTATGGAAACGATTTCTAATATTACAGGGAAACCATGCCTGTCTACTGTAACTTTATAGTTGAACACTCTTTCCTAGCTATAACACATCACGTGATTAGTGCTTGATGCCCGTGTAGATTAACCATTGACTCTGCCAACATTACAGATATAAATACAAGTCTGGCCATGACATCACTGAGTCTAGAACCTACAGGCTATATCCTTCTTCCTTGGTGGTTCTTGGTGGTCCTCGGTGCTTTTGCATTCTACCGGTTCCCAAGAACCGGCTAATGAATACCCCCTGTCGGCGAAGGATCCCATATTGGATACGGGACCCCGCGATGGAATTGGCATCGCTATCACAAAAAAAAAGTACGGTATATACGAGCTGTCGAATTGCTCTATAACATTTGTATAACAAGATAGATCTAGAATGGATTCTTCAGAGACAAGTGGGGATGTTTGATGTAAACAGGCGGAGACGGAACAAGGAGAAAGGCATTGTGGAGTCCCAAGCCAAAAGCCGGCCTCGACTCACCGCCAGGAACCACGGCAATGATGTGATTTTGCAATGGGAACAGGGGCAACCAGAAACGAATTGGATTGTAGTGCTAGTAGACTACTCCGCAGATTCCCCCTTATAACTCCCCTCGACTCCATATTGACTACCCCAAACTACTCAATCACCCAAAATCCTATAATATCCCCTCTCCATCTTTCTCCCAAGACTAAAAGGGGCCCTAAACTAAAGTTCCAAAAAAAAGGTCCCGCACAACACAATCCAATCCAATCCCACCACATCCAAACTCTCCTCCCCTCCACCCCCCGTTTTCTTAGATTCTCCTCGGCCTCAATCTCTCTCCTCCTCCTTCTTCTCCCCATCCTCCACAACTACCGACTACCATTTCTCCCCCACCGGTACTTTCCCTCCGGTGGACCATTGCCAATCGACGAAACGCTGTGATCACGACGTCCGTGCGTCGAAGGGGGCACATCCGGTAGACGACCGATGTAACCGGTCCGGCCCTTATTTCTCCTTTGCTCTTCTTATCGGCCCCCAACAGGGAGCTGGACGACCCTGCAGCGCGCATTGAGGGGTACAAACGCCCGCAGGTACACGGTGCGGACGCAACATACAACTCGAGAGCCTGGGCTCATTGACTCTGGAACAATTGTGAAGCTCGGCAGTCGACCGCGTTTCCGACACGAATCCGCTCTCCACCACATCTCCACGCTTGCTACGATCTGGCTCCGCTACCATTGACCACCCGTTCGTGTCTCGTCGATCACATCATTTCTTTCTCCCCCTTCCTATCAGCGTGAATATACTTGGCAGATTGTGGATATTTCTCAATGCGGCCCCAGTAAGTCGTCGGGACTCGGGTTGTCGTGACCTGTCTTGGTCAATGCCGGTCTCTAATCATACGATACAGACGGGAATATCATATTGTTGTCCTGGGAGCAGGTGGTGTGGGGAAGAGTTGCCTGACTGGTATATAGCCCCTGCAAGCTCCCCCTATTCTCTTTTGCGTTACGCTGTTGCGGAGAAGCTCCGTCATACCATGTAGAGGCAATTGCTGATCGATTCACAGCTCAATTCGTCCAGAATGTCTGGATTGAAAGCTATGACCCAACAATCGAAGACTCCTATCGCAAACAGATCGAAGTAGATGTGAGTCCCTGGGAAACCTCGTGGATGGTTGATCAATTGCTAACGCCAACCGTCAATAGGGCCGACAATGCATACTCGAGATGTAGGTTTCAATTCAACGAATGAAAAACAATGGCGCATGGGATACGAGGTGGCTGACCAATATGACATGCAGTCTTGACACCGCTGGAACGGAACAATTCAGTAAGTCCCAACGATCATCATACTTGCTTCTTTGGCTAACAAACTTTCTGCAGCCGCCATGAGGTAAATCAACACCGTGCAATGAGAATCAACACACGCAACTCTAACCCGCTCCCTTCCACCACACAGAGAACTATACATGAAGCAAGGCCAAGGCTTCCTCCTCGTCTTCTCCATTACAAGCATGTCCTCTCTAAACGAACTCTCCGAACTTCGCGAACAAATCATCCGCATCAAAGACGACGAGAATGTCCCTCTCGTGATCGTCGGCAACAAATCAGACCTCGAAGAAGACCGCGCCGTGCCTCGCGCTCGTGCCTTCGGACTCTCCCAAAATTGGGGCAATGCCCCTTACTACGAGACCTCTGCCCGGCGCCGCGCCAACGTAAACGAAGTCTTTGTCGATCTCTGTCGCCAAATCATCCGCAAGGACCTGCAAGGGCCGAGCGGAACTGCCGACAGTGCTCGCAAGCGCGAGGGCCCGAGCAAGCATGACCGGAAGAGAGAGAAAGGATCACAGGGCCGTCGGCGATCTCCATGTGTCATCCTTTGAAAGGATGAACAAGGAACGCCCCCGCCTTCCCCTTTGACGATCTTGGTTCCTCGATTCCCAGACTCCATCTATTTATCGATTCGAGTTATGCTCAGTCACGCCTGTCTCCGTCTCCACGCAACTTTTTTTTCTTTGACATGTCTCATGATTATCTTCTTTTCTACGCTTCTTATGCATCTACACTACACCTCTTGATAGAAAGACGCGTCGCCGCCTGTCATCATCATCACATATTATACCACCTCTTCTCCATTATCCAAAACCTTTACATTCTTCCTTTCTACTTTACCCTCTTCAATTCTCCCTTCTTCGTTCTATTCTTCATACACGGAGGGTAGCACTTCAATTGCTGCTTCTCCTTACTTTTCACTTCTCACATACTTAAGTTTTGGTTCCTGCCGAGCCGCCGAAAAAGCCGATGTTGACGATATAAAAGTTTTGATGTTTGAACACACAATTGTTTACTTTCTCTTCGCATTTAACTAGTTTTTGTCAAGTTATGATCTTCTTTACAGCCCTTGATGGGTCCAAAACAAATAACATGCTTGATTGAATACACTTTCTTGTCCTCATTTCTATAATTATTTCTTCTGTTTCCCTGCTCACCCATCTACATCCGGAACACTCCGAATCGGGTTTGTATATCGGGCTCCTCCTTTCCACCAAGAGCGGCGGCCAATCCAAGACCTAGCATCTTCCTCGTTTGCGCCGGGGGAATGACACCGTCGTCCCAAAGGCGAGCGGATGAGAAAGTAGCTTCAGACTCGTGGTCAATTCGAGCCTTCAGGGCGGGATCGGCGGTCTTTCCAACTGCTTCCATAACGGAGGAAAGTTGCTCGGAGCCCATGACGCCAATCTTGGAGTTGGGCCACATGAACATCAACCGCGGGGAGTAGGCACGGCCACTAGAGATAACGGTGTTAATTATTTGTCGTAGCAATGGCGAAGATTGCGGGAAGGAACTGAAAACTTACCACATGCCGTAGTTACCAGCACCAGCACTAGAGCCAAACACGACGGTGAACTTGGGCACATCAGCACAAGCAACGGCCGTCACCAACTTGGCACCATTCTTCGCAATACCACCCTTCTCGGCATCGGCACCAACCATGAAGCCCGAGATATTCTGTAGGAAGACAAGAGGGATGCGGCGCTGAGCGCACAACTCAATGAAATGCGCACCCTTGAGCGAGGACTCAGAGAAGAGGATACCATTGTTGGCCACGATACCAACTCTGTGGCCGTGGATCTTCGCAAATCCAGTGACCAGGGTAGTGCCATAGTCGCGCTTGAACTCGGCGAACTCGCTACCATCCACAATGCGCGCGATGACTTCGTGCGCGGGGATCTGCCGACGGAGGTTTGTGCCAACGATGCCGTTCAATTCGGCAGGGTCGTAGAGTGGCTCTTTCACAACGGCATCTTCGAGCTGTTGTGGAAGTTTTGTAGAAGGGTAGTTCAGGTTAGCCACTGAACGGCGCGCGAGGATGAGGGCATGCGCGTCGTCGACGGCCAAGTAATCGGTCACACCGGAGATGGTGGAGTGCAATTGACCGCCACCCAGATCCTCGGCAGAGACTACTTCACCCGTCGCAGCCTTGACCAATGGCGGGCCTGCGAGGAAGATAGTACCCTGATTCTCGACGATGATAGTCTCGTCGCTCATGGCTGGGACGTAGGCACCACCAGCAGTGCAGGGTCCCATGACAACCGACAACTGCGGAATACCCAGAGAGCTCATCCGGGCCTGGTTGAAGAAGATACGACCAAAGTGGTCACGATCGGGGAACACATCAGCCTGATGGGGAAGGTTGGCACCACCCGAATCAACAAGGTAGATACACGGCAACTGGTTCTCCTGGGCAATAGCCTGGGCACGAAGATGCTTCTTGACTGTGATGGGGTAATACGTTCCACCCTTGACGGTACTATCATTCGCGACAATCATACAATTCACACCCTCCACAGTGCCAATTCCCGTAATGATGCCGCCAGCAGGGACATCCTCCCCTTCATACACCTCATGACCGGCAAGCGGAGAGAGCTCCAGGAAGGAGGTACCGGGGTCAATCAGCGCCGAGACACGATCACGAGGTAACATTTTACCGCGAGCGACGTGCTTATCACGAGCCTTTTGTGACCCGCCTTGGGCGATCTTAGCATGGAGACTGCTCATTCGGTCGAGCAGTTCTTGCATTTGCTGGCTGTTTTCCCGGTACTCAGGCGAGGAGGTGTCCACCGTCGTGGGGAGGATGGAGAGTGCAGAGGCATGGTGGTGATGGGTGTAACTGGCGACTGATCGTGCGGAAATCCGGAGGAAAGTCTTTGGTAGTTGGAGGTTTGTTGGGCGATAGGTGCTTTGTCCAGTGCGCGAGCCCAGGCTCCGGAGGACGAGCGGGGATGGGGCGCGCATTGCGGGGAAGATGTGAGGAGTGTAGCTGTTGTGGAGTCGATGGTTGTTAAACGGAGTGGTAAGGTTGTGTGTTGGTCGGGTAGAAGGTCAGGATGGATCAGACGAGAATCATGTCCTGGGTCGAAGAATGGTATTTGAATTGAGGGTTGCGGTTAGGAACTGAGAAAGCGAGGAGGGAACTCCAAGTTCGAGGTTCCCCAGATTGTGCGGAGGTGCGCGGATTGCCGCGTGTACCCGAGCTCATCACCGCCTCCGAGTAGATTCAATGTTAGGACAAGAGACGGTAGAATAGAAGGAGTAGAAAGAGAAAGTAGATTATTTATCTTGGAAATGGTAAAAGAAAAGATAGTATACCATAGGTATGAACCGTATAGAATCATTGCACTTGATCTATATAGAAGCCAGGTCTAAAGACCATAACACTCTTATCCGCCTACAGCGGGCGGTCTCACTCGACGCCGAGGGATGCCGCTCTCTCTTTCTCCGCATATTTTAAATACTCTCCAGGGCCGCCCGCATCATTAACCTATTCATACTCTCTCCTCTCCTACCAACACACTCTCGCCAGCTGTAGCAACACCCTGCAATGGCCTCTCTCACTTTCCCCTCCTTCCTTCGCACGTCCACGCGCTCACTGCGACGGAGCGCCAATCTCCCCGCATTCGCCCCGGGTTTCGCGCGCAACCTGTCAACCAAGCACCCAGCGGGCTTTGAACCCCCAACCGAAGATGATTTGCTAGAGCTGCGCGAGCGCGTTCAAGAGTTTACACGTACGGCACCATCATTATCTACTACGGTCGACTTGTGCTAACGCTCATGGTAGGGAGAGAGATTTCGGCCGAGGTTGCCGCACGGACAGATGAATTGAATGAGTTTCCTGCGGATATGTGGAAGAAGTTGGGTGATGCTGGGTATGATGCTATCTCCGGCTCTTTTTCGATTGCTATTTAACAATTAGATTGAAACATTACTAATGAGTATCCGTGATACAGTTTCCTTGGAATCACTGCCAACGAGGAATATGGTGGTTTGGGAATGGGCTACCAGGCCCACTGCGTTGTGATGGAGGAAATCAGCCGTGCATCTGGTAAGGACTATTTGACCCTGATCCAGGGAAATTGCCCGGGATTAATGCTAATCTGGCATTTCCGTACAGGAAGTATCGGTCTCTCCTACGCCGCCCACTCTCAACTCTGCGTCAACCAACTATCGTTGAATGGCTCCGCCGAACAAAAGGAACGATTCTTGCCCGGTCTTCTCTCCGGTGACAAGGTCGGTGCCCTTGCCATGTCTGAGCATTCGGCTGGCTCCGATGTGGTCAGCATGAAGACCACCGCGAAGGAGGTTGATGGTGGCTGGGTACTGAACGGAACCAAGATGTGGATCACTAACGTGAGTGAACTGGCATGATCACCCTAAATTTAAAATTCTAATCCTGATATCTTGTCTAGGGCCCCGATGCAGACTTCATCGTCGTCTATGCCAAGACCGAGCCCGAGAAGGGTTCCAAGGGTATCACTGCGTTTGTCGTCGAGAAGTCTTTCAAGGGCTTTTCGTGTGCTCGCAAGTTAGATAAGCTTGGCATGCGCGGTTCCAACACCGGCGAGCTGGTCTTCGAAGATGTCTTTGTCCCACGGGAGAATCTTCTTGGAGAGGTGAACAAGGGTGTCAAGGTTCTAATGGAAGGCCTGGACCTGGAGAGACTCGTCCTGAGTGCCGGACCCCTTGGGTATGCCATCCCCAATCACATCCCAAACATATCTAACTAACATCCGCCTTAGTATTATGCAAGCATGCCTTGACCTCGTCCTTCCATACACCCACATCCGAAAGCAATTCGGCACTCCCATCGCCCACAACCAACTAATCCAGGGCAAGCTGGCCGATATGTATACAAAGCTCGCTGCCTCACGGGCATACACTTACGCCACTGCGCGTGAAGTCGACAACGGTGCAGTATCGCCCAACCCACTGGTCATCCGGACTCAGGACTGCGCTGGCGCGATTCTGTATGCCGCTGAACGCGCTACTGAGTGCTCACTAGACGCAATCCAGCTGATGGGTGGAAATGGGTATATCAATGAGATTTCGGCTGGGCGATTGCTCCGGGATGCAAAGCTGTATGAGATTGGGGCTGGTACGAGTGAGATTCGTCGGATGGTTATTGGGCGTGCATTTAATAAGGAGTATGCTGCTTAGCTTTTGGGTTACGTTTAGGCTTAGTTTTAGATGCACATATAAAAGGGTTCTTTTCGTCAAAGATTATTCATTATGTAAATCGTACTTCAAAGGAGCAGACGGGGACCGTCTATCTAGACCAGTAGCATGAGTTGGTAGTGGGTGTGGGAATGGCATGAGGTGTTATCATTTACTTCAAGTTGAAGTCAGCAACTGATCCTGCCCGGTTGTCTAGTGGGTTAACCCCTAGGCGCCCGTAGCCACTTCGGTGGGTTCGGCGGTCGTAACTACGAGGAAGCTTCTGTGGAGCAGGTGCGGCCCCCGGCGGGTGAGGTTTTTTATATCGAACTACGATACAGGATTTCTCCCTTTTAACATCTTTTTTCTTATGCTTTCTTTATATTAAAATAATCACTAATTTTTATAGAGTATAATAATCTCTTTTGAAATTTTTTTAAAAGGTAGTCTGGTGGTTATATTGTGTGTTGTTCATTCGGTGCTATATTGCGTTGAAGCCGCGGGCTGTACATGGAGCATCGTCATGAAGTATATAGGGAGCGAGAGGTCGTAGGTTCAATTCATGGATATAACGTTTCCTTTTTTGGCGAGGTAAGAATTCATACATTATATTCTGTCAGCATCATCACTTTTCTTAGCTTGTAGAATGCAAGTTCTTGCCTCATCTTCTTGCCTTTCAGAGTTAAAGCTCCGCTCGTGTTGGCCATGATGACCGCATTAAGAAGCAGGTGGATTGTTGATATGGCAGGTCTCCAAGGAAACATTCTTATATGATCATTATTCAGGCCATATCTGGCCCTTGCAGTACTTCTCTATCAATTCCAGCGGCGAGATCTCTTGCTTCAATATTATACATCGCTAAATTGCACGGCTGGCTACATTGCGTATTCAAACCTACTTCATTATGATAAACCCGTGTAGTGGCTGCGATGACACAGTCAGAGACGCAGACTACTCCTAGCGTGACTTCGGCTGATACTCCTGCCACGCTGGTGGAAACCAGCACGATGGCGGTATCGACAAAGGCTACTTCTTCTTCAACTCCGGCCTCTTTTACCACTGGTGGCTCGGTTACTGCCTCGTCAGCATCATCCAGCTCCGTCTCCAGTCCGGCTACTACTTCTACGTTTAATCCTGCGAGCAATCTGCGTAGTCCTAGAGGCTGGTTGGGTTTAGTTTTCTTTGCGGTGGCATTCTTGCTGTAAAGATGGCTGTCATACCTAAGGAGAGTATCTATTTCCTTGATGTTGAATGTAATAAAAACCAACTATAAGTAGCCCGTCCGTCAATAATGAGAAGCAGCCGGATGGACCATGGAAAGGTTTAGCAACTAGGTGATACACCAGGACAGAAGTAATTTAACTTGGAGTAGTTCATTTATTAAAATACCGAATATAGCTATGTTAGATCGTCAAGCCAGCTACTGTAGTCTCTTCACTGAGGAGATATTTTTCCTAATCCCACGCAGAAACACATGCATGTTTACCACCCTTAAGGCTAGCATGTGGACTCTTGTATACCTATTTTTACTCGAGTAAGAGATCACCTATGTACTTGTGAGTGAATGCATTTCATTAACTTATTTCGTTAGATCTCATGACCAAAGTGATTGCATTTCAGTTTAGAAAACGCCGGGTCATATCCTCAGGTCCATCAGATTCACTTCTTCTGCCTCGCAGACCGCCGGACGGGACCAGACGAAGTATCCGATCTTGCCGCCTGCTCAGCCCCCTTTGCCGAAGCCACCCGCTTCGTCCGCGCCCGTGTTGCGTCGTCGTCGCCAGGGTTGTCCTTGTTCGGCTCCTCTGGGGGAGCCTCGGCCTTGCGCTTGCGGCCTCTCTTCTCGGACGCCGACTCCACCGGTATCGGCACCCCCTGCGGCGACTGTCCCAGCTCCGGTGTAGTGTTCGAGGCATCTCCGGCGTCATCCTTGTCGGCCATATTGTCGGTCGACAGGATATCGGACATTTCGTCGGAGCTGTCCTCCTCCTCATCATCGTCACAGGGGAACTCATCGTCCGCAAATTCGGGTTCCACCGGCGGGGTATCCACTGCCCGTCTCTTGCGTAGCCGCGATTTGTCCAGTGCAGGCTGAACAGACTTGAAGATCTCTCGCCAGTTCTCCAAGAGCGCTACCTTTTCCCCATTTCCAGGCTCGTAGATTTGCACAGCAAGGTCTAGGTCATCGCCCATGCCTGGCGTGCGCCAGATGACACCTTGGAATGAAGTAATATCAGGCTTCAGGGAGGAGCGCGGCGCGGAGACTCGGTTCGTTTGCGTGGTAGTTTGTGTTCGGTGTTTGTTCTGCGTGATATCGGCCCGTTTTGATTGCTTCACGGTGGGGTCATCGTCGTGGTAGTCATCCGAATAGTATTCCCAGTCACTCAGGTACTCTGCAACGTCGGCATTCGGGTCCTCATACAAGGTCGCTTCGTAGTTTGAGGATGCGGCGAGTTCGTCCTAAACATGTTAACCATGCAGTTAGCGCCACCGGTCCTACTAACGCTGCAAAGTCTGCCCAGATATCATGCTCTTACCACCAGATCAGGAACGAGGTCCTCAAAGAGGTACTCCTCCTCCCATTCATAGTAGTCCTCGTCGTCGGACATGTTTCAATCGCTCTCCGCAGGCAGGATAATGAAAGACAGGGGTTGGGAGAAGAGGGAGAAATAAAGGGATTAAAGGTATAGGATGGAAGTTGGATGAATCATGAGTATGTACGACACGCAAGAATTATGCAAGATGCGAAAGGAAGGCGTGGAGGTGAAGTTGTCACGAACATGATGAAGATCCGGCTGATCTTTGCATTGAAAGAGGAGCCTTGCTAATGTAAGCCTTGGCATTTTTCAATCGCGGCTCCACTTTTTTTTCTACATTGTCCCTTTTTTTTCACTGACGGGGCACTAGGGTCTACCATTTGTTAATTATGTATATAAATTTTTAGATTCAGAGCATCACATTGACTCGCGATTCCAGCTGTCAAGGGTTACTTGTATGTTCAAATGCTCAGTTCATCCTTAAAAGACCCATTTTTAAGCCCCTAAGAAAAGCCGTGTGTGGCCAGCATTTTGAAGATATACAAAGATTATCTCTATGTACACTCTCGATCCGACATTCCTCAGCTTTGGAAATGTCATGCTAAGGCTTATAGCCCAATCAGTAGTCGGGCAACACCGACTAAGATTAGGAGCAGCAAGAACGGCGCGGGTAGTCTATGATGCTCCTCAAGGTAGTATCCACATCATAAAAGTTCAGATTTAACTGTTGACCATAATCTTCCAAACGGTTATGTCCTCTGATTATTCATACCAACCTCTCTTGTCCTCGACTTATGATAGGAAACAACATGTCCATCGACAAGCGCATTACAGAGTACGCAGATGAGGTATCCGATCGTGACATTTCCTCGGCAGGACCACATTCTCAACAGTCCTTGTCAAAACGAGTCTGGACTTCTTGGGTTGTAGACCCCGCTGCAACTAAACATATTTGTGCAGATCTAACCGAACTACCCAAGTATACGCCATATAGCTATTGGGACAGGCCAGGTGTTACCACCTCCGAAGGCTTCTACAACGCATTAGGTTATGGTCGGGTATCGCTGGCATTGAAGAAGGATTGCAACGGCACAACGAACTTGTTCCCCATTTGTTACTTCTACCCTTTGAATCATAGCGTGTTCTCGCTATATCAGGCCTCCGAAGAATCCCATATTAGATACGACCAATCTACGGGAATTCTGTACAATCGCTCCCAAAATGGACAGACAGTGGGATATACTGAACGTATTGGGAATCAGTCAGTACTCCGACTTAGAGAGCCTATCTTTATCAATGTGGCTGGAATAAACTCACCAGAGCCTCGCCTCGCTTGCCTTATGGTACTAGTTCTTCTGTTTTCCCACGTCCTTGGTTTGACTTAAGTGATGTTGGTATTGCTGAATACGACTCCGATCTCTTGCAGTCTTGACAGGCCGTGAGAGTTTCTATCCACAATTTTACATCAGAGTAACTGCCAGGCAAGTTAGAGTTGACATGGGTAGAATGGGAATTTCGTGTAATTTACCTGGTTGCAGCCCTACTTACGGGAGTACGAGCTTTGCTTCAGATCCAGAAAATCTATGGATATATTCATCCCGTTCGCTCATGATTACAATTTAAGCTAAACAAATACACACGTCCTGGTTAATAATTGCCTCTCTGGGCTATACACACCCAGATGCGCCGCCCCCTTATTGTATTACCTTTCACAAGTGTTGTCTGCTAGGTATAGCAACCAATTTCTTTATACAGGAAAGGTAAAAGTAACTTTTCCTTAACTCAGTCGGGAGCGATCCATATATTTATAGATTTATTCACTCGACTGTAGGACAAACGCGACGGGAGCTTTTTTTTTTATAAGGGGAATCTAATTAAGGATTTCACTGACTTTGGTTTTCCAATTAACTACTTATCTGTCGATCGATCTGATTAGGGAGGGTATCCTAAGTGATCTCCATGGCTCCATTGTTTGCCACTTGACCATTACCGAGCCTCAATTTCCGCCCCCAGCCTACGCCCCCAGTTGTTGGCTGGGGGCAATGGGCACAGGCCTCGCCAATTTTGCGGGATGTCGTGGCCTGGGGATTTAGCGGATTATTAGCCCTCCAATGGCTACTCTCACTGGCCAAGTTCCTGAATGCCCTGTCACTAGTTGGATTTCTCTCTCAGCCCCATGAGGGCCAGATGGTTACGTATTAGCACACCATTAAGCACTGGGCGCCCACCCCTTATCACCGTAAGATGTGGCTAGCCAGGTCTACGGTGGGCTATATTTAATTATGTACACGTATTCTCGCCCTTTTTGATGATTTTACCCTTAGCAATCCATTCCTACCTCACAATCGATGGCGGATACCGACAGCGCGATCCACTTGCGGTCGCTTTCAAGGCCTCCAACGGGGTCAGATCCAGACCATAGCTCCCAAGACGAAACACCGAGGCACTCCTCTCGATATCTGCCCGATGACTTGGCTCCAGGGCATGACCAGCACGACGACCTTCCGGCATACTCGCGGGCTCCCCCAGCCAATCAATCACCGGGACAAGGTCACAGCACGACACTCCATCGCTCTGGCCTCATTTTATTCTTCACAGTCCTCTTCGCAGCCTCAGCCGTTTATTCTTGGGCTATACTTGCGATTCTCTCATTTCGCCCTCTCAGCACTCGCTCGTGGCAGGAAGATACGAGCTATAAAGGCCGACACAGTAAAAATCTTGGGTGGGGTTATGATGCCAGGCTCTATCGCTCGGCTAGAGTGATTCAGTCCATTCTCAGTGTGGTCATTCTGCCATGGACATCAGCTGTATGTGCCCACGCTGCGGTGATATATATGCAGCATCAAAAAGACAGTATGGGATTGACGATGCGACAAGTCATGGCTCTTGCAGATCGCCGATGGCTGGATATTTCATGGTTGTCTGATGCATTCGGTGGCTCTTGGAAACAGAATGGAAGCGCTCTGCTGGTTCTGGCAATAATGCTTCACTTTCTCGGTGCTATCATTTACCCAATCCAGTCTATTGTTGTTAATCCGAAGATCATTCATGTTCCGGTTTCCATCAATCACATGGGCTCAGTTGGCGATCTTACCAAGCAGTCATCTTACTATGATAGCACCGCTGGCAGTGACGTTGTAAAGACTCGCGCTGCCCTTCTCAATACGGACGTGCATACATATCAGCCACAGCTGTGGCAAAGGATGCAAGGCCAGCAGCTCTCCAACTTCAAGAATTTCTCTGCGATGACTGATCCATTCTATGCTCAAATCCCGAGCGGCTTCCACACTGGAGTTCTACAGCAATTCGCCCCGCGCATCAATTCATCTGCGACTTCCAGGTCCATACAGGCCGACGAATTCCCGTCTGGGTGTAATCAAAATTCCTCCGGATTTTTTGCTAATTATTCATCCCTTTTCGTGGACGGATCTGTCCAGGAAACCTGGGCGGTTACCGCCTGTATGCCAAATGTTACGTCAAAGTCACCTTGGGTACAAACTCGAAATCGCCAAGACTTCTCTGAATTGCTCTATCTCAACGTTTCTGTCCAGGATTCAAGCCTCGAAACAAAAGGGTTGCCCGCTAGCGGTGCCTTGTATGAGATCAATTTGCGGACCACTGCCGGTTATTTTGAGCTACCCAACTTCATGAACAACGGGACGCCAGGCCCTTTGCTTGAAAGCGACCCGACTCCCAATTGTGGAATACACTGTATGGAGCAAACTGACGACTACTCATTCTACCGACGTGCTCGTCGGGATGAGAACATTATTGGAAACGCAACCAATTACATCGCTCAAGACGTTCCGTGGTTACCATTATTTTTCGACAATAAGGGGCCACTGTTGACCACAGCACTCGCCCTCTTTGGGCCGGGCTCATTCCTGGAAACTCTTTTCGGTTCGTTGAACGTTGTCCAAAGCAGCTTAGAAGGCTCTGGTGTTGAAGACGACTACTATGATAGCACCGCTTGTATTGACCTTGCGCCTTTGATGAATTTGTTCTCCGCCACCCAGGGACAGTATATTACACAGGACACTTGTGTTTCCATTTACTTCAATTCCTACTCTGCCAGCTACAACAACGCCCACTATCTGGTGGCAAAATGGCTCTTGGCCATATACACATCGGCATGGAATCATCCAAACATTTTTACGACGGCTGCTTTCGTGTCGAACAAGCAGTGGGCGGAATCAATGGAGCCTATTTACGGGATTTATCAAGACCCCGGGCTTGAAATGGAGATCCCAGACATCAGTCTTGCCGGTGTGATCGTGGTCAGCATTTTTCTGGGACCGTATCTCTTACTCTTACTTGCGCTCTGTTGGTACGGGAGTTGGGCCCCGCGATGGACTCACCGACTTGACTCGTTTGTTATGCTTCGTTTCGGGGCCGCGCTTGGGGATGGTGTCTTCCCGATGCTTTTCGCGCATGACATGAAGGGGATTAAAGAGCTTGACGAGATTCCAGGTGTGATTAGAGATGTCGGTCCTATCACGGACAATGCGATCATTCCAATCAATCGAATGGGCTTGTGGGGTGGGAAGCCACTGCAGAATCTTCGAAGATATGAATGCCATGAAGCCGACAATGAAGCTATGACATTAGAGGAGGTAAATCAGGTACGGCGTGGTGGTGCGGGAAGTGGTCCAGTTGGTGGTCGAGTGATATAATACGCAAATGCCATAATTCCAGGTAGCTAGGAATATACACGTCCAGGTTTCTTCAGTTCAAACTCCTGACAAGACTTTACATCATGTTCTTAGTAAGATTTTATATAAGCCAAGAGGGGATACCCGCGTCATCGGGAAAGAAGATTCAATGAATACAAAAATCCGTTTTAAAAGCGAGAAGCAAGACCATTTCTGGTTAGACTGTCTCTCTGGTCTCGGGATTCAGCCTATCGAACTGCCGTAATGTCTGAACAGCGACGGCCCGAGTTGTAACCCGCTCGCTATTAGACTCGGTTAAGCTCATGGAGAAAGAGCTTGCTTTTTCCCTGCTCATGGTGTGGAGATCATGCGGATTCTTCTAATGCTGACCAATTGTATGATATGGTGTGCACAAATAGGCTAAATAGGTGGAGCCAGTCCTATTCTGTTTGTGCCTCCTTGCACCCAATAAAGTTGTCTTAGGCTGTTATAAAACCTATGCCTTTATATGGTACACTAACCAAAAAACGCCACAATGGAAAGTTCCTTCCTTCCATCGAAAATCTCCCATTAGCCACCCAGGGGTCAAAATTGTATAGTGTAAGTTCCGGAGGAATGCCGGAAACCACCCCGAAGGGAGCAATTGAGGCAAAAAGGCATCGCGACCCCGGCATCTAAGCTTCCCCGCGTAAGCCTGAAGCGGGGCTGCACCCTTAAGGGACCAATCGCCCGGTGATCGTCCTCCAAGGCGACCACAATAGCCCAAGCGTGATACCACCGTCGCATGTTGTCCACCGGGACAATTCAAAACATGGGAAGATTTGAGTGGTCCGGTTAATAGCAAACATCTCAAGCAATTCGAACATGTCTTGTTATCCGCAATTAGCTCGGCACATGGCGGGTTACCTGGACGCCCAAATAAGCCAGCAACGCCCCTTTATATTTCTGCAAGAATCGTTCTCAGCTCGAAATTTATCCTACTGAGAGCTAGCTAAGGCCTGAAGAACAATCTTTCGCCATGGCTCCTAGCGGTGTTGCCCATGAATTGTCTGCCAAGCGTCGGCAGTTCGCCGGCGAGCCTGGCTTCAAAGGCCTTGTCAGGAATGGAAGGACCTTTGCGATCGCCCTTTTCGCATCCTTGGGAGGTTTGGTGTATGGATGTGAGTTAAGACTATTGGGACAGATCTACGGGTTGGATGAGACTTCCGTGTTACTGACTTTAAAATAGATAATCAAGGAATGTTCTCGTCAATTTTGACAATGAGTTCCTTTCAGAAGGAGGTAAGTAACTGCCGCAGACTCCTGTATATTGGTTGCTTCCGCCCGTGGCGTTTCTAATCAAGCCACGTAGATCAAAGGTTACGCCGCCGAGACGGGCACTAAACAAGCCATCACCACTGCCATTCTCGAACTCGGAGCATGGGTCGGAACTCTGCTGAACGGATGGCTCGCCGACGCGATCGGTCGTCGTCAGACAACTATCCTTGCAGTCTGTGTCTTCTGCGTGGGTGTCATAGTTCAGGCAAACACCAAGGCTGTCAGCTATGTTCTTGGCGGCCGATTTGTTACTGGTCTGGGTGTTGGTAGCTTGAGTATGATTGTGCCCTTGTATAATGCTGAGTTGGTATGTGTCGCAAACTCTCATAACGAGACTCAAAGTGCAATCTAACAACTCTCTAGGCCCCCCCAGAAATTCGTGGGTCCTTGGTCGCTGTCCAGCAGTTGGCTATCACATTCGGTATCATGGTCAGTTTCTGGATTGGCTATGGCTGCAACTTTATCGGTGGAACTGGAGATACACAATCGAAGGCAGCCTGGCTGGTTCCTGTCTGTATCCAGTTGGCTCCGGCTATCATTCTGGGAATCGGAATGGCCGTCTTCATGCCTCAATCTCCTCGTCACTTGATGAACACTGGTCGCGAAGAGGAATGCTTGGAGGTATTGGCCTGGCTGCGCAACAAATCGACCGATGATATAGTGGTGCGCATCGAGTTCCTGGAGGTGAAGGCTATGCACATGTTTGAGAAGGAAACTTCGGCAGCCAAGTATCCCCAGTATCAGGATGGCTCCCGGAAGAGCAGACTTATGATCCTGATCAACGATTACAAATCTCTTGTCACCAATCCATCCCTTTTCAAGCGTTCGACAGTTGCGGTATGTAGCTCAACGGGCTGATTCTTGACAATTGCTAACCTTCTGTCTTAGTGCCTGATCATGGTCTTCCAACAATGGAATGGTATCAACGCGATCAATTACTACGCGTGGGTTTATTCCTAGCTCAAATGTGGATAACGACTGATTAAGTGATAGGCCTTTCATCTTCAAGGGTATTGGACTGACAGGCAACACCATCGATCTTCTCGCAACTGGTGTTGTGGGTATTATGGAGTTCGTCTTCACGATTCCCGCCGTTCTCTGGGTAGACAAGTTCGGGCGAAAGAGCATTCTGATCGCAGGCGCTATCGGTATGGCATCTTGTCACTTTATTGTCGCCGGTATCATCGGAGCTTTCAAGGATGACTTTGCCACACATAAGTCGGCTGCATGGGCCGGAGTTGTCTTCGTCTGGATTTACTGCATCAACTTCGGCTACTCCTGGGGTCCTGTCGCTTGGATTGTCGTGTCAGAGGTGTTCCCGCTATCTATGCGTGCCAAGGGTGTCGCCCTTGGTGGAAGTAGTAACTGGGTATGTTATTCAACGCGTTCTTGTGGCATCGGCTAAAAATGCTAACCTCTATCATCAGCTCAACAACTTTGCCGTTGGAATGGCCACTTCGCCATTTATTTCCAAGACTCAATTTGGCGCCTTCATTTTCTTCGGTGTCATCACCCTCATCGGTGCTGTCTACGTTTACTTCTTCGTGCCCGAAACCAAGGGCCGCACTCTCGAAGAGATGGACGAACTTTTCGGTTCCACAGGTATTGCCGCTGCTGATGAAGAGCGAAAACACCGTATTGAGCGCGAAATCGGTCTATTGGCTCTTCTTGGCGATGAAGACTCGGGTGTAGAGGAGTCTAAGACCGCATCCGACGTTGCAATCGACAGCGCGAACAAGCATGTTGAGGCAACGGACCTTCCTAACGAGAAGGCTTAAGTTACAGTGGGAGTGTCCTGAACAATCAACAAGCTGCGTGATATATGGGATTTACATAATTCGTGAACTCCATGCCGTGTACATAGGCAGGTTTGTCTTTAATTTTTGAAACGGAGTATATGCCAGTTTCAGGGTTAGGATTAGGATTCTCCCTTCCCAGCCCCGTTTAGTCAGGAATATATCTAAGTCATGATTCTATCCCTGTACGTACCCCTAACAGGTCGCCTAAATTACAGTAATTACGCTCTCGAACAACCACATCCCACGTCAGCGGTTCATTGTATTTCTAGCTGCAGGTTTCTCCTTATCACTCGCGTCTACTGTTTTATAGTTCCCTCCATATTGACCACGGACTTTGTATGGCTGTCTTTTCCAGTCCCGTGTTAACATTGGTACGTCACCGTCCGTGAAGATACCATTAGTGACTAGCTTCAATGCGATGAGGGACGGCACAGCATGGTCAAACCCAGAACAGATAATTGCTATGTACTTTTGCTCCCGATATCTTATAGCCTCTGCGTTGCTTCCTTCTGCGACGGGGATTTGAACGTTCCAAAGATAAAATAGAGAAAATATTGCGAGATATCGTTAAGGAAAATTCATGCCTAGGGACGTCTGTCTACTGTTAGAATGTAAGCGAGGTTGATTGTTGGATTGATGGCCTAATGGGGGACCCCGGACAATGTTGATAATCTAATCAGAATCACTAACGTAATTCCCAGTGGACCCGCGCACCCGGTCGACCCGCGCACCCTTAAACACATAGTAAATGCGATAAATTACTCATGCATTACTTCAACAACTATAGTATTATTATTTGGGTATTAGTGTATAGGCTTTTATTAGCATATAAAATAATATTTCTGAGTTTTAAGCTGCTTAAATAATTATTTCATTGCTTTACCATATAATACGGCGTAATTTTGACAAAAGGAACATAAATATATATATCTCTTTCATTACTTCAACTGACCTTCCTATACTTCCCTAGTAGGCTAGAAATGATATTAAGATTATATAATGGGGGGGGGGGGGGGGCTGCTGTAGACCTTCCCAATTTTGAATTCTGTGGCATTGATTCCTTATACTATGTAGAGATTTCCAACCTATAGGGCACTACGAGCTGGCCTTATATGGTGGTTAATTACTCCTCAACTTCGAACGGATCATCAGGATATTGGGAACGTTGGGGTTTAGGCGACGCAGTAATCAACTCGGGATCTGCTTCGGAGACAATGCACAAGATTGGCCTGGAGAAAATGGTGGGCAATATTGCTTCATCAATTTCAGCACTGGCTCGCACAACCAGCAATATTCCCATTTACGGCGTTGTCAGTACTCAGGAGTCATATGTTGCTGTCAAATGGGAATGGATGACGCTGCCTGCCATCTTGCTGGTAGCAGGAATACTTCTTCTCATTGCAACTGCTCTCATTTCTACTCGCGGAGAGGTCCGCCTGTGGAAGTCATCGGCACTACCTCTAATTTTCCATGGATTGGAGCCTGGAATTTTTTCCTAGACGATGAGGACTGAAAATAGCTAGTGCGAAGCTATGAGTGAGATGGAGGAGATGGCGGATAAAATGACAGTCGATCTAGGGATATCGATTGAAGCAGGAAGAACCATGCTTCGAGACACTTCTCAGCTGCCTGAACCTATCATTGGTCAGCAATCTCGCAGTCAATCCTCATAAACATTCGAAACTTGCAAGATATTTTGTGATCAATAGTTCACTATGCTTGCTTTGCTTGATATATGAGAGTTGCATAATTCGTCAAGTCTATGGCATGTACATGGGCGGGTTGTATTTTATTTTTGAAGCAGAAGACATGCAGATTCTAGCTAGGTATATCACCGGCGGACTTTGAAACTGCGATGCGACTTCAAGAATGATTATAGACCCAAAGATATTGCATTTCCAGAAAAGATCTTCTGAATATGTGCCTCCTCAAACATCTCCTTAAGCTGAGAGTCCATCAATTGGCTCAAGCCCTCCACAACCGGGCCCGGGGTGTAGGGATAGTCACTACCGTAAAGTAAGCGATCTGCCTCTCCCACTCTCAAATACCCGTGAATGAGATCCGGGAACGGCATGCCAGCCAAGTCGAAGAAGAATCGAGTCCTGAATAATTCCTTCACCCGGTCGCTGGTCAACTTTTCACATTCCGGAAGCATTCTGCTCGAGAACAAAGTAAATCTTTCTACGAGAGGAGGTAAGGTGGCACCGCAATGAGAAACCAAAAATGTCAAGTTCTCAAAGCGTGTCACCGTACCTGACAGAAGTAGATTGACCACAGCGCGAGTAGTGTCGAAGAAGTACTCCATCATGGGCGTTGGGTACTGTGCCAACGGCTTATCGGCAACTGGATTGTCGAGAGAGCAACATTGAGTCGGATGCATGAAAATGACAGCTTTATAATCATCGAGCTTCTTGAAGACTGGGTCGAAACGTGAATCGCCCATGTAGTAGCCTTGGGCATTGGTCATGACAGCGAACCCTGATGCGCCCAATTTCAGAGCGTGGTCGATTTCCTCGAGAGACCCCTCCACATCAGGCAGGGGGAGCGAGGCAAACCAGCCAAACCGAGCAGGGAATTGTCGACATATGTCGGCTATTTCAATGTTGGTCTCTCGTGTGACTTGCTTGGCAAGCTCGAAGTCGCCGACTTTGAGATGAGTCCCAGGCGACGTGATGCTCAGTATAGATTTCTTGATGCCAAGTTTATCCATCAACGCAATGTGGCCTTCTGGAGACCATTCCTACAATAGCATGTCAGTAGAGTTCAAAATTAAGGATTTTAGATCATACCGGGATACAAGGCATGCCATCAGGCCTCCCCCAGCCATGCTCTTCACACCATCTTCTCCAGCCTGGCGGCACGATATGACAATGTGTGTCGATCTTTTCCATTTTTCCTAGGTTTCAACAAGAGATAACTAACATTGTAAATCGTCGCTCAAACAAGACACCTTTATATAGACGGGCCGTTTGGGCTCGCGGGTTCATCGGAAGCGGAAACATCGATCGATCCCGCCGACTCCCCGCAAGTGCGGTCACTCATCCCGGAGAAAAGTGGATTCATCTATACTCATCTCGTGCTTGATGTGGGTCGCGAGTCAGGTTGTGGGGCTTATGCCGGAAGAACCTCTGCATTAGGAAATCTAGATGATGTTTCCTTGCTGTTGTGCACTAGTAGTGCTTATAGGTTACGTTGAGCGTCGATCATGAAAGACGCAAGGCTTGAGATGCATTCCAGCTGCAGCTTCGAAGGGGGTTTATTAGCAGACGATCTGCACTTTCACGAGGAGGCTTTTGTTCTTCCTTTCCACTTGGTCCTCCACGCTCAATCCCACATCGATCTATCCTCATCAGAATGTCGGCGACGCTAATTTCGAATGCTCGTATCTTTGACGGTGTCTCTGTCGTATCAGAATGCGGTCATGTCTTGATTGAGTCCGGTCGCATATCTCAAATCTCCCTTCGAGAGCCTCTATCGCCGCCAGCAGGCTGTGCTATTATTGATGCCAGTGGCTGTACATTACTGCCTGGTTTGATCGATGCACATGTGCACGTCTGGCGCGACGTTGAGCTCCTTGAAACAGCCATTCGGTATGGAGTCACGACGGTCCTTGACATGCACAACGAGCGCGAATGGTTTAAGGGAATCAATGCGATAACTCAACAGCGTAACGATGTATCTGATGTCAAGTCCTGCTGTTATGGTGCAACAATCAAGAATGGCTGGCCATCTGCCATTGTCAGGCTTGTTTCACAAGAAGAAGGCGTCCGTATTCCCTAAAAGCTTGCGGGTTCTATTTCTCTAATTTCTTCTTCAGCTGGAGGATCGCATCTCTAAGTGGCCCGGTCTCACAGACAAGAAGTCTGTCGAGGACTTCATTGATCAGAATAAAGCCGCTGGAGCTGCGTAGGTATCTCTTATCTGAAAAATATGGATTTAGAATCTACTAACTCCATTTCTTTGGCTGGCTAGTTTCACTAAACTGATGCAAGAGGATGGTCATACTATGACCTTGCCGTTCCCAGAACGGCCTGTCCCAACACCTTCCCTGGAACTGCAGAAGACGATTGTCGATGTATCACACGAGAATGGCATGCTGACAGTTGCCCATGCCCTCAATAATCACTCCACTCTCCATGTTCTCCGCGCAGGTGTTGATGGGTTGGCCCATGCATCGATCGAGCCAATCACCGAGGAGATTGTCCAAGCATTCAAGAAAAACAACGCCTTCGTCATCCCCACACTGGCGATTCATGCATCTTCTAGCGGTGAAGAGCAGGAAACTCGCGATAAATTCGCAAGCAGCCTACAGGGTGCGGAGAAAGAACATCTACTCGGATGTCTCCATATCACATCGGACAAGTTCTCTATCAAGACTGTCTATGAGCAGGTGTACACTCTCAAGGAAGCGGGAATTGACGTCCTCTGGTGAGACTGTCACTATCAACGTAGGCTTTGAAATTCGTTCTAATCACGTATTATAGTGGAACCGATACCTCCTCGCATCTCGCAGGTACTCGGGCCGGTCTTTCAGTGCACCATGAGCTTTGGATGTATGTTAACCGGTGTCGTTTCACACCCCTTGAGGCTCTTATCTCGGCAACATCCAAAATTTCAGATCGGTTTGGTTTCTCAGATCGTGGTATGATCCAGGAAGGTCGACTTGCAGATCTTGTACTTGTGGCGGGGGATCCGACACAATCTATTGACGCCATAGGCAACATCAAAACTGTCTGGAGAAACGGTGAAGCCGTAGTCAGAAACTGACCTCTATCTCACAATATAAATTACTCCCTGTAGGTATTTATATTCATTCATTGCCTTCCTCTTCACCAAGTCAACTTATAGTGCCTTGAGTGCCACTTGGCATATCTTGAGAACCGTGATTGCTACCATCGGACGCTGACTTGCTGCTAGTCAACGGTAGTTCACACTTATCTACTCAATCCTATGGAGTATACATAAGACTATAGCCTCTGAATCTCACTAAGAAATCTTTATAGAGATAATTCCATGCCATAGTTATCAAATAATTCTGTGACTCCCCCATCATACTTTCCAAACAGGCAAGCGGTATGCGCTTATGTCAGCCTCGGTTTTCCCCGCAATCTCGCTTTGCGTCGGCTTAAGCAGGACCTCATGAGCTTCTCCCGCAAGATCAAGACCGCCCTTCTTCCCCAGCTCCCTCTTCACATTTTCTCTATCTTCGATCATGAAATTGTTCTGAGTCCCAGAATTAGTGGGCAAAGTTCATCCAGCAGCTATACACAATACTACGCTGCTCACATCATCCGCCATGACCCTTTCATCCCTTCTCCGCATTACTCCCCGCCTCGTACCGACCGCGGCCCGCAGGAGCACAAGGGCTGCGTCCTCGGTGGCGGGTACGTCGCAGGGCAACAAGACCCTGGACTCAATTTTGATTGCCAATCGTGGTGAAATTGCGCTGTACGTATGACCTAGGGACTTTGAGGACTCGGTCTTGAATTGTATGGAGGTTGACCTGATTATCTATCTAGGCGCGTTGGACGGACCGCTGCGGAGCATGGAATTCGCGTTACTACTCTTTACACTGATCCCGATAGCCGGGCGCAGCATGCGTTGAGCACCCCATTTGCGTTTAATTTGGGCTCGGTCTCGGCCTATTTGGATGGTGACCGTATTATTGAGATTGCAAAGAAAGAAGGATGTCGGGGTATTCACCCTGGCTATGGGTTTGTAAGTCGCACTTCCCTGGGGGGTCTGGGTTCTAGGCTGTGCAGATTACAACCAAAGATGTAGCTAACAACTTCTCTCCTGTCTAGTTGAGTGAGAACTCTGCCTTTGCTCGAAAATGTACCGAGGCCGGTATCGTATTCATCGGCCCGCCATGGAAGGCAATCGAAGACATGGGTGACAAGAGGTGTGTGAACTATCCCCAAATTTGGATACCTCTGGACTACAAACTGACAGGTGTATAGTCGATCCAAGGAAATCATGCTCGCGGCAGGTGTTCCCTGCGTTCCAGGTTACCACGGCCACAACCAAGACCCCGCCTTCCTCGAAGCCGAAGCCGACAAAATCACATACCCAGTCCTTATCAAGGCTATCAAAGGTGGCGGTGGAAAGGGCATGCGGATCGCCAGCTCCAAGGCTGAGTTCCAGGCTCAGCTGGAGTCGGCAAAATCAGAAGCCATGAACTCGTTTGGAGACGATCAAGTCTTGGTTGAGAAATACATCACGACGCCCCGTCATATTGAGGTTCAGGTCTTCGCAGACAAGCACGGTAACTCCGTTGCTCTGGGAGAGCGAGACTGCAGTATTCAGCGCAGACATCAAAAGATCTTGGAAGAGTCCCCTGCTCCTCATCTCCCGGATGCTACGCGAAAGGACATCTGGGCCAAGGCCCGATCCGCTGCACTTGCAGTTGGTTACGAAGGTGCAGGCACCGTGGAGTTCATCTTCGACAATGACTCTGGCGAATTCTACTTTATGGAAATGAACACTCGTCTTCAAGTCGAGCACCCCGTCACGGAGATGGTTACCGGTCAAGATCTCGTGCACTGGCAAATTATGGTGGCAGAAGGTGCCCCATTGCCTCTGACGCAAGAAGAGGTCGAAGAGCGCATTGCACGCAGTGGGCACGGTATCGAAGCTCGTATCTACGCCGAGAATCCCGACCAAGGATTTATCCCTGACTCGGGAAGGCTGATCCATGTGCGGACGCCTGCCACTACAGAGGATATCCGTATTGATGCTGGTTTTGTGGAGGGTGACGACGTATCAGCCCACTACGATCCGATGATCTCCAAGCTGATCGTTCGCGGCGAGACCCGTGAGGAAGCCATCCGAAAACTCGGCGCCGCGCTCGAGCAGTACGAGGTCGCCGGCCCAGTCACCAATATCGAGTTCCTCAAGACCATCTGCCGCAGCCCTGACTTCATCGCCGGTGAGGTCGAGACAGGCTACATCGAGAAACACCGCGACGAGCTTTTCGCCCCTAAGACTATCGACGATGAAGTTCTCGCCCAGGTTGCTCTCGCATGCCTGCACCGTGACATGCATTCTGCTGCCGTCGCTCCCTCTGCCGGCCTTGCAGGAACCACGATCGGATTTGCGCCCAGCTACCAGCAACGGCAGCTTTCATTTACCTCGTCCACAGGGCCGAACACCGAAGGGAAGACCTTTAACGTGCGTGTGCAGCAAACAGCAGATCAAACCTTCGACATCGAGGTCGGGTCTCGCGTCTTTTCGCAAGTGACCAGCACAATGGATCCCGTTTCGCGCGTGGTGACCTCGTTCTTTGGACACACCCGACTCGACACGACCGTTGTCCAGGACGCGGAGACGGACACAATTATTGCGTTCCAGCGAGGTATGCAGTACCGCCTGGGAGTACCACGGGCTAAGTGGATGGAGAAGGCTCTGGGTATGAAGGACGTTGCAAATAGCGTTCTGGCGCCGATGCCATGCAAGATCCTCCGGGTGGAAGTGCAAGCAGGCGATGTGGTTGAGAAGGACCAGCCATTGGTCGTCATTGAGAGTATGAAAATGGAGACGGTGATTCGTAGCCCACAACGGGGTACGATCGCCCGCGTGGTTCATCAACAAGGTGTAAGTCACATGGTCCCTTCTCCTTTTTTTTTATCACATTTTCCCCCTTTCGAGGCTCGCAATCTGGAAAATTGGACTGGATTTCGAGTTCTGGTCTCGACCAAGCGGTGGCCACTGCGCAGTTAGGGGGCAGCTCATGTGGGCGGGTCGCGTGATCCTGCTGTGATCTGTTCAATTGACCAACTGCGGGGGTTACCCCCTAATGCTCACCCGCGCCCAATTTGGGAGAACACCCTGGACGGGCTTCAATGCATTTTCTGAAGATTTAACTAATATGCGATGCAGGATCAATGCAAGAGTGGAACACCCCTAGTTGAATTCGCCGAGGAACCCGAGTCAGCGTAAAAGATAAAGTTGTGCGTTCAAACTGGCGTTTATGGGAGCATTGGATTTACAATCATGAAGTATAGCTTGAGTATTTATGAATATCATTGCATTAGATCAACTAAGATCCCTGAAAGCATGGCCGTTGGTCAGTTTAAGGCTCGCGACGGGGATGCCATTCTAGGAGAGCAGCATTGACTCGACTCCACAAAAGTACGGAGTAAGCTGTCTTAGTGCCGTCTCCTACATATACTAATCATGGATTAGGGTCTCCTTGGGAGGAACTAATTCAGCTATAATAAAAGCGCTAGTGTATTACCTGGCTCTTAAAGACCCGTGCGACCCTTTATTCTCTTTCCAAGTGCGATATACGGGAGCTTAGACACTCGCTATGTACGAATAGCGACGGGTTGGCCTCGCGATCTGAGTTATGGAGACTCAAGGAAAGTGGAGCGGACAACAGGGCGCCAACGGGCTCGACCATATCTAAAGGCAAAGACATCTATCGAAAATCATGTTTCACGGTATATGTGTAAATAAACACGGAGCACTAGCTGGGACAGATATGGTTTGGCGTAATTCTACATGAGTACGATGACCTTCGTCGTCATTCTAGTACTTTGTACTTTGTAGATTTGCCACCCTCCCTGGGCCTTGATACTGCATACTGCGTGTTGCGGTACGGGGTAATCGGTACATGTACATATCAGGGCGCATGTACCCGGCAGGCGAACGTTGTACCTGGAATCCCGGACTCGACGGGTGTGGCAGTGGCGAAAGGAATGCGTCGGAGTGCATGGGTACAGCGGTGAATAGTATTCACCGAATAATAGATAGGGTGGCGGTAAATGCGCCATCTATGCAGCAGGTTTCAAGATCGAACAAAGCAAGTGTAATTGCGACTGCATAACGGGCGGAGGTATGATCGCTAGCATTGGCCATAACGGTTAGTAGAATCTGAAGTTAGAATGTACTCAAGGGATACTATTTTCTAATTTCCAGTGCCTAAGAATAGTTTCGTCTTCGGAGATATATAGTCACGTCCTTTATGTCGCCGAATACAAACATCTATAACAGGTATGGAGTACTGTACTTTAAGTACTTTATCCGATCGATCGACCGGGGCCTGGGCGTTTTGGGGCTGTAAGAACTACGTCCACCTGACATCACTGCTTTAGGAATTCGCTTCTGGCCAGTTAACCATGTACTACTCTAGCTGCGTTAGTCTTGGATTCTATCCATAATTTACTACATTCTCCAAAGCTAGTCAAATCAATTGTAAATTCCGTCAACTCAATTGCTCGTCCACTCGCTGACCCCACGTCCATCGACCATTGGAGGCGAACGCCACGGAGCATTGAACCTATCACGGAATGAAAAATGATGACAAGTATTAGATAATAACAGGATAATTGTTTATCATTATTATTCCTATTAGGTATGATTATCATTAACGATTATGTTCTCTGTGATTGTTTCACCGCAAGTGTTGCATTCCCCAACTCTTGGGGCCACTTCCAGAAGCTCGAGCTTCCATCCCTGTCCACTGCTAACTCACCCAGCATTCGATGAAAAAGAAGGTTAATGAAATAATTTTTTCCCTTAAAACTCAGAGAGTAGACCCCTCTCCGGCAGCTATATCCATCCAGTTGTCCCTTCCCCTCTTCTTAGCTCTCCTTGATTTCCACTCTTTCTCCATATCGACTTCCTAACCATCCCTGCTTTTGCGCGTGCATACTTGCTCCTTGGAAGCTGACGAGGTCCTTATCCTTCTACTTGCGCATACCACCAATTGGCCTCTCACCCTCTTTTCCTCTCAATCTCTTCTCCGTTGCCGGCAGCTACAGCTTCGGGGCTAACCACAGTCATGTTTAACCGCTCGGTCGCTCGTTCGGGCATCAAGGCACTTAATACAACATCCCGCCCAGCAACACGCTCAACATTCATCCGCCCACTCTCCTACACAACAGCTCGCGCTAACAAAAAAAATGACCCCAAGAATGACCCCAACCTAGCTGCCACCAACAAAGCTCCCGAGGGCGCTTCCGGCGAACATGAGGGCCAATTCGCCCGTACCGATGAAAGTGTGCAGATCGAGTATCCGCCCGACAGCGAGATGCCCGCCCAGCCCGTCGTCCAGGGCCGTGGTGGCATGCATTTCAAGCGCACACTGGCTCAATTCTCGCTCGAGAATAAGGTCAGCATGGTGACCGGTGGTGCGCGTGGTTTGGGTCTAGTTATGGGTCAGGGATTGGTGGCCTCGGGCTCGGATTTGGCTATTGTCGATCTGAACAGTACGTTTTCGCCAGTCACAGCTCTGGCATGGAGCTAGAACCTTTGAGCCCAGGTTTCTGGCTAGATGCTAATTGACATGCGCAGAGGCCGAGGCCGAAGAGCAGGCCCAGAAGCTTGTCGAACAGTTCCGCAAAGAGAACCCGGGTCTAGAGGAGTAAGTGCGCCTTGTTTCTGTTCCTTCGGTTCTTGTCAAATACGCCCTTTTTCATTCAACAGTATACTCGCTGGCAGACGAGCTTGCTACAGGCAGCTAACCCAGCTCTCTGCATAGAATGCCAAATGTCACAGCGCACTACGCCGACGTCGCAAACCCAGACTCGGTTAACGAAGCTCTCGCCGAAGTCCTAGCTAAACACAAGCGCATCGATAACCTCGTCACATCCGCCGGTTTCACCGAGAACTTCGACGCAATCAGCTACCCATTCGACCGCATGAAGAAGCTCTGGGGCGTCAATGTCGACGGTACATACCTTTTCGCTACGGGCGTGGCCAAGCACCTGATGGAGCGTAATGCTCCTGGAAGTATCGTCATGATTGGATCCATGTCCGGCTCTATCGTCAACGTACCCCAGCCCCAGGCACCGTATAACGCGGCCAAGGCGGCGGTGCGCCATCTAGCGGCATCGCTGGCTGTTGAATGGGCTGGTCATGGTATTCGGGTTAACTGTATCAGCCCTGGTTACATGTTGACTGCTCTGTGAGTACTCCTTTGAGATATATCTGGTCCAGTTGGAGAGTATGATTTCTAACATCTTCCTTTCTTCCTTGACTACAGTACCCGCAAGATCCTCGATGAGAACCCCCAGCTCCGTGATAAGTGGACATCCCTCATTCCCGTTGGTAAGATGGGAACCCCTGAGGACCTGATGGGTGCCGTGACCTTCCTGCTTAGCGATGCCTCCAAGTATATCACGGGCGCGGATCTCCGTGTCGATGGCGGATACACCCTTACTTAGGTGTCACGCTGGGTCCTGAGTGCGTCTATCTATTTTTACCTCTGCATGATCAATGGGTTGTTTCTGGTTTATACCATGGATGCAATATAGAGCGATTTTGCTTCTCATTCTTTCATTTCTTTCTTTATTGTATACCGAAAAGGCTGCTTTATTACTCCAAATCGACAATACACGTTCTTTCTGGTTTCCCTGCTCGCTCGGCGCAGGCCCTTAGTACTACACGTATTGATTTCGGCTAAAAACAAGTTCTGCGTTCTACAATTACTCATTTAAATATGCTGGATAAAGGGGGTTGAGTTTGAAGGCTATATTTTTTTTTCTCGGTACGATTGGAGAAGCCCCGCTTTGTTTTGATCCTACAGCTTAGTTAGCAAACATTGATTGACATCATCATACTCGTAGCTGGGGACGACAGCTCTTTCCTATTGGCTGGCTTTTTGAGGGTGCGGGGAACGTTGAACTGGTAGATTAACTCTGGCTATATACGAAGATAGATAAAGTACCAGATACTAAAGGCACATACATCGCCATCCTTGTCCTGTTAAATCTCTCTATCTTCCTAGGCTGTAGGTTGACTTAAACTATCTTTTAACCCATATGGGAATTTACGCCACGCCATCTATACTCTATATCATTCGCTCTTTTCTTTATGATATCTAAATACTTCTATTTTTCTTCTATTCTCAAAGTATAGGGCTAGGCTCGTTCGTATCTAATATACTGTTAATATCGGATGAATAATCTGTGCCCTATTAGAGGCCTTAGCTATGAGGCTATAGTAAAATTAAATTAATCATACTAGGCCGATGTACTGTTTATAACAATCCTGCGGAAGGGGAGAGAAGAGGAAGTGATCAGTCCCGTTTTAGATGGAATCCTTTAGAATTCTTCTTGCCAAAAGACAGGAAGAGAATCTATCTTATCTCTAATAGAATCTTGCGTTAGAGATTTTAGAATCCTTCACATTCCTTTCTGCTAAAGGCGGTGCTGTACGGGAAAAGTATCCGGCTCTACGACTTGGGCTCTGGCCTAACATATTAATTAAGTTGATGTGCTGTGCAACGCAAAGGCAGGCATAATCTCGGCCTTAATTTTACTTCGGAAAAGAACTCCGTTGCGTGATCTATAGGTTTCTCCGATTTCCCCACGTGCGCATGTTGCTTAGTGTTGCTTGAAGTCGCTTAATATTGCTTAATGTTGCTTAATGGAGTGCCTCTTCCCCCGTCAACTCACTGGAGCTAGGTACATAATCAGAAACGCTTCGATAACCTCTTGACATACCGTGGAGCCTTTCTGTCCAATGATTGTGTAGCCTCTACTTTAGTCTTGCAAGTTATTGGATAAAGTAGTGTACTAGTTTATTTTAGGTTACTGTGATTATGCTAGAGGCAGGGACGAGGGGGTTAATCGGAAGGACTTCGGCTATTTTCACCTTATTTTTCAAGACGAGGCGCTCGTTGCCAAGCTCCTAATACTTCATTGTCACTTATCATTATGCAGATTTCAAGCCACCTTCAGTCAAGGCAGACCATGAGGCAGTACCCAACATAACGTTGCTATTATATAGCAAGCAGCCTCTACGGACCTATGCCCAAGATAATCTCTCGCCAGTTTCCCAATCATCCCACCATGCTACTCTACAAGTGCACTTCCTGCCAGGAAGCTATTCAGGCGAACAAAGCACGCATATCATGTAGCCCTTGCTCACCACCCATCATCCTGTGTGCCAACTGCTATATCGTGCATAACTATCCCCCGCAGCATCCAGATGGTGCCTCGCATTCCTTCGCAGTATCACAGCAGAGCGGCTATCTCCCAGTCCCGCCTCCTCCACCAGTACGGACTCAGTCTGTCGGCGGCATGTATCAAGCCGCGCCAGCCCTTCCGCGACGAAGGCCTGTTCCTGCTGCTTCAGATACCGAAGTGCCGCACATGAGGCCCCCTCACCCGGCTAAGCAGCCAGGACTCGAAGCTGAACTAGATGCTAGTGAACCGGTGTCGAAGCCAGGCTCCTCACAGCCGTCAACGCCATTACCATCAGGTTCGCAGAAGCAAGGCACCGAGCAAAATCGCGAACAACAACAGCAACATGAAAAGCCTCCACAGCCGCGACAATATCCCCAGGGTCAACAGCCACCACCACCACAGCAACCACGGCCACCTCAGCAACAATATCAACCTTCTGGGTGGGCCTATTTTTTCAATCGAGATATGACACCCACTCCTTGCTTCTCCACCCTAATTCAAGAATTCTTCCACCATCTGGACCCAAAGCGCACCGGCCTCCTCAGCCCGGAGACCTGCTCACAGTACATTGACGCCTGTGGTGCAGCCCTAAGCAACAATGTTTGTTAGTACAATACTCTACTTTTACCTTCCATCAGCCCTTGACACAGTCTCCTAACACCTACTACACAGGGAAAGCCAACCGTGCCAAAAACCCCCGAAGCTACGACGTAGCCGACCGCGAACTAGCAGACCATTACACTGCCTACGGCGTCGACTTCGTCCTACACCCACGAACCCCAGTCTCATCACCCACAACACCCGCTTTTAACCCTCTATCAATCTTTTCAAACTCCCAGAACACCATAATGGAACATATCCTATCCTCAGTCCCCTCCGTATCCGGAAACCAAAAACCCATGCTTACCCTCCATGGCTGGACAAGCCTGACCATCTGCGGTGCTCTGATTAACCCGTCCGGGTCATGGGGCGACTTTAATCGTGCAATGCGCTATTATCGACTCCCCCTCTGGACAAAGTGGGGTGATATCCCAAGAGAGATGTTACCGTTGACACCGCACCCGCCGGAGGTAGAGCGTGTGCGAATTCTGCAGGAGGGGGCGCGGATTACTGCTCAGCGAGAACTTGATGCGATGAAGACTAAGTTAAGGTTCGATAAGCAGGCCCGGCAGGCTACTTTGGATCTGTTTGATGATAGGAGGTACGTATATCGGTAATGTGTGCTTGTGATGCGAGATTTGTCATTTTGAAAGGTTGAGCGAGGTGACTTTGAGATATGATGTCGGGTCGGGGTTGCCGGTATGTAGGTGGATGAATCCTTGAGTTTCGGTGTCTGCAGCTTTTTAACATCACGTTATTTAATCTTCTATAAGTTAATGGTGTACCTGCTTGTAAGATTGTATTTTCAATCGCCATCCAGAACTCGATTACTCGATTAGCCGCTACTTGACGGGTGTTGCGTTTTGTTCTATTTGGTTCCGGTCTGTACATATTATCACGCTCCGCGGTGGGTAACCGAAGTGCTTTGGGTTTTAAAGGGAATTAGCTTTCAGGGTCCCGATATCTTATATTACCAATCAAGAAATTCGGAGGTTATTTATAATCTAGCTTCACTCCGGATGCGATCGAGAGCGATTGGAATTAAACTGCCAAACTGGGAAACTGGAACAGTCTAGTAGGAATGTAGGAACTCTATACGCAGTAGGACTTAGAATAGGATGCGTTGAAGAGCTAGAACTGAAATACGATTTAATATCTTTGGTATCTCTTCAGCACCAAAGGCTGATCATGGTCTGTAGGCGGCGCAGCCCGTTTCTGCTTTTGCAAGTGTATTGACCCCATCGACGCTTCTAACTGTGATGGAACTCTGACTGAAATCCCATGGACGCTTTCGGGCATATGGGACAAGAAAAATTTCGCGTAAGCGGCCGCTGCAGCAGAGGCATATTCCTGCCACTGTTTGTTCTTATGTGAGTCGGCATAATCGCAAATCCCCCGGATGACAAGGCAGTCGGCGGTGGTTCTCATCACTCCTGCTGCCTCCATTTCACAACAGATCACATTTTCTTTACCCAGGCGATCTCAATATCTTGCGTTTCGAATAACTTAGTTCCTAGATGCAATCAATCCATAAAATACATTTGGGTTGTTATGCTGTCGAATCCTTGGCCGTCGACCGCCGATGCAGTCGTCACAAGGTAATTTCTCATCAACGTGAACATAATTCGAGTCAAACAGCGTGTCTCGTATCCAGTTATTGAGCGTTGGTTTATTTCTGTAGGAGAATCTAGAAGATCTAGCTTTTTCGACGACATTATTGCTCTGACTATGTTAAGTTTGCCGACCCGTCACTCTTAATTTGAAAGCGCGATCGACAGAAACAATTTCGGCGAACTCGGCCCTGATTTCCCTGTTCATATCTTAAAGGCGACTTCTCGTCTTGGCTTTCTGTCGATCCTCTATTATCTCCGACTACTAGTCCTTTTATATCACGGATTGTCTCGCGAGTCGGTCGTACGAAATATTTCGGGTTTAAAAAAGACAATGGATACCCATACTCTTCAATCCACCTTGTTCCAAGATAATTTCAGACCATGCGCGCCTACCTGACTCTGGCATTAGGTGCCAGCTGTGCTCTGGCGCAATCGACAGTCCAGTTATTCAATTTCTCGAGCTATGTCGATATCGAAAATAGCGCTCTTCGGCCGAACGGTAATCTCCTCCTCACTACCTTTGACCAAGGCCGTCTCTACACCCTCGACCCGTCCGGTCGCAACCCCCAGGCTCAGCTAGTCGCCGCCCTCCCTGGAGCCACCGCTCTCTGTGGAATAACAGCCATTGATCATGACAAATTTGCCGTTGTTGGAGGAGTTAGAGGTAGTTACAGCTACACTAACGAAACTCTCTACTCTGTCGACTTCACCGGAAATTCTGCCAAGCCTATCATCCGAACAATTGCTCGAATCCCTAATGCTGTGATGCTCAATGGTATGGCTTCGCTGCCAACACAACCGCATATCGTTCTGGTTGCGGATTCACGACTTGGATATTTGTTTCGCGTTGATACAAGAACGAGTGTCTCGAAAATAGCTTTCAAGGATGATGCTCTGGCTGCACCTTCAAATGCAAGCATTCCAATTGGAATCAATGGGATAAAGATCGGACAGGGTTATGTGTACTTTACAAACACGGCCCGGGGAACTTTCTCACGAATCTCTGTCAGTGAGGATGGGCTGGAGTTCGGCAGCGTGGAGACGATCGCTACTTTGGATGCCGGCGATACCGGGGACGACTGGGATGACTTTGCCTTGGATGCAGATGGTGTCGCGTATGTTGCACAGCCTGATAATTCTATCGCAAGAATTCAGCCAGATGGGGGACAAACTATCGTTGCAGGTGGAGGAGAGACCGAGGATATCATTGGGCCTACTTCTGTTCAGATTGGGCAGAACGGGGAGTTGTACGTTACTACGCGCGGCGGAACCATTGATGGCTTTACGTATAGTGGTCAAGTAGTTGAGGTACAACTAGCTAGCTGAGCACTAGCCAGTCCAGCGTTCATGTAGGGATCAATCTATTTTGAAAGACGATTCACAAGGAGGGTTACTAGGCTCTTCAAAATGCTGTCTTTGCATTCAAATCCGAGGTTTCCTCAATCCGTTAGCGTCCCTAATCGAGGAAATATCCATGCGCAATATGGTGATGCTAGATTTAAGTTTCAGCGAGACTGCCACATCTAGGAAGGTTCCGGAACATCTTATAACCTTAATTATCACTGTTTCATCCTTTGTTCAGCTCAGGCCCCCCATGTGTCATCGCTGCTCAATTCTTCGAACACGCGGGTGTGCCTTCAGGAATGCCAGCATCGCCTGAATGGCGACCGGCTGCTAATAATATTTGGCGCAGTGTGCGAGGTTTTCTCGATCATTTAGACTGAAGCTACATGAACGAGATCTACAGAATGATCGGCCAATCTCTCCTGGCATCATACTCTGAATCCCTTCCGCCAAGAATTCTCGTATTCGGAATCATGCAGTCACTCGTGTTGGTCTGACTCAAGACACGAAAACCGGGGATTCCGATGAATAGTTGCGTCATTACGGGCGATCTCTAGGAGATCATGTCCTGTGGGCTCGGTTTAAAAGAGTGAAGAGGCCTTTGAACGATGTTTGGGAATTCCTCTAGAGCTCGGCACACTTGATTTGGACCGCGATCAAGACAAAAAAATCTAGCGCTTCCAAACGTACGCTGACTTTCTTCCTTCTTCCCTCGATCCGACCAGCGAATTTTCCCAAGCCTAGAGCTATCAACCTGGAAACACCTCGACAACATGTCCGCCGTCCATGGACACTGTGAGCCCGCATTCAACAAAGTGCGGGATCTATTGGAACAAAACATTCTCTCAGAAGAGGAGTTGGGTGCTTCTCTCTGCGTCAACATTGACGGCCAAGACGTCGTCAACCTATGGGGCGGTTATGCCGATCGAGCACGCTCGAAGCCCTGGAAAGAAGATACAATCTCCATCGTCTGGTCAACGTCCAAATGCATCACCAATCTTGCAGCACTCGTCTTGATTGATCGAGGGCTTCTTGACCCATTCGCCAGTGTATCGCAGTACTGGCCTGAATTCGCTACCAACGAGAAGGAGAGTGTCAAGGTCTGGCATGTTCTCACTCATTCCGCCGGCCTCCCCGCATGGCAAAGACCAACGACCATCGAGGAAGTATACGATGTGACCAAGGCGAATGAGCGCCTCGCTGGAGATCCACTCTGGTGGACACCAGGTACTGCGACAGGCTATCATCCCGTCACGCAGGGACATATTATCAGCGAGCTTGTGCTGCGTGTAACGGGAAAGCGGGCGCGAGAATTTATTGCAGAGGAGCTTGCCGGTCCACTCAAGGCCGACTTCCAGCTCGGTGTCCTTGAAAAGGACCGGTCTCGTGTGGCAGAGGTTATAGCGCCAGCACCAATGGATCCCCCACCCGATTTCGACATGGACGGGATTGCAGGGCGCGCCATTACAACTCCTCTCATGCAGGCAGAGCTCGCCGAGACCACAGCATTTCAGGATGCAGAAATGGCATCTGGCAACGGCTTTGGAACTGCCAAGGGCATCGCTAGGATACTCTCCGCCATATCTTTGGGTGGAACAGTCGATGGGAAGAAGCTGCTCGGACCTGAAACAGCCAAGTTAGCGGCTACTGAGCAGATCAGAGGCAAGGATGTGGTTCTGGCAACAGATGTCAGATTCGGAATGGGCTTTGGGCTTCGTGTAGAAAGTGGAATGGCTTGGATCCGCGAAGGTAGTTGCTACTGGGGCGGATGGGGAGGTTCTCTCGCGATCATGAACCCGAAGAACAGAATAACCATCTGTTATGTCCCATCGCGGATGCAAAATCATGGACCAACGGGGGATCCTCGGACGGAATCCTATGTCAAAGCTATCTACGAAAGCATTGGTATATGAGTTTGTCTTGTTGGTTTGCTGTCCTTTTTGTGAAACAAAGGCTTCGGACCATGTTTGGCACACACGTACTTTAAATGACTGATCTTAATCGCCTGTTCGGTTTGAACCCTCTGCTTTTTGATGAGTAAACCTCGCAGTTGAAGCTTAATAGTCCATTTGCCTTTCCAAGCTCGGTACCCATACTGAAAGCATCAAGCGCACTATCAACTTCACCCCTATGTACTATTCTAAGCGAAGTAGCCTTCTTTCTCTCGTATCAAAGACATGCCGAAGATCTTTCCAGTAATGTATTTACCATACAATATGATTTCCTCAGTGATGCCCTTAAGATCTCTAATAACTTTAGACCTCTGGACGTTGAGTTGGTTCATGACTATTTACGTTTGATTTCTCAAATAGCCCGAAACGGTCAATCAGCCTGGTTTCAAACCTTTCTGCCCCACTTTGGTCACAAAATCGTCAAACCAAAACCAGATGGTCGGGCAGATAGTAAAGGCAGGTTTAGGTAGTCCTAGGTCGCTAGCCGTTTGTCGTTAGTAAACGATATAGGCCCCGCAAAGTCTCATGCTAGGCATCTTCCCCACTACCTTTTCAGCAACCTAACTCATAACTACTCAGTTTTAAAGTCAATCATCTACGGTATCGTAGAAGGGTTAGCTCCGTGGGTTACATGACATCTACTGCCACAAAGTTCAATATTTCCGTAACAAGCGGCTTCCCAGGTTTCTCCAAACTTCAAACAATCATATTCTCATGCTGGAACTCCGCACGGTTAAGGGTCAATCGGCTTCCCTGTTTCAATTCCATGCTACACCACAACACCTTCGTTCATTTACAAGGGTAGACAGACTAGCATACCATATGTTGACAGACGTACTAAGGACAGGGCCAATAATATTTCAGGCAACTAACCGCATCGTTCGTGACTTGAAAACATGCTTCACATACGTCCAACGGTTCTATCTTAAGATATGAAATGACAGTGTACTTACATCCTTCGCCACGTTTCGGGCCGTCCCGAGTGAATGAAGCTGACAGGAACCTAACCCACTTTGTGCTCATATCTAATCGAACTAGAGCTTTCTTATTTCAATTATCGCAGAGGCTTGTTTCCAACGACCGCTGCCTTATCATCTAACTGCTGCGCCTATATTATAAGCATCCTCACTTGCCATTCGTCCTCGCAGCAACCATTTCTATGCCATATCGCAATCTACTGCTTTATATTCAATTACTTCGCAAGCCCTGGCAAAATTATATTCTTGCTAAAGTATTTTGTTCTCCCAAGCATTTCCACAGCCGCAATTCTACCGTTCAATAGGCGATTGAAGCCAGCCAAAGTAATTGCGGCCAGTCTCCGTCCTCATTGAAATTCGTGCTATCTCACCAAATCCATACCCTCTCTTTACCATACTCAGCCAACTGATTGATGTATACAGTCTAGTTGTTCTTGGCAGTGCTTGTAGTCGCAATGATGACTTTCCAGTTAGTATGGCGATTGCAATGCATACCACCTACCAGATATGTATGGAGGTCAATCCGGTGCAAAGCTTGTAGTGCTTGACCCGGCGGCACTCGCCTAAACGATTCGATTGCCCATACCTCGCCGGCGACCTAATTAGGCGTTGCCTAGTCGGCGATGCAAACGTCTACCTTCCTCAATCAAACGTCTTCTGATCGTGAGACTCGAGCCTGAATCTTTTTCTTCCTCGCACATACCTCTCCCACGACTGTTCCATCAAAAAAACCATCAAAACAGTCATACCAACACGTTTCTCGCCTCCAGACATGGATTCGAAGGTCCGGGAGGAGCTTGCTCGGCTTTCCATTGCCGAAATGATCGAAATGTTGGAGAACTCCAACATGGACATGATCCCCGGCCTTTGGAAAGGTATGTTCTGTCGTGGTCTGCCCCTCACGCACGTTGACTGATGAATTTATAGTGTACCACTATGCACTGCCGGCCACTGAGACCAACCAGCGGCTTGAAAACCTCTTCTGGAGAGTCTGGAGCAATCAGACTCTCCAGAACCGCGTCAACAAGGAGGTTTTGATGCGCCTGGTTTGGAGTATCGACACTCCCGCGGGCATCAGCCAGGATCCCGAGCTGATGGGATGGCAGCCAGTAAGTATCATTGTTAATGTCCCTGTTTATACCCCGATTTGTTACCTTTGTCCCTCTCTGAGCCTTTAATCCCGTTTCATTTCTCGCATCATACGTCCTCACATATGCATGAGTTCTACCTTTCATTGGATGATTATACTGATAGGTCATTGATTAGCCCATCTTTGAGCAACGGGCCTTCGAGGCTGATGTGAGAACGGACTGGGATTTGGCAGATGCGTTGTGGGAAGAAGAGATGTTCGCTGGCCAGAGCAGCCTGCACTCCCCCGAAGGTACTGAGCCAGAGGAGACCGAGTCCTCCGAGTCCTTTGAGGAGACAGACCTGCCTGGCTTCGCCAACGAACGAGGCATGATGGAGAGAAATGGGCGAGCTGCGGGTGCGCATAGGCAGGCGTTGATTCCCAATGCCTATGCCCGTTTCGCCCAGATACTTGCGGCGAAAATGGAGAAGAAGAAGCAGGCTAGGACTAGGGTTACTGCTATGGATGCTGCTTTGGCTACGTTCTCGGGGATCTTGCCTCTGAGTCTGCTTCGCGCTCAGAGCCCGGCGCCACTGCAGCATTCGACTGTGCAGTCAGTCATTTCCGACACCTGTGCCCGCTTTGTTGAGATGATGGCTGAGAAGACAGGAGACAAGAAAGTCGACGCTGGCGTCGAGTCTTCGTCTAGTCCCTCTCTCATTTCTTCTCACGTTTCCTCTTACCGTCCTTCTCCTCCGATTCCGTCTCCCAGTGCCTCTTTCATCCCCTCTCTTAATCTCTCCCCCGATCTCTCTTCCAGGGGTTCTTCAAGTCCCTCTGATAGTCCTTCTCCTGGCCGTTCCCCCTACCATCCTCCCAGTCGGTCTCTCAATTCTTCTCCCGATCCTTATCCCCCTCCTTCTCCCGCTTCTTCCGCCGACTTTTCTCTCAGGTCGTCTCGCAGCCCTTCTCCAGAATCCGCCAGTCCCTCAAATCCTCCAGCCACCCGTCCGCAATCTCCTGACAGTGACGAGGAGGGAGGTGTCTCTCTTGAGGGATACAACTCATCCGGTGATCCATAGATGCCGGATCCTGGAATCTAAAGAAGGCTCGACTCGATCTTTGAGAGCACTGTGTGTTCTAGGGTGGTGACTCCATTAACGATGCTCCTGGAAATATGACACAGTTTCCATTCCATGCGATGCACAGCAGCAAATACGTCTTTACAGAATGGCTCTGCCGATTACATAATTTTCTGGGTTTTTCGTTTTTTTTTTCGTTTTTTTGGCTTTTCGAACTCGTTGTGCTTAGGTTGGTCCCCTTTACAGGGTTGCACTATTTAGTGTCTTCTACTAGATGCACTACGAATACAATGAGATTGCGAAGCGATTATTGACCAAAGTAGTGTATGATTTTAAAACAAAATGAAGATAGTAAATCAAGTAGAATGCTCACGCTGATAAACGAAAAATTCAGCAAGAACTCCATACACCCGAACTCCATTGCCTTCACTATCGAAACAAATGATGCGAAATAGATCTTCCTCTTCTCCCCCTACTCTCTCTCTCAGTACAGCATCTGTAAGCTGTGAAAGCTCCTTCAGCAATTCTTAGAGTATTAAAACCAACTCAAATCTGCTCTGCCTTCTCAGCGTCAACCATCGCAGCACCCTCCGCCGCGCGTCGACTCTTCAACCACCGCAGCAACACCCAAGACGCGGTAACAACCCACATAACAAGATTAACCAGATCAATCCAAACAGCATGACGCATGCGATTAATCTTGGACGCATCACCCAGTCCAGAGTCCGAGCTCGAACTCGAACTAGAGCTCGTAGTCGTATCGGTATCCCTCTTCCCAGAATCATTCGACTCAGAAGGATAAACACCGATATACATCTTGCCAAAGATACCAAACAGCGTCAACCACAGGACACACAGGATAAACTCCCAGACAAACTGGGGCAACTTCAACTTCAGATTCGGCCGGTACGTAACACGGCGCATCAAGAATGGTAGAATCATATGCACCGCCGCGGTGCTAGTCGCCAAAAAGGCCGTTATCATGGCAAACACCCATTTCGCATTCCAGGTGTGTCCATCGTCGTGGTCGTGACGGACGTCTTTGCCGTATACGCCGATGACGGTCAATCCGAAGACGAATTGTAAGAAGCGCACGCCAGAGATGAACATGCCCATGACCTTGGCGCCCTTGCTAACGGGTTCGGCGGGGTTGCTTTGGTATTGGATGTCTGCGCCGGGACCGACGTTGGGAGGGTAGTTGGACATTTGGATGGGTGGTTCGGGGCCGTAGTTGTAGCCCGGTTGTTGGAATTGTTCGGCTTGCTTTGCTTGCTTTTTGGCGGCGTGGTGCTTTTTGGCTTTGGAGAGGCCGAATTTGACGAGGGGAACGACGAGAAAGGACATTGTTGCGGTGAATGATTGGTTGGATGAATGGAAATAGTTGAGAATAAAACTTCAAAAAGAAATGTATGGTCGTATCTCAAAGAAAGACTCGAGGCTTTTGTTCAAATGTTGGTGGAACTGCGCACGGCGCGATTATGTGTCGTCAAGACTGAGGTGTTGCGTGGTATATAAATGTATAAGAAACCGGAACGAATGCTGAGGCAGCAAAATGTGGATAGCCCAGGGGGAGCCTGGAGTTTAAATAAAGAATCGAAGAGTAGAGACGAGTCTTGGGCAAAGTAAATAGGCAGCGGTCATCAACCAGGATAGACCAAACAACCCACAAAGAAAGAAGGCTATGTGTAGCAGATCAAAGAGAATATCAAACAGAAGAAGTATCGACTCAAGTCTTGAATGAAATAAATGCGTAAGAAAGTATAAGAAATAAAAAAGGAAAGTCGTTGCTGATGCTGATGCTGGTCCTCGTTTCATCCTGGGTCGTCTTGACCACTTTATACACAATCCCCAACCTAGCACTCTAACAAAGCTCCCCACAATAAAGTTCCAATTGAATTCTTCAAAGAACAATGTTTCTATTTTCTGGCATACTTGAAACCAAAGCTCCCCCAGCCCGGGCGCTATTTAGGCACGTCAAGCAGATTTAGCTCGCGACTCCACCGTGTCGGTTACTCGTTCCTGCCCGCTCCTCCACAGGATATCGAGCTGCCAAAGAAAGATGAAACGCGGCTCTAGTAGGGCTAGACAGAAATAAACATGGCCTACTGTATTCCTAGTGGAGCTGACGAACCTGTCGCGGGAGCTGTGACAGGCATGGCGATTGGGAGACGTCTAGATGGATCGGCGCTAGGGTTTAGTTCGCGCGCGCCAACAAGAGGAGGATTGGGGTTTCAGCGATGAGGTGTGTCGTCAATTGAGAACCAATCAGATGAGCGGTGCTAATAATAAGATTCTCAATTGTTGCAGGATTAGATAATGTCCCTTTCCTTTCATTGATTGGGGGTTTTAGTGGGGTGGTCTAGAATCTAGAGCGCTAACTGGCTAAGAATAGCGGGGGATGCGGGAGACAAAGAATCAACTGCGACGACCAACAGTATGGCCTCAACTCTGGTTTCCAGCTTCAATACATCCCTCCTCTAGTCCCAATAATCACGTCAAGCGCTGTCAAAGTGTCTACGAAATGATCTTCGAAATCTGATCTAAGTCCCATTCATATTTCTGATATGCACATTGCCCGACACGGCGACTTCTGTCATTACAATTACAGAGAATGAAACCCTTGGTGAAAAGAAAAGGAAACCCTGCCCAATGAGATATCGCTCGCCAATCCAAAAATGCTTACTAGAGGGGGAGTTTCCAAGATGCACAGTCCACGCTGTCCGAAGGAGGTAGATCCAATCTGACGCAAACAGAAAAAGTTCTCAAGCAAAATGTGCACACGTACTTCAACAAAAGCCCAACATGTAAAAGCTCTGACTAGATCCAGGGAGACCCGGTTAAAGGTCATACCATGTCAGGCCGTGCCTGAGGTCAGGCTGGTCGACTGGCCCCAGCGTCTGCAGCGCCCTTGGCGGTTCCGGGTGCAAAGGCCTTGGGGGGATTGTTTCCCGGCGGCAGGGGAGGTTTGAGATCCGTGGGGGAGACAGGGTCGGGGCCTGGGATGGACCCCTGGTCGTCATCGTATTCATGGCCTATGTACTCGTCGTCCGGGAGGCCAGACCCGGCGGCAGAAGAATGGTCGACCGAGGCGCGATCATAGCCCTGTTGATATCCCTGGTGGGAGGCATTCTTCGCGTTCTTGGTCGCCTTCTTCGTCTTGCGGCCCTTCATCTTGGCCTTTTCGAGAAGTCGCTTCTTCTCGGCCAGCCGCTTGCGCTCCTTGCGGTCTTTGATCTCGTATTGACGGATGAGTGCCTCCGGCGGGTGGCCAAAGATACTCTCGTACTCGCAAAACTCGCAGATCCAAATGTCCTCCAGGCTAGGAGGATGGTGGATGTTGGTGTATTGCTGCTGAATCTTGCGCTGTCGCGCGGCCAGCGCGTAAACACTGCCAGGAGAGCGCTTCTTCTTGCGGCCCACGGATGCTTGGTCTCCCTGTGGAGGCGACGGTTGCGTGCCGGGTGGGAGCTGCTGATTCATCGGTGCGACCATGTTGGGGCTCGTCTGCGTTCCTTGCGTGGAGAATCCTCGGGGATTATGAGTTGTGGGGGCGAGAGGGGAAGTCGGGGAGCGGTATGGACCAGAGTATGAGTTTCGCTGCATGGCCATGCCTTTGGAAGAGTCGGACTCGCAGGTGAAGGTAAACTGAGTCTTGGTGGGGGTGGTGTTTTCTTGGTCCAGCAGGCTGACATTGCTGGGGCCGCGCGGAGGGGAAGAGAAGGTAGCCGCATTAGCGATGGCAGTCGAAATGATGCCTTGGTCGGAGTCACCTGCTGGTGGGTCAGTCCATCGAGAGCCTTCGAGAGAGAGAGAGAGAGAATATCTCATCAACAAACTTACCGGATGGTCCAGGGGAGGACATCAGACCGTCCCGCCGACTAGGCGTTCGAGTGGTGTTCATCCACGCATTCTGTGCGTTGGCAGACAACGGGTTTCGCCCGCTGTTGCTTCGTGTTGAGCTTCGTCCCATACGACCTCGACCAGAACCGGAGATCCCACTGCTCAAGGGTGAAGCGGGGTTACCGTTTCCATAATAAGTACCCGTTGACATGCCATCACTGGCCGCGGGAGGGGACGGAACCGAGTTGGCTAGACCCATGCTGGCAAACTCCGGGGAGAGAGCAGAGTGATGACCGCCCATGTTCCCCGGGGTGGGGATTTTCCGCTTTTTCTTATTGTTTGTGTTTTCAAACGCGTCGTACCCATCCGGTCCCGATGATTTCTGTGAGCCGTCCTGACCTTGCCCTTGATGTTGATTCTGACTCTGACTTTGTGCCTGACCAGCAAAGGCCGGCCGTTGAGGACTTGAACCCGGAGACATCGATCCTCGAAATCCTGCACTTCGCCGCACAACTACAGGTCCGTCTTCGTCTCCACTTTCCAGCTCCACGGCTGTCTCGAACCCGTGTGAGTCGGCCTCTGGGGTTAGTTCGTGTCTCTCCAAAGCTTTTTGCCGAGCGTACGCTTTCCCATGAGGGGCCACCTCTTCCGTGTCTCCAACGCCGTAAAAGATCTGCGAAGCTGGCGGCGTGGGAGGGTAGTGGATGGTGTCGGCCGCGTCAGTCGACAATCGAGAGCGCAAGGTGCGTCGAGGGAGAGGCCGAATCAGACGATCGGGATAGACGGGGGAAGGTGTGTCAGGGGCCGAGTTGAAGGTCCCGTCTACACAAAGTTGCCACGTCAGTAACCGAGTAACTAACAGACTACCTCGTTGACGAGGACAGGTTGACGTCCAAGGGGCCCGGCCCTCTTACGAGTAGACATACTCATAGTAGCAGTCATCCTGCAAGTTCTCCAACGCCCTCAAACCCACGTCGATACGTGTAGTATGAGTGCTTGCCCAACTCGATACGTGTCTTTCCTTGTTCCCCCTCCACCTTTGTTTCTCGTGAATGAGGCCAATCCTCAAGAGACTGGGAATGTCGGGGAACCGCCGATTCGGGAGAGCGACTGTGTTTCGGAAGAGGGGGAAAGTCAGCCGTTTGTCCATAGAGCCCGAAAAAAAGGAGACCTGAGGCGATAGTCCGGCCGAAAGAGCCAGATTCGAGGTATCTCGTCCAAAGTAGTCAAGGTTCTGCTCCGAACAAGCTATCTCGGTCGTCCAAAATCACGGAGGATATAGGATACGGGATATAGGGTATAGGATCTGGGGCCAACCCACAATGCTATAAATAAGCACGAACAGAACTCGAGACCGCGTTGTTAAGGCAGAACCAGATCCAAATCGGGTCTGCCAGCGGCTCTCTAGAGCTGAAGAGCTAAAGAACCGAGACGAAATCGAATGACGATGCGGAGGGGTTGAGTTGGGTGAAGCGAAAGACCAGCGAGTCACGGGAATTCGGAACGCAGGGCGCTAACCCGTTTAGGTCGGGCACCCAAGCGGGAGACTTTGCAGTCTCCAAGACTTAAACAAGTCTAACGTCCTCTCTTCACGATTGGTAGCCAGCGTATTACGCAGCAGACTGAAGAGAAACCCTCAGGGTCCAGATACAGGTACCGTTGAGGGAGTTGGGCTTCGATGACTGACCACGTTTAACAGGTGTTGACCCTTCCTGAGACTGACCCTCCCAACCAACCAGGGCTGCATCATTGCATAGCCTGCAACAGCCGGGACCCTAGCGGGGAACCCAGTCACGCAAAGAGAGGGGATCTCTCACGAAGCTATTTACTCACAATTTAATCCGATCTTCTACTCAATCCCTGCTAACTCCAGACTACAACTACCTCAACTGGAATTAATCCTACTCAACATGCACCTGCATTCCGCCCGCAAGCTACCAGCTCGTCCGTGCCTTGCGTGAGACGGCTTGGAGGTTGCAGAGCTCAAAGGAAGCCGGACCACAGCGCCACGATACCATCTGGGGGTCAATCCTCAGGATATAAAAACCAGTCCTTGTTGAACACACAATCCTTCAATGAGACCTGGACGCCTCGATGGGGCAAATGTGTCTCACTCGACCAAGTCAAGTACAATCCAGCGAGCGGCAAGACGAGCGCAACACCGCGAGGGAGAGCCGTCCTGGATGGACCATAGCAATCGGAAAATCCACCGAGTGTCCCGCAATTACACCGGATCGCAAGACGACAAAGATCGCAACGGTTGGCTGCCAAAAGGTTCATTGGCCAAATCCCCACTTCGGCCACAGGACAATCAGCCTCCCTCCTTGCGGCTCCACGCTCGAGTCTTGCATCTCGGACAAATGAATTTAGATCGTGGACGATCTAAATATCCCCACCACGCACTAATTATGAAGGTGAATCGTGGTGGTCGTCTTGCCGGTGCTCGAAGTGGTCAAAGAGGCAGAAGAGGAGGGCGTGCAGGCTTAGCGTCTTCTGAAAGGCGGGAAAGGGCGAGGGAAGAGATTCCTGCATGGACAAGAGCCCTGGTCAATTTAGACAGACTAGACAGAGTATTCCGAGATAAAGAAACCAAATTTCAAGGACAAGATCAACTCATCGATTAACTCCGTTCGTAAATTGTAGAGACCAGCGACACGAAAGGGCGGTAAAATGAGGCGCGTCGAGGAGAGTGGGGAAAGACGGCCGGATCTTTTGGAGTCAGTCCCATTCCGTCCTTCTCTTCTCTCCTCTGCAACCCCCGCCAATCTCGCCCTCCTCCTTGTACTATGTAGTCATCGGGCTCTTCTTCGAGCCCAGTGACGTCCTGCTTCAGATTCTATTGCGATTCCTACCATTGCCCTCCTCTCCTTCCACCCCCTCGAAGCTCTCAATCGCGCGTCCAGAGCTCCCTCGCAACCCAGTTCTGCTCGAAAGAAGAATCCCTCCCTCCCTCACGAACACCCTCGCCTACGCCTTCGCCCTCGAATCCTTTCCCTGCCCTCGAAAGAAAAACATAACCACTCGCTCCTATAACTGGACCAAATCCTTTCGGGGAACGACTGCGCCGCCATGTCACCTCGTCGCTCCTCACGGGCTCGCACCACCCAGCCCTCGCCGGCCCTCCTCCAACACTCCAACTCCTCCAGCTCCAACAACTCCCTCACTCGCGAGCGAAGTACCCGATCAAATCATAAAAACCCTTCCCCTCATGGCTCGTCCGGTCATCGCTCGCAGTCCATCGACGATACCGAGAATGGCTCGAGAGCAGATCTCCCACACACGCGCCAGCGCCAGCGCACCCGCGGTGACAATGACCTTCCTCGTGAAGAGGACGACGAGGATCCTGAAGAGGACGAGGAGGAGGAGGTCACTCGCTGTCTCTGTGGGCAGCAGGACTATCCTGGTTTGCCCCCCTCTCGTCGCGACGCCCTCGGTCGCGTTGGTGTGAAACCAGAGGAAGGCGTTCCGCCCACGGATTCATCTGATCTGCTGTCCGATGATATTGGGAGCATGTTCATTCAGTGTGATTCGTGCAAGGTATGGCAGCATGGTGGCTGTGTGGGAATTATGGACGAGGAAATGAGCCCCGACGAATATTTCTGCGAGGAGTGTCGAAAGGATTTACACAGAATCCGGGGTGAATCCAATGGGTAAGTTTGAGAGAAGAGTTCTTTGAGAAGCCCTGATGCAACGTTCACTTTACTCTTCCTTCACTTTCAAGTCGCTTGTCGAGCTGCTGGCAAGTCTGGTTCTGCTGGGGCTCAAGACCAGTGGCGACTCGAAACGAGCCTTTCGCTTCATTTTCAATGAAAGCCCTCTCCCACAGGACCAGCGCGTCTGGCAGCTAAACTTTTGGCTTCTCTCCCTTGCTTTTCATCTTGAATTCTCTTTTCCCTCGTTTGGTTCTTCTGAGCGCCGACAATGCTAACAACCCCACAGCCAGCGCTCCTCGACCTACCTTCCCGTCGCACCCGCATCATCACCTGCGCCCTCTTCCCGAGCCTCCTCGCGGGATACTTCCCGACGCTCTAGGGACCCTAAATCCCGAGGCAGTGAAGGCGCATCGAATCCGAAGCGGCGGTCGACTATGAATAGCCGGGACGCTGCCTACGATGAGGAAGAATTGATCCGACGAGCGATTGAAGAGAGCAAAGAAGATACGAAGAGCATTACCGATGAAGCGGCCCCGCGCTTGAACAAGCGAAGTCGAAGTGAAAGTGAATCGTACGTTTTCCTCCGATTATATCAAGGCCATTGTGACTTGAGTGCAGGCCGCTGACAGTCATAATTCCAGAAACAGACAAGGCTCCAAGCGCCCACGAACCACCTCTCCCTCGCCCACGGCTGCCTCAAAGCAGAGCCCGCCACCCTCCCAACCCCCATCCGATGACGAGACTAAGCCGAAGGTGACCAATGGTACTCGACGACAAAGAGCAGCTTCCCGAGGTCAGCGCGACAAGGAACCTACCAAAGAGCCTGAGGAGCCAGAGCCCGAAGTCCCGGAGACCGTCGTCCGCCGAAAAGAGCGATCTAACCGACGTAAAGGAGAAGGTGAGTGTTCATTCGGCTTGCAAACGAGAGGCTTTCGTTATAGTTGCTCATACTTGACTTACAGAATCAGAGAACGACATTGGGTCCCCAACCAAGGCTGCAGCACCAGCCCCTCCGCCCCCCGAGCCTGAGCCGGCCCAGGCAAGCCCAAATACTCCCACCCCTCAAGAGCCTACGCCTGCGCGGCCCTCGACGCGGAAATCCGGACGTCCCCCAGCTCGACGCGGCGGCCGAGTCGGACGCAACCAATATACCAAGGATCGAGACACGAACGGGAACGGCACCGAGTCCCCGCGTCGGGGTCAATCACACGACATTGGAAGTGATTCGCCTCGAGTCGGCTATATCAATGGCACACATATGAATGGCGGGGACACGGGGCGGCCTAGCAAGCCGCGGCACATGCACCCGCAGCGCACGACGATGAACGAGATGAAGCGGCGTGTCGCTGCCATCTTGGAGTTTATCTCGCGTATGCAGGTGGAGATGGCGGTCGCCAGTGAAAACTCGTCGACGCCAACGGGCAATGGTGACCGGGCACAAGGCCTGCTCTTGAAGAGCATGGTCGACCAGATTGACAGTGCCATGGCGTCCACCGTCAGTGACGGCGGCGAGTCTATGCCGGCATTGACAGATGGCGATGGCGATGCCCAATCGACGTCGGCCCATGACAAGGACTTTAAAGACCTGAGTAGTGTGGAGATGATGGACGTGCTCACGCGTCACCTGCTCAAGTGGCAGCAAGAGTATGGCAAGTTCGGGGAGCGATAGCGGTCCACGCGGCTGCTGTGTTACCTGTTACTTCTTACCTCCGAGCATGTGTGCTTCGCTGCTCATGTTCTATTCTGTCCGATGATCTCGCCCGTGCCTTCAAACCCCTATACGATACCCCCTCTCCTTGTTCTAACACGACCCTCTTCATTCTTCTTCCGTTCTCAACCCTCATCATCTGTCACATTTATTCTCACCACTCAGTCTTCTCACATCTTCACCTCGCTCCCTTTGCGTTGTACATTATAACCCACGTCTCTGTTGGTTTGCTTTACCTTGCTGGCGTCTGTCTGCGATTACGTCTACGTCTTCTCATATCCCTCATACCGGACCGGCGTCATGAATCGAATCATATGATAAGTTGATATCATACTGGAGAACGACAGCGAGAACTTCTCAATGGATGTGAGGCATGTGAATATGGAGCTTGGCTTAGTCCACGAAGTCAAACTTCATGATTTTGCCTTGCCATACCGTCCATCTTCTATTCCTATCCTGCGACAATTAGCTATTCTCCAGTTATTACCTTCTATCTCTTCTTGCTTTTCACATGTCCATCTTTACCCATGTTTTCGAAATCACTTCGATTTTTCCCGTCATGCTAATGCTTGCTTTTACTTGGACCTTTTTATGGAAATGGGACCGTTTCTTTTTTACCTCCCTTTTTGCTGGATTCGACGTGTATTTTTTTGGTGCTCGGGCGTGGTGGTGTTTTGGAAAATTGAGGTTGTTTTTGTTTCTATATATTGTTTATCATCTTGTTTAAGGCTGTAGTCTTTTTTTGCCTAGGTAGTGCGATTGAAATGTCACTGCGCTCTCTGTGTACTTCCAATTCCTGTATTGCCTCCTCTATATATCGATCTAACTATAGCTTACCTACCCCGAGTAAGAAGTATCCATGCCCGTTAATTAACACCTACCTATGTCCAAAATAACTCCATAGGTATAACCTTACCTAGTACGACCTATATATACATTGATACAATGCAAAATATTTAACTTAATTTTACCACAAAGGAAATCCTGGATCTGGTGGCACCAACCTTACATAAAAACATAGTGGGCCGATGGGATTGGGCTGCCATCGTTCCATGGATATATATTCTCCACATTCTCCTCATCTACCCCGACATTCCGATCAAACCCACGTTATTTAACCATGGCATGCCATTGGCGTTTAAATTAACCTCAATTGCAACGACGGATAATCTAAAATCATACTATACGAATTTAAACCATGATTAAAGGTGTATTTGGGGCCATTGACTTCCATGGATGTTGTGTTACTCGAAGACGGAGAGAACGCGCCTAGTAGTGAACAGACGTCATATTCTAGGTACCCGGCAGGTAATGGGGCTACCTTGAAAAGTAAGCAGGAGAAATACTGTAATATGCTACAAATGAGACATGGATGCAAAGTGGCAATTGTCTTGTATCACGACAGACAAGCTTGGGCACCGAGGCATACCGGATTGCCTCACCATGACCGAGGTCATGCCCAAGTCCTCCACTCGTCTCCACCAGACCTACATAACCAGCTCCACTACGTAACCAAACACTCTCAAAACAAAACAAAAACAAAATAAACATGACATCAAGTTTCAGGAGCAGCTTTACAGGTCCGACTTAATTGTATTGCGACAAGCTTCAGGTTAGAAACACGGAGAAATGGATACAAGAGCAGGAAGTAGTAGGATAGAAAAGATCCATCACATTTTCACCGGAACAAGTCCAACTAATAAATCACAACCGTAGTTTCATATGAGTAGATCATCAGACAAAGGAAATAAGATAACAAAATAAATAAAAAAAATCACACAAGGGAAGTTCATCACGCCATGGCATGAGCCATCACCGAAACCCACCCGTCTAACCCAAGTGCCACCACACCAATCCCCATCTAAGACATTACAAAAGGAGGCAGGACACATGGACGGAGAGGGTTCGAGAGACGACAGCCAGACACCATCGTTCAAGATCTAGACAGCAACCCAAAAAGCCCAAAGTAAAGAACAGAGGCAAATGATTTACAGACGGGAGCCGTGGATGACCTTGAAGTCGACGACGAGCTCACGGCCACCGTCGTTGATGACGAGGGCACGGACGGAGCCACGGCCGTCAGCAAAGGCATCGCGGATGCGCTTGAAGAGGGAGCCCTGAGTGATGACGGGGAGACCCTGCTTGACATCACCGGTCTCGGTCATGGCGACAAGCTTGCCGTCATCACGGAGGTCGAGGATGCGGTAGGTCTTGTAGACGGGGCCGAGCATGGTCTGAACCACCACGGAGGGGGAGGGGTTGGAGACGAAGCTCGACTCCTCCTGCAGCTGGCGGGTGAACAGGTCGACACCGAGGTAACGGTGCTGGCCAGTCTGGGGGGAGACCGAGATGCGGATGACCTGGCAGGGACGACCCTGGAGGATCAGGATGTCACCGATGCGGACAAAGTGGCAGGGAATGGGGACGCTCTCGCCGGCAGTACCCCGGTTGCGGGGCTCCACAATGCGGACCTCCTCACGGACGCCATCGCTGAAGCGGGCGGGGCCGCGCTCGTCACTGACAACGACCTCCTCACGATCGTGGTGGGAGAAGGGGTGCAGGACACGGTCGGCAGCGCGCTCAACGCCGCGGCGGAAGGAGTGGTAGTGACCCTCGTCGTCGTAGTAGCCCATCTTGCGAGATGCGGGAGTTACGTTACGGACGGTAGTAGTCTCGACCTTGACTTCGGTCTTGGGGGAAGAGTAGACGGAGGTAGAAGGCTGCTGGAGCTCGACCTCGCGGCGGGAATACTCTTGGCCTCGGTACGCGGAAGCGGGCTGAGGCTGGTAAGAGCGGTCGTACGAAACGTCGACGGCCTGAGTGGGCTGGTAGTCGTAGGAGTTGGAAGGCTCCTGGTAGCGACGGTCGTAAGAGACGTCGACTTCGTAAGTGGGAGAGGTCCGGCGACGGTACTCTCTCTCAGTGATGTCGAGTTGGTTCTCGACGGCCTGGTCGTAAACTTGGGGACGTTCCTCGAAGCGGACAGAGGATTCACGGTAGTTGGGGTAGCTATAGGAGAGGAAGAGAAGAGGAGAGAGTCAGTCCGAGTGTGTCCCACATTAAGAATAAAAAGAAAAAGAAAAGAAAGTCTGGTGTAAACATATAAACAAAAACACGGGTCACCGCTCATTGGGGGAAGTGGAGCCATGGTATTATCGTGACACGTAATTTAGTTTCTGGGGCTAAAAAAAGTCCCGTAACCACTCTAGACCGGGATGGGACATCCGAGTCGAATAGCGGCTCCACCAGACGCCTTTTCCCAGCCATTCGTCATTTTCCAATGAAGTCGCGGTCTGGGAGAGGAGGCTGGGACTCGCCCCAAAACAATAACAGAAACAAAAACAACAAAACGTACCGTTCACGGGTCAAATCAACCTCGGCAGCGTAGTTGCGAGTCTGGTGAGATTCGTAGCGAGGAGCAAAGTTCTCGTTGACGTTGACGTTGGCAGTCGCAGTGCGATCTTCGTGAGTGATGCGGAAATCGACTTCTTCCTTTCCGTAGACACGAGGGTCGGGGAGAGGGGCAGAGGTTCGAGTATCTTCCCGTTCGACGCGCGAAGTGTGATCGAGTTGAACTTCTCCCTCTACTCGCGTCTGAGTAGTTTCAGAGACAGCGTCACTCCGGTACGACGACGGGAAGACACTGAAGGGGATGGGGACGCGGGCGTCAAAGTCCAGATTGACTGACTTTGGAGCGTCCTTTCTCGAATGCCTTTCGAACTGTTAAGAAACAACTCGAAAGGTAGACAAGAAAAGACTTGACTGGGGGAAGTCTTTCTCGGAGAGAAGAGCGGGGAGAAGAAGGTTAGATCGGTGAGGATCTAAGCTTTTCTGATAGAATTGAAGGGGGGTAGCAAGAATGCTGGGGGTGTGAGGTATGGAAAGTGTAGAAGGGAAGTTCGAGGAATGGAAGAAAAGGAAGAGGGAGGAAGGTGGAGGTGGAGTGGAGGTTGGCTTATTTATCTCGGGGAGGGAGTTTGGGGGGGGGTTGGGAAGGTTTTTGGTTCTGTTTGTTTACTTGTCCGCCCTGGGCCTAATCGAGGGGGGGCCGATCGCCCGAGGTTCAGGAACTGGCTACATAATATTGGAGTAATAACTCATTACAAGAATATTATTCTCTGTGGTAGAAAAAGTGTTCTTTGGAAACACACTTTTACTTGTCTTCCAGAGCTCACTAAATCTATACGGAGTCATAATTGACCTCGTCCAGACCGCTCGATAGGAATGTGGACACCGATCGCTGGCATCCTCTCTATATATGTACTGTATAACAGTACATACATACTGTACTCCGTATACGGACTACTGCATACATACCTGAGCTATACAAAATCAAACTCCATAACGGAGCTCTCCGTACTTTTCAAAAAAAAGAAACATCTCTACTTTCACATGGAGGCTGGCCAGCCCCGGAGTCCTTAGCTCCTCAGCTGGTCAGCTCCCATGGAAACAGCGTCTATTGCCATGGCAACGGAGCGGGTCGAATCGGAAAAATCGGGGCGCCGATCGCTGAGCTCCACTGGTTATCTACAAACTTACACAAAGTACTTCAACGCGTCGGGTTTGTTATGGCAGTCATCAGGGGATATTGATCTGGGGAATCTCGGGGACTATAAGTTGAGGACGATAGGATACCCTTTAAATAAAACAATTGACCGTTGGAATAATCACCCCAATAAATTCCCGCAGCACTGGCCAACAGCTTTCTACGTGTCAACTGTAGTGTACTGTATCTCCGTGTCTCCGTATTTCTGATCTGTTCCAACTTCTCCGTATCAGTGGAGCCCAAACAACACACCACGGTCGTGTCCATGAAATCATCTTCTCCGTACTTTCCATTAATCCAATGGACCCCCATCCGGAGACAACCGTAGCTCGAGTCCACTCTCTATGTACACTTGATACTCCTCTCTCCCCAGCCCAACCAACCCAATTGCATCCAATTGCACCCAATGCCCATAACCAACCACTCAACGCCCAATCATACCCAATAATCCCCAAACCAAACCCCGAATTACACCTAGCCACCCCATTTCTCAAACCAGAAAAACCAGAAATCGGGCAATCCTGCAGGACGTCTAGACTGCTCGACGCAGAAGCGCCACAAGTATCACATACACATGCAATACACTAGCACCTGTTCCAGTATCATTGGATCTCACAGCCCGTAATTAAATACCGAGGCTGGGTCCTAACAAAAACAAAACACAAATGTGTCTTGGCGTATCGCCTCATCGCATCACAGGTCCGTCAGCTGGCGAGCTGAACGGGAGGCAGCGTGGCTGGGATTTTCAGGGTTTCCCGGTCCGTGGTTGGTGGTTGCTGGGGTGTGTTGCTGGGGAGGCTCCACCGAACTCCACTGAATCACCGTGTTGTGGATCATCCTCGGCGCAGATGAGCTGTGCCTGTGCCTGCCTGTGTTGCTGTGAGAAGCACGGGCCGGTGGCTGGGACCTGGTGTTGGATTGGGAGCTAGAGTAGCCGAACTGAAGGTTGCTGGTGGTGCAAGTGAATGTCTCCGACGGCTCTGTGTTTGTGAGGATGGGGCCTTGGTGACGATTTCGATTTCGAGTTCATCGCGGCGCAGTCCTTATCGTTGTACAATGATCATTGTGGGCTCCAATCGTAGTCGAGTGTATTCGCGTTCATACATCTGTCTACGCAATGCAATGGGTGCCTAATCCATGCAAATCCAGTAACTGTGGGGGATCAATTACAATTCTTATGCTAGAGGAACAAGAGCAGTCGAATCGCAGCGCGAAAATGTTTCAATTAGCCTGCTCCATATCCAATTATATCTATGGAGCAATGTCTAAGGAATTGACCAACGAGTAGTACACTGCGATAATATGGAGGGGTCCACCCGACCACCCGACCTCAACGAGGGACAAATCGTACATGGGAAGAGTAACGGAACCAGAATGAAGGTGAGTTCAGGTTCAACAGTCAGAAGAGAAACGAGGGTATCAAATGTATATAGTAGGGAAACGCCCCAGAACGAAGGACCCAGCATAACGCCAGCCGGGGCGGGGATCTGACTTGCGAAGAGGAGGCCCATGAAGACCACCAGTTCAGTCCAGACCCCATCTGCCAATAAAAAGGGAAAGAAAGAGTGTCATAGTAGAAAGAAAGAGTGGTCGGTCGGACAAGACAGAATAAGACAAGACACAAATACATGCAAGACACAGACACATGTGACAAGCATATATCAATCATTACGATTAGATCCACTCGGAAGATGGAATCCCTCCTTCAGGGAGAAAAATACCAAGCCTGACAATTCAGGTTGGAAAGGAAAAAGAATATCACAGAAAAGAAAAGGCGAGGCATTAAACGTGTACGGTGGGAATCCACCATAATGCTTCCCGAAAAGTAAAAGTGAAGAAGAGGAAGAAGAGGAAGAAAAAAGGAGAGAAGAAGGGAGAAAAAATAAAGAGGAAAAAGAAAAGACCTTGGCCTCAACACATATTCGTTTGATTATTTTCGTAGACCAAAGGCCTTTCGCAATAATGGGAATCGTTTCTTGCGTCCAGAACCAGCAATCACTACATCGCGTGCTGAAAGACCCGGTTCTTCAGCTGTCGTGCTGGTAATATCCGAGCGAGCATCATTGATCTCTGCTCCAGCCTGCCCAGCTTGAGGAGGTTCGGGTTCCTCTTGTATAGTCGGGATGGGACCGGCAGCTTCGCCAGTAACCGAGACGCTGCCGTTGCGCTCAGCATTAGTCACTGGGGGCCCAACCTTATTTGACTGCAGGGGTGACGTTGGGAGGCTCTGACTCTGCTCGGGGATTGGCTCAGGCGTCTCAGTTCTTGGCTCCGTACGGAGGGGCCAGTGGTCACCACCGGTGGTGTGTCTCTTTGATAACCGCCGGCCCAGCTTGCGTGGGGAGGTTGGTTCGGGCGGATCTGCGGTCACTGTAGTCACTACGCCACCGTCACCATTCACCCCGTTCGTGAAGGGCTCTCCGCGCAACTGATCACGTTCCAGCCGCGATCGTTCCAACGGAGTGTCTCTTCGAGACGGACTTTCGACGTCGGCTTTGCGAATGCGATGATCGGAGTTCTTGGACTTCTTCAGACCAAGGCGAGTGAGAAGACCGGGTTTCCGACCTCGTGGAGGCTGCATGATGAATTCTTCCAGCTCTCGTTGGGTCATCCCTCGTTGTTTGGCCACTGCCGCGAAGCCAGACATGTTGGGGCTGGTCTTGTCCCGAGAACCCGGTGGCGCGGGATTCGGTCGATGTGCAGTCACAGCTGCGGCTTGTGTCTGACGTTCCCCTTCAGAGCTATCGTCCAGGTCTGTTGAGTCCCCGTCGTGGATACCTTGCCGGCGAGGGATACCACGAACAGGCCGCATGGCGTTGCTGCCGGGTTCATCTTCATCACTCGAGTCGGCGAACCGGCTGCGGAAGCCCTGAGCCGGTGCCTCATCACCCTCTCCATCCGAATCCACGAAGCGTGAGTTTCGCATGGATTTCGGGGGTGCCTTAGTGAACTTTGCCCGAGGCGCTTTGTTGTTGGTTGAGAAGAATGAATATCGCTCGTTGCCTCCGGTGGGGCCTCGTAGTGTCTTTCGCATTGTCCCGGCCCCCGAGCCAGAGGAAAGAGGCCGACGATCATCAGGAGAGTCTGCACGGCCGGAAAAGGACGAGAGCTGGGGTTGTGTGGAACTGCCCCTCATGGTCCGACGCATGGAAAAAGGGCCATCACTGCGGGTAGAAGAGCTGGCACGCTTGAAGCTGCTTGAAGAGTCGCTGCCATTGGATGTGGTGCGGCGGAGGGGATCTGGAAATCCGGCGCCATGCGATTTCTTCATTTGGAATGCTGCTCCAAGAGAGACTGGTCGAGGTTTGCCTTTACCAGGGTTAGTGGAAACAGCATGAGGATCCCGCAGATCAGAGTCTCCACGATATGCGAAAGAGGTGGGCCGATCTTGCTTGTTGACAGTCGAGCGAATGGTTCCATTGGGAGACGAAGCTTGAGGCTTCGGCTTGAGTGGTAGTGGAGGATATGCCGACTCGAATCCTCGATTGGACGAAGGAGTGATGGGAGACTCGCTCATCTCACGGTTAACGGAGTCCTGAGTAGGAGTGATAGAGCGAGGGTCTTCCCGTGCTTGATTAGTAACATCTTGCGAATGACTGTCAATAGCTGCAACTCGATCAACTGCCTTTGGAGTGGCATCACGACTGTGACTGGTAGGCCCTGGTGAACGAGGGATTGGTCCACTGTCAACAATAGCGTTGATAGAACCGAAACCGTCGCCATCAATGTCCTCGGCAGCATCACTGTAGACACTATCACCCGATTCGCCTTCGGTATCCGGGTCATCCAAGTGTGGAACAGCGCTTGCGATTTGTTGCACTTTTGATAAATCAATAGTAGGCGCGGAGGTAGTGTTCTTGAGATTGCGGTCAGAGCCCGATGCAGGGAATCCGCCTGGAATACGGCACTCCAAGCTGGACCGCTGCTCGAAGCTTGGTCGGTCACTGTCTACGGGAGGTGTAGCCGGCTCAACGGCAATAGCAGGAACAGGTAGACCGGCATTCGCATTCACGACAGAGGAGGCTGACTTATCAGTGGGGCTCTCAAGAGCGATACCATCCAGTTTGGCCTCTGGTGCAGGCTTCTGCTGATAAAGTGAAGGATCTCCAGTGACAGAAAGCTGCTCTAAGGTGGTGACACTGTGAGGCTGTGAATGTCCCCTTTGCGGAACTTTAGGAAGCATCCCTCCAAGGACATGGTCACTGGAAAATGACAACCCGGGAGCCACAATATCATTGTCTGATGAGCTTGTCGACTCATTGTCACTAAAGTCCGGAATTGCTGGAGCTGGATGCCCACCGTCGCGGTTGCCTCGGACACTGCCGAAAGACGGGAGCGCTGGTCGAGGTTTCATCACTTCATCGAAGTCGTCATCCCCAGTCATAAAGTCAAGTGGTGCTCGCTTCTTGCCGACACCCAACCAGCTCATACGAGACTTGCCCTTACTCGGGGGTGATTCTGGCACGTATTCTTCGGGAGAGGTGGGCGGACTGGCTGCGACGCCAACAATTTCAGCCTCGTCATCAAAGCTCACTTTGACCGGTCGTTTCTTCATACCGACCCGAGAACCTTCATCCGAAGCAACCGAAGTTCCATCGGAGATTTCGCTGGGTGGCTGTACAATGCGACCGCCGATGCTAACCTTTCGATCCGGTGACAATGAATTGCCACGAGGGTGTTTCAACGCCGACTTGACTGGTGATACAGATCGTGGTGGGGGCTCATGAACTTGATCACCAGCAGCAGTCACAGAGAGCCATTTGGCGAAACGGGCTGACCGGCCGGGACTGCTGGACTGACGAAGATGCGCATCTTGCTGTGGTGTGGTGTCTCTTGAGGCCTTCGGGGATGGCTGAGGAGACGGCTGTGGGGTCGACACTGCCTCCCTGTGATCAATTGCTGTAGATGCGCTTGCAAATCGGTTTCCGGTGGATTGAATAGTAGGAACACTGGTTTTCACCTCCTCCATCGGCTCATTTTCCTCGAGCACCGTAGAGGGCCATCGATCGAGCCCAGGTCGGGAAGAAGGTTGTTCGCTACCCGAACCACTCTCTTCAACCGGAACTGAGCGATCAATTCGCTGTTCCTGCAAGCTAGGAGCCGGTGCCCCCTGCCCTACTGGCTCCGCCTTTGTATGGCTAGTATCCGTGCGAGGGCTATTTTTCTGCAGGCTTAATGCAGCAGCAGCAGCGAAAGCGGTACCAGCCGCAATACCTGCGGCTTTAGCTGCAGGGGTCTCTTCCGCATTTCCCACCGCAGGGGTCCTACTCTTCAAATTGCCAGACCTCTCGGAGACAGATTGTTGCATAGCAGAACCCTCGTCGGGCGACTCGCGAACCGAAGCCACATCCAGGTTCATTGGACGATTCTCCACGGGCGACGTCGGCGAGATCGGCCGTGAGCCCATCGGATAGGAGAAATTGATAGAGTTTCGGCTGCCCGGTCGGTCTGTCTCTGGCACTGTGCCTAGACTGGCGATGCGGTTGCCGCCCGGGCTACCAGCCTGCCCTCGATCTCCGCCTGTATGCACACCGGACCGTCGCGGAGATGCCGGAGGGGATCTCATTGAGGGCTCCATACTGACAGCACGACGACCCGAGCCATTTTGTGGCGTAAATTTCGACGGCAGAGACGGTAGCGGGGGCGCATCGACGGGTACGTGACGTCTATCGCCAGGGCCGGAGCTGGTGGATGGGCGATGGGGCGACGGCTCACGAAAAGTCCTTGCCGTCATGGAACTCGAGCTATTTGATCGACGCAGAGGACCGTTCACACTCACAGACCGACGACCGGCCTGTAGATTGGTTGGCGACTGGGTCGAGGCCCGTCGCTGGACCATCCGTTTCGTCTGGACATTTTCCACTGGCGTTGGGGTGGGTGTGAGATTGCGCAAGGCAGCAGCGGCAGCAGCCGATGAGAGGCTGTTGGAGGATGGCTGTGATTTTAGGAATGCATGGCTGGCAGCGGACTGGGCGGATTGCGCTGCAGGTCCGGATAGTGGCTATAGAACACACAGGACTAGTTAGTCTTTGTCTGGGCAGTAGTTATTCCATTGTCTATGGATAAGTGGTTCAGGTTGCATGATAAGTGCCAGATAGAATCCATCACGTATAGATCTGGTCCGGACTTCCCGTTGGAAACGCACCTGGCGATGAGAAGTGCTTCTGCTTCTTTTGCGACGGTTGAACATGATTGCTCAGGCTGCCGACTTCACGGGGGATGAACGAAGGTCGGATAGCCGACCGGACACTGCGCAAAGCAGCGCCGGGGTCCGAATGTATGGAGTGAGATTCGAGGTAGCAGGTGTGGCAACTTGACGATAGAAAGCTCCTAGATGATGCGACGCGAAGCAGGGAAAGATAGGATCAAGCGGGAGTACGAGAGAAAAAAGGCCGGACAGGGCGCATACGGTCGGAACGAACGGGGGACCAAGGAGTGAGAGTAAGCCAGAGAAAGTGATGGCGGGTGAAAGGGATTAGGGAGGAGGACAAATTTTGACGCCCAGGATTAGAGATTGAAAAAAGGCCAAGAAGGAGCCAAGTAAGAAAGTGAATGTTACATGCGGAGGAGCAGAGCTGGAGGTTTGAAGTTTGGGCGGGAAAAGGGAAACTTGCGTCATGACTGGAGTGCCTCAGGTACCCGCGTACTTGGCACGGGTATAGAGTACATCGTAGGACCATACTCCTGGATGCATTTACATGGATTTATATCTATCTGGATTGATTGGATAGTCGTTTATTTTGAGGCATCGAAAGAGTAGCTGAAAGACACTCTTATGGCTCTTTCCAAGATGTGCAATTGAATTTTTCATCGCCAGAGTCAAGCTTGAAGGTGCCACTGTATGACGAAGGACTCGAACTTGGTACAGTTCCCGAACCAGCAACTCACTAGTCACTGAGTAGTCCCTGAACCTAGGTTCATAGGGACGGGGGGAACTAAACTAGGAGTGTATTCATGAAAAACAGGCTGATATTTCCCCCGAATCGCGACTCCCGATCGGCATAAATAGTTCCTCTGCCCAAGAATAATCAAGTCTCATAAAGAACCCCCCGATTCTATCTAGTCTGCCATAGGATCTTCAATTTATCAGTTCTTCATAAAGTTCATTTACATCATTACTTCACGACTGAGCCTATTAATACCCAGCCCCTCCACACCACGATCAGACCCAGTCCCAGTGATCCGGTAACTATTTCCAAGATTGGCTCCCAGCCCCAAAAACCCACTTTTCCAACAGTGTCCAGTGTCCAGTGTCCACCATGTCGTCCCTGGATGCCACTCCCTCACAGGAGTTACAGCCGCTGCCCCTCCCGGAAGGCGTCTGCAGCCGATTCATCGAGACGCGCGATCTCACGTTCCACATTCTCGAGGCTGGCGCCACTCCCGCCCACGATCGGCCGTTGGTTGTGCTTCTGCACGGGTTTCCTGAGATCGCCTATTCATGGCGTCGAGTCCTGCCCCAGCTCGCAGCCGCGGGCTTTCACGCGGTTGCCCCAGATCAGCGCGGATTCGGCCGGACGACGGGCTGGGATACGCGAGCCTACGAGAATGTGGATTTGACGAGCTTTTCCATGACCGAGCTGGTGCGCGATATCGTGGTTCTAGTGCATGCTTTGGGTTATCGCTCGGTGCAGTGCGTCGCTGGTCATGACTGTGGTGCTATGACGGCCGCGACGTGTGCCTTGATACGGCCGGATTTCTTCCGGAGCGTGGTTCTCATGAGCCACCCTTTCAATGGTAGCCCGACCCTGCCTTTCAATACTGCAAATGGAGGCACCGTGGAAGAACAGCGTGCGGCTGCTGCGAGAGGTGGAGGTGGCGGTATGGAGGGATCCGCAGCTGCTTCGGGGATCCATGAAGCTCTGGCGCAACATGGCCGCAAACACTATAAATGGTATTACTCGACACCACAGGCGAGTCCTGACATGTCATCTTTATCTCGTGATCAAATGCATCGCTTCCTACGTGGATATTTCCATCTCAAGAGCGGATCCTGGCCGGGGAACCAGCCGCATCCACTAAAGAGCTGGACTGCTGATGAAATTGTTCAGATGCCGGGCTACTATATCATGCCATTGGAAGCTACCATGCCAGAGACCGTGGAGAGGGACATGAAGGAGGAGCCAACACAGGGACAGAGTTCCCACTTGTGGCTCCCGGACGACGAACTTGCAGTTTACGCCGGGGAGTATGTTCGGACTGGCTTCCAAGGAGGGCTGAACTGGTATCGCGTGCGCACTGCTCCGGGAGGTCGGTATACTCGAGACTATGATACCTTTGCTGGGAAGAAGATTGAATGTCCATGCGCATTCGTCTCTGGCAAGCAGGATTGGGGTATTTATCAAGAACCCGGGGCACTCGACAAGATGACCAGCGGTGCGGTTTGTTCTGATTTCCGTATTCTCCGTCTGCTTGATGGAATTGGACATTGGGTGCCTCAGGAAAGTCCAAATGAAGTGGTACAAACCATTCTCGAGTTGGTACGGGGACTGGAGGGGTAGATACTAGCATAGTATAGTAGATCCTGTAGTGGCCCGAGGTATTATAGCTATCCTTAATCCATGGATACTAGTATATATGAAGCATCTCCAAAGCTCGAAGGGTAATTTGCGTAAATATGTTTTAAACGGGGTAGACAGTTTGGCGGTGATAGAAATTAACATGCTTTTTCTAACATACAGGGTTCGCAGTACCCGCACGGGGGCCAGAGAAATAATTCCTGCTCACGCTGTCCTATGTCCCGTTTGGGAGGCATCGTGGTTACAAAACGGCAGATCAACGGGACCCAAAAAGTTCTCACTAATTTTGGGTCCCGCTGAGCTGGAACTCGGTTGCAAAATACCTATCACAAAATTTTCGGACCACACTCAACAAATCCTCATCAAAATTGGATAATGTCGCTCGTCTTAATGATGGAGATACCTTATTCATAACACCCATTTGCAACACTCCACGCTTCTTCACAACTAAGTGTGGGACTGAACACGGTCGTTGATTGAAGTGGGAATTTCCTCAAGGCTCAAGGTTGTTTCGCTATCAACACGAGAGGTTTCCTTTCGGCATAAAGGTTAAAGTGGAAACTGCTTTTCAAGTAAGGACCACCTATCAACATCTTCCTTACTTCTCTGTCCACCGGTCGAGGCTTTACATCATCTTCTTGTATGCTTTTCTGCAACAAAACCCGGCTTGACCGTCTCCCTCGAAACCCCTCGCACCATGTCTGCCCAGCATCGTACGTTACCCTTCCCTCTTCGAGGTTGTTCGAACTAACCTAACTGACTATTTCCAGCATATCGCCAGCTCAAAATCCCACCCGAGGCCCCATTCGAACTCAAACCCTCTTCAGGCAAGGGATGGGGCGGGTTTGCAACACGCCATAGGGGTCAGTGATCCTGCGTGAAAAGGCACTGTTCACAATCGCAAAACCAAATAGACACGATATTACCGATGACGACGTCCTGAAAGGCTTGAGAGAAGCGTCCCAGGACAAGATCTCAGAATTCTTCCTCTTGAAAAGCGACGCTGCAGAAATACTCGCGGATTTGACACACGCATTCCTGTCCAACCACTTCGCACTCGTGCTCACGGGCAATCTCAACGCGCACCACAACGATCCTACAGCTCAGGGGTTGTTCATCCTCCTCTCGCGTTTCAATCATTCATGCATCCCTAATGCGTCAATGCCAATGAACAAAGGAGATTCCATCTCCTGCGTCGCGAGCAAGGACACTCGTCCCGGTGAAGAGATCACTTTCGCATATTTTGGTTTATCGTTCTTTTGCTTGAGGAAGAGGGTTTATTGGAAGAAAGAACGTTTATGCAGCTAGACGCGCGCCTGGAAATGACTCGAGTCAGATTTCAGTCAAAACGAAGTTCGGAGATTGCCACCCGCGCTTTGAAGCAGGATACTTGGCTTAAGAAATGGCAGGTGGCGAGCGAGCTTTATGGGCGACCCGATCCTTCTGATCATATGGCTAGCATGGAGCTACTGCACTGGCGATCTAAGGGCATGTTCTGAGAGATCTTCTGGGTTATCAAAAGGTTAGGCCATGATTTCGCTTGTACCACTAGAATGCAATCCAGGTTTTGTCATTCTGGTTGAATGTGTCCCTAACGTTGACAAAATTTTACGTATAATGTAGCTGTCTCTGTTTCCGGAAGCCTCTTAGAGTGGGGAGCGAGATACTAGGTTAACATATATATGTGTAACGTTTAGCTATCGCGAAGAAACACAGGAGAATCAGAGGCCATAGTCCTAATCCTAAGGAGCCTGAGTTCGTGATGCAAGAGTGTCGAGAGGTGCGGTAGAATGGTGGATAGGAAATGGTAGCTGGGTGGGTAAATATTCAGGTTGGAGGGCTTTCCCCTACCCTTTATGTAACTTGCTAATCCTTTGTCAATTCCTTGCTATCCTTTATAATCGGCTTTGGGCAAATGTAGTGCACAGCCTTCCACATACCATTTAATGTCTCGTAATACTACACTCGTACATATTAGGATTTATTGCATAAATATGGCGTATATATGTTACGGCACGTGCCCAGGCGCACTAGCCAAACAAGCCAAAAGACTAAATATGCTAGAACGCTATGTTCTAGCATGCCGGGGACCGATATACGTAGCGCACATTGATATTAGGACTAGGTCCTAACAATATACTGCTAGACCTAAAATGCTGTATAGGCGACATCCGTAGTCTATACGGTTAATTGGAAATAATAGTGAACAGAAGCATCTAAACCGCGATCATTCTCCATTGACAGAGAAGTATGTAGATCAATCAAAGCCACATTTTATTGTAGCAATGATTCCGGTAGAAGACAGGGTATGTGTAAAAGCAAAGCAACGTGCACGGAGATTGCCGCTCACGCTTTTAAGCAGGATACTCAGCTTAAGAAATGGCAGGCATTAATTAACCTTGGTACGAATATTCCTATACTGTAAGGCCCTGCAGGGATTGTCTGATGCGATGTATAGAAAGACGACTCCCAATTCGATCTTGGATAGATATGATTCGACTCAAGGAATTGCGAAATCGCAGTTTGCTCATTTTGGAAATAATCCACTCCACATGAATTCGATCTCTGGTTTCGAGGCCAGTCATGAAGAGAGGGAGCTGGAATAGTTCGTGGCCCCAGGTGTCTTGTTCCCCAAATGCACGGTGTGCGATGCTCATCAGGTCGGACATAACGGATGTGATATGAGATGGAGTTGGTTGCGAAAGATTGCTCAGAGTTAAGCGAAAATAGTAGAGTTTCACGAAGTAAAAACTGGCCACGGCAACCTCGGTTGTTCGCAGGAAAGTAGATCGCGGCGTCGTTGAAGATCGTGTCATTCGGATGATGGAACAATATTGCTACGTAGAACACGTTAGTTATATTGGCGGTTCCAGGCAAATTTAGGCAAGGTCTGCTATTAGATATACCGTTTCTGTTTGTGAAATCCTGCCTTCGATGTCAAGGTCACGCGGCATTACCTCCTCCGAGGCCCCATTGCTCAGCCTGTTCACCCTTTGGAAGATCATTCCGACTTTATTTCCAAATTCTATTACTGGTGTAACTTGAATATCATGCATCGCCTCGTATTCTGGGTATGATTCGCCCCAATATTGCTCCAATATGTACCGTTGCTGGGAGAATATTCGCAAATGCAGATCTTCACTACCGAATAAGTGATTCGCGAGATGGCCACCACATCCCTCGAACCCCATCTCAATGTCTTCTGCTGCTAGCAACAGCATCAATCGTCCAATCAAACCTGGTTCAGCTGAGTGGGATGAGTCATGCCAGGAAGAGGCGAGAAGGCTTTGTTCTGATTTGATATTTGCACTCAGGCTGTCCAAATTGTATCGTTGAATGTACTTTAGAATCGCTTGACTGAGCTGGTCAACACCGTTTTTGTCAAGGATCTCACGACGACCCATACACAAATAGAGAAAGAACCACGAGCTAAGCGTGCTGAAATGATGTGGTTCGGCGTGGACGTTCATGAGCTGTATGAGCATTTCGGAGCCTTTGCGGAAGTGGGCTTTGGTTACACCTGGACTGATAGTCGGATTGGGGGACCGTCGATTCAGGTCCATGGAAGATGCTGCGATCAGAAGATGCATTGCCATGGGTATATGATAGATAGACTGAAGAATACAGCCAAACATAGACCATTGAGGAGTTTTAAGCAGACGATCTGAAATGAATCTGTCTTGATAGTGGTAAAAAGCCTGGTGTTCATGGCCACTGAGGATTAGGGAATCGTCGAGAATAATATTAGGCATAAAGGAAATTGGCGAATACAGGAGGCTGCTAAAATCTGGACAAGGGTTGTCCCAGGAGATATCCGAATTGCTTTCAACTTCGAAAAGTAAGGTGACATCACTTGGATCCTGGCGGGGGCGGGAGATGGTACCCTCTGGCATATCGTGGACGTCGTGATGGATATCAATAGTGTTGTAAGGGTTAATTGTTTCATTTTCCATCTCTGATGATTTGCCATTGGCGCATGTATCCCGCGCGGAGGGCTTTGGAAGAATCTTCCTAATCTTCGTATTGGACTCTCTAGTTTCGACTACTTCGACTCTCGTGGGTAGCCAAAGGCACTGTAGATTCAAGCGAGAACATCGCGAGCAGTGTGGGTGACGTTGATCGCATTTCACTTTCGCTGATCGACACACCTCACAGGCAAGTGTCCTCGGTCGTCCTGGTCGGCGATCTGACCTGGGAACGGATTGCGACTGATTCACCATTATCAACGCGAATTGATGCGTAAAGCTAGCAATAATTGTCCGACGCCTGCACAGTGATGGTGATATGCGATGGGAAACAAGGATAGGATGAAAATAATTTTGTCACCAAAGCCCGTGACATGGGATAGAATAGATAAGCCCACCATCTCCAATTCTAACGGCTTCTATTGGATGAAATTCCCGATGGCCAATCAAAACCCACCAATTTCCCCTTTCGTGACTAACTAGGAATCATCAGCGGCTGGGGAAATGGCGTCTTCTGTCGCCATATCTAAACATAGTGATAGGTTACTCTAAATTTCCTATGTTTTCCAAAACTCCAATTCATTATTTAGAAGCTGAGTGCCTTGGCAGGTAATAATTGGCAGGTGCTCGGCATAAATATATAAATACTACACATCATTTCTGTTGGCATATTTAACAACATTGGAATATTCTTGGCCTCAACTATCATGAAAGCCCATATGCAAGATACTAATACGAACTTCCCAATGGAAGAGGGAAAGAGTGTACCTGAAATTCAACAGGCACCAGTCCATTGCCACGACGAGAAGGCGCTGATGCGGAGGGTTGACTGGCAGTACAAGATAATGTCCATCAATATTTTCTGAAAAAGTCCCAACTAACATGCTCTTTTAGTCTGCTTCCTCTTATGTTTGCTGCCTACATGCTTCAATACCTGGATAAAACCGCGCTTGGAAATACTGCGATCTTTGGAATAATGGAGTCCTTAGTATATAATATCTTGGATCCCATGAAAGGATGATTGCTGACTACAGTGAAAAAACAAGAATATGACAAGTGGAGAGTATTCATGGGCTTCCAGTGCCTTCTATTTTGGTTTCTTGGTGGCATCCTACCCGATCTCCCTATGCTTCGTCAAACTTCCAATCGGGAAGTTTCTGTCCATTTCCTTGTGCGTGGAGCATCCCCTTTCTCTCACACCTCCTGTCCCAAGCTTACAATAAATATTCTAGCCTTTCATGGGCTGTAGTCGTGGCGTGCCATGGTGCAACATCCAACTTTGCCGGTCTTGTGGCCGTTCGTGTCTTACTTGGGGTTTTTGAAAGTACAATTAGCCCAGGTCTGTCACTGGTCACTAGTTTGTGGTACAAACGCTCCGAGCATGCCTCTAGGCATGGGATATGGTTTGCGGGAAATAGCATTTCGTCCATTTTCGGCGGACTCTTAACTTATGGAATCGGTCATATTGACAATTCAGTTGAGCCATGGAGAGTATGCTGCCTGAGTCTCTCATATTTGAACACACTTTCCTCTCAAAGACTAAGCTGACTGTGTATAGTGGATATTCATCATATTCGGCATCGTCACCTTTGCATATGGAATCGTATTCTTGATTTTCTTGCCAGATGACCCTCGTAACGCCCAATTCATTTCCAAAGAAGAGGGAGAATTCATTCACCGACGCGCTCAGCAGGAGACGCATACTGAATTTTCGAAAATATGGTCAAAAAGCCAATTTATTGAAGCACTCATAGACCCCAAGACTTGGCTTCTCTTTGTGTACGCCATGGGATCCTGCATCCCCAATGGAGGTCTCACAAGTGTAATTATCGCTCGACCACACTTCATGAAGTATTGCTAACAACATACCATGTTGCAGTTTGGATCCATAGTTATTGCTGGGTTCGGTTACTCCAACTTCAACACTATCCTTGTCTCATTGCCTATTTCGGTGTTTACTTTCATTTGGGTAATTATGTCAACGATAATCACCTCTAAATTCCGAAGGTCGCGTTGTATTACCGCTGCTTGCTTATCACTCATAAGTCTAGCTGGCTGTCTTATGGTATCTCAAATCGATCCCAGCAAAAAGGTGGCTCGATTGGCCGGTATGTGGCTTTTTCCTGCATATTCTGCCGGAATTCCTATCATTCTGAGTATTATTGCCTCGAACGTGGGCGGATATACCAAAAGGACGACAGTGAGTGCGGTGGTGTTCATTGGAAATTGTGCTGGCAACATCACCGGTCCGTTCCTCTTTTTCTCCAATGAAAAGCCCAACTACAACGTGAGTTCTACTATTCTACTTCAAAGCTGAATAATAACCGCTGACTATGAGTAGAGTGCCTGGATTGGGATTATGATTTCACTTGCCATTGCCTTCATCGCAATCCTTTCTTTACGTCAGCTACTTCACATCCAAAACCAGCACCGCAACAGCCAGCAGAATGTAAACATCGACCCTGAATCTCCGGAACCTATTGATAACGAGGGGTTTGCTGTGCTCGCTAAGGATGAGACTGATTGGGAGAACCCAAAATTCCGCTATTATCTATAGTCGGATGATTTATGTGTCTCTGTAGTCAAATGCTTAGTATTCTGTGCGGATGTACCTGTTTCAAATCTATATTTGTGGCTTTTTTACAATTTATCACGATGTGAACTAAAAAGCCTATCTGCGTGCCTTGCTTATGAATCACTACTACTATTTTGAGCAATGTCCAGACCCTAAGAGGGAGTAGAGGGAAAGCAGAGTGAATATTCCTATAGAAGTCTAACAAGCTATTGCGAACAGTATGTCAATTAGTGTTTGCATGCCTTATCTGGCTCTACTCTAGAGTGCGGTATATTTTTTTTTAAAAATAAAAATAAAATCCATCTGTCATTTCATTCCTTGCTCTCTAAATTCAAGTCGTTGGTCTTTTGTCTGATAACATCGATATATCGCTAGATCCTGATACGTCAGAATTTACCGACGAATACCCAATCACGCCTTCTAGTCAGGTTCTATCGCCTTCCTCGCTAATTCAAAGCGATTTTTATCAGTCCTTATCCCGACAGTCGACGTCTTGCTACATTGTGGTATATCAGGGTTTACCGACAACCCGCCAATCAAACCCACTAATCATGTCCACACTCAGGTTCTACGGCAATCTTGGCAACCCCGGTATGAATCCAAATATACTGAGATTGAAGTTCGGTGATTGTTCAAGCGGGATACAAAAGGCTGCACATCTGTTCTAATAATGGGGATTATTTCCCACCATTGGAATATTTACTTTTCACTGCCAATACCATGACGTGGGAATCAATTGCCGCGACAAAGCGCCAAGTACTCAGGGATTCCATCCCAGCCGAATGGCTCATTCCTGATACCATTTTTCCGTCCGAAGATCAGCTGGATGTGACAAATTTTCCTCGGGAATCTGGATTTTTCACTGAAAATGAACTGAAAATCACCTCGTCTCCTGCCCCGACTATTCTATCTCATATATCTTCGGGATCATGGACTTCAGAGATGGTGACCGAGGCGTTCTGTAAGACTGCAGCGGTAGCCCAACAATTGGTAACCCCCTCCCCCCCAAAGCCGAAGATATAGAAGGACAAAAAGGTCTAATCGGGGTCTAGACGAATTGCCTATCGGAAATATTTTTCGACAAAGCCATCTTGCAGGCTAAGGAACTTGATGCCTACTTCCAAAAAACTGGCAAGACAAAAGGTCCTTTGCATGGCTTACCTATCTCCCTCAAAGATAACATCAACGTCATTGGCTACGATTCAACAATTGGGTTCACGTCTCTTGTCAATAAACCTGCAATCAATAATAGCACGATCGTTGATCTTCTCCTTGAAGCTGGCGCGGTGATCTACTGCAAGACCAATGTACCAACCGCCATGATGATCTCGGAGACTGTAAACAATCTTTTCGGTCGCACAGTCAATCCATTGAATCGCAGTCTTACCACGGGTGGGTCAAGTGGGGGAGAGGCTGCCTTGATTGCGTTTGGGGGTGGCCGGATTGGCGTGGGGAGTGATATCGGTATGTATTTAGGCCAGAGTCCTATCATACAGTCCAATACTAATCAATTTGCTAGGCGGATCTCTCCGTATGCCCGCTGCTTGCACAGGCATCTTTACCATCCGCCCATCTTCCGGCCGCTTCCCTAATTGTCAGTCGCGCGCCTGTCTAGAGGGCCAGGAAACCGTCAACGGCGTCATCGGCCCGCTAGCGAAGAGTCTGGAAGAGATTGTCCTCTGGGCCAGAGTTATTATCGGTCAGAACCCCTGGATTCGCGACCCAAAGTGCCTTCCTATCCCTTGGCGAAGTGTGGAGATGAAAGAGCGTCTCAAAATCGCGGTCCTCTGGAACGACGGGGTTGTAACCCCAACCCCTCCTGTCGCTCGTGCGCTCAAGGAGACTGTTGAGAAATTAGAGGCAGCCGGTCATGAGACCATCACATGGGCATCAACCGAGCACACGGAAATGCTAGCCCTGCTTGGAGGCATATTTTTGGCAGACGGAGGGAAGTCTGTCCGGAAACTTCTCGAGCCAACGGGTGAGCCTTTCCGCCCAGAAATGAAGCCCTACGAGGAGGCAAACGATATAGGCGTATACGATCTATGGCAGATGCAAGTTAAGCGCAATTCTCTCTGCAAATCGTACCTGGATCGATGGAATGAAGCTGGCATTGATGCTATTCTATGCAAGTCCGCCGCCTTCAACAAGACGCCGGTCTTTGTATTAATCGGTTTCTATAGGTCCTACAACCCCATACAGCAGCGTCAAGCACGACAAATTCGCGTACGCTGGGTATACATGCGTCTTCAATTTGCTTGATTATCCGGCTGTTTCGTTCCCTTGTGGTATAAAGACCGACAAGGCTGTTGATACACCATATGACGACCATCAGGCATTGAGTGATATGGATGCACAAATTCAGAACAACTGTTAGTGGCCCATACTTGAAGTTTAACGTGCTCAGCTACTAATGGAACTAGACTCTGAAGAATCCGTGCATGGCATGCCAATTAGTCTGCAACTAGTCGGCCGCAGGCTCAGTGAGGAGAGTCTACTGGCGATGACAGATCTCATACTGAAGTCTATCACTTTGTGAATCGGATGAAGCAGTGTAAAGAACTAGGACAATAACTAAAGTCATCGGTATAGTTATTTCAATATCAAAATTTAAATGGCAACAATTTATTCAAGCATCATCTTAAATTTCACGTAAACGAATCCTTCTCCCTAACTGCGAGCTCCCGTCCCCGCGGTTCGAGGATGTGACAAATTACAATCTTGAAGCCGTTAAACTAGATTTTTACCTAGTGCTCAACTCAACTGAAGGAATATTGAGTCTATTGGGTATACAAGTTGCGATGTTCCAAACGTTCTTTGGAGCAAATTTTATCAGAGCTTGGATTGGAGATCTGCAGCACAGGCTTGGACACCATCTCTTTGGGTGTTTAGAAACATTGGATGAGAGAAATACAAGAAGGTCATTTTCTTCATCCATTCTCTTCCCTCATTTTATCCCTCTCAAAACCTCCCACTCATGCTCCAGCATTCCCAACATAACCAAATCATGCCAAGTGCGTTGGTAATATATAGCTTCACGCTCTCGACCCTCGTCCACAAACCCAAGTTTCCTGTAAAGCTTCAATGCATTAACATTATATGAAAACGCAACCAAGTTAACCCTATGCAATCCAGCACACTGGAAAGCCCAGTCCAGTGCCCAATTTATAGCTTCTCCACCGTACCCTTTGCCCCGGAACCCATCTGCAAGTGATATCCCCAACATGGCACAGCGGTTATGTTCACTGCCTGGTGGAAAGGTGTAAAAGATGCTCATGTGTCCAATAGGCACGGGTTTTGGTTTCGGTTTGGGAGTCGAGCCATCTGTGCTTGGAGACGATATCTCAGGGGGAGGAGGTAGACATATTATTACTCCTAGTAATGAGTCTTGTATCATTTTAACGAAATCTTCTGCGATTTTCTGGGATTTTGGTCGCATGAGCCGACTAGTGCTCATTGTTTGAATGGTGGGATCATTGAGAATCTGCGCTTGGAGGAATTCCTTGTCTGAGTCGCAGTTCTCGACTGCACGATAGACGAGGCGTTCGGAATTGAAGTGAAATAAGCCGTCCAGATTTGGGTGTGAAGCCATACTGATTTTGTAGAATGTAGTACTTTGGGCAAATGGAGAGTTTGTTGAGAAATGGCTTGAACGGAGGGATTGCAGGATTAATATAAGCAGAGGTGAGTGAATAGTCGGGGTCCTAATTAGGCGCCCAATGGGGCTGTGTGGAGTGGGTAAGTGTATTGAAGGTTGTAGTCAGGCCAATGGAAAGCGTAAGACTCATTTTGAATCAGAATTTCGCCGTTTTTGTACAATATTATGGAAAATCTCATAGTATTTAAGAAGCTAAGCGCCCCTCACGCTTACCAGAGCCTAACCTTGGGATTGCAACCAACCTTCGTCGATAACAACATAGGATAATAAATTCATTCGACGCGTACCGCTCGCTAGTATCTCCAACCTTTAGGCTCATGTCTTTAATATGAATACCCACGAATCAGCCTTAGTGAATACCGACTATGGCAGGAGCCTGTCCTTCAGCAAAAGAGTGCATTCCGCAGAGAATACTGGAACTGGAGAGAAGGGAGAAGTGCTGGAGCTCCGATGCTCGCCTTTTCTCTTCGGTCTCCCCCAATCACATCGCTCAAACCTAGCTACCCTATCTACACACTGTTTCCCAGTGGTGCATAAGCTTCCTCACGACCAGGGCCAATATACACCAGGGCTGGGGTCGGTTTTACTAGCGTTGGGTGCGGATTAAAGTTAGGTGACCCATCCGGGGTTCTAACTTGGGATAAAACGTAACATACATACTAGCCATTGGGGATATATGAATTGTATATTTCCTGACTATAATATCAATCACCTTCTCTCATCACCAGTTTACCCAGGATCTCATATTTCAAAATAGTCTCTCCCAACCTCTAGAAAGAATAGCCTGTAAGGCAAGAGTTTTCTACTCTCCCGGACTACATGATGCCCACCCAAACCGATTATTATTGTTTTATTATTGTTTTATTATTGTTTTATTATCTGCTCCCGCACCTCTACCTCTCCATCTAACTTTTCGCTACAGATAACTTAGCGACAGATTGACAAGCGAACAAGGGGAGAGTAAGTTTCACCTGGCCCGTGAGATATGGCTCTTCACAACATACACTTAACTAAACCCACCTACTTAGGGCCCCTCTATATTTAGGATGGGTTTCACTTATATACGTCTGAATGGATGGTTCCGAATATTGATGATTATGATGTATTCATTATCCAGCCTAGGCCTCTTGCTAATTACTATCTTTGTTACTTGGCTACTTATCTTCGATTTAGCGCATAACGATGATAATGAGAAAGTCAAAGAAGACGAGAATTACGATATCAGAGACCTCTTTTTTGTTGTCTAACTAAGATTATATAATCTCGTTTTGTGGTTTCTCACGAGAAGATTATTACCTAGAACGATCTGTATCCCGAAGAGAGCCTTACCACACCCGGACAAAAGATCCTTCTTTTTATCGGGATTGTGATCACAATGGACGGTTTTCAGCTTTTTGAAAGCCATGATTATATTGTTTTCGGAATTATCTTGGGAACTATTTTTTTTTTCGAAAAGGAACAATGGACATCGTAAAGGACAAGTCGTCACTGGGCTACTTTGATAATCCACGTCACTGTCAAAACTTAAACTTCAGGCGCCCGTTTACCCTGGCTCGGCCAAATGACAAAAATTAGCTCGCATCATTATCGGATGATGGAACTATTAAATCTGGAATCTGCGCAGAGAGAAATCCGCGATGACTTGGGGAAAAACAGTGAAGTCCTTTCTGTCGCCTGGTCGCACGATGGGACAAGGCTCCCCCCCCCCCCCCCCCCCCACCTACCCATATCACTATAATATTATATTTGGGACTCTCGGGAAGATTGTGGATATTGACCGACATCATATTAAGATGGTGGTGGAAGGTACATATTTCAAAACTTATAGTTGAGCAGAAAATGTGGAATATGCTTTAGATACAAAGAATTATAGTACCAGACCAGATGAATAGCAGGGTTCTCGGTAACCATGATCTCGCGACCTTTGCAGATATGCTCGGTAGGGGGATCAATGAGAGTACCGGAGGCCTTTGTGACGAGGACGGGGATTAAGTAGGGGGCCACTTTGGTCAGCTGCTCAATGACCATTTTTCTTATTGGGTCCCTGTACTCCGTAGTCTCACCCAAACGATATAGGTCTCACGTGATTTGGACGTTAAAAGCGAGAAAAGTAAGGCTGGATGGTATCTATGTCCATCTTCTCTCACTTTGCGTGGGCTGTACAGCTGAAAACGCAGAGATACTACGGAAATAGCATCCCATCCTACTCCGGGCCTCGGAATTTTCTCTCTTACGAAGATGAAACTACATTTTTTCCCCGCAATATCACCAAACGCGACAGGTGTTCTTCTGCTGCCTGGGGGCGGTTATGAAAGGCTTTCCATGGAGAATGAGGGCTATGATCCAATGCGGTGGCTCAACGATCGGGGATACGATGCTTGGATTCTCGAGTACACTGTGGCTGGATCGAGTAGCATTCGTCCGATCTACCCCAAACCGCAAGAGGAAGCTCTCGAAGCGGTACGTCAAATACGTGCCCAGGATCGGGTCCGCATACTCGGCATCTGGGGTTGGTCAGCTGGGGGACATCTCGCAGCCGTAACCGCGACTAGCCCAGCAGCAGCTCTTGACTTTGCCATCTTGGCCTATCCAGTTATATCGATGGAGCCTGGTACCGCGCACATGGGGTCGATGAGGAACCTGATCGGGGAGGATGCCCAACCTGAGATACGTCATCAAATGTCGGCTCAGACCAGGGTTACAAGCGAGACACCGCCAACCTTTATATTCCATACAGCCAACGATGACAGCGTATCGGTCCAAAACTCGTTACTCTTCGCAGCTTCCATGGCCGCCCATCGATGCCCGTTCGAGATCCTTATCCTTCCTAGTGGACCGCATGGTGTCGGCCTAGCGTTAAACGATCTCAAGACTAGCTGGACGGAAGAGCTTTACCGCTGGCTTCAAAATCATACACCAAAGCCGTAAACTAAGCAATTCTCAATGTTACGCTATCATGGCGAGGGTTAGATAGGATGGCCCGGGTTTACGTGACGGGAGAGACTTTTACTTTACTTACAGTCATTAGTTTAAAGGAAATCCCAGTTTAGTAGAGTATACCTACATGAAATTGACAAATCATACCATATTACAGTGGTGTATATGTGCGGAGCACAGTTTGCTTCTTGTGCTACATTTTAAACCAAATGTAAAGTTGGAGGAGCGTCTAATGCGTGTATGGCTGCTTTGTAGTCGAAGAAAGAGTTATCATACGAATATATATGTTTTACATTTTTGGTGCCATTGCTGAATCGTCAGACCTCACTCGCTACGACTTAATTGCATGCATGTTTTCCTGGGCACCCTTACTATTCCAAGAACCAGATGACTGACCATGGGCCTATGCTAACATTTCCTCTCTAGGCCTGAGCCAAACCACCCTCATAAAAGCGGCGGCTACCCAAACAAGATAGCTGTCGTGGAAAGTGGAGAGATTTATTACAGTGACATGGAATTAGTCCACATACAGTGACGTGGAACGTCCATATCCAATCCAGATTTCATCTGTATTTCTATCGTGGCGCCGGTCTGAGACCATTTTATTAGTTCAGGCCAGCACTAGTTTATCTTGAGAAGGCGGTCAGTAGCGGGATCTCAAACTTTTGCGGCGCCACCATATGTAACCGACCCCTTTCATAAATTACCATTTATTTCGAACCCTCGCGTAGCGAGTGGTCCACCACCAAACGATATTGCCCTCCGACACAATATCGCATTTTTCCATAGTGAACACCCCTTTTCTACACGCAATTTTTCACCACCACCATGCCTAAACCGAAATAATATAATGAATCTATCGAATCCCGCATCTAATTAGCTATCCCTGAATTAGAGAACGTTAAAAAGCCTAATATTAAGGTGTGGGCGCGTACTACAAACCTACGGTACTAGCGGCTTCTTGCTAGGTACAAAGGACGCCTATCTCTTTCTGACCAGTAATCTAACGGTCGCCTACTTGATGAATCGCAAGAAAAAGCCCTTTACCGTTATATCGATTACCTCGATTTGATTTATCTACCGTCCAAGCGATTGGTAATTGCTACTATAGCTATTATGATTCTAGCTGCCTACTATTAGTAGTAATTAGCCACGAAGATTCCTTGATCGTTGTCCGGAGTATTTCTCTCGCCGCTGGAGAGCGATAGACATCGAGAGAAAGAAGTACCCAGATAGGTAGGGGGTAGGAGATTAGTTTAATTTCTAATAAGAGATAATCACGCGGTACGGGATTACTATAGATGATATGTAGAACTTCGATGAGACCGGCTTTAATACCGACTGGTCGATCTGGCACTACCTATATGCAACCATATACACAGGATAATGTTCGCCAGGTGGGACTTTCCTGTCTGGGCTGCCGCCGCTTTAATGAGGGCGATCAGGCGCAGGCTCACTGAGTAAATGTTAGCATAGGCTCATGGTCAGTGATCTGGTCAGTGCGGTCATATGCTTGCTCAGTGACCAATCATGGATGCTTAGTGATCATCGATGGCTGCTCAGCGATTGCTCAGTGATCACTTAGCCACTGCCTACTTATAAGGACTCATTAACTTAGTTAACGTTAGTTAGTTAACTAGTTATCTAGTCAGCGAGCTATATTCTTTTCTTCTAGCCTAAACTAGACTATACCTAATATAGTTATACCCTATAGGGTTATCTATTCTGTGAAAACTAGCGTATTAATAGTCCTTATAAGGCTCTCTACTTTCTGGAGGTCTCTATTAAATTAACTCTCCTATTGATAAAAGCTGGGATCCGAGCATCACTGGCGGCTCTTGCATTGATCGGCCTAGTTTATACCTAGCAACAGCAGCTACTGCTGCTGCTAGTGATATCATCTTGATCCTTATGCCCATCCCAATCGTATACCAGCTACGATTCCTGCCAATTCTCCAGCGACTAGGCATGATATTTATGTTCGGGTTTGGCAGTTTGTATATCTCACCCTCCCTAGCATTCATCACCCGAACTTCTGCTGTGGACTAGGCTTACCCTGATTCCACACAGAACGACCGTCACGAGTATTCTTCGTTTAGCCACTCTGATTCCCTCGATTACTTCAAGTGACCAACCATATACCATTACCAAAGCCTTGATTTTTGAGTAAAGTCCATGATTCATGTCATTAGTATTTCTCATTTTCACGAATGGGCTTTTAGACTTATCGAGGCTAACCTGACTATAATTTGCCCCTCTCTCCCTTATCTCCGTCAATCCCTCCGATACTATGCTCCAAGCTGGATTGGGGAGGGCAGTTGGATCCGGAGAAAGTGTGGGTCGAGGAGCTCGTCATCTAGGGAATCAGGGAGTGGCCGCAATCTTCACCCAACTATCCAGTTGGAGAATAATACTGAGCGCGTAATGACTGCTGGCGGGCCTTCCGACACCTTCATTCCTGAAGAAGACTGGTCTGATCCAAATAGACGATCGGCCCACTCCTGATAAGGGCAATTATATTCCATGTGTAAGTAGTATTTACGTGTTGAATATTGTAGCCAAGCGCCACTGCGTTTTCATGAGGAATGTATTGAACTAGTTGGAGGAACGATGCAACGCCAGGAATCGTCAGATATTCAATTTTGGCTACTAGGCCGTCTATGTACGGACAGATTTATCGCTGGCAACGCTCGTATGGAGGTTTAGATTATTAGCCCTTATTCTGGAAATTCGAGACATACGACCATGGCGTGTGGAGAATAAGGCTTCCCGTTCCGCTCAGCCGTACATAAGCCAATTATAGTAAACGATTAATTCTCGAAGCACCCTGAGCTTTGAAGTGGCGTCGGATTCTATCCCATGTTGATTGTGAGGATCTAATCGTCAAATGTCAAATACCCACGAAAGCCATGAGAGTACTGACAGTTGCTACAAAGGACATTGACTGCCTTCTTCGGGGTCTTTTTGGCAACGATTGGTACGATTACTAACACGAGATAGACCGTGTTCAAACTAGGTGTGCTCTTATATTGTCTGCTGGCTCGGGGACTAGGGTCAGTGCCGTGGTAGAATTGAGCGCGAACCTATGAGGGTCCGGGCGGAAGAGAGAACGAAGCTACGCGTCGGCACCGGGATGTGGAACGGGTTATGGAAGGGTACTTCAGTAGGAACATCTAGCACTCTTAGGTGAAACTCGTAAGCCTTGTGACACATAACCTGTCATGGAGAGAAATAATTCCATCACAGCGTTCTTAATCTTTACAAAAGTTGAAGGTAATAAACCAGCCGAAGACTAAGATGTAGACCGCTAAAGGAGATCTGTAGCCCGTACATACAGGCTGAACACGCAATTCTCACTTGTCGGTGGCTGAACAATGGAGAAAGAACTTATTTTATGGCATAAGAAGACCGTTTGACATCCATATACTCATTCACAACTGCCGAGGCCATTGTCCTCTATGATCAATTATCAGTATCATCCTATTGGGGTGTAAGGGCACCTTCCACGTCGTCATTTAAACAACCTATTTTCTATATAATTCAAACCGCAGGAATATTGATGGTTGAATTTCAGAACCGATAAGTCAACACTAAAATCAGCGAGGGTGGTGGTTGTAGAACAAGTTGTTGCGGTCGACACGCAAAAGGAGATACCATACTGACCAATGATACCGAGTACAATCCGCTTAACTAACCCTCCCAAGGACCTAATGCGAATATTATGGTTTTATACATAAGTTAACCCAATACCGAGGTGACCTTTTCAGCCACCGGAGATGATATATCCTACGTCGGCAATTATAAATCTTCGTCACTCCACTCTGCCGAGAGGCCTATGTCCACACAGAGCCTGACGCCCACCCCATTTATCTGGAGGAAATTTGCCAAGGAGCGTGTTAATCGAAGCACAGCTCAAAGAGAAAGAATTATGAAGGGCATGTTCGTAAATCCGTTGCTGGAACCAGTATGGTGTCAAGATTTAGAACTTGTTTGGAATGACCAACGTAATGAATGGCAGGTTATTTCTATCCTGAGAGCGAAGAAGGCTGTCTATATAGCTCTTCCATCGCCTGTGTGGGTTTCATTATCAGATTATAATGAATAGACATTTATTTCTGGGCTCCAACTCTCACCATACCATCGGTGGGCCATAATGTGGAATCAAGGGATGTGGATGGTATGCACACCATTCTTTGGTCTTGGTCAACTTCTGGCAGAAGCTTCTAGCAGATAAAATAGTCTCTCGTCAGGTTTGGCTGCTGCCAGCGCGTATCACATTCAAAGGCCGTGGCCCGACAGGTAAAAACTGAACCACTCTAGAATTCGTACCTTTACAACCTGCATTACAACACGATACTTCCACTGTGAATTATAAGCCTAATAGGCATTTGGGCTCTTTTCCAAAAGAAAATATCAGGAGGGTCGAATCGCCACAAGCGAGGACAATTAAAAGATTCCTGTGAATTACACAAACTACATGTCATCACTATCACCATCCATTAGGCTTATTGTTTCCCTATCCCCATCCTACTGCTTTTCCTACTTCCTTGTTCTTGCACGATCGAAATATGATTGCTTATTATCAAATTCCTGGGTTTCTTTCGTTCTAATCAAATAAGTCCTTTAACACTCTACCTATATCTCACCTCAATTAATTCCTGACATCCAGGAACCTGTCCTTACTACCGGACCCATACTCATTGTAGAAGAGCTTCGCGAATTTCACAGTAATCCGATACCATCTCGTGTCGAGATTAAGACGGGGAAACTTTCAGCTACATGAAGCCGCAATATACCCAGATTCAGATTCGCCGTTCATAGCAGAGATGGAGCGAAAACCGAACACTTCTCCATTTTATTGGCAAATTTACTGCAGTGACGCCATAAGGACAGCCTAAACCCCCAGAATAGCCCACAAGTAAAGACAGGCCGTGTCAGGTAAGGATAGAGGTACAAATTGTAGGTAAGAACCACCTAGAATGGTTGGTGAACCTCCGTATAAACAAGCGAAGATTTGTAGTTATTCCTTTACTGAATAAACTTTCTTCGTGTTTTCCATGAAAAGAACACCGATCAAAGAAAAGAAAAGGACAAGAAAAAAAGGAAAATCACCTTCCAATCCATGATCAGAGTTTTTCAGTTGTTTTTTTTCTTTTTGAACAACCTCAACGAACAAGATATGTATTTGATAACCTACTCCTCATATTCCGTTTGAGCGAAGTTTTGTTGAATGAGTGCGTTTCCGACTGATTTTAGGGACCTTATCTGATAAGAGTCAATAATGTCCTTTTTGTACTTTGTCAATCCTAGATAGTATAACGAACTGATTTTTCCAAACGTCAAACTTCAAATTATGAGGCCTCGAATGCATTGCTGTTGACCCAGTTGCAGTCCATTGCGGACTGCTTCGATGGACACCACTTTCGCAGCGCACAGTGCTTGCACCCGTGTTCTAAGACCTTCACAGCAAACAAGGACCTTAGGACGACTCTTCTCACAGGTAGGAATTTTCGATCTTCGTGATTCACACTGCAAATCACGAGGTTTTCGTTGAAGCTCGCAACGACCCTTGGTGAACGGGTCTTTGGCCTTCTTCTTGCATTTATCTATGTCTTGTCGGACTTGGATATGACAAGCTGCAACATCGTCAATGATTTTCTTTTTGCAGGCCGCGATGCCGCTTTGCACAGCCCTTTTACAGCTGTCGATGCCCGATCGAATGAGATTGTTGCAGTCTGCAGGCGCTCGAGCTTCAACTGTTTCCGGCATTAACAGTGGGTCCGTTGAATCTGTGTCATCCAGATCGAAAAGGTGGAGATCTTTTTCATCATCCGCAGAGCGAGGCAGATGAAGATTAGCTGCAGCATCAGCGTCTCGAGTAGCGTGAATACTAGAAGCCTCCCAATCGCTATCCACTTGAGAGATGAACGCGTCCTCTGATTCCGGTTCGTAGCCAGAGATCGCGTCGCTATTTAAGGCTTCCTCGAGAGATTCATCATATATTCCATCGGATTTCGGCACGACGGCCCCGAGCACATTATGACTGAACAGAGTGAGGAGTAGAAAGATTGAAAGATATCGGGCCATATTTATGATGGTACCACAAGTTATTCATATGTTTTTCATGTTCTTAACTAATTTTAGTCGTTATTGCAGGAGAAGAAGCAGTAATATATATACGCAGCTCGAAGCATCTAGGCCGTTCTCCAGATTAAATCTAGATTTCAGTAACGCTGGGTATCCGCATCATAAGACCCGATCCTTGGGAGACATAATTTCCAGAGTTACTCTGGCTACCTGAAAGGCCTAGACATAGGATTGATGGAACAAGGCGCTTATTATTTCCCCTGTGTGGTTAGCCGTAAGCATCATTGTGGAGAGTTTTGATCAGATAAACAACGAGTGACTTTCGAAAAACAATAAAATTCCAGCCTAGAACTCGATTACTATTTGTGGTTCCTCAAAGGTTCTGTGGTCCAAAGGGAAATCTTATTTTAAATATAAAAACAAAGAAGCCGTGGGCCTTTGCAATCGCAACCCTGGATTTTCTGAGCCGACTCCATCGATATTAATAACTTCGTGTTAATTTTCGGCTTTTTTAACCACTGGATACTTCTAGCCAAAGCGGTGCCATATGACTAGGACTAAGGGTCATCAAATCTCCACAAACAAGCGACGATTAAGAGTAATGCCTACACTAGATGAGCTTAATTATATACTGCACGCCATACTAAAGGACTGACGCGCAATATTATGAACGATAGTGCCACGGTAAAGCTTCGACGCAGCATTTGTGGCATCACAACCAACGAAATCCGGTATCGTATCTCCATTTTTGATCAAGTGTTCCCTCTACGATACGACGGATCGGATCACCGAGCCACATATCCAAAACAGATCAGAATGGAGCGTAAATACCCCGCGCGAGCCCGCTGCTTTAGTTACCGGCGCGTATGAGCCAGCGGATTGGATACTGCTGCGGATCAGCCATGGAATGGCATCAGAGTGAGACTCGCGCTGACACGAGATGGTTTAAGGGGGTGCCGAGCTAAAGGTAGTATTTTACTCAGGGTTGATTTAATGACTCCCTGCACCTACATCTATTATGAGATGCTAGATTCGGTCGACTTAGCATTACCGTATTAGAATAAGCTAATACTTGCCCGCTAGGCTACATATGAGAGGTTCGTAGCAGCGATCTCCCGGATAATTCATCAATCAACCCGTTTAGTTAATGTTCATTAGTGCTAGTGGGTCAGCAAACCTACGTGCCCATCAGAAAGGCTCAGAGCGGTGAACATAGCGGTAGCAGGAGTCATACTCCTCGCTTATAACCAAAACTGCACTCGAAGCGCTGACTCACGAATCACACCAGACGGTAAAAACCTGAGCGGCTTTTCTTGGCGAGGCTTGGCCAGTCTTGGCGCGCCGTTTGCAGTCAGCCTTCCTGGTCATGCGACCAGGAATTTCGCAATTCCAATTGCACTCTCCATAGGTAATTGGGACCAAGATTTTCTAGAAAAAAAGGGTTGCTTTAATTATCTTTGGCAACGAAGTCCAGGCTTCGAGATGAGGCCGTCCTATTTGAAACAGCGTAAACCGCCGAGCGACCCTCCAATAGCAATCAGCTACGTAAATTAGGACTGATGGTGATTACTCTCCGCTCAGTATACCCCATACCTTGCAATTCCTTGGCGAGCTTAAATCCACCCGCGTTTAAATTATGGCGATTCGGTCTACGGCGGCTTTTCTCGAGATCTATGTGACCAGAATCAGGCAGACTTTCTCGGGCCTAGACTACGCAATTCTTGTCGAGAACAGGTTTCTTTCCACGCAAGGCCTGATCTAGCGTGCGATTTTCTGTTTCAATCTCTCATATATGGCCATTGATGGTTAACGGACCGATTTTGGTAAATACTCATAGGAGCTACTGAAACGGTGTGGCACATCGCAGGTCATCCTCGATATATTCATGACTCTAGCTATGTAGCCTACGTAGGCAGTCATCAAGAGGAAATAGGACTCCGTATGTAGCCGCTGGGAAATTATTCAGTTAATGATAATGGTCCGAAAGAGTGAATTAGAAAGTAGTAAGCGATCGGGGCCAGGGGAGAATATCTATACTTAAGTAGACTTAAGGGTTAGTTGGATTCATTAATGGTTTTCCCTTTTATTAACTCTGAGGCAAGAGCAGAAGTGTAGGAAGGCTAAACGAGCCTAAAGTACTTCCTATACCTTATAATCGAACCAAGTATTAGACTTATTCCTGACTAAGTTTCGCTTGTATAATTATGTCTCTAAGGGCTCGATAGCCCTCTATACTTGATGATTGTACTTATAAATTTCTAGCATATGAGAAAGCCCAAAGCGGATCACTTGGCAGATCTCAGGGATGTTGAATGCCCACAGAACAGTTGCGGCTTCATCTTCCCACCAGCGATACGAGATCACAAATCTGGGAAGTACGGAACTAATCTGGAAGAGAGGCTGATATGCCTGTGTGGAGTCAACAATCCGGCGAGGTAGAGTGTCCGACATGTCCAGGCTGCTTGGTCGTAACGATGGCTGTTTTGGTCGTAGTTTCAGGAAAGGGGCGGCACAGCACGCCCATAACGCGGGCCTGAGAAATGACCACATCCAGGCCCTCGGGAGATGGTCCTCCGAACCCTTCCGCCTTTATTTCACGACACCTACGACAACACTGTTTGCCTGGAACCGTCAATTCCAGACCGGTCATCCAACTCCGATCTCATCGATGCCCCTTCTCTTTTTGAATTGAAGGGTCGAGCATACTTCTGATCGATGGCCTCCATGAACTGCCCAATCACCAGTTGCACACTCTGTATCCGTTTGATCTCTTCTTGTGCTCGGACAAGCTCCCTCTTCAAGCTCCTATATTGAATCGCAGAGGTCAGTCATCGATTCCGGCTGCCAAAAACCGACACGTTAGGAAGACTTACCTTTGCTTATTCTTGATGTATTCCTCCTGTAGCTGAATGTATCTGTCAAAGCGTCAGTGACGTTGAAGAGGATTGGGGGCATTCTCATCATCACTAACTCTAAGTGTCTCCGACCAAGAGGAATACTTCAATAGAATGGCTGGAGTTTCTCGCACTTGGAAGGACTTTGAGACTTCATGTCCCCGTATTAACAAGATGGTTGTCGAATATTACGAAGCTAATAATAGCCTACCTGCCGCTGAGAGCGAGGTGGTAAATTCTCTGCAGGAACTTATCAAACGGAAATGGCGCTTATCTCAGACACCGCTTCCCGAGCCTAAAGTAAGACATACACTCCGAAATATAATGAAAACAACTCGCTAGTACGATAACGATCTTCGATGGAATTCTGTTAATTCGAGATTTGAATTCGAGTAAAATTAAGCCCCTTAGCTGAGTTACTGATCGTTAGATAATTTTGAAGGGTCGATTCGTTAGTATAGATTCTTAAAGTATATCTCTTCTACTCTCCTCTAGTACCGCCTTGATATTCTCGCTAAGGAATTCAAAGAAGTTAAGAGTGATCGTTATAAGAGTTCTTGGGAGATAACTTTTCGCTACCTAGATAGCGCTAGTATCCTCTGGATATAGGATAGTAAAGGAAGAGCTAAGGCTAAGTTCTCTGGTTCGAAGGAGGTTAAAGGAGACGCCCTAGAATTCATCAAATTTATAACCTATTTCGAATTCTATATACCTATAATAGAGTAATATCAGGCATAGTGGCTTAAATACCATCGTTATTTCTTACTTTATAGTATATATCAATATATGAATGTTGTGGGGTCATATGACGAAGACCCACTACCCCTCATCGCTTCTAGATCTTCTCCATAAGACCTATCAAGCTTAATCTTCAACGATCTCGTATTGAATTACCTACTTATATTAAATTACCTACCTATGTAGGAGACCATACAATACTCTAATTTCTTATCGTTTTATATGATCTTTTACTATGTTTCCTACGATATAAATACTGCTATATTTTCTAGTCAAATTGAATCAAGTTTATTATCCCTTTTAATCTCTTTTCTAGATCGGCGGTACTCTTCCACAATCGTGGTACTTCTTCTTTCTAAGAAGTACACACGACCTCTATACTCATAACCGTGTAATCAGACACTACATTGAGTCCTATCCCACCACGACTTTATGGTCACCGCCTAAAGTCCGACAGATAAGTTTATTGTTTAAAGGGCATCGGTGTAGGGAGCCTTGTTCAGATCTATGTTCATTAAGACTAGGCAGTATTGGTCAGACTTAAGCTCCCAGGAGCCTATGATAAAATCTCACCCTAACAGAGATTATCTTGGTTCAGCTATCTTAAAGATATAACATCGTGACGCTCCCAGGAGCAAATGTTTAGTCACGCGAATAGCAGTCTTCCGTTTATTACTACCTAATCTAGCGAGAGTAGTATGGCATTAAAACCCAGAAAGGTCTTTATCTTAGATCAGAGTCGCCCCACCATTCATACAAACCATCAACATGACAGGCGAGCCCCCTAGATGATCAATTACTTCTTCGACTACAGGTAGAAGTGTCGTTTTGTCGTTGATCAGATAGGGATAAGGCCTCCCTGTTTCTGGACGCTGGTATCCTTCAAAATTTTGCACTTGCTCTCATCCTGGCATTTTGGTTAGCAACAACTCTGACATCGACAGAAGCTGAACATACTTGTCCGTGGCCTTTCTGATTCTCATCAGGTACACAGCACGCGATGTAATTGACACATTCGATTTCTGCGCGACCTAGAAAGATCTAAGTATTTGAGAATAGCAGAAGTTGTATAATTTTCATACCAATAAGAGGAGCGCATCCAGAAAGAATGCTGATGGGGGTCAGCTCTTGTAGAGCCCCCGCAGCAGCGTTGCCAAGCACTGCAACAGCATTGCCAATGATATTCGTGCTTGACCCGGACGTCTCAAAAACTTGTGTTCCTTCGGCAGAGCTTCTGAAATCCGAGCAACAGGATAGCTCAAAATTTGAACACTGCTGTTTTAGACTATGGAGTCCCGGCTCTGGAAGGGCTGCAGTAAGCAGTGCGTGAGACACGATGGTCAAGAGGAAACGAAACTTCATGATGCCTGAGATGATAATGATTTGCGATGCCTTTGAGACAAACTCACGGAAAATAACCCCAGTCTTATAAGAGCCAAAGATTTCAAATGCTGTAGTGCCAGGAAAAGCGAAAAAGACTTGTGCATTCTGTACAAAGTAAAAAAGGAATGTTCACGGACTTTGGCAAATTCCAGGAGGTTTTTCTTGGCATTTAACAGACAGGTTGAATATTTGATGGCTTATTAGGGAGATGGCATGATAAAAGCGCCACAGTCCATTCTTTATAGAGTTAAATATTAGCAAGGGCATCATTAGCGATTATGAAAAATGGATTCTTTACGATTGTTTACACACAAATGTTCAATGATTTTGCTAGGTCTATGTAGCCTCCGATACTGTGAATGAAAAAATAGATGTCGCCAAATGCCATAATAACTCATTAGTATAATACAGTAAGAGCAAGGAAGTCCGCAGGTGGGAGTTTATGAGGCGACGAATTGGACCTTGGAATATCAATACCAATTCGTCTTAGTTACAAGGATATGTTTGAGTCAATGTTGCGTTTCTCATATGCTTTTAGTGTTATCGACCATCTAACCTCGGTGCGCGGCTAGATTCACCCCCTCTAATCTAGAAGTCTAAGTGCGATGGCGCCGTGATTTCAGTAACCCCTTGTATGGAGCAGGAGGTAAATTTTAGCATATTTTCTCCTTTCTCGGCCCTCATGATTAGTTGGGTAGAGTGTGACGAGCTTATTTAATGTTATCTACGATATTTGCCGGCCTTTTTCCCCCTTCATACTAGCCACATAACTCAAATTGGGTCGAAGGCCTAGACCCAAAACCGAGCCCGGCCCCAATGTTTGGGCCCAAATGTAACCCGTTCAAGACCCAACTTACATAATTTTAATCATAGAACGAATAATATGTTGTATTTTCCATCTGTACCTGAGAATGTTCGCGCGCACCTCGTTGCCAAGGAGAACCACCGACTTGACAAAAAAAGAAACTCGAGGAGCACTACAATGGGTTCAATGTGCCCTCCAATCAATATCACTATCCTGCCGGCAGGATCATCTCAGCAGTCGATACATCCTCCTGCTAATGATGCCGTGCCTACCGGACCCGCCTGTACTTAATCAATCATGTTTCACGGCCTACTAGATAACGTAATTCCCGGTCGAGCTGGCCACCCCATCCAAGATCGCGTACTCACTGCCTTGGCCTGGGTACTAGGCACTGGAAACTCTCGGGCGTGGAGTATCTCGACCACTCCCTCCGGAACTCGGAGTCTGACTGAGTCGTGTATGGGTGCTCCGAATGCCGGCTCTGGTGCCGAAAGCCAGAACCAAATATTGTCGTGGAGATCATCTCTCCGCAACTTTCGCCCTCCAACACGGATCGTGATACAACCATGTCCGGTCTTCCCCTCAATTTTCATCCCCCGTGGGGACTGGCAACAGCCCCAGGAGTATGGAAGTGGAGATTGCGGGGAAGCATGAACCACACCCAGTCCGCAATCAGAATTTCTTCCATCGCGCCATCACAATACCAAATTTACCATGGGACAGTGGATCAATATCGGCGGGAGCAGCCAGAGGAGATGAATGCTCATCGCTCCATCTGCCAAATTATAAAAAAGTGCCATCTGTTGAGATACCGATGCCCTATACTCCATGCCGTTAAGAAAGTGCTCGGAGTGCTTCATTTTGACTCTGCCATTGTCTTGCAGAAGGAAGACAGATCAATCAAGTATGGCTCCTTCTATTGCTTCAGCTTCTCTCCTTGGCATCGCCGGGGTCGCCACCGTGAGCGCCTCTCCCTAGCCTCTGGTTGTCTCATCACCCGCAAAGGTACCAACTGGTGCTTCTTGGAGTCTGCCTCATGATTTTGCGTCTATTCTCCTTCCCGGCTCACTTCGTCAATGACTACGCTGGTCCGTCTTCACGGAGACGTCATATCAATTACCCTAAAGGCAAGCAAAGCTGATTTTCACTCCGCAAGCAACGCTACACACCCTAATCTCTGTTCTCGGGACATCTTCGACCTTCTCTATTCCAAGACCGGGGCTCACCCTTTCATCCGCGTGGGTGGTACACCAACGTGGGTCGGTCTCCATGTCCCATTCCCCGCATGTAGTTTTCTCCTCTATGTTTTCTTCTCTATTTGGTTGTGCCTGGAATTTCCACCCCCTACTTTCCCTTGCCTGGACCGATATCCATTAACTGGGCCGCTTTTTCGCCGAGACCGCAACTACAGTGACCGGGCTTGGTACAATGCTTCTCAAGAAATCGACTCGTACAATTGGTACAACAAATCATCACCGACGGATGCTTCTGGCATCGCGGACCGGGTCTACATCGGGCCCGCCTTCTTTGAGGGCTTCGCAAATTTTCCAGGAACGCACTGGTCCTGGCAGATCAACGTGGGCTCGGACAACAGTATTTTAAAAAGTTAAATCATTAAATTTATACGTCCGAAATAGGAAAGGCCGAGAGAAATGATGTATTCTGAGGGTCGATGAGGGTCGACACGGGTGACCTCAAGGGACCCTCAGAGGGTCAGGGTCGGTGAGATTGGACCCTGACCCTCTGAGGTGCGGGTGGAGGTTCCTGATCTTGGACCCGCGGGGCGGGTGAGTGCCAGGTCTAAGTGTGACGTTCGAGCAGTAGAGACGAGGCCACACTTTCATTCATGGGCCAGCAGACACGAAGTCCCTATACGATGATACTATATCCAGGTATCCGCTATAACTATAGGAGCAAAAGCAAAGCTTGCTAATCTATATCGGAGAACAGTGGTCATCCAAGAGTTGTGTGAATTCATCCCAGAGAATTTCCTCATAGACGGTGGTGATACCTCTCTGGTCATGGAACCCTCGCATGTTATCGACATTGTTCAAGAGTACGCGCGAATGCTTGAAAAACGTAAAGTTTTATAGCAAGCCGAGATACAATTTTTACAGCAACGTGCCGACGCCCAGTCAATAGCTGTATGTACATGCACATATTAGCCGCATGATTTATTGACCCCTTTTAGCTAACTGGATTAATATATTACTAGGTTTCGAACATGATAGCACAGGAACAAGTAACTATGAGCACTAATATTGCGAGTGCCGGGCTACGGGATTCACTATCATTGAAAACCCTATCACTAGTTACTATGTTCTTTCTACCAGGGACATTCCTGGCCTCACTATTCAGCGTGCCTCTTCTAGACTGGACAAGCTCTGGTTCCGGAACAGATGGAAACGTTGTGAACCCTCTATTTTGGATATACTGGGCGTTTTCTATTCCTCTTACATTGGTAACACTTGAGACTTGGAGAATGTCGACGTTTCTGCTTGAAAGGAAAGCAGAAAAGATGACGGAGAAAAGTGAACAAGCTATAGTCACATGAAAAGGGAAAATGACTGCGTCTTCGTATCTCCCGACGAATAATTATAACGGGCAAATACTTAGTTCGGACTTGCTTGATAACTTGTCCAGTGCGAGGAATTAAGGTGGGAAAGGTTCTAATGACACAAATCTTTGAATATAATGAGCTGTATACCTGTAGGGGAAATGCTCCATGACATAGAGGGAGCCAATCAATCAAGGCGGACCCGGGACTCGCATCTCTGAGATACCCCGTGGTATCCAAAATCGCACCATACAAAAGTCCTCACGTCGGCGATGGCTGCTCTGATGCGTGATGGAAGCCAAGGAGGATGGCTGGACCTGGCAGCCATTCTCTTGTGGTGAGCGTCATCAGGATCCCACTCCTACTGCCTTGGGGTAAAATGCTCGTTTACAGAAGGAGCCAAGCCCGGGGGTCTGGATCCGAAGGGTGACCAAAAAGCCTTGTATTGGTTATAGGGGTCTATTTAGCTACGAGGGATATGAGGTAACCTTAGGAGGTATACCTACCTAAGCTAAGGATAATATCAGGGTATTCACGTGAAGCGCTTCTAATTAAGGATATAAATATGTAAGGGCCTAAGAGATATTATCCAAATATCGAATATACCATTTGTAGTCCGCGTGTGGTGTTCTTAATTAGAACTAATGTGTAGTGTCAGGCGTTTTCTCGTAGTACGGTTAACCCCATAGTTCTAGGAGTTGGATATCGTAAAGATCTCGAAGATGCATTGTGCCACTCTGATCAAGATAGATGTATGGAAACGATAGCTCTGTTCGTTCTTCATAAACGACTATTCTCCAGGATTAAACGCCACCAGGCACCTCGACGGGCTCATTAAAAACCAGAAGAACAAAACAGAAGCATCCAAAGTATGGCCAATCTCCCATAACAGAGAAACATGTAGATTAATCAGATCAGCATTTTATTGCAGCAACCATTCCAGTGGATGATAGGGTATGTTCAAAAGCAAAACAGCACGCACGTAAATGCATCATATCAGAAAGGAAACGACATAGAATCTACATGACCGCTGCAGCTAGCAGGAACGGTACAACTGCCATCCACATCCGCCGTGGAGGCTTCAACGTAGCCGCGCCGGAGGTACCCGAGGTCGTGTACACATACTGGAAGCTGATATCGCTAGAGTTGAAGCAGTTATCAGTCGTAACTTCGGCAATCTTAGAGTCACCGTTATCAGCGAAGATAATGTCGACACACTGCACGTGTTGATATTAGTACAAATAGACAAGGAAACAAGAAAGTCTTGAAAGCCAGGAACATACGTTAAATAGCGCTGCACCGTGCTTCGCAACCTCCACCACTTGAATCGTAGCGTAGTCACCGGCCTTAACACTAATGTTCGCAGGCAGAGGCACTTGAGGCAGACAGATAGTTCCGGGGTAGGGATTATTCGAGGGACCGGTGATCTGGAAGGCCGACACGACCGGATGGCTCATATTCTCGGGAACCTCGCCGAGACCGATGTTGATATACATCAAGGCCGTCGCATGGCCTGGGAACCAGCCAGGCTGCATAGCGAGGGCACCGCCGCCGACGGGCCAGTAAGTGCGGTTCGTAGAGGTTGGCATGCCACCACCTGAAGAGCGGGGGGAGTTGAAAGTTAGTTATCGCTTCGCGTCTGGGGTCGAGTCTCGGTCGTTGTGGGAGATGACTTACATGGATAAATCCACTGCATGCCGTAAGGATAGTAAAGGGAGTCATTTTTTGAGTTGTAGGCGACACCGAGACCGTTTGCGTCGGCGATGGTACCGTTGGTCTGTAGGTTATTCCCTCGGTAGCCTGGGTAGGTGATGACAGTGTGGGCGCGGGCGAGTGCTGTCCACAGCAGGACGACCAGAGCAGCCCATCGCGATGATAATTGTTGCAAAGCCATTTTGAGATGTGAATTGTCGATTCAGGTACGCAGCCAGTTTCAGCAGGTTGCACGTCGTCGACACAAAAAATCGGGAGCAGGAAAAAAAAGCGCGGCCTCTCCAAGTCGCAGGTAATGGTGACGCTCAGCGTCGCTCAGCTCTCGATCCTAATTGTAGTATACAAGACAAGACAAAATCGATGGAGCATGGAATTCAATCCAGCGCAGCTGTAGAAGCAGCTCGACCAAGACACAAGCCACGGAGAGCGGTCGAGGGCTGATCGGGCTCTTTTTGAGGGGGCAATCGACCATAAGGTGCGGTGCCGGCCATGGCTGCGCGGACGAGTCAGGATGCAGGACTTGGATGTGACAGCGACTGCAGCATGCACGGCGTATGAGTGGACGAGAGGGGTAATGCGGAGCACCACCGGACAAGGATATTGGGGATCATCACGCTCTTCTGCAAGTGCCATCACCAGGTTCAGGGATGTGATTGGTGGGGCGCCCAGAGCTGGAAGCGCCGAGGGGGGACGCTAATGGTGCAGTCTTGAGGGGAAGGGGGTGGTCTTCAGCGCTTACACTAGTAGTGAGAGTTGTTGGTGGTAGTTTCTATGCGATGGAGAAGGAGTAACCGAGTTGAGTGTAGACATGCTGGTGATGAAGTGGAGAGATCATCAAGGATAATAAGTACGAAGACGTCAAAATACACGCAATCTATGATAGTCAGTCGCTTGAACATAGAGGAGGCCTTAGGCCAAGGATTCGATCATTGGCTCGCCTTTTCTAACATAGTGCCTAGACAGTAGCACGAACTATATTTGCTAATAAGAAGAGCGAATCAATGGTCACATTAACGACGGAGCAGTTCATTTCTATACAATTTCCAAGGTGCCGACCGTGAAGCCCCGATGATTTGCATTCCTAGAATCCCGTACTTAACAACACTCTTACTCTCAACGAGTCCTCAAACAAACCACACATAAACTATCATCTTCATCTCATTGTCCTTTCAAAGACTATCCGTCCTCCTATCACATCACTATGCTAGAACTACAGTACCTTTGCTTATTCTCCGAAAGTCAACAAAAGCTGACTAAGATGAGTCTATCAATAAACCGATCAACAGATAAGATAAGCAACTATCGATAAAGGATAACCCAATCAACAATCGATAAGCCCTCGAAAAAAAGAACTCCCCCACCATCCAACAACCCCAATCTACCTCCCCACCTATCCTTCTCCCATCTATACACATATTACCTATATACATATATATACAAAAGGCCCCCTCGAAACCATGCCCCACACATCCCACAAAAAGCGCACCGCAATCACAACCCAAAAACGCCTCCAAGTCACCGACGACGACGGCTGGACACACGTCACCTCGACCAGCAACGTCCGCCGCGTCCTCCGCCGGACACGAACGGGGAACAAGGAGCAGAACTCTGATTCCCAGACTCAAGGACAAGCCCCAGCACAGGATGATTCCGAAACCAATATAAAGGGCGAAGTCGAGCTCGTTCTCGGCCCCGCAGAAGCACCGGGGCGATTAACCCTCGAAGAACTGCAGACGCAGTATCAAGGGTATCGCGAGCGGTGGGGAAGCTCGGAGACGTGGAAACGACTAGAGGCACAGTTGGGAGAACGATTTACAGGGTGTGCGGGTCCTATTTCTGGCACTGGATTTGAATCTACACAGAAGAAGGGACCTGTGGACGCGGTTGTATGCGTTGGACTCGGGAGTCCGAGTGGGTTTTTGCGTGGAGGGTGGGTTGATCGACGGAGTGTATCGATGTATCAACTCGCGGCGTTGGAAAGTATTGCGCAGAGAGTATCTAGTTTGTTTTTCCCACTTTTCCCTCTCCTTTTCAGCCCCTAACATCCCCACCCCAGACACATCAACAAAAATCCCCATCTACGCCCAAGACCCCGTCTTCAACACCCTCGACAAATCCCTCCTCTCGTCCCTAAACATAACTGTAATCACCCACCCAGCAGCCTTCACCCTAATCACACCGCAAACGCTCCTCTTCTGCCCCGGCGCCGAACGCAAACACCTCGAACAATTACTGCCCTTTGATCCTTATATGGTGTTTGGCGGGCCGTTGGAGGATACCGAGTCTGATATTATTCAGGAGTTTGCGGGGAGGGTGGGTTCGGTGGTTTTGGTGCCGTTTGAGGGGTGTGAGCATGCGTTTTGGAAGACGCGGCTTTATTATCGGGAGGAGGGAGAGGGGGGTGTTAGTAGAGAGGTTTGATTGTGAGGGGACGAAGAGCGAGGACTTATAGACAGTGGAAGGGGGTTTCTTGCTCTTGGCTACGACTATTGGGAGGTCGGCATTGCATTTTGTGGAGTTAGGAGTCAGACATTGGATTAGGTTGACAGAGTGGAGCATGTATCTAAAACATACTTGGATGAATCAACCCATCTATCCCATCCTACCTGGTTAGACTGGATGGGTTAGGTAACAAGCCACCTCAAGTTTACTAATCCGCCAGTACATAGAGGATATCAGGCTAGAAGGGATTTCACTACGTATATCCAGCATCCAAAAACAACCCAGAACAAAGCCAGGCGTAGTCAACATTAACGGCCCATATGTACATCTCAAACCTAACAAACGCAACAACACAAACCAATCTCGGACAACCCATAGACCATCACCAAAAACAATGTCCAATTCAAAGAGCACCCAGGGTAGAGGATGAGAGCGAAAAAGAGAATACGAGATCATGTACCAAGAAAGCGCAATGGATGGCGCAGCAAAACGCCCAACAGAAACGGGAACAATGAAGGTCGAAGATGCCATGCTGAGTACGAAATACCCTCAAAGGCACGAAAGACATGAAAGCCTCAGTCGTGAACAAGTATGACTGGAGGAGATGGATGGAGTGATAGGAGTAGAGGGAACGACAAGGGACGCGGGCGAAGGAGGGACGAAAAGGGTCGTTATGATAGGAGGCGCGGAATGGAGCAAGAGGCAGAAGGATAGAGGTGAATAGAAGGCAAATATACAGACGGATGTAGTAGAATGAGAGGTGATTTTCATGATCATGATCCCGTTAAAAAATGACAGACACAAGAGACCTAAGAGGCAGTCTTGCCTCCGCAGTCAGGAATCTTGAGACCTGACTTGATCTTTCGAGCCGAGTCCATGAGTCCCCACTTGTCTTCCCATTCTTTGCCGGGGGTATTGTATTGGATCTTCCAGGGCTCATCAAAGGCCTCGAACCTTGGGATGAGGTGTTAGCAATAGGAACGAAAGCAAGAAGGGTGGTGTGCAGCTTACCAGAAATAGTCCGTGCCATTCTCCAGAGCCTGGCAAACCCAGTCGGACATGAAGGTATTCATGTTATCGACACTCGCGACAGAGCCCGGGGTATCAGAGTCGCAGGTCGGACTAGACCCACAGTCCTTACCACCTCCGCTGGGCCAGCCTACCTCGGAGATGACTTGTTTCTTGGTCGTCCCCTTGGTTAAGACGACATCGTGTTGTTGCCAAAAGTCCCAGGTCCAGGCCGCAGCGACGTCGACGTTGACACCGGCGAAGAACGGGTGAACGTTAGACATGACCACGTCAACGGCGTCGACCAGCTCGGCATTCCAGTTATCGCCGAGGTCGGAGGTGGCCACGGCCATGTCATTCAGATTGCGCTTCTTCAGTTGAGTGGCTACGCCTTTGATGTAGCTGATCAGGTTCGTTTCTGCGGACTGTACATCGCTACCGGCGCGGTACAACGCTTCGTTACCAACAATGACGCCTTTGAAAATGGATGGATCCTTGGTATCGTCCAGGATCTTGTATAGCTGGTCGAGTTGACGGGTCGTGGTGGTCGTGTTGGTGTCGATCCAGACACCAAGCCAAACCTTCATATCCGTCAATCCAAGTTGGCTGATCGCATGCAGAGTCATCTCAGTCTGGTTGCAGTCCGTTCCGTAAAGACGGACGGTGTTGGTGAGTTGGGAGAGCACGGCCAAGTCGCGAGTGACGTTGTTCTGCGAGGGAGGATACTTCAAGCACAGCGGGTACTGAACACCCCACGGCGTGTAATCTATACCGGGGAAGACCTTGTGCAAGTTGTCGTTGTTCATTAGTGCCTTGATCTCAGCGGAATCCTTGTTAAGATCTCCATTCTGTGCCGTATCACTGGTCGCAGAACTATCACTGGACGATGACGATGATGATCCATCACTGTGCTTCTGCCCCAACGTTCCACCCAGAGCACCACCGATGATCGCACCGAGGACGATCAGACCAAGGACAAGACCCGCGATCAACCCACGCTTCTTCCGAGCAGCCATGCCACCACCCATCGCGGCCTTTTCCTGTGCCGCGGCACTTCGACCCCCAGCTTCCAGACCGCCGCCAGGCACGGGTCCATACTGTGGATTTGCATTTCCGCCGCGACTAAACAATCCACCGAGAACACCTCCCGTGGCCGCTCCAGCTGCAGCGCCCGCAGCTGGCGCAGCTCCATTCCTCGACTGAGGGATAAACTCATCATCGCCGTCGTCAGCGATTTCGTCTGGGTTGATATCAGCAGGTACATGGCCAGTACTGTACTGCGACTGTCGCTGATACGGCCCATCGCTTACGATCCCACCATTGTAAGAAGCAGGATACTGGTCCAACATGCTGCGCCGATGGGAACTCGCATCGCTCAGGTGTATCGACGACTGTCCCGGTGTCTGCAAGCCCGGCGAATATCCCCCAGCACCGAGCGGCATGTTCGAAGCATACGACTGCTCTGGTCGCAGGGACTCGGAACTGGTCAAGCCGGGGGTATATGAGGGAATATAAGGGTTGTCCGAGCCGGTAGTGTGATAACCGCGCTCGGCAGGACCGGAGAAGCCATCGTGGTGATCCATGCCGCGGACTGCGTCGACGCCGCTGAGGCGATCGTGGCTATTGGCGACTCCGAGGGCGATTCCGCTAATGCCACCGCCGACTGAGGAAGGGCCGAGATTGTCGACGCCGGGGGTGACGGAAGAATTGTTTCGGAGAGATGGCGTGTAGCGATGGGGCGGCGGTGCGGGGATGTCGTTGTCGTCGTGGTTCATTTGAGGGTCAACAAAGCCCGGCTAACCCCGGACGGGAGGGGAGGAAGATCAGGGTTTAAGGGTCTCTGCGGGACGCGAGGGTTGTAATGGGGATGTTTGGGGTGGGGGGAAGGGAGTATCTTTGTCGACGATCTTTTGTCGCGAGGAATTTGGCGGAAGAAGGGAGAGGACGAGAAGGAGAGAGGAAGAAGTGTGAGATGGCAGGAATAATTATTAACGAGCAAGCATTGCAGTGCTAAGATCCACGGTTCCCGAGATTGAGAGGGGAGCGGGACGGGTGAGAGGCTTGGGATACGCGGGCGCAGTTTGTGTGTTAGTTAAATCAGGCCGATTGGATCAAAGGGAAACGAGATGAGGCTCGTGTTTGTGGAAGAAAGGATGAGAAGGAGAAAAAAGAAAGCACTGCTAAGTTTGAGACCAGAGGCGTTAGGCGAGCCGAAAGTTTGGAGGCTGCTGATGGCGGATGACGGGAGCAGTCAACAAGCAAGTGAAGCGTGGCCGGGACAACCGCTTGGGGAAGTGGATCATCGGGTATAGTAGTGTACAGTACTATACTCGAGAAGATGGAGGTGATTACTAAGTCTAGTATTCTCAGATATAATAGATAATAGGCGATTGAACACTACAGATCTTTTAGAATATCTAATATTTAATACTCCATGAAATATATTGTTCTTCTCGATTCCCTCTGTTCTCGGAAGGGTCCTGTCAAAGTGGGGAATCAAGTGGAGTCCGTCCCTGAGTCCCTGCTTATGTAAGTACTATTTTTGGCTGAGAATGTCCCGTGGTCTGGTCTCAGTAGGAGTATAGTAGTGATACTTAACATGAGACATTTGAAGAAGCATTCACTTACTTAATACCAAGCATCCCTGGTCAAAGCTCAAAGGCCAAGCTCATCGCAGTATTGTATTCGAGAACATCACGATAGAAGCCATAACTGTAAAACACCCGGGACTCGTAAGCCCAAGTCATCCAAATAAATCAGATCCAGGTCGTAAATCCATTCCCGGTTGTCCTTCCTTTTTGTTTTTTGGGTATGTTTGTCGATCCCCTTCATACATGGCCGAAAACAAACATATCGATCATCAAGTCCAAGAACGAATCCACCAACTAACACAAAACAATAAAAAAGAAGAAACCATCAAATTGCAAATACCAAACAGACAAGAATCGCTCACGTAAACAAGTCATCCCGTCATAAGTTCAAAGTATCGTCCCTCATCATCATGATCATAATCATCCAGCATCTACCCATATAGACACTCCAGAAAATAAACCATCACCCTCACCAAGTTAATCCTCAACCCTCCACCTCCTCCGCACTCCTCTGCGCCGCACTCGGCCGCCCCTCCATCTCCAACCTCCGTTCCCCACGCTCCAAGAACCTCCTCTTCCCCCTACGAGTATCAAAATGCTCCGGAATCTCGGTCGCATCCTGACCCGCAGCCAGCATGCTACTACGCATTTTATTCCGGTAGGCATCCACTAGATCGTTGTCGCATACGTTAGCGGGGATGAGTCGGGAATCTTCGCATTCGCAAATGTGAGACAAAGTCTCAGCCGCGTTCGGCACGTGGGGGGAGGTCAATGCGCGGTCCTTGCTCCTTGCAAATATGACATGACATGACAGCACACCCCATGACGAACACGGGGGAATGGATACGAGAGCTAATACTAGCTCCAGGGACGAACAAGGGGGTGGTACTTACGTGATCGCTGCAAAAATAGCATCCTTCCAGCAAACACCCGGCTCTGGCTCCAACTTAGTCGGTATCCGAGGTCATTCAGCAAGACTTCGTTATGGTGTTTACGGCGCGAGAGCTGGGGAACGTCGATCTCGCGCTCACCATCGAGTGAAGGTGCCAGAACACTCGTTCGACCGACCGTGGCGTCGGAATCATCCGTGTGCTCGGTATCATCACGGAAGAAGCGCTTATTCGGGACGCTCGTGCCGGGCGCATCTTTCATCTGCACGGGGAAATAGGTCCGCGGGTAGACCGCGTTGGACATGCGATATGAATCCGGGATCTCGTCCATGTTGACTTTATCCAGTTGGACCTTGACGCGGACGCGGGCTCCGCGCTGCGGATCCTCGACTAGGATAAAAGTGCGCCGTTTGCCGTCGGGGAGTTGGCCGAAGAGGTCTTCATTGCTGGGGCTGACGTCGACCTCTTCGATCTCGCCGCTCGTGCTGTTCATGTGGCTGGATGATGTTGCGATTGTGTGGTGGCGACTGAGTGCGCTGAGGCTGGTATCGCGGAGCAGGGGTGGCATGGATGGACCGATGCTGGCGGAGGTAGGGATCGTAGTCGCATCGTGGAAGGCTTGGGCGGATCGAATGTCGCTGGCGAGTGGTGCGGGTGGTAGACGCTTCGAGTCAATGGGACGCGGGGGTGCATTGGTGTAGTCTGTGGTGCCTATTGGGTAGAACGATGAAAGCAGGGGAAGAAATTAGCCTACGCTTGAAAGTTGCATGTTGTGGAGGGTGGTGGGCCTCTCCGATTCCGACAAGAAATGAAAAGCATGAAGAGGCGCGCGGCGGCATCGATGATAGACAGAGCAGCATAGGGTATGAAATAAAAGAAGCAGAGAAGCCAAAGAGAAGAGAAGAGAAATAACAAGGCTGAGAAGCCGAAGCCAGAGCCAACAGAAGAAGAAAGACCGAATCCAAAACCAAGAGCCTGATAATAGAGCGTACACCCGTGCAACAACGTCTCATACAGAAAGCCATCAACATCGTCGACATACACCACACGGCAGAACTCCTCACGTGTACACATATATCCAAAACACACGAGAGAAAGAAAAGAAAAGACAACCGCATTCAACACATATCCCAGTCCATCAAGATTCCCAACAGGTATAGAACAGAAGACAATAAGAAAAAGAAATACAAAAGCCATAGAAAAAAAGACTCCGCCGCGCGCGTTGCACCAAGGAGAAAGAAAATTGACAGAAAAATCAAAACAGATCACATGTGTGGAAACATACCGCTAACTTCCTCAATCTTAGGGCTACCATCCGGTTGAGCGTGATGATGATGCAACTGCGGCGGTCCCATCGACATAGGGCCCGGATGAGATATACTATGCCGCTGACCCTGAGGCCCAGCCATCGTCGGGGTGCTAGCCAAGCTGGGACCCATGGGATTCGAAGCTGGCATATGAGGTGTCGGCGGAACCAGCGACTGCTTGCGATAATTGACCTTGGCCTGGCGGCGGACACGTCTACTGCGCAGCCGCGGGTCCTGGTTGCTGTTTCGCCAGCTATCGACGGCACGCTGGATGAGTCCGCGTTTCCCGCGAAGAGACGGGTTCAGTTCGGCGAGGGCCCAGCCTACGGTGTTGCACTCAGTCTCGTAGACGAGCCGGTTCCCACGGTATTGGTCTTTGTTACAGCAGGCACGGGGGTAGACGCAGTTCTCCGTTTTAAAGTCTTGGCTGAGATTGTCCACGTTGACGGACTCGACGTCGCAGCGGATCGTGTACTCCATCTTGACGCGGTCCCGCGAGTACTCGAAGGCAATCCATTGCACTCCGTTGCTATCCTGTCGCACCACTAGTGGCGTGGTGGCTGGGATAGGGCCTGGGGCGGCACTCGAGCTCGTTCCCAAGGGAGACGTTTGATGAATGCCGCCTGCTTGTAGACCAGTGTTGGAGGGTGATGGGAGTGGTGGGTTCAGCATTGGTCGTTGGGCTGATGCAGACTGGGGGGTCGGATCCATTTTCATGACCGGGCTGCTGGATAGCGCGGAGTTGGAGGCGTGTGATGGTTGGTGCGGCGACATCTGTGCCGTCGTCGTCTGAGGGGGCATCATCATAGATTGTGAGGTGAGGGTGTGTTGTTGAGGGGAAGGATGCGCTGCATAAGGCGACGGTTGCACCGGGTTCATCGGCGAATATGGTTGATAGCCGTACATCTGGGGCGGCATCTGGGGGGACTGGGTGTACATGTTGCGACCATGCTGATCATGCGGCTGCGAAGCTACAGATGCTGGCGAGTTCGATTGAGGGGTGTGGTAGATTGGGGGGTAAGAAGGTCTCTGCATTTGAGCGGTGGTTGCCATGAGGTCTGGTGGTCCTATCGGTTTTATGCATTAGTTGGATGTTCGGCTGTCGCGAGTCCATGGGCCGGTTCCAACGCAAGAATATCAAATATTCAAAATATCATATTCAAGACATGCAGCATGCAACTGCACTAGCATGGTCTTTGAATTATGCAAAAGAACGCAGCCGGACAAACACAGAAAGGCCCTTGGCTTACCGCTTGAGGGATATGGGTTCGAAGCTGGGGCGGTTGTATATGACGTCGGGTGGGTGGTATAATAAGGTGGCTCTTGCGACGGTGCTCCGTACGCGCTATGAGACTGTAGAACGCCGTTTCCAAGTTGATGATGTGAAGGGTATGTCGAGGATGGAATAGAGGTGGTAGACTGGGCTGGAGAGATAGGGCTTTGTTTCCCAAGAGGCGCAAGACCTAATCGAGGCTGCTGGAGAGATTGCAAATGGTGTGGGCTCGGACGCGCCGAACTGCCGTGTCGAAACTGTTACAAGGAGAGCGCATATCAGTATGACTGGAGACTTTCGTCCAAGTGTTCGCGAGAGGTGGTACAACCAACTCAGAACGTGGGCAGAGAAGGAAAGTGAAATGGAGGGGAACAGGGAACTTGAGAACACAGGATCTTCCAAGTGACGACATTAAACACGGGGATTTTGAATACTCCCAAAGCTTTTCAGAGAGGCTCCTCAGCTCGGGATGAGTATGTAGTGAGAGGGTAAGAATGGGGGTAGGGTTGCCACCGAGGAAGCCTCGAACAGGGATGGGCTTAGGTGCGTGACCAACGGTCCAGGATCATGACCAGGATGAGCTAGTCAGGGCCCAAATAGAATCCACCTTTGTATCACTGCATGGGGCGCGACACTGCGAGTGGTTCACTTTTGTTCCGAAGGGGCCAAGCACTCCAGCCTGATGGTTTGGTCCTGAAATGGCACTTGGTACACAGGCTTTGAAGACAGGAGCTCTCATCGTGCAGGTGTTCTTTTCTGGTATCCCGTTCCCCGTTTCATGCTGATTCTGCGACGAAAAAACAGACTTTGCCGGGTTTAGACACTCCGGGTGGGCTTTTCAGGGCGCGTTTCGAATTGGATCGGACTAGATGCGTGGACAATAGCATGCGGCGCATCGAGGAATTTCCAGGCTCATGGCGGTTATCGATTCCCGCATAGCAGAACAAAAACACCTCGTCTCAATTGGCCGATCAAGGGCGCTTTGCCTTCGTTTAGGCGGGCGTTTTTGGTCATTGTCCAGCGCAAAGGATGGATTGTGTATCTGGTGTCTCGAGTGGTGTATTCACAGGGCAGAAAAAGGGCAGTCCACGCCACAAATATGAGATCCTCCCACGGATATAAGAAAAGAAAATGCAATGAAAGGGAAATCCAAGAACGGATCGGAATGATATTGTAGTAGGAAGATCTTGCAACTCAATCTATGATGCGGGTGCTCGCAGGGTAAAAAAAGAGAAAGTCGAGGGTCAAGGACGAGAATTGGAGAAGAACATCACGAATCCAAGGTAATGTCATAGGGCAAAGAATGATGATAGAAAAAGGATAGCACAAAGGAATTGATCGAGTACTCACTGAATCATCAACTGGCTCTTCCTTGTATTTTGACACCGCAAGAGGACCAAGGTCAGTCTGTACCATGCCGGTCACAAGAAAGGCCTCCGTCGTAGTCTGGGACAGAATCTCCAGCTTTGATGCAGAATGGAAGGATGGGGAGGACAAGGACAATAACCAGGGGGGAAGAAGGACAAGAAAAATAGAAAAGAACTAGGATTCAAGGCCGAGAAGTTGGCGCACTCCGAAGGGGGAGGAGAGATGAGACGTCGGAAGAACCCCAAGTGTACCAGGTGCAGTCCGGTACGATTAGATAGAAATAAGGTACCGGGAAGGTCGAGGTCAAAGGGGACACGGGTCTAGTACTCGGTCCAGTCGGTTTAGTCGGTCTAGTCCTGTAGGTCCAGGTAAGGTATAATAAAGTGTAAACCAAAAAAAAAAGAATAATCGGGATAAGGTCGAAGTCAAGAGATGATCCCGAGAGAAACTAGCTGCGCGACACAAGAGGCTGTGAAGTGGTGGACTGGGATGGATTGAATGGCGTGGAGGGGTTGGTTGCGACTGGGGTTTGGGGAGGCACGATGGAGGGTCGATGCGTGGTGAAGGCAAGTGGAGGGTCCAGGGTCATGATCGATTATTTAGCTGCGTTGAGACCCATGCCCGTTATATTTCAAGCAGATTTGCTAAATTAAACGATGAGCAAGTTGTCCGTAGGATCGGCCGGGAGAACGGACAAGGGAAAAATAAGGAAAATGGAGGAGAATAAAATAGAATATGGATTCTACATAAAGAAGACTAGAAACGAGAAAAGAAAAATCATAATCTCGAGAATTAAAAAAAAGATATTAAAAAATAATCAAAGAAGATAGAGGAGGGGGAATTCAAAAAATTAAATTCCCCCAAGAAATTACCGATGGGGAATAGTCACCAAGAACCGAAAAAGGCCATGATTTTTGTAAAAAGAAAAATGATAAAAATGATAAAACCAACGCCCAAAAAAGGTTATGGAGGGAACAGACCCAGAACGAGTATACTACTACTATAGCCGTACAATAACTCGAAACCCCAGAGAAGCGCCTACGGAGGAGAGACCACTGACCAACGGATCTGAAGGTATCAGGATGGGCTGGTCGCTAGCGGAAGAGTAGTGTAATATTGACCAGGATGAGTGCAGGACGCAGGGAGATTACAGTCGCCAGTGACTCGTCCGGTAAACATCCGAGCCTCAAGTGGAGAGAGAGGAAGTTAACAGTTGCCTAGCCGAGCTGGAGGGGATCAGTCGCGGAAGAACGGGTTTATGGAACTGGACAGGTGGAAAATATAAAGGTACAACTACAAGACCAGAAAAAGAGCATGTATATGACAGTCGAGCTATGGACGACAGGTTGGACGACAGGGAGGAAAAATAATGATGATGTGCAGGATGCAGGACGGCGTGTGGCAGTAAGAACGGAGTGCCAAGTGGGACACTTGAAAGGCAATCGAGAAAGGACCAGAAACCCAAACCGAAAAGAAAAAAAAAATCAAAAATCATCAAAAAAGCCACTGCTTAGCCTCTTAGACTCAACCAGTGGAGACTGGGGGAAAGGACCCCCCTCCATCTTCCTTAGTACCGAGGGGGAAATCAAGAGATGGAGGTCATCGCTGGATAAACCTAGACCACAAAGTACAGTATGGTGGTTGGATCCGCACTAACTACACAATAGTATGGTTGATTCTACTTTCTCGAAACGTGCTAATAACGATGCCTACGACAGCACTCGAAAAAGTCTCCGCTAGAAACAGACTAAAGTCGGTAAGTTATCGGACCGCATTCTTTGTCTCGTTGCTGTAGATCTATACTCGGTTGGTTCCAACGGCGGAAGGGCAAAGCATGGCGACAGGATCCAAAGGAACGAACCAACCATCGCACACTCCCCCCACCCAGATTCGGTCCGGATAGTACAACTGTATATACCTGGAATGACGGCAAGAACCGTTCTTCGGAGGCTACGGAGGGACCGTGATACGTCCAGGAAAACAAAGGCAGAGCGCCCGCGTTAGCCTTGACGTTGGGTCCCCCCCTCTCCGGAATTAGGATTGGTGCAAGCGGGCGCAGCAAGTCCACGAAGGACAAGCAGGACGGGCAAGAATAGGCAACACAAAGAAAGTGACGTACCCGAGGGAATTGAAATTGGATTGGACTGGATGTTCCGGCAGGATTCACCTGGAATTGGGAGAGGCACTATACTGTATAGAGGAAAGTGCCAATAGTAGCAATAAAAATGTAATGATCCTCTAGAGTTTCATTCTCAACAAGAACCAACATGAGAGTTAAATTAAGCAGGAGACTCGAAAAGAAGGTTTACACTTTTTTCTTACGCTCGTCCGATCTCATTACTGATTATTTCTTTTACTTTTTGGTCTTTGGAGCCCAACTCTCCGTCCAGACCCGATCGTCAATTGGGCGGGGGCAGCAAGACAGAATGTTTGTGCCCACAACGCGAGGTATATACTTTGATCGGTTCTTGGCGACATATCTTCAGTATGCTTCTTGAAAGGTTGAAAAAAATTACAACAGGTCGGATTATTAAACAGGATCTCCGGTCACTAATTCCAAGAATAACAATCGTTTCCTCCGGGTCGACAGAGTCTAGAAGTGATCGGCGTGGAGATTAAACCCAGTGGACCTCGGAAAAGGCAGAATGAAAAAAACACAGGAACCAGAAAATAAGACCACACTTCCATGCAGGTCCACGAGTCGAGAAAGGCAAAAAGAAAATTAGAAGAAAGGGGAGAAAGAGTGTCACGGCTGACTAGAGAAGACTAAGAAAGAACGGTTGATATCGGGATCTTGCAGAGGGACAGTTTCAGGTACCATTCGGAGGAGTCTAGAAGACTGTCACTAGCCTAGGTTGAGTGATTTCCCACCAAAGTATATCGAAGGAGAACTAATCAGAGTTGACTAGATTGTGGATCAGATTGGACCATGCAAGCTGACTTGGTTACACACGATCTCACGAAGACATTATGTACTACGTCTACCAGTCAACCAGTTTACATAGAGTAACCGTAGAATCTGGGATATTCGAATCAGCCTTGTTGCCACGGCCCTGACTAGTACGATCGTCGATGGGCCACGACTCCACCCGCTCGGCGGCCCCGTCTAAATAAACTCGAAACAACCTAACGGCGCCCATCACCTATCACACCTCCGACCTGCGTTCATGGCAGCATTGTAACCCTGTCTGGCCCTGGTCCTAGTGACCCCCGGTCCTGATCTTGATCTGACTCCTGCTTCCAGCCTCAGCGCTGATCGATGAACCCGTTACCTAGACCCTACGGAGCTTGCTGTTGCTTTCCGAGATACGGAGGATACGGGGGGTAACGAGAGGCCGATCTGTTCCCTTACTGCATACAATCAGGGACGAAACGAGCGACTTCTTTGTACACCTCAGAAAATTACAAGCGAGAGAGCCATTCGAGTCCGGCCCTCCTCTTCTCGTCTCGTCTCTTCTATTCTCCACCCTCCTTCAACCACCTCTAAAAAAGCAAAAGACCAGCCCGCAGACGGTGCTTGACTCGACTTCATCATGGTATCCAATAGGACGCCTAGTAGCTCCAGACACCACCCTCGATGCGGGCCTCCACCCGGGTTCGGGCCCCCCCTCCTGGAAGCTGGAGCAGGCTTAGCGGAGCCCGTTAGCGGGGCTTGGCGCTTTGCAATCGACGGGCTGTTCGAGAAGCGCTGAGGCGCCACCCGAGGGCCTCAATCTGTGTAGCCCATCGAGGATTCGAGGGAGACATGAGGCCCATCCAGCCCTCCATCCTAGCTAACCGAGTTGGTTCTCTTCTTGCTAGCTCGCTCGCTCTCATTTTTTTTAATTATTTCTCCGGGACTCCTGCACGCGCTCGACGCACGACACCTTTGATATCCACGCTACATCAT